CAGCATTATCGTTTCCTACTGGAGGAAATTGATGAAAATCTCCAAAAAGTATGACGCTCATTCCACCGAAGGCCAAATCGTTCTGATGACCCTCTCTCGTCCTGTGCCTGGATAGCAACTGAGAAACTATCGCCAACATGTCCTTTGTAAGCATTGAGCATTCATCGATTTCAAGGTATTCTTTTCCCTTTATGTTCTTTTCTCTTTTAGCTTTGACCTCTTTACTGCTCTTTGAAAACCAATCGTCGCTCTTTCCCGGATTTATGGGTATTCCACCAAATGAATGCAGAGTTTGCCCTCCGATGAGGCTAGCGGCGACCCCTGAAGTCGCCGTTTTTGCTAACATATGCTCTGCGTGATGATAATGGAAAGTCTCTGAAATCACATTAAGTAGAACTGTTTTTCCCGTTCCCCCTTGGCCTTGTACCTGCATGTATAAAGGGGCAGGATTTCTACCTTGTAAAAGAGCCTTTAAATGATCTTCAATAATGTCATGCACAAGTCTTTGTTCCTTGTTGAGAAGTGCCAATAAAGGATGACCAGTCTCCTTCTGTGTTTTGGGTAGATCTTGAGATCCTCCTGGTTTAGTTATCTCGTTGGCTGGCATCACCAGATCACTTTGATCTTGAACATCTGTCCCCCTCTCTTGCTCCTTCTCTCTCGTAATGGATTTAAGGTGCTTGTCCCACTCCCAGAAATGAACAGTATCCTCTGTGGAGGCCACGGTTGCTACATCCTTTAAAAATGAGCATGGTCCTTCTTCTTCGAAAACACCAGCTTGTTCTGCTATATCTATAGCGTCTTGTCCAAATTGTACTTCCCTTGCAGAATGTCTCATGGCTTCTGCGATCTTGATATCAGCCTCGGTATAATCAATTCCTTCTTGAGGAGCATCCGAGCTGTAGTAGTCTTGATCCATGAATTGGTCGTCATCTCCTACAGCCAGATATCCTCCAGGTGCAATAACGGGCTTTGCGATGTGAGCCGAATCGGATGCTTCATGAAAGTATTGGATGTTATCTAGCAGGTCTAATTGAGAGCGACTCAAATTGGAATGGAAAGTTTTGAATGCAGCCTCAAATGTCTCTCTTTCGCCCTTTAAGTCTTTCAGGCATCTCCATGGCTTCAGTAAAGCGAGCATCGAAGTGCAATAGTACACATAACATTCGATCCTATCTCTTCTTGGAAACCACTTTCCTACGAATTGAACTATTGTCTCGTGTCTGGGTTGTCTGAGTACGCGACATCGGTCTCTGTGCCCACTACCGGACCTATAAGGAACGCGTCAACTCCTTGCATATCCTTCAGAACCGTCTTTTCTTGTCTTGGGTTGTTTTCCATCATATGTTTCTGAGAAGTAATCCATAAAGCACATGTTTTCCAATGCATCACCTCGATCGGCATACTCTCGGAGTTGATCTTTTAATTTCACTTCTCCTCCAATAATCTCCATAGTTAAGGTGACTTTGTCGCCGAGTTCTTGGATCACTGTTCCATTACTGTCACGTACAACTTCTTCTGTGAAGGATCTATCTTTTATATCAGTCATTTGATCTAAAAACAGCATTGCTTCACAAACAAAATAGACTCACCTTCTAGGTCTTAGATTGGGATAGGTGTCTTGTAGAGCCACTGCTATGGCATCCCAATAAACAGTCACATAATGATGCGATACAAATCTATCTCCCCATCCCATAACCAGCGATATTGCCTCGCATACGCTAAACTCCATTTCCTTGTTCATCGAATGAGCGAATTTTTGTAGCAGTTTATTCCCTAGATCCCTGCATTCCAAGAATGTTTGTTCCTTTTTGGTTTCGAATGCCAAAGTGCGAGCAAGTGCAGCAGACGTGTTCCAGGTCGAGGTCTGTTTTTTTGTCGAATAGTTTGTGATGTACCAGGTGATATCTTTGGTGTCCACAGCATTAGTAATGATTTTAATATCATGGTTACTTCTTACGCATTGTAAGATTTCAGGATTCCACACGACCATACTAGGTGACAGATGTTTAGGTCCACATTCACCTGTAGGAAGTATTCACACGTCCGTTGACACGGGAAAAGGTGCGCGCCTTTTGCAACTGATACAATTGTTTCGATTCTTGAGACATACATTCATTTGACATCTGTGATATTGAACGGTCCGAGTGACGGTTATCTGGTCCATGGCTCTTATCTGTTCATAATCCGCTCGTCTTGGGTGGGGTGGCCTGGAATATGACACTTCTGTCGTTTCTTTCATACGTTCGACGTCTTCATTATAAGCTCCTCCTAAATCTGCTGTAATATTTGCACGTATAAATGACTTCACTTTATCTCTGAAAGCGTCAGAGCATAATGCTTTAGTCATATTATTTGCGGTCGGAGCTCCCTTTAACCAAAGTAAAATGTGAAGATGAAGAGTTCCTCGGCCTTGTGCTTCTACTGTTCCAATGTACGCATTGACCGTACCGAATATCCCCTCTTTCCTCAAAACTGAAGATTGCCTCGTAGTACCTCTGATACCGAATAATTCTTCCAGTACGGTGTGGATGATATAATGAAAATACTGTGCTGCAGCGAATGGATCTGCTGCCATATTCCTTCCTCTGTCCTGACTTTTCGGTCCGGACGTATTCACGAAGTTATCAAGATCGATTGCTTTGCCAGCGAGAACTTGAGCAACTGGGTCGTGAGTGTCAGAGGGATTGATAGTAATCCACAAACTGGGAGGATTAAAGACGAGATTGGTACTCCAAATTTTTGATCGTATGGCTTTCCTAGATTCATCTGTCCCCGGAACACGGGTTCAAACTGCTGTCAATTGTCTTCTTAGCACCTGTACTCCAGGATGGGAAAAGGGTACGCATCATGTTTCTTCTTTGCCTGCTTTGCATAGTACTTCTGAAGTCAAAGTCGCAATGGCTGCCCGACTATGAATAAAACTGGACCGTTTAATTTGAAGACTAGCGGAACGGCATATGCTGCGTTTGTGCATCATGCCATAAACTTGAAAAATGAAATAGTAATCCTTACGGAACCTTTTGTCTGCGTACTGTAGAGCCCATCTAGCGTGCACCTCATATGGTACATCTATGGGTCTATCAACTTCAAATCTGCCCAAAGCATAAGGGAAAAGCCACGGAAAAGATCCCAAGAGGTGATTAGGGTTCCACGGGCCACCATCTGTATGTTGTCCAGTTTCTTTATCTATCCTGGCATATTCGTTTGTGAAAGCACTGCCTCGCCTGATAAAATACCTGTCTTCGGGTCAAATAGGTCCTCCGTCTTGTGAATCCGCTAAATTGGCCAGTGCGTGTCTCATCACGTCAATGTTGGTGATGTTGTCTCCATTAGCATCAATCATTCCATTTGCATGTAAAAAGAATACATCTAAACATTAAAGCTTGATTTCTTGCGACGAGTTTAAGATTTCATACTTACCTGGTTCTGTGTATCTGTCTGGTTCTGTGTCTTCTGTAAGAGGAATCATTCCTGGATCATTGACTTTTGATCTGTCATAAACTTCCACTTGCTTTGTAATAGAAAGTGAACCATTACCAATATCATCGGTGGGATCTTGATTCGGGACATAACCAGTCTTGCTCCTTAGCTAACCCAACCATGTCATGAGAAACTCGAACAGTGGATAGCAGTTCTTCTGGAACACCATCTACGGGTAACTGCTCCAGTAATATATCGGAAATGATGATATTCTTGTATAAGGGGTTGTTACGTTTCAACCATAGCAAAGCTTCATAGACTCGTCTTCTGCGGACATGAAGCTGTCGAGGGAGTCCAGGCAATTTTGTGCCTTTCGGTGCAACATACGTGATCCCTATGAGTGCTGATAAAACCCGGGCTTGAGGAGGCAGTACCTCGGAAGAGACTAAGCCTGCTATATGATCACTGTTTAAAGGATGTGTAGAAACGTTTCCCTTTAACTTGGAATACATTGCATCGTCTTTACACCAAAAGCGTGAGTTTTCCGCTTTGGGATATAGTTTGACGAGATAGCAGCATGGTAAGTGTCTGGCAATTAACAGTCGTTCCGGTAAATTCAGAATGGCAAGCTCTTTAGGTACCTCTCCCACCCACATGTTGTTAGCCAGAGCCAAAGGAGGAAGCATCTCATTACTGAGATGTCAGAAACATTCGCGGCAGACGAAGCCACATCCATCCTTTAATTCTGTTTCGTATAGGAGTATACCATCGAATAGGGTATGGCGATGATGAGGATGAGACAGTTTTAATATATGTTTGTTCAGTAAATTTTCAAACCGATATTTCTTGCATGTTCTTTGTAAAAAGGAGACGGGCACATACGATGCAGACGTTCTGTCTAAGAGCATGATTGGAAGTTCGTTTGATGTACTGTTCAACACAGCTCTTTTTGGTGTTGGGATTGATGGTACACAAAAAAGGACCATCAATGATATCATGTACAATCGCTTCTTTGCTTTCTGGTTCTTCTTTGTTGACGCTCTCTCTTGTCCAGTGCCATGCATCTGCAGTATCCCTTCTTGCGGTTGCAACATCTGTGTTGCCTCACTTAGATCTGCGACGAGTATCGTTCTCGTCTACTCTCTTTCTTTTCCTTCTGTTACCTGATTCCCTTGAAGCTGTATTTTGTATAGCTTGTTGTACATCCAAAGGTTGGGCAGCGAAAAATTCCAATAGTGCCTCTCTCGAACGCTTTCATTCATACGGAATGTGTATCAGAGGCTCGATAAGTGATACCAATTCGGGGACGGTAAAGAATCTAAGCCTATCTTCTACGAGCTGGCCGTCGGCAAAATATATGTGAGAGTACTTCCGCATAGGACCGTCAAACTGAGGGGAGGCGATAAGAGTGAGGGGTGTCTTTTATATATTCGAAATACATTGAAAATATAGTAACTGATTTAATTTCTCGTATCAATCATTAATCGATGACATATCTGAGTCAAGTGAAGTTAACAAGTTACTGAGAGGGGGATTTAAATAAAAAAAAACATTCCAGATTCAGAAATTTTGACTGCTCACCAAGCGGTTCTAATGGCGTTAGAGAACGAGCGTATGGTTAAAATATCTTCACTCGGTGCTTCATGAACCTTGGCTATACCACCCATGATAGCTATAGATTTAGCAGAATCGGTAATAGTACACAGGTGTTCAGCGCGAACGAGCATCGTGGCTGCTACATAAGGCTGCTCTGGACTGTCGATAACCTCATAGGCGAGCCCATGAAGAGTCACCGATTGACCGAGGTTTGCCGATGCCCATTCAACCAATATATGACTGAGTGATGCAATACAATTATGCTTCGTGTCGGGAGGGATGCAAGCTAAAACGATTGTTACATGTGTAACCCGCTCTAAATGTTCTCGTATTATCGCAGGGGTGTTGTCGTAATTGGCTGAACCAGGAGATAAACATCCTGTCGTCGAATCCAATGACATGAGCTTTTTTGCTTCTATCCAATACTCGAACCAAGGAACTGTATTCGACTCTTGGATTAATTCGCTGATCCTAGATGTCGTTATGTGATAAAAGGCATAATCCTATATGAGAAGTGAATAAGCCTGTCGACCCAATAACATGGAAGATATCTTATGCTCAAATATAATACGAATTTACACTTTGCATTGTGCAGGTCAGTCGCCGTCTTCCCGTAGCGGTGTAGGTCGACTAAGAAGGATACAGCTACAAGCTGTATTGATCCTTGCCTAACGTTTATGATGCCATTAATATCCGGAAATGTGCACACGGCTACATGTAACGATGAGTTCAAACCAGTTTGTACCGCATAAGACGATCTGCAAGGCTCACCTATTGATTTAAAGGGATGAAATGTTAAAATCTCTACGTGAGCAGACGAACGTGTTATGGGGTCCATGGACAACAGGTTGTACTTAAACAAGGTGTCCCCTGAAATGCATTTTATGAGACCGAAAGGGGTGAGCCAATTTCGACGTTGTCATGTCTTCTTCCTTTTATTTTTTGTCGGAATTATCAATCCAAAGATAGCGACTCAATATATCATGGGTCAAATTATAGGTGTCGTATTCGTTAGGAATTGCACCAGACGATGTATACACATTACATTAAATGAATGTAAGCGACATTAAAACTAGAACCATTCCCAGATGTGTACCCATTTCTTATAGGGTAAAGTCTTCACCCGATTGAGATTGGTGATGAGGAATCCATCAACGAAATATTCGGATTCTCTGTCGTCCATGTAATTGTACCCTAACACAATCTTCAAGAACTCAAACTCATAGTGTTTGACGAGGTCGAATGTACAGGCATCGAACCTCTGTACTGCTAAAGTTCCGCACCGTCTTTCCTTTTCCTCTGCCCATAATGTTACTTGAAACCCGATTGTCAAGGTGCGTAGTTGAGCAGGTGGAACTGTTACCAAGGATCTGGTTAACAACCCGATCTCTGAGTCGAGGCATCGAATTTCTAACGCCGTCAGGAATTGACAGCCATAAAACCGAAGTAGACCTGCACCCCAAAGTAAAGTATTCGTGACTGTTTCCGACATCAATAAAGTCGGGTTACGGCGGAAATTGGACTTCTTACCGATCTGCTTGATTTTGATTGTTTGTAGCGTTTTGCACCATCGATTCAAAAATCCTTGAACAATGGAAATGTCTACATCTAATTCCACGCCCAGGATCAGGTCTCTGACCCCCTTCACGCTAGTTGTCAGCCATGCAAACAACTGATTTCCGTCCTCGGGCTTCAAGTACCACATATAAACTTTTAAGGATGACAGTCGCATGCCGTCAACGACAGCGCTCGGTCCATTTACAAATGACGTTCTGGCCCCGGAAATCTCCAGGGCCCCTGTCTGGAACCAATAAGCCTGATAGCGCTTGGTGCGTAACCCGACAGTTGATCAAGGCGACATCGCGGATAGCGGTGCCGAGCACCGACATCTGTCCGTGGACATAGGTATCTCGAAATATGAGAGTATCAACCGCCGGGGTCACGTCGAGCACCTCGGACACCGACGTCCAACGCGCGTCCCAGTGACGCCATTGTATGGTATGAATGACGGTAAAGTATAGTTGGGAATAGGAAAGAGTAGTATCATAGATGGTGACCTCGTTGATGTGAGAGTCGTAATTCATCAAAACGCTTAGACGCGGAGACCTTTTTGACAACTGGGTAGGAAGCAAATAAAGGAATGTATTGTATATTGTATATAGTATTTATGTGTTCTATCAAATCGCATCTGTGGCATGTACATAACAGACATAACCCGAACCAATCGTTGTTGACGCCGCGCTCTTCTTTGACAAAAACACAATGCAACCCTACACCCAACGGATCGTTCCAGTGCATGTGATGGGCTCAGCGATATGGTGCCACCTTGGCACGAGAACTTGCCACCGTCGACGACGACGTGCTGACATGGACCAACTGGCAGCCTGTTGTTCATGTGAGTTTCATTGACGATACAGGAAAAAAGAAGCAAAAACAAAAAAAAACGAATAAAATTCTTGACCGACTCCTCCATGTTGTTCGATCACAACATTATGATGCCTGCTTTCATATGACATGCCGCCACTGTCAATGATGAGCATTACAATCTGAGTCGATGACCATGGAGCCGGTAGTGTTCGTACACCAGATTCAGGGGTGAAACATGATTTTGACAGTTGAGTGACCAATATCCATGTACGTAGGTTTATCGGATTCACCAGATGCCCAGCTTCCTCTTGGTTCGGACGGCAACCATTAACCCTTCTTGAAGAAAGCATCTTGAAGGGTTTGACCCTGACATCGGGTTCCCATAGTTTTGAAGCGCACAGTGTTGATACATAAAACATGCATTATATTAAGACAGTCTCATGAATGAACGAGAACGAAGCTAAGACTACCTGGCTTAGCGTGAGGAGGTGGGAAGTGGGGGAGAAGGGGGAAAAAAAGCGAAATATGAAGGGGAAGAAAGAGACAAGGGATTGAAGAACAGCTGTAGAATTGCTTACTTTGGCCTTGTGTACTGTTATTGCTACATGCTTGGTAAACTGGCCCAATAATAATGTCCAAGCATGTTCTTAATTTCATATATGTTAGGTAACCAATAACCGCATGTCGATCGATGGTACACGAAATATACAAAAATTCGACGAAGTAGGTAAAACGGCTCCCCCACCGACGTTCACTTGTATTCAATGGATTCCCTCCCTCAGGAAACCGTAGACAAAATTTTATCTCGTGTCTGTGAAGACTGTAAAGACGTGGCGAGTTGTGCACTCGTCTGTTGCGCCTTTCTCACACAGACAAGACGTTCACGGTACTATACATTGAATGTCACGTTGGCCGACTATCCTCGCTCTGTACTACCACGGATGTATCACGTCGATTCCCATCATTTTATTCAAAGGCCTATTTTACCTAGTCAACTCAGCGCGGAACTCCAAAGTTTTCCAGTTGTGCATAACTTCGTCCGTCATATAGCTATTCATGGATCGTCTCTGAATAATTCAGATGCCGTTGGAATGCTCGAACTCCTTGATGACTTATCCCACATCAGGGAGTTTACTTTTTACGGCGTCGATTTAGAGACTTCAGAACAGCATCTCGATGTGCTAATGGCAGGAATGAAGGGGGTTGAAACTTTTACATTTGAAAATTGTATTCTGTCCGCGTCGACCTTTAATTCCGTGTTCTCTGGTGAGTATTTAATTTTTATTTTTCTTCAGATTTCTCGAGTTATTTATTTATGACTAGGACAACAAGTTTGTCGCAAGATGAACCTTGCTCAGAAAACCCGGTATCACGTATGCGGCCAGTCATTGAATTCGAGTTCTATCAGTTGGGTTTCGGTGTTTGGTACATCTACATCTCGTTATTAGGAGAGTCAGGGCCTGGCCAGGATCTGGAGAGTTATGCGTGGTCATCATGCATTCAGTTACCCGTGTTACAAAATTTGAGCGTCAATTTTCAAGTTCGGAGTGACATCGCCAGTGGTGCAGAACATCTTATTAGCAGTGCCAGATTTGCGGAAACTAGAACTTGTAATGTCTTGTGAGTCTTGATTTTGACATGCGACGATTCCTGACTATCATACCATCCATATAGTCATCGCGTATTTACCACCGAAGACCATGTTACTTGATTTTATGTCCCTCCTTCACCTGGATACGCTTTCTTTTCGAGGAGCACTCTCAGGCATTAAATGTACTGCTGACGATCTCTAGAAACAGCGCGTTCACCAACTTTAACTCACATCAGTCTGATTGTCATCCTTGGAAGGAGATTCAATACTTTTATCGGCTCGTTTCGCATGTTGGATGTCACATTCGTAAAGCACATAGATTGGATCAGGTTCGAGGAATTTGTATTGGAGATAAAGAAAGAAAACGTCCATACAGGATGAAAGCTGGATGCTTCAGGGTTTTTTATTTTCAGCTCTACCCAATGTTACTGACTCTAGCGAAGCGAAAGATGTACCGTACTCTGCTTACTTCGTAGATCGTTCAGATGTATTGTCATAAATGATGCTCTACCAGATAATACGGATTTTCGATTTAGAATAAACTGATACCCGCTGTTAATTCAAAACGATGGATTTAAGTGATTACAGCTACTGTGAAATGTACATCAACTGGATAACAAAGGATACATAAAACGACAGTGTCATGATATATATCAACGAGAAGTAAAATGTCGCTCCAAAAACCGCTTAGAGACAATTTCCATCCCCCCATACAGCTGTGGAGCACCGGCCCACAGACAAAGAGTGTGTCTCCAATCCGAATGATTTTGACATCTTGCTTTGGGATTGCCCGTTAAATACATCTGAACCCTAGCGATATACCATCTTTCAGGCATCGGCTGACCAGAACCCTAGATCAAGGCCGGATTTCTTGAACGCTTTCGGCTTGGGGAACCATGAAACGTCCTGCGTCGGAAAGCCTGTGACAGAAGCACTGTGCACCTTATAAACTCCACATATAACATCTATCTGACTCTCTGAGAGGGTTTCCCTCCATGTTTCCCAAGAGTCTTTGTGTGAAACATTCGGTTTCCATTGAATCGTGTTCTCTGTACAAGGGCCCAACCTTTCGAACCCAGATAATATGAAGCTCGGATCGTCGACTGTGGTCCAAAGCGATGTGCACCAGATGATTCCTCCGTGCATCAATGCGGCTCTAACCGTGGCAGGATTGCCGAATAAAGCACCCCTTTTCCAAAGGTACTGCTCTGAAGTCTTCGACGTCTGGTGCGAATCCACGTGGTCAGTATAAAGGCGGTTCGGGAAAGACAGGTCTAGAGTATGTCAGTGTGGTTGTGTATAATGGGAATGTTGAGCATAAATTGGATTCCATGAGTACAAATCTCCTCCACTATATCTTTCGATGCTCGACAGACATGGTAAACGGAAAACATGAAGTACGTCTGTTGCATGATACAGGATGAGGTTGAACTGCGCATCTTTTTCGTCTGTTATCTGGATTTCGTACCCTGTAATTGATTTGTCCCAAGACTCGACAATCATAACCGTAAAGCGCTGATGCCCAGTGTCGCAGATAACGAGGACATGTGGAACTGAAGTCCCATGTATCTCTGGGAATCTGACCGACATAAGACTTGGCGTCGGAATACGATAGCGTGCGTATCCAAGTGAATCCATCAACTAAGTCCAAAAGGTCTCCATCGCTTAGCGGGGATATCTTATCCCTGGTTGCGACATAACACCCCAACAACTTTAGTCCTCTATCTGTTTTGGCTTTCTCCACACCTGTCAGAGTAGCCTTTAATGATGCCATCAGTAGTCGTAATGATCCCGCATTGGTACCATATAACTTCTTCCAATGTCATGCATTCTCTTCGAGTTGGTACAGTGCCTTGGAGTTTCGGTTTGAACATTTCAGTGTAAACTGCCTCCCACGTGGCGTGGCTGTTCATCCCTGGTCTGATTAATTCTGGTCCCACGGAAGGTCCGGAAGTACTCGAATCTTGGTTTCCCTCTTCCTGTCTCCGCTTCTTGTAAAACAGAAAGATCGAAACTCTTGGTTTAAATCCCATTCATCCCAGAACGCAGAATATCGCCTTTGAGATGATGTATAGAGATCCCACACATCGGAAACGCAGTTTTGGAGGTACATAAGACCTGACCAGATAATCTTTACTGTCAACACTGTTCCAAACGAAGACATTGGATGTCTTCGTAGGATAACACTGCCTCTTGGCAATCAGATCCCTGGTCTCACGTTTCCGTGCATCCCTGGCAGATTCGTGTACCATCATTAACTTCGTTTCCTTTTCGAGGCAACAAAAGAATTCCTCCCATGTCTCTCCTAATCTTTGTCGTGTGGAGACAGAAGACGCTGAGTCACTTGACGCATACTCATATGCGAACCTCTTCTCTTCTTCATCATCCTGGGAATAAACTCGAGACACTTTTCAGTGGCACAGAAAAAAAACCGTTATGTTTCCATTGCAAATCAAACATTTCATCGTGAAACTTCCACTGCCATACGCCTTTGACAATGTCATACGTTCGTTCCACAAACTGTGATGGTTCCTTCATTCAGTGATCTGATATGTTTTGGAGGCAGTAGAAACTTGTAAGCAATTTGTAGCTGGGGATCGCATGCAGAAAAGGGATCGGTCATTGGTCCCCAATCTATCCAGACGGGCACTCCGAATGCATGGTAAGCTTTGAGAAAATACGCAAAGTCAGCATTCTCGTGGATCGATGAAGATGCCTGAGCCTCCGTGAAGCGGACTCCTTTTGAGTCCAATAACCTAAGTCTGGTTGGACTAGCCACGAACTGTGAATGAGAGTCACCCATTCACATCCGACTGGCTTCAGTTAACAGCTCGGGCCAGCTGTTGAAATTATATCCATTGATTTGAGTGGACGCAAGCGCCAACAGGTACGATATCTCAGCATCCCATTAAGATAAAGGTGTCCCGAGAACGAGTGGCACAGCAGTCGCATAGCCGTCTTGGTGGATTTGATGTGGTGATAACCATATCGGTGAGGTAATGGAAAGCTGCAATGACCCATGCTCCTGTTGACAGACGATTTGATTGGCCAATATGTCTCTGAAACATGATAATAATTCTTCGAGGGTCGCCCACGCTTCAATCGTTTGTTCTTCTAAACGCCATTGTCCCGGACTAGCACAAAAAAGCGGGATATCGTAGGTTCCATATGCCAGAACCTTGAGCAAATTGCCTTGGAAAAAGTCAACGACATTGGCGGGTAAGAATCCTTGATATGGCATCGCGTTCGATGCCCAAGCATGGCAAATGAAGGAACTCGGTTCTTCGGGCCATACTGCCTCGGGATTCTGGAAGACATGCACAGCAGTAGGAACAGGCGGAAGTGTATCCGATTCGAGGCATGTGTACAAATGGTCATAATCGTCCTGTATAGTAGTAGCCATGTCTATCACAAGCTGTCAGCGGTAGACTAGACAAGATCTTTCACACTCACAACCCACGCGTCTTTGATGTATTCGTCTGTTATTTGAACAACTACAGACAACTGGTTTTGTTGTTTTTTTATTTATTTTATTGACACTGTTCCGCCTTCGAAATAAGTCTGAGTTTGGTGTTTATTCAGTTGTTATCGGCGTGTGATGTGACAAGAAAAAGCTTACATTCTATCGTGTACGATACACGCGTCTTGTCTGTGACGTCGAAAATGCTGAGTAAAGTCGTGATAAAATAGAAGTGGCTTAGCCAGGCGTACAATGCAACACCCAATCCGTAACGGGAATATATATATATTTAATAAGAATAAAAATAAAATAAACACCCACGTGATACACCCATGGTCTAGACTCTGTTAGAATCTTTCGGTCCAGTGTTTTTTGATGAATAGCTAGTTACTCGGTGGTCTTCGTTCTACGAAAGACCTTTTTACACCTCACTCTTCGTTATATGAAGAACGTATGAAACCGCTTGCATCACTCATTCAAGAATGCTGTTTATACAAATTGAGCAGCAGAATACTGGTAAAGTACAACGTTAAATTTACTAATACCTAACAGATTCATTCTACTCATACATCTGTACTTTATCCATTCTACGTAATCTTTTTCATTCTTATGTCTAGAATCGTGTCCCCAATGAAATTTCAATGGAAGGGAAATGTTGACTGCAGTTTTGTATTCCTTCGCCTTCACGATATCGTACAGAACGCCGTCCAGACTGTCAAAAGCTTCATTGGCCTCACCTTCATGCTGATCCCAACAAAACTTATCAATCACTAATGTCATATATATCTGCATAGAGGCAGTCCGAATCGATCCCAGAGTTGTGAGCGACGCTACTAATGCGCGAGCGTGAATGTCTAGACAACCTATACTGAAAACTGCCTAGATTGTTACAGAGGCTGAAGTCGAAAGGGAGATGCCACAAGTCCCGGTAGCCACCTGCCTTCGTATGAGTTTTATTCGATCTATGAAAGTCACTGACTTACCGACGACACTTATTCTTAACTTCGACAGAGTGCTAGCGTTCGCTGTTACCAGTCTCTGTACAGCTCTAATGTCGTTATCACTGATAACTTTGGTTGCCAGAGTTGTAAGCATCGAGAGCAATGTAAACCACTCTCGTATGATACATAGTTCTTCGTTACGCATATTCAGGATATCCAACACCAATATCCTGATACGTTGAACTGTACTGCCTTGCCGAGGAAGAACGATAGGCAGTGGTGATCCGTCGCTGTCAATGGCATCCCCTGCACTCGCAGACCAGTTGCCTAGTATAAACAGTCTACATATGTCTTGAGTTGACGCCAATAGATCAGTCATGGATTCAGTGTGTAATGTGACAGTTCCGCAAAGAAAGAGTATGGAGAAGAGGGGAGTATAGGAGCGAAGGAAGACATGTCTGTATCTGTTGTTTCCGCCATGAAAGTGTGTATCTGGGGCATTATATGAAACAGCAAACAAAGAGTGGCTATGTCTATGTCTGGATTCCCTCGATGATAGATTCTCTTGGGGACATATACCATGCCCTCTCCCAGCTATCTGAGTAAAAAAACGGAGTACACAGGCAGGCCTATGCCAGACTCTTTTTGAGACACGGCGTTTCCTACACCTGGTCTTGGAACACGACTCCTCATCGATGTAAACAGTCGTGAATGAAGCCCTCCTTGCTGCTGGCACAAAGGCCTTACATACAAGAGCGCAGGCAAGAGACGTCGTCAGATCGTCTTTGGAAGCCAAATTCACTACTGACGTCGATAATCTCCTGAGGAATGTGCATGGAAACACGTCTTTGGGCAGGGGCGATAAACCGTTCATGCGCCTACTTATATGATTTATCACAATAACATAATCTTAGTAAACAGATCTGTTGAATTGAGCCAACGCATCATCTTATAAAGATTGTAAGATGTCAGTGCCTACGGATGTCAACAAACATGGACAAGCTAGCACCAGAGCTCAAAGAAAGGATTGTGTGGTTCGTGTCCTGCCAATCCTGTCGACGTCGCTGCATTGTCCCTCGTCGCCCGATCCTTTGTGGATCCTGTAAGACGACATACCTTCCGTACACTCCATATCAAGGAGAGTTTTGCCCTGTCACCGTTTTACAACATGTATGATAACACTCACAAGGCATATATGCGACACCGTAATCGAAGATTGCCTGGTGTTGTCATGATAGCTCTGAAAAGGGAATTCCCGGACATAGGACGTCATGTACGACGACTCGTGTTCGATGCAGGTGTTTCTACAAACCTGTAGATGTCATTGCCATGTACGACTTAATCGACGAACTACCTGGAATTGTGGAGATCGTCTTGAAGAACACAGAGCTAGGTTACTTCAAGGCTGCTTTTCGTACTCTTCTCAACTGCCATTGATGGTGTGCCCACGTTGACATTGAAGATGTGTACGATTACCACAAAATCTTTGAACGCGGTCACCAAATGTACGTTGTTGTTATCATCCTATTCGTTTTGCTTGAAAACTGATTCCGTGATTCAGGGTTACCGGAACTACGAACTCTCAACTTAGGGTGCAGCAATCAATACGAGGTGGACGTATCTAAGCTCAAGCAACGCACCATCTCTTTCTTTGCTGACATGCGCAGCTTCATGTTTGGTGCACACACAGTGTCGGTTTGGAGAGCGATCCGCATATTTATAATTGGCTGTCCGCCATTCATTTCTATCATCTCAATGATCTCACTCTTCACATCCACCACAAAGCAGAAGTTGTCATCTTAGATAAATTGTTATTGCAGTGTCACACTGTTAAAAGTCTCACCATTTTGCTTGCTTGTGAGTTCAGCCTTGCTTTCTTCATCGAACTGGTTGTTTAACCTCTCATTATTTCCTCAGCTTTCAATACATTGAGACGTTCGTTCGGAAAATGTAAACTCGATTTATCTCGTTTCGTCCACTTATCTTCTTTCACTGCTTCAGGTTCATGGTGAAGAAGCTCTCGTCTTTCTTCAATGTGCCCTAGAATCCCTTCCTTGTCGTTCCTTACACATTGTTAACCTCACTCTCACTTGTCCTTTTGGACAGTGTACCGACTACCACCACCAAAATGTCATCGCCTTAGATGATGTTCTAGCAGAACATATCGCTCTTGATGCTTTTGATCGGATGGTTATTGGTTGCCAGACAGTTTACAAGGGTGTTCTCTTCGAAGACCTGGCCAAGAACTCTGTCATTTGTTGGATGGTGAAAGTAAAGAGAGCGGTGGGGACGAAATTGATTACTCTTCACGATTAATGCTTCTTCAAAGGGACCTACTTGATATCTCAGGCAAACCATTTGTTTCAGTTGTAAAATAATAATACGAGTTGCATTATCGAAAGTATAAATACTGAAGGTATCAGAAGATACAGGGCAAGATGGACAAACTCGCTGTTGAGACGTTAGATGAGATCTTCGCCAACCTTGAGAAAGCAGACTTGATGAACTGTTCTCTAGTTCAACGTCGTTTTCTTTATGGATCACGTCGACGCATTCATTCCGTTCTGCATGTGATCGAGACGTTACCGAATCACATGGACGTCGTATATGATAGACAGAAGCGTTTGACTCCATCGGAGGCTGGTACTGACCTACAGCGCTATTACCCCAACATCTGTTACTTCATATGCAGTCTTCGATTTACAGGGATTGTGTTACAAGACACCTGTAGCTGCTACTTTGATACATCAAACACTGTTAGTTGACAGTTAATTGTGATACATCAGGAGTGTCAGTTTACATCCAGCCCATATACAGTAATTCCATCAGGATGGACAAAGTGGCTTAGTAAGCTTCCCAATCTGTGTCAATGATGGCATCATTAGAAAAGAGAGCAATTCCGGGAATTGAACCCGGGACCTCAAAAATAAATCCAATACTGCCACATGACTTTCTCGAGCAGACATGCCAACCACTACACCATACCAGCATTATATATATGTGTTTTTATCTTTATATATACCCTCCCTTCCTTAACATTTATGACCTCATATTGATGCCCTCCCTTTGCTCCGCTCTGGTGCGCTCTTTTGCCTTTTTAGGCTCCCCAAATCAGCCCATCAATTTTGGCTGGATCCAGTGGCAGTGCCGCATTTTTGATACCCAAAATAGGGGCTATTTTCCGGTCAAAATAGCTATTGGGCTATTCTCAGGCTACTGGCTGGGCCAGGGGATGGCACTATAATCTGTATAGACATAAACAACATAAAATAGAGCCCTCCAATGATACATAGGAGCCCTGGATAGTGGGATAAAAGGGTAATATAATGAAAATCGCATAAATATTCGCTTTTGGGGGCTGCTGCATGCATTGGATCGGCTGGAGGACTTCACCAATCGATTCCCTGACCTTGAAAACACCCAAACGACCCCTCCACAGTACTTTTGGCACACTTTATTCCTGGAGATAAACGAAAATATTCGCTTTTTAGGGTGCAGCATGCTCCAGATCGCTTTGAAAACATTACCAGTCGATTCCTATGCTATAAAAACCCTAGAATACATCCTCCTTCGTAATATAGGTCCAGTGTAATACAGTATAAAAGGGGGTATTAGGGGGCATACATCGCTTATTTTGTTTTTCGCACTTCGGATGGCCTGTGGAGCATCACCAATGGATTCCCTGATATTAAAAACCCCAAAACGACTCCAGCCTTCATTTATAGGGTCTCAAAAACGACAGAAATAATGATATTACAGTTTAGGAGGAGCACATGTAATAAATCCTATTTCTGGGCTTCGGACCACTTCGGAGTTTTGTCTATTGTGTTTATTGACCTAAATAACACTCAAATGACCCCACAGGACAAAGGAAACCATCAGAAATACGTGATAAAAAGAGTAATAGGAGGATGGAGGAGACATACCTTATATGTCGCATTTCTAATAGTTAGGGAGGGTATTCTTGTTATATAACAGACCATATATACTGTACAATGGTGTGTACGAAGCCCCATGGATATCCGAAATGTATTGAATGAGATATGAGCAGATCATTCTGTAAAACAGGAGGAGCACATCCCATATTTCGATGTTCTGCTCATTCTATGGCCTGGGGATCATCGGATTCGGATTCCTTAACACAAAAAACAGTAGGGCCACCTATCATCCATGGTATTCAGATGTTCAAACTCCGAAGTACAAGATGTTCTCTCATTTGTTACTTATATTGTCCTGTAGCTACATATGGCTGTATGTGTTATCTGGGTAAAATGGCTCCTATGGATGATGAGTGCCTCTAGTGTTTTTTGGGTCAAGGAATCCGAATCCGATGATCCCCAGGCCATAGAATGAGCAGAACATCGAAATATGGGATGTGCTCCTCCTGTTTTACAGAATGATCTGCTCATATCTCATTCAATACATTTCGGATATCCATGGGGCTTCGTACACACCATTGTACAGTATATATGGTCTGTTATATAACAAGAATACCCTCCCTAACTATTAGAAATGCGACATATAAGGTATGTCTCCTCCATCCTCCTATTACTCTTTTTATCACGTATTTCTGATGGTTTCCTTTGTCCTGTGGGGTCATTTGAGTGTTATTTAGGTCAATAAACACAATAGACAAAACTCCGAAGTGGTCCGAAGCCCAGAAATAGGATTTATTACATGTGCTCCTCCTAAACTGTAATATCATTATTTCTGTCGTTTTTGAGACCCTATAAATGAAGGCTGGAGTCGTTTTGGGGTTTTTAATATCAGGGAATCCATTGGTGATGCTCCACAGGCCATCCGAAGTGCGAAAAACAAAATAAGCGATGTATGCCCCCTAATACCCCCTTTTATACTGTATTACACTGGACCTATATTACGAAGGAGGATGTATTCTAGGGTTTTTATAGCATAGGAATCGACTGGTAATGTTTTCAAAGCGATCTGGAGCATGCTGCACCCTAAAAAGCGAATATTTTCGTTTATCTCCAGGAATAAAGTGTGCCAAAAGTACTGTGGAGGGGTCGTTTGGGTGTTTTCAAGGTCAGGGAATCGATTGGTGAAGTCCTCCAGCCGATCCAATGCATGCAGCAGCCCCCAAAAGCGAATATTTATGCGATTTTCATTATATTACCCTTTTATCCCACTATCCAGGGCTCCTATGTATCATTGGAGGGCTCTATTTTATGTTGTTTATGTCTATACAGATTATAGTGCCATCCCCTGGCCCAGCCAGTAGCCTGAGAATAGCCCAATAGCTATTTTGACCGGAAAATAGCCCCTATTTTGGGTATCAAAAATGCGGCACTGCCACTGGATCCAGCCAAAATTGATGGGCTGATTTGGGGAGCCTAAAAAGGCAAAAGAGCGCACCAGAGCGGAGCAAAGGGAGGGCATCAATATGAGGTCATAAATGTTAAGGAAGGGAGGGTATATATAAAGATAAAAACACATATATATATAATGCTGGTATGGTGTAGTGGTTGGCATGTCTGCTCGAGAAAGTCATGTGGCAGTATTGGATTTATTTTTGAGGTCCCGGGTTCAATTCCCGGAATTGCTCTCTTTTCTAATGATGCCATCATTGACACAGATTGGGAAGCTTACTAAGCCACTTTGCCATCCTGATGGAATTACTGTATATGGGCTGGATGTAAACTGACACTCCTGATGTATCACAATTAAATGTCAACTAACATCTTTCAAACAGAAATCTAGCAGACCAGGCTGTACAAGAGGATGATATGCAGGGCCTCATGAAGCTTCTTACACAACTCCCTCGCCTTAAAACTTTAATGTTGCATGGAATTGACCTTAACATCAATTGTCACGACTCCAGTTCACAACAATCATCGCAGATGCTCAGTTCATATCATTTAACTCGGCTACTTGACATCAACAAATTCAGTGCGTATTGTGTGACATTACGACAGTTGTCCAAAGCTATGTACAAAATCGAATCCATCGAATTGAATAGTTGTAATATAGATACAACTGTGTTGACTTGTCTCTTGAGCTGTAAGTCTCGATTGAAAGGATGGACGTCACGTAACTGAGACTGACATAATAATGATAGATGCTAAAGAAGTGCGCCGGCTTACAACGACTAATACTACAAACCTACGAATCAATAAAGATTTTGTAGCTGATGTTCAAGCCCAGTTCAATGGACTTCATTATCTACACGTCGATACTCCATATCAATCCTCCCTCATTCCAGAGCCGAAATTTCACTGGACAGAAGCCTTTCATTTTCCCGCTCTGAGAGGGTTGCGTCTTGGGATCCATTACGACATTTGGCTCGACAAAGTGCAGACCCTGTTAGATCGCGTTGGTAACATCCAAAGTTTAGACTTATTGTTCTATTGTAGAGTCATCTCTCTTTCTCGCATTTCTATTTAACTCACATTGATGGCAACAGCTACTTCCAATAGCGTCAGATTTCGATCTGAATGCTCAACTCGCTACCCATCTTTGCAGTCCCTTGTTGAACTCAGATATCTTGTTATCGGGTTCAGTGCGGGAGGACTTCCTATAGTGGAATGCGCACTAAGAACGCTTCCGAAGACAGTTCTTCGTGTTCTTCGCCTTGACCTACAATGTTTTACCCGTTTACACTCATTCCATTGGCCGTCTTTGAATGGGCTTGACAGAGCTATTGTTGAAACAGTAAACATAAAGTCATTATCAGAGTTACAGATACATTGGGGAACGAGAAGCGATGCAGTTCCATCAGAGGCACTCATAGACATTGTATTTCCAAAATGTGCAGACGCCTTAGGCAAAAAATTAGTTTGTATATAGTTAATGTTGTATTACAATCGGAATTAAAGCGACTCATGTCCAGTATTATACGGTAATGATATTCCAAATTCAACTATAAAAGGCATGGGTCATCAACATTGCGCTGCCCAACCGATTAAAACCTGGTTCTTGACCAGCACGTAATCCCTAAAGTTCAGCTCTCTACTGTCGAACCATCTCTTATGTCTCTGTCCACTATCCCGGTTGACGTAGGGGAGTACATCTTACGTCTTGCCATCAGTCATAGTGATTGTCTTCCAGGTATTGTATCTTCAACTGGGCGGTTTTTGTTTTATTTCTCTGACTCTTATTGTTACATAGACCTCGACGGTGAATATTGTTGGAAATGCGCAAGGAGCCTCTTACTTGTCTGTAAGACATTTGACGGCATTCTCAAGCCTATTGTTTGGTCCCACGTCTCTCTTCACTGTACTAAGGTTCAAGATTACGATGTCCATGAAGTTCCTAGGTGTGTAACTAATGCACTGTATTGATGACGACTAAGGTAACAGTATCCCTAGGTACGACACCCAAGACGTAATCGACTTCTTTTCTTATCCCACTCAACAATATCTCACGAGTTTCATCCGTTCAATCCATGTCATTGGGCCACTGCAACACGCAGTCAATCTCCTTGAACCGAAAAGAGAATGCTTGTTGGAAGTCATGACTATTTTTCCACATCTAGAAGAAGCTACTTTCTTCAACGTTATCTTGGACACTCTACCTATGATCTATCGACCTATTCCGCAAATCAAAAGATTAGAGCTGTTCTTTTGTCAATTTTCCACTCCCGGACTCGATTCATTTATGAGTCATTTCCGTGAATTGGATGAATTGAGCTTCCATTATTCCATCGATGACCTCCCCGACTTCATTTTTTTTATCTCCAAGGTCTTTGAACTGAACACCTTCACGACCAGTGTATTCCAATCCCATGACCTATCTTTGCCTCATCCAGTGACTGCGAAAATGCTCACAATAAATGCTGAAGAAGGAAGTGCCATGTTACAGACTCTTACGAGCAGGAATTCCTGGTTTGACTGTTCGCATTTACAAGTTCTAAAAATCAATTCAGATGAAGTTGATGCATCTGAAGTCAATTCATTGATGACTCTTTCCCATCATACATTACAGGACATATCTGTAAGAACTCTCAGTAAGCCTGTTAATTGATGTTTTGCTTTATAAAAGCTAATGCCTTTTAGTTACATGGGACAAGTTCTGTTTCGCACGCGTTAAAGACTTGTCAACCTTGAGACTCGGAAACAATATCGTTAATATGGACCAGGTCCATCAGTCCATCATATCTATTCCTGCTGGGTCTAATATCGAAACTTTATCCATCACTATTCGTGGTTGCGGAACAGATCCTAAAGTTCCTGTGGTTTTAGCGAAGCTGCCGAGACTCATTACAAAAGCTTGTCCGTTGTTGCAGGATTTCTCCGTAACATATGAAGTCATGGCTTACAATCACAGAGAACATGCGATGGCTACTTGGATTATTTCAGACGTTATGCGTGACATGCATGTCCCTGTCAGAGTATTTTTACAGCAGGGACACCACATCCGAACGAAAAAGTCAAATTCCGACTTAGATGACGTCTACATACAGGCCATAAATAGAAGGCCTGACCTCATTACTCGGTTGGAGGACTACGATGATGCAAAGATAGTCGTATTGACGTTGTAAGTGAGCAGTTTTACTCGGCTTGAATTAAAACACTTTATGATCATTATAAAATTAGGCATCCTGTTGCAGCGAATTTCTTGTCGAATGAAGCAATGAAGAAATATACTGTGATAGAAATTGACACATTTCATTATACAAACTGGTGATCACTTTACAGGACAGCTAAACGACGTGTTGGTTTTTCTTTTTTTTTCTTTCTTTCTTACTTGCATTCAAACTCCCCTCCTTAGTGTAGTTAGATAAATTGTATGTAATGTAACTGTATGCAGTGTAGAGCACTTAAGTACGAAATAAAGAACTACTCTTTCCCACTCACCGTTGAAGACTAGATTATGACATGAATGTCATGTGACCATCGAACCTCAATTTATGAAATTGTATAAAGAGGACCTCTAATGCTCGTGTAAAACAAAAAGAAGGGCAGGTTTTTTTACCTCGCTTATCTTTCATTGTTCACCATTGTTGTCACTAAAATCTTACGTGTGTATGTGCATGTATTCAGATGCCCGTCATCGTGGAAACACATCTGATATTCACCACAGCATGCCTGACAAGTACGGTCTACTCATGAAAAGAAGTCATTTGCTGGCTACAGCAGGTTATCTTGGTTCTCCTAATTTCATGGACACCGTAGATTGGTGTCGCGCGGGCTGTCCAGATATAATCTGCTCGAAACCTGCTCTCGATGAAGGTGGTCCTGCCACTATCATCCCTCCTTTTACTATTTCGGTCATTGGCATTGCCGACACGAAGCCTTGGTGCATCAAGTTGTCCGGTCTAGGAGACTACGATCCCAGGTACCCGAAACCTTTCTCGAAGCTGAAATGGCTTCTCCATCTTAACGCGCCTATGGATACAATCTTCATGCAAGATTGGAACCATGGAATGTCCGCTCTACAAGATTTACAAAGTCGAATTACAGTTAACATGGCATCGGATATGCTATTAGAGTCTAATGTCGCACAGCACAAGTTGTGCTTGACTGTGAAGATGTTTAAGCCTAGGGTATGTACATTCTATTTGGTTTGAAAGACCGTACAAGATATGGAACTGTATATTTTAATCAGTCCCTGACAGATGATGAGCAGATCAGTCGTGATCATATCGTTCCCCTCGAACATCGTAACCATTACAATGATGTTATACATCATTATTCTCTTAATCCCATTGACATCAAAACTCAAAAAAATGAATGAGTTCCGATGAGACCAACTGCTGAGAAGATAATTGGGGGTTCTTTGTGTCTAGTAACCTTTCAGGTTAGTTTCATATCATAATTGCTGTCAGTTTCTTTTAAAGTAGATCAGATCAATCACTATTTCATTTCATCAGCATGCAGAGATTCTTTCAGCGCTTCTTTGAAGTCTATAAAAGTCTTTGTACCTAACAAGCATCTGGTCAAAACTATATCCAATATGAAAAGCTCTTTCTCAAGAGAGATGTACGCTGCAAATTTATTCGGGCCCGTTAAACAAGAAGGTATAGTATGCTTTATCATTGCTGAACATTATCATTGATGTCTTACAAAGACTTTACCATTTTAACTGGATCTACCAATGCACAGAAGAAAGATAAAACTGTGGACTCAGACGATGAGAGTGAATCCCCTCCGAGCAAAGATTCTGGTACGAAGTGAACACCCTCAATCTAAAATGTGTGGATCTAGCAATCATCTTAGATACTCAAGCGAATGAAGTGAACAAATTGGATACAGTAAACATCGAGGACGCTTCTCAAAAGGAAGGTATGTCTCCTTCGAACGAGCGATTTGAAAAACAACAAAAATTTACCTATCTATTACCAGAATTATCGCAATATGGTTGTTCAGGCCCAAGTGTAGGGTCTTCGAGTATGAAAGGGAATAGCTCCAGAGGTCGACATAATATGGTTACTGAAGAAGGATATCAAAGGTAGACTTGACATAGCGGAGGCATCAACATGTCTGAGTCTGGTCTAACGTCATTGTCAAGGCGAGCTGTATGGTAGAGAACATTATTAAATAGTCCTAAGGCATCGTGTTTTTGTGACCTTCAAAGAGAGGAAGAAATAAGAAAAATGTGTTACAAGTAGATTCATATGTTAATAACAAAACTTCTCTCATTCCATTATTATTTTGATCGTCCTAGAAATTTGCGTTGAGTACAAGATAAAGATCTATTTATAGATTCTATGATGCAATGATATTTCGCGTCCCACTTTGATCCCAGGCAGTGTGATTTTAAGAGGTCTACTAAGCAGATACCTATGATTTTATAGGTAAAGACCACAGAAGACATAGAAGAAAAATTAAATACTAAGAAGGCTCTGGTTTACAAGGAGGGAAAAAATTTAGATGGTCTAAGAAGTTAAAAGTGACATCTTTTCAAGCCTTCCTACCTGCTTTCATGGTAGTCACGTTCAACTCCGCAGATTGAAACATAGTAGCCTGATTAAACCAAACACAAGACCCTTGATCCTCGTCTTCTGACCAAAGGGATTCGACGTTCTCCAGTGTAGGGTATGCCCCATCTTTAGTTGTGACTAAATGTCTATCCAGATCTGAATTTCTGTTAATCCAGAGAACGCGATTAATCCGAGTACAACACATAAGGTACCTTGAATGTCTATGTTGAAATGATAAAACAAAGATGATGGATAGACCAAGAAGACGCCAGGGGGCAGTTGAATGATTATCGGTCTGGCCTCCCATATCACGAGCCAACAAAATCGGGTATGGTCAAATTTCCCTACAAGCGATTAACATCAGGAACATAATAAAGATAACCGGTGCAGCTTACCATATATAAAAATTACGCAGACTCCTATAGCGAGATTCGCCTTATCAACATGAGGCCAGCACTGTACTCTGCGTATCCCTTGTCCTCGCCGAGAATGGTTAAGACAAAAATTGAAAAAGACGCCGAACCTAGCTTCCACGGGTCTTTTGCGCCTTCTATATTTCTTCTTCATGTATTGGACGCAGTTCTGAAATCTGATGTAGATACCAGGGAATTTGAATCCGACCATGGAATTTGCACCTTCCCTGTACCAGGTAAGAGCTCTACTCTGAGAAATAATGAAAAGGCCTTACGTTGCTTTAGTAAAAGGAGTTCCCGGTTGGAAGAACTCCTCGATCAAATCAGCGTTCTTAACATGCCATGGAGACAGTTTGGGTGCCTAAAAGAACGTCAAGAAAAACAAAAAAGGATAGAACGAGACATAGAGACCAACTTTTTTATTTTGATGATCGTGTCCAGCAATGCAAAAGAAATGGTCACCGCAAATGTTGCTAGAGGTGTCTGCTTCAGTAAAAGGCATACACCTCTCTACAAATTCATCTGCTGCTTTCATAAAAGCGTCCATATCTACCCATGGATATACCGAAGATCTGTAGATAACAAGTCTGCCTTCAGAATCCAGAATACGAGTGGGTCTCTGGTCTCTAAACAAGTTTAACTAGTTTGATGATACTTAATATGAAGCAAGAACTTACGAACCTGTCGGTGAAAGGGATTTTTACTGCGTCTTTCAAGTCTTCTGCAAGACGATGAGGCCATCGAGCTATAATATCTTCTCCCTGCGCTTGATCGAATTTCTTCCCTCCCCAACCAGTAGACGAAAACGGTAGGTCTTGCACGCTGAAGGAATTAACGTCACCCGAATACGTTTCTACTCCTTGTCGCATAAGATGCTCATGACGACAAGTTCGATTCCTTAATTTGTTTCGAGCCCGTTGTTTATCCTTCCCAGTAAGTCCAGAAAGGTTCAGTTGCCTGGACTGCCCATTTGTGGAGTTTTCCTGTTTGTTCAGGTTCACTTTAAATACACGTCAATAAATGGTAATTAAATCGAAACACTAAACAAACTCGGTATACGTATAAATTGGTCCGTTAGAACATGAAGCGCCGTCGTCAGCTCTTGACGCTATATCACCAACTGGGGCTAGTAGGCGACACCAACACAGAGGCCGCATCGTTAAAAGGATCTTCGACGTCAGACAATGGGGTAAGTGGTCCATAAAACGCTTCCCATAATACATCGTCAGTACTGTGGGTTTCATCGGAAATAGTAAGATCGTGTTCTTGAAACCAAGTGGATCAGTTCTAATGACTTTGATCAGGAAACGTATCCTCACCATCAACCTCCATCATATCATCAATGCTTGATTTGTCGTCACTATTAGATCCACCCGAAAGATTGTCTCACGCAGTTTGCACCTCATCAACAAGAAAAGGGTCGGCGTTACGAGACTGAGAATCTGCGGTTGTAGCCCGCAAATGGACCAGAGTCTCTACATTCATGGAAACTCGCAGATTGTCGCCGATCAAACGATCTGTGAAATGATGGACATTCGAAAACCTATATATATATAGAGGGAGGGATGTATCACACCGATGTCAATTACTTGTTACTATACATTATTGTCAAATATACGCACATTTTATCAATGAATTCTTTGATCTTCTTTGTATCGTGATTAGGCTCGGGGTTGAGTTCGATTCCCACCATTTTGTAGCTAAGACTGGGTTATTTAATGAGAAAGAGAGATAGAGGGAAGAGTATATGAAAAGATGGATCAGATAAAACTTGGAAGAACAGGTTCGCTGAAGGCAAGACGATCGACACAAGGCGGCTGTCGGCAACGGGTGTAGCCGCGATGTAGGCGTTTGATCTACATATCGTTTCTTGTACACTGAGAAATACATCATAAATAATGTACGCGATTGTTACAACATGTTAGTAAGCAACAGAAGTATGAAAATGAAAAACAGAAGACCGAAAGGGGAAAAAAAAAAAGGACTTCTATCCATTGGGAATCGAACTTAGATGAACCGATACGATGATAGTCAAACAAGTATTACCGTTGCACCACAGCACCCCATTTTTTAGAGGTCCAAAATCCATTAGGAACTCATTCTAAATCATCACGTGGTCTTCATAATATCGCTCCAAACCCTTGACTATATGACAACAGTGGGAAAAAAAAGCGACTGCAATCTGTATATAAACCTCGATGTTTCTGGTATTCCATGTCACAATGACTGCTCCTCACTTTGCTGGCTACCATCTACTCACTCGTCTTTCCGTGAGGAAGTCTAAAATCATTAGACATTACCTTGCAACCGTTGACACCGGATCTCGCCCAGACGTTCCCTTCACTTTAGATGATGTGGATGTCAAGAGTCGGTCAACGGTGGAAGTCGAGGGTACGTTCTGTGGTGCGATCCGGTTACTCTGGATACTCACACAACAGATATCAGCCCCAAAGGAGATGGAGTGTCCATGCTGCTTTCACATTCTGTGGACTCCGTTAAGGTACACATACCTTTCCATGTAATCTGTGAATGACATGATGGGTTGTTATGTACAGTAACAGATGCGGACATACTGTCTGCGCTCAATGCATGATCAGCCAACTTTATGATAAATTATCGAAGGGGAGAGGTGATCAACCGTTGTGCTCGATGTGCAACGACAAGATTTATACCCCTCCGAGTATCAATTTGTTTGTAAAGAACGCTGTAAGCACGTGGGCAGAGAGAAACGGCGTCGTCCCAACGATGACCGCAGACGTGAAATTAGATAGTGTGAAGGCATCCGAAGTAGTCTTGACATTTTTTGTTAAATTACAATAATAAAACAATGTCATGACTACTCTCGGTCCGATATTCCGATCTTAATTAAAACGCATGACATCATGACTTGAACTTATTTACGCGTTGCGTCTGACAATCCAAGTTGACTAAACAAAAACCGCCTCTTCTTTTTGTCATTCATCACCCACTGACCCTCCACCTTCCCTTACTACACACATACTTGACATTGTATCGATGAATGTATGCTGTTCGTGTTCCTTCGAATGGATCCCTTGCGGGTTCGGTGCTGTTAATGTCAGCTGTCGAAGAACAACCACCTTGCACATTCACTCATACTTCGAACATATGTTAATTATTCTTCGCGTTCCATGCGAAACAACATATTTCTGAGTCCATGTTGTACGTGGATCAATTTTAATAAACGACTAGTTCTATGATCAATGAAAACAAGTGCTGCCAACGGTATTCACTATACATCTTTTTTTCTTCCCTTCCTTCTACTTTCGACACTCGGAGCACCAAAAAGCTTGGCGGTGGTTACAGAATACTCTTTCCTGAATGAGCTCCCTCAAAGAGCTCGGTGCTGTTCTTGTCAGCTGTCGGTGAATGGATGTATTGTAACCATAGCAGGCACTTAAAGTGTTTTACTCTTCTATTCTGATTTCTTTGTCATGCTACCATGATGATAAGTCCTAGGAGTGGTCACTACATCGTGCTCCTGAATGATGTCTCCTAGAGAGCTCGGTGCTGTTTTTGTCAGCTGTCAGCAAGTAAATGCGGTGGTGACCATGCTAGGTATTTAGCTTACACAATGTACTGGATCTTGAAGGGTGTTACAAGACGTCTTTTCCCGAGTGAGCTCCCTCAAAGAGCTCGGTGCTGTTATTGTCAGCTGTCGAGGAACAGATGTATTGTGACTATACCGGACACTTAAAAATGCGTTATTCTTTTGTCAATTTATTCTCTTCTTCCATTCTCAATGCCAGTGTGATAATGAGTCTTGGTCGTGGTCACTGTATCGTATTTCCCTAAATGATTTCTCCTAGATAGCTTGATGCTATTCTTGTCGGTTGTTGGGAAATAGATGCATTTGTGATCATGCTGTACATTTAGCCTTACCCTACGGATAAGTCTCAAAATTAGTTGCTACGCCGACTTAACCCAGAAAAACACCCTTAGGAGGTTTGGTACTGTTCTTGTCAGCTGTCGGTGAATAGATGTATTGTAACTATACGAGACACTTAGAACACGCCATTCTTTTATTTTTCTTGAATCTTTAATGTCGGCGCATCGAATGAGTCCTTGTGGCGATCTCCAAATAATAATGTATATAGATTTTCTTCCCATTAGTGGTCTATGCCAGAGAACTCGGTATTCTTCTCATCAACCATCAGCGAATAAATGTTCTTGTGATCGTGCTAGGTGCCCGGTTGTCTGTTACAAGGATAGAAGGTTGTTCACTCAGATCAAACCTGAACTCTTTGACGGTTTGATATACATGTAATTATGAATATTCATGGAACAATTCAATGAAATTTTCTATCTGCAACTACTGATTCATCCTTTCAAACGCATCCCATACGACTATAGAAAAAAAAAAAAGAAGTCAATCAAGATTTGACTTTGGGCAGTACAGTGGTAAATGTACCCACCAAAGTCGATAAACCACTGAACTTATTAAAACACGGTCCTGGAAACTCGCTCTTGTACCAGGAGTATCGGGTGTTACAGCAATGGGTATTCCGTAACATGGTTCTGAGAAAGCATTTGGTTGTGTTTCCGCCCTTGACTTTACTCTCCAATATGTTTCTGTATAATCCTCATTGAGTAGAATGATAGCAAAGGCCCCCGATCGATTAATCTCGTACGCAACAGACACTACGTTCGCATTAGAATCATTAGATGACTTGATTGCCCGAAGCATGGCATATGCCAACCCCAAGGAAAGATTGTATTCAATTTGGTCTGGGACAAAGATACACAATGCGAAGGCGCTGCCTTGCACCTTAAAAGGGATAATCTGTTCAGGACGAAGCCACAGAGAAAGGAAGGCGTAATTTGCATAGACTTCCTCTTCGTAATCTTCCCATTTGTCTTGAATGCAACTATCTGTAGGCTGATACGAATGATGATACAGCTTTCATTACAATGGCTGTGAATGATACTTACCAACATCGCCGACACCAAAGTGTTGATCAACAACATAGGCTTTTCGATACGTGCTACGATGTTCAAAATGTTGACGACTATAGGTTTCAATTCGAGTGATCGAGCGATGATGATGTGCATGGATCCGTCGACGTCTTCGACTCCTGTTTACAACAAATGTCAATATCGAATACGTTCTGGAATTGAATGTAGACTAACCAGAACGATCCGACTTGAACCTGAGACAATAGATGTACTGGGGATTAAAATGATGCGAAGTGGACTGGGACATTGGACATAGGAGGATGAGCACTGGAGATGCAAACCATGAAATGCATTGAAGCTAGACAACAATATGCGTGCTTTATATACAGAACTCAAATTCGTGATGAAAATACAGCGCATTCAATGGATTGGGAGCACGGCGTCGATTCTATCTATTGACTATGAGTTGTTCAGCTCTAAACTAATTGGTTTTATCAGTCGAACTTCATATGTTTCACAGTTTAAGCATTTTGTCATTGTTCGCTCAGATCATATGCAACAGTTGTAATAACAACATGCTCTCAGAGGTATGTTTAATACGACATGGGTGAATTCAATTGTCAGACGAACAACTGGCTCCTTCCACATAGAATAACAGATCATAGTAAGAAACCGTGATACTGGACCGTCAATTCATCACCTCTCTGTGCGTTAATCACATGACGAGTAGATATAACATCACATCGTAATAGAATGTAAAGGGGTGAATATGCTTCATGCCCCTGTATTGATACTCTATCGTGCAAAAGCAGTGCGCTCAGTTAAACACCTCTGCGCCATATAATTTATCAAACCTGTTGATGGCACAGACCAGCGCTCCAAGCATCACTGTACGAATCGCATGTATGTTTCTAACACTTCATGAAATTAAGATTTGATGACTCCACCATAGAGCGACCACTTACAAAGCGCCTTGGATGTCATTTGTCGGTACTGCAATCCATGCATTCGACGATGAAGGATCGCTCTTTAGTACTATTCTTCAAATATCTGTTAATAGATCAGCCACCGTTTCATCACTAACTAGTGAGTAGTCATGAAACAGTTTTTTTTTATTTAGAAAAAATGTTTAAAAAAAGAAGAAATTAGCAAGTTTAGGTCAAAGACGTGTGAAACTTTAATGCTGGATGAGGCATTATGCATAAAAGGGCACTCTCGAATCATGAAACCTTAGTCTCCATCTCCCCATTTTTTCTTTGGTGTTGCATTGGCATTGCATGGCTGCGTTTCAGTCTGATCGTCATCATCTGCGACTTTTCAGTTACCGCGAGTACATCGCTGGGTAACTATTTTTCCGAGGCTTTTGGATGGAAGAGCTTTGCTGGCAATGGCCACATCCTTGCACCCGCTGAAGCTTTACAAGGGCAGGAAGTCAGTGCCAGAAGCTTCTCTCATAATTGTAGGAGAAATCTTACCTACCCGGTTCTGGGTAGACAAAGTGGGTAGCTGGAAAAGCAGTTTTGGGTCACTGAGGAACGCTAAATTCACTATCTCATTGGGAGAACCGCGTGATGAAGAGTTTGCCAAGGATTGGGCCAATGCTGTTGGTAGAATCAACGGCGCCATAGTGCATATAGGAGGGGCAAGAGACGAAAAAACCAGGAACTGTATACACATGGAAAACGATTCTACACAGATACGACTGTCCACTCCTATCTTCGAGCCTTTGGTAAGTGGTTGTCGTGTATGTGGTGGTACTCAATTGACAATTGAGTTTGATTCTCAGGAGCCAGGAGCAATAGTGATGGATGAAGTAATTCAAAGATGGCAAGTCGACGCCGAGCATCAACAAGCCCTCAATGCATTAAAGAGGACCCATAAAATTTGCCCTCTTCGTGTTTTCGACATAGATGACAGACCCATCGGTGTCATGAACATGCCAGCTTTAATGAAAGGTATGCTTATTGTTGACTTGCAATAAACGATGAGACTGATTAAAGAACAAACGCAGGTGCATTAGCCGAGGTCCATTTCTCCATAAGACACTGGGCAATCTACCGGCCTGATCAGCCTGCCCAGCACTCCTTTTCCTGCACTTTGAACCAGATATGTTTGCTGAAGAGACCACCTCCTGCTGTTCAGAATCCTTACAAAACCACTCGTACTTTATACCATCCCTTACTAGTACAAGAGACCTCTACAGCAGATGCCAACAGCAGTCGAAGCCACACATAATCAACATCTTGTACATTTGAACACGCTACAGTCTCATAGTCAAAATTCGGCTGACCTGTCGAGTCAATATGGGGGGTACTCTCTACCGAATACAGAACAGACCTGTGAATACAACGAACACGACTCCGATGTCAGATGCCACAGTTATCAATGCTCCAATGCCTGTCGATACTCACATAGAAGGAGGCAGTCGACACTTTCCTTTAATGTCATCCCCTGCTCCTTTGCAGTTGTCAGTGGAGATACAAACCCGGAGAGAGGTTTTGAATTCTGGGAACCAATCATCCACATGTGTCCCACTCACTATTAATTCGCAAGTGATGAACTCCATAAGTGAAACTCCAACATCCATGATACAAACGGGGATGACGCCTGCTTTCAATCACCAGTTTAATGGACTGCCTACTCCACCTGACGAATATACAGAAAGAAGCGGTACTTTTTCAGTGACATCGTCAGCGGGAGATGCTAGTCCTTTTCAAAATGCCCCAACTCCGAGTCACGTATTAGGTTTCAGTTATCATAATCCAATTCCAGGTCAGAGTCACGTCAATCAACTATCCACTGCTTCGACTTCTTCCAGTAATATGGAACAAAATAATGGAATAGCGTACCTGGCTCCTGTACCAATTATTTCTTCGGCGGTTCCAGTGCCATTCCCTTCTCAAAACACTACCCCAACCACATCTGATTCTACGGGGTCAATGCAATTTTGTACTTCTCCAACTCATAATAGTATTTCATCCCTAAATCATAACGGGTATTCATCATATTTACATTATACTACAGGACAAGAGAGGGTACATGTATATTCAGAACAGCCATCTATGGATTCTTTATCGGTCTCGAGATGGCATTCTTATAATGACAACCTCGCTGCAGCATCTACGTTTCCTTATATTCTGCCCACAATACATCAAACGATAACCACCGGTGTTCACAATGATGCGCCAAGTTCGGGTCGAATGACACAGTCAATCGGTATTTCTGGTGACACAATACTCCGAGACAAATCTGTACATCCAAACACTGTACAAGCAGGTTCTCGAGTTGAGCCTATATTGGATATCTCACCCGGGAGGAACGATAATCAATGCCAGACACCAACAAACGGCCATTCAACGAATGTGGCTATTAACATGGTTCAAGGTAAATGTCATTACATGCGAAATATTATGGCTGTTTAATCACATTGTAGAAGCCGGTTTAGAGGAAACTGTTTCATGCCGTGACGTCGGAGCTACCACCGACGTCACCACTGACGTGGTGTAAGCCGAGACGGTCGATGCCGCTGTGGCGGACGCAGTAACCCGTGAACCTGCCGACATCTGTACACCAGTACGCATCGGAGACACCGTTTCAAACCCACCACAGGAATTGATCACGGTAGGTGTCGTGTCGACCCGGTCGCCGTTGCAGGAGAACATAAGGCTTGCAGATACAAGTCGTTTAGACAGCGTTCAAGGCAGCACGGGAACTGGGTTAGTGATACGTCTACCCTCAATGGTGCAGAGACATGGGATAACGGATGTGGGACCACGCAGAGATGAAGTTACAGGTAAAAGAAAGGCGCAAGACACTGACAACACGTCCAAACAATTGAAGCGACAGAGATGATTTGCATAGATATATACTTAAGTAAACACAGTTCCCAACTTGTATGTTGCAAATTCAATGACACAGCCTCCTCACCATAATATAAATACCTGACATAGGCAACGGATTGGTATAGCTTGTCATGGAACCTCTCCTCTCAAGACTTTATAGAACAAAGCATCAACCTTCTCAAAACTTGCTGGCTCTGTATAAAACTACAGAAGTGTTCTTAGCTGGTGGAGACTACCATCTCGGTTCACACCAAGACAACCATAACTTTTTCTGTAACTTGTTCGGTTACTTGGAACCCAACAGCTCCTTGGCTCTACATCTTTTGGTCAGTGTACGTTGTTACACATATGTAAACTGAAGCGAGCCATGTAATAGAGACCCGAACTTAAATCCACATCGTGGTATCGCCTAATTCATCTGCGAAGCTTCAGTGCAAGCACTGTTTTATTCAATAATCAAGTTCGGTTATTGGAAATGATCATAGAACATGACAGAGGTGAAGTTGTATGTCAATTTATTTATCGGTTACCCTTAATTTCACTGTAGCAGTCACCTATCTCCTGGATTAATCAAGATGTACCGAACACAATTTTCGTCAACATCCCTGAAGGTGTCGATGTAAGAAAAATAAAACCAAAGTTTATATGATAGTTATGTTGATATAATAATACTTGTCTGCTAACTACAGGTATACGCACCTTGGGGTCAGCGACCCGAAGGCAAAGTGGACCCGAGATTGACCGCTGATCAAAATGGACTCCTCAGTCATACAGCAAACCACCCGGTTTTATTGACCGCGGCTCTGTGTAAAGAGCCTGGATTCGTCAGAAATATAGATGTAAGTAAACTTATTAATCGACGATAGTTTGAGCTAAACAGAGGTGAAAGGCTTTTATAATCAACGTCTGCAAAGTCGAAATCATCCCTCAAGCTGACGAGGAATACCACTGAAATTCCTTGAAATGATATACTAATAAGCTGTCAGAGTCCGGTGAATAGGAATGGTTATTAACGGACACTAGTGATCCAGTGATAGTGCTTTGTAAAAGATAGAGAAATTCACACAACTCCACTCTCCTTTGACCTGATTGCCATTCCAACAAGCTGGCTTCCAGCCGCACTGACGGAAATCCACTCGTAATGATCGACATTCTCAAGTAAACAGTATCCGATGAAACACGTGTACTTCGATGATCTAGATATGAATAGATCGTAACAATAAGTACTACTTAATTCTTGATTATTCGGACCTTTTAGCTGTAATGGAGATTAGTTTGAATAAACGCACGTCTTCATCTTGAAGTGGAACAGAGGAATGCTCGGTAAAAAGTTTGTCTTCACCTCGGCATAATAAACGTATCCTCTCTCGACTGAAACTATGGGATGGAGCTGAAAAAGCTCCCTATATCGCTTAATCGAACATCAATCAGATGTCATTGGCACAAAAGCCAGGGATTCTGGCATTCCACCCTCAGAGGACACACGGACGATGGGTGGATGACTCTAACGATCAAGATGGGCAGGAGAACAATCGGACAGTACTGCGATGGCCCGACCCGGACATCACTAGATCCAATCATGACTGCGATGGGTATCGGACAGAAATTCCAGAGAGCTTTAATTTGGATGGAAAAATACCAATTACCCGTCCATTTAGAGTGAGATTGCGCATTAAGTTGCAGCCAAGGAAAACATGTACATAGCAGTGTGTCCGTAGTACATATGTGAAGTATTTTACTATTTGGCATTGTAGACGCCATCAAATTTATTAACCTCACCTTAACTCACTCGTTGACCAAATCCAATTGTACTCAACGATGACTACGAGGTAAGCGTTGCAACAGACGAAACAACTGCATATGTACTCACAAGGATGTTCAGGAATATAGAAAATTTTGAAGGATCGGAGTCGTTCACAGATGGGGGGAAAGGTGCATATGTTCTCTTAGACTCGAATTCAAGTGGGTCATATATGTATTGCAGATGGCGTTGCAGGTTTAGGATCGCGTATAAAGGGGAAGACGACAGTCAACCGACTGATCCAATATTAGACTCCACTATCCGATGATCCTCACGTTATGTTACATTCCAGGTCACAGTCACAATGCCCTCTGGCCTTTCTCTCCGCCGCTGTGCAGTCCTCCTTTCTGTCTTCAGTACCTTTTGCTCCTTGAACAGCATCTGTTCAGTCTTTATACTTTCTTTGTCCAATGTTTTAAAAAATGGAGGAACAAATGGAATGTTACGAATGTGTCTCCCTCGTGAGTGCCTTGGACATGCCACGTCACTGTTTTATAACTCTTATCCTTAGGGCATATTCGATCCGATGGATCTTATATCACCCATGTTTGTATGCTCGTGCTAGTACTGTGAAGCTGCCCAAGTTTGAAGACCGTTTCTGACTACAGTTATCATTATAAGCTCATTTACGGTCGTATGCCTTCGCAGGCCAGAATTAGTCGGAAGCCTGACTGCCAAGGTTGCTCATGATCAACCCGTACTTGCTCTCTAGGTAGGATATTGATGACAACTAAAATCTTTATCAGGGCACGGTATTTTCTCCGGATGTTATTCACCATGTCCTACGCGTGGCTCTGGAAGACTTATGTACTGCTTGCACGAGGTGTCAATCTCTCTATACTATCCAGTACGTTGTCCTATAATATTCCATGTGTACCGTTGGCAATATCCGCTTCAGGTGCAGTGTTCGACAACACCCTCATTCTGACTGCCACTTCAAGTTTATCATCCTTCATCTAAGAGATCGTTTTTTTGTTCTCTGCGTCTATGATCCAATAATCTATTGTTCATAAGAACAAGGAAGGTACGCATCCCTTTGTTGTGCTTGTAACGGATACTTTACTTTGGGGTGCAGGTCTGCTTCGGTTTTATGGCTGTCAATTCCTGACGGCGTTAGAAATTCGATGCCTCGACTCAGAGATCGGGTTGTTAACCGGATCCTTGGTAACAGTTCCACCCGTTCAACTGCGCACCTTGACAATCGGGTTTCAAGAGGACCTCATGCTCTTAATAATTTCAGGTCAGCCACACGAATTTCGTGACATCCCCTAGCTATTCGGCATTTCCCGAGATGCCGGCATTTCGGCGCGGACCGGAAATACCGGGAAACTCGAATTTGGTTAAATGCTCCTGGCTCTGCCCGACTCAACCTGATATGGCAGTCGGTGCTGATGCCCGCCTCTTCATTGCTTTTCTGGGCTTTAGCGCCCAGCATTACGCGAGACGCTCGGCGCATAGCATCGGGACACGTTGCGAAAGGTCGTTTCGCTTCCGAAAAAAAAAAAACCAGAAAAATCGTAAAAATCAACAAAAATTTGGTACGTTGACTGGGGTTACAGGGATTATGGACAGGATGGATTCACGCATTTCAGACAGAGTTTCCCCGTGCTATTGCACCTCGTCGCCCTACGAAACCAGGAGTCATGCTGTTCTCCTACTTATCATCGACCTCCGTATCTGAATCTGGCTCGGAATCCGATTGCCAGTACATGGCGACTCCGCGTTGTTGGCGGAAAACTTGATATGGGGATCGTGCATCCCACTCGCGGGTGAGATCTAAAAGAAATCAGTATGCTTTCAAGGGAGCACGGGCAGTATACGCACTTCTCCTGTATTTTAATCGGTAATATAATCGTCGCGAAGACCAGACGATTGTACTACGCCCCGTCGTCAGTCTGCGTTGTCCGGCGCTGTGGCCAGACGACTTACTTCCATCGTTCTCTGAGTTTGGCTTTGAAAGGCATGCTGGTAAGCTTGGTATTGAATCCAGTAAGCAAATACACCCTGAAACTGAAAAAAAAAGTAACTCACCTGAGAGAAATTCGTAGGGATGTGTATGCGAGGTTGCTGAGGTTGAGGAAGAGAGCGCTTGTGTGGCGAGTGTGACTTTATTGATGCTGGCATCGTTTATCCTTATTTACCATCTGTGGCTACATGCTAAATACACTGTACTCTACTAACTACGCGTTAAAGTGGCCTCCAAACTTCCTCACTCAAATCTGAAAAAATTCAGTCAGATATAAACGAGTTCAAAATGTGGAAATTTCCGGCTGACAGATGTGAGACAAGATAGCAAAACTGCGGCAGCTTCCGGTTCCCCAGCAAGGTCCTGGGCGCCGGCACCGCGGCGGACACTTGTTGAGAATGTACTGGCCAGTCTGCCTGGAGAGGCGCGATGGAGCGACCTTGGTATCGAAGGAGATGGCAGCGAGGAAAGTGAAATGGCAGATGTACTGAAAACTCCAAGAAGCTGGGTCTAGTCGTATCAATACACAATGAGTCGGGGTGTCCATCCAGAATGGCACTGACCAAAAGTTTGCTCCTCCAAAAACGCAAGGATCGGGCCGGGTTAGCCTCGGCGGCCCGGGACAATCCGCAATGCGTTGGATGCAGGGGTGGCCAATAAATCCAGTTTTCACAGTTTTCGATGCCAGACTAATCTCGGAGGATCTCGTCGTTCAATACTACCACTGTCGATTTTGTCAAACTACCCCGCTCCCGCTTGACAATCACTATCATCTTTTCATCCTTACAGTTCGTCAAGAGCGCGGTAGAAATTTCATTACAGAGAGGAATGGGAAAGTATGGCTGTGTGATGGTCAATGGTGCGTTTTAGTTGGCCGTAGTATGCAATAAAAAACTCATCACTTCTATTTGAAGGCGTTTTGCATTCAGTGTATCATTATATCAACTTTTCGGACCCAGACCAGACTGCACTATCGGCTCGCTACTTGCACAATTAGCGGCTAGGAAGGCTGGCCACAAGGACAATCTATCGTCGCGTTTTCTCGCAGCCCTCGAGAATACATCCAGACACTGCCTCGCCACTACCTAGGATTCCGTGCTGGCCAGGTGTTTCTACCTTGTCGCTGACGAAATAGGCGTCTTGCAGAGTTGCTTCATATCGTTTTCTTAGGATACCCAGTATCTGCGAAGGCCTGACTGATGGAACGCTCATCAACAAAACCGTCTATCTGTGATGCATGGCCGCAACTTCGGGGCGGAGTCCGCCAGTTACCCAGTTCTCGGTCTCCCATTCAACAGAGGTACGGCCTTATTGTCAGTCGCACTCTATCTGCTCCCTTCAATACTGTTCTCATACGCGACGAGGTCGAGAACCGTTGGTTCGGACCTCGAAAGGCCGTGCAGCTCATGTATCAAGGAGTTACATGCGATCGTGGTTATAGCTGTGGATACTTCAAAGAAGAACCATACGAGTAATGCGACATCACGAAAGGGGTGGCCTCATCCGTGCCATGTGTAGCGGCGTCTTTGCCATTACTCACATCGGAGAACGTGCAATTTCGAGGCTTCATATCGTATCGGCGGCAAGGAGTGGAACCATTACTTCCCCCGACGTCTCCATTGTCATATAGTTCGGACGTAGTGGATAATGTTACATCACAACGTACTTTGTACACCGCCAGAATGTAGGTAATCTTTAAACATTGCGCCATTCCCGTTGTAATCTATCTGCAACCTGATCTAAGACCGTTATGTGGTCGCTTTCCACAAAGATGACCTGAGCTTCTGGAACGATTGACCTGCATCCGAGGTCTTTCCATTCATCCGAAGGCTGACCAAGGCTCTGGATCATTCCATGCGAGGCCACGAACACGGTCATTATAGAGCATGCCTTTATGCTCTTCACCAAAGTCGTCAACTCTACTTGCAATGTGTGGTATGAGAAGGCGCCGTTGGTCTCCCCTAATTCGATCAAAAACCGTGTGATTGTCCTGCAGATGTCGCCGAAGATTTGATAATAGCTCATCATGAGCTCACGCTCGACATGTCCAGCGGCGACCTTCCTGAGATCCCTAGCAATATCTAAATGTGTCTTCGACGTGGATATTTCATACAGTGTCAGCATGATGTCAAGAAGTTTGTTCACTAGCGGGATGCTAGCGACTTTATTCTGAAGGGATGGCGCATCAAATTCCCAGAGAATAGGCGAAGTGTAGAGTGCTGGAGAATAATCAACGAAAGCGAGTTGAACGATTTCATCTCCATTGCTTTCGAAATTCCGCGCGATTTCTAAAGTTAGCAGGCAAGTTCCGCAGTACCCAGCCAGACGATAAGGTCCATTCGGAACAGCCAACTTGATTTTTTGGAAATAGAACAGCGCCATGGACTGCAATGAGGAGACGGGTGTATCGGGCGTGATTTGACATGCATATAGAGGCGTGTCAAAGACCTCTTGCATGCCTTTGAAAGCCAAAATGATACCGCTTGCTCCATGTATGATGACGAGCGGTATTCCCTCTGTGTCAACGAGCTTGACAACAGTTTCTCCAGGGAGATTCAACTTGCGCCAGTCGAATAGCTTTCGGTTGTCTTTTATGGGATTGGTTGTGCGACGTATCAATGTTAAGATGTCGCGGAGGCTAATATCTCCGAGAAGCTGTAGTTGAGTGATGGGCAAGAAATGACGCAGTGATACAGATAGTCTGCTAGCAGACAGCGAATCCAATCCATAAGCGGTGAGGGGAACGTCGGGGGAAAGCTCTTCGATGGATAAACCGAGTGAATCGCAGACTAGCCGTTCGATCTGGGAGAGAACCCCTTGCTGGTTCTGGGATTCCACCACAGTCTTAGATGGCATGGGAATCAGATGATCATATAGAGACGATGGTCCGCAAAATTTCTGGAACTCGCTCCAGGAGTAATCTGGAATATATAACCAAAATGCTTGATTCCGCATTCTCTCTAGGCCGTCTTCCAGGCAGGCGCACAGGTCTTTACAGTCATGTCAGTGGCGCAGGAGAGACATAACAACAAGTGATTACTCACGTCGACTGGTCATTGCCCATGGAGCCCATGGTTCCAAAGATGGGCGAGGGAGTAATGTATTTGGATCGATAACAGTGTCACTATCAATGATAGCGGGTGCCACTAAGGCAAATGCGTTAGGATAGCGGCGAATCATGAAGTCTACTGCAGTATTGGCACTATAAGAATTAAGGAATCTGTTCCTTCTCATAGACAATGGGTTCAAGTCGCTCACCTAGAGTAGTTCGTTTGCCCTGCACTTCCGAAAATAGCGGCAGATGATACAGTCACTAGGAATTCGAGTTGTTCGATCGCGATAGTTTTCTCTAGGACGGTAAATGCTTCGGTTTTGGCTGGAAAGACACGATTATAGGTCTCCGAGGTATGATTTACGTATGACCTATCCTCCAAAATGACCGAAAGTAGAATGCATCCACCGATACGACCCGGAAGGTTCGACATTAACCTTTGCATGTCTGAAAGAGAGCTGGCGTCGCAGCATTCCAGACGTAATTCCAAGTCCTGCTGCTCCGAAAGATATGTCAAAAGATTGAAGGATGCAGGATTTTTCCTCGACAACGCCTGCCCTCCGGTACGAGATGTAAGCACTATCTTTCGAGCACCTTTCTGCAAATGTGACAGAAGTTAGATACACTGTTACCTTGGCCATGGGAAAGAATTGACCTGATACATCCATAGGGCAACTTGTAAGCCCAAAGAGCCTATTCCTCCGTGCAAGAGATAAAAGACGTCCTCACGAAAGAGACAAAATTTGATCGCGCGCGCCGCAACCAGATCAGAAGGTGTTTGGAATGAGCCCGATAGCACTGACGGAGGGAAGTTGGTATCGAGGAGTATGTCGAAGATATCCGAAACTGTCCATGGATTCCTTTTGATTTCCTCCAATATTCCATTCACTGGATCATCCCAAAGATACAATGATGCACCCACAAAATCACAGATGCTCCGTATGCTTTTGTGATGTTCATTATAGTTCGAAAGAACCAAGTCGCCTGGTTTCAAGAGTTCCAGGAGTTGGGGAGCGGCACCCACAACAACGATAGTAGACATGCCGAAATACTCGAATACTCGAGTAAGCCTTTCCGGAAGGCATGATCGATCCTCATTCCCAAACAATAGCACTGCTCTTCGGTTCTGGACGCGGCGACGATCTTTCAACGATCCGAAGCCAAGGTAAGAGCTGGCAATGAAGATTGGAACCAACGCTCCGAGCTGATCTTTCCATCGAGGAGCAAGAACCTGCCCTGTATGGACGATAGCGAAGTTCGATAGCGGACCACAAGCAATTGCTGTAACGTAGGAATGAATGTGCCACTGGGTATCACCCGCATCGATGATTCTTCCATATAAGCCTCGTACGTTGCCGTCAGGTTCTGATGTTAGACTAATGGACAAAAGCACATGGTTCGGTGGAACACGCGGACAAGGACTTGCTGCAATGGATTCCGTAGCTGTTGCAGTCCAATACCTGATAGAATCAATGGATGGATCTTGTGGAGTTTCAAACGACAGTGAATGGACCAGTCTAGGAAGGAGGAGTTGCCCGTTACGCTCCACAAGGAATTCGGACTCGTTTTCGAGGCCATCGACGCTTGACAGCCAGCCAATATACACGCTTCGCTCTCGTGTCAACCATGTCTCGTTGAAAAGCACAAGACGAACATTTGTTCCGAGAATTTCTCGCCTCAGCGATCGACAAAAGCCGCGTGCAGCAGCGCCTGATACATCTGTGGTTGATTCAATCCAGATTACTGCTGTGCCAGAGCTCTGTAGCTGGAGGATTTCGTTTCGAATGCCTAACTCCCCGCCCAAGCGAAACGACAGCATTGGAGGTCCCTTTTTTTCGTAGCCGTTATCCCGGATCTCGGGGAGTTGTAAAGTTTGTTTTTGTGCCTCGATAATGAAATATCTGCAGCTCGCTAAAACGTTGCTAGAACGAAAATGTTTGCCCACCGAGGCGCGCCACGAATCCTGCTCCCTAGGTAGCTGCCCCTTAATGTCGTTCAAGATAATGACGATGACTATTCCTCCAGGGATTAGGAGGTCATGCAGAACGGCGATACGTGAACTGCTCATTTCAGAGCTGATGCCGATGATTATGTCGTAGAAATATCTGGGAACATGCTGATCCTTCACAGCTGAGTCCAAATCAAGTTCCACAGTACGGCAAGAGCAACTGTCATCGTCATCGGAAGAAGTCTGTCCTTTGCCAGCGGTCGAGTAGTCACAGAAAATCTGCCTCTCGTTCATCAGGCGCAAGACTTGTGACGACAGTGTCGTGCGACCGAACTCTTCCGCACTAGTAAGGTCCAAAACTCTGAGAATTCGAGTACTGCTGCTATGGGTGAGTATATCCGCAACACGTCGTAGCCTTTTAACTGTATCATCGACGGCATCTTCTAACTGCATCAGCGAATCGGACAAAAATATATACGCCCATATAAGCCCGTGGCAAGGCTCAAAATGCTTGGCAACGTCCGAAATAATTGCGCGAAGGTTATATGCCCATATGAAGCGTGGAGGATTGATAATTCTTCATGTATCATTATGAGTATTTCTTATGTCAGTAATGCATATCAGGCTTCGAAAGGTATCAGTACCATTACTTGATGCCATAGGCAGGTATAACATGAGCTCATATTATAGTGAGTCTGTAACATCGTAAATGTATTGTAACAGTTTTTGGTACTATGCTTATTGTCATTCATGGAGAAATTCACAGAAACTTTTGAGAAACTCAGAAACAGTCCATTTGTTATCACGGCACAGAATATTGGTACATCATTTATATAAATTGGTCTCGAACTTTATACTGTATGTTCTCCTCGCTCTTGCTCTTCTCTCTTCGCTGCTAATCGCTTGACAGAGCCGCCATTAGGAAGGGACTGGGAAAGTCGAGTCTTTCCAGTCTTGAAAACACTGCTAGGAAACAGAACATCAGTAGGTAATCTCGCATCAGATGGGGGAATCACTTAGTCCACCATTCCAATACGGCCTTTGCCTTTGCCTCTGCAATAGGTCCAGGGGCATCCTCAAAGTAATCAACAATGTTGTTGAAGAAGACGTGATAGTCGAAATCACCATCAACTTGTTGCCAGCCGCTCTGCGTCAACGCAATCCGAAGCTATATAGCTAAGATGAGCACGCAACCCTAGATAGAAGCATCAAAGAACCCAGCTTGTACAGCCACATAGGCGATACTCCGTGCGGTCACTGACTTCAAACCAACATTATTAGCTACACAATGTGGTGGATTTCTCTTCTGTCGTTTGGCACGAGAGACCGGCATATTGAGATCAATCTTGTCTGCAGATCCAGGTGATGTCATGAGGCACTTCCAAGCCTGTCGAGAATATCAGTAAGAGCAAAATGAGATAGCCCATTGAATAACCTTCTGTAAGATTGGAGACTGCGCAAAACCTTCATCGTTATCGTTGTGGTCCTTTTCAGGGTCAGGGAACAGGAATCGAGGCCAGGATTCTGCAGTAACTGGGTACTGCGGATCACCGTTCTGTATTGCTGCACGTACACTAGATGATGGGATGTCAATATAGATCTTTGAGTGGCCATACAACATACTCTGGATCCGACCAATCATACTCAATAGGACACAGAAAGGCTCCCGTGATGTAATGGTCAAAACCACGACCAATGCGACTCTCGGTATCCAATAACTCCTCTTGCATATCAGTGAGTTTGATTGAGCGATTGATCCATTCGGGCACTTTCACCAGAAGACAATGAGTGTCAACCGTTCTGGCAGCGCTGGCACCGTTGCTGAGCTTCAATTGAAATTAGATGACTATGGAATGCTAACTCAAATGGAGGGCTTACCGAGGTGCAGATATCATTGAATTCACCAGGTGTGGTCTCATTGCCTAGAAGAGACTTTTCAATACGAGGCCCAAGGCTCTCGATCATTGCCTTGTAGCCTCGAAAGAGTCTCTCTTGTCTGTAGTATACAGTAGATACTGTTAGTAGACACTTAAAGATTAATGAACAATATGACTTACTCCAATGTAGGTAGAGCAGAATCTTCGTCTGAGTCCGAAGATGAATCCTCTTCAATCTGCTGGCGTCGGACTTTCTCATCCACGATGCTCCGGACACTGTCAAAGGGTGACATCACACGGGGAAGAGCACGTCCCATCTGTTTGAATGACTCTCTAAAAGAATAAATGGAGATGATAGCAAGGAGAGAGTCATTATTAAACTCACTGGTGCTTGACTTGGGGAGTACCCTTCAACGTGACCACTTCTTCTTCCAGCTCTGCAATGCGCCGTTTCAGAAGACCAATGTTCGAATGTGATAGCTGAGAGGATCCTGGTAGGTTGGGGATTTGCGATTCTTGGAGGAGTGATGCCATATTGCTTGAGATGCGACGTTAGCAAATTTAGCCATGACTTAAGTATTTATGTTGAAAGAACTGACTGCCGATTCGGAAGAAGAGCCTACTTCGGGTGCGCATCGGAGAACAAAATGGATCTAGATGGTGAGAGACCTTGTAGGTCCGTGTCGAGCCCAATGGGCCTTCACGATGAGAGAAACTAGAATGGTTTGGAACATGATCAGGGTCTATCACGTGGTGCATCACAGCCACTACGACGCGTTAATCCGGTGATCGCGAGATGCCTGTATCTCGCCTCTCCGACTCGGAGCAGCCTACTTATTAGACCGCCAACTGCATGCCCGTTTCTCAGACAATGCACCCCATCTCACTTCTCATCTTCATTCTCCTCATGTCCGAGCTTCTTCTTCCCTTTTCCTGTGTTCCTGCTGAAGCGGGGTGTGGCCGAAAATTCAGTACATCCAAAGGACTTTCGCTTCACAAGAATCACTGTGAGGCCAGTATTAAATTACGGGCTCAAGTAAAACTGGACAAGCCTCGAAAGCACAAGAAGCGCAGACGTTTGGAGGATCCTGTTGGTTCTGCTAGAAGGGAGGGAGGACTGCTGGTCAATTTGGAGACGGAAAATGCTGAGACTAGTATTCAGGTATGTGCACAGTATATTATTCTTGACTATAATCTAAGCTGTCAAAATGCAGACAATAGACTACCAAGATGTGGATATGCCTGAAGATTTACCATTGTCATTTACACAGACTTTACCTGTACCAGAACGGCCACAACGCATGCATCGACTTCCTCGCAGATTTATTGACCATCTCCCAGAAGCTGCACCTGCAGCAGTTGCTGCCACCTCCGATGAACCGACACCCATTATCCCTCGTGTGCGTCTCATTGTCCACGATGCATTCAAGACCGTGACCAATGCATTCCATATCCTTCGCTTCTTTCCAAATCGACCATCCTACGATCCTGATGCATTCATTTCACCACAAGATCTTGCTAACTTTCCTGACTCCACTGAGTCTGATTCGAGTGCTACGATTCCTGAAGAAATCGGCTCAGTGTTACCACCTCCATACCCTTACTCGAGCATGAGCACATATCGTCTCATGCAGTGGGTTGACTCTGGTAGCAACCTCAAATCTGAAAGCGAGGTTAACCGTCTTGTCAATGACGTTATTCGTGCACCAGATTTCCGTACAGACGATTTTCAGTCTGAATCCCAGTTTGATGTGGGCAGAGAGCATCGCAAACTCGACACTGCGATTAACTCATCGCCCTCACTGAAGGATGGCTGGCGTGAGGCAACTGTGGATATCAAAATACCTACTGGAAATCAGGCTACTGGTGTACGTGTCTTTTCAGTCCCAGGATTTCGGTACCGACCTTTGGTTGAGGTCATAAAGGCCGCATTCACTGATGTGCAAGCATGCCTATTCCATCTTTCTCCATTTCGCCATATATTCGTATCTCCACTCACTGGACATGAGACACGTATATACGATGAACTATACACCTCGGATGCCTGGCTGAATGCCCAACGAGTTCTCCAACGGGCCGCTAACGAACCTGGGTGCAAGCTAGAGAAAGTTATTGCCTGCATTGATGTTTTGGTCTGATGCGACTCACCTTACCAGCTTTGGGACGGCAAAGGCATGGCCACTGTACACCTTCTTCGGTAATTTGTCCAAGTATGTCCGTTCAAAGCCAGACTCGGGTGCATGCCACCAAACGGCATTTTTTCCTTCAGTACGCTCGTTACTCTGAGACTTAGTTCTAGCAGCTTACAAATATTTCTTAGCTTCCAGACTCAATATCCGACTTCCTCCGCACACTCAACATCAGTACGAATCAGCAGAAGAACTTGCTGACCCACTGTCGGCGCGAACTCATGCATGAGGCATGGAAGCTCCTTCTGGATGCCGATTTTGTCCATGCCTATATCCACGGCATCGTTCTCAAATGTGCAGATGGAGTTTATCGTCGTGTCTACCCCCGGATATTCACATATTCAGCTGACTACCCTGAAAAGTATGCTTTTATTTCCTCCATGGTTAAGCACTAACAGATAATTGCATATTGTACAGAGTACTCCTTGCTAATATTCGAGATAATGGCACATGTCTGTGTCCTCGCTGTCTTGTTCCCAAGAAGAAAGCCGATCAGATGGGTCTCATATACGATTTGAAGCTACGTGTTCGTCTGGCTAGGACATATCTGTTAGACGAGATAACGAGGGCACGCGATTTCATTTTCAATAAGGGATATACTGTCGGCAGTGCAGCAGTGGAGAGATTATGCCAACCGCAGTCAATTGTTCCGACCATGGTACGTTTACTATCTGGTTACCAATATATCAACTACTAATTCTACTGTCACAGAATGCCTTTGTGGAAAAACTCGGATCGACATTCAATCCCTTTCAGATGCTAGTCATGGATCAGATGCATGAATTTGAGCTGGGCGTGTTCAAGGCTGTTCTTGTCCACCTTGTCCGTATCCTCTATGCAGCTGGTAAAACTAAGAAGAAGCAGCTAGTAGAGATTTTCGATGAAAGGTATGTGTACATGTACCATTTCTCGACTCCATCCTGTTCTCAGTTGATGCCTTTCCTCAGATTTCGACTTATTCCGACGTTTGGGGTTGATACCATACGAAAATTTGCCAACAATGTGTCTGAAATGAAGAAACTGGGCGCTCGGGATTTTGAGGACATCCTTCAGGTACGTCCGCCTTCCTAACACTATGTCCCAACTAACTGGCTGTAGAATTTAATTCCAGTTGTCGACGGGCTTCTCGATGAACCATACAACTCCTGGATTTTGACATTACTCTTTCGTCTCGCTGAATGGCATGCTCTCGCTAAGCTGCGAATGCACAGTGATGTTACCCTGGAACGACTCAAGAATTGTTCAACCACATTAGGAAAAGAGCTTCGCCGATTCAGGGAGTGGTCAAAGGAGTTCGACACAGTGGAGCTTCCGAGAGAAGTCAACACACGAGTACGAAGGGCCGCAAAAAAGGCTGAAACTGAAGCCTTTCGCCATAACGAAATGCAGCCACATCCAGTCTCTACGTCAAGTCCTCAACCGGGACCACAAAAGCGGCAGCTCAACATCAATACGTACAAGTTCCATGCCATTGCTGATTACGCTTCCACTATTCCTGTTTTTGGTACAACTGATTCGTACTCGACACAGACGGTTCGTGGAAGTCCTCTGTTTGCTAGATAACTGCTGATGATATCCAATAGGGAGAATTAGCGCATCGTACAGTGAAAGGATTGTATGCTCGGACAAACAAGTCTAATGCCACCAAACAAATTGCCAATCACGAGCGACGACGGCGACATTTCAGACGCCAGCTTGGAATACATGGCATGAAGAACATTTATCCGATAAAGGGTTCAAAGAAGGATTCACGCAAGTCTGGTTGTGCAGAGCTCCATCATATCATATCAGAGTCTCGAAGATATCGACATGATATTGTTTCCTTTGTTCACCTAAACGGCCAAGATCCTGCCAAGACCGTGAGTCACAGACTTTTTTTTGATTCGGTGTCTGATATTAGGTCTTACAGAAGTTTATATTCAAGCTGAAAAACCATCTTCTCACCCGCTTACTCGGCCACGATTTTGATGGTGATGATGAAACGTACTCTGATGCGCAACGGGCGTCTGTCCACATCGTCAGCAACCGGATCTATGCTCATAAAACAATGAGGATTAATTACACTTCATACGACATGCGACGCGATCAAGATTCTGTTAACCCTCGAACACACAGCGACGTCATGATGCTTTCTCCCGAGACTGACGCTCATGCTCACCCATTCTGGTATGCTCGAGTTCTTGGGATTTTCCATGCACAAGTATGCCATACAGGATCGGAAGCTCGCAGCCATTCTGTCCGGAACATGGAGTTCTTGTGGGTTCGGTGGTATGGAACTGAGCCGGGCTACAGGTGGGGATTTAAGAGCGCACGCCTTCCAAAAATTGGATTTGTACCTGAAGACGATGAAGGGGCATTTGGCTTTGTTGATCCCTCTCTGGTTCTCCGTGCATGTCATTTGACTCCCGTATTTTCGGCTGGTCGTACTCGGACACTTCTTGACTTTTCCCCATCGGCCGCGCGACATCCAGGAGAAGACAAAGATTGGGTGAATTACTATGTCATGATGTGAGTTGTATGGCCTTTATCCGATTCCTAGCTGACTTGTGGGTTGTCTTGCGGCAAGCTTTGTTGATAGAGACATGTATATGCGCTATGCCGGTGGAGGCATTGGACATGATGCAGACCCGAATCTCAAAGACAATGATAACGTGACAGGCGCAGATGATGAAGCCGCCATAGGCGAAGATACGCTGGAGGAAAGTGAAGAAGACGATGGCGAGGAAGACGAAGGCGAAGAAGACGATGGCGAGGATCAGAGCTCCGAGGACAGCGAGGATGAGAGGCCTTCCGAAGAAGGCACCGATTCTGATGGATCCGTAGAATCGAGCTACCTTGATGTCGAAGATACTGGGTTTTCTGACTTGTAGTACATTTACATGTCAATGCAATCACTAGTACCACTTTACAACCAGTTTGTGTAAGCCAGACCGTATTTTATTGAGCTTATGGTAGCAATGTACGGGATAAAAATAATCCTATGCAATCTTGAAGGCTAACATATCATTATGGGGGTTTCTAATAGCATACAAAGAGGTCGCAACATCGTGCCTCGGTTATATGGGCTTGTAAGGCCTTGACAAGGCGGATAAGAATTATGCCGGATCGTGGTCGCCGCAATCCACGGCAACTTTTTTCCCGATCTGCTGATGTGGCCGATGTCGTCCATATGTGGTTCAGGACAAGAGGTATATTCTGAAGTATGCGCTGTGCCACCATCATCATATGTTAACAGCACAGGTAGTCCATATGGTTGGTGGATCATATCGAAGGATCGGGACGGCGGCTTGGTAGGCGAGAGATAATGTCGTTCCACTCGAAGACCTAAAAGCCCAAGGATGTGCTGGCCAACATCATCGACGATGTTAACGTTGAAGGTGATGGTCTCTGTTCACGTCGTTAGCCATTTATTCGAACGATGATCAAATTACAAATGACCTGGCGACCAATTCTGTCGGACAATATGGGCATAGAGGGGCTTCTGAAGGTTATTCGGTGCCGGCACGTCGTAGAGCGTCACAATGTCCACCCCGGATGGAAGAAAATACGAAGTGGGATCCATGTTCCCCGTAAAAAGATGGTGGACTGTGGAGTGTATACAGGAGTCCAAGATTGCGGGGTGGAGAACATATCCGTCAGATCTGCAGCAATAGACGAATCAGAGTTGGTAAAAAAAGTAGCAAGGAGCAAGTATACATCATTTGTTCATCGGCTCCCATGACTTGAATGAGACTTTCCTGCTTATCCTTCCAACACGCTACTACCCGTCGATACATGGGCCCATACTGTGCGAAGTACGACATTGTTTCATAGAAATCTGTCACAATCAGTAGGTTTGTGGAGAAGAGGATAGATAATGGACTCACTATTCACGTCCGATTTCTCACTTCTAAATTGAAACCCTTTGATGTCAAGGTCTGGTGGTCGCTGCATGCTAGCCTTCGACATGTACCCCGTAGCATGACCTTGTGTCACCTACGAAAAGGTCAATCAAGTGGGGAAAGAAAAAGTATTGAACAGTTTACCGAATCCTTAGAGCTGATCACAGCCGACGAAACAGTCCACTGGCAGCCCTCAAATTGGAATTTAACTGGACGTGTATTCCTGGACAATGGCATGATCCCTTCGAAGGATATGTTCCATAAAACTCGGCCACCCGACGCAAGTGCCTGGGAGTTCCTTCAATGAACGATTGAGAAGGAGTAGTTCTTAACTTTGACATACCATTTCTATGTATCCAGCAGCCGGCATGACTGGTTCACCGCAGATGACATGATCAACCAAGCTTGGGTGTGTAGAGGCACTGATGTTCATGTTGCTCTGGCCCAGAGGCCCATGACGCGTTTTCCGTACGTTGTTTTCAAGCGTGATTAACGCCGAAGGACCGCGGTAGTAGGGAATGTGCTTGCGCTGGAATGGATAAGGGATGGTAGGTACGTTTTTCGGTGACCCCGAATGCATATTCAGTTGTCTGAAATCAATGCCTGCGTGTTTGCAGCCTAGAACTGCAAGCCGTCCCAGACAATCGAGAAATGTATACGGCTCGTTGGGAGGTTTGGGATCGGAAGAGCGTGGTCGGACCAATGGGCATAGGACTGTTCTTGCTCGTGGATTGTCCAAGTACGTAGCAAGGACGGGATGCGGACCAATTTCGATATATATCGCATCTGGATGGTTCTTCATGACTAGTGCGGCAGTGGAGGAGAATAAGACAGGCTGCCTGGTGTTCTTCCAGAAGTATTCTGATGTGAAAGGCTCACTCTGTTGAGCACCTGTGACGGTCGAATATACAGGTAAGGACGGAACCGCAGTTGGATGTGCATCGAACACCTGAGAAACCAGGTCCTTGAACTGATCTTGACACAATTCCATGAGCGTGGAATGAACTGGCACCGAGCTACGCAACTTTGTAGCAAAGATGCCCTCAGCTCGAGCTATATTGATCGCACGTTCGACTAAGAATGCGTGTCCGCTTATTGTAACAGCGTCGGGCCCGTTGAGACAGGCAATCTCGAGTACAGATGCCGCGGGTATATCTTGCTTGACAGTCTGGATAAACCTCTCTGCTTGAGTGGAGCTGCAGCTCATAGCAGCCATGCAGCCGCCCATGTCCTCAGCAAGACTCAGCGCTCGTCCTCTGGCGATTGCAAGTTTGACGGCCATTTCCTGGCTTGCGACCCCCGCGCCGTAGAGCATAGGAGTCTCGCCTGCCGAATGTCCAAATATGACATCAGGAATGATACCTACACTTTGAAGAAGATCGACAAGTGCCATCTGCAAGATAGCGAGCGAGGGTAGAGTGATGGCGATAGGCCAGAGACCGTCGTTACGCTGGAAATGCTTCTTCGAGTTCGAAAAAAGACCTGTCTGAAGTATCAAAGATTGGCCCACAACTTCTTTATAGATGGCATCCATCCGAAGAACGCTTTCACGAAAAATTGGATACGTCTTGAAGAGCTCGTGACCCACTAGGAACAAGTCAGTAGCACTACATGCCTAGATGAAAAGGTCCTCACTGTCAACATGCTGCGGCCCTTGTCCTGAAAAGACAAAGACAACAGGAGAACAATTCGAATGGCGAGGGCATAATGCCGGGGAAGAGAAGGTCAAGGTATCGGCTTCGGATTTGAAGACCGCATATGAACGCCAGGTCATCTGACGAGCTTGTCTACCGTAAGTGGTTGAAATCTCGCGTGCCAGACTAGTGTTTTTCAAGACCAGTTGAGCCAAAGCCTCAGCATTAGATGAAGCAGAACGGGGAGATAATCCTCCGGTTACGAAAAGAATGGGACCGCTTAGGCCTCCACCCTGACTCGAGTCATCACATGATGGAGGACCCTCTAATATGGCATGAGCGTTGGCCCCACCTATCCCTGAGGTATTGATAGCCACCAGAGGGCGACCAGATGGATTACGGGCTCTCAGTGGAGAAACCTTGGTTGGTACAGTAATATTTGTCCAATCAATGGCAGGGTTGAGTGTTTGGATACCTACAGTCGGCGGAATGAGCCCTGTTTGGAACATCGAACATACTTTCGATACGGCGGCGAAGAAGGACGGAACTTCAAGATGTCTAAGAGAATGCAGTTAGACCAAAGAAGGTAGATACTTCATGATACAAACCCGATGTTCCCCTTGACGCTTCCGACTGGTAGGATGTCGTCGCGCACAAAGCTCCTGCTAATCCAGTTCGCTTCTGCTGGGTCACCAGCCGCAGTACCTGAAAATCCTGAGTCAACGTAATCACCAGTTGCATGGCAACATACCCGTAGCATGTAGTTCGACAAAGTCAACTTCTGACGGATGCCGGCCAGTCCCAGCAAAAGCTCGGCGCATTGCTTCGTTCTGAGAATCTGCAACGGGAGCGCTGACAGGTCCCGCAGATCCTGTCGAGCTCACGCCTACACCTAGAATCTATAGGGACATGTGTGAGCATGATTTATACCATTGCAAGAACACAATATGCTAACCGATGCATAAATATAGTCTCCATCTCGAAGGGCGTCATCTAGTTGCTTAATGACCAATACAGCAACACCCTCGCCTCGGGAGAAACTAAGACAGAGATAAACAAACATGGAACTGAGCTCGTTCAACTTTCTTACCCATCGGCTGATGCATCAAACGGTTTACACCTTCCGTCAACGGACAATACTTTTCCGTCGCTGTACTGAATCCAATCCTCTACGCTATAAAGAACAACCTGAAGTCAGACAAACTGACGGATTGAATAGACATGGACGGTGACTTACCGATAGTTAAGCTGACAACCACCAACAATTGCAGACTCGCAGTCTCGCAGCCTAAGCGCTTGAACAGCCAGGTATAGTGCTGATGCAGTGGAGCTACAAGCAGTGGTTGTGGGTATAGAGGGCCCTCTGAGATCCAGGTGATAAGAAACCTTGTTTGCGGTCATGTATGGATAACCAGCAAATGAACCGGCCGCCTCGATGTTGGCCTGTGGATAAAATGAGAAGACTGTCTTCGTATCTGTTATTAGGAGCCTACAGTATCAGCAGTAAATGAGGTATCCATGGTGGATGCCATGTAGCATCCGACGTTCCGTCCTCGGTAATCGATCCCCGAATCCAAGAGCGCCAAAAAGCTATGTTCAATCAATTTCCGTGTGGACACAGACATAGATGCGACATCTCGAGATGTGATACCAAATTCGAGATGATCGAAAAGGGATATTGACTTGAGGAAGGTACCTGTCTTCGTTATCACGTCTCCAGTGTTCGTTCCGTGCCAACTAGGAATTAGCAGACATCAGAAGTGCAAAAACTAGACTGAGATCCCAACATACGCGTTAATATCAAACCTTTCAGTGGGAATCGTTTCATATGCCGAGCCCTGGTTCAAAAGAAACTCGAAGAAATCTGCGTAGCCTAGGTTTTCAGAGACCGTTGGTCCACCAGGGAATTCGACCGATATTCCGACCTTAAGTTCATGAGCCTTCAACAAAGTTACCAGAGGACTGAGAAAAACAGACAATAGCAGTAGCACGATTTGTTTCGCCTGAAGTTGAGTCCCAGTCAGCCATCGTCAATGTTTACAAGGAGCCATCGAAGCGCTGTAACCAGGAGATTTATATCTGGAATAACAAGAGGACTCAGTTCTCCGATGATTGATTGGATCAAATGTGATAATTTTAGTAGGATATTGAACCTTGGCAGCTGCGTGTTGTCGGAGCTTGCAAATTGCCTTCGAGATAGCATCAAACCTTGTCAGAATGATGTCTGTGTTGCCGCCGCTTACGTATAAATACTGTAATGACCCACCTGATTTCGATGGCTCGGCAGAAGCCTGATTGTCTCTCATATGCGCACTCATCGGAGGTCAAGGAGCGCTAGTACCGAGTTGATGCACATCCGAATCTGCCAAACTTACATTTGCTGAATAAGTAAACATACACGAACTTGAAAGTGGACATGTGACATGCTGGGCTTGAATCCTCCTTTTTCCTACACTCCTCGCGACCAGCGCCTAGTACAATGCTCAAGCCTGTAATTCCTCACTCAACAACTACTCGACAGCACTCCTGCGTTCAAATATATTTTACTTGTATAAGATCCACAAAGGCTCAATTCTGCATCTAATTTTCAAACGGAACAATAGATGCCACTTAACATCCGGTATCGTATCTGCGTAGGGACAAAATCCCCAAAAACGGTGTCTGAGGCATCGTCCTAAATATCAATCGGGAGGATACCTCGGAGCTATTCCCCCAAAAATGCTCTCCCACTACCGCTGATAGCAAGCTAACTGACATGTGGTGTCAAAGAATCCGCTCGAGGCATACTTATGCGATTTATATCCAACAAAAACTGGGAGCATATTTAAATCACTCAGAGCAACAGATTATAATGGTCAAAAAAATTCTTGCCACCGAATCAATGTCCCGCTGTTTACACATGCATTTCCGACTCCTTGACACCCGATTTTCGACCTGCATCCTCACTTGGATTCTGATCCTCGTCCGTGTCCTTGACCATTGCCTGTGATATGTTGATTGTCAGGGGACGCAATGGGATCTCTGCGGCAGGTGTGGAACCACCGCGTGCATTGCTACGAAACATTGACGATCCAGCAGAAGAATAGGATGGTCCTGCCTTCTGTGCCCAACCAAGGCCCCACACGAACATTGATCAAACTGAAGGCAATACCTGCAACCTCCGGCCAGTTATCGACAGCAGTAAATTGGAGATTTGATTTGGATTGATATGACGCCGTGAAGAAAATCGTCCACGATCTAATCGCGTTTTGTTTTAGAGAGAGTTGCAGCCCAAGGGAATACCTTCGCTTACGTGTATATTGTTGCGCTCTCGATGAACATCGCAAGAACAGACTGGAAAAGGTGTGTTTATAAGCATTGCGAGCTGATCAGACATTGATTTTACCATCAAGCTGGTCCCTCCAACAGCGGTTGCGGATTTTCTATGTGTGTTCCATATGTACCACGCAATCATAGCTGTTAATTGTGAAGAGGTCAGTTTTGTAGATATATTTCACGGTGTGCCACACTCACTGGAACTATATATGTTAGTACTGTAGATACTACCGTTCATCATGTAGTCTCTCTGAAGCTGCGTAGGCAACTTACAGAAGTGTGAAGATGCAATCGCATGTGATCCATCTACCAGCTTCCGAAGCAAAGACGTCCAGACCCGGGAAATATTGTGTAAACTGGTACGTGATCCCAATACCACACACTATCATCTGAATAAAGTCATTGTCACGTAGAGGGATTTTACAACAGATACCTGTAAGTCCAGCCAACGTTAACAGAGGGAAAATTATGACGTAGTAATTGAATCCCCAAACGACCCATAGGCGGTATATCTGCTGCAACGTTGAATCGGGAGAATATTCACTGACAGGTATGACTCACGATCATTGAATCACCAATAACTAACGAGGCCATTAGAAACCCGGTTTTCACAACTTCTGTTATATGTGACAGGTTGGCGTAGAATTCCAAAGGCTGCTTTCCGTCTTCAAAAGTGACGAATGCATCGAATAATCGTATAACTGTACAAATCCAGTGCTATAGTAGTCTGATCAGGAAAAGGTGCGTCGGGACAGGTCATGGTTTTGCGCCTACCGCTGTAATGGTTATGAATAAACCAACAGCCCCGATGAACATGGGTCGCTGCATGACCGACACGACAGTATTTGGAGACCTTCTGGACCGTCGCACAAAAAGCAAAGTTATCGATGTCAGATCGAGGACGAAGAAGATTCCGTATAAAAAACTTTCAAGTGCCACGGTCGCAAGATTGACGGAAACGAGAGGGACCTGCATGGTTTTGACTGCAATGGGTAGAAAGCCTCGTACAATACATATTTACGTGTTTAAATAATGAAGCTGCATTTGTTTCTGCATCGAATCGTGTGGAAGGTTCATCATTCCCTGATATCCACTGATGATCAGTTATTAAAACGTTTCGGAAAACTTCTTGCTATGAACTTACATCACAGGTAACGACCGGGGATATCGGGAACCAAATAAGCCTAACCATGTGCGTGATACCTCTTCCCCGGGCCGCCTATCGGCATTCGTTGCTTCTTCAGGTCACCTTCACAGATAGATATCTGAACGCTTGGTTCGGTTGGTCACAAGCAGTTCCTGGCATGGTTCCTAAAGTCCATCCGAAGATATCATCAGACTGTTTAATTTGGTTACAGCTAGGGTCAGCGTGTCCATTCTCCGGCAGTATGCTTGCTTCATAAACAATTGTTGTCCGTAATGTTCTGACTGTACCTGATTCGATGTCTTTCTCAACGCATCGTACTATTCCACCCCCACCTCAGAAACAAGGCGAGAAGAGCACCACGTTCCGATCGCCGCCCATCGATGGATCGTTTACCTTGCAACAGATGTATGACTGGCATCTGGTTAACTCTGTCAATCACCGTATCTTCATCTATGCGCGCGACGATGGGAGTATTAGGACGATATGCTGGCCTGAGGCAATTGCGGCCATTTATACTGGTGCTCGTCTAATGAAATGCCGCATTCCTGTGAGGCACAAGCCTCCGGTAGTAGCTATCTTGTCGATGTCCGGTCCGTGGCTTCCATGATAGTTCATGCACCGAGCTGCTGCTTACCCATCATACAACAGATACGATCACCTACTTCACCACTATGATGAGTCTGCTACGTGCAAACTTTATCTTTTTTCCTATATCCCCCCGCAATTCAGCACTTGCTGTTGCCCATCTCCTTCACAAGGTTGGAGTACAACACGTTCTGGTCGGTAGAGATGTGTCCATGCAGGATCTCGCTCGGGCTTCGCTCAATATTTTGAAGTCTCAATACTCGTATTCGTCAGATGACCTTCCAGATCTCTCTCCTGTTCCCGTCTTCGAGGAACTCTTCCTACATCATTGGCGAGAGTGTGTCTCCAAATCCGACGATCTTCCCCTACCGAGTGTGGATCCAGACGCCATCGTTCTATATCTGCATTCATCTGGTTGCGGTGTTTTTCTCTGATTGGTAGAAATATTGGCTGACATCTACTATAGGTTCTACGGCATATCCGAAGCCGATTCCTTGGAGTGGACATCGCGTAGTGCAGCTGTGTCTCATACCCTGGTTCGGTGGCAGAGACCTCTGTAATGTTGTTTTCTCTTTGCATGTCATGCCAATGTATCACGGAATGGGGGTCTTGCAGCTGTTCTGGACGGCATGTCAGAAGTTTGGACTTATTTTCTTCTCACTAATCTATCTTATAGGCTTCGTCCGGATTGGTAGTGAGCGCTTTCGAGCCAAAGTCTCCCGCCCTGCTTCCCACGCCAGATAACCTGTTCGTGTCAGCGCGAGCAGCACAGAGTGATGTTATTTTTTGCGTGCCGTCCTTCATCGAGGTGAATTGCTGCGTCGTGCTCTATCATCCATACCTCATGATACAATGCTCAGGCCTGGTCCCGACGCCCCGAATATGTTGAATGGCTGGCTACACGCTCTGGCGTGGTATGTGCCTTCGCCTTCTCTTCTACGAGGCATGTGATAAATGAATTTTTAGCTTTATGGTGGCGGCCCATTGAACCAGGAAGCCGGAGACTACCTTACTTCTAAGGGTGTCTCAATCTTCATTCTATACGGATCGTAAGTCCACGAAAACCTTTTTGACCTAAATCCAAAGCTAACCTGCAGGAAAGGACTGAAGGGGGGATTATGAGCCATATCTTACCTGGTGGGTGTCGCCATCCATGAATCTGCGAAACTTATCCATCTCGCACTGGCAGCTCAAGTAGGTTACGATTGGGACTACTTTAAATTTCCCCAGTTAGTGACACCGGAGATGGTGCCCAGTGGAAATGATTCATATGAACTCGTCATGGTGGTATGATTCTCTTCTTCATACTTATCCGTTATCTTTCACGCCTATACATCTTATAGGAAAACGAATTCTTCAAACCCAGTGTTATAAATACCAAGGTCGATGGGAAGGACGCGTATGCAACTTCGGATCTCTTCATTCCTCATCCGACGAAGGCTGGATTTTGGAAAATATTTGGTCGCACCGACGATCAAATCATGCATAACACAGGAGAGAAGGTGGGTGCAGTTTATGCAACTATCCAAACCCAAGACTGAACATCGACTATGGAATTCTAAGACGAATCCAGGGCCTCTGGGTGAGTTTAGTATCTATTCCGTCCGTGAAGGATCATAATATTATCTGCGATAGAGAATATGCTCAATCAGGACCCTCATGTCATGGCTTCAGTCTTTTTCGGCCGGGGAATGTTCCAGGCGGGCGTCCTCATTGAACCCAAGACTCAGTTCGCCTTCGATCCTGAGGACGAGAGCAAGCTCGCTGAATTCAGAAATAAGATATGGTAATGCGCTTTGCAGACTAGCGTGAGCTTGTGACGCTGAATCATACTCTCCAAGGCTCACAGTGGAGAGGATCAATAGGTTTGCGCCACAGCATTCTCGTTTGTTCAAAGAGGTGAGCCATCTCTAAATATTCAAGCATTGAAACTGTACCGACTGTCTCAGATGATTCTCGTGGCCAAGCCCAGAAAGCCGTTCACGTACACCGCTAAAAATACTGCACGGTAGGGTTTTAGTATGATAAGAGGACTTGTTTTGATGGCATATAGACGACAAGCGATATTAGATGACTACAGCGAAGAAATTACAGCGGTGTACAAAACCGTGGAAGAAAGTACCCAAGCCAACATTCCCCCGCCTTTGGAGTGGGACGACATATCTACAAAGGAGTTCGTTCGTACTGTCGTCTTTCAAGTTCTTTCCCATTCTATTTCTGAAGATGATGATCTATTCCAACATGGCTGCGACAGGCTAGTTGAATTTACTTGAATTTTATCAGCCTGAACTGATCCACAAATTATTCCCCAGTTTGCAGGCAACATGGATCCGAAATACTCTGCTTCGTGCGTTGCGTGACACGGCCGAATTTGATACGCGTCGAACGACAGACAATTTCGTATATTCTCACCCAAGCATCTCTCAGCTGGCGACGTTCTTGCATTCGATCGCTCAAGGAACCCACGTATCCAGTGTTAGTTTAGGTTCTAGGGTGGATGACATGCGCACCATGGTGTCAAAGTATTCAAAGGACTTCCTGGTCACGTCAGAGAAGCAGCCTGACCCCCTAATCCTGGAAACTGGGAAAGTCATACTTCTAACAGGAACAACTGGAGCGCTTGGGTGTCACATCTTAGCGAGCCTCGTTTTGGACCAGACTGTCGGGCACATATACGCTGTGAACAGACCGGGAAAGATATCTGTGAGGGAAGAGACAGCAGCGAGCCTTAATCAACCACGGGATAGATATCAACATGGAAAAGGTTACCATGTTAGAGGTTGATCTGTCGTCCAAATCCCAAGTTTTCCCCCACGAGGTACGTACGTCGTCGCCGCGTGTGTACGGTAAATCATCAAAGTCTTTTTCTTCCAGGTCAGAAGCTCCGTAACGCATATTATCCACAATGGTAAGCGATTCGATGATTTTCTTGAATTATTTTGACCCTGTTTCAGCGTGGCGCGTAGATTTCAATCTAGGATTATCTTCATTCGAATCTAACATTCGAGGCCTGCGTAACTTGATCGAAGTAGCCCTGGCCTCGCAAGCCCGACTCATTTACACAAGCTCTATTGGTGTTTTCCAGAGTAAGTCTTCGTCTTTCCTACAGATCTTCAGAGAATAGAGCACCTTTCCAGACGCCGGAGAAGATCACCCACTGGCTGAAACCCATGTTGATCCTTACATCGCGCAGGGAACGGGTTACAGCGAGTCCAAATGGGTTTCGGAGGAATTGTTACGCCTAGTCCCGGGTTTACGTTACCTTATCGTTCGCGTCGGCCAACTCGCAGGTGGACCCAAGGGAACATGGAACCCGAAAGAATGGGTTCCGTCCATGATCCAAAGCTCCACGGTGCTTGGCTTTCTGCCGGACGATGAACAGGTTTGTGTGCTTTCACCGCATGTGTTTTCTGTATTGATGATTTTCAGCTTATCTCATGGCTTCCGGTGCACGTAGCGGCTCAGACCATCACAAACAATATCGATGTCTCTTCCCCTATCATGCATCTAGTTCATCCAAACCCTGTCCCGTGGGCTATTATCGCTCGCATCATTTCGCGCGAGCTGAATGTGAACCTGGTGTCTTACACGCATTGGCTAGAGGCCTTGGAAAACCTGGCTCTTGAATCGACATCGTTGCCAGCAACACGTCTACTTCCACACTACAGGCGCAGTGCACAGGCGCTCGGATGGAAAAACCGGGAGGCATTCGGGCTACCTCATCTCGTACCGGGTTCATACAAGGGGAAAGATACACCGCCATTTGACGAGGATGAAGTTGGGAACTGGTTACGGTACTGGCGTGGTGAAAACATGTTCTAGCATTGCCATTGGTACCCAGAGAGATGTTCTCGTGCTTTGTATGTCAAATAGAATGATTCTTCTCCCACATCGAAAGTATGACTAGCGAACGTAGGAAAGCCTTATTCCACAAATGTGTCAGAGATGTTTTTAGGTTATGTAGAACAGCTTGAGAAAAGAAGGGTCCTGCACATGAGATGGCGGTACATCTGTCTAGAACTGTAGTCTATCTTTTGGAATCCGGGTTTTGGTTATTGAATTATATCTGTGCACACCGGACATGAGAACATCGACCATCAGATGAGCTGAAAATATCGACGCACTGATACATGATTGATGACTACACTGCATATCAGAAAAGATAGAAGTTCATGGACTCAGATGCGCACACCCGTGGCAATGTATGCATTCTGATCTGATGACATGATCGCAGTCAGCACTACCGATAACTTCGGTGTTGTGTAACAGGGTCTCTGAGGGCAGGCAGGCAGACTCCGAGCTATGGTAGTTCCAGTATTGATGTTCGACATCGGCGCAGTAAAGAAAGACGATGAAGGGGGTTACACGTCTGAAGAATGATGTTTCAGACTCGACTAGCCTTAGTGCAAACACACTTACAACACTAACTCTTATAGAGCGAAAAATCAGAAAGAACGGCATTAGGAAGCGGCCAAATTAGGTCTATGCGGCTCACTGGCCGTAGAAAATGTAGCGAAGTATACGCAGCCTTGGTCAAGAGCGGCTATGAAGGGGAAAATGAGTCCCAGAGTTTACTTAGTAGTCGTACGAACTAGTTCAGTGGATGTTCGATCGCATTCAAGCGGCCGAGCTGAGTGCTAGGTGGTTTCTATTTTCTGGTAGACTGATACCCGTGTCCTTTCCGAGTCTATTTGTGGCCTGCCAATTGTATAGTAGTAGAGTTATAATTATATAATTATCAATAATTCTCACCTTATCTTCAACCTGGTAGTGGGGAGTCAAAACTTGGAAATTCGACCGAAGATGATCACCTATCGTCAGGAAGGAAGTAGGTTTTATTAGTCATCGGGACTGACTTTCCGGTCAAATTTGAGTAACCGGGCCGCTGTACCCGTCAGTCCGAAATCACTGGCTCGCTTCTTACATTCACTACGGCGTGTCGAGCATGGTGATATAGATGTTGCAGCGCCAAATTCTCTCTTCCATTGGCTTATTTTGTTCTCACGTATGTCAAGGTGCATACGGTACTCGAGCAGCTTCTCATCGACTCCTAGGTGTTGGTGTTGGTGTACCTAGGTTCCAGCCCAACTTTAGAAGGTTATGAAAAACTTGGACTATTGATCGAATGTAAGACGTGTTTGAGGCACTTGTGTTTTTCGGATCAAGTTTTTGATGATGGTTTCGCCTGTACTTACGAAAGATTATAGTTCTTCGCTGGACGCCGATCACAGCTTCTTGAACTCCCTCCCTTGTACCCCCTCTACCTGGTGTCGCCTTCTCCTTGATTTTCTTCTTTTATTCATGGAGACGAAGTATAGCAGGGAAAGGCCCACAGTCTTAGAAATCGCCAACGAAGAGAGCGCTTATGCGCTTGGCGCCCGAAAGGCATGGCGTTCTGGTGCCAACCTTCTCCCGTCAGCGGTACATTCGCTCACACGAGCTTCCAGTCGCAGGCTCCGTCTTACTTCAACTAGCAACAATTGGTCCTGTATGTCGTGATGCAGCTTCTGACATTGTTCTGACTTACAAAATACGGTTCGTTCTAGATCGCAGCGTTCGGCGTTTTTCAAGATTTTTACACTGTAACATGGCTTTCACATTACTCGAAATCCGAAATCAGCTGGATAGGATCCACGGGCCTCTTCTTAGAACTGACCTTCGGTGTTATTGGCGGTAAATTGTAACATCACTTTGGCTTTTCAGTGCTATTCTCTGGTCTCTGACTTTGAAGCAGGTATGATATGGGCTATTGCTACACCGTCTTGCTTTCTGGCTCTGTCCTTTGGACGTTCAGGTATTTCGCCATCTTATCGTTGTTCACGCTAGCCAGGGAACTGATTTTGGCTCAGCTTTTTCATGCTGTCGCTCGTACAAGAGCAGCAATACTATCAGGTTTTTAGCGGTTAGATACTTCAAGACTAAATCACTAATGGCGGCGTAGATTTTTCTCGCACAGGGCCTGGGGATGGGACTAGGCGTCTCTCTGATATTTGTGCCGACCATAACATTGGTTTCTCATCATTTCAAGGTAAATAAAGGTTTGGCGATGGTATGGGTTCCGGGTATTTCGAAAGACGACTTCTGATTAGGTTCAAGGGACTTTTGTCGTCTAGTGGACCATTGGGAACCCTCATTTTCACAAGTAGGTTGTTTTTTTTCCACGTCTCCTGACGTCGTCTGAATTAAATGCAACAGTCATGCTCAACCAGTTAATTCATTACGGCCCTGGCTTCCAATGGGCAGTGCGCGCAGCTGCATTTGTGTCGTTAGGATGCTTGATCCTGGGTAACATTCTCATTTCCGTCCCTTCAAGAAGTGCACAGTCTTCAATAGAGCAATCACAACTGCGGAATAGAGCGATGCTGAAAAACAAGCCTTATTTACTCACGCTCCTTTCAGGATTCATCGTACAGCTGGGGACATTTTTCCCTCTGTTTTACATACAGCTTTTCGCCGTAGAACATTCTATCTCAAACACTCTCGCGTTTTACTCTCTGGCCATAATGAACGGAGCTGGAATTATTGGGAGATCACTACCCGGCTATGCCGCTGATCGATGGGGTTCTATCGAAGTATGGTCCATATGTGAAGCTTTGAGCGGTACATTTTGTTCCCTGATTCTTTGCATTGTTACTCATCGGACGATAGGTGCACTCTGTTTCGCCATGCTTGGGAGCGCTAATGTCGTCGGATTAGTGTTGTTTTGCATATTGTAAGTCAAGTTTTCCTATGATTGCTTTCCATATTTATCAGTCATCGTAGATACGGATTTTTCTTTGGTGCAGGTGAACTTTTCATTGCTAACTTCTAGTGCATATCGGATTTCTGACTTTAGCCATGAAGTCATATCGGTGTACATGCCTGTCGTTGCTGCTTTGACTCCCAGAGAGGCCGACATGGGGTGGGTTCCTCTTCCAGCTGCATCTCTGTCCCATTCATTGATCGATTTCTAGAGCATCTCTCGGGATTGCCTCAATACCTATTGGTATCGCTGCCCTCATAGGAAATCCTATTATCGGCGCAATCATGGGCACGCCTTCAGCCTGGTGGAAAGGAGTCACGTTTGCATCGGTACGCCGAATCTTATTAGATGTACTGTATAAGTCCCTCAATTATGGACCAGGTTTGCATGATTGCCAGCGCGGGCATCGCAGTCCTTGCTCGATCGGTATACGTCCGGAGAGATTAATTTACCGCCTGAATTTCGTTCAGTGAATGCGAGTCTTCTGCAATATCCTTGGCAATTTATATGCCGTTTTATAGACTTCAATAGAACATGTCCTAGAACGTTTGGATACTAGCGTGTAGGAACAACACGAAGTCTCAGATAGAAGACACATCAAGGTAGTGCAGTCAGTTATTTTATGCGGCGAGGAAATTCCAGCTTCAACGTCCAGTAAAAACCGGCCGGTCATAAACTGCAAATTGAAAGGTTCATCCATGCTACAAGCCACGGAAAGATTCCCAACAGATCACAGAATTCAGCAAGTAACAGAACGAAGGATGCCATCGACATAGAGCTCTGGATCTGAACGGCTTTGATACACCGTCTCTTTTGCCAACAACGACGGAGGCGTTTTGTTGCGAAGTGGATCCATAGGAATGGTGTGTAGACACCGCGGCGGAAATGGTCCTCAATGCGACCCACAGAAACACCGACAGGCCCTAGTTTGGGCCAAAGAGCGGGTCTATTCTTGTCCTAGTAGGTATCGGCCCGCGCCTCATTGATGCCCTTGATGGTACTTTTCAATGCCAAGTTTTGCGGAAACTTGGCCATAACAGAAATAGATCCTTATTTTTCTGGATAGAATTCGATACTAGCGCTCTCTTGGTTCCAGCATGTGCATTTACGAAAAGTTGTTGCTGTCATGATGCACTTCCAGATATAGACATAGGAAGGACTTGGCAAGGAATATCAGGACGTATCGCCTTGTTCACCTTCCACCAGGATCCCATTTCACCTTTTCTCACTAGAAGTGACGCATTCTAGCTGCTAGGTGTTTAGACGCGTCGAAAACGCTTAAGACAAGCGCATCACCGGACCTGCTGCGCACCCTCGGTAGCCGCCAGAATTTCCAACATGGGGGCAATCAGAATCTTCCTTTCTCTTTTCTTCTTCGCCAGTGCGATTCGTGCCCAAGTTACCGTGTATTCGCAACAACCCTTAAATGCCCAGACCTCCACTTCTTCTGCTGATGCCGCTTCATACACCGGTGCGGCGGCCTACAACCCCACGGTGCTCAACCCACCGCCAATCCCGGACCCACTACCGCCTATGCAGTTCGGGATACAGCTTCAGAACGGCGGCACGAATGGCGTTTCCATCGTTCAATCAGGCTCTTTTGTGGGATTCTCGATAGAAATGTCCGTAGCGAACCAAGCTCGTGAGTATCGACAACTTCGCAGAGTAATGCCGCTCAGACGTCTTTGACAGTCGGGAAAAACTCTAGTTTCATCCAGGTTCCTTTCCTTAACCTTATGGCGAATCTTCAGCAACGCGCAGGCAGGGTGTATGTTCGAGTGGGAGGAAACACGCAGGAAACGGCTGTCTTTGTAGACAATCTACCGGAAGGGAAAATGATTCAAAAAGATAACGAGAACACGACCAATCCCGTGAGTTGACTATGTGTTTGTTCTTACACGCTTTCTAATAAACCTTTGCTAGACTCAAACACCGCCTTTAGACTACACGAGCGACCTCTTTCATCTAATGAGAGGTATATCTGAACTCGTCAATATCCGATGGTTTTTGGGCATCCCGTTCTTCAACATCGATCCATTCCAACTCGCCATCGCTGAACAAAGTCAAGCCATTCTCGGCGACTTCTTAGCCGGCCTCCAGGCTGGCAACGAGCCTGATCTTTATGTACGCCACGGCCACAGGACTGACGTGAGCGCCAACAAAGATACGACTGGTTTAACGCACTAACGGTGTTATTAGCCTTACGGGCCTTCTGATTATGGAAACGAATTCGGCGCTCTCGTTCAGGCTATGAACAACGATGCTAATGCCGCTAATAAGAACCTTCTTATTGGACCCAACATCGCTACCGGAGACTGGTATCCGGAAGATGTTTGGAACACAGGATTTGTTGACACATACAGCGAGAATTTGGCCTATTTGGCCGTAGAACAGTGCGTCCTTTGCTCTCCTGATACTTGTTATTAATACATTTGTATAGCTACCCAACGGACAATTGTTACGCTGTCTATGGATCTGGAACGCCTCGCGATGCCCAAACCATGTTCCCCACTTACTTGAATCACTCATCTGGGCAGTCCATTGTTCAGGCGTACGTCAACTCCGGCAACTACGCCCAGCAGAAGAACAAGAAGTTGCTCATGTTTGAGACGAACACCGCTTCCTGTGGAGGTTTCCCGGGCATCAGTGACTCCTTCGGTGCCGCTTTGTGGGGACTTGATTATTCCATGCAAATGGCATACTCCAACTTCTCGGGTGCTCTGATGCACATTGGTGGGCAGAACGTTTTCTATAACGTAAGTTCTTTCAAGCGATGTCATTCATAGCTCACCCATCACTATTTGGATTAGCCTTTCACTCGTAAGATGATCATTTATCCTGTTTCTTCAAGAGGTGGTCTCACTTTCATCTGCAGCACCTCCGACTAATCAGTCAACCTTCCACCAATGGACGATCGGCCCAATATATTACTCTGCACTGATCATGGCGGAGGCGATGGGCGCGTCAAACGCCTCTCAGATTCTAGATTTGAACGCCAACGATGGAAATATCTTTACCCCCGCCTATGCCATTTACGAGAACGGGAATCCTGTCCGAGTTGCGCTTTTCAACTACATAACGGACCCTTCGGGTGCTAGCACTTATACCGCCTCCATTGCCATTGGAGGTGGTGAGACTGGTCAAGCGAATGGCACTCCTGCCCAGGTCAAAGTGAAGTAAGTCGTGCATTTTTCCCTCCGAGACGCGACTAACATGTTCTAGGTATCTTTCCGCGGATTCCGTGTCACAAAAAGGTAATTTCCGATGGGCTGGGCAGACATTCGGACACATCTTCGAATCAGATGGCCGTCTTATGGGCGAAGAAGACATTCAAACCGTGACTTGCGACCAGAATGCCAACACCTGCCCTATCTCTGTTCCAGCGCCTGGTTTCGCACTTGTCTTCCTCAACGATGAAGCCTTTACGGAGACGGATGGAGCGAGCCCGAAGACGTTCCCCACTACTGCTATGACGAAGACAATCAATACTGCAACAGTCGACCAGGCGGTGTTATCAACGAGTAATGGACACAGTGGCATGAAGGATGTTCTAGGAAGTACTAGCAAGGGATCACAAAACGGTGTTACTGGACTCCGTGCGAGTGGGCTGCTGACTGCCTTTGCGGTCGGGGCTATAATGTTTGTCAGGACCTTGATTAGATGACATGGACGTTTTACCACATAACGACTTCTTGATTGCATGCTGTGGCTATTGGGACATTTCGCTTTTATTTTGCATGCCCTTGAACTATCATTTATCTTAATACTATATTACTCAGAATAATATATTGTACTTATGGCCGGAGGAATGTTATAGGGACACTCTCTTATCGCACAACTTTCCAGCATTCTTCTCGCTTGACGCCTGCTCTGCGTACCACCTGTAATTTTTTGGTGGTCCGTGCAAAGGTCCGTGGCGACCACTGTAGGGACTCATTGACTGGAGAATATACTCACGCTATCTGAGACTCTTCATTGGTTTTTCGATTGCTTGACTATTTGGCTGCAACCATCACAACCTTACGATCTAACGATTTTTGATTCCACCCTTGGGAGTTAATCAAGTCAAAAATCTGTACTCCTTGACACATCCTCTCACTCCGCCTGAAGCTTCAGATATCCCTGTATCTGATCTTGTACACCCTCGAAACAATCTGAACCCAGCAACAACGACTTGGGGAACTCCTTCCTTTGCCCAAGTCCCTCCCCCCGAACAACATCCAGCATTACCTGTACACACTTCTTCGGATCTCCTGGTTGTTTGCCATTATACGCTAGATGACCATCATCAGACATACAAAACAACTACTCTTTCGACACATACCCTGCAGAGCACTCTCAACCTTCTCCGTGATCTCTTTATAGTCCTCGATCTTGGAAACGTATGGCTTCCGATGGTCTGCCGTTAGGAAAGAGGTACGAGTATATCCAAAGTCAATACAAATGCTTCGAAGACCCAAGGGGGAAACTTCGACATGAAGTGTTTCTGATATTCCGCGGAGAGCCCATTTGGTGGTGGCGTAGAGTCCGGCGTTAGGTACAGCTCTAAGTTGGTATGGGTAAAAGTAGAAAATGGAAGACGAAGATGAGCCTCACCGCCAACCGCCGATGGACCCTAACCAGACGAAGGTACCCGTGCGTCGGGCGCGCATGTAGGGGAGGAATGCCCGAGTCACATTCAAGGCGCCAAATACATTCGTGCTGCGAGGATAAAGTTGGCAAGATGAAGCGATACGGTCGCGTTTGGTGCTCACTTGAACTGATCAAAGGTTTCTTCAGGTCTAAATGGGTGTTCATCAATGAAGACAGAAGGAACAGAAGCTGTAAGCCATACGTGCTCTCCTCCAGCCCCCAACGAGAATATACCCAGCATTATTCACCAACACGTCGAATCGGTCATATATTCCTACCGCTTTCTCTGCGATCTTCATCAGATCATCAAGAGGTGCAGTGACGTCGAGCTCGAGTGTCTCTGTACCTTTCTCCTTGAGATCTCCAAGGAGGTGCAAAGATCAGTGCACGAGCTGTAGCGATAACTTTCTCGCCTCGCTCGAGTGCAGCAAGAGCCAAGTCTCTGCCGAGCCCAGTTCTATAAAACCAGAAAGTCAAATTCAGCATAATGATTCTTTGGTTATCATGAAATGCATACGAAGTTCCAGTGATGAGCCAGACAAGTTGGGAAGTGGACATGATTTCGTGTGAATGTCGTCGGTCAGACTAGGACACTTTTATATTGCTACTCTGACCATCTCTTGGCATTGTCAAGCATCCGCGTCAAGTGGGCCCAAAGTGTACGCGTCAGCGGTGTGGAAGTCGGCTGCTGAATGATTGGTGGGAGGATATGCTAGGATGTGATGCGGCAACACAATGAGCCAAGCACAATCCCGGATGCTCGGCGAGGTACCATTTCGTTAGGTTCGGTCCCGTAGCAGTTTGTCATCTTACTATTGGTTCAGGTCCCAGTCTGACAAGTAGATAGCTCTGTAGTACGGACGTCGTTAGGTTTCTGTTAAGACGACTAATAAAATCAACCTTCTTCCTTCCTTCCTTCCTCATTGCCATGCCTCATGGGCTCAATTGGGGTCTAGGATATTCAATATTCTCCTTTATTTAAATGCATTGCTCGATGTCGACGTGATCAGGGCACCATTTGTCGGATTGGTGATTCAACAACGCTCCCTCCGTACTACACAGATACAACACTTACAAGCAGGCGGGACAAATACTTGCTACATATCTGTTTCCGCACCTGTTAGAACCGGACTTTATTAAAAGGAAAAAATGATTTCGCTAGTTAAACATCTTCGCCTCGCGCCAGTACTGTACCCAGTTCCTGACCTCATTCTCATCCAATACTGGAATTCTCGCTTCCTGAACCGAAGTCATAGACAACCGAGGTAACCCGAACGCCTCTCGATTCCTTAATCCCATATTTTTCGCACTGTGCTTGTAGTGCGGAAGTATACGCTTCGCCGGCAATTTCGTCGCGTCCAAGGCAGAGTGTTCCTAACGCCTGTAGCCAGTGTGTATATGACACGAGTCTGACGTTCAACTTCGTCCGAGATGATGCGAGCTAAAGTGGACCATATAACCGGTTTCGGATGAACGAGATGCATGATCGAAGTTGGAATGTCGATGCAGTCGACAAGGAGCTGTGCAGCCATGTGCACCGGCAGCCATGAGATGAACTGTAAATACTCAGCAAAAGGCAGATTATAGGATAAAATCATACGAACCTTGTCATCATCTGGCAGACAGCCAAGCACCGTGGAACTCTGGATCATGGATGGAACCCATTCCTTAATTTTCCATGTGCCCCTTCGGTCCTCCCGTGAGCTGGCCAACACGAACGATGAGGTAGCGTAAACTCGGTGCCAAGCGCAGTAGTTCCTCCGAAACCCACTTGGACTCGCCATATCCTGTTCCTTGTGCGACCGTGGCGTTGATGGGTGCTTCAGCAAGAGGATGATCCGCTGGGGCATCTGACAGTAAAAAATGTCAGTCTATGTATCTGCAAGGCACGGCGATACTTACTCTGGAATACTCCAATAGAGCTCGTGTAGATAAGCCGCGCTTGCGAAACTAAGGCTAAATCAATCAAATTGCGTAGTCCTCGGATATTGGACTCAAATGAAGACAATCCTAGGTTGAAATCCACACGCCATGCTGGAATAAAGTTAGAGCATATAAAGAAAAAAGGCACATTCTGTTCGTACCATTGTGAATGATATGTGTCGGAGGATGCATAATCTGCATTAAAATGATGAATGTCTTGAGCATTTCCTAGTGATCTGTACTTGCCTGGTCAAGAACTCGAGTTTCAACCGACAGGTCAGCTTCAAGCATGGTGACCTTCTCCATGCTAACGTTTAGTCCATGGTCGGCAAATGTTTGCTCCTGTCGCTTTATCACAGGCACTGCTCCCGGCCTATTCACCGCGTATATGTGCTTGACCGTTTCGTCCAAGACAAGATTCACTAAGATGTGGCACCCGAGGCCCCCGGTGGTACCCGTTACGAGCACAATTTTGTCTATCTCCAGCCAGGACTGGTTCTCAGGTACGGTGGGAAAGTTCTTTGAATACTTTTGTACCATCTCATGCATCGCATCCAGCCCGGAAGCTGTACCGACACCAAGAATGTGCGTTCCTTGAACAACCGAAACCAGGAACTTTGCCAGTCGAGTAATACTCGGATTAGAGTACACGAAGTCGTCCGAGATTTGGTGGGTATCGTAATCGGCTGAGTCTCGTAGCGCCTGAAAGAGGATATTTCGAATCCGTGTGGCTTGTAAACTGAGAGATACAGCCGGTAAGCTTTCCAGTAAAAATGCCATTAGTATTGCAGTATTTCACCTATCGCATCCGTATTGGAAAAGGTCTTCGTTGTCGGGGATCGGACTGGGGAAGAGTTTGCAAGACAACATTGCGAACGAATTCCTGGGTAGATGTGTCGTCCCATTCCAAAGGCGGGAGTATACCAGTTTGTGCGCTGTCATCCACGGTCTCATACAGGGCCGTGATTCTCTGCGCTGTAGTCACGCAAAACGGCGTGACGTCTGGAAGCCGTCATCTAGTAGTCCTTGCCTGAATTCAAAATGTCGTACCTCACTGTGTTCTTAGCTGTATAGGTAAAGGGTTGACCCGGCTTCGTGACAATAATCATCTTTGGATAAAATTGAGTAGACGTTAACCATTTTACTAGATGAAAAGAACTACTTCTTTGAATAAACGTGAATGTTGTGGTGCGAATTGATTCATCTTCTTGACTGTAAGCCTGTTCAGGATCAGCGACTATAGGTAAGCAAACGAGAGCAGTAGTACCAAATCATGTTCCTGAATTCAGCGAGCTTGTTCTCATCCACAGGATCGAAGGAAAATTGGGACGCTGGTTCAACGAGTATCCCAACTGATATTTCCCGCGCCCGAACATGACAGCTGCTGAGACATGCGGATCCTGATTGAGCATATTCTCTGAAAATACGAAGTCAGGAGTTATATACGAGGAAAATAATGGGAAAGGACATACCCAAAGGTCCTGGGTTCGTCTGTGAAGCATAGACAAATTTCAGCTGTGAAATACGGAATAACACGCAGAGGAGTAAACCTTCTCTCCTGTATTGTGTACGATTTGATCAGTCTATACGCCCAATGATTTTCCAGTAACCAGGTTTCGTCGGGTGTGGAGTGAAGAGATCTGATGTCGCAAAACCGTCAACACCATCAACGGTCGTGTTGATGACGGAGGGCTCGCTAAATTCATTTTTCTGTCGAAGAATAGATCAATGATAACTCTAAGTAATCAGTTAGAGATGAAGTGTACCGCTGCAACAAACTCAAATAAATCGGGACCATGTACCACCATCTTCGGTGTTGCAAACTTCGTGAACTCGAAGTAATCCCAGCAGTCACTAGCACTCGCTGGAGCGACGCGTCAGTCTGTGCCATTGATCCTGGCATGCTCTCACGTACCGGGCAAGACCGGGGTTACAACACCACATTCAGTTCTTGGATTAATATCAGTTCGGTATTGAATTTTCCAAGACACTTGGACTTACGACCCGTAAACAACAAAAATGGGAACACCATCTAGATGCCAGGTGGTCTCCTGCTTCCCTGTTTAATGACCCCCCGCCGTAAATCTATACATGTACGAGGTCATCAGAGATTCCTGTACACGGCTGATCGAGCGTACCACGCCCGAACGTGTAGATAGCCAATCAATGTACTCCGGTTCACGAGATAGTGTCTGGAATAATAGTCATAATAAGATGGGTAGCGTTCAACCGACATACGAACTTCCAAAAAGATGGGAACACAAAATACGATGTCGCTGTTCATCGTCATGGCCGACGCAAACATGCTATCGAGTGTTGGAGATGTGGCCGGTGTTCTGGGTTCAAAGACACCTAACACTATTCCCGATGATGCCTAGACCAGCCGGCGATGAGCAGGATACTTGTACAGATGAAGTTGAAGCTGACGTACCGCCCAAAGAACTGCCCCGAGGCCCATAATATGGTATATTGGTAAGCCATGCACAGCGAAGACGAGGTCGCACAAGTCTCTTCCACCGAACCATGGAACCAAGGCATGCTCAATGATACGACGGAAAGTCAAGGGAATTGGCTTTGGATATGCCGTTGAACCTATCAAGCAAGTCAAAGGCAAACATAAGTGAATTGTATAAACGAAGTAAAGCACAGCTACCAGAGGAATGCAAATACAGGCAGGCGGCACCGGGATCCACACTCAAAAGAGGAAGATCATCAGCATTTGTACGCGTCTCCCAATCCGCCAGAAAGAGGTCCTCGAAAATTGGGATAGGAGATAGCTGCGGTAGGTCGACAGAGGGATATCGAGACTTCAAGATGTCGAGTGCTTCATGAGAGACGACTTGCATGGACTCATCTCTACCGACAAGTACATGTTCCACCCTCACCTCGTAAAGAAGGTGTGCAACAGCAGGTGCCGAATTACGCGGGGAAATCGGAAATACAACGCAGTTGGCACGCTGAAGACCCATGACCGTAGTCGCGTAAGTAATGGTATCTGAGGCGACAGATCAGTGCCCTGATTATAGACGTAGGTCCCATGTCACTAACCTGACATTGACAAGACAGCAACCACGGGGGCCTTGTCCTTGAGAGGGATGCGATTATTCATTAAACGAGCACAAGTATACGCGGCTGCGACTGCCTCGGCCCAGGAAATGTTCCTTAAGCTTCCGTCCTCGCGCGCATACACAAAAACGCGGTGGTTTGGAGAATGCTTGGAGATGCCAATCGAACATTTGCTGCACGGTCAGGGATCCATCGATTGGAGGCGGGAGGAAAGTTCCTGCTCTGTTGACCTTGCTTCTGGGGCGGAGGTGGGATTACTCGATGCTCTGAGAAAGACATTGGAACGCAGGATAAGATCAATACCTCCCTCTCAGCTCCTTACATATGAATGCAGCCTGCTCATCAAGCCGAGAATGAACAGATATGGATTGGTCAATTGGAACTCAGTTTCATGGTGGTTCGGATCTCAAGCTGGGGCTGGAAGAATGAAACGTGTCACATCGTCAGGACCGATCTATTATTTCCACTGTATACATCGTTTCTCGAGGTGCGGGGTCGCTATGAATCTATACGTAGACCCATAGCCGGTGATCCGATCGTTTTGAAGACATACAGGTCAGTCTAGTATACACCTGACAGAGCGTAGGTGAGAAGTCAACAGCAAAAGAGGTAATTGGATCCTTGTATTGGGAAGGCAGTAAGTATCTGTGTTTCGGTAGTTATTAGATTGTCAGCAAAATGAAAGGATTCACCGTCTATACTATGCGAAACCACCTTGTACGATGTGGTGGCAGGTTGTTTAGCAGTATCATGAGGCCGTAAATCACACATGGACGTTGCGATATCTGCCCATTTCTGTGCTTACGTAGGGGTAAGGTCGTATTGATGATGAAGGCTTCACAACTTACGTTCAATCATGCCAGGGGCGGTGATGTTTGAGGATATCAAGGACGTAGATATTGATTATGAGTGCAAAGGATGAGATTTGGGATTAATAGAGGCAGTGGAGTGGAGCAGGGCATACAAATGAGGCACCCTCAAAGAATGGTTCTGGTCTTGAAGGCTTGATTGCATGGACTCGGAAGCGCATCGCACCGTCGGACCGTTATGTCGTTTCCACAATAAGTATCGTCCTCGATCCAGGCCGCAATATCTATATGCCTAACATAGACGCATAGGGATTCTGGGGAAAAGTCAATGAAAAAGAGATGATTAGGTCCTTGCATCAGACAGGCAACGTGTTTTGGTAGTACCATTATTATTGGATTTGAGTGGAAAACATTCTTCGTTTCTGCCATACCAAGCCAGCTTCTGATTCGACGTGATCCACCATAGGCTTCATTGGCTGCTGAATCTGCGGATGGTTCAAAGTACAAAAGGCATTCAAACCTAATATCTCGTGCGCCGCTGCAGCTTAGTATCGTCATCGAAGAACATTTAAGGGATCCTGTGGCATCCGTGTGGCAGGTCATCGTAGGCAGAGTGGGCGACGGGAGAAGAGGTCCACGTGGCCCCGAGCGGATGTAGTAAGCGCGACCCTATGCTTTTGTCCATATTCGACCTCACATCGCTGCCCCACACCGTATGACACTCAATCTTATAGAAATAAAGTTTTACTGCGGAAGGAGGCATTGTTCATGCTTTATTTGAAAAGCAGGCATCGAACATCCTGTGCCATCCGTCGGTAGGGAGGGGATATTGTTTCTGGTTTCATGTCCCTGCCGGGAAGGAGGCTAATCAGGGTACATACTACATGTACTTGTGCTTTTCACTAGTTAAGCATCTTCGTCCCGCGCCAGTACTGCACCCAATTCCTGACCTCATTCTCATCCAGTTCCGGAATTCTCGCGTCCTGAACCGAAGTCGTAGACAACTGAGGTAACCCGAACGCCTCTCGATTCCTTAATCCTATATTTTTTGCGCTGTTCTTGTAGTGCGGAAGCATACGCTTCGCCGGCAATGTTGTCATGTCAAAGGCAGAATGTTCCAACACCTGTAACCAATGTTTACAAGACACAAGTTTGACATTCAACTCGTCTGAGAGGATGCGAGCTAAAGTGGACCACGTAACAGGCTTCGGATGAACGAGATGCAAGATCGAAGTCGGAATGTCGATGCGGTCGACAAGGAGCTGTGCGGCTACGTGCACCGGCAGCCATGAGATGAACTGTAAATACTCAGCAAGAGGCAGATTGTAGGATAAAATCATACGAACCTTGTCATCAACCGGCAGACAGCCAAGCACTGTGGAGCCCTGGATCATGGACGGAACCCATTCGTTGATTTTCCACGTCCCCTTAGGTCCTCCCGTGAGCTGGCCAACACGAACGATGAGGTAGCGTAAACTCGGTGTCAAGCGCAGTTCCTCCGAAACCCACTTGGACTCGCCATATCCTGTTCCTTGTGCGACTGTGGCGCTGACAGGTACTTCAGCAAGAGGATGGTCTTCTGGGGCATCTGGCAGTAATAAGCGATATGACAGTCTATGTACCTGTAAGGCACAACGATACTTACTTTGGAATACTCCAATAGAGCTCGTGTAGATAAGTCGGGCTGGCGTAACTAAGGCTAAATCAATCAGCTTGCGTAGCCCTCGGATATTGGACTCGAATGAAGACAAGTTCAGGTTGAAATTCACAGGCCATGCTGGAAAAGTGTCAAAGGGTTATAGAGGAACGCCCAACTCTGTTCGTACCATTGTGAATGATATGTGTCAGAGGATGTATGATCTGTATAAAATGATGAATGTCTTGAACATTTCCAGGCGATCTGTACTTGCCTGATCAAGAACACGAGTTTCAACCGACAGGTCAGCTTCAAGCATGGTGACCTTCTCCATGTTAACATCCAGCCCATGGTCGGCAAACGTTTGCTCCTGTCGCTTCATCACAGGCACCGCTCCCGGCCTATTCACCGCGTATATGTGCTTGACCGTTTCGTCCAAGACAAGATTCGCTAAGATATGGCACCCGAGGTCCCCGGTGGTACCCGTTACGAGCACAATCTTGCCTACCTCCGGCGTAGGTGCGTGGTACTGGCCCGCGGATATGGTCGGAAAGTTCGTTGAATACTTCTGCACCATCTTATGCATAGCATCCACCCTGGATGCTGCACCACCACTGGGAATTAGCGCTCCTTGAACAACCGAAACTAGGTACTTCGCCAGTTGAGTAGTACTCGGATTAGAGTATATGAAGTCGTCCGAGATTTGGCGGGTATCGATATTGGCTGAATCTCGCAGGGCTTGAAAGAGGATGTTTCGAATCCGCGTGGCCTGTAAACTGAGAGACACCGGTAAGCTAACCAGTAAAATGCCATTAGTATTGCAGTATTCCACCTATCGCATCCGTATTGGAAAAGGCCTTCATTGTCGGGGATCGGATGGGGAAGAGTTTGCAAGACAACTTTACGAACGAATTCCAGGGTAGATGTGTCGTCCCATTCCAAAGGCAGGAAGATACCAGCTTGTGCGCTGTCTTCCACAGTCTCATACAAGGTCGCGATTTCTGTGCTATAGTCGTTCAAAATGGCTTGACGTCTGGAGGCCATCATCTAGTAGTCCTTGCCTGAATTCAAAATGTCGTACCTCACAGTGTTCTTCGCTGTATACATAAAAGGTCGACCCGGCTTCGTCACGATTATCATCTATGAAGGAAGCGTAATGAACATTACTCATTTTACTAGGTGACAGACATTACTTCTTTGAATAAACGCGAATGTTGGGGTGCGAATTGGTTAACCTTGATAACCGTAGGCCTGTTCAGGGATGAGATCAATGATTGTATCGGTAACCAAAACGCACAACATCGTACCAAATCAGATTCCTGAATTCAGCGAGCTTGTTCTCATCCACAGGATCGAAGGAAAATTGGGGCGCTGGTTCAACGAGTATCCCAACTTGATATTTCCCGCGCCCGAACATGATAGCTGCTGAGACATGCGGATCCTGATTGAGAATATTCTCTGAAAACAATGAATCAGCAGTTGTATTTTGGGGAGGTAATGGGAAGGGACATACCCAAAGGTCCTGGGTTCGTCCGGGAAGCACAGATAAGTTTCAGCTGTGAAATATGGAGGAACACGCGGGGGAGTAAACCTTCTCTCCTGTATTGTGTACGATTTGATCGTCTATTCGCCCAATGATTTTCCAGTAACCAGGTTTCGTGGGGTGTGGGGTGAAGAGATCTGATGTCGCAAAGCCGTCAACGCCATCAACGGTCGTGTTGATGATGGAGGGCTCGCTAAATTCATTTTTCTATCGAAGAATAGATCAATGATAACTCTAAGTAATCAGTCAAAGATGAAGAGTACCGCTGCAACAAATTCAAACAAATCGGGACCATGTGCCACCATCTTCTGCGTTGCAAGCTTCGTGAACTCGAAGTAATCCCAGCAGTCACTAGCATTCGCTGGAGCGACGCATCAGTCTGTGCTGCTCCTGGTGTGATCTCACGTACTGGGCAAGATGGGGGTCACGATACCACATTCAGTTCTTTGAATGACTTCGTCAGCTCGTTATATAATTATCAGAAGAATCTGAACTCACGTCCCGTAAAGAACAAAGACAGGAACACCTCTAGATGTTAAGAGGTCCCCTGCTTCCTTGCTCAATGGTCCCCCGCTATAAATCTATGCATGTACGAGGTCATCAGAGACTCCCGTACAAGACCGATCGAACCTACCACACCAGAACGTGTAGACAACCAATCGATATACTCTGGTTCGCGAGATAAGGCCTGGAAGAATAGACTCATTACGAGATAGGCGGCATTCAACTAACGTACGAACTTCTATGAAGGACGGAACGCAAAATACGAAGTCGCTGTTCATTGCCATGGCCGACGCAAACATGTTATCCAGTGTTGGAGATATGACCGGCATTCTGGGTTCAAATACACTTAACACTATTCCCGATGATGCCTAAACCACCAGCGATGAGCAGGATACTTGGGCAGATGAAGTTGAAGCTGACGTACCGCCCAAAGAACTGCCCCGAGGCCCAAAGCATGATACATGGGTAGACTCTGCACAGCAAAGACGACGTCACACAAGTCTCTTCCACCGAACCATGGGACTAAGGCGTGCTCGATTATGCGATGACAGGTCCAGGGAATTGGCTTCGGATATGCTGTTGAGCCTATTCGGCGAATATAAGTTAATTGTATCAAGTGAGTGGAAACATATCTACCGGAGGAATGCAAGTACATGCAGGCAGCACCGGGATCTACACTCAAAAGAGGAAGATCATCAGCATTTGTACGCGTCTCCCAATCCGCCAGAAAGAGGTCCTCGAAAATTGGGATAGGAGATAGCTGCGGCAGGTCGACAGAGGGATATCGAGACTTCAAGATGTCGAGTGCTTCATGAGAGAGGACTTGCATGGACTCATCTCTACCGACAAGTACATGTTCCACCCTCACCTCGTAAAGAAGGTGTGCAACAGCAAGTGCCGAATTACGCGGAGAAATAGGAAAAACAACGTAGTTGGTACGCTGAAGTCCCATAACCGTAGTAGCGTAAGTAATGGTATCTGAGGTGGCAGGTCAGTGCTCTGATCATAGACGTAGGCCTCATGTCACTAACCCGACATTGACAAGATGGCGACCACGGGGGGATTGTCCTTGAGAGGGATGCGATTATTCATTAAACGAGCACAAGTATACGCGGCTGCGACTGCCTCGGCCCAGGAAATGTTCCTTAAGCTTCCGTCCTCGCGCGCATACACAAAAACGCGGTGGTTTGGAGAATGTTGGAGATGCCAATCGAACATTTGCTGCACGATCAGGGATCCATCGATTGGAGGTGGGAGGAAAGTTCTGCTCTGTTGACCTTGCTTCTGGGGCGGAGGTGGGATTACTCGATGCTCTGAGAAGGACATTGGAGGACAGGATACTAGAGCAACAACCATAATTCTTATAAACAGATGCGTCCGGCTCACCGAGCCGAAAACGAGCAGTTATTTGTGCTTCAAACGCGTTAGAAGCCATTCGGTCTAAAGAACTGCTGAAGGACTAGTAGACGAGAGCATATGAAATTGAGAGACGAAGTGTATCACATCGTCAGATCTGAGACTGATATATCATTTCCACGTCCGATTTTAAGCGTATAAATGGAATACTAATTGAAAAGGAGGGTGTTAGGCCTTGCATTGTGCGAGAAAAATCCGTTTCGGTCGCACCTTATTATCCATCGAGGCTAGCCTGTCAGTGAAACGAATGCACCATACTTCGCTCTTCGATGTGATCCGAGGCTTCATCTGCTTCTGCTGTATCCTACTGAAGGCGGTTAGAACTTAGGGCAAAAAGGCGTGCATCGAGCCTAGTAAGTATCAAACAAGGAACGTTTCAGGGGATCCTTTTGACATTTGCGTGGTAGGCCGTCGCATGGTGCGATGGCAGGGTGGTTGACTGATGGAGACGAGAGTAAATGCTTTGGAAGAAATGGTGTTGGTGTTTCCGATTGAGCGCCGCCGGCAAGATCGGCCCGATTTGCCATTACTGCCGAGTTGGTTTTGTATACTTCGTTGATCATTCAGATGTTCGCTTTGCTCCTTAGACCTAGACTGGTAAGCGAGAATGAAGTATGGGGATCGACAGACTAGGCAATCCAGTTACTATCTCGCATCCTTGGTGTTAGCCTGTGTACGTCCCTTGCTCCTTTGCAGAGGTTGCTGAACATGCAGCACGTAGTACAGGCAGCATGGTTCATAGCCCTCGTCCCACAGGCGCTCCTAACATCATCTGGTATGCCTTCTGCGTGCTTTTAAGGAGGACGTTGTTGTGACACAATATTCCAAGTTGGACACGAAGCAGTCGGTGTATTATGGTTTGCTACGATTATCCAGTTTTTTGTCACTGTTGGCGTCGCGCGCACGTTCTACACCGGAGGAATGTGCCCTCATCGACACCAAATAGCCATCTTCGCGTCCATAGCCGTGGTTTTCGGAGTCATTGGGGTGGATAGGACAGTATACTCGAATGATCAACGCCAACGAGCCATGGCAGCAGGTTGGATCATCCTGTCTATCATAGACATTCTTTGGGTCCTCCATTTTTCTAGAGATACTGGGACATCCGGGGACCTATCTCGAGCCCTTCCAGAAGCGGAGCCGTTGTCTATGAGACCCTCTTCCAGCTCAAGTCAACAGTATACTACATCCAATCAGTCAAACCCACCTGGCGACGCCATGGTCGGAAAGCACACGAATCCGCTTTCTCCATTACCGAGTACGACTACCTCTACGGACAATTCCCTAGTTAATGATCATGATGATGATAGCCGAGGAGCACCAGACTTCTAGTCGAACACCGGACGCGGCTTCTAACGTTAACAACTCTGCTGGCAATAGTCGAGACCCAAGCGATGTCGCTACACCTTTCCAACCTACGGTGCGTGCAGCTGATGCCAAACAGCGAACTAACACCAAACACAATGCATCACTCAGCGCCCACATGCACCAACAAATGCCAGCGATCTCACATCATTGTTGACTGTCACGGAGAGCTTTACTAGCGGTACCACCACATCTCCAAGCATTGTCCCGGAGTATTCAGTCCGCGCCCAAGCGCTTTGGACGTGTATGTGGCCAGTCGTTCCCTGTTCATAGACTGAGAAATAGGTTTCACAGATCAAGCATCACCGGCTGATGCTGAAGAACTTAGCTTCACCGCTAACGAGATTCTTTACGTTTCAAGGACACCTAAAGGAAAGTGGTGGGAAGCAAGAAAGATGGACGGATCCAGGGGCAGTACGTTCACTTTCTCGACCCTCAATAACTCCATTCTCATTAATCAATTTGTTTCATTAGTCGTGCCTTCCAATTATCTACACCTCTTGCCATCATGAATTTACACAATTGTGTAGGATGTGTAGGATATCTATTTAAGAGCGGGGGTGTCGAAAGACCCGCTGTAAGTGCACGAGGCACTGCGCTCGACCTATAGTGTTGTATTGATAGCGTCTACAAGTTTCTCGTGACATGAACGAATCCTTGTTTGGTTTATGCCTTTAATAACCCGGGTTTTCATCAGCCTCATGTCAGGTCCACAGAAGAAAACGCTGTACATTAAGCGCCTGCACACTAATTCTATCGGTCATCCATTGCACGGCCTCTAGATGCCTCGAATGACTCAAAATCCACTGCGCTTCCATCCCCAACACCCCATCTGAACTTCGATGGACTCCACTCGTCGACTGCGACCAATTAAGCGAAGGCCCGACCTCCACTCTGCTTTTTCCCAGGATTCCGGAATCCGCCAGCAACAATCAGATTGCAACGAATCGACGAGTAACACCAGACCTTCTATCGATTCGGTCACCGTGGTCAACAAGGAAAATTCTTTTTTTCCTCGGGCGCCGAATCAACTTAATGAAGCACGGCAGAGCGTTCGTACACCTACGAAGACGTATCTCCTCCCAGTAGCAGTGGATCCTGATGAAGAGAAGAGGAAGGAGAGGAAACGATACAGACAGGCAAGGAAGGAGAAGCTGAGCAAACCGCTTCCCCCTACGCCGGTGTCAGCATTTGAGAACGAGCAGGTGCCATCAACTCTATCAGACACATTGCATTCTTGTGCGTTCCTAGCCTAATGAAGTCACGTATGGTACTCATGTTTGTGCAGATCTACCGGCAAAGGAAAGTCTGTTTATTTTGGTAATGAAGGATCTTTGATGGATTTTCCACATACAGGTGTATCAGGTAGGTTACTTGCTATTTGCAGCTATTCCCCATTAAACATTCTGCCATTCCAGCATCTATCCCATTTGGCGGAACAGCAGTTTGCTAAGAAAGGGGACACAACGAGGTACTTCCTTTCTGTATCTGTCACACCTGGCTCTCAATCTGTTTCCACGAGATATGAAGAATTACGACGATCCTTCGATCAAGTTCGTACCACCACGGCCGCTGATGCTGTTGTGAAAGGCCATGTATATCGTCATAGCTTGGAAGAGGTAGTATGCGATCTTTCACTCGGACCTCTTGCTGATGCTATTTGGATGACTTAGTTGCTATCTGGACTCGAAGGGTTCGACCCGCTGAAAGTTCATAATGCCATTTTAAATGACTACTCACAGATCGTCGAGTTGTTAAAGGTCATCATCAGATCTCCAAGAGAGAAAGGCGCAATGCTTCGTCTCGGAGACGACGAGCCGGAAAGGTTCATGGACGTAGTTCAAGAGGTTCGTTCATCTCCAGAATAATGATACGGATGAATTGATCATGGTGTAGATCTTGGACGATCAAGCGCAAAGTGAACAATTCAATGCCGATGCACGTATGCTTTTAGGCATCATGGTTAAAGCCATCTCTCGGCTTCCCGAGTCTATGTTTATATCCGGTGTTGGTGTTGTACGAGATAAAAATACGCTAGGAGGAACCTTCGGTGATATCTACCGGAGCACCTACGAAGGTAAACCTGTGGCCTTGAAGCGACTGCGTATTTTCCGGAACTGCGAAAGAGCGAAAATATATCGGGTATGTGTCGTTACAGCTCTATGTCATTGAAATCAGTTTCTAAAACAGAATTTTAGAAATTTTGTAAAGAAGCACTGGTTTGGCAACAGCTTTCGTTCAAATATGTGCTTCCCTTCCTTGGCATCGACGCGGAAAACTTCCCGAGGCAACCGTGCATGGTATCGCCTTGGATGTCGAACGGGACGGCCCCACAGTTTCTCAAGCAGAATCCCAACGCTAATATCGATAAGTTGGTAGGCGTTTGACCTATCATTCTTTCTATTCTTTTCGTTGATCTGGCCTGTTGAACAGCTCTTTGAGATCGCCCAAGGTATCGAATACCTTCACTCTCAGTCAGTCGTTCATGGAGATATCAAGGGCGTAAGTGTTGCGATTGAGCGTCCTACCTATCACTGATTGCACTTGAAGGGCAATATACTAATCGATGAACATTGGCATCCTAGGCTCGCCGATTTTGGACTGACAGTTTTCGCTGACGCTACGAGACAATTCACAACCGATCAAGGAGGTACTCTGCGCTGGATGGCTCCAGAATTGTTGCTCCCCTCAGGAAACTTCAAACGAACGTTTTCCAGCGACGTTTATGCATACGGCTGCGTTTGCGTAGAGGTGTGACTTAATCTCTTAGTACGGAATTCTGCTAAACGATGTGCAGCTTTACTCGGGCCGGGTTCCCTTTCCTGATGTTAAACATGAAGTCCGCATCATAGAAATGGTCCTGAGTGGAGAGCTCCCACCTCGACCAGCTTCCATGAAAGAGGATCTGTGGCAGCTCGTTTGTGTCTGCTGTGAGAATGGGGCTGACACGCGGCCCGGGGCATCAGAGATCGTTGAAATGCTCAGAACATTCTTGCGGGAATCAGCGACAGAGCCAGGCCTCATGAAAGGGTACATCCTTTCTAAGCTGAAGTCAAGCTCTTCGTCTCTGACACGGGAAAAGTTCACGTTTAACCTCGCTGGGCCGTCTTCGGATGGCAGCAGCAGTCCGGGAGGGATGAAGCCATTACCGCTTCGTTCTGGGACGCTGCTTAGCCAGGCTATCGAAGAAGATGCTACCCATCGAGAACTATCATCGATGACTGAGCTATTCAAAGAAGAGGACGACTACAGACTGCGGCTGCTGCAGATACGGGTACACGCTGATCCGATGCGGTCATATCATAAACTCGTCCGGGTTGAGCGAGGGTAAGTACTTTTTTGTCTAAAATTTGAGCATGCTAACCTTTCCTATTTCAGTTTTTCTGTTGGAGTTTACCGTGCTTCAGCTCAGTCGGTAAAAAACGAAGTAACCATCAAACGTATCGAGGTCGAGAAGCAAAAGAGAGCGAACGTCATTCAGCTCATAGACGAATTCATCGGGATGCGATGGCTACACCATCCCAACATCATAAATTATATGGATGTTTTTCGCTATGAGAACGAACTTTGGGTGGTTACAGAGGGGATATCAGACACGATAACGCTTCAAAAGGTCGTAATAACTAACGCTAGCATGTCGATGGCAAAAAGGGAATCTTTCATTGCTACTATCCTTCCTCATCTTGCACAGGCTTTGGATTACCTTCACCGGCATGGCATAAGCCATAGAGGTATCGATATGGAGAACATACTCTTCAGCAAAATGGGGCATGTACGATTGAGTGTGTATTACATTATCGTCTCTATGTGCTTTCACTAATATTTGACCACAGAACTTTGTGCGATGATACCTGATCCCCATAGTTTGCAAAGCAGTCGTCCGTCACCTCCAGAAGTAACTGCTGGCCAGCCCTATGGCTTCAAGTCGGACATCTGGAATCTAGGAGCGCTTATAATTGGTACGCATTTCTGTTTTCTGTTTTAATAATTTGGATTGACCATCCTGTGGTAGAGGCCCTTGATACAGAGAGGAAGATACAAATGCAGCAATTAGAGACTCTTCTCCTGGCATTTCGTTCCGATTTACATCCTTCCACAGCGATTGCAGAATCGGTTGAGAGAATGTTGTATGAGGATCCGGGAAAGCGTCCTTCCGCAGCAGAATTACTGAAATCTTGCCCAAGTCTTACGCGACGAGCCCGTACTTGCATGTATTGATATTGATATAACCAATGTAAATACCTTTTTCAGGCTACTACTTGCATCCGCGTCACCCTTAGTTCGCGCCGCTCTCTACATTGCTCATTAATATTCCGAGCGCTTCTGAGTCGAGACCGGAGTGACACGTACGTGGTTTCAGGATCATTACATATTAACGTGGCACTTATGCCTCCCTTCTTCAGTACCACCATCTATCCAGATCTCTGTAAGACTAATATTTATCGGTTTCCCTCCCTCTGATGCTAATGTTCTGCTTTAGATGTCCCTTCAAACATTTCCTCAAGAATTGATCAACAGCATCGTGAACGAAATATATGACGACCACGATGCTTTGTATGCTTGCACTTTGGTCAACCACGCATTTCTCTCCGCTGCACGGTTCCACTTCCATTCTCTTATCAACGTAGAGGCCTCTCATGAGGTGTCCTCCAAGCTTCTCGAACTCATCTCTATATCACCCGGGTTCTGTTCAGCTGTAAAAGCTGTCCGTCTCATCTTTAAATCTAACGAGAGCTCTGGTGATCACGATGCGGAAGAATTATCTCTGCTTCCCCATGTCTTGAGAGCTCTCTCGAATCTCACGGCCTTCTCCATCAGAGGTTGTTCTCGCACTATTCCTTCCCGCCTCTGTCAAGATTTGCCTTTATGCCCAAACATCCGGTCCCTTTCTCTCACAAGTTTAAACTTTGCGAGTCCAACGGATTTCCTATTGCTTTGCATACGTTTTCCCGGAATTCAAGGTATCCACCTATTAAACATTGGGCACTTTGGTGCTGAGTCAGGGGATCCCAATGATATCGGTCCGAGACCGCGTCCCGAGTATCTCTGCTTGCGCCGGATGAAGGGTGACGTCCTGAAATACATTGACACCTCGAGATTGAAGAAGATACGATTGACGGGTGCTCCTGGGCACCAGCTTCACGACATCATTCAGAGTACCTTGATCAACGCAGCTCCAAAACTAGAGGAGGTGGTTATTAACACAGAGCCACACAGTGAGCCATCTATTACGAGGGCGAATTATTTGTCTGAAGCTGACATCGCAGGAACTAACGCTCTTGACTTGTCGCGCATCCCCAGGATTACTGTTCAGCACTTCAATTATCTACGGGAGCCATTCGCGGGACTGAAGAACTTGTTCTTCGACAAATACCCACGGGAGCTTTTCGCGGTGAAGGAACTGACTCTAAAGTTATACCTCTTTCCTGAGCGTATTCTCTCGTGTGAGGAGAGTCAATGGGCATGGTTGGAAGATATTCTTCTTGCTGTACGCGATCGAGTTAATATCATCGTCGTAGTGGACCACGGAGATCTGGATAGATACGAAGCTGATTGTGTCCAAAAGTTTTCCAGCGCGATGCCTCGGTTGGATAACCGTGGAACTTTGGAGGTGTATATGGTGGAGGTTGGGATTATAACACAATGTATCAAAGAGGCCACTCACTATTTTCCAGGGCATATCACGCTCGCGAGATGACGCACAGATCCTTCATTGCGGAAGCTTCTTCATACCCAGAAAGAAGATTGATGTCGACGCTATCGGAGTCCGGAAGCGGGGGGAAACATGAAGCTGTTTCGGTCTACTGACGTGAGTATGCGTATTGGACATTTCCAGAGAAAACCCTCTGTTCCAAGCCGTCAGATTGGGTTCAGAAATGCGAGCCCTGCTGGTTAAACAAATTTGAATTAGACAAATGATCTGCCTATACTAATCATCAAGAGTTGCACTGGCTTACAACTGGCTTATGCACTCAGTGACCTTAACTGAATTCGAGAATACAGTACTCAACTATAAAACAAAGCTTCTTTTGGTGTGATGGTAAGCCTGGAAAGCCGCTTTATCAGTTATATACTCGCGGAACTCGTATCTGTACTAGATGCGATTGCATCCTTGATGGTGGAGGCAATTCGGAGAAAACACGCGGAGGAAGGTCGGACCGAATTTCGCCGTGCCACAACTCCCAAAACGTTAACCTCTTATGTTGTTCTCAGCAGCTGACACATCTCGAACAATTGTGCTGTGGGACACTACTTGATGAAAACTGACACTAATGGTAAGCATTTGTGCTGAAAATCTTCGCTCTAGCATTCAAACTTTACCCAAGATGCAGGATTTCCCACCTGAACTTGTCGTGGCTATTTTCGCCCATCTCACTCTATCCGAGCTGATAACATGCCAATATGTCTGCCGTAGCTTCAAGGACACCATTACTAGCTCTGTTCAACTGCAGTATCAGATGGCGCTTGAGAAATCTGGCATGATTCATAACCCAAATAGTGGCATGTGTGCATCGGATTGCCTCGAGATGCTGAAGAAGAGAGAAGAAGCGTGGACCAAGTTTGAACCAATATTCAAGAGGAGAATACATGTGGATCATCGAGAGACAGGTATCTATGAGATATCAGGTGGAACTTATTTCCTTGGCGAGTCCAAGCGCACCAGCATACCGTTTCTACGGTTACCTTCGACTCCCGACGGTGAATCTGAGTGGGACAAGCTCGTCGTGGGTTGCGAAATCGTCGATATTGGGATTGCGCTGTACGAACATGATTTGTTCACTGCTATAGTCATGTACGACTCTTTATTAACTTCCTATCATTTCGACTGGTCTAAAAGCTGATCAAGGGATCCTTCGCCTCATCTCAAGGTGAAGCTATATCAACTCTCCACCAAAAGCCCTCATCCACTCGCAGCTAATCACATTATTCCCGTCCACTCTTATCCTGTCGGTAGGCTTTCCGTCGGCGTCGAGATCGTCGGCGACCACCTTGTCCTCGTTACACGCGAACACCTACTCGTGCTACCGGACAAGGTGTACATCTTCAATTGGAAGAAGGGTACTCTCCTACGCGTTATTGAAGCGCCCAATCGATGCTACACCTCCTTTGTCTTCCTCGACCCGCTGACTCTCCTCCTCCCAAATGCCCTTAACGCGACCCTTGAAATCTGGGAAATTCCCGAAGGGCGAATGCGCGCGGCCCTGCGGCTTCCCCAACTCAAGATCAGCATGAATATCAGCCATATGGCGTGTCGTAGCTCACCCAACCCAGGCAGCCTCAGCACATCCCGGCCGTTCCACCCAAACCCAGCCGAATCACTGCTTATCTTCCACATTCACATCAATAGCTTCCATGGAACATCTACTGTGGTGTTCCTCGTGCATCGAAAAGCCCTTCTCGATGTTCATGGGCAGGGGACAATTGAATGGGACGCATGGGGTCCCCCCTGCACACGGTGGTTTCCAGCTGACTTGATCGACTGGATCACGACCACAACGGGACATCGGTATGTCCTGTGTACTCGACGGAGGATTCTCTTGTTCGACTTCAATCCATGGAGCTTACGTAGGGCGCGTGTTTCCAAGGACGAATTGGAGTTCGTCATGGACTCGGTCGTACCTGACATGCTTCGCATGGACTTGCCACTTTTCATGGAGCCAGTCGTAGGTAATCTGCCTTTCGTCATGAGATACATATCCCACCATCACGTTCATGGGGTCCTGATGGATGAAGAAAGGATCCTAGGGTTAATACGGGACGGCCGCGGTATCACAGACCTCGATGTGATGTATTTTGGGTGATCTGTATCATAAGCATTGTTTTGCGACACTGCCAATCCTACTCCCCACTCTTGTTATTTACCCCGGCACGTGCATGCCAATCCTAAGCTGTCTCAGAAATGAAAATGTTATAGCCTGATATTACTAAACCATAACTAAACACCTAAAAGCTAAGGTTGACTTCCTCGTACAAAGACTTTGGCTTATGCTGACTGCGACACTACCAGAAAGCTACACTATCTGGTTCGGAGTTCAAAGTTCGAATCTCGGTGGACGCCACGCGAGGCGGGACACCAAACTCTTCGTAGTAATCCCTGTTGATGACAAGCGTCTCGGGATCGACTCCCACATGTCTATAAAAATATTATCACTTGCTGACATGTTGAGTTAGGCACTTACTGGTAACGATAGTGTGCCTTGAGCCTCTGAAAATTGCATGTTTCGATCTCAGAGGACAAATCTCTGCACCGAAGACAACGCCAACGGAGGTCGCGATGATCCATCATCTGTTCGTAGGTGTCCATATGTTTCGGGTCGATACTTTCAATCGGCATTACTTCAAAATCTTTGTCAGGTGTCAAAGTCAGGACGCCATTATCCACGTGAAACGCATGCTCATTGCAGAAATGTTTTACCTGGAAGAAAGTATCAGTGACAGATAGCTGACTGACGGTAACCTACTCACAAAAGCACGCCAACCATATAAAACCGTATGCGAGACGAAGAAGAACCCGTTTCGTTCACATAGATTGCATTGATAGAACTGCTCCAGGTTATCCATATCATCGACCGTTGTCTGCTTGGGGTCCCGATCCAATGCTGTAATTAAGGCGGATACAACAACACTAGCCTTGTTATGCAGTGACAAGTGCCTAGCAGTCCACGCACATCTTCTCAGGGGTGGTAAAGAGATAGCCTGGTCTGGAGGGTCGTCCTGATGCACATCTAACTCTGTCACGCTACATTGATGTGCCAGAACTTGCGGATAATAAAGTTTTGATTCTGCAGCAACGCAGATCCAGGATGCACCCCCACAATGCGAACCGCAGGAGTACACATTACGGGCGAGCTTGAGGAAGGCAACTTTTTGCTCCATAGTCTGAAGTGAAGGGGGATCTGGATGCCCTACAAATTGAATGAGCTCGTTGTGAATACGCTCACGCCAGGCCTGGCAGAACGCATCAATCTGGGGTATGACTGGTGCAAAACTGTGTTCTTCGACGATAGTCTCATCCGGAAGGTCAAGGAGCTCCTTGACCGGGCCGAAGTTGTAAAAGTCGACGATGCTAGGGAGGACGGTGGTGTAAGGCGTGCCAGAGGGGGATAATATGTATGTTCTAAAAAGAGAAGCTGCAATGGCTTTTCGAGAATGGATCAGAGCAGTATGTTCACGAGCAAGGCGTTTGCTTCGCATCTTCTCCATGAACTGGATCATATCTTGACGGATGTTGTGCCAGCCTAGAGAACGATAAGCATGTACGCAGTACAAGATTTTAGGTCTGGGATACCTTTTTCAGTCAAAGCGCGAGGTTGTTTGACAAGACGATGGTCTTGAAAAGAATCAGGCGCTTTGATGCTTTCGAGGTCTTTCTCATAGCCAAGGTCGACGAGCTTCTTGGTTATACTGCAGTGACATCAATTGGTATCCCACAGACCTCTGTTCGAAGCACTTACGCAGTCGCCCTATCCGCCCGCAACTGGTCTAGCTCTTCCTCTCGACTACGGGCCCTCCTCTTGTGCCATGCTTCACCGATTTTGACATGCTATACACTGAGTAAGGCGACAAGGAAAACAGAAGCGAACACCTCATGCCTTCTCTATCTCCTCAATGAATGTTTTTCGTTCTTCACGGTACGTTTTGCGCTGGTCAGACTTGAGAGAAAGGTAGTGTGCTTTCACTTGTTCATATTCTCGGCGTAGGCATATATCTTGACCCTGAAATGGCTTTCGAGCTAATTATAGATATGAGCGGGATTTATGACTGAGGCGGTATAACTCTTTACATGAACATCGAGTAGGCAGACAGTCCAGAATGTCGCCGATGGTCTCGCCCTCTGAGGTAAAGATGACGTCGTACGGTAGAACCTCTTGGTGAGACATGAATCTAAAAGGTTCCAAAGGAGTCAGCCTCATTGGCAACTATCAATGAAAACCACTGACTGTTGTTGAATACATTTGCCACATACGCGCACTCGAAATGTGAAATCGACTGTATGCACAGTACCTTTGACACAGAACTAAATGTGCGTCAACCACCCATCCCAAGGAGAGAGAAGTAGGAGACACACATGACAGTTAGGTTCAAAGAGAAGACTGACCCACGCCGGCTCGGAGAACCCAGGCATCGGCTCGGGGAAGTCTGATAAAAGTCGAGCGTTCTTCCAGATGGTAGATGAAGACCGCTTCATCAGTATTGAGCGCAAAAGCTTGGTCGAACGAGCGAGATGTAGTAGATCCAGTGGGTGTAGAACCTCAAAAATCTAGGACGTGCCAATGTAATTAGGACGCGCAATTACGTGACATACATGGGCGCACCTCAAGTCAGATGTCCAGTGGCATATCCATTAATCCTTGTAGTTTACCACGACGACCTCTCGCTCTCTGTGGGCGGCGCTTCTCCTTGTCCTCCTTTGGCTCTTCAGCATTCGACATTTTAGAGCGCTTTGAAGGCATGTTCTGTGGATGAATGACTGTTGAGGGGCGCAGGAAATTAGGAAGCTGACAACATACAGACGCGTCGTTCGAAAGTTGTTGTAGTGGATGGTGATGGTTAGGTTCCAAACAAGGAGAATCGATCGCGAGAAACGCTGTGACGTTGCCACTCAGTAAGAAAGGTCTTTAAATAAGGTGCCGCTGCAAACTCGCATCTTCAGATGACGTAACAAATACAACGAGTCCTGCATCTACTACTAGCAAAGTGTGTTTCTAGATTAAAGAAGCTTGCTCTCACACTACTTTACTATAGGAGAAGTGACTAGCAAGAAATACAACAATTGATGAATAGGCGTAAGTCCGCAATATTGGTGTAGGAAGTCTACATCGTCTCGATGTTAGACGCAAAATCGCTATACAGGTGCTTCGGAAGCTTGTGTAGCTTGTGTCCTCCCGTCATTAACCCACGAATAACTCTTCGTGCTTTTCTTCGAAGCAAAATATAGCTTCTTCAAGCGCTCCCCTTTTGGGAGATTGAGGCTTGTGCGAGACTTTACCATTCTGAGAAGGCAGACTTCGTCGAGTTCGCGAATCATGCAGGAGATAAGGATGTGGAGGTGTTTGAGACGAGGAAGGATAACAGGGACATTGGGTGTGATCGTCAAACGCCGCAAAAGTTTATCAGTTATCCACCTTCGAGGAGTCAAGACGCAGGGAGATGGGATGTTTACGCCTGGGTAAAGTTCATAAAGAACAAGGGTGGTGATGGTAGGGGCGTTCTCGAGTAGCTGTATGAGCTCGTCTTCGTCGATGTTGATATTCTCAACGCGAAGAGACCTGAGACGACACGCCGACCGGACAATGAGTTCTGAAATCGGTTTTACACTGAAAATCCCGTTCAATTTCGGACTACAGCTTATAGGACACTCTTCCGGTAGTGGAAGGGCTACCTTCAAGTGCTGCAGCGTGGGGGTCGAGAGAATTAACAGGGCCTTCTCAAACAGGTCCCCATCAAAATTTCCCATTCTAAGGGAAAGGTATAGCACTTTGGCCGCAACAACAGGTGTCGGAAGCGGCCCTCGGCTTTGACAGTTACTTGTAGCAGTGATTCGAAGGTGTCTAAGGTTCATGGTTTGAGCGATACATCGAAGAATACTAGATGGATTATCGTGGTCAATTAAGTTGAGCTGTTTGATCCTTCCAAAGGGAAGGCCAAGGTTCTCGGGATGTTCTATCGGCTGTTGGACCGTAAGAATATCCAGTTTACACGCCATCATCAGGGCGTTGCACTGAATGGAATCAGGGACGCCATCAAGACTAGGCCCGTATAAGTTGAATTTCCGAAGACGAGTCAGGGACTGTCCCTCGAGAGCACGGAAGAGTACGTAGTATCCTTCAGTGGTAAGAGAAAACGTCGCTCTGAACCATCGGTGCGAATGTGCTGCAAGCATGGAGAGCAGGGTGTTATCGGGCGCCCCCAACGGAAAGTCACTGACGTGTATCCGGATAGGCATGTCCTGTGAGCGATCAAGATAGAGCTGCACAAAATTTCGAGTACGCTCATCCGCATGGGGAGAATGTCTTGCAGTGTTGATGCGAGTCCAAATGCTAGGATAGGAAACAGCAATGCTGCGCCATCTGTAACACACAGATGCGAGAACCAACGGTCGTGCTCTATCGTTAAAACCAATGTTTGAGCAAAAACAGTCGAAAATCAAGGAGAGGATTTCGGTTGGCATGGCTCTGATTGGGGAGAAGAAGGCGCTGTTTTGGTCGAGGAGAGCTTGAAGGCGTTGGCGCCGTTGTTCAAGACGTTTCAAGGCATCACGGTGATAGCGAATTTCGTTGCAATTTTGTTGCAAATATTTCTGTAGAGAGTGAATAAGCTCCTCGAGCTCAATTTCGCGCTCTCTATTCGGAGAAATGATGTCTGAATACCGCTTGCGCGAATTCAACGGTAGTGTAACGTGAGAATGAGATGGTTGTTCTTCCCTACAGCCGTAGGAGAACATTTCGGCATCTGAACCTATCAAATTTCTTCAGCCAAACAGATGCTGCTCAAGAGTCTGTAGAAAAACGTACCGGAAGGCTTCATGAGAGTAGTGCTGTTGGAGAGAGGATACCATCTCTCCTAAATCAGAACCCCCATGTCTCACTGATCGATCAAGTATCATTGACAGGCACGCGTTCTTCTCGAATCCAAAACATTCCGAAGTTATGAAGGAAAAAGGTAAAGGGCAGAGATAAAGGACGACAAAGGAGGCTAGCGCGTCCCTAACTGTAGATTAAGCTTAGCAACCTAGGGACACATGTCGGATATGCCCTCTTTGAGGCAAATACCTCGCGTAGGAGGTATTAATGCGGTGAGGAGAGAGCAACTGAGGGCACTGAGGGACCGATGCCGGGTCGTGACGATGATGGTTGTATGCGAACAAAGATCAGAACAAAACTTGATCGAAATGTTGTTGTTGCCTTTTCGTGAGCCGGCCGCTTTTCGTTACTGATCCATCCACTTTCGGCCACTTGCATATCTCCTGACTCGATGAATGCCTCACCGTCAAGTCCAGCTGCCTGATTATCCGTTACAAGACCTGGGAACGGCTTCTTTTATCGTTTCAAATCTTACAGTGTCGAAACTCGACTCTTGTCAATGGTTTCTATCACAGCAATATTTCATGTAATAACGGCAACCCGAGAATCTCATCAGGGAGGCGATGTACTGATGAACGCGCGTTTTCCACCCCGGCGGTAGAACACCGTTATCCTAGGCTGGATGATTCGCAACGCCTTATACAACCACACTTACAGCCTGAACTTAAAATCCGATCGTATGTTTTTCCCGGCGTCCAAATTGAGGAACGCACCCTAAGACCGTCCCGGACTCATTCACAAAAGCGAAGCGGCGTTGGTGCTTTTAGAACTCGTCCCTGATCTAACTGGACTGTGAATGAGCACAAGCTGGAATTACATCCGTCGGTACTTATCGGGACCTTTGTCTATGGTACTTGGGGATGGTAAAGCGCAACTTTAGCTTCAACTTGAACCCGAACCTTGACCAAAGGAAACGGGTAAAAGACGAGTCAGTACTTACCTATAATGATATTATCGATAACCTTCGCGGTTAGCGGGGGTCAAACAAGATTTAGAATGATACAATGGCAATACATTTCGAAAAGCAAATGCAAGAAGTGGAAACAATACATGCGACTAACCAAGAATGTGTGATGAAGCAAAGGAACCTACGGCGCATTCATCATCTCCGCCGACCACAGCACTAGATCATCCCTCAACAGCTGGAGAATCATGAGTGAATCACGCATAGTGGGGCTCATCACTGTGTCTTCACTGAACGACGACACAGCATCATCCAAAGCGCTCTTAGCAAGATGACAAGCCCGTTCTGGACTTTGTTTCACATCTGCGTGTAGTATATTGAGTTGAGCGCTAAAGACCATCGATAAGAAGACCCATACCGTGGTAAAAGACAGAAAAGTTCAAGGCAAGTCCGAGCCGCGTTGGATGCGTAGGCTCCAGCACCGAGAGTGCATGCATGTAGGCCAACTTGTACGCTGTCAATGACTCTTCAGCGTATTTGTTCCTTGCCTCTTTCTGTCCAGCGAACTCTGCCAAGTAACGGTAATAATCGCCTTTCCTATATATGAAAACATCAACATTTCGAAAAAAGGAACATTTAGCATACTCACATCTTCAAGTAAAACACCCTTTCTTCTCCTGCCTTCGCCCCCCGCACCAACTTTCCCTCCAAAAGTCCAACTATATCCCTACATACACGTTCCAGCTCCGCCTCGATCTTCGCCCGCTGCATTCGAATGAGCGGCGCCTTCCCTCCCTTCCGAGTCGCCTCCATCTTTTCCAGCGTATCAACGATGCGCCAACTATTCCTCAGATTGTTGGTGATGTTCTTGTACGCGACAGACAGGAGGTTGCGCTCATCGAGCGTCAGCTGGGGACCAAAGTGCTGGACGATGAGTTTGATCTGGGTGGTTACATCTACGAGGACGATAATTGGATGGGCGCCGACGATAAGAACACGAACACACCCTCATACCGCTCTGCCTCTCCAGCCAGTTCGGCGATGAACAGATACTGAGTTCGTTTATCGTGAGTTTGCGCTTGCGCCTTGGACGGGGACTGTTTTCGGGTCCGGACAGCGACCTAGAGCATAAGAACAAAAATGTTCAAAAAATTTTGGCACGTCAAAGGGGAGGTATACCGGACTCATGATATCGATGGGGAGTTAAGTTTTGAAATCGAACACATGTCAGGGCGCTTTATCTACGTGCGGTACGGTGAGGCGAGGCGGATGTGCACGGAAACAGGTCGAAACTTTCGAAGGTTTCCATCCGTCGACATTCTCCATTTGGAAAGGGAAGGACCCTTGGTCGGGCATTTTATGTAAAAAAAAAACAATGCCAACTTCGTGTGAAGTGGACAAGAGTTTCCTCGTAGGGACAAAGCGCATGATTTTGAACAAGTAAAACCATATTCTACATCGTTGATAACTGTGAAAGGACCAAAAACTTGGTCTAATTAGTACAATCTACTAATCTTTCATAAATTCCCTGAAGACGAGGGCGAACGTTGACACGGCCTTCTTCATGTCGTCATGCTGAAAGGGTAAATGTGTCAGCTATTCACAACGGAGAAGATAATCGATCATAACAGGCCCATACCTCGGTCGAGCTAAAGCTAATACGGAAATGACCATCTCCTTTCGTCTCGTCTGTGACCGTAGACGCTGAAAACATGGATCCTTGGCACATCCTTTAGAAGCCGTTGGAGTGCTTTTAGTGAAACAAGCTCACCGAAACCGAACAAGACGCCATGGTCCGCCAACGCAGTCCAGAGCTTGAACTCCAACGCCTTGTAGCCAACCGCCGTATATGACGGATGTTCCTCGAGGTGAAGTTTCAACTACACGTAGCCTATTTAATACCGGTGTGGAGTGAAGTGCCGATGTGCATACCCAGACAAACATCCCCGACGAAGGGGGCACAAACGAAAATAGAGGCTTCGAATACCTCATGGTCGATTTCTCGCTGAATTGACGTTCCGGCTTCAAAGAAGCGTGATAAACGAGGGAGCCCTTGCGATGTCCGTTGATCTCAATGGCCATGTCAAGTTGGAAAGCATCTGCTAAGGCGTCGATGAAGGCGTCCCGTCGTTCTTGGTACTGCAGACGAAGTGCTATGATGGATGGAGATTGTGAACCGTGCTGATCAATGCAATGCTGGAAGCAACAAACCTCGCAGCCAGCGGACGTATCCCTCATAGTGCCAGTTGAGAAGGAGCGAGGTGACCATGACCTAAGATGGTGATCAGACAGAATTAAATGGGTGGCAAAGATCATAGAAGTACCTGGGCAAAACCACACGGAGCCTGAGTGCTTGTCTCGCCAGCCCTCTCCAAGCGCTCAGCGAACTGGGGATTGCAAGTGAACCAACCAAGACGACATCCCGGCGCAACGGTCTACGAAGTATATAGTTTATTGGATGGGAGCAGGATTTCGGACCTACCTTGGAAAAGGTATCAAGACGGATGACTCGACCTTGGTAATCAAATCTTGAAATAGGGATAAGATATGGGAATTGCCGTAGAGTCAGCAAATTCCTACTTCAAGAAACTCGGTGCCAGTTGAGCGATGAATTTCTCTTCTGTCGATGTCCGAGAGAAGGCATCTTCGTCTGCGCGCTGATCCTTAGGTACATAGGGACTCTGCTGAAGGAAATAATATGGGTCATCCTCGACGATGATGACATCTGGCGAATTCAGAACCATCTTGCATCATAATGGTTATGGAAAACATACCGAATTCAACACATATGTCATAAATTTCCTTCTTACGTTGCGCTTCCATAGTCTATAACGATGCATAAGCACGTCATTCTCGTGGGATGCCTGAATGCTCACAGCGCCTGTGGGGTTCTGCCCCACGGGGATGATGTACATCACATGAGGTCTGAGGGTGCCGTTAGTGCTGTCAGACGCGCTGATAGCAGTTTAAAGAGCGTGCCTCTTGAATCCCCGTTCAGCCTCATTCCAAGACGCGAGCGTCTCGCGAAGAGAGTCGCTGCGCATCCCCTGTCCGTCCATAGCAATTGGAACGGTCTTGATACCCCATGGTCTGATGCCCTGCAATGACGTTGGAATTAAGGTACGCTTGCGATGAACGGTGACGAAACTCACTGCCAACGCGCTAGGATATGTCCACTCCGAACAGAGAACGCCATCGCCCTGGTTCAGGAGAGTTAATGCAGCCTTACCCCATCCGTCAGTGTTACCGGCATCGATCTACAGAGCAAAATAACCGTCGGTCAACTATTAGTTGGCGCGATAGACGCGAATGACCATACCAAAGTCGTGAAATTCTTGTAACTAGGTTGGTAGACCTTCTGGCTGAACTCCTGTATAATCTTCTGGAGTGCAGCGAGGCCTGTGGCGGGACCTATTGCCCCATAAGTACATGATATGACCGACTCAGACACAAAGGGTGCGAACTGTACTGCAACGCGGTAGCCAAGTTGAGGTCACCGGTGTGAGCAGGCCACTTGTTGATGGTGAAGGACGTCGTCTTTTCCTTCTTTCCTGCTCCAGCGCCGAAAATTTTCCAGAACCATGAGAATGAAGACGATGACTGCGTTGTGAGCGGGAACGATTCGGGAATCAATGTCTCTCCAGAGACGGTAGAGAATGGAAAGTACTCGGGGCTAGGAGTGCCTGCATATCATAGAGAGTGAGCAGCAGAACAATAAGAATACCAGCGACCTGCACACCTCCAGCCATCGTTATCAACCCCGGCTTGGTCATGTACTTCTGCAGGCCCTTCAACGGAGAAATCGCCCTGGCCTTGGAGACCTCCGAGAGGTGGTGGGAAAGGTCGATAGCCTCTGGTAGTTTCTCGGAATACATGTCGTGCGCGTCGTTGGGTGGGAAGAGATACGTTACACGCCCTTGGCTCGCTTATAAAAGCTGATGAAGCGGTGATTCATAAGCACATGCTGGCACGGAAGCCCACCGATAAGCCAAAGATAAGTTCTTTTCCCGTCGGCATTTCGCAACACAGGGAGTCACTACCGTTATCTTTGCCTCCGGTATGTATTGTAAGAGATATCGGCACCAGCGCGTCTGAGAACGCGTAATGTACTGGTGTAGAAGTAGTAGCTGGGAAGATTAATTGGAAGCCGATCCGATTGAGACAGAGCCGCGGCCCGCGTCGGTCCCTACAACGTGTATCATCTAGAGGTTTCAAGGCTGTAAATTATCAGCAAAATATTGGCAAAATACATGGTTTGTCGGCCACGTTCCTGTTAACTAGAAGTAGATGTCTAGGCAAGACCACAGTAGGAAACGGTACCAGAGGCGGAACTGATAGCCTTCGTTAGCAGTCGCACAAAAGGCGTCTATTGCGATGAATACCCAAAGAAACAATGTGCCATGAAACCACTAAAGCTTCCACGTCACTACGCTGCAATAGATGAGCCTGTTATCCGAGGTTTATCAAAATTTGAATATTTAATGGCTGGTTTGACAATATCGTGGGCCACAAGAAAATAGTGATTGTTATACTACAACAGAGGATTCTGCAGATGGCGACACCCAGCAGGAACGGACGCGATCCAAGAACCAAAATGGACGTCGGTGGATAGTCCACACCGTAGATAGTGTGTGAATCGCACCTATGACAGTGGTCACGATCAAAACAAATATAGCCAGGGCTACCCAAGCAGAGACACGCAGTGAACTTCCACTCGTGCTTTGCGATGTATACACAACAATGGACACAGCAAACGCAAGAATTGACCACACAAGCAGTACAGCGGGGAGACTCAACAGCATGGCGTGTCCGTAGATTCCAAACCAGTTATGCTGCGCGTTCCGCATATAGGCATACTTTTCAACAAGTTACAAATCATCAAGTAAGACGAAAAGGAATAGACACTCACTGCATCCGTACCTCTTGTATTTCCTTGGTGTCTCCAAATCGAAAACACGCCTACTATGATGCTACCAAGCGAGGTGAAGACCGACACTGTTGTTGCCATTTGGCAAGCTGGAGAGGCACCGGGGACGGCGAGAAATGACACCGTCGCGCTGACAGACTGGATCAGGAACACTGATGGAGATGCAAAATAGAGAAGGGACGAACGAAAGCAATACAGTTGACTTGACGAAAAGATGATGGTTAGCGAACGACGATGCGTGAAAACAGAGATATTTACAATGAGAAGGAAATTCGAATATTCTCTGACTAGCCTGGAGATATAATCTCCCCAATTCTGATGCATATTATTGAGCCTTCCCTTGTACTGGAACGATTGCTTGAGATATGCCACGTATGTCTTCGGGATTCCAAAGAACACCACGTTGATGAGCAAGTGTACAAAAGGAGAGATAGAGGGAGACGGATTTTCTAACGCGGGAGTGAGGTTAGGGCGCTGTCTCTCTGCCAGAATAGTGTTTGCAGTGCTTTCAGTATGAAGTCCGTAGTACTCGGCATCGCGAAAGCTGCATGCTTCCCGTAGAAACCAAGCCAGAAAGGCAGTTTTTGCAATGCTACCTGCGTTTTGGGGAACTGTATTTGATGAAGTCATGTAAGTGAAACGACGAGAGATAGACGTGGCTTACGCGTCATTTCATTCAGAACACCACGAAGTTCCTCGCATTCTGTCTTGGAAAAGGGCACTGTACTCCGAGAGCCGCGCACCAAATTATCCGTCTAAGAAGTATTACTCGGACGTTTCCAAAGTCAAAGATTGATGGACTGACATAATACCATGTTAACGCATCCGAAGCGTCTGCGATGGCCCTGTCTGGACACCGTATGTGGGAGGGATATTTGCAAACAAAATTCCAATATAACCGACGGCGACGGTTCACTATAGGCACTGTCAGCCAGGTCGCTCACAGTAGAAGGAAGTGTCGAATACTTACAAATGTAGGGATCTGTGACAGAGACGATGTCGTTTCTGACTTCCTGAAACTCATAGGACGCGACACAATGCAAGTGATTGATGACCAAGTTCAAAGTAGGAGACTTGAGAGACCCTGGATTGCGATGACCAGACAGCTGCACCTCCATCGCGTCTTCGAGTCCAGAAAGTGGATACTCGGCGGCATTCATCATAAGAGTTTCATAAATGTCGGGGTCGCGTATATCATAGGCAGTGACAATCTTGAGAGACGAGCAGGAAAAATAAAGCCAGCCTTGGGGGTGAACATGTTGGATCCAGTTTTCGGGTATCTTACCCTGAAGGGTAGCAAACGCCGGAGAGTGTAGCGTAGTACAATTGCTAAAATGCGTATCAGCGACGGTATAGTTACAAATTGCAGTTGAAAAACACAAACGACTCGAGAGGGATACTGTCAGTGGTACTGTGCCTTATCGGGTAACGGGTCACACATAGTAACGGGTCAAACACTCATTTCTCGACAACCATGCCACCTTTTCATGAACGGTTTTTTGTAGATGCTAGATATCATAGATTTGCATATATTTACCAACTATCATACATTCATGTTTTAAACTCACTCAGTAATGAAGTGATTGCTGTGACAAATCATAAAAATGTCATCGTCGATCCACCCTCATGCGAGTACTGGCCGGCACTGACTGTTAATATCAGTCTTGGACCCTTCTATTACATCAATGTCAACTTCCTTTTGCTATTTAGGTGGTGTCAGGGAGTACAAGGCTATCACACCCATTGGAAAATAAGTCCAGGATACATACAGTTGGGTATGTCTATCTCAAAATTGGCAAGGCCATAGCTTGTTCATTTGAGTCTATCCTAGCAAATCTTTACCCAATTTTGTTCTCCATGAGTGCCTCTCACTCATGAAAATTCACCGTGAATTTTTGTACATCTCAAGCCAGTTCTACAAATATTTCTTAGAAGGCTATCTGATGGAGCCGAAGATTTCCCGCTGACCACGAATGAGTATTGCAGAGACAGGAAATATCTTTGAGTGAAGATTCAAGTAGATTCTGTTGGAGTTTCAAGTGTCGCGCATCACAGCGCAGTTGACGTCGGGATCATCGGCTGTCAGGGTTAGTCAGGCAAGAACTAGTTTATTACATCCTGTTGCTTCTATTAGTGTACACGGCGAGTAGATAAATAGGTAGTCGAACAAAGACAACCCTCGCCTGTTTACGAGGGTTCCCTGCTATATCCGGGTGAGCGGCTGGAGAATTACCGCTTATCTCAACACAAACAGGCTGCATAACCCACAGTCCTTGTCGCTCTCGTTCTCTGTGCTGACTCTCGAGACTATCGCTACACCGCCACCCCGACACTGGTGTCGAGATCACCTTTGTCACTTGCTAGACCACGAGACGGTCTGGTCGTTCGCTTTGCTGGTCCACGAGACGGTCCAGTTGTTCGTTTTTTGCTCTCCACATTCGTTGTTTGCCGCGTCGAGATTGCCTATAGAGCAAAATGTCGGACGAGTTGTTTGGTGCGCGTTTTCCCAAGTTATCGGTCGGAAACTTTGCGGAATGGCGAGTGATGATGGAGGCCGAGCTCACACGTCGGAAGCTCTGGACCGACATTGTCGAGATTGAGGTTGATGGAGATGGGAAGTCGGAGTCAGAGATCTTGGTGGAGATCACGACGAAGTTGAAGGCACGGGATAAGCAGAAGATGGCGGAGGCTAGGGCCGAGATGATTTTGAGGGTGGATGTCGGGCAGCTGGCGCACATGGACTCGAAGGACCCACGGGAGATCTGGGGGAACTTGCAGACCGTGCATCGTGCACAGGGCTTTGCGACGAGCTTGTCCCTGCGAAGGAAGTTCTTGACTGCGAAGATGCTTGAGGGGCAGGGTATGGAGTCTTGGGTTGGGCAAATCAGGCGGATGGCGAAGGCGATGGAACTGGCCGGCATCGATGTTAGCGACCAGGATCTAATCCTTGCACTCACCATGGGACTTCCCCCTTCCTACGAGAACGTCATTATCAACTTTGACGCGACCCCGCCCGACCAGCTCACACTCTCAAATGTGATCGTTCGCTTGCTCAACGAGGAGACGCGCCAAGCATCGCTTGCCCCAGGACGCTCCGAGATGGACAAAGAGGATAGCGAGGACGTTGCAGCCGTCGCCTTTCGTAGCGGCAAGGCGAAGGGCAACAGTCGAGTTGACCTCATTTGCTTCTTCTGCGATAAGCCTGGGCACTTGAAGGCCGATTGCGAGGAGAGGGCAAAGTGGTGGAGGTCCAGAAAGAAAAAGACTGCGGCGGCGGACTTTGCCGGGTTGGCTATCGAGAGCGATTCTGATGTTGCTTTCTAGGCTATTCTTTCCCACCACGGTATTCACCTTCCGGGGGTGTATGTTTTTTCTTTTCTTTTCTTTCTGTTTTTGGTATTGATGCGCGAACTTGCGGGGGTGTGTTGGAGTTTCAAGTGTCGCGCATCACAGCGCAGTTGACGTCGGGATCATCGGCTGTCAGGGTTAGTCAGGCAAGAACTAGTTTATTACATCCTGTTGCTTCTATTAGTGTACACGGCGAGTAGATAAATAGGTAGTCGAACAAAGACAACCCTCGCCTGTTTACGAGGGTTCCCTGCTATATCCGGGTGAGCGGCTGGAGAATTACCGCTTATCTCAACAGATTCCGGTATTCAGCATGACTTCCTCAGACAATGAAGGCCTGATTTATCCTCAAAACACAAGCACGGTAGACTAACTTAAACTCAAATGCTGTAGTATTGAGCCCTGTCAAGTGGCGGGTGACTCGTTACTACTGTAGCTATGGCAGTCATCGGGAGTTGGATTTGCCTCAGCCACGTACACACATATCCTCATCCTCATCCTCATCCTCATCCTCTTGATTGCAGTTCTATGCCCCATCATGCTGATCCATTCGAGGATGAGCCATATGTCCAAGTCGACCCACTTGACCTCGAAGGCAAAACATATGAGGAAAAAATCCAGATGGCAATCAAAGCTATCGAGCGCAATGGCTTTAAGGTCAATGGCTGTCCTAATTATTCATTCAGTGAAGCAGCCCGAACATTTGATGTAAAGAAAACCACGCTCACTGAACGATTCCATGGGAGAAAAACACGAGTGGATGCACATGAGCATGAACGGAGGATGAGCCGTGGAGGTGAGGAGGCACTGGTAGAATGGATCATAGAGCTGGGACGACGAGGCATTCCAGTTCATCCATCAGCTGCGGCAGCATATGCATCAAAGCTGTGTGGGGAGGAAGTCGGAGAACACTATGTGCGTCGCTTCAGGATGCGCCATCCAGAGTTGAAAGCAAAATAGACTATGGGCTTGGAAAAGTGTCGAGCACAGGCACTTAATCCTGCAACAACCACAGAATTCTTCAAGTTACTTAAGGAGATATCAGAGAAGTACGACATCGCACAGGAGAATATCTACAATATGGACGAAAAGGGGATACAGTTGGGGATAGGGAAACGTGTCCTGGCATTGGTTGATCGCGACCAAAAGGAAGTTTACCAGGTTGAAGATGGGAATCGCGAGCTGGTTACGGTTATAGAGTGTATGTGTGCTGATGGAACAACACTGCAGCCATCGGCAGTGTTTAAGGGTGCACGAAGAGACTTGGAGTGGGGTCGTGATAATCCCTGTAACGCTAGGCGAGCATCCATTTGATTGATTGTTATATAAAGCTTACAGAATTTTTAGTATATCCCACTCGCCAAAGGGTTGGACAGATCAAGAGCTTGGATCTGCTTGGCTGGAACGGGATTTTGAGCCTCAGACAGCGGCGAAGAACAAGTCTGGAGGCTATCGATTACTGATCCTGGACGGCCACAATTCACATACAACGTACCGCTTTTGTTCCTTTGCGGAAGCGCACAAGATCATTGTTGTCTGTCTTCCCCCCCACACAACCCACCGTCTTCAGCCTTGTGATGTTGGTGGCTTTGGGCCTCTCGCTTCATGCTGGAAAGCTGTGGTGAACGAGGCAGCAGTTGACTATATTCCCATCCGGAAAACCAACCTTCTTCGATACTATGCCAAAGCTCGTGAGAAAGCTTTCTCTATAACCACAGTCAAGAGTGCATTTCGACGTACTGGAATATATCCACTCAACCCCGATGTTATCGAGCCATTGGCATTTGCACCTGCTCTAAACACCACCACAAAGGCTGCACAGCCAGTAGCTGCAACACAGCCATCCCTCCTAGTTTTGCGGGAGCACAACACTGCCGATCCTAATCCCAATCCTGAGCCCGCAGAGCTACCTTTGACGGAGGTAACAAACACACATGCGCGCCAATTCCGGCTTGCAAGTAACACAATGATGATGCCACGGCCAGCGGGAGCATCTCGCTCAGCCCTGTTGCGAGAAAATGCCGAACTTCGAAAGCTAATGGAAATGGCTGCTTTTCAAATGGAAAAGGACTATACGCAGAAAGTTCTCATGGATCAAGAAAATGAGCGAATTCGAGGACGTCTTTTTCAGAAGATTAACAAACCATTGAAGAAGCAGTCAAATGCCTATGCACGGCATATGACCTCAGAAGAGTCGTTACAGCAGCTGGCAGAGGAAGACTGGAAGGCGAAGATGAAGATCATGTTCACATCGCATGAATGGAAGGAGTGGAAGACAAAGTGTGCAACAAAACGGAAAGAGATGGCATTGGAGGAAAAGGAGAAAGAGAAGGAAGCGGGACGGGCAGAACGTGCTGCTCTAAAGGAGAAAAGAGCCAACAAAAAGGCAGAGGAAAAGACGAGAAAGGCGGAAGAAAAAGTGGAACAAGAAAGAGAAAAGGCCATGGAAAAGGAACGAAAAGCATTAGCAAGGACTCATGCTATGCAGAAAAAGAAGCAGGTGCAGGAAAGGGCAAAGATGGAGAAAGCTATCAGGAGCTTGGCTGCCAAAGAGGCGAAGGCTGCAGCTGCCGCAAAATTGGCCATGAAGAAGACCAGGTTGAGGAGCAGGAAGCAGACGCACACAGACAATGAAGAAGGCATCAATGATGATAGCGCAGACACTCACGATGGCAGAAAAGAAATGGATCCCCCAGGAGTATTACCAACATCTTCACCTGTCCCATCAACGATGCTAAAGCCCAGGCCACGTCCACGGCCCCTACACCGTGTTGCAATCATGTCTGGTAGCCAACCAACATCTCCTACATCTCTGGTACTTCAGCACCTGCCATCCACACAAAAAGGACCACCCAAGGCCATATTGACGCCGGAATCAGAGGCTGATGGTTCATGTTCTGAGTCACTTGCTAGCAGCGGTCCAAGGCGGTCTTCACGGGCCAAAAAAGTGGTCAAAAGGTGATCTTTTATATTGAGGACATGCTCTGTATGCAGGGTTTGTGTTATGAGCTTGTTAGAAAAGCAGCTGTGATGATTGATGTGGGGGAAATGGTGAGACGATGATGGTTGGCGGGTATCGGCTTCTTTTCGGAATTTCTTTGCCGGTTGACCCGGTTCCATGCTTTTGCCGGAATCTGACTCTCCCAATAAAAAAATTTATATCACAGAATCCGAAGCAGGCATAAATGTCAAAAGTACATAGAATAATAGCTTATATATTTCACTCGCTATATATAACAAATTTGAAGTGGTTTTTGTTATCTACAAGTGCAGGGGTCTCAAAAATGCTGGGTTGACCCGTTTCCCGGTCAGGCACAGTAGTCGAGCTCGAGTCGGTGCGAGAGATTGTCATGGTATGGGAGATCGTCCAGTGAGCAAAGCATTCATCGAGTTTTGGTAAGTAATGAGGCTGTCCGTGATGGTCAATGTGCCCTCGTGCGTTCTATCAGAAAGTACTCAAGCACCGGTGGTAATGATCATCATATACTGTGCCTGACCGGGAAACGGGTCAACCCAGCATTTTTGAGACCCCTGCACTTGTAGATAACAAAAACCACTTCAAATTTGTTATATATAGCGAGTGAAATATATAAGCTATTATTCTATGTACTTTTGACATTTATGCCTGCTTCGGATTCTGTGATATAAATTTTTTTATTGGGAGAGTCAGATTCCGGCAAAAGCATGGAACCGGGTCAACCGGCAAAGAAATTCCGAAAAGAAGCCGATACCCGCCAACCATCATCGTCTCACCATTTCCCCCACATCAATCATCACAGCTGCTTTTCTAACAAGCTCATAACACAAACCCTGCATACAGAGCATGTCCTCAATATAAAAGATCACCTTTTGACCACTTTTTTGGCCCGTGAAGACCGCCTTGGACCGCTGCTAGCAAGTGACTCAGAACATGAACCATCAGCCTCTGATTCCGGCGTCAATATGGCCTTGGGTGGTCCTTTTTGTGTGGATGGCAGGTGCTGAAGTACCAGAGATGTAGGAGATGTTGGTTGGCTACCAGACATGATTGCAACACGGTGTAGGGGCCGTGGACGTGGCCTGGGCTTTAGCATCGTTGATGGGACAGGTGAAGATGTTGGTAATACTCCTGGGGGATCCATTTCTTTTCTGCCATCGTGAGTGTCTGCGCTATCATCATTGATGCCTTCTTCATTGTCTGTGTGCGTCTGCTTCCTGCTCCTCAACCTGGTCTTCTTCATGGCCAATTTTGCGGCAGCTGCAGCCTTCGCCTCTTTGGCAGCCAAGCTCCTGATAGCTTTCTCCATCTTTGCCCTTTCCTGCACCTGCTTCTTTTTCTGCATAGCATGAGTCCTTGCTAATGCTTTTCGTTCCTTTTCCATGGCCTTTTCTCTTTCTTGTTCCGCTTTTTCTTCCGCCTTTCTCGTCTTTTCCTCTGCCTTTTTGTTGGCTCTTTTCTCCTTTAGAGCAGCACGTTCTGCCCGTCCCGCTTCCTTCTCTTTCTCCTTTTCCTCCAATGCCATCTCTTTCCGTTTTGTTGCACACTTTGTCTTCCACTCCTTCCATTCATGCGATGTGAACATGATCTTCATCTTCGCCTTCCAGTCTTCCTCTGCCAGCTGCTGTAACGACTCTTCTGAGGTCATATGCCGTGCATAGGCATTTGACTGCTTCTTCAATGGTTTGTTAATCTTCTGAAAAAGACGTCCTCGAATTCGCTCATTTTCTTGATCCATGAGAACTTTCTGCGTATAGTCCTTTTCCATTTGAAAAGCAGCCATTTCCATTAGCTTTCGAAGTTCGGCATTTTCTCGCAACAGGGCTGAGCGAGACGCTCCCGCTGGCCGTGGCATCATCATTGTGTTACTTGCAAGCCGGAATTGGCGCGCATGTGTGTTTGTTACCTCCGTCAAAGGTAGCTCTGCGGGCTCAGGATTGGGATTAGGATCGGCAGTGTTGTGCTCCCGCAAAACTAGGAGGGATGGCTGTGTTGCAGCTACTGGCTGTGCAGCCTTTGTGGTGGTGTTTAGAGCAGGTGCAAATGCCAATGGCTCGATAACATCGGGGTTGAGTGGATATATTCCAGTACGTCGAAATGCACTCTTGACTGTGGTTATAGAGAAAGCTTTCTCACGAGCTTTGGCATAGTATCGAAGAAGGTTGGTTTTCCGGATGGGAATATAGTCAACTGCTGCCTCGTTCACCACAGCTTTCCAGCATGAAGCGAGAGGCCCAAAGCCACCAACATCACAAGGCTGAAGACGGTGGGTTGTGTGGGGGGGAAGACAGACAACAATGATCTTGTGCGCTTCCGCAAAGGAACAAAAGCGGTACGTTGTATGTGAATTGTGGCCGTCCAGGATCAGTAATCGATAGCCTCCAGACTTGTTCTTCGCCGCTGTCTGAGGCTCAAAATCCCGTTCCAGCCAAGCAGATCCAAGCTCTTGATCTGTCCAACCCTTTGGCGAGTGGGATATACTAAAAATTCTGTAAGCTTTATATAACAATCAATCAAATGGATGCTCGCCTAGCGTTACAGGGATTATCACGACCCCACTCCAAGTCTCTTCGTGCACCCTTAAACACTGCCGATGGCTGCAGTGTTGTTCCATCAGCACACATACACTCTATAACCGTAACCAGCTCGCGATTCCCATCTTCAACCTGGTAAACTTCCTTTTGGTCGCGATCAACCAATGCCAGGACACGTTTCCCTATCCCCAACTGTATCCCCTTTTCGTCCATATTGTAGATATTCTCCTGTGCGATGTCGTACTTCTCTGATATCTCCTTAAGTAACTTGAAGAATTCTGTGGTTGTTGCAGGATTAAGTGCCTGTGCTCGACACTTTTCCAAGCCCATAGTCTATTTTGCTTTCAACTCTGGATGGCGCATCCTGAAGCGACGCACATAGTGTTCTCCGACTTCCTCCCCACACAGCTTTGATGCATATGCTGCCGCAGCTGATGGATGAACTGGAATGCCTCGTCGTCCCAGCTCTATGATCCATTCTACCAGTGCCTCCTCACCTCCACGGCTCATCCTCCGTTCATGCTCATGTGCATCCACTCGTGTTTTTCTCCCATGGAATCGTTCAGTGAGCGTGGTTTTCTTTACATCAAATGTTCGGGCTGCTTCACTGAATGAATAATTAGGACAGCCATTGACCTTAAAGCCATTGCGCTCGATAGCTTTGATTGCCATCTGGATTTTTTCCTCATATGTTTTGCCTTCGAGGTCAAGTGGGTCGACTTGGACATATGGCTCATCCTCGAATGGATCAGCATGATGGGGCATAGAACTGCAATCAAGAGGATGAGGATGAGGATGAGGATGAGGATATGTGTGTACGTGGCTGAGGCAAATCCAACTCCCGATGACTGCCATAGCTACAGTAGTAACGAGTCACCCGCCACTTGACAGGGCTCAATACTACAGCATTTGAGTTTAAGTTAGTCTACCGTGCTTGTGTTTTGAGGATAAATCAGGCCTTCATTGTCTGAGGAAGTCATGCTGAATACCGGAATCTACTTGAATCTTCACTCAAAGATATTTCCTGTCTCTGCAATACTCATTCGTGGTCAGCGGGAAATCTTCGGCTCCATCAGATAGCCTTCTAAGAAATATTTGTAGAACTGGCTTGAGATGTACAAAAATTCACGGTGAATTTTCATGAGTGAGAGGCACTCATGGAGAACAAAATTGGGTAAAGATTTGCTAGGATAGACTCAAATGAACAAGCTATGGCCTTGCCAATTTTGAGATAGACATACCCAACTGTATGTATCCTGGACTTATTTTCCAATGGGTGTGATAGCCTTGTACTCCCTGACACCACCTAAATAGCAAAAGGAAGTTGACATTGATGTAATAGAAGGGTCCAAGACTGATATTAACAGTCAGTGCCGGCCAGTACTCGCATGAGGGTGGATCGACGATGACATTTTTATGATTTGTCACAGCAATCACTTCATTACTGAGTGAGTTTAAAACATGAATGTATGATAGTTGGTAAATATATGCAAATCTATGATATCTAGCATCTACAAAAAACCGTTCATGAAAAGGTGGCATGGTTGTCGAGAAATGAGTGTTTGACCCGTTACTATGTGTGACCCGTTACCCGATAAGGCACAGTATATATAGTGCTTGGAGCCTAATCTGGGTTTTCGACTAGCATATTCGTAAATAATTAAAACAAATTCCCAATCCGGCTCTTGTTCACCTTCCTTCAATCGTTCGCATAGAACGCTCATTTTCACCGTCAGCCCAGCTCTCATTGTAACGTGCTTGTATTCATACCGGAGACAGAGCTATCATGAGTGCATTTGGCCAAGGCAGCAGTTTTTTTTCTGGAGGCGGCGCGTCTGGAGCATCAGGCAGTGGTAATCCAAGTCCATTCGGTGCATTTGGAGGTGCGTCGCTGTCTTTTTATCGTTGAATATGTGTTCATGGTCTTTGTCTTTTAGCAAAACCAAGCGCTTTTGGAAACACCTCAACGAATACCTCTACAACTCCTGCCAGTGGCAGCCTATTTGGAGGCGGAAACACGAATTCTACTACTACGGCAGCGGCGACGCCCGCGGGTGGGAGTGCTTTCGGTCTCCCTAAGCCGGTAGGGAACAGCACAACGATGACCCAACCGACTTCAAGCTGTGAGAGATAATTTGCCTCCAATCACTCGAGTGTCGTAACTTGACCTTTTTGTTCTAGTCTTCAGCCAACCAGCCGCATCTAGTGGGACTGCCGGAGGAGGATTGTTTGGATCCACACCAAAGCCAGCTGGAGACGCGTCCACTGCACCAAAACCGAGCGCCTTTGCAAGCAGTTTCGGAACCACACCTGCTGCCACTACGACTACTACTACTTCAACTCCGGCTGCCTCTGGCGGCGGAGCTGCAGCAAACGTCACACCAGCATCTAACATTTTTGGCGCAAGTATGTTTAACAAACCCGCAGGTGCTATTCCTGCCGCCGCTTCGCCTTTAGGCGCTCCTCCTGCTGGTACTTCTACTGACTCCAATGCATCGAAGCCAAACCTTTTCGGCAACAACTTATTTGGTCAAACGTCTGCCTCCACTGGTGCTTCAGCAGCGTCATCGTCTACGCCTGGTGCTTCAACATCAACCGCGCAGCCGGCGGCTTCGGGCAGTGGTCTTTTGAACCCAGGTCTCTTTGGCAATACTGCAGCAGGGACTTCAACAACTGCATCAACCTCAACACCCGCAGCATCATCCACTGCTACTCCCTCAGGTTCGCTTCTCTTTAGAATGCCTGTCTTCTCCAATTAAACAAAACTCAGGTGGCTTGTTTGGTACTAAACCTGCTGAAAAGAAAGAAGGAACTCGTACGTGTGTCTTCATGCTTATAGTGCGTATTCTCATGTTACATTAGCAGCCGTATCTGCCTTTAGTCTTCCGGGTTCAAAACCTGAAGAGAAGAAGGATACGCCTGCGGGTAAGGCTTTTGCACTTTCCAAGACCTCGTTTTTGACCAAAGTAAATAGCTTCATCCTTTGGCTTAGGCGCGAAACCCGCTGAAAAAGAAGGTGACAAACCTTCAGGTGGGTATCACATCCTATCATCTGACCCGTTCTAACCTGGACAAAAGGACTCACTCCCAGTACGTCAACTGCACCCGTCGCGGTGCAGCCGCCTTCCATGCTCAAGGGAAAGACTATCGAAGAGATCGTCAACAAATGGTCAACGGATCTTGAGACGCATGTCCGCGAATTCAACAAGTTCGCTGGAGAGGTCGCTGTCTGGGACCGAGCTCTTATAGAAAACGGGAACAATGTATGTGCTCTTCACTCGAAGTAAACACTGTCGAACGTGATATATCTTACAGTTAGCGGCTCTGTACGGTCACGTCCTGGCTGCGGAGCGAGAACAGAATGAAGTAAATCAATCACTTGATCACATCGAACAACAGCAAAGAGACCTCGCTGCGACGTTGGATGCGTATGAAAAGACAGCCCAAGAAATATTCGGTGGGCAAGGGGCAAATCTTAGGTCCATCGATAAAGGGCCAGCTGACATGGAACGGGATAAGAAGTACGCTTTCTCGTCATCTGTCATTGCCGGACTTTATTAACATAGTATCACAGTTACATGCTGGCCACGGACCTGCAAACCAACCTTGACGATCTCTCGGGATCGCTGACACAAATCATTGAATCGGTCAATTCCTTGTCGTTACCTTCAGATAGCTCATCTCAGGACCCAATGACTCAAATAGCTCAAATTTTGAGCAGCCATTTGGAGAGTCTACAATGGATTGATGGTGCTGTGAAAGAGGTCGACACGAAGGTGACGGAGGTCGAAAAGAAGGTCCGAGAGTCTGGTCATGGATCTTCCCTCAACGGCAATACCAACTACAAGTCGAGGGGCTTTGGTCTTCGATAAATTTAGTCCTTTATATAAGGAATGCATGTTGGGTTATGGTCGTCGTTGTGTAAAAATATATGGATCTATGATAATGGCGAAGCGTACATTACATAATAAGTTCTAATAGGTTACAAAACGCTGTATCTTCCCATCGTGCCAGTAGGATTGCGCATCTCTGCCTGTAATGCAGCTGCAGATGCCTCGATAAGCAACCGCTTGATTTCTCTAACGGCTTGTTCGACCTAGCAAACAGTATTAGACATCTGTTCGTGCAAATGAAGACAACCACGACGAACCCTGTATTCCTCATTGGATTCAACAAGAAGATGCAACTTCGGCGGGCCTTCGAGAGGCGGTTCTTTGCCACTTTCGTAGTAAATACCTATAGTGGCATTAGCACATAGAAGGAGAAAGTGAACGTCCAACATACCTTTGTTGGTTACTGATGCACCCGTCATATCGATGAGCTAGAACAGAGATTGGTCAGATAAAAGAGTACGAACTCTTGTGTCACACTTACCTGGACCATCGTTTCCTTGTTGGTAACCCGCCACCTTGCCTTTTGAGGATAATCGTTGATAGGTATAATAGCATGGAAATCGGAAGAATCGGAGGTGCTCGCAGGGAGCTTTTTTGGACCCCCACTTTCCTCCAATTGAATCTGAGATTGCAAAACCAGTCTCTGTGCCCTTATTTGGGCATTAAGCTTGGACACGACACTCAGAGCCTGTTTCTGAGCAGGGGTATCCTTGCCAGCCCGAGCAGCAGCATCTTCGGCGGCGCGCATCTGAGCCTGCAATTTCTCTTCCTCCTTCGCATGTGCCAAACGACGAGCAGCGGCCACTGCCCCGCCAACCCCAAGAAGACCCTTTGACGAGTCTGGTGCTGGGCCTCTCCTGATCTCGACTTTGAAGTTACCAAATGTCATATCGTCACCATTGGTAGCAGTGGCCTTTGCAGTAGCCTCTTCGGCGGTGGAGGTCTTTTCTTCGTCTGGTTCACCGTAGGCTTTACGTTCAGCTTTCTCTCGCGCGTCACGCTCCTTATCGAGACGATCGAGGCCCTTTCCACCGAATCCGGAACCTGCGGCATGTGCCTTCCCTGTCTTGAGTTTGTCAAGGAAGCCTGCAAAGATGTTTAGTTTAATGACCAGGTCACAACGCATGAACTCACCATTAGCGAGATCTTCCAGATCTTTGGGAACCGTAGCATTGCTCGCCTTCAAAGCGCGATAGATATCCACTGAGTATCTATCTTGCTCAGGCGTTATGAATGTCACACAAGTGCCCTTATTTCCAGCCCGACCCGTCCGTCCAGCACGATGGACGTAGTCCTCCATATGATTGGGTGCATCAAAGTTAATGACCAACTTCAGCTGCTTAACATCCAAGCCCCGCGCGGCGACCGAAGTAGCAATAACGATAGGAACAACACCAGCTTTGAAATCAGCGATAGTAGAATCTCTGTCGACTTGGTCCTTGCCTCCATGCAAAGACATACACAGATATCCCTTCCGCATAAGTTCCCGAAGTAGGTTATCAGCTGCTTCCTGCCTATCGACGAAAACTAACGTGCGACACTCAGGATCCTCGTTATACATCTGCCCAAGAATTTCGAGAAGCCGTGTGAATTTGGATTCTTCTGGGCGTACTTCCACTATCTGCTCAATCTCTGCAGCCACAACAGATCGACCACCGACAGTGATCTCCAAAGGCTTCCGAAGGATTTTGCGTGCCAACGAGTCCATCTGCTTCGGGAACGTGGCCGAGAATAGCACCGTCTGACGATCAGGTCGTATGTTATTTACAATTTTCATGACCTGAGGTTCGAACCCCATGTCGAACATGCGGTCAGCTTCATCAAGAACGACGTAGGTGATTCGTTTGAGATTCGTCACTCGTCCAGAGTTCGCCGTCAACAAGTCAATCATCCGACCGGGGGTACAGACGATGATTTCCGCGCCCTTTTTCAGTTCCGCAATCTGGTCCTTGATAGGTGATCCTCCATAAGCGCACACAGCCTAAGAGAAGGTTAGTTGGAAAATCAAGAGTATATGCACGTATGACTCACACGCAGGTTCATTACTTTCAAAAAGGGCTTGCATTCTCGATGTATTTGTACTGCTAACTCTCGCGTAGGCGTCATGACAATAGCAATCGGACCTTCCATTTGTTCTAGCGGGCGCTGGTCCTTTATATGGCGGAAAAGAGGTAAGAGGAATGCGATGGTCTTTCCTGAACCCGTCTTTGCGACACCGATAACATCTCGGCCAGACATGATAGCAGGGATGGCCTGGGCTTGAATCGAAGTTGGTGCTACATAATTTAGACGTTTGATGACATCGAGACTGTAAAAAAACTGATTATTATCTAGAATCCACAGGGAAATTGCGGAAAGCTCACCAATTAGCTGGTAAACCGTAGTGACTCCATTTCGTCACTGGACGAGGGCAGTCAACACCTCTGATCTTGATACTGTCGAGTTCGAGCCTTAACAGCTCCGCTTCCTCGTCGGTCATGGCCGCAATGTCTGGCGGAGGGACGTAAAACTCTTTGCGGAAGGACTCATACTTGACGCGTGAATGATCAACAGAAGCCAATTCTTTCTTCTTGGCTTTTTTCGCAGCCAACGCCAAGATATCCTCAGGATTAAGCTCCGTCGTATCGAGCTCATCCATGACGATGTTGTCTCCGACGTCATCCGCTTCCTCATCTGCCATCCTTTCGTCCAATCGAATGCGCGACTTCGTACCGTTGTTACCGCCTAACATCTTCTTCATATCTTCCATGTTGACCTTCTTCACTTCCTCTTTCACACTACTCATGAAGGCATCCAAGGGATCAGCTTCGTCCTCCTCCTCCACATCCATCGCATCCTGCGCCTTTGATTTTCGAGCTTGGTCCAGACGGTTGGCTTCTTCGTCGTCGTCATCGACCTCCAAATCACCAACGCTTGCTTCTCCTTCGGCCATAGTCATATCGACAGCAGGCATATCACCGAGGGTTTCGAGCTTCCGTTTCGTCTCCACCGAATCATCCATAGACGCGGCAGTTTTGCTTTGCTTCGCAAACTCGGGCTTGAGTGGTAGGCCTTTTAAGCCAAGGCCGCCGAGTGCTGCACGATTTAGCTGCCCAGTAGGTTTTCCGTTGTCGGTGATTACTAAGGCATGATCAAGTGGTGTGAAATCGAGTTATACATGAGGAAAAAAGGGCACACACCTGGCGCAGATTTACCCGCTAGGGCCATTGCCTTAGCCTTGGCTTCACCGAGGGCTTTTTTGGCATCCCGCTCCTTCCGCCAGCCTTCCAATTTTGCCCGACGAGCCTTAACCTTCTCATCCTCTGGTGGAGGAGGAGTCGCTGCAGCCTCTGTAGTTGACTGAGACCGAGGAGGTGTAGCAGGACGGCGGTCTCTAGAGCGTGAACGTCTCCGGTCATCCCTTCTGTCATCGCGTCGGTCGTCACGTCTCAGGGCCTCTCTCCGCCGCTCTTCTCGGTATCTTTCGTCGCGGAGGCGTTCGCGTTCCCTTTCCCTTGCACGATCTCTGTCTCTGATATCCCATTCTCCGTCCCGGTCACGGTCCCTGTCGTCTTCATACCGAGATCTATTGCTACCCCTTTGGCTATTGCGCCTAGTCGGCGACGGTGACCGAGGTGAACGGTGAGAGTGTCTTACCCGTTTATTGGACGAATCTGGGGAGTACGACCTATCCCTGCGCACCATGACTGTTCTTGGAGGTGGGTGAGAAGAAAGAAGTTATTGTTTGTATCTGTTTCACTTCGAGGTTCTTGATCTGAAGTTGCTGACCAATCGGCGATGCTTTGTGTCTCTGACTCCCACCTCGACTTGAGTCGACTGTAGTACGCTGTCTTCGCAGTTATCTGTTCTTTGTTAGAACTCACCGTTACTAGATATACTCATGTCTAAAGATATTCTTGACCCCGCTGCTCTATTGTCTCTCTTTCCTACCTTACTTCCTCCCTCGGCGAAAGTCCTTGCGTCACCTCAGGATGGCATTGCTGCGTTGTTGCATACAGTCCTGTCTGCCTTATCCTTTCGCCTCGTTGGCGTAGATGAATCCACGTCATCATTTTCTGATACAAACAACGTTCTCCCCGTTGAATGGAATAAACACAGTCCCGGAAACTTCACGTTTCGCTACAAACATGATCAAAGCAGCCTTGAGTTTCTCATAAAAGTATCCAAGCTCGGAGCACGTACGGTTATTAATGCTATCGCACTCGAGGTACGTTCTTGGGAATGCCCTTGAGTGAAACCAGCTGACAGCATCCTTTAGAGTGATAAAGCTGCTTCGCTTGATATCGCTACCGATGACTTTGTGTCTTCTTCTTTCTTTCCGTATGATATCAATGCATCCGACGCACCGCCTCTTGTACACGGTTTCATATCTTCCAATCGCGTTGCCGATTTTGTTACTCAGCTAAAGCTCAAAATTATCCAAGCACTTGTTCCGGGGCTGAGAAAGGAAGGCTATACCGAAGTAACCGCAAGCGAGACGGCGTCTTCTGCTCGGACCGAAGTTCCGCGAGCTGCACAACCCCCGCAGATTCCTCGATATAATCCCGACGAAGAGTCTCCTCACCGCTTTCCTTCGACCCAGCTACCGCCGCGAAACCCCCTTGAAATTGGCAGGAGGGACTTGGATCCATTCCCAGTGAACCCTTTTAATCCACCTTCCTTATTTCCAGGCGGAGACGATGACGGGATGTTCGTTGGCCCAAACCACCCTATTCTAGGTGTTGGAGGGCGAAGGGAATGGGAGCAGCGCGGGCCGTGGGGAGGAGACGGCTTCCTGCCGCCTATGGGTGCTCCGCCTGGTGCTCGGTTTGACCCTGTGGGCCCCGGCGTAGCCATCCCAGGCAGAGGTAGGGGTCTTCCCGGTCGCGGCAATATCTGGGGCCCAGACAATGATGAATTCCCGCCTCCTGGCCCGGTACGTTATGATACTTTTTGATGTCGCTAAGCTTACGCATGTTGCAACTCCAGCACAACGACAACATGTTCAGTTAAAGGAATTAGTGATTTGTAAATGAAGATGTTATGTACTATTATTTGATAGGATTAGGCTGTTTCTGTGACCCAGAGAAACGGAAGAGGACTGGTCGCTTGCCCTTCTTCCAGTACCTGTGTATTTTACTAGTCTGTACAACACCATTATGGCGGCCGGAACCGGGAGAGCTGTGCAACAATATTGACTGTAGTTGTGGCGTATAGAGATCCCGAAAAGGAAACTTCTCTAGCCTCGTGAAAACCTATAAAAGCCAGGACGTTTGACTGTGGACACCATCCAACATTCCCCACTATACAACCATGTATTCACCACCTAGTTCTCCCGTGTCCCCTACACGACCACAGCGTGTAATACCGCACGGTTTTCTAGCCCCGCCCAAACCGAAACAACGTCCCGTCCAGGAGATGTCTATACGCGAACTCCACGATCGGTATGACAGCAATGCTAAGCTCCTCGCTTCACCGTATGCACTCTTTCTCTTCAGTGCCGACCCTACATTGACATTTCCGTATTCAGAGGTGCTTCCACATCCAATTATATACACAGAATTTCCGCGGAGCAACGGGAAATCCAAGCGCTACTAGCGGAACTCGAAGGAGTCGATAAGATAAACACTAGTATGAGAAATACAAGAATAAAAGGTGAAGACGAGATGGACGTCGAAATGACGCCCGAGCCGCCTGTGAGCAGGATTATTGAAACGAAGCGTAGAGTTCTGGCTCGGAGATACGTGCGTGCTGTTGTCATCAGCTGTATTTTTACATATTCTGATCGATCTAGTAGGGACCTGCAGAAGGGACATCTGCCATGGGTACCCTCAGTATGGATGAAGCTATTGAAATTGAGCAACGCCGACATGTTGCTGACCTGGAGCGTCGTCAACGGATAGAAGAGAAACAGAAGCGAGTTTATGACATGAGATATGGTGATATGTCCAAGGAGGAAAGAGAAGCGAGAATATTTGCCTTCATGTAAGATATCTTTCCTGTTCCCGACCTTCTGGCACTAAAATCTTTTAGGAACCACAAACCAACTGACTCTGACCTGGAGGACGACTCTGATGAAGGTGAAGATGACGACGACCCATCATCTTGGTTTGAAGACGATCAAGATGATGGCAGAAAGGGCCAGGATATCGTCGAACCTGATGAGGAGGACTATTACGACATCATCCGGGTAGACGCCACCAAGGTTCGGTACAGCACATTCTATGAGCCACGGGACGACGATTGACGGGTAGTGAAATATCCTTCCTGAATTGTGTGTATCATTATAACCAGTAACATAGTTGTCGTATAGTCGTAGTAAATGTATCGTTTCTTCCTCCAAAAAAAAGTATCGTTGCCTGGTCAGCGAGCATGTACGGGACAGCTCTTTCCGCGCTGGAGCCATGAAGAAAGGCAAGCTGAATGTATTTTTGTGAGCCATTGCGTTGGATAAGAGAATCAGAGGACACAGACTGTTGTGGAAACTGCATAGGCAACTTAGGCGTGCAACCATGGAACCTAGAACGCAGGTCAGTGATGGGAAAGGATCCAGGTGAATGTCGTGTACCCTTAGCGAATTCTTCCAGACAGATAACACCTGGAGTGGGTGACAGCATCAGCACCATCACAAGGCAGACGAATAGAACACTCTCACATTCAACACCGATAAGCGTGCTCTCTGCCGGTAAGCTATAAACAAGATATTTCGCAGTCTGTGGCGTAGTCCCAGATCCACCTTCCAAACAATTCTTTACATGTATCTCCTGCTCTGATGCATTCCCAATAGTATCGAGATTCCGATTGCACACGGGGCACCTGCACCGAAGGGTATTAGACAAAGTCGTCACGGCGTAAGAATGTCACATACTCGGCAAGATCACTCAGTTGCGAACTAGCATCCCCTCTTGACAAGTGACTGGGTATCGTCAGTAGACCTTGGTCGATGAAGACACGTTCCATGGAGTTGACGCGCATGCCTGCGAGCCTACTCGGGACATTCCCATTCACTTCGTCGTGACAACCACGACACACCCTCTGAGAGCTGGATGTCGCGAGACCTTCGGGGAAACCTGGCTCTTGCACGATATCAGACGGGTCAAGCAATACCCTATATGATGAACATCTGTCGCAGAAGATGCGTCCACAACGACGACAATGCTGACATGCGTGTGAGGATCCAGAAATAATGCACGATAATAGATACATACGTGCTAAAAAAAACTCGTTAAGTATGACGAATTAAAGAGAGACAGATAACACATACACGCCGATTTAAGAATGTAAACCTGCGTTGACAGTCTCGACATTGATCCACGTCCTCATCTTTCTCCCAGCGATGTATCTGATGAGGGTTTGGAGACGCCCATCGTGCCACCTTCTGTGGCGCTTCATGGGTAGGCACCCGGAAATCAGGAGCCTGGGATAACTGTGGAGTCAAGTCGGTCGGCACACGGCTTGTCGAACGTGAACCCGGTTGACTGAAATAGTCCGTTGAGTTGGACATCCGGGATGGGGAACGCAAGGTCTCCAAAGGTGAGGCTCCTGGGTAATGGAACTCTTCGTCTGAATCATCATCATACTCCTCATGTTCCTCATCATCTTCTAAGAAGCAGGAATTTGAGTGGCCGCTAAATTATATGTGAAAGAAACCATACCATCACCCGAGATAAGGAGGCCATGAGCACCTGCTGCTAGCCTTCTTCGCTCAAGATCCCTGCTATATGCATTCAACAGCACTTCGGCTTGCCTCTTCCTGTCAACATCATCGTCACCTGGAACAGTTCCACGTCAGAATGACATGCTAATGTTTACATGCAGGCAAACACGCACTTAATATCCCTTGCCTCAGCTCCATCGTCGCACGTTCAAGCTTAGCAATCGCCCGTCGAGCGTCGATGGCAGATAACGAAGCGGGATCAATGTCACGAGATGATTGATTTCCCACCAGATACCGAGCTCTCCCAACATAATCTTGTGTTGACGATAAAAATGACTGCATCTGCCCAAGCTCCTGGCCCTCCGACTCTCCTTCTGCGTTATCTTGACTATCGTCGACGTATGGTATGAGATCTCCTTGTCCATCCAAATGGTACATTTTACCATCGGGCTGCAAGAATGGCAAGGGAGGGATATCCAGTCTCCTACGCATGACACGCACCCATCTTCTTCGCCGGACCCATGTATGTGGCGCATGAGGAACTGATGAAGAGGAATGTGATGACCGTCTGGACGAGGAACCGGCCGCGCCCAAGACGACGCTGCCGCTCCCTGTCAAGAGCCTTTCTAGTGGTGGCGGCTTCTCTGCTGTCCACTGGTCCTCGGGATCATTAAAATGGTGCGCATACTGCCAACCATCTTCTGCGTCAACTCCTGGATGTGTTACGTCCAGCGTCCAGTCCGAACTGCAGAAAGTAAGATATCAGACAATAAGTTTTATCAGACTTCATGGACATACAGCCAGAAATGACTCCTCTCCGCTCCTTCCAGTGCGTGCCGGTCGTCCGACCGAGGAAGAGGAAGCTTCCAAGGGCTATTCCGAAGGGGAAGCTGTACGTCGCTGCGCCACGCGGGTACATCGCCTGCGTTATCATCCGATTTGGGCATCCTCAATTCAAAAGGCGGTTTCCGACCCTGCTTTCCTAGGCCTGACGCAGAAAATTTAGGTCTACCTCCAGAAACCGCGAGAGTTTTGAGACGCGTGTCCAATCTTTGGTTCTCATACAGGACGAGAGGAACAGTCGTATGAACTGCGAGACTGTCATAAGATACCGTCGTGTTCTTCCAGCATTCCGCTTCAGCTTTTTGTAAGACCTGTACGGGTGTAAGCGAAATTTCAAACGTGACGATATTCAATTTCAAGTGCGCACCTCGCAGATCCAAACTTCAAAGACGGCTGCCGCTACGTCGTAGGCTGTTTCACCCCAGTTGTTGCGAACCAAAGGATTGGCAGAATGCTTGGTGAGAAGATAAAGGACGATGGGAAGGTGGCCCTTGGATGCGGCGTTCACTAGAGAGAATAGCTTAAAACAATGGATAACATCGTGAAAGGACAAATCACTGACTTAGGGGCGTCCAGCCTCCTTTGCTTCGCGCGTCTACACGTCGCGTGCCATCAGAATCAAAGTCTGCGCCTCCATTCTCGCAGATATAGCGAACAATATCGAGATAACCTTTTGAACAAGCGTTGTGAAGTGCTGTCCATCCGTCATCATCTTTAGCGTGTATATCTGTCCTATCCGGGAGGAGATAGCGGACGATAGGCAAGTGGCCATTCAGACAGGCTTTATGCAAGGCAGTCTGAAACGGCTGAGTGTAACACTAGTGTGAAGAATAAGGGCAGCGCACCTCTCCTTCCTTATCTTCCAGGTCTGGCATGGCACCACAATCTTCCACCACTGACACAAATCATCAGACTCAAACAAAGAGATGACTGGAAAGAGAACGTACACCAAGTCACAATACCCAGATATCCGCGGCTAGCAGCGGCATGCAACGCTGTCAAGCCAGTACGCGAAGATGCAACATTTGCTAAACTGAAGGACTCGACATTTCCTGATTCTAGTGCCGTCGCAAAGAGCTTTTTGAGGAGTGGCAAGTCACCCGATGAGGCAGCTGCATAGAGTGATTCAAGTTGAGCAGGTGACGGAGCAGGTGGCGTAGGTACGCGTTCGTTATCCCCAGTCGTTGCATTCGACACATCCGCACCAGGATAAAGAAATTCTTCATCTTCGGAATCGTTGTCTGACTCTTGGTCGTCGCCTAATCGAATACCGAGACCTGAGGAGGTAGACGAAGGTGGATCTGAGAACCCAGACCTGCGGCAAGAGATGAGAATAAAGGAGAAAAGAGCAAAGTGACATACTCTTCTATCGTTCCCAGGTGAGGATGTCTCGCTGCAACGGCCGTCATCGTTGAGCAATGGAAGCAAATTCAGGTAATGTTCTGGAGAAACGGCCACCACTGATGCCGTGGGATTTCATTTCCAAATTAGCCCAAGTCATCAATTAACGATCTGCTGCTGTAGCTAGTGTCCTCCACGGCAATATAACGCCTGCAAGGCCCACATCAGGGGCAAAGCCTGCTACGTTGACCCCTCTGGAAGCCTTGTTCTTTATATAATTATGATAGTTTATAATAAACCAAGTTTATGTATAATTGATTGATCCTGCGAGGTTTACTGGCTATAATTCCTGCAGGAGAGATTGAATCAAGGCCCAAGGGTTATTCAAATCTTGGCTTGTGGAAAAAACTCGAAGTCATAATCAATAGTGGGAGTCAGAGTAAACAATTATGGGACGATTATGAAAACGATTATGGCAACGATTATGAGGTCCATAATCATGGGAATAATCGTAATCGACCATAATCGTATAAGCGACTCCAGAGGCGCTTATACGATTATGGATCCTCCCCTTTACATAATTCTTGGGTCAATGTAATCGTTACCCGTAATCGGTACACGGTCAGAGCCAGAGCGATTATGATGACGATTACGACTCATAATCGGACTCATAATCGACCTCATAATCGTCGATAATCGGTCACTCTGACTCCCACTAATAATAGTTAGTATTCAAAAATAGTATGAATGAGAGAGTACTACCCCTTGAAATGATTCACTCAGCGGTGGTAGCTTCTGCTGCTGAGAGAAAAAGACTCGCTCGGTGGCGGCATTCTGCCGCCACCAGCTCGCATTTTCTCTCAGAGTTCAGTCAGAATCCTTGGCAAGATCGGCCGAACAACGCCGCAGAAAGCGTGATAGTAACAGAGGGTCACATGTAAACAGTGACAAGCGGTGACTGTGCCACCCCGAAATTCTGACTTAAACAGAAATTTTGAAGCGCTGGGCCGTGAGTTTCTTCCACAAATAGAAATTTTTATGACATCGGACTTCGGGTTAAACTCAAAACTCGGCTACCACCATCCCTCTATAAGACCTACTACTAACGTAGCAGGAATACTCTACATAAATAGATACCGGAAGATGTAAATGTTCAACGATATTATTGAATATGTGACGCCTCAAGCTAGACCCCATTGTGCGGCATCTCATTCTCCTCGCACCTCTGTACCTTCCAACGTTTGTGGAATAGTATCCGGTTATCCCATAGTTCTTCCTCTAGTAGGTCCTTCAGGCCCAAGAAAGAGTGATGAAATGTTCACTGCGAGTGAAGTAGAGACCAACATGCCTTTGCGCAGCGGGTTTCGCGTCTTGTCGTTCTCACGCATGAAGAGAGACTTGCCGGATTGATCAAACATCTTGACGACGCAGGTCAAGAAGGCCTTTCATGAGGAGCTGAACGTCGAGCACGGCATCGATAGCACGGCTAAGAGGCGTATCCTGAGTATTCCGTACAGGAAACGCGGTCTTGACCTCCACCTCCCAGAGGGTATCAGCAGATGCAGGAATAGGTTCTTGTGTTTTTGGATCAATCTACATATAGCATTAGCGCATAGCAACATATAATCAAAAAGCACGTACTTTTTCCTGCTGGAACATCTGAATGACCAGCATCCCCCTCCTGAAAACATACCCTCGCTTGTATATCTGTGACCGCCTCACGTACCCCAGTGCACATGCGAAACACAGCGCGTCTCCACGAACATGAACAGTCACCCACGGGCGTACCGTCGCTTCTGGATGCGCACGAACGCTCTCTGGTGCCAGGTAAGAGAAAAGAACCCAGCCTCCATCGGGATCCGTGAGATCCTTACGCGCACGTAGCAGAACCGGCTCGGCGTCACGGTTGACGGGCTCAAAAACGACCTCGCGAATATGCATCGTGGCCGAAGACTCGGAATGTAGTGTAATACGCGCGAGAATGGCGGTAAGATCTCGCGCAAAAAATTCACCAAAGAGAGCGACTTCGTAGGACATTGGAGACAAGGGTCTGTCACGCAGCGTGACGCAGACGGCCTTGAAGATGGCTCCCATTCGCATCAACGCAGTCGCGTACATCTCTGCCAATAACCACCCAGTTCTTGTCAGGTCTTTTGTCGACAGTGGGAATGCTCTCAAGTACCATTATATCGCCCACACTGCCCTGGATGTCATAGAAGAGCGAGGTATGCAGTAGCGTGTCGTTGCAGCCGTTTTAATCGCCAATCACTCGCAGTGAACGAGGCGAAGCATCCCTACCTCGGCCTCCTGTATTCAATTGACGACGTCGCTGTCTATGCCTACACGACACCGCTAAACCTCAAGATCGTCCTTGCTCTCGCTCTAGCAGACGCAGTTATTCCCGATATCAAAGTCCACACGGTGCGCATGCATGCTGTCATTTTGTATTTTCTGTGACAACTTTCAGTAGATCTTCAAAGCATTGCATATGGCTTACTACCATGCAGTATCGAACCCATTCCTTAATCTTGACCCAGCAAACCCTGTACCGCTCAACTCGCCCAAATGGAAGAAATTTACCCGACAACTGGACGAGATCTGTGCTGTCGTAGGAGCCGGAGTATAACGGTTTGGATGGATGTTCGTTGTGATCCTATGCCGTTATCGAGGCCGCGGTGTCTAGTCCAGGCAATAGAGCTCCTTTGGGATTTCACTCTACTGGCTTGCGACCCCCTCTCCAAGACACGGAGAAAGGGGAGAAGCACCAACAACAAACATGCCCTTCATTGACTCTCCTGTTTTGAGATCACAACATCAGAGACAGATACGGGGCAGATATTGACAGTTTATACTCTTGTTTCCTTTACGAGAAGCCATAAGGGTGGAATTTAGTTATCTATACATATCCGATGAGTGAGGTCCTAAGTAAATAAGTATAATCTACACGAACAAGGATTGTCTACTCTACACCAATACCAACATACTCCTTGGTTCTACCAGATCCACGACCAGAACCGATAGAAGTGCCACGAGAGTCCAAACGATGGCTTGTACGTTCGGCGTCGCAACGAGGCAGGGCCCAACTCGGCTATGAATGCATTCAGCTCCTCAAGCGCGGCCGCAGCGGTCGGACGTTCATCTGGATCAGGCGCCGTCATCTTCAACAAAAACGGTTCCAAGTCCTCCATGCCGAGATAATGCTGTATGTATCGCATGAGACATGTAAATCGACGCCTTGCAATAGCCAAACTTGCCTTCATCTCCTTCAAGAACGCATTGCCGAGTGTATAGATATCGAGCTTGAACGGATTATATGGGACGACTTCCGATATCTCGGGCATTGAATGATCAGATCCATAGGTTCCCGTTACACGAGCCTTTTCTATACCCTCTGGACAGTACGTCGTGGTTTCGAAATCTATGAAATAGTACCGTAGCGAACCAACTTCGCAACGATTACGAGGATCGCCAGAATATAGGTTGAGAAGGAACGGGAAATGCTGGCTCGCAAGAGAGAAGCCGCCAGGCATCAAGTCAGATACATCCATGGTCATGTTGATCATAGCCGCATCTCTGAAGTAGAATATGAGGACAAGGACTTCGCATAGAGACAAATTCACGAACCTATGCGCATATTTTTCTCTGTGCATAAATGCAAGACCCTTGAGCGCGATCCATTAGCCGTTTCTCTCGGACGAAAAATGTGAACGAACCTCGAGAAACTGCCGCAAAGCCTCGAACACCTCTGCACGACAGTGAAACGCTGGTTTCCACATATTATGAAGCAGCGGCATAACGATGATAACACAGTCGCTTTCTCCCGGAAAATCGAACACGTCCCATATTGGAACACAGTGATTGCAAGAATCAACTATGGCTGCTAGAAGTGCTGCCTTCTTGGCTTCTTCTGTGTGTATCGAAGTAGATTTGATGACAACCCCTTTGTCGTCTGACGCTCTCTTTCCCTCGATAACATTGGGATGCTTGTGATGATATGGTAAAATATAACAGCCTCAAGGACACGGATAGAACACGCACGACAAGTGGGAAGCTGTCGACCGCGTATTCATAAGGAATGCCGTTAGGTCCTTGCCATGAAGGTTGCCAATTAGGCTGGAATCGTGGAGGCAACAAATACCCTTTTGATTTGAGAAACGGTTCGATGCCGACCCATCGCATCTCTGCTTTACTCCGCTCTCCGTTATAAAGCCTTTCTTCTCTTTCATCCTCGTCATCGGAATCGTCGTGGTCGGTAGGGTCAATGTCAGCAGCAGCACCGTAAGGCGGCATTGAGTATTCGCCCATGACGGGGAGGAAGATAAAATATCAGCAGGGTCAATAGAATATTTCAAAAACAAGAGGAGGATAGGGGAAAACGGAGGCTGATCGACGATATGGCGGAAAAATTAACCGGGATGTTGAAGGCCGCTGATTGTGACTTAAGGACGCGAAAGAGACAAGAAAGACAAGAAAAATATTACACTTCAGGAATTATGACACCGATAGAAGAATGCTTGAGTCCTTTCACAAAGTTCGGTTAAGGGACGATCTGAAATCACCCACATTGACCTAGATACCGTCGGGTAAATATCGGAAGGGGGCTAGGGGAAAGGAAAGAGGTTAAGATAGACGACATTCGCCGCCATCGAGTCACGTGTTTGTATGTCACGTCACATGTCACGCGGCCAAATTTTCTTCGCCAAAAAAACCGATTCTGATTTGGGTTCTGGGTGGCGGACAATGAAAGGAATGGCCACGCAGAACCATTTTGAATGTATTCAGACTGTCTTGAAGCCTGTCAGATGACTCTGAACTGTCAGGGAGCCAAAAGTGCCTGAGGACAGGTATGTATGAATCATCAGGATGAATTTAAGAGGTACAATAAACGCTATTTGAGAGTGTTCTGTCCCATTTTTACCCTTTCTGAGGTCCTATGTTCCATTTTGGGTATCAGGAGCCCCTCCGGAGACCTAAAAATTGCTATAATAGGTACATAAAAGTCACGTGATGGCGGCCAAATATTTTTGGTCAAAATTAAACACCCGCCCAAAATGACGGAAATGGTATTTGAGGCATTTTGGATGTCGGAACTTTCGGACCTCATAAGTCAGGTACGGAACTATATTTTGAAAATCTGTACCACAGAATGATGGAATACATTAAACTGAACATATCTGTGGTTTTATTTTTCGCCTCCCGCCCCCCCCGCTCCACACAGAGGCTGCCCGACTATTTGTCACACTAGTGGTCATGTGACTCGATGGCGGCGAATGTCGTCTATCTTACTCCTCAAGATTTTACGCGCCCTTGATGACAATGCGTGAACGCATGAACCCTTGTTGGCAGGCGAGAAACATTAACCGCCACTGAATCCAAAATTTCAAGAAGTGACCGTTTCCTCGTCTACCTCCGAGTCACCCCAATCAACCTCTGCTTTGCTATCTTCGTCGCTCCCTTCACTAGAACTGGAATCATAATCTCCTAACGCGGCCATACCGCCTTCTCGAGCGACATTTTTTATTGGCTCTCCCTCATCCTCGCTCCCATATCCACCCAGTATGCCTTTTAACGCGCCAACAGCCATCTTCTTGGGCTTCTCCTCCCAGACATCGAATGTTGGATACTCGACAAATGTGGCACCTTTCAGTACTTCTTCAAGTGTTTTGGACCTGTCGATGGATTCGTTTTGACCCCGAAGTACACACCATGAGGACGGATGAATGTCAATAATATCTGAGAGTACAGTATCGAGTTTGTGTCGATGGGTTAAGGTCGTGGAATGGATTGTTGAGGAAGTGTGTTTTTTTACTTCAATGGTAAGATACACGGTTTGTGTTCTAGGATCTCAAATATTAATCCTGCGGCAATAAAATAGAAACACAAATGACCTTGAATCCAAAGTAGATTGATTTAGCTTTCTTCTCGACATACCCATCGGAAGTAGTTCCATTGTAATACCCAAAGTTTCAAGGTATATTTGCAGAGCTTCGCGCTTGCCTCCCCTAGACTTTCCCTTGCCTTTCCAGCCGCCGTACCCAGACACATCCTTACTCCATTCGCAGGTCTGACCTCGTTATCAGAAGCGAAAGCCAGCAAGAAGATAATAACCCACCTTTCTACCGACATCCTCTAGATATGTGTAGTCACGCATCATTTCTCCCCATCCGTATCGATTCATTGGAATGTATTTTACTTTATTCCGCTGGCCAGTACATCGAGTACGTTCTTTGTGTGCCTTGGAGCATGGGAGAGAGCAGGTGGGAGTTTCGCACCCAGGACACGTGTATTTCGTCGGATTCGCATTGCACACAGGACAGACTTTTGACGCGGAAGAACTGGCGACGGACGCCATGGTAAGAGGAGATGAAGGTGGAAGTAACGTGATGTGACGGCAATTGAATCCCCGCGTGTGTCGCGTCAAGGAAACCGTGACAGCTGAGTTTGAGTCGTGCACTGTCGTACAACCAACGTACAACGTTCAACAACTTCGAGTCAACGATATACTACTCGCTTTCGGTTGGTCGAGCTGGGCAACATGTCATTATCATGCAATTATTAAAATATCTACGCGTTATCTTTCACTGCTTGATTCAAGAACTGGTACTGTTCTGGTATTCTATCCTGAGATATGATCTCAAGTTTCAAGAGTCAAACGACTGTATCACAGCCTCTCAGCGACTATTGGTGACCCGCTTCATTGATGGCAAGTGATATCTCAGAGTTTATAGTATACCTTTCTCCTTTCCCTAGCCCCACCGCTCGTCATGACCTTCCAGAATCCATTTATATGCGGATACTCGACGGTATTCCTACCTTTCTTCACATTGTTTTCGATTTCGAGTCTTTCTCCTGCATATTCTCTGTCTGATAGTATCAGTGTCGCCTTGATCATCTTTTGCAAAATCCCTGGCTGATCTCTAGGCAACCTCCAAGTAGTTCAGTAACACAATTCGAATCCCATGCTCTTGCCAGTTTTCACTTGCCAACCCCATCCCCTTCCAAGGCAATAGTCTCAAGAAATTCACCTATCCCTCTCATGTGGATACCTGTGGTATTCATTATAGCTTCGGGTGCCGCACTGGCACAAGACCTCACGCCGTCTGTTTCCTGGAAAGTGAGTACTGCTTCTCTGGTAGACAACAGCGATTGCTAATACAAGAACTAAAAGCCTAACATCACGTCATCCAAGGATGAGAGCATTAGCGTTGCCAGTGCCGCTCTCGAAAAAGCAGTTAGCATGCTTGGGCCCAATGGGCAATTCGACGGCATGCTTCATTCAATTCCCTGCATCGCGCTTCCATTTTAACGTTCCCGCGGTATCTTCAGATTCTACATACGGAACCCCTGGCAGGCTTTACGCGCAAATGGCAGAATTTGATAGACTGACAAACCAAATGAAGTATAAGCAAACGTTAAAACAGTGTTTTGCCCAGGCAGAGGCGGTTGAGTCTGGGTTTTTGAGCAATTAGTCAGTATGCTCATAACATTCTTTCCGAATCAGTGCTGACAATGCCTTCTCGATGATAGCTAGGCTATGGGATGTAAGTCATATCGTACGCTGATGCTGTTGTGCTGCACATTGTTGTAGGAATTACGGATACGCTGCGGCTCGATCTTATACCGCTCATCAAGATCCAGACTTCCTCGACCTGGCCGTGACTTCATGGACTTCGGCAAGGCGGTACACAATATCTAAGGAGCAAGCCGCATCGGGCATCGTGGAAGTTAAGTAATTCAATATCACATCATCATGTCAAGGCGGTGAGTGTCATTGACGACTATAACTGGTCATTTCATGAACTCCGGTTGACAGCAACTCTGGCGGGTGGTACATATCGGGTAAGCCATGATTTACATCCATCCATGGCTCGTTAAATAAATCATTCAACTAGATGATTGATTTCGATGCGCTAGGTCTCTCGGGTACAGCCTCTGGGTTCGTTTTATTTTTATTTTCTCTGATTCATCGTTATCTCCTCTGTCTAACCAGTGCTTTTCTTGTGTGAGTTCCGTAATCATCTGTAATATGGATAATGGAACATACGCTGGGCTGACTGCGACAAAGCGTTTCGGCTCTACTGGCAGAAGCAACATCCAACCAGACGTATCTCGATGCCGCCATCGAGTCAACAAACTTTATACAGTCGCATCTTCTCAATCCATCTGACATCGTACTGGCTTCTATCTCCTCACAATCGAACAACCCTTGCTCAATACAACCAGTGACGTACTCGTACGATTCTGGGATCTTCATTGAAGGATTGGCCATCCTAGGTGATATTACCCATAATGCATCAACTGAGACCTTGTATGTGTCAACGGACCCTGGTTATCCACATACTGAATCATGATCTGCTAGATTGCGCAGTACTATCGTTGCCACTACAACCAACCCACTATGGCAAGGATTGGATGGAATCGTTACCAGTATGTTCCTTGCCCGTAAATTTATCTCGCGAACTCATCGTTACTTTGATGGTAAAGCTACCGAACCTGGAGGACTCTTCATCATGCGTGCCTTGGCGGCGTTATACGAACGCAACACGACATCGTCTGATCTTCGAGATTATATCAAGGAATATGTTGGTGTCCAGGTGAGTCCTCGCAAATCCATCTCTCCGGGTTAATATAACTCATTATTGTTGAACCCAGTATAATGCCGTCGTCGAGCAGGCCCGGGCCACAGACGGGAGCAACATTTACGGGTTGCCCTGGACAGGACCACCAAACACATCGTTCTCCGGTGTCAACTAGGTCGTAGCTGTTAGCGCATTAATCAGTGCAATACAGTTTATGGACGACCGGCCGTCGTCGAGATCGGGTGATGATCCTACTTCGAGACTTCGAGTGCTGTTGCTAGCTCAAGCACAAAGAAGAGCCTGGTCGTAGGTAATAGTCGGCGGTGCCGTAGCTGGGCTGGTGGTCCTTGCAGCCATAATCGTAGGCCTCCTTCTTTTGCGTAGACAGCGTCGTTGAAGGAACAACACCTCTCTTGCTGTGACGCAGCGTTCCTTACAAACACTCACACCGTTTATGGGCACATCGACTACAAGCACTTCGGTGCCATCAAAAGGAGATGAACCCGGCGAAATATACTAAATATGCTGCAGATGCGAGTAGAAGAGAGTCCTCTTCTTCATCGGGGGTGATAGATAATGACTCGGCAGGGAGAAGGATGGAAGTACGGACTGAGTCGACGGCTTCTGGAAAATAAAATTCGAGGGAGACCGCCAACCGCCATGTTTCCCAATAAGGGTGGCCCGTGGCATGTGACAGTGCCCTGCCCTGCCGTTCCAGTTTTCCAGTTTTCCCTACCAATACAACAGTCTTCCCTACCCGGTGTTACGATGTGCCCTGCTGCCTACGATGTAACTCTGCTGTGACTCTGAGCTTTGCTGATAATTCGGATAATTCAGGCCTCGCAATAGAAGCATTCCCGATTATCTAGCCCTGCTTCGTCATGTGATTGTGGCTGCAGCCTTCTCACTGTCAGGCTTAAATCTGAATCCTCAACTATCATGGGCAAGACCACAGGGAGCATTGAAAAGAGTGCGCAACAGTCTTTTCATCACAGTCGCATGATGGCAGGGTCAAATCGTGCATAGGTACACAAAAGGAGACCTTGGACGGCAAGAACATAGCCGGATCGCGATACAGCTTGCTTCTTTGACAACTCAGACTACGTCGCTGACGGCCAGCCAGCCTCTACCAGTCAGCATGTGATCCTAGCTGCACTTTGAGCCTTAATCCCATGGACCCGACACCTCTCTCCCCAGGCGCTCGAATCCGATCCTGTCTCCAGCAGCTCGAGGACGCTCTCAAAGACCTCATGGAAATAGATCCAGCTGCCACTCCTGGAACCGTGAAAAAACGCGATGATCTCATCAAAGAAATTCTCGAACGCATGAGCCAGATGACAGCGATGAATATTCTCTCTCGTCGCCATCCCACTCCCACTCCTCAGCCCGGTAGTCCCGCTACACCTCAGGCTGCTACTGTAGATCCTGTCATCGCTCGTTTTCAATCCCTCCTCCCCAAATTCGATGCGAAAACATTCCCGCCACTCACAGCGCAAAACTTGAAATACAGGCTTACAACCCCCAATAATGGCAATTATGCCACAGCAGAGGATGTCGCGTTCGAGACTCTCTTTCGGGGATATAGTGACACCACTCACAACTGGGTATGTCACCTCTTACCTCGCCTTTCTCTTGCTCATACTCCCTTCAAGACCATTGTCCTCTCATCCATGATAGAGACACGCAACAAATGGGGTGAAGTTTGTAAGAAAACTCAGGGAATACGTACACTTGACACAGAGGTTGAGCGTATTGTAGCCATCGACAAGGTAAGCTATCATCGTCATCTCCGACCACCTTAATAACGTTCCCGCAGTTCCTTGATGCCCAGATCTCTGTAGGATGCAGCGAGATGTACATCAACTTTGTCATTCGCGGCATCGAAACCATTCGCTATGTCAAAATTTGGGACGCTGAACCAAATGACGACCGACCAGGAGAACGCAAATGGAAAATCGACTATCTAAAGGACACCTTTCGGAGCGAAAATCCAGTGGTCGTACGCACCCTCAATGAAGCACTCGAAGCAGGCGACGAACCAGAAATCAACAGAGCAAAAAAAGCTTACAAGACCAGACTGGACGCTCATAGGAAGAAGCATCAGCGAAAGATGGAGATGCGCCGCCCACTTGCGATCCTCTATGACTATGCAAGTCCCTTTTTTCATACCTAAATGCTAAAAGCTGACCATGACTAGTTTGGTGCCGCCGTTTTTCTTGAACCGACATGGGATGTAGTGGACAAGAGCCAGAAGAGACCGAGGAGCAAGATGTTCACTTCATTGCTGACACATCTTTGCACCCATCTACCAGAGGAGAATGGGATTCCTATCCCTGCGCGGCGCTACGAGGCAAATGAGAACGCGCTGAGGGAAATTTTGACGGTTTTTGCTCCGGAGACTCTAAATTACGTGCAAGACTTTTTGAACGAATTTTCTCCAGTACGTCACGCACGCAGGACGAGGACGCTGGGAGCGATGAATAGTGTAAATAGTTCATGACGTCACGCGTCTTGTCGCAATGATATAAATACCATGCCCCTGGTCCCCGTCGGTTCTTCCTTCCATCCTTCCACCATGCCCCTCCTCGGAGCCATCAAGTCTCGGGAAGAGAGGTACGAGGAGGCTCAGCAGAATCCCCTGCTCTTGGCACTCGAACAGGCCACCCTCGACAAAGAGCCGTTCTTCAAGAAGCTTTCCAACAGCACGCGCATGCAAGAGCGCAGGCTTGCTCAGCGATGGGTCGAATACTATGTTCTCTAAGTCAGAAAGGGAAATACGTGGGATATTACCGAGGAAGATCGTTGAAGGTATTGCGCTACCCCCAAGACGTGTGTTGTAGTCCTTTTCACCGCATATATGCACTCATCCCGTCACTTTCAGAGGCTTTCATCGGTTTCGCTTCATATCTTGCCATCAACACTCAGGGTCGCCTGAGTTCACAGTATGCAGCCAAGAAGACCATCAAGAGCTACATGAACGGCATTTTCGGATTGTTTCGTCGCAACGCTCTCCTCAAGGTCCCAAACGACTACCACCAGCAGTGCTTTGCCTTTCTCGACTCTGCCGACTTGGAGAGAGTTGTTCCACTTGTGACACGCATGCGAGATAAACACATTGCTAGCACACGATCCTGCAGGACCCTATGTCCGCTCAGAGAAGAGAGGATTTGTCTGCAGAAGAATTGCTAAGACTATTCAACGAACGGCTGCAGCCCGGCCCATGGAATGACTCAAAGGACGAACCACCGCCGGGGTACCATGAAAGACAGACTACGTGAACGGGGCTGTATGTCTGCAGCCATCCGACGGATGTTCTACCCAAAGTATTTGCCTTCTATAGCGATGGGTTGGGGTTCCCACAGATTACAACTCTAACATACTCTAGGAAATAAGATCCGCCATTATATTGTATATCCAAAAAATTAGTAGCTAGACGGATGCAGGAGGCAGTTGACGAATTGGGGGAGGGGAAATAGAAGACGTCTACAGATAAACAAATCTACGACCTCATATTAGACCTTCAGCTTACCCATGCGATATAATCCAGGGAAAAGCTCTTGGAGATCCGCCACCATTGACCACCGGAGTCTTACTGATACCGACACGACCGAGGAGAAGCGCTCGCATAATAAGTGATCGAGTGTATGGAACATGGGGGAACAATGTTTGGGAATGTCTTTAGCGCTTCCTGGGTACGCGTCTGATACACGAATCATTAATGTTGACAAGGATGATAATCTCGACACGGCAGGGTCGGAGAACGAGTCTACAAGCCACGAGAGCCATCCAGACAAATCTTGGCCACTATGGAGGCGTAGGATTTGGATGGAGTGGGTATCAATAAATTTAAAGAGCATATCTGTCCGCATCTGTGAGCAGTATTCAACGATTCTGATAATTTAGAATTCACCATCAAGTGCCCCTTCTATTTCAACTTCTCGGAGGGTAAGACGGTTGATATCTAACAGATCGGGGAGCGCATTGTCTGCTCGACGATGAGTACCGTCTTTTCCTTGGAGCCCGTACGAGGAAAACACTGAAAGCGAACGGAGGACGAGACACGTCCAGTGGTGAATTCTCTTGTACAAAGATATTCAATAGTGATAGTGATGTTGTCTCATCGACGGCTATACTGAGATTGTAGGAGAGTAACGGCTTTTGTGACATCTCCGCAATATCGCGTCGTAGAAGGCGGGCTTTTGCCATTGGGGGGGATACGATCGATAACGAAGGAAATAGAGTCAAGTTTCAAGGACTTGATCTTTGTGGCATCAAGGAGTGAGAAGAGGTCGTCGTACTGCATGAAGCGCACGTTGGTAAGATCCAACACGTCTATCGCGCCATGCCTCAACGTTGCAACGATTGCTTTCGAAGCAGGAGGGTATACCCACAAGTCGAAATTGAGGTCGAAGGAAAGGTGATGAAGGCGGGGAAGGAGAGGAAGGAGATCACATATTAGGCTGGCTTGCCTTGAAGGCGGGGAATACGTTGATGTGATGATGGTCAGGTGGCGTAGGCGCCGGGAAAGATGGGGGTTGCCGCGGAGGAATTCAACGCGTTTAGAGGATGAGACAATGCCACCACGGGCTGCCAGTGGACCTATGTCAAGCACCATAGAGTAGAAGAGCTGTGATCTTGATACTTCGACCCAGGATTGACAAACGAGGCTGCACGACGAAAGCGTCTTCAAGTCATTCTGCATCCCCAACTGTTCGTGGATGAGATGAATGATCTCCAGAGGGAGAGGAGATGACCGTAACGCCATCTTCATAGTCGGAGTCAGGCAAAACGGAGGCCAATTTTGACATAGTCAGGATAGTCAGGTTTTTATAAATGCTATTGGGCGCTTAAAGAAGTCCGGATTGATCGCCTGCAGCTGTGCATGAACACGATGCACACTCAGCGCTCAGTAGTGAAGACTATACCATTCAGAATCACAGTGATCTGACAGATGTCCATGGAATGGTATACTCGAGGGGCTGCGTTTGATGGAATAGAGGTGTATGTAAGAGGATTTCACCCCCGCTGTAGTAAAGGTTCCAGCCGCCAATAAAGCAGTCTTCTACAGCCAGCCATGATATAGTCTATCCGGCGATTAGCGGAACATGCAGACCACGATTTCAATTGAAGAACACTTACATAGAAGCTGTGTGCACCCGAACTGGTAGAGAACCTGGCAGATTGGCGCCCACAGGCCACGGCGTTCGAAATTCGAATCTATTCGAACAGGTCTTCGGGATTTGTCTGAGCACGTGCAACGGCTCATCGTCCCGGAGTCCCGGCTTGCCATCCAACCACCATCGTATTTTCTCGCTACACAGCATATATCCAACGAAACTCAATAGTTTTGCCTGGATCTTCCGCTCAATACTACTGCCGGAGAGTACGAACTTCCGACCCTTGTTGACTACCTATTGTAAGTAACAGCTATATGTATGGATTAAAGTGCGCTAGAAACTGAGATGCTTCGCTTGTACATTATAGATCGTCTATAAGAGGGCTCACGCCTTGTGCAGTACCAATCAACTGCTCGAACTGCAGACGATATCGTTCCACCAAATCCCGATCTACCATGAATTTCTCAAAGGCAGCTGGTTCCAACGACCCCCCATATTCCGACAAAGCTGAAAGGAGAAATTCAGCTTAGTTATTAATGAATTTTGACCGAACTCACGCTTCAGCCCGGCCTGTTGCCCGATATCGTTGCGCACGCTCCATCCTCCCGATGACGATTGATGTTCCTCCGAGAGGAGCCAATTGAGGTAGAGTTTTGCAGCATTAGGGTGTTCTGCTGTCCGGAATATTGCTGCCCTTTGGGACCATATGCTCACCAGGCTGAAATCGCTTTCGGGAAACTGCTGATAAACTCCAGAGCTTCCGTTGCTGAAACCAGAGCCTGTAGAGAATGTGACAGCATGCTCCGAGCCAGAGAGGAGAATCGCCCTGGGAGTGGCAGTTCCGCGGACCCAGCGAATGTCCTGAGCAATGAATCTGTAGATAGCGTCCCAACCATGCGCTTGCACAATTTTGTAGAATCTGGAGAACAAGTTAGACGTAGCTCTAGGATACGGGTATGTTCGCGTACTGAAAAAGAACCGCGTCGTTGTCATTGGGGTATGTTGACACAATTTTCCCCTTCCATTTGCAGTCGAGGTAGTCAAGGAATTCCGTGGGTGCCTCTGAGATGTTGGTTTTAGCAGTGGCGAAGTTATTGGAGAACAAAATGTAGGCGATGGGTCTGTGCCAGCAGGTTTTCCATTAAGAAATAGGATACGCGCTGCTTCCAGGAACTTACACGTAGTAGGCGCCATCTGCGTCCTTAATGTCGTCCGGAATCTGATCCCACCCGGCAGGTTTATATGGGAGGAGCTTCAAGGAAATTTATTCAATACTATAATTCAGTCAGCTTGGGAAAGGATACCTACGTGACCTTCATCTTTCCACCGGATGAAATCGTGGAGGGTTTGCAGATGGGCGACGTCAGTACCTGCCTTTCCGGTCTGATTCAGAGAGCGGTCGATGACGCCGTCGTGATACTGTGGACACAGGGAACTTGTCAGACCCATTCAGCTGAAGAAGGGGAAAGGGTACCTTCGACAAATCAACGGTTATCGAAATGTTCATCTTTGGGAACCTTTGCTGGAACGCTGAGATAGTAGAGTTCTGTTGATATGCCTCGTCTCCGCCGGCCTTTACGATCAATTGGCCTCCTTCAGCTATGGCAAGCTCGTACAGCTCATCCAAGCTACGTGACTCGGCTTTCAGACTATGACCATGACCATAATCAGGACAGCGAGTCTTGACGGTTGCAGCGGACGCGACGGAGAAGGACACCAACGTTGTAGTGAGGAGAAGGGGACGGAAACGCATGCTGAATTGCCTGTGTCGATCACCGTAGAGCAGGTGAGCTAGAGCAATGCATTCTCAGATAGGTGAATGAAGCACTTATACTGAACGCCAAGTAAGTGCGGCCCAGCTAGCTTATCGCTGACATTGCTCAGAATGTACTGTCAGCAACGTCAACAAGTTTACTAAGTTTTGCGCCGTATTTATGCGACACGGGCGCCGTCAACATCGATGATGTAGTATGGGTAGATGGTACCTGCTAAGGAAACAAACGGATGAAATGGGCGCATGCTGCTTGCCAGTGAGCTGGCATTTTGAACATGAGAAGGGAAACAGAATACCCACGGCGGCCATAAATGTACAGAAAAATGAGGCGAGTTCTAAAATATGACCAAGCAGTCGGGCGTGTGGTGCGAACCGAATGCGAGCAGTCGCAGGAAGATGCGCCGTATGCTCCGGGCCTTTATTTTAGGCCGCGCCACCTTCTCAAAAATTTCCGTGAAACATCCTTGTCGACGTAACAAAGCCATGTCGGTGTAAAATGGCCTTGTCTTGGTCTTGTCCCGCCCTCTTCCGAAATGTAATGCTTTCCAGTAACATGTACTTATATCCGTCTATCTCCACACGTGTACTGGGTAAAAGTACGAAAGTTCAACGTAAGTATCTGTTAAGTGTAACAAAAGTATGCTCAGGCACAGCAGTCCTTGATCCACTGGGGCTTTTACCCTTAGGACCTGGGTATGACGTTGACGGATTCTCCAGGCGGTGATACCCAAATTGGGACACCCAGCGGTCAGCCGGGCCGCCACAGAACGGCGCTAACGAAGATTGACAAATCTCCTTGAAAACATTCCAACACCAATATTAGCAAGTCAAGCATCTCCACCTCTGTCAATTGTTATTTAAGTATGAAAAGAGGGGGGGAAAGCTAGGCGCTCACCTCACTCTATCCCTCGGTGAATTCATACGTCTCCCTGTTCCGGAGCTATAAAAACAGGAATAATTGTACAGTTATAAAATAGTATTCCAAAGAAGAAACTATCGAACCACCTCCACAAATGCCTCTTCCAATTGTTGCAGTTGCTCTCCGACCTCTCTTGCCATAACTCTAACAACCCCATCTCCGTCAGTCGCAGCGAGATACCCAAGCGTTACTTTGGCTCTCCTCAGGACACCCGCCTGCCATAACCGCCTTTCATACCCGACATCCTCATCGTTATAGACAGCCTTAGTTGCTTCCCTCACAAGGACACCCAAGAACCTCACTGCCGCCCGTCTCATCGGCGGAAATTTACTATCGGCCTTGGTGGGATTCTCATCCATACTTTTCTCTCTATCCTCTTCCTCCGTCTGTACACTTTCCAATTGAAGCAGATCAACCATTCCGCCCACAAGATCTTGAAAGTATGATGCAAGTGCTAAAGCATGTGTGGCGGCGCACTCGCCCAGTAAACTAATAGCTGATGTACGCAGCGTCGTAGGTATTTCACGCATACGGACGACGTGCAGAAGGGTTGGCACGATGATGTCCACTACGCGACTGTCAGTAACAAGGAGATAAGGAAAATTAGAGGACTAACCATACGCGCCCAACGCGCTACCGCAGCGTCTTATGACCATACCCAAGGCCTCCCCGATCCTGACCCTTGTGTCCACCTCGCCACGACTCCACACATACCCTCCGGATGTTCCTTTAGCGTAGTCACCGACTATCCCTCGGAGGACTTCTCTGCTCCCATCTCCCGCCCTCGACCATCCCAGCCAGACCCTGCACTCCGTTCAGATACACATACGAGTCTTCGTCTTGTAGTGCTTGCAAGAAGATTGCCAGCACTGCTGGTATCAACGCCTCTTCCATCTTCCCTCCCTTCGCCAGTTCTCGGAGAAGCAATAGTCCATGAGCACGTACAGGTAGGATGGGATCCTGTAGGAGTTTGAGTGCACGCTGATACGTCTCTCGCGCCTCCTCAGCGTCGTCTTTCGTTTTGCCTTTACTGGGAACGGCAGTAGACGTAGATGCAAGTCGAGCAGTCATAACCATCCTGGCTTCCCTAGCAATCGGCTTGATCCCCTCTGGTCCGTCTTTCGCGAGAGGTTCGAGAAGCTCGAAAATCTCGTTTAAGACGGGTTCCGTTCGTGCTGAAAGAGTCGGGTTTGACTCAAATATTGACAACAGAAGATTGATGCTTGTTTCTGTCATCTCGTCGTACTCCGGGGTGTCCTCGTCGTCGCTGTCTTCTTTCCCAAGGTCTTCTTGAGTGTGTATAAACTTTAGAGGATCTTTTGTTTCTTCAAGAACTGCGAAGTTTGACTGAACGCGCGCCTCCAAGGCATGCTTTACAAACACCAAAATATGGCCCGGATCCTTTAATATATTCTCCTTCCCATCTCCATCAGACATTTTCATTTGGATCTGCATGATGAGTTGCAGGTATAGCAACGTCCTATGCGATAATACGTCAGGGCTTGCAACAGCGGATATCAGCTGCTTACCTCATTGGGCCATCGTTTGCTCGAGAATCCCTATATGCCTCCAGAAGTCTAACAAACAACTCTCCGCTGACGTCTCTTCTGTCGAGTTTTTTCAAGAATGAAACGAACCGTCGTGGATCCGGGTATAGATCCATGATGTTGGCATCCGGATCAAGTTCTCCTGCTTGCTCAGCCTTTTCAAGATCTTCTGGAGTGAACATCGCAAGCCCCAAATTTTTTTCTTTGCCGACTTGGTAGATCAGTCCTTCCAAATCCACCTTCCAACCAATCTCGCCACCTTCGTTCTGTACAATGCTCCAAATGATCCGCGTTCCCTCCTCCTTCTCAACAACGCGACCCCATGTTTCTAGCATACCGCGAACAGTTTCACGAGTAGTGGGGTCCGAAGTGCGAACATGTTCCAGATGCTCCAGCAGAGAGTAAAGAGAAGGTATAACTGGGGAAAGTAGTGTGGCGATGAGCGTTGGCACTGGATCGGTGTTCGTTATGAGAGTAGATAGGGCGGTCAACGCTGTGTTAGGGCTTAATTCCGACGAAGAGACGCTAGGACCGGGCTGTGAAGGTGGATTGATGGGCTGTATTAAGCCCGTTGGTTCGTCGGAGAGTGTGGACACGTGCAACAAAGAGCCGTGAAGTAAGGGCATGATAATACCTCTTGCAATTTCATGGTGTGAAGAGGACCCATCCGTCGCTAGCATCCTAGAGATGGTAAAAGCTGCCGCGCGCTTATAGGACGCAGGTGCTTCATGGTAGAGAAGCGCAAGAATGCGCGGCACAGTGGCACTATAGTAGTCCTGAACCTTCAACGTTAGTTTATTGGACAATCTCACCGAACATCAGGAACATAAGAGCACCGTGAATGGTGTTAGGACCTTGCTATCCAGCCATTGTAGTGATATTTATCAATGGCTTGCATTCACACTGCACTGAGCTAGCACTGATTTTTGGTATCAAATGCTCACCTTCGGCTCCATTCCTTTCGGCACTGCCGTCAGGACCTTTGCTACATGCTCGAGTTTGTCCAGACGTACTTCTTCTCCGGCCTCCTCGGAGTCTCCGAATACGGCGGCGCATAATCCGTTCACGCCTTGTGTACGCATCACTTGCTTACTGAGAAGCACGGAACAGGTACGTTGAGCAAATGCTGGCCCAAGGGAGAGAGATGAAATGACGCCTCCAAGGGCAGTGATACTTTGCGATGGATGTAAACTGGAAGATTGATTAAAGGTCAGCATTTTGCTTTAATTCTAGAAATTCGCACACGCACATGGACAAAAGACGAATAACTAAAGGCCGGATGCCATCAAGAGGTAATATGTATTCTGTTGCCAAAGATTTTGGAAGCCACCCAAGCACTATCGCGGGCTTCAAAATGTCCGTAACATGCCTATTCAGCACTGTCGTAGTAATCAGCGTTTGTGGTAGGCGACTTTGCAGACCAGAAGGAAACAGGAGGGCGAAAATCTCATTGATCAGCTGGCAGAGGTGCTCGTAGTCTTTCAATGTATGTTCAACGGCGATTTGAACCTTTTTCGATGACGAGGGTGTGGGTAATGCGACGATGATATTTGATAAGAGCGGTTCCACGCCCCATTTAAACACAATGGAAAGGAGAGTGCGTAATTGGGCTATATCGCGTGTCCCAATGAGCGGAACGTCTTCTTCACCATCCTGTCCATCTATTATTCGCTGAACGCATCCGACGACAGAAAGCGCCTCCTCCGCTGTCACCTGTTTGATCTCTTCCACCGAAGCATTATCATCAGGATTCTGTGGTTGCCCCAGGTGGTCATAGTATTGGTCAAGGCGGCTTCGTAGAGTAGACCAGTAAACTTGACGATGGTGATGGTGATGATGGAGATTCGAGAAGGAAGGCGCCGGCTTGGATGTGATGTTGAAGGTCCTTGGACATGGACAAGAAAAGTTCGGCAAGTCGGACCGGTATGTACCACTGTTGTACTTTCCCACGTTGTACCCAGACCCATCGACCCGGATGACCGAGCCATTCAAAGAATGGCCTTTCACTTTCACCTCCCACGGACACACGCAAATGGATCCTCGACATTTAAAAGGTCAACCATATCTATGTGTGAGAGTGTGCTCTTGCATCGTTTCTCTCCAATGTTTCCGATGGACTTACCTTGGACTTATTAGTAACCCTCTTACTCATGTTCCATCTTGTCAGCCACCGATCCAAGACGCGCATCGAATATACACCCTAGCTGTTACTGTGGTGTTTTTCTCCAATTGCCAGGCTTGGAATGATCTCGATCTGACGCCAAGCCTAAGCCCTGTGAACGCAGTCAGGCTTTAAAACGCTTCCTTCGTATAAATAACGGTAACAACTAATTGCCACTCAGTGATGACACCCCTCGAACTGTCCGTTGTTCTTGCTCTCTTGGTATTCCTCTATCTGATCCCCCGTTCCGCTCGAAACTCTGTGTCTGACGTGCGCGGCCCAACCTCCAAGTCCTTCCTCTATGGTATCGTCCATCAATTTGTGTCTCTGAACAAAAGGTCTTAAGGTCGGTTGGAGCTGTTTACCCTGAGCTTCTAGCTGGACAAGCTGGAGAAGTATGTCATTTCTGTCTCTATAGAATGGACAATGCACTGATGTGTTTCTGGAGGTTGATTTTAAATGGCAAGAACTATATGGAGATGTTGTCTGAGTCCGAGCATTCTCACGGTGCGAGTAGAAATTCGCCTCTTACCACTGTCTGTCTATAAAATATTCATGTCGTTTTCCAGGAAGACAAGCTGTTAATATCAGATCCCAAAGCTATCAATATATGTATCACACAACCAGGTACAAGTTCTCCAAGCCATCTGGCAGAAAGGAAATGATCGCTCCTCTTATGAGAGAAAGCGACGGTATGTTAAATAACGCGATCGTGTCGTTTCTATCTAAGTTAGTTTGCGATACAGATGCCAGCCACCCGAAACATAGGAAGGCTATGGAGCCTACTTTCGGTATATCGAAAATTAGGGCTTTCGTTCCTACTTTCTTCTCGTGTGGAGGTAAAGTACGTATATTTTCCTCATTTCAGATTATCCAAGACAAAGGCTGTACGGAAAGTTGGTATCAAATGGCAGGATATAATTTCCATGTCAGGTGGCGACTCGGCGGTCATCGACGTTGTTCAATGGATCTCCGGTGTGACCTTGGATGTCGTTGGCCAAGGCGAACTCAAATTCTTATCTCAATGAGACAAACGTTCTGACCATCGCCAACGCTCACTCTCAGCCATCTTCGATATCGATTTAGGACTGTTTGAGGGCGAGGAGAGGCATCCTTTGGCGGAAGCATATGCCAACACTTTGTGAGCAACTGACATTACTTCCAGGATGCGACCCGATAGGCTCATGTACACATCAGTTTCAAGGAATTCTCGGCCCCAAAACCAGATAGCGCTAAATCTCTTGTGCTTGCCTTTTGTCTTGTTGAGCGCCTTCCCAAGGCGATCATACGGCTCGTCGTCAACCACTCGCCTGCTCCTCGGTTTGCACAAATACAATACTCTGGCCAAGTAATCGGTCAGATAACGAAGAAAATGTTGAACGAACGATACGATTCCCTTGGTTCTGGAAGAGATGGTAAAGACATCGTTAGTCTATTGGGTTTGGTTCTTTTTGCTCTCGGGAATAATGCTCGTTCTCATCTTGAATGTCTGAAGTGAAAGCAAATACTTCAACTGATGAGAAGATGCGCCTTAACGAATCAGAAGTCCAGAGTTTTATGAAGTGAGTTGGCTAATTCAAGGCCCAGCAACGGTGCTAACTGATTTATCAGTGGCTTGCTTTTCGCAGGACACGAAACCTCAGCAAACACGTACGTTTCCCGTAAATATTTGTCGTTTGAGAAATGTTTGATGTGTGATTGGTTAGTTTGTCTTGGATTATTTATGAGTTGGTGAGGTGCCAACATAGGCTCCGGGCGGAAATCCCAGTCACATTAGCTGCCCGAGGTCGCGACCTGTCTACATCAGATTTGGATGCTATGCCATACTTGGGAGCAGTCATAAAGGTCAGTATCCAATGATTTGATCGTTGTGACTGTTGCTCAAAGCGCAAGTCTTAGGAAGCCCTTCGATATCATCCGATCGCGTATCACAACGTCAGGATATCCACCCGGGACGATGTTATTCCTTTGAGCAAACCTATAACGACAGCATCTGGCAAAGTTCTCAACGAACTTCCCATAGCAAAAGGGACCTACATCATCAGCTCGGCTGTGGCATATAACCGAAATAAGGATATCTTCGGCCCTGATGCAGATCTCTACCACCCTGATCGCTGGTTAAAGGCAAAACCCAAAACGCGCTCGGATGCTCCATCCATTGGCTTGATCGGTAACCTGTACGTGTAGTACTCAAGCATCCTTAGTATGACGCGTTTTGACATTTTTATTTTAGCTTCACGTTTGGCGGCGGGCCTCAATCATGTATTGGATGGCGCTTTGCGTACGTGTTACTTTCTATTATCTTGGTTTACCCTTACGACTACGCATTTAGGGTTCATGAGATGCAGGTCTTACTCATCGAGCTAATGGACAACTTTGAGTTTTACCCTACCGACGTCATTCCTCGAATTCGCAGAGAGGCTTGTCGAGTAATGGTGCCAACGATTGAGGGAGAGGTGCAGAAGGGTGCTCAAATGCCCATCCGTGTGAAGGTCGCGTCCCGGAATGCTTGACACGATCATAATCTATATTTTCAAACACAGCGTTGTAGAATGTTAGGATTTGTAACAACTTTCCTCTAAGGAGGATCGCAGGTCAATGTCGAATAGGTCTTTGCTCAATTGAGTAGTGTCGATGATAGCACTTCTAGCACTTGAGGCATGGCGGCCATTTCACCGTGGAGGCCAATTCTGCTACATATTTCAATACAGGAGACTATGGACACATTTTATATAACTTCTTTAAGTAACAGTAAGACTTGATACGCCTTCTGTCACTTCTTCGACGGGTCCTTCTACTAGCTTGGTAATCTACAAGGCAAGTCAGTATTAGAAAATAAAACAGACGGACACACATGCCTTCCCGATAGCGATGGTCCTCCCTAGGTAGAACAAGCACTCAGAATAAGCGTAGAGATAAAAGTGAATATACTGACCTTCATCTCGGAGTGTGAATCGCCCAAGCTGAGGGTAATCTACGAACCGTTCTACACAGACTGGTAGTGTCGTTTCTATCAGAGCTACGATTTTCTGGCCTTTGAAAGATATGAGCAGACGATTAACTTTAAAAAGAATCTAGAGGACCTCTCTTGGCAAATTGTGGCGGCTTTTTAGACTTGCGACCTGTGCTTTTGTCGAAATAGTGCAACAGTTGCTAAAAAAGAACGATTAGTACCATTCATATCGATTCGCAGCAACTTACAGTTAACACAACTTCTTCTGCCAAAGTGTGAATGTGCATGACAGCCGAATATCCAGCGCAAATGATACTCTTGTGCTCTAGAATCGCCAATTGTGCCTCAAACTGCCTAACTGCGTGGATGGGTTTCTGCGGACTTGTGAGCACGAATCCGGGAGAAATATCTTCGTCATCGACACCGCGCAGACGGATGCGGACGTTGTCACCGCAGAAAGCAGAGTTTACTTCGTCTTCCATTTCGTTGTAGATGGCTGAAACTTCGACGACGTCTTTGTTAGGCATGAGGGTTAGGGTATCTCCCTTGCGGATGTGACCTGATTCGACTTTTCCGACGACGACGGTTCCAAGCTCTTTGTATTTTTCAGAGATGGGCATCATAAGGGGGGCGTTAATCTTGCGGTCAACCATGGGCATGTTATCTAGGTATTGTATGAAGGACGGTCCTCTATCAGGATGATCAGTAAATCTGGCAAGGAAAACTTTTCGAAATTGACTCACGTCCACCAAGGGCACGTACTCTTGGGCACAGGATCCTTGAGATTGACACCGGTGTATGCGGAAACGGGAATGAAAGTTATGTCGGTCTTCGGATTAAAGCCTGCCGCCCTGACAAAAGGCGTCAGTTTGTCCTTAATTTCATCGAACCTCCCTTTGTCCCATTGGACTGTCGTGTCGTCCATTTTATTGATGGCAATAACAAGCTTCGTCACACCGACAGTCTTGACCAACATGATGTGCTCTCTCGTCTGTCCTCCTTTCTCAAAACCAGTCTCGAATTCTCCCTTTCGGGCGGATATTACCAAAATAGCGATATCAGCTTGGGCAGCGCCGGAAATCATAGATGGTACGAAGGTCTTGTGGCCTGGTGCATCAAGAATGGTGTATCGACGGATCTCCGTCTCGAAGTATGCACGGCCAACTTCGACGGTCTTTCCTTTAGCACGCTCCTGAGGCGTGGAATCGAGAGCCCAGCTGAGATACCACGTTTCTCGACCAGCATCCTTCGCTTCCCTCTCATATTTCTCCATCGTCCGCTTGTCGACCATGCCGGTCATGAACAAGAGATTTCCACCCATAGTACTCTTACCAGCATCGACATGTCCAATGAAAACGATGTTTAGATGCTCTTTAACTGATTGAACAAATTTTATCGGTCATATCACTAAGAAAATGGTTTTCACACACCTGAGCCGTATAGATCATCAAGGACAGTCTGATCGGCGACGGCCTTCACCTCCTGGGCTATGGCATTGGTGTCAGTCTTGGCCTTTTCGAGGGTGAACGTCTTGGATGGAGGAGGAGGGTCGTTTTTGGGCTTTGGTGTCTGTGGTGGTGTTTCTTTGGGCTTCTCTTGGGTTCGTTTCGCAGCTGTCGGTGCTGGGGAAGGAGAAGGGGAAGGAGAAGGTCTAGATCCGCCAATATTTAAAGATATGGTGGGCGGTGGACGCGGCGCTTCGAGCTGCTCTGGGCGCTCCACTGGCGGAGGTGGGGGCGGCTGCTGTACAGGCGGTGGGACACCAAAGGCCCTTCCTGGAACGAATTCGAAGGCACCGGCGTTGAGTTTGCTCATGATTATCGTCGTAGAGTGCGTCAGAGACAGAAATACAGGAAGGAAGATGAGTAGACGAGGACAAGAGGTAAACAAGGATATATCAGCCGGCTCCGAATTTTAGGCCAGACTCAGTTGTTGAATAAAAATGACTCTAAGAAAAAGTTTCACACATCATTGGATAAAAATTGCTTTACTAGCTAATTGCAGTGACTGGTAGTAGTAGTACGGCCAGTACGGCGCTACGGGTCATATATTTGGTGATGGCAGCGGTGGTATCCCAATCGGGAGGCTCGACTCTCACATCATCACTTCATGGCCAACGACCTCGACAAGTACCTCGCGGTGCTCAAGGCCGCCTACGATTATACGCCTCAGTCCGACGACGAGATAGAAATAAAGGAAGACCAGATTCTCTTTCTCAAGGAGCGGGTCGACGACGAGTCAGTGTTTGGGCCATTCGCATTCACAGCTTGCTTACTCGTTTCGCGTTAGTTGGTGGAAGGTCAAGGTCAAAGGCACATCCCAGGACGACGATAGCCCCGTTGGCCTTGTTCCGGCTGCATATGTTGAACAGGTATGCCCCATTACAGTCCGACCGATATTGGGTCCCTGTCTGATTACACCTAACAGGCCGACCATACATCGGTCGTAAAGGCCGTGTACGACTACACCGCTGCCGCTCCCGGTGAAGTGTCCATGACAGAAGATGAGATTTTGCTCGTGTTTGATACAGAGGATGAGTGGCTTCTCGTGCAAAGCAAGACCGGTGACAAGGCCGGATACGTCCCTGCCAACTATGTCGAAGCATGCAGCGAGGATGCAGAGGAAGAAGAACCTGCGGCACCCCAGCAAATCATAGTTCCCCCATCGGTGTGTCAGAGACTTGTTTCGGGATATTCTACGTTATAACCCGCTATCTAGCCTCCACGGCCCGTCAGCACATACGTCGACCCTGCCGACAGAGTTGCATCGACAAAGGTGACGGCGGACGACATCCAAACCTGGTCGGTGTCTGAGGTCGATAAGAAAGGGAAGAAGATGAAAGGTACTTTGGGCATCGGGAACGGCGCCGTGTTCTTTGCTAGTGAAACCAGCAAGGTACGGTCAAACATAACATCTCATTATTCGCCCTCATTCTACTCTCACACGATTGCAGGCTGCGGTACAGAAGTGGCAAACCGGTCATATTGTCAACATAAGTACAGAAAAGTCCAAACACGTCCACTTCGATGTGGAAGGGCCGAATCCAACAAGCCTTCATTTCAGTGTTGGGTCAAGAGATAATACGGAGGCTATAGTAGCGAAACTTGAATCTTCCAGAGCTCTTGCTGTAGAACCTCCTCAGGATCCGGAGGAACCTGAACCCGAACCTGAACCAGTTGTCGAGGAACCGCCCAAGAAGCCTTCGGTGCATTTTTCGAACCACTCTCCTGTCATTATTCCACCGCGCCCAAGTGAACCTTCTGATGACGAACAAGAAACGGAGGCCCAGGGATCAGCAGGTGTTGCTTTGTATGATTTCACAGCTGCTGGAGACGACGAGCTGTCTGTCAAAGAGGGAGAACAACTCACAATTGTAGAGATGGATGAAGAAGACTGGTGGAAATGTCGTAATGCAAAAAACCAAGAAGGCATGGTTCCATCATCATACTTAGAAGTGCGTTGTCGCTCTCTGCACAGTTTGAAGCGATCTCAACCATTAAGTAGCTCACCTCAAAGAGTGGCCCATCCCCGCCACGTTCGCGTTCTCCAGAACCGGAGCCTGGGGAGGAAGATGATACAGAAGCTCGTGAGGCAGAGGAGCGTGCCGCTGCTGAGGCTGCTGCTGCTGCTGCCGCCGCCGCGCAGGCAGAAGTACGTGCCAAACGCGAAGAAGAAAAGAAGAAAGAAGAGGCGCGAAGACGAGCTCGAATAGCAGCAGAGCAGGCTGATGCGAAACGAAAAGAACGACAGGCATCTCGTACAGCGTCTACACCACCTCCTTCGTAAGTCATATTGCATCACTTGTACCTTCCAGGCTCATGTGGCTTTGCTCTAGCAAACCGAGTACTGACAGCTCAAGTAGTTCAAGTAGACCGTCAGCAGACCTGGGTCGTAAGTGTTCCAGATTTACATTACTTCTCAGCTGCTATACAAGATTACAGGTCCCCCTGCAGACCGCGTTCGTGTTTGGCACGACCGGACTGGACAGTTCCGCGTCGACGCTGCTTTCGTGGGCATGAACAACGGCAAATTACGATTACATAAACTGAATGGAGTTATTGTCGAGGTGCCATCGGAAAAGATGTCTCACGAGGATATGCGCTACGTCGACAAACTGACCAGCAAGAAATCCAGACCACCAGCCAACCACAAGGTGTCCGAAGACGACATTCCTATTGGTGTACAGTATCCGAATGCTGCCAACGGCAAAGTAGCGCGTGCGCCTCAAGGACCAAAGAAACCGACAGTTGATTGGTTCAAGTTCTTCCTGGACGCTGGCTGCGATATGGACGATTGCACTCGTTATTCTACTTCATTTGAGCGAGAGAGGATGGACGAGGCCGTGTTGCTTGATACGTCTGAAGCAACGTTACGTTCTTTGGGTCTTCGAGAAGGCGATATCATCCGAGTCATGAAGGCCGTTGAAAAGCGCAAAGGCAAGACTAACGGAGAGGGCGATCAGGTGCGCAGCGACGAGGAGATGGCCAAGCAACTTCATGCAGAGATTAATGGTACTAAACCTGCTCCAAATATTTTCACTGGACCTGGTGGTGCATTGAAGACGCAGGTACGACGCGGGAGACCGCAGCCCAGCAAGAGTCTCCCACCTGCTACGGTTGATCTAAAGTCAATTGGTAGCGTTGTGGGTAACATTACGGGAGTGGAACGAACAGCTTCACCACAGCTTCTCAGTCCTGCTTCCGGCACTGCGGTGCAACCTCCTCCGCGGGCAAGTTCGGCAGCACCGGTTGTCAGCGGTTTTGATGACGATGCATGGACAAATAGGCCTAGTTCAACGAAGCCATTGACTCCTGCTAGTCCAGCTGCCGCGGTACGAGCGCCTTCGGCACCACCTCCTACTACTACAGCTACCCCTGCAGCGCCCGCAAACCCTCCTTCTACCTCACAGCCCCCTGTCACAGCTACATCTACTGGTCATGGTCTCGCCAAGACAACTGAGTCTGATATCTTTGATCAGCTGTCGCGTTTGAGCGAGTTGAGGAAGAATACACCTGCACCTCAATCCACTCCTACACCACCCGCTACTGTTGCATCTCCCACGAGCTACCGTTCAGGTTTGGGCATGGGGTCATCTCCTGCGCCAATAGGACAACATCTACAGAATCAGCAATCTGGAATGTTGCCTCAGGTGACACCACCACCTGCACAACCTTACAATGGTCCTCGAGGTCCATTTGCTCCTGTCCCTGCTAATCATGGCCTGTTGCAACCTCTTATACCCACACAAACGGGGTTCAATAGCTTCATTCCTACACGTTCTACCGGCGCTGCCGTATCTCCGTTCGGGAATAACTCCTCATCACCATCTTTCTTGACATCTCAGCCGACGGGATTCCCTGCCCAGCAGCCACAAATAATGTCGCAGCCAACTGGGTTCCCTGTTACTCAGCCTATGATGTCGCAGCCGACAGGATTCCCTGGTGTTCAACAGCCAAATCAGCCTCAACTCACAGGTATGCCCTTCGGCGGATTTAATGGTGGTAGCCCCTTCTCAAATGGAGGCATGGGTACTGTTATGTCGAGTACGTGTAATGACTTCCTTTCTGATGCCTCCGCTGACTGCTATCGATCCAGATCCAACAGGTATGAACCCTGGCTTCGGCCAATTTGGTAATGGAATGTCTTCGCCGCCACCAGTACCTCCACTACCGAATAACAACAACACGAACAACACCAATCCAGCCAATATTTTCGCGCAAATGAAATCCGGTACTTTTGCTCAGGATAACGAACCGCGATCTGCAGGTACGTTACCATATAAATACACCGTTTCCGACTCTCATTTTGGGAACAGCCGCATACGACGCTCTTCGAACAAACCGTGCGTGTCTTTTTGATACTTCTGGTATCTTGACTGACGTTTAAGGTTTAGCGATCCAAGCACAGCCAACTGGCTGGGGCAATTTTGGAAGTTCTCCATACGTGGGATACCAACGGTGACAGTAACTTACGATTTTGGATCGAGTGGATGGAAATGTGCATTCTTAGTGATCGCTAACGTTTTAGTAATTCGACAAATATATAACATATATTCAGTTTGGACTTGTGAAACCACAAGCAAGCGAGGTGCTGCACATTTATTATCAACGCAATGGAGCAGAAATAGGGCTAGCCAGCAGACAATTACAGACGTGTGAAGCACGAGCACATCAGCTTTTCCTCTCATCTTTCTGATTTTCAGTTTGAAAATGTGAACTTGAGCTGGGCGAGCCATTTAGATTCTTTGGCTTTGAGATTCAGTGAATATCTATTTGACAATTCTGTAGAATTCCTCTATAGATAAGCATAGCTGAGACCAAGGTATGAACGGTCCCATGTCCATTTTTTAACGTAGAGCAGAAGGAAACATGAATTATCCGTGGCCACCAAATACACTGAATAAATACGATACAACCAGATATTACGATGAGACCTCTATTATTCCGTGAGCGTATCCTACCCGTAAAAAATACGTTTTTAACGATATCCGAACCTCGGGAGCCAAATCACGGCCAAGGAGCTCTGTGACCACTGGATATACGGCAGGAAGGTACACAGCGAACTAGAACAACAAACATGAGAAGAAATCCACGGCAGACACAATGAAACTCACTGTCTTATCATCAAATCGGCAGAAGCCATCCATAATTTCGGCGACGACCGGGGTCCATGCAACAATATTTTTGCCTTGCGTATCCGCACGCAGCTTATTGTAGTCCTGGATGACTCCTATAGAAAGACTGTTCTGGCGTCAGTACGATGCTTCGTAGACAACGATGCAGCACGCACGGAAGCAGACGTTCATCGACCTTATCACGATACCGTTGGTGTTCAGGACGTGGGTCAAAGAACATCCGCAAAAGAATATGGGCAAGTGTGGATGCACTACTTGACTCTTGTTTCAAGAGATTAGGCAAGTGTTTCATGAATCCTATTGAAGGCAGTCAGATACTGAGCAACAAACACCGGCAATCATTACTAACCAACTTTCCATAGACCGGTACGAAGTTCCTTGTCTTCGTTGAAGGACCTCGCAAATTGATAACTCTGTCCGAGGACCTGGACAAGGGGAAGCAATTGATTTGGGGGTATCGTCATATAAACCTTCTCATTGCGCAGCAAATCATTGGTGGTTTCGATGAGTAGCAACTGCAAAACACATTTGACAATGATTTGTTTGAATATCCGTCGACGTTCAGCTGCGGTCTGTCCTTGTCGAGGAGAGTCACCATTAGGTGAAAGCGGAGCAGGCAAAATTGCCGCGCCGTTGGACTCTGATATCAGGAGAATTTGAGTAAATACAGAGGGAACTCAGGAAGCGGCTTACCTTCGCTAACATCCGGACTGGGGGATTCGATTTCCACGCGTAGGCTATCATCAAAGAGTTGATGAGGTGTTGTCGTCATGAACAGTTTGACGAAGGTGCTTGTAATACGCTCCCAACGGGCGGCACTTAATTTTTCTACATTATTTTCGACGAGTTGCTGCAGGCAGGACGTGCCAATGTGTGCAAGAGTATCATTCTCTGCCTAGAATGAGCATTGACATTGATGAACTGGAATCAGGGTCATACCTTGGCAGATACAAATGCAAAGTAGGTCCAAGAGACCATCGAGGGATCTTTCTAGTGTGTCGAAGTAGAACGTAAAGAGATCGATCACGTCTCGAAGTGCTTGTATCATGGTCGACGAAAGCCAGACACTCATGTCCTCCTGAGTACTGAATCGGGAGAGATCGTGACTAGACTTGAGAACCGAAAATATGGGGAAAATAAGGTCTTTGGTAACACTATCCCAGAAGCTCTCTGGAAACGAGGATCCATAGGTTTTAAGAGCAGTGAATAACGAATCGAGTGCTCTAAAACATCAAATGAATCAAGAAAACGTTGAAACTGAAAGGGAAAAACGCACAATCGCCGAACTTCCAGGTCTTCGCCGTTCATGATTATGTCATAGAATGCAAATAGAACGGGATACCAGTACTTCACCATGTTATCATCCATAGTTGAAGACGTCCATCCACATTCTGGAGATTCGAGCATGACGGGTATCACACCTCGAAGCATTGCGATGGCAAGTAAGCTGATTTTCTGGTATTTGCTCACCTTGCAGAACTCGGTGATACAGACTACCAAGTCTGCGAATGCGCCGTAACGGACTATGGCTGGGAAATGTTCTTTATTCAAACGAGTGACAATCTCGAAAGCAGAATTGGCAATGCGTTCTGATGAGCGGATGAGATACTATGCAGATACAATATATAAGAGACTTGACGCACCCGTGAGAACCTTTGAAGCAGCTTGGAAGACGCTGAACATTGTTCGCCAACCAGATCGCATATTCTGCACACGGGCTTGAATCATTTGCTGCAGGCATTGGAGAACCTACGAAGAGCGGTCAGGAGGCTTATCATTCTTTCTTTGAAAGCAGGTACCATGTCCCGAGCTTCAGGGTTCGGATTGTGGATCATGGTATGCTCGAATGGTTTCAAAAAGTCCTTCTGAAACTTGAAATGGGGCAATTCTTCCTTCTCCAAAAATCGCATCGCAAGTTGCCGCAGGGCGTCAAGTGCAAAGAAGCCAACATGGGGATTATCGTGACAACAAACCTAAGCAGCTTGAGATTCAGTTTGAAGACAGTTACAAAGCAAAGGAGACTGACTTTATTGAAGTGCTCTCCTAGGATTTCCCAAAGATTTGACCACTCAAGACGGATACGATTCATGTTGTAGTAAGAGATCTCTACTAGTTTTTGAAGACTGAACAATCGGGGATGCTGAGAAAGTCCCGACGACTGTATCTCTTCCCATGAAACATCGCTCAAGGCTTGCACAAAGTCAACAATCGCGGTCTAAAAGATGACATGAGCGCTGAGTCACGGCATTGGAGAGTTTAAAAACGAACGCCGGACAAGAAATGACTCAACGAAAAGACCATGTCCGTCGCTACAGTGATGTGCGTTGAGCGACTTTCGTTGGCTAGTTCCTCGGTTGGAGGCTTCTTTATTTTCCTGCGGGGAGTTAATAGTCTCCAGTGAAATGCGATATGGAACACACCCTTTACGCCCGCCATCCACATCAACGCCTCCACTTATGAGTTGCATATGCTCGAGCTGGCTGACACATGTTAAGACCTCGTGCCAAGAGCCTTTCAAGTTGTTTCCATCTGTTACGGCGACGTCAAGAAGAGTTTTGATAGCCTCCATGTTTTTCGCTTTCATTTCGCCCAAGTTGTTGAGGAACGTGAACTTTGCGAGCGTCGTCACGAAAGCGTTGCGCTCCAACTCCAAGTCGAAAAAGCATACGATCCGGATCGCACTCTTAAAACCATCAAGGCATAGCTCGACGATCTCCAAATCATCTGTGTCTTGAAGGGGTCCAGATAATCCCGCCAAAAAGGCAATCCAGGCGACTTCAAACATAGGGCGGACATGGACGAAATGTGAGGCGCTGAAGAACTGGTCAGCCGATCTGGAGCCTTTGCGCTGAGTACGCATCATGGTTCGGAATAGCGCCTATTGAACAGTTCAGCATTGTTATCGTTCAATATTGGTAAGACATACCTCTGTCTTGTTCGCCATACCACTGGTCTGCAATACGTATGCCTCTTTTTGCAGGTCCCTGCCGACGTTGGCGAGAGCATTGGCAAGGCCCGGTCCGGCAGGAAGCGGCCCGGCGGGTTCTACCTCATCCTTCATTCTTATCTCGTTCGACACAATTTCATCATATATTTCTGACATGAAATCGTCGGGGAGATTGTTGCCATCGTTGATACCTCGGTTGTTCTTAATGAACTCGGCTTTGGTCATTCGTTTCTTAACTTGAGGATTGTGGGCATCCGTGTTCAACAGGATGACGGAATAGGCAAGAACATATGCAGCATCTATATATTGATATATTGGTCAGATTCTTTTCGCTCCTGAAGCTGAAGCACTTACCGGCATTGGCAAAGGGTGTTTGCGTGTTGCTGGCGATAAACCTGTTCGCGAACTTGAGCATGTACCTGTCAATCTTCTGTGCCTCGCCGGGAAGACGGAATTTCTGCAGGAATAACCTCAGTGCATCGACGAAAAGTGAACCGGAGAAGTCTAGACTATCGACGAAGGCATGCATGATATCGATATTTTCTTGGTCCCTGATCCACTGTTAGAACATAAGTCAATGAAACAAAAGAGTAAACTTACCCCTCTCCCAAGTATTCGCCAATCATCGCCTTGCTCAGGCCATCAGTACTCAAAAGGAAGGAAGCGATATTCCGAGGATCCTTGCTTGGAATAAACCCTGTCTCAATCAAGAATTGCACACCCTATACGTGATGACTCGTCAACTAAATGGGTAAGAGTGCAGTGGCAGCTTAACTTACGCGTTTAGGCTTAAAGTTAAACTTCTTTATTCCCTCAAGCAAGGTAGTCTTCTTTTGCTTCGCGCTCTCGAATTTGGTTGGATCATCTCCGAGATCGGGGGTATGTTGCCTGAAAATTTCCGTACTTGAGTTGACGCCTGACAACTTATCTAGGGAAGTATCTGGGGTCAACGAGTCCCGTCTAATGTTCTCCCCAGGCTGTGAACGCGAAGGAGCGTCAACGCTCTCCCCATCAGCCATCTTTCCGGAAGTAGTACCCCAAGCAACCAAGGATCTCAAAACGGTCACAAGGCATTCCAAGCCCTGTCGTCTGAGCTGCGTCTCAGATAACCCTAGCGTTGCGGTATCCATGGAGCCGGGTACGGAGGCGACGGAAGTACTGAGAGACGGTCCCAGAACGTTACTATGGGACTTAGCAGCTGGTTGAGTCGCCGGGCTCGGAGGTTCATTCCCTTTCTGATGACTTGATGTTGACTGCGTAGTGCATATTTTCGATATAATGTTCATGAGACTGTAACAAAATGTTCAATGGTGAGCTATCTCGAGAAAAAGCGAACGACTGACTGTTCATATATGTTGTCCGCTGCTTCACTATCGCAATCATAATTGAGATAAATCTCCACGAGGGCCTGAGGATCTTGAGACAAGCGGGAAAGCAGGCCTAATATCACCGCTTTCTGCTTCAACGTAGATGTTCTCATTTCGAGGATGGGGATGAAAATTTCGTGAAGAAGGACCTCAATTTCTTTCTGGGATGAAAGATGAACACCCACGCGTAGAATGAAGACGTGACGATTTTACCTTGAGCTTTGTTCTCATTCCAGAGAGAACACGCCAGAATATTTCGACACTGAGATCGAAAACCTGTGGTACCGGGCTGACAGCATTGCGACTCAGACTGAGGCAGATATACTGGTTCACGGCCTGAACGAAGGATGTTGCGTCATGGGATGTGTTCGAATATATGATGGAAGCGGGATCAACGAAGAGCGCCATGTGAGAATTGAGAACGGTTAGGACAAGATGTAGAGAAAGAAGTTTGGACCGCATAGCGTGTGACTTGAGGTCGCGTTCACTGCAACGGGAAAATCAGCCACAACGGAGTTTCTCGTATATGGAAGCTACTAACCTTTCGTTGTTGAGTGGTTTCATGGTTAGTTTACATAGAGCCCGGAATACCAAGAAGGCGTCTTTGATGAACAGGTCATTTAGTGTCATTTCTGAATGCAAATGGTGTTCATCCTCCGGTAGGACATCCATGTGAGGTCCTTCAATGCCATTGCTGCTGAGATAGTAAGAGTCATCCTCATTAGGTGAGCCGGACAGAAAACCGACCTTACGGAGTTTGTTCCGCCTTCAAGGTCTCCGTTGCCGTTAGTGGCCGGTGCGGCGTCATCGCCGTTGATAGAGGGCTGCTGAAGAGGCAGAGACGCAGACGAGTCGGACACGGGCGGTCCTGTGGATGAACCACGCTCGCTTCCGCCATTAACCAACGAAGTGCCAGCGAGAGAAGCTCTTCTAGAAAATGAAGACACGCTAGAAGAAGACGCATATGTACCGGAATCTCGTTGCGCCCCAACCTTACATCGGGTAAATACATGGTGGGTCATTTGGGTAAGGCCTCCTTGCGCAACCATTTGGTTTACTGGGTCCGTACTCAGCAGGAAGATATTGTAGACTGTACGGACCGCCTTGAGTAAAGCCGAATGATGAACCAATATCGTTGGTGATAACACGAGAGCCAGCAAAGCTTTGACAATTTGCAGTGATACAGTTTCGGGTGTCGTTTCGGAATGGCATGAAGTTATGGTATGAACGACAAGGTCAACGAGGGATGGAGGGTTAATGTCGACTTGCGAAGCCCCTCCAGTACTTTGTCGGGGGTGCAAACCAGGAGAACCGGGTGGCGACATGAAATGAGCAGAAGGGGGAATAGATTCTGCAAAGAAAGAATAGGATATGAGTTTGGAGATGCAATCCAAACTCGCGATCATTAATTTCTCCGTCCGCGTCTCGCAAGCTAGTCGCAGAGGCTCAAAGATCTCTCGAGGACGGTCTCCACCCTGCTCCGAACGAATCATTTCGAGCGCTCGCTGAGTACTCTCGCGAAGAGGAGCAGAGCGTTTAGCGTCTTTGGACGCTGCAATAGTCTCTAAGGCGGAGGAAATCAGGACAACAGATACGGTATGCCCTTTCGAGATGGTGAGCGAGCGACGATGAGTAGATTCCGACGGCGACACTGGGGGAGGAAGTGGTTCATGGGGTGCGTCCAGCTCTTGTGCAATGGGTATACTCTGTGGTAGCACGGGTTTGGCGGACTGCGACGGCAGGCGGTTAGACACGGACTCTTCAGATAAGCCAGCCGAGATAGTGTCAATGATATCAGCTCGTTCAGCAGGCCTCTCTGGCACTGGAGCTGGTAGGTCTTCCGGCTGCGCAGAACCTGTATCCTCCGGTTCTGCCTCGTTTGCAGCTTCGACCGGGAACACGTCATTGTCTCCGTTTCCGACATTGGCCTCCTGCACATTATTGTCTATAGGCACCTCTATGGATGTTGGCGTCATTTCATCGGACAGGTCGACAGGTTCAACAGGCGGGGGTGTGCTGGTAGACGCCTGTGCATCTACAGGAGGGGACACGGGTAGCGGAACGCTCTCTGGTGCAAAGGTGCTCTCCTCCATGCCGAGAAGTATGGAAGTCATCGTCGCCGTCGTCGTCTCCGATGACGAGGCGGATATGTGTGAGCGACCCGGTGGTCGTGTAAGTCGCGAAAGCGGCGAATAATAATGTCACACATGTGACGTGTATTTTTCTTGCCTTTTCTTTATTTTACCCCATGTCCATTCCGTCTGGAGCTTCGGCAGCTGTTCTACAGCCTTCCGATCCCGTTCCAGATACAGCTGTATCCGTGGAAGGTCCTAACTTTGATAATCCACTCTCCCTCCAAGAAATCATCGGTAGCTATGAACGAATCGGGTTTCAGGCCAACAGTTTAGGTCGGGCCATCGATATCGTCAACAAAATGGTACGAAAGAGGTTTGTATCTATTGGAAAACTCTCTTATATATGTCCACAGCGTAAATGGCGTCTCTCTGATGAACCAGTAGCTGACGATGAGTCAGAAGAGTACAAATCCTTCGAAGCTCGTAGTCAAGTACATTGCAACGTATTTCTGGGCTACACCTCCAACCTCATCTCCTCCGGACTCCGAGAAATCATACTCCATCTTGTCAAACACAAGCACGTCTCCGCTCTTGTCACCACAGCCGGCGGAATCGAAGAAGACTTTATCAAATGCCTTGGCAAGACATACCTCGCTGATTTCAACCTCGATGGTGCCGATCTACGTAGACGAGGCATGAACCGTATCGGCAACCTCGTCGTGCCAAACGATAATTATTGCAAGTTTGAAGATTGGCTTATGCCGATTCTTGACTCCATGCTTGTCGAACAGAAGGAACACGGGAAGATCTGGTCACCGAGTACCTTCATTCGACGGCTGGGCAAGGAGATAAACAACGAGGAATCTGTGTACTATTGGGCTTACAAAGTGAATATAGTGGCTTTTTCGTTATCCTGATTGGCATTCTCAGTGCTCGGTTTCGGTTCAGAACGACATACCGGTGTTTTGTCCTGCCTTGACTGATGGCTCCATAGGAGACATGATATACTTCCACTCCTTCAAGAATCCAGGACTGATAGTCGATATTGTGCAAGATATCCGTGAGTTGAATGAGCTCTCAAGGAAGTCTAGAAAAGCAGGAATGATTATCCTTGGCGGCGGAGTTTGCAAGCACCAGATAGCTAACGCGATGCTGATAGTGAGTGTTTTGCCTTCACTGCTACATCTTCTTGTCATTAGGATTTCTAGCGTAATGGTGCGGATTACTCCGTTTACATCGTGAGTCAATCTCTTTGGAACCCTAACTTTGTACTGACACGTATGCCAGAACACCGGACAAGAATTCGACGGATCAGACTCTGGAGCTCGCCCAGACGAAGCCATCTCTTGGGGAAAAATTCGCGCAGGATCGGAATCTGTCAAGGTGCGCGCCAACAGGACAGGAAACAAAGTTGACCTCATAACATTTTATCGCGCAGGTGTTTGCAGATGCGACACTGGTCTTCCCTCTCCTCGTAGCAGCCACTTTTGCTCGAGATGCCAACGCAAAACAGTGATATGTAAAGAAATCGCACGATACAAATATTCGCTGCGTGTAGAGAAGACGACTATAGCCAATAATGTATTCGTTCTTGTGCAGTACTAAAACGTATTAATATACCGATCATCTGCAAGAAATCGCACGATCGACTCGTATATGCATGATGGATTCCCTTCCTTCCTTCCTTGGATCATTTCGTAAAATATGGGACGGAATTGGAAACGCCACAAGATGGTGTGACTATACCAAGGTCCTGATGTAGCGACGAGGATGACTGTGTCTTGGGGATTGACAGTGAATAGGAGCAGGTCCTGTCGAATAAGTTGATTGCGCGCGTGGGTACCACTTTGTCACCACTTGTCGCTACAAACATCAAGTGCACCTTCTCACTACATTACCTATAGCATGCCACCTACTGAAGACCGACGTGTACGTGGCTACTCCTTGAAAGATCCTGCTCTCCTCGCATATGGCCTAAAGAAAGGCTGGGGCACCGACAAGACCGCTTTCGAACGGGTCGATACCATAGTCAACACCGCCGTGAAGCCAGTGCCGAGGTCAACCTATTCCTTGCTGTGGCTAGCATGGATCCCAACAACTATTTCCTTTGCCTGCCGAAGACGATCCTGACTTTATCGAGCTGAAAAAGTTGCTCAAGGCTACGAAAACCGCGAATGGAAGGAGAGGATATGAGGTCTTGCTGTTGATTCCTTCAAAGATCAATACATGCACAAATCCGATTGAAAGGTCGACCGATATGCATATAATAGGATGGATCATTTTACAGTTTGTGTGCCAGCTATCCCAAGAATCGTGTTGTACGTCATAGTTCCGAAGAATCATTCCGACAGAGTTTTCTTTTACTTGTACTGGACAGGATCTATGTTCATTTGAACGTGTGAACGAGCATTACCTCCATGAAGGCGAAGACCAGCATGCGCCGCTACCGTCTGTTCATGCCAATCCTGAGTCAACCAAGTCCATCAGCTCCTATTCGAGTTTTCTGGTTCTCGAATGGCTTGCCGCGGACCGTGAACGACATGGGATGACGGTTCTTTTGAGGTGTCGCAAACGTTATCGACGATTGAATACCCTTCACAGACTCGGAACGTTCAGAGGCCTGCTTCGCGCCATCAATGCTTCAAAACAAGATGTCTTTGTCTGCTGTTACGTTCAAGCTTCATCTACTGTCATCTTCGAGCTGCTTTGCCTTGCCCGAAGTAGACGGCCTCGGTCTGGCTCGACATTTTCCAACTCTCTATTAGATCCACTCGGTGGTGCTCTGTACTTTTTCCGTGTCCGAGACGCTTCTCTACCTCTCTTGGTTAGTTTTGACGAGTACGTCCTCCTTATGAGTCGACATTCGTCCAATGCTACTATGACACCACCACGTGATTATCATCAGATACGCGTACTCAGACTCTTAGAGTCTTCGCCTACAAGCATTATACTCCGTAACTTTAAGCACGTACTAACGAATGACCAACCCCAACCCTTCCTTCCTTCCTTCGACTCGCCTCCAACACAACCACAGCACGGTCCTCCTCTTCTCTCCTTTCGATCTTCTCAATCCTCACCTCCTCCAACTTCTCAGCCCTCGCCTGTACAACACCCTCCCATATCTCCCTATCAATTTCAAAATCCACCCCACCACCACCACTCAAATACAACGTCCTCAAATCCGGAACAATCCCCTCCTCCCCCAGACCGGGTATCACACCCAAATTCACATTAACCAGCCTCAAATCCCTCAGCCCCGGCGCCGCCCGGAGCACAGAACCCAAATCCTCCTCCACAACCTCCCCATGCTCGAAATACAGCTCCTCAAGTGGAGCCCTTGACCTCTCCACAACCCGGCGAAGCGCACCAAACGTCTGCTCCCTCTCGAGCTCAACAAGTCCCACCTGACACACAACCCTCAGGCTCTCTAGGACAGGCAACGTCAGACGGTCTAATATCTGGTGGATCGCCTTGGTGCCTCCGCTGGTGTACGGCCAGGACGAGAGACTCAGAGAGCGAAGCCGTGTGCATATGACGGGAAACGACTTTCCGCTAAACACGCCGTCGGCACAGTTGACCTCACACCGCAAGTCGCATTCTACCAGCTGGGGCTGCGACATGATGGACAGCAGGTGAATGCACGTGTCGGGCCCAGGATCAGCCCAGTCATCCAGGAGGTGGTCACTCTTGTATCTGGTTATCTGGTGCCACGGCAGTGCGAACGAGGATACGGGGTCCCGGATATTCATCGCCTCCACGACGTGCAAGTTGGGGGAAGAGTCAAATAGGTTGAGGTTATTGTACCTGCTGATCTCTTCCGCGTCTGTAGAGAGCAGGGAGAGTTTCCTGAGCGAAGGCAGCGCCAGGCGCACCGTCGGTACAGTAGAGAATATCGCTGCAGAAAGCAGAAGATGCAGCTCGCGTACCCTGCTCGCCACGGACAAGAGGAGCGTCACGAGTGGTGGGGGAAGTTTATCGAAACTAGACTGGTTCGATATATCGGTGATGGAAAGGGACAATGGACAAAGCCTGGAACGGCTGAACTGGTGGGTAAGACATCGTACGTATGCATACCCGTCTTCTTTAAAGTTGTCATCTGTGATAGTGATGTTGATGTATGACCACAGTTCCGGGAACGACACCGACACCATTCGCCACTGCCTGCATACCTGCTCGATAGACCACATCGGGCTCTCAGAGAGCTCGATATCCCACCATTCGCTCTCGCTTGTAGACGGGGTCCGTTTGATGGGAAACATGATTGTTTCCAGAAAGATGAGTGAGAGCACTTCGGGTGGAAGCCGTCGGACAGGGCTCAGCAAACGCTTCTTTTCCCGAATAGCTTGCGAGACCCGCTCGCGTTCGCGCTCTAGAGCCGAGATTTTGTCGTCTACCATGGACACTTGAGCAAGCAGGTCCTGGCGGTATGATTTGAAGTGGCTGACTTGAGTTTGGAGCGCAGAGACGCGCCGGGTTTGTTCCGCAATGAGGGCACGAATGGCATCAGACTCGGCAGGTAAAGGCGGGTCATTAGAATTGACTATACGAGTGAAAGCCGGGCTTGGGAGAGGTTCGTCGTTTGTAAAGACGCTGATGCTGCCTGAAGCGTGGTTTGGGCAAGCACATCCTGGGCAAGGAGTCCAGAACATTATGTTTCTGAATTTCAAAGTATTAGCTTTGAATCTGAACATGAATGGCGCGCGCACCGTAACGAGTCGTGGGACGATGCTCGCGGGAGGGTGATGAAAGGACGGAAAGTCTGTTTTCTGTAATTTGCGAAGATAGGGGTTGATTGGTCAGCGGGCGTGGGAGGCACGTGGAGCCGTTAGCCGCCGGCATGATGATAGCTCGGCGTCATGACCGAGTCAATGAGGAGGAATGGAATCGATCTACATAGATTGGCGAGTCAGGGCTTGGATGTATGATGATTACCAGCAGTCGTATCAAGATGTAGGTCCGACTTGCAAGGGCATGTGTGATGGATTTGAACAGATATGCATGATCGTGAGACGCCCAGGATGACTGATCATTTGTGAGGAGAATATGGGGGGTTAGGCGAGGAGTTTATAGTTCACCGAGCAGTGCTTATACAAGGTACTCGAAGATGAAACTGCACAAGTGTTGAAAAGACCAAGTGATGCGCCACAGGCATCTCGGAGTTGCGAGTTAGCCCACATGCGAGTTGAACGTTGAAGACTCGCTGACGTCCGTGAGCGCTGTTAAGTACGTATTAGTGGATGGAAAGAATATTAATGACACTTGACGTGACGAAGGGGGTTTTGCTGGAGTTTGATGAGCACTGATTGAGCCAGAGGTGGATTGTGTTGGATTTAGCGCTCGGACGAAACATAGCGACTAGATCCGAGTCGCTAAGGACATTCCAAGGTGGGTGCTGATACCCAGAATCAGCGTTTAATGTTCGATTAGCGTCCATAAACGATCGGAGACGTCGATAAATTTGGGACCGGTTATCACCCTCTGTGTATGTATGTCAATAACCACCGTGCTAGGCGGTGCATATAATGTTGATACCGAAAATCGCGACGCCAAGGTCAGGTGCAGATGTGACGGCTCCGGTGGTCGTGTGCGCGTCGACAGACAAAGTGAAGGCTTGGCGGAAATTCGGAAGGCATGTGTTGAAACGCGGCTGCCAGACATGGGCTATGCTGAAAAAGTCGCAGTTGAGCGACTAGTCACCGATGATTTTCTTGAATTAATCCGGTAGAGGAAAGGCGGGAGATGGAGGTTTCCTAGGCACGGAGGCTGTCTGCTAACTGCGGCACCGTCTGGCTGCGATCATGTTTTTAGGAAGGAGAATACGTGTTCATTCTTGTTTGGCGTGCTTGGTAGCAAGACACTGTGAATGGGAATGGAACCCGAATAGGACGGGTTTCATGGAAAGCGGAGATAAGGGCAGATAGCATGGCCAAAAAGCTGGGCTATATGTTTATTGCGAAGCGATGGACATGTACGGTGTGTATTGCGCTGACCATACGAATATCGGAGGCTGTGGGAAGCTAGGACTTATGTCGTAAAAATAGACCAACAACGTGACCGAAAGGGGCAAGCGGTCGAGATCTCCTTGTGTTGCAAAGATCTGGGACCGGCTGTCCTTATAACGATGAAGGAAGCAGGGCAGGATGAGTTTGCATCTTCGTCCAGTATGTGCCATGTTCTATCGTCGATTCTCGCACTGACCCTTAGCAGGACGGCCTATGCTCGCTCGGCAGGACACTGACAACCTGCTTAGTTACTACGAGTCGCCGCTCGCAGACAAGGGACCGGTACCTCTATCAGCATCGTCATCGCAGTACTCATCATCAGACTCGAGTTGCAGCCAGTATTCGAAAGAGTCGCCAGTCGCGTCGCCACACAGAACCGAACAAACTGCGGACCGGCAACAGATGGCCGCCGCCATCATGACCGCCGACATGGCCCAACACAACAGATCTCAGTCTGACGCCCACGATATCCCGCCCTCGTCTATGCCAGCGCCCAAGCGGAGGTCATCCACTGACAGCAGCATAGTCACTTTCTCACCCGACAACCCCGCTTCGTATCTCAACTACCAGCCCGGCATACATGCAACAGCAGGTCCATTGCCTCCACCGCCAAGACTGGATCCACCACCACCGCGTTCAGCACGGCGGAGAGGAGACATTGAAGCAGTGAAACAGGCACTGCAGCTACCTCCATCTGTCTCTGCAGCCTTGTCGAAGCGGGCACCGTAAGCTTGTCTCTCTTTCTTCCTGTCACCATTGATCTCACCTATTATTGACAGTCGACCAACATCACCCACGGTACACGCGACCAAATCCATCCATCGACGAGAGGGCGCGTCAGACACAGAGTCATCCCGCTCACATCGAACACCGCCACCCCCACAGCCAGACGTTGTCATTCAGCCACCTCCGCGCAACGACAGCCTCCCAGAAGACCGCGAATGGGTCAGCGTCACCCCCCCGCCCTCAAAGAAGCGCGTATCCGCAGAACTCTCCATCTCATCCGGCGAAGAGCTCCCGCCCACCCCAAGTCCTCCTCCAAAGTCCCTCCGCAACAGTCTCACCCGCGGTCTCCGCCGCATGTCCCTTCCCCGAACACCCAGCCGCACCCCGTCCCCGCCCCAGCTATCCCCCCTCTCCCGTCCAAAGATCAAAGCTCTCTACCCCTCCGCCATGTACTGCTCAGAGCTCTCCGCCAAACTCACCACCCTCGAGCGCTGTGCTCTCTACACCGCCAAGATCAACGAACTCGCCCTCTACGACTGCGGTCTCAGTGACTGGCTCTTTGAAGCACGCATCAGAAACTCACCCGGCCCGTCCCCTGCCTTTACGCCGAAACCTCGGAATACATCTCACGGCAGCGAGGCTAGCGAAGCCACCTTCCCTGTCCGTCCAGATGCTGGTGTCGCGACGGATTTATCCTCACCCACGACGCCAAATAGTAGCGTCATCCTTCCATACCCGACCCTTGCACCCCGAACGACGTCCTCAGTAAAGAGCGGCTTCTTCGCGTCTCTAGGTCGCAAAGCCAGTGTCAGTCGCACAACAACAGGTCCTCAGCCACCTCGCCAGCAGGCTCATCATCCAATACCCAATCGTACTGTCCTCACAAAGCGTCCCACCATCTCTCCCACTGTTCCAGGTGGTCCTAGAGCAAAACGCATGTCCAGGAGCCATACCATGATGCTCAGCCCTTCCACTACCAGCAGTCATACCATGGAAGATGTCAGCGAGTCAGATACAAAGCCTACTACCCAGGATGACCCCGAGTTTGAGAGGCAGCTCGATAAACTTGCTGTCTTGCTCCCCCATGCAGAACGCGATGTTCTTGCCGGTTACCTCCGGCGCTCAGGACAAGATATGATTGCTATTGGCTTGTATCTCGATGATGAGAAAATGGGCAGGATACGCAGACCCTGACTTTTTCTCTTTGCTTTTTGCTTTCGTTGCATGAACTCTCTACTACCCCATTGTATACTAAATCTGTCGCATTATATCATCTCTTCCAGAGTGGTTCATTATTCGCATCCAAGAATACACCTTCCAAGTCTAATATTACACTGTATCCCAATCCTGAAAGCAAGACAACACTGACTATTTTCACCGTCCAATAACCGCAGGTCTAAATGTTCCCGATCTTCTCATGTTCGAATTCGCCGGGAATACTTCTCCACTCGTTGGCAACGTTACTCAAATCCCAGAAATGTACTCACCGCGTTGCTGCTGCTGCTGAATAGGTGCCGTACCCCAGCCCGGCCCTGTGTTTCGTCGTTTCCCACCACTCCCATTTCCACTCATACCCAACAAATTCTCCACCTCATACAAACTGCTCCCATCTGACCGCTCAGAAACACTCCCAGAGGTTTGTCGATATTGCTGTGCATGCGCAACAGGGAGCGGCTGACGGTGTGACATTCGTTGACCCGCCCCACCTGGCTGCACCCAGCCATCGTTCCCGTTCCGTACAAACCCTCCACCTTGTGCGCCGCGGTTAACGAGTGGGGTCCTCTGGATCTATGAATAGTGTACAGTGGCGGAGAACAAATATGGGAGAATTCATACCCCATTCGCTTCCATACCATCCACCACAGCCCCAACACCGAATGCCCTCAGCGGCTGTCGAGCTTTCGGCTCACCTTGTCCTGGAAAAGAAGAACTACTCGGGTTAACCGATTCACTCCCTGACGGCTGCTGCCCAGTCAGATTTGGGGCCAGAAGAACTTTGCGTTTCATCTTGTCATGTTGCGCCTGAAAGCAATCGAGCATCTGGTGAGGAAAAGCGCAGATAACGGAAACGAACCTTCAACTTCTGGTATTCTCGATCTCGATCCCTCGATGCCTCTTGTAGCTCTCGCACTTTTCGTCGCTCCAATTCCACATCACGCTCTAGTTCTTTTTTCACAGAGTTAGTAAGAGATCTAGGGTGCTCAACGGTGGCGCACCGGCAATCTTGTTCTTCAATAACGAAATCTCGCTATTGGCTAGAAGGCGATGAATGAACAAACGGATCCATGAAACAGGGTACCTTCTCTAACGACGCTATCAAGTTGCTTTTGAATTTGAGTATTCTTGTCCGTGAGATTTCGTACGACTGCTTGTTGGAAGGAGCTGGACATGTATGCGCATCAGCGGAAGTGGGTCCTTGAATGATAATCACCTTTCTTGATATATCTGGTACTGCCAGAAAGATATCGCACTATCGTTTCTTAAAAGTCAAACAAATGTAGAATCGCGATACCGGATCACGCACCGAGAACAGATCTCGAGAATAATCGATGGCGTTAAACCCGATAGGACAGACTAAAGGAAACATGAGATAAAAAGTCGTTATATGCGCTTCATATGTACCGTTTTGTAGTCATTCGATGGGTGCAGGGAGCAGACCTGAGCTCTGCTTCGATTGATGTTGATTGCGCCAAGACGAAGAGACGCACCACGACGTCGTCCCTGTATCCAGGTGAGTAGGGGTGTAATTGATGTGAATGAGCGATACCGACGGTTCAGTCAGGGTCGCTTCACATGCTTCGAGGATATGTTAGAAAAGAAGAGAAGAGGAAGGGCGGAAGGCCAAGCACCTGGGCATAAACGCGCCGCGTTGAATAACTCATTTGCACATTCCACTACCCTCATCGCATCAGTTTCAAATGATATAGAAGTGATCCTTCGTACCGCAGAAGATGTGAGAGCCTCGTTCCTTCTCTGTCAGACCTTCGGGCCCTTCTACCAGAAGAAGAGCTCACATGTGGTCTGGGTGGCGGTTCAGCAGAAGGACCTTGGGCGAGATGATACTGAAGGGTGCTCACCACAACAGCTTTGTCCGTGAGCGATTTACGACAGGTCAGTCGGTTGCACTTCAGGTCAGTGTCCATTCGACGGCGGCCCGTGGGTGGTGATGGTGGTCGGGAAAGAGATGGATATGACGAAATGACGCGTTTCGAGTGTCACGTGGTGGTGTTTTTCTCCCCCATGGTTTTATCTTGGTTTTTTTTGTCTTTTTTGTCTGTTTCGAAACCCAACTTGTATTCTATTCCTCCTTGGAGTTCTCTTTGATTCTATAGGCGAACGACTTGAGACTGCGGTGATGTCTGGCACGCATGTACCGGCAGCACCAATATTAATTACCAGCCTACTATTAGATGGCTCAAAGGAATACCGTGGCCTGCAAGCCAACCCCTGATGCGTATTCAATTACAAAGACCCAGCGCAAGCATCTAAATATTTAAACCGATATCTCAGAAGTTTGGAGATTGCCAATGGTACTGGCCGTGATCGATGATACTACCGATCCTCGCGTCACGTAGACGAATGTCTAGTTGGAAAGAAACAACCAGCATACAGGCATATTTCTCATAACGAAATGATTCCCTAAAGCTACAAATCCGACTATCCCATCTAATATCATATATCTGTTCTACATAATCATGCATGCTGCTGAATTATTCTTAAATCTCTGTAGGTGTACTACCCAGTTTAGCTTGGCTCTAATGAGTGTAATCAACGAAGACATTAGGGAATCTAGCGGTGGTCTAACTCACGTCGAACACGCTTTGAAGGAGAATTCGAGTTCTCCGTCTGGACAGAGCGAGGTCTCTTGACCGGAGAGGGCAGAACCATCGCCGGAACAGGCAAGATGCTCATATTGTCAATATAGGCAACGTACACATCCTCTTTCTTGATGCACCAATGGCAGAGATTGAACCTTACTTCGACTGTTGCACCAATCAAAGAGCTGGAACACAGCTCGGGGTGGACAAGCTTATCCTTAGAGTCGTACAGAGGAAGAGGATCGACGACATGGGTCGTCTTCATATCTTGCAGCGCTTGCTCAGCTGCAATGCTATTCACTGGCCAGTTTTCCATAGTCCAAGAATGCCGGCCTGCAAGTACTACTAGTCAAAAATCGACCATACGGTCACATCAATTGACACTTACCTCTGGTGCTCGCTCGAGTACGCATCCCTCCCTCTCCTGCCCTCTTCTCCCACATCAAGTCAGAACGTGTGTCTAAGGAGGGTTGACACGTCACCCACCTTGAAAAGGACGTGCTGAAACTTGAGTTTAAGCCCGCTCTTATCCACCGGATCGCCAATCTCAACAGGAACCAACACTCCTTTCTTCTTGTTTCCTGGAGAGGCGATCATATTCCTGATGGACTCAAGATTCTCGATGACGTGCTCAAAATCGTCACGGAATACGCCAGACCCGGGTATTGCCCCGGTGCAGGCGAGCTTCATGTCTGCAAGGCTCTTAGTATATTGAGTGGGACCATTCCAGTTCCCATCGGAGTTAACCCAGCAGCCCTGGGCCGTTATGTGGAATACTGCGAGCAGAACAGCATGCGAAGGCGCCTCGTGGCTAGTGTCGGCAAGGACGTGACCACTTCCGTCATCCATGGGCAGCCATTTGAGGTTATGCATAGACAGACCGGACGGGTTCCCGAGGTAGATGCCCTCGTTTGAGGGAGATTCTAGGTAGGACTGACGCAAGGCGTCATAGTTGATTGGTCTTTGAGGCATGAGACACGATGTGACGATGACCGTAGGAGGCAAGTTTGCTGCTATTTGGAATTCTTCTCTCCTGGAATTGGATCCAAACATGACGGTACAAGCATGAAGCACCGCCTCGGATATTTACTTACGCCTAGAGCGTCAAATATGCCATTGCTATTGGCTTCTCGAGAAATCGCATTGACAGGCTGTTCACTTCAAGTTCAGCTCGGATCATGATGCCGATGTCCGCCGGGAGCACTGGCAGCTCCGAGTAGGGAACAAGAAAGTCAGTCTGAACACTGCAGGAACCAGAATATGACATACGATACTGTCGTATCATATATAAGTCGAAGAGGGAAGGAGGAAGCAACGTAGTATAGGAAAGAGGTTTCATAATGAAATACAGTGATCGACTCTAGACTGGGTGATCGAGTAAGAAAAAGCTGCCGCGGCCATATATTTGATTTTGAAGTTTGCTGATCAGATGTAAGGCCACATACCTCTGTATTCGCGCATTATGCATTATGGCTTACAGCATGTTCCCATCTGCGGAATCATTCATTCACTGTAATAAGTATTATTGTCGAATGAACAATTTCATTCAAGGCACACATTCAGTACTAGTCCTACAAGTTTGAAGCCATGAACATATCATACAATTCACATATCACTACATATTTCTTGTAAATGAGAGATCATAGCCAAGACCAGAAAACACCAAGCAGACTGAGCATAGTTGTCCTCGTAGTGAGCCAGTAATAGGATATCAAGCCCTTGCATCAGGAATAGAACCCAGCTTCATACGCTTGGAAGGAGAGCACGGGTGTTCAGCGTCAACGCGAGGGCGCTTCCTTACGGGTGAAGGGAGCGCCATTGCGGGAACCGGCAGCAGACACATATCCTGGATATGAGCAGAGAAGACTTCCTCGTCGGTCTTCTTAAGACGCCAATGAGTCAGCTGGAACCGTACTTCAACAATTGCCTCGCTTAAACATCTGCAGTAGTCCTGAGGCTGTACGAGTTTACTGCGATCTGACTCGAAGGAGGGTAGTTTATACAAAAGAAGAGGAATGACGTCGTGAGTGTCCTTCATCTTCGCTAGTGCATTCTTTGCTTTGGGATGGGACGTGGGCCAGTTCTCGATTGTGGGTACAGCATCTACAGTCAGAGGCAGATTTGGATCAGGGCAACACACCAAGAACGCTGTCATACTCACCGCTAGCCTCACCATCCTCAGATTCTGCTGCGTCGTCGTCGTCGTCGTGCTTCTTCTGTCAACATGACCAAAAGTCAGCCAAATCTAGAACAAAGACTGTGATCGCGCACCTCTTGAAAGAGAGCATGCTGTAGTTTGATCTTGAGACCCCCGGATGGGTCCCCACGCTTGACCTCCGCCAATAGGCCTTTCTTCTTTTCACACCCCGCAACAGCGATCATATCCTGGATGCTCTTCAAGTTGTCGATAACGTGCGCATAATCACCACGAAACACCCCGCTGCGAGGTTGCGCTCCCGTGCAGGTCAACTTGACGTCAGCGAAATGTTTCGCAAACTCACGGGGACCTTTCCAATTCCCGTCCGGCATCGTCCAGTTGTCTTCTGACGTTATACGAAGAACCGCAAGCAATGAAGCGGGAGAAGGCACTTCATCCTCGCCAGAGACAGCAAGGACATGTCCATCTGCACCGGCACCTTCCATTGGTAACCACCGAGTTTTACGATGCGCAGTGGGATCACCGAGATAGATTCCGTCTTTGAGAGATGAATTAAAATAGCCCTCTCGCAATCCATCCAAGTTCAGCGGTTGAGAAGGCGCAGCAGAAGGCATGACTCGTAAGGACGTCCTCGAAGATGACGGTAAGGGATAAACCCGGTATGAAGAGATTCGTAAGCACAAAAGGCCTCTGTAGCTTGATTTGAGCAAACCGTCACAAACAATGCTGTAGAGTCAGAACTTATCTATTAAGTATTAGCATTAATATGACCAGCTGACTGCTCTAGCAAACGAACATCTTAGTCAGTGACTCAGTGGCGTCGTTAGTAAAAGTTTTCAGCGTAAAGCCTAGGCAGCAGAAAATGACACTAGGACATCTAGGGAGTTGGGATGTAGTAGGAAGTGTCACCAATTGGTCGTAAATTCGAGTCAACAGGAAACGTTTACTGTGGTGATCGACCGTGTGATCGACAAAAATCAAATCATATTGCAATCTTTTTTGACACGTATGCAATTAAAAAGAGAAAACAGAGAGAAACAGAATGTATGTATGGAGCCTTTGTACAGATGATTCAGACGGACGGGCTGTGCTACACTAGATGCAAAGAAAAAGAAAAAGAAAAAAAATGTAGATGGATGGGTAGGTGTGCAATGCGTAGGTATAAAAAATACAATGCTAGACGACGGACGCGATAATAGACAATTAACGGGAATTATACGTGTATACGACCAAATAGCACAGAAATACCTTTGAAAGGGGAAGAAAAAGGAAAAATCACCCAGTCTATGTCGACAGCGTTCCCACATCCTCCTCGTCGACCCCAAAGATCTCATCAAAAATCTCCCTCCCCTCTACCGACAGTGGCGGCAACTGATAGACATCTTTTGCCGTCTTGATCCGCCGCAGCCTCTCCTCGTTCCATATGCCTTCCAACGTTCCTGCCAGGCTCTTGAGCCCAAATAGGAACCCACGATCCGGCTGCTCCGGGAAATGTGGTGGGAACCGTGCGTATATCAAGCCCGTCTCTGGGTCAACCTCTGCTTGATAGCCCTTGGAACTTGATGACACGTCATGCGGCGGCATGTCCTCCCCTGGTCTAGGATAGGGCAGCCAATCTTTCCCCGTGGTTGTATGTGCAAAGTCCACTATTCGCACGGTGGCCTCCCCACGTTTACGCGTGTATTCACCCACCGGACCACCGAGCAATAAATCTTCGCTGTGTGACCGTCTCAACTGCGGCTTGTCCGAGTCTGCGTCCAACTTGATATAATGCGCGTTTTGTCTTTCAAGCGACTCTCCACGTTTGCTCCGCGAAGAAGGATGTTCCATTGCTGAAAGCCCAAACGCGTCCTGCGACTCTCGGTCCCCGTCATAAATCAGGAGCAGGCTGCAGCCATAGAACCTAAATCCCTTTAGCCGATAAATTATTTTCGCAAGTCCGCAGATCTTCTGGAGCAACACCGGGATCTGGTGGGCTAATAGCCGCTCCCCATCATACAGGAACGAAGCTAGAACCGACGAGAAAGCGTCAGGCTGTACCTCGCGCCCCATATATTTGTCTTGCGTCACGTAGGATTGTGTCACATGGTTCCAAACCTTTGAGAATTGTATTAAACACATATGCGGAAGACAAACTCGCCGCTGACTCACCTGCATACCACAGAGACGCACCCCCAACGTTCTGCTCGTCGTTCGATCGCACTTCTTCCTCTGACTCTTCTTTTTCGCCGGAGTAGCATCCATGCCATACTGGCGGGTCCCCATCTTCAAATCCATCACACACGGCCGCTTCAGCCGCCCTGTCAGGTCTTCCATGAGGATAAAATGATTCTGCCTCGTAAATAACACATCAGTTTCGTTCATCTCTGGAATCGCCCTGTCCGTCAAGGAAGATAATGATAGCGGATGCGGTGGCAGTGATGGGCGCGTATCCAATGACCTGGACCTACTTCGCTTTCTCGAAAGAACTCGGCCGCCCCGCCATTTTTCAAACTTATTCTGGCCCTCGTCAACATCAGGTCTCGCATCATAATCCAGTTCAAATACACCCATGATGTCCTGGTTCTGCTGCTGTTCCAATGCCATAGCCTCTAGCTTCTCAGGACTTGCGATGATCGACTCGCTCTGGGTCCGTCGTATCGGCGCGTTCGCCTCTGTGACTCGAAGCCTCTCGACCTGGCTAAGTAACTTCCTAGCGCGTCGAGTCACGCGCCGGCCCGTCTGTACGTTGTCGCTCTCCGCATCCGCCACATCACCCTCATCCTCGGTACGTGCTCCTGTACCAGCCCATCTTCCTCCCGTCCTTCTCCTAAACCGCCGCAACACCGTACTAAAAACATGGTCCTTGAACTTGGTGTTCACCGTCGTGGATCCAGTGCCGTTAAACCACGGCGAAGTTGAAGGCACCCTGCCAAACCCGTCGTCTTCGTCGGACGCAGCCGATTTGCGCAAAAACTGGCGAGGTGTAGGACTCTCAGCCAGCTTCGGGGGAAATGCACGATTGATCACTTTCGGAGAATTGGCTGGCGTGGGCGCTTCCAAGGACGGCGAGATGTACGGGGGATATTGCGACAGTGGACTAGGTTTAGACCTTGGAATCATCATTCCTTTTCCATCAGTGTTCAAGTCCGGACTCGATGCTGTTCCTCCGAGGTGCTGTCGCTGGAGCTGTCGACTAGCCCACACAGACGATCCTGCCACGTTGGACTGTGACAATGATCTATTTCTCCCTCCACGCAGCATCCATTCAGGAATGATATGCCGATTACGGTCCAAAACCACTTCAGGCATCTCAGCTTCATCGCTATCTGTGTCCCCCTCGCCATATATATCGGGAATGCCCCGAGGTATCTCACTGGCTGACTTGATGAATGGAGGACGCGGGGTATCATCAATGTTGTTTTTCCGGGGAGGGGATGATGATGAACCTTTTGGAACTCGCCGGTAGCTCACCAACATAACACCTAGATAACGCGGGATATATGAAAGCAGTGGCGGTGCCTCTCGCTCAACAGCCTCATAAAAGAGGTTTTCGCGAGAGACAAGAGGCTACGGTAATAAACCCTTGTGAGAATAAAGTTTGAGACCACCATCAAAGGGACTAACCTTACACACCGCCCGTTTCGTAAACTTGTAAATGGCGCTATGTCCACCTACTTGATTACGGAAAGGTCGAAGAGGGATATGTGTCAATGATAAATCCAGATCGGGATTCTCCGCATTCTCTTCAATAGCTACATCTTTGCTCTCTGAAGGCGAGGAGAAAAGCTGCGATCCTCCGGCATGGTTCGAAGATTGAACGAACGTCGACGATAGATCAGGACCATGATATGAGTATGCTGAAGTGGTGGAAGCGCTGGTAGCAACAGACGTAGATTCCCAAGTGGATTCATCTTCTGTCGACCACGGAGAACCGGAGAAAACGTCATTTGGGGTGGTAGGGAATGACAAACTACGCTGTGATTCGTGATGAGGGAGAGAAGGGGACGGTGGCAGAGAAAAATTGGTCGTTATGGGACTGAGGGCTGGTACAGATACAATACCGGTGCTGGAGGGCGGTCGACTAGATGGAGCCTTCGCATGTCGGTCCGAAGGTGAACGTGACGGTGAAGGGGACGGGGGATATATCCGGGAATGTGGCCGGCTGGAAGAACTTGGCGAAGGCTGGTAAGGCGTCGATGTCGAAGAAACAAATACTGACTCCGAGGGCGACTCTATTCGATCGCGTCGCCGTCCTCTCCCATCCATCATACTCATGACTTCTTTTCGCCAGTGCGTGAGATCCGCAATCTTCATCTCTCGAACTGATGGTTTCCTGTCCTTGGTCCGGTAAGACTCGTCTCCAGAGCTGACCACGCTCTCTCTTGTCCTCACCCTCTGCAATGCAGTCGAGCTTCTCTCCCGCCGGAGAGCAGCAGTTTCGCGATCCGGCCATTCCGCACGCTTGACAAACTCAAACTTTGCTTCGGAAACATTGTCTGGCTTGGATGATGAACCTGCCCTTCGTTTACCCGATTCGAGCTTCGACGGTACGTCACTGGACTTGGGTTCGTCAGAGTGGACGTCAGTCTCCTTAAAAAGCCGTAATGATGCCGCGACCTTGCGACCGATACCAGAAGACGAAGCGTGGGGTAAGGTTTGATCTTGGGTTGGGGAAATGGAGGTCGAGGAGGAGCTGGACCGCTGAAACAGGGGACGAGTCCTGGGCGGCGAGCGAGGTTTGGAGGGAGAATCTGGATAGGCAGTGGTCGTCGAAGGTAGCGTCACGGCGCGAACAGCTAACTGTCGAGTTGGAGACTTGCGTGAATTACGGCGAGGTCTGGTCTTTTCGGTCGTATAGCCATCTGAGTCGGTGGCGGCGTCGGAGTGGATCCAAGGGAATTTGGAATTAGCCTGAAGAAGATTGTCGATGACTTCTGAGTCGGTGGGAGACAGGGATGATATTCGGGGCGACGAAGCGGCGGTGACGGATCCGGAACTCGGAGGAGACAAGGGAAAGCGATACTGATGGTGGTGCTGCCTTGAATGCCTGGCATCAGTAGCCGGCCCCATAGACAGAAGAAAGTCGGGAAAGTGGGCACCGATACCAGCGAGAATGTCGTGGTAGAAGGACAAGAATCAGTTGCGCGTAGAAGGACCGACTTGGGAAAAAACCGAGTCAAATTTAAGGAAACAAGGCTACGAGAAGCTACGACTGACGTGAGGGTAGCACGTCAAGAATCGGAACGAGATGAAAGGGTAATTGCGGGCTTCTCTTTGAGGGACGCTTGGCCTCGAAATGGGCCTGGTAATGTCTGATCTTTTTTTACTGGTGCTCGTTCAAAAAGGTAGTGTCGGTGGTAGTGCTTAGTCAGATCCCAGAATGATATCCAGGCACGTGTTAGCGCTGAGACCCCGATCACAGGGCTGACTCCTTCCTTTTCGAGCCAGTTCATTCGGGGTCTCCACGCACGTTGGTTTCTTTACCGTAACTCTTTCCCTTGCCTCCACCAGGACAGCAAATGAGGGCAGCCACGATGCTCTGCTCCTTATTCAGCACGGAATTTTGCCTGTACTCGCTACTCCAGCCAGTAGCATTAATTCTTCTGGTTGATGTGACGGAAACAGCTCTTATCGATGTCGGGCTCAAGTTCTTGGTTCTTGTCGGTGGTTCATCTGATAACGCTAGGCGCAGTGCAACAATACACGATAACCCACCCTCGCGATGTTCACGTATCGGCTCCAATTCGACGGAAATTAACGAAGATACCGGTCATCTGCTACTTCGGTCAATCGTGTCTCACGCGGACTTGTTCATTGTACTCGGGGCTTATAGCACGGGTCTATTCGAAGAGTTCATTCGGGTCCACCAGTTCAAGGATTAGGCGACTTCGAACAGAGGATTTAACCCTGTTATTTACGTTCGTCATCTTGGCGATGTACACGGCGAACACATCACGGCACTTGATATGGCTGAACCTTCTGTGGCCCAAACCTCTCAAGATCTGGTGGCGTTGTACTTTGTGGGCCAGGTCCGATGCGACAATCACTGATCCCATCTAAATGCCGATACTCAAATGCATGTGTGTGATTACTATGTCAACCGATATAAGTGCATCCACTTTGTTAGCCGTGCAGGCAGCACTTTTACACCCAATGATCCCACTTTGGATGCAGAAGAAATCATGCATCTATCTTCTGTTGCCAGTCTGCGGGTCGTAGCGATTTGTACAGCAAGTTGCTTTGACGATAGAGAGTGGGATTATGTTAGCGGCTCTTTCGGAATGCGATAAAGCCTGAGAGAAATTAGGCCACTGCGATGACAGAATTCATAGGTTGACGTGCAAGCTATCTACTTACTTACGAAGGATTCTTCTATGCCAGAGTGTACAATAAACAACATATTGATACATCAATATACAATGAAGTAACGAGCGACGTGATATCAGAAAGCCAAGAATAGGAATAGGAATATACAAAAAAGCCTAGGTGGGAGGTACCATCGTAACATCCGGACTAGGAACGGACAGTGAAGGAGCGGATTCTTCTACTCTCCTCTTCTTCGGTGCAGGTCCTTCGTCGTCAGAGCCATCCACAACAACAATAGGCGATCCAGGTTCTGTTGACGCTCCACTGACAGGCGGTGGGGGCAGCTGCTTAGTATCTTGCACTACCGCACTGGTACCCCGAGCAGGCAACGGCGCAGTTGTGAATGGAGCAGTCGGGTTACCATTCGCATCATCTTTCTTCGACTTCCCGGCAACTTTCCCTCCTCTTCCCCGTCCTCTCGCAGCCTTTCTCTCACGGGCTCTCCGCTCTCTCATTACTCTGATCATATGTCCGGCCAAAATTTCCATGGCTTTCGCTGCTCCCATTCGCTCTAAGCTGGTTAGAATGTCTCCGGTAATGCTACTGAAGACCTTGGGATCCAATAATAGTTTGCCTTCGTGATATACCATATATCCTTCCTTCGCTGAATTGTTTGGATGAGAAGGCGAATAATCTTGATGAGATGGGGGAATAGGGCCAATAACAATGGGAACGGGTATATCTGGTATTGCAGGAAGGGACCGTAGAGGTGACAGGGGGTAGCGATGTAGCCGATTTCGAGGCGATCGCGGTTGCTGTAGGAGAGAGTTGAAGACTGCAGGAACTGGCTTGCTTGTCGGAGTAGCAGGTGCAGGATTAACAGATGCTGACGGTGTACTGGTCGTAGTATTCGGGGTGGTCGTGGGTGCTGCGGTAACAACAGGTATTGTGGCTACCTGCGAGTGCATCCTCCAATTAGATTGAGTCAGAGCTGCGTACGGATTGGGTCCACTCATAGGTGTCCCAGAATAACCCTGATGTTCCACTAGAAGTGATAGTATGTCCTTGATGGTAGGCAAAGACTCCGGTAGTGCCTGGGACAGCTGGTGGAACAGTCTTTCCCGGTAATGGCAGTGGAATAGAAGTCAACTGGAGGAGGTAAAGCTGAGCCCTTTGTATCACCCTTGATGCTCCGTTTCAATGGAGGCTCGGATACCGGCGCACCCTTCTCCTTCTTTCTCGCAGCTTTGGTCTCCTTGTCTCCCTTCCCCGTACCCGACTGCATTCCAGCGGCGGCAGCTTGCTGCGCCTTTGCTTCCTGTTCCTCGATGATGTGCTGATGCTCCTCATCCAGAGACCAAAAGAAACCCTTCCCTCGATCGCCTCCACACCTCTCCATTTTCTTGAATGCACGACTGGAAGACAGGTTGTGTCGCACTGAGCTCTGCGAAGAACAACATAGAATCAGCATAATTACATTTTTCAATGTATAAAGTACCCACCATCCAGGCATTACCATCGGTATAGCGATAATAGTCAAATTCATTCATTATCCATGTGCATATCTCCTGGAGTGTCGCCTTGCCATCTAGAGCCTTAATGGCACGGTATATTAATTGTGAAGTAGGTAAAGGTAGGTTTGGGAGGTATCTCGTCAGGTCTGGGTTTCTCTTTGAGGGCGAGAGTTGTCGGTAATTCAGCAGTGTCGCTTTTCTTGCGTTTCTTGGCTGGCTTCGTCGACCGCGTAATAGCATTAGAATTAGGTAGCTGAGGCTCCGGCGGCGGCGGTGGTAGCTTAACTTCTCGAGGCGGAGGCGAATGTGATGGCTGGGAAGAAGGAGGCGATATCGACGTGATATCAAGAGAGGGTGAACGGGGACGATTGATGGATGATTTGGACAGATGATGATGGTGAACTTGGTGAGGGTGTATCGTCTGGTGGTGGCGGTGGTGGCGGCAAGACGAAATGAAAAGTGCGAGAGGCAATTTGGATCTGGGACCTAGATAGAATCGTGAAATAGTGAGATTAGGGCCTCGTGTCGGAATAGAAGGCGGAACTCGCACCGTTCACCAAGAGGAGCTCTAGTTCCGCTACCGGACCAGACGCCATCTACCCAAGCCCCATTGCGTCCAATGACAACAAGCACGAAGCGGTCCTCCTCTTCGTCGTACTCTATCCTGGCGTGAAGCCGTGATACGCTCTTGAGAGCACCAAGGTCCACATCGACCTGGGCAAGATCCGAAGGTGACGAGGACGACGTCCGCTGCATTAGGGTTGGGACTACATCGACGACCGATAGTGATTGACAGAGTCTGGATGTAGAAAGTGAAATTCGGGAAGACAAGAGAATAATAGGCGGATATCTTCTTCGGCTGGGAAGGTTTATCGGCAGCCTTGGACATTAGCAGATGCTGATGCTGGATCGTGTCTCAACGTCCATAGCGTTGCTCGTCCTGTCGTAGGTAAGTAGTCGTCGTCGTCGTCGGTGATGGCCGTCCGTGAAGCACGTTCTACGAGAACAGTCAACGGAAACTCAGAGGGCCTGGCACACATCACGTGATGTACGGCAACGGTAAAAACGTTTCTTTTCGTTCCGCCGTTCCGCGTCATACGGTATCTTAGCTCTAGACCCGTTCATGTCGCCTACAGAGTCCGTCACCGGGGCCATAGAGGAAGAGGTCGACCACCTCACCAAGGACAACGTCGACAGTACTGACTCTGACATTCGTTACCTCGCGTACGGTGCTCGACTACGAACCGCACTTCGGGCCTCTACTCGGTATATTGCCTATGTACGCGTCATTTGCCTCTTAAAAATTATCCGCAATAACTTCCGTAGACAAGCGATGTCGGAGAGGCCTTTAGACCAGTCGTGCCGCCATGGGTAGTGACGGCTGCATACGGCGTTTCGTGGCTCTATCTTGGCGGGGACGTTGCATACGAGTCCTATAAGGCCCATCGACGGGGACCTTCGGCAGTCGAGGCGGCTCACTTCTCAGAGCCGACGAGATTAAGTCTCGTTGCAGTTCAGCGGGCAGTTTTCCAGTCGATTGCATCGATGTGGGTATCTTATTGTTATCTGATATGAATACTTAGCATATATGCAGGGGTCTTCCTGCACTGACCATTCACACCATTGTTAAACAAACGAAGAAGGTCTTCGTCAATGTCCAGAATCCTAAACTGAAGGCATGGGGTCCGACTATGTCCGGTCTTGCTGTTGTTCCTGCTCTGCCATATCCTTTATGACCATCCCGTGGAAGTCGCGACGGACAGGGCGTTTGACTGGATCAAAGAGAAGCTGGCTGAGGCGGGAACACGCACAGGGAAAGGGGATAAGGAACTATGATATACGTATGTTTTAACGCCGATGATCTACCATACATCTATGCGTTGATCCCCAATATTTACTAGTGCCGCTACCTGCACATGCACCGCTCCCCGTATGCCTGCCTGACGTGAATGCCTGATTCCCTGTGTACAGTTCTCTCTCTCTGCCTATCTCTGCTGGGCTTATCTGAATTATCCGGTCTGCTCCGAAAGACAATAATATCGGAGGAATTCGACCATCTGGCATCTTTATATAGTCTGGCGCCTTCGCTACTGGCAGCTCACCAGCCCATTCAGCCCATTCTGTAGATGCTTCTATCGTCGTTGTAAACCCACGCAGTTATCGATCGCTCCAGTGCTTCGTTTGCATATTCAAAGTTCTAATTTTCGCCTACACTATACAATATTTGGTTCCCGCCTATAACGTTTACAGAGATATTCAATCCTTCCTTTCGGAGCTCTATCGCATCCAAACCCTTGATGAACTCGTCATACCGAATGATATGGTACTTTGAGGGCACCGATATATAGACCCGGACAGACCTGAGTCTATTCACTGCTGATCCGCCAGCGATATTCCAGCGATCCCGGATCATCTCAGCCGTCTTTCTCTTCAAGAAAGTCACAGGTAGATCGTGTGGTACATCCCACTTCGGCGAGCCTTGCAGCGTGATCGTCAGCGTATGAAGTTCAGGCAAAGGTATCTGCCTATCCTCCCTGATTCGAAGATATTTGGCCACCGTGGCAATGAATTCGTCTGCTTCGAATTGCCAATGATTCATCTCGATGTGAAGCTCGTTCAGGTTTGATGTGCGTCCTAGCACGGTGATGAGGTCATCGCTCTCCATCACGTCGGACAGCATGAGTCTGCGTATCGAGCATCCAGACCTGTTGATCAGTGCATGAAGGTTTTTGAGGGTGGAATATCGGCAGATGTCATCGAAAGACGCAGCCTTGAGACGGACCTCTTCAAGATTCGGAAGCACGAGTTTGGTCAATGCGCCAGGTGTGCATACGTGTAGAGCACGGAGGGTGTTGTGCTGGATCATTGCATTGTTACTCGACTCCCTCAGCTCGGTGTCGAAGCCGTCGAGGTCGTATTCCTGCAAGTTGGGCAACAAACGGAGAGGCGCGAGATGCTCTTCAACCGTATTGCGATCGTACCACTCTACACGAACGGAGACCAGTTGCTGATAAGGAAGAAGAGGGTCAACGTGTCCCATTCTCGATAGCTCGACGTTGCGCAGATTGGGGGCCACTTCGAACGCATCAAACGCTGGAACAGTACTGCTCTCGATCCAACCTTGAATCATCCCGAAACTTAGCGTCTGTAACTGATCCAGTTTTCCCTTCGCGTCATTGAATATCGGCAGGTAAGCGTAGTCGTCTACCTGGAGGCAAACGTTTTTCCAGCGTCGAGACTGACCCACAAGGACTCGGAGCAAGTCGTGATTGAGCTTTGTAGCGACAGCCTCTTTGGGATCGACCGGTTTTGGCCATCTCTCTTGGACGGTGTTCCTCTCCTTCTCTGCATCGAGCAAATCGTCGTAATCAAAGGCACAACGGATGGAGAGTAACTGTGTACTGGATCGCTCCAATGCTTTTTTGAGCAATTTAACGGGCTCTCGGGGGATATGACGGTTGTAGGAGAATCCTCTCACCAGGAGATTCGACCACAATCCTGTGTTTGTATCGACAACCGTTTGCCACTGGCTACAGACCCGTCGCAGACTCCATAGGTTTGATCTGTTGCTGAAGACGTCAACATGCACCTCGTCGGCGTTGGTCCAGTGGAAGATCTCGAGCAGTATTTCGGACGGCACATGACGTATTGGAGCCACGACCGTCTTGCAGTCTAGGATTATGCGGTCTAAAATATCCTTGACGCGGAGAAGGTCGGCCAGGTTATTCATAGCTTGAGCCAACACAGTTTGCTGGACTTCCTTGACTTGTGCTTCGGTGGGGGGTTCGTTCGACTGGAGAAAGCGCTGAAACTCGACTGGCCAAACCATGGGCAGGTTCTCGAGGAAGGTGCGATTGCTAGTCTCTGACATAACTGAAAGCCATCTAGTTAGGAGAAGCTACAGGAACTCGGGGATGTACTCACCAATGAATAAGTTGTTGGTCCAGGATAGGTCTGAGGGTTTTGTGTGAAGGTTGGAATATCGAGCAAGACGCAGGTTTCTCTTACTTATATCGTGGCATTGTGACGGTGCCGGATTTGTTAACAATCCTCAAGCCAAATCATTATACATGTACAAGCTGATCTGAACAAAGCAGTATATGTAGCATCGGTCAGAGCGCAGGCTGTGGCACGACATCGGTGAATAATGTCTTCGGTCTTCTGGAATATGGCCACCGCGTGGGTTCTCCTCGTACCAGTCTACAGGACCTAGTTTGAGCGAGGGCCATCTGGCACTGCCGATTTTTCACCTCTGACCTTATTGTTGATTCCTATTCATTTTCCGCTTTCTCCATCTAGAGATATGTATAGCTCAGCTGAAGCAAGGACACCCATCGCCAGCTTGGTCCCTCAAAGACAACTTTCCGCCCTTATTCCGACGCATTGTGCATTCAAGACAGCCAATTTCAATGTGTACTTAGATTGACATGTGAACTTGTTTGTGTTCGCCGAGGCAACGCGACAATCCACGATCGATCGGATAGTGGGTGAATCTCAATCCCAATAAGGCAGAATACTTATCTCGGACTCCCGAACGGCGACGCTTCATCACCTTCGTTCTTCTCCCACCATCTCTGACTCACAATGCCTGGCCGTCTTGAACACAAAGTCAGTCCTTGAGTACATCACCATCTGAAAGAACTTGCTTACGAGATAGGACCTTCCGTTAGGTCGCTCTCATCACCGGTGCTGGATCGTGAGCTTAGAATAACACGCGATTTTCTTCATCTGACAACTCGTGCAGAGGAATCGGGTTGGAATCATCCATTCTCTTTGCCAAAGAAGGCGCTAGCGTCCTCATGACGGACATCAATTTCGAGGCCGCAGAGAAGGGCGCCGCATTGATAGCGACCAAAGTTCCCAATGCCAAGATTGTAACTTTGAAAACCGACGTCAGCAAGGAAGAGGACATCAAGGCTGCCGTAGATAAGGCCGTGAAGGAGTTCGGTCGTCTGGACGTGATGGTGAGCTATGATCCGGATAGTAATACGTGATTCTGACGTTTCGCCGGTGTTAGTTCAATAACGCTGGTCAGTGCATCACTATTTGCTCACCTCTAAAGAGCCGGATCTTATCTCTTCCGTCAGGAATCATGCACCCGGCTGATGATAATGCCTTGAATACGGAAGAGAGGATATGGGACCTGACGATGCAGATCAATCTGAAGGGCGTCTGGTGGGGGTGTAAATACGCCATTCTAGCTATGCGCGAGAACCCTACAGATGTTTCCAAGGGCCTACACACGGGAGGCAGTATCATCAATACAGCAAGTTTTGTCGCGTTGATGGGGGCCGCAACTCCGCAATTAGCATGTAAGTATTTATACTCACTTTGCTTCCCATCACCACTAATTTATGGATCCCTAATTTAGACACGGCATCTAAGGTTCGTTATGTGGAGTGGTTGCATCATTGCACGGTGTAGGTTGATTTGTTCCACCTAGGGTGGCGTTTTGGCTATGACCAGGGAATTAGCTATGGTTCATGCTCGTGAAGGTATCCGAGTGAACTCCATTTGCCCGTAAGGAACCTCTTCTGCATACCGTGGCGTTTCGGAGCTGACCTTGTACTTATAGAGGACCTCTCAAAACTCGTGGGCATTATTAGTGTTTTACTTGCCATCAGATGTCTGACTGCGGCGCCACAGCCCTTCTTATGGACTTCCTCAACACCGCCGAAAAGCGGGACCGTCGTATGGTGCATCTGCCTATGGGCCGGTTTGGAGAGGCCATTGAGGATTGCCAAAGGAGCGCTGTTCCGTAAGTTATGCCTTGGTGTCAATGGACGATTCTATGCTGATTATTTTTAAAAACAATGCAGTGGCCAGCGACGACAGTAGTTATATGACGGTAAGAGTCTTAAGTTGGTGGAGTCACTTAATAATGTGCGTTTCAATAGGGAACCGACTTTATGGTCGACGGAGGCTTGAGCCTCAGCATACGTAACGCCTCTTGGAGAGCAGATCCTGCCGCCTCCGACAAGTCTTACCAAGTAAGCTTAATACCGTTGGCGCGTTTGACGAGAGATGCTACAAACTCGACCAGTTAATTAAGTAGAATCGCGATCAGATGTAAGGCGAATAACAATTGTTAGTACATAGATTGTACAGACCTCGATATTTTCATCTTAGGTCACTTATTTTGGTTGCCCACAGTCGCTTGCACGCTTCTTAGCACCATCCTCCTTCCTAATTCTCGTTACTTCTTTGTTGATCTCGTTATTGATAGCGTTTGTGCAGCTCAGGCCGGTAGCCGAGCTTATAAAGGAGTTCCAGATGCACAAAGAATGGAGCAAGCACGGCAGCTGCAAGCGTCCTGGTTAAACACGAGCTAAAATCCTGAGAAAATTTGGACACACCCCCGAGGATATTGTCGATGAGAGCTGGCGCCCGTTTCTCAGCAAAACCGTGGCCAATGAACTGTGCGATCCAAGCAAACGCGTGAAATCCACCAGCGATGGCCATATGATCTGGACGATGTGCGAATTTAAGGGCTGACAGAGTTATGAGAGCCATTTCAGGAGTGTACATCAACTGAGACACGTTAAAGCTCTTGTATCCATTGCCAAGGGAACAAAAGAAAGAGACGCACTGCGGCCAAGGGTTCCAAGGTATAGTAATAAAACAAAAAGGCGCCAGCGACGACCGACGCCCAGTTTAAATCAAAAGCGAGGTAGTCATTGAAGACGATGTGGATCGGTGGGAACATCGTAGATGGAAGGTTCGTACCCATGACCAGTCCGGTCCTGAATGTGTGAAATGAGATGGATAATCATTGGAATCGACGACGACGACACACCATAGGATCATAGGGACGCATACCATGTGAATGGCGACATTAATGGGATTCCTATGGTATACACCGTAGAACGTGAACTAGAGCTGGTGAGGCAGAGAGCAAGACAGAGGGAGAGGGACGGCATACCTGCTTGTTGATGTCGAATATGTCTGCAAGATACATGATGGTGGTCAAGGAAAGAGGCGCATGATACGGCAGAGTCGGTTATACGCTTCCGGCAGTGCAAAGCCAAGCTGCATGCATTCAATTATGGATCGCCTTCTTTTTCAAATTCCTGAATAGGAAGGTCGCGCACGTGGCGTATACGTGGCACGTGCTTTGGCGTCTTCGTGTCTCCGTGTCCCAGATCAAAGTTCCACAGCATTTGTTGTATGCTGCTTTCATGGTCCGCTTCTACCATCATCGTGAGGGCCTCTGATTCCCTTCCTCTTGCTGCCAGCGTCGATGACGAGCAGGTGAGTATTTCGGCGTGCCTTTGTGGGATGAAACCTGGACAATAATACCATCCAACAGACGGAACAGGCCTTGCAGGAACACAAGCAGCAGTCCAAACTAATCTGTCGCCGAATAACGCCCAACTCGGAACCTCGTTGTTCCATTGAAAGTGGCCAATACACACTACAGTGAGTAGCAATCCCTCGGTATACTGTGTCTCGACTGAGTTATGTCTCTTCCAGTTACCTCATCGCCGACAATGTCATATTCCTCACCATAGCCGACAAATCCTACCCCAGAAAACTCGCCTTTTCATATCTCGACGAACTTTCAAAGGAGTTTCGCTACAACCTATGGGCCGAAAGTGGAGTCCGTTCGCAAGCCCTACGCCTTTGTAGGCTTTGGTACGCGCTGACTATGTTGCTTACCGTAAACTGGCTCAACGGGACCCAGACACGTTCATGTCGAAAACAGCACGGCTATACCGAGACACGCGGACAGCGAATGCTGCAGCATCCGGACTCGATAAGCTGAATGACGATCTGCAAGATGTAACCAGAATAATGACCAAGAATATGGAAGAACTGCTGTGGAGAGGCGACTCGCTAGACCGTACGTGGAGTTTCTACTAAAACAATACTGCTTGCTCAAGTTGTGCTCCAGGCATGTCCCATCTTTCGACGTCACTTCGTTCCGAATCGGAAAAGTACCGCAAAGCCGCGAGAAATATCAACTGGCAAGCGATGCTGCGACAATATGCGCCCGTGGGTGCCATCGTGCTAATATTGATCATCTTTGTATACTGGAGATTCTTTTAATGGACGCCCAAGCTCCACCTGGCATAGATTAGCTGCATATTGTTCCTTCGGTATTCATATCTATTATTTTGGATTCGTCTTTGCTTTCTGTATCATACGAAATACGTGTCGACCACTATCCAAGTTATCGTGCAGGGAATTCAAGCCTCGAATTGTCATTTGCTCGTGACCATCATTGGAATTAGAAATTAGATAACGGGATCTAGGGCATAGTCCAATTAGTATCAGCCTTCTTCAAGGGTACTAGGTGTCGTTCTTTCTTCCTTACCATCTCTATCCTATTGGCGGTTCTCTGCAATGTACCGCGCCCCTTCGCCTTACCGTGCTCCTTCGCCGTACAGAGCTCCTTCACCATACAGAGCCCCGTCTCCCTACCAAGCCCCGATAACCCCTTCGCCCTATAACAACCAGCTCCAGGCCTACCCGACCTCCAATAGCAGTCAAAATGTCCCTGCTGCAGGCTCTATCACCTACACAACGTCTACATCGAACGATGGACGTCTCATCTACCATCCTTTCAAGTAAGCCTGTCGCCAGTTCACTTGATGGAGACTGATATGCAGCCTACAGAGCCGTCCCAGCGAGGTTTGTCTCTGTTCAGGTCTGAAAGGAGTCCTCCTAACACTCGATCTTTGCGATCATCAGCTACAAGACACCCAACGGCATCGTAACTGGCATTCAGTGGATCCCCGCGGAGGCTACTCAGGTTTTGCCGCCGGGCGCTCAACCGGCTAGTGAGGTGGGCGCTATCAGTGTCAGGCATACAACAAGGTGCTCATTGCGCTCTCCAGGATTTCACAGAGTCTTGGCAGCGTGGTGCTCTCGGTCCTGGCGACCGGGGCATACTGAAAGACTGGTGAGCCTCCTTACCCTCATTCTACTGATTCGCACCCCACTCATTTGAGTTAGGCAACGGTCTGAAGAAAAACGAAGGAGAAAGGAAGAGAAAGAATCCTCCAAACTGCTTAGGGAGAAGGATTACCTAGCCCAGGCTCGCCGCGATGATCGTGACGATGAGCTACGCTATGCCCGTGAGCGAGATGCCGTTGCTAGGGAACGCCGCAAGAGCTTCAATGCAGGCGCTCCTGGATCCCTGGCTTTCCCTACTTCTGGCGCTCCTGGTTATGCTGGGTCTAGCGGAGCGTACTACCCTGACGCACCCGGCGGCGTCCCTGCAGGCGCTTATGCCACGACAGGTTCCACAGGCAGCGCCTATGGTCGTGATCGAGGCGCCGCTGGCCTGGCAGACCAGTTCTCCGAGCTGAACATTGAACACGGAGGTGACAGCGTCCTCGGCCGCCCGAGAAAGTACAGTACGCACGAGCCCGCCGCTGAGAGAGCTCGTAAGCAGAGCGGAAACTTTGGCCCGGGTGTTCCTGGATATGCAAGCAGCGGCAGTTCATCCTATGGTGCTCCTGCAGGACCCTATGGCCCTGGAGGAACTCGAACAGGATACACGGGTGGGCCCCAGTATGCTGCTCCTACTCCAGTTGCGGGAGGTTATGCTCCTGGCCCTGGTGCACCTTATGCAGGTAGTAGCTCATACCCAGGAATGGAGGGAAACCTGGGCTCTCGTTCCCGTGCCGCGAGTCCCCTTCCTGGTGCCATGGCACCGACTGCCGTCATGCCCACTGCGTCCCCTAATATCGGCTTCGCCAACGATCAACAGCAGCTCGCTGCCCCGGAAGGTTTCTCCAGGCCTATCAATGCCGCTTGTCCCTACACACCTTTCGATGCTTTGAAAATCCAGGACATGGATGCTTTCTTGGAGCATATCCCTCGTATGCCTGCTGTTCTTCAGCCGCATGACGTTTACATCGAGGACTGGGCTCGTTTCGTGCAGGTATGTGTTGGTGATAGTCCCTCTGTCGTCTTCTAACCTTCCTTTATAGGATTTATCCCTTGCCTGGGCTGGCAGGCTTCCCGTTCCTGGTGTGTCCAACGCTACCCACAAGCCCAAGAGGGCTACCCTCAGTGCAGATCTCATCGACTTGTGGAATGCATCGTTCTTCGTCAGTCGAGGCATCGAAGCAGTCCTCTACAAAGGCCGAGAAAGACGTTCAGGGCCTAATGTAGGTGTCGCCGACTTGCCGTTGTACTTGTATAAGACGACACGGCTGATGATAGCGACTCTACATCTTCATCCTCTTCTGATTCCGAAGTGTCTGCAACCGAGCGGTATGAAGCCGCTCAGGCTGGATATGGTGGGATGTATGGGCGTGGGGGCTATAATCAAGATATCTTGGATGCTAGACGAAGGCGTGCCGAGATGAAGGCTGAGAAGAAGAAGAGGCGAAAGGAGAAGAAAATCCGACGCAAGGAGAAGGCTAGGGCTAAGAATTATACCTTGGTTTTGACGTGCATTCCTGCCGGTGTGAACCAAGGCGCCGGCGCTGGTGCGATTCCTCCCATGGGCGGACCCGGCATGATGCCAGGTGCAGGATCGATGCTGCAAGGTGGTCACGCAGGTAGTTTGGGAGGTATCGGAAGCATGGGGGGAATTGGTGGATACTGAACTGCATATTCGTTTGTGATATACCTACATCTTTCTTGATTTTCAGGTGTACCCTGGCAACATTCATCGATGTACTTGTATCCTATAGGGTTGGATAAGGCACTCAGATGTTAACTACCATGATTACTTACAGTTTATGTACAGATATGCGAAAATGAAACCATGTAACTTATCACCAAGCACGTCCCCTGCCTCTAGATGAGTATCCGCTTCCTCCACGACCTCCACTGTTGTACCCGCCGTATCCATTAGTAGATTGACCATAACTTCCAGAGCTACTACCGTAACCGCCGCCTCCGTAACCACCTCCCTGTCCGTAGCCGCCATAAGGGCCACCACTACCACCACCACCATAAGCTCCTCCCCCAGATCCATACCCACCATAACCACCGTAAGAGTTGGGCGGAGGACCACCTCGAGGGGGGCCTGAGTCTCCATATGCAGAGCGACCACCTCCGTAAGCGCCGCCACCATATCCACCATAAGCGCCTGCGCCTGCATCACCACCATACCCACCATATCCACCTCCTCCGTACTGCTGCTGCGGAGGTGGCGGGGGTCGTGATTGATACGGGCTTGGGTGATAAGAATTACCACCTCCTCCCCGTCCTTCATAACCTCTGTCATTACCACGAGAAGGAGGACCATACGAACTAGGCCGTGAGTGGAAAGGGTCGCCTCCCCTGGGTCGATCATTCCCGTTGCTCCTCCCCCCACCGCCCCTGCCACCGCCGCGATCCCAGCTGCCACGACCTCGGCCTCTTCCGCCACTGCGCGTCGTTTCGAGATCTTGGGCCTGAAGAACACGAGGACCCTTCTTTACTCCCGGTAGCATTACCGACCGATGGGGTGTTATTTGCTTGGGGAAGAAATAGATTACTGACAAAGAGCGATCATTTCTAATGTCTGGAAGGTCTTGATTCGTGAGAGGATTGAAATACGTCGAACCAGGTATACAATCAGGGTTGGGAAGGGCACTCCCACTGATACCTTTGCTAAGAGCAGTATCAATGGTCACGGCCTAGGAACATAGTCAGTAAATGAGTGTTGAATCCAATTGAGATATGACCTTATTTGACTTGCGTTTCCCATACAATTGCTCGTAGAACGGATATATAGGATGTTCATCAGAAGCAAAAATAATTGAATTGCCCCAGGAGTTTCGGCGCACTTCCTCTTCGGAGAGACCATCGTAGTGCAATGCCATAGCCGCCAAAAGACGCTTCTCGTCTATAAAAGGAAGCAGCGCAACACCTTGCCATGCCATTCTCTTTCCGTTCATGTCTATTTGGAACGACTCAGGATAGTAGTCAATGATCGGCGAATCCTCATCAAGCATAAGGCTGTGGAATACAGCCGGTATGTGCATGCGACTATAAATTTATTGTATTAGTGCTTTAGATTGAATTGTAGGCAGACACGAACCTTGCGGCAGGGAACACACCCATCAACTGTTCAAAAGGTTTGAAGGGTTCGCCAAGATCGAATGTAATATCCAGTGCTTCGATATCAACAAAATCTGAGGCGAAGGGAGCAAAATGATGCGGATAATACCACTGCCAGGATGGCGCCTATATCCGTGTCATAAGTCTCAGCATGTCAAACGAGGCAATGACAACTCACCCCTTGATAATAATATCTGAGGATCCATGCCATTCCTTCAACATAATGTTTGACAAGACTGAAATAGACGGTGAACACGTAAATTAACTGAATACATCGATAACATGAAACGCACGCTTTTCTGAACTCTACATCGGATAGTTCCACTCCAAACTTCTGACGATAGTACCGTTCCTTGTAACCAGGCTCCCACAACCTGTAATAAAACATTTAGCACCGTAATTGATGAAATCTCGGTTCTGACATACTTCACTGTATCTTCTTGTTCTACAGTTCCGTCTGCATTGACCTTCAATGACAACGAGGAAGTAATGCCAATCGCTGTATCTTCCTCTTCTTCATCAGGTAGAGTGTCATCATCAGCTTCAGGACCTTCCTCCACTTTACGCTTGGTCCCGGCTACGACACTATCATCGTCTATTTGTGGAACATCTGTGATAGACTCCATGGAAATATCCTGACTCAGAGAACTATCCGCCTGCATGACTGTAGCAGTAGGCCGAGAAGAAGGTGACCTCATACGAGAAGCATCAAGAGTTGCCGAAGGTACATCAGCTGTTGCTGGGGGTTTCGCGGGAAGGGATAGATCAGGCTTGCCGGAAAGCTCAGCTTTAAGCATTTCAGCGGCGCTCATGTTTGCCATTCGAATGGCGCGAATATTAGCAACAACGTCGCGGTTAGAGCCGGCCAAAGCCTGAGTCGCAGCAGACATGTTTAGTTGAGATTGTGTTGTTCGGGGACCACCCAGACCAATAGAATCAGCATTCGCAGCGAAATCAGGCCGCTGGGGAAGAGAGGGATGCGCCGGGTAGGAACTAGAGTTACTCGAAGGAGTTGTCGGACCACCTGTCTGGGAGGCAGAGGAGGAAGATCCAACGGTGACAGTTTTCCCATTCTGAGCCTCCAACTTACGACGTTTGGCATTTGCATCTTGGCGGTCTTCAGCTATAATCAAATATATGTTATTTAATGTCTTCTTCGAAGCAAGAAAAAGGGGATTTGATTAGGGTCGCAGCACAGACCTTCACGTCTACGTTTGAAAATTTCATCTTCTCTCCTTGCGAGACCTTCAAGAATGATCTGTACACGTGACAGCTCAAGTTGGCCATGGTTGGCAAGATAACCACCCATCCTAGGTAGTTCTTGTTTCCATATCCTCAACAGCGTATCAATGGCGCCTTCGCGAATCTCAAGTGATGGGAGATGGGGAAGAAAATCGTTTCCGACAAAGAAGATGAGAAGCACCCAGTCATCAATAGCTCTTTCGAGATCAAAAGGGAAGGTTGCTTGGGGTGTGTCGAGTTCGACTTCTAGATACTCGCGAAGAACAGCGACATCGAGGAAAATAAATGGTTTGGGTTTCTGTACAACAGCAGATGCTTTCCTTTGTATTTCGTCTTCAGACACTGTACATTGAGCGGCATAGTGGCCCTCTTGACCACATTTTCGGCAGCTGGTCGAATTCGCGTCGGAAAACACATCCTCTCGAAGTACTCGGAAATGAGGTTCGTGTGTAGCTAGAGCAAGCATAATAAGATCAGCATCCTGGGAAAGATTATGTTTATGTGAGATTTCAAGTCTATTGTGAAACTCGACACCTACCAGCCCATATATCACGTGCCGTGTGTTCGGATCGTGTCCCGGATTGACCCTCTGGCGTCTTATAAAATCCATGATTTTGTGCTCTCCCTCACCAGGAACACTCGCATCGGAGATAATAACTTGGATCTTTGTAAAGCAATTGATTAGCAGAAGAAGTTGAGCCACAAAGTAAACATACGTTCTTCCAACCGGCAGTCTGAATTCATCTTCTGAACAACCCAGTACCGAAGTGAGCTCGCTAATAGAGCCATAAATGGGGTTCCTGGGGTGATGGCGTTGGAATCCCAGGCCTTTTTGTTCTTTTCATCTGCACTGATCTCCTTGCCCATTGCTGCTTCACATGTTAATGACGGTCTACATACAAAAAAAAAGGACGCACATTCCCAAAGAGCTACCGATTCTTTCCGTGCTTCCTCTTTGTCCTTGGCTTCCTGGGCAGCGCGGAAACGTCGCGACCGTTGTTGATTCATCTTCGCTCGAGGTGCAACGCCATCTGACTCAGCGATAAGAAATAGTCAAGCGTTGCATATCACGTTGACTCACCAATTGCCATGAATAGTAACTTGCGAGGACGAATCATATTTACAACCCTCTCTGTATACTTGAACACTTCCATCATCATGTCCTCTTCAGTCTCTGGGGCAGGCTAGAATCCGAAGTGTGATAATCAGTGTTGGGAAATAGTGATGATATTATCCTACGTACTTTCCCTTCGGGGTGAGTACATGGGTGGACCTAGTCTCAGAAGTGAGAGGAGTAAGACGTTAGAAAAGAAGGCAGCGACGTACAATGCCGTTCATGTCAAGGTACAGATTGTCAAATTCCGTCCCATTGGGATTGGGATCTGCCATGTTGACAGGAATATCAATAGACTCTGCCTCTGGATCACCTGGATCCCCCGTTCGAATAGTAACATTCGTCTTCGGCGACCTCATAGACTAGAAAGATACTGTGTCAGAAGCCTTCGCTCTTGTATCCCTATCATTCCACTGACTGATTTTAGGGTACTTTTTGCTGAGCCAACGGAACAGAGCAGGGACACCCTACGATGACGTTTAGCTAGCTCATCGAGTCGCAGAAGTAAGATTTTTACCATTGCTCGAGTTTTGAAAGAGAGGCAGAAGTAGAAATAAAGATAATTGTCAAGTTTATGTCGCCAGAGTGAACGAATGCGTGGTTTGCGAGAGAGCGATGGTCGTCGTCGCTGTGTAAGCTTTCACTTTGATCAGCCACAATTTTGGTGTACTTCGTATACGTAAGCAAAAACTAAATAAATAAATAATATTAATGACACCAAAAAGTCTGACTCGGATCTCATCGTTGCAGACGTTCGCTTCCTCTCTCGCATTATCAGTCTCTATTGCCTGGATTTTCACGTCCTATCTGTTATGCCTACGGCGACTAATGCATCCATATCCAAGGATGGCTCCGTTACGTCGAGTTCCAAACCGGCGTCTCAGCCGTCTCAGAAATCGATGACCAAGGCTGAACGCCGCGAGCTGCAGGAACGACAACGAGCCGCAAAACTAGCACAGAAGCAACCACAAGGCTCCTTAAATTCTGCGGCATCATCCTCGAAATCCAAGCAGGCATCGACACCACAAAAGAAATCTCAGGTTACTGACACGAACAAGCCTGCTGCATTGTTAGGAAAAGAAGCATCGCTAACCGCCAAAGATGCCGCTTTGTCCGTTGCTGCTGCCGCTGCGGATAGTGTTGAAGCCCAGAAATCGCGTGGATTGCGGATATTTTCCCACTTTGGCGCGCCGAAACCGTTGGGAGCCGGGGTGAAGGGCGATATACATCCGGCAATTGTTAGGCTTGGTTTACTGTTCTCAGAATTCAAGATATGTGGCGCCAATGCACGCTGTATTGCGACTCTTTCCGCGTTTAAAACGGTGTGCATACTTTTATTTCGTTTCTATTTTCTGCTTACGGACCTCCAGGTCATACAAGACTATACAACACCCCCTAATAACACGCTTTCACGACATCTAATGACACATATCTCGCCTCAGATAACGTACCTTGTATCTGCAAGACCCATGTCCGTCACTATGGGAAACGCCATCCGACAACTAAAGCTAGAAATCAGCGGGTCTGACATCGACTTACCCGAACAAGATGTATGCGTCTTTTTTGTGCTGGAGCTTTTCACTAATGTCTCGTAGGCCAAGGATGCACTCTGTCAGAAAATCGACAATTACATTCGTGACCGAATAATAATCGCGGACGAAGTCATCCAAGACCTGGCTGGCAAGAAGATCAAGGACGGTGACGTTATCCTCACACATGCCAGGTTCAAACCTTTTTTCCTTCCTGATTCCCTGTATTAAAATTTCTTATTAAGGTCTTCATTAGTTCAAAAGATCCTTTTGCACGCACACTCAGAAGGAAAACGATTTTCTGTCATCGTAGTCGATTCAAGGCCACTTCTCGAAGGAAAAAAGCTTCTGCATGCGCTCACTTCTACGGAACCTCCAATACCTTGCACATACGCATTTCTTTCCGCTCTTCCTTCCGTCGTTTCTGAAGCAACGACTGTTTTGGTTGGTGCTCATTCGCTCCACTCTAACGGCGCAGTGTATTCAAGAGCTGGGACCGCGCTGGTCGCAATGATGGCCAAGGCCCACGGGGTGCCTGTTGTAGTTTGTTGCGAGACGTACAAGTTTAGCGAGACTGTCATGCTGGATGGGTTCGGCAAGAACGAGCTAGGTGTGTGGAATCCATTTCGATCGGAAAGATGCACACCCAGATGTTGTATTCGATCAGCCCCAGCAAACTTCTCACCTTCGGAGCCAAAGCCAAATCCGACGTTAGAAGTATTGAATCCACTCTATGATGTGACCCCGCCTGCGAGTATCACGGCAGTCGTTACCGAAGTCGGTATGATCCCTCCCACCAGCATCAGCTCAATACCCCTCGCCTTGGGTAAAACAAGCTTGTAGTACACACAGTGAGTTAGCTGGTCTATACATTGGTGTACGTGCAACAGACTTTTGTTACTGTACCTTGATCATCATATCAGCATAGCACGTTTAATAATATACCCTCAGCAGCTCGCTCGCGGACTGTTGGTATCTATGCGCCCTGCATTTGTGACGTCTATGTACGGGACCCACGGGACCGGGCAGACCATGCGATACTTATCGGACAGCCATGCGCAAGACAGAACTTACTTGGATAGATTTCTCAGGATTTAGTTATCAGTCTTGGCTTCGACGAATAAGCTAGTTGAGCATCATCATCATTCACACGCACGGCTAACCGGCACAACTAAGTTCGAGACTTATTTGCGTTCCAGCTTGGAAATTTATGAATGTCCAGGCAGCGGCAACTAGCCGCGACTGGCCCTGCAAATACATTCCCTTTTCGTGTCCCCACTCCATAACAAATCATAGCGATGCCACCGCAGGAACATTTCCAGGTCTTCACACTGCTGGTCAACCTCATGTCTGGCCCTATGATATGACTCACCCTGGCTTCTCCTCTTTTGGTTCTCCTCTCCCAAGCACATCCACTTTAATTCATAGTCAGGAGTGTCGGAAATCTTCTGTCACTGTCATTCGTCTCAAGTTTTTTTCATGTCGATCTCCAAGATCCATGAGATCTAGTTCACATGTTTCACGCAGCCGCTAACTTTCAGTCTCTATTTTACAAGGCAATCATGTTCCTCGGATTTTCATTGGAGCATCGATATCTATACCACCTGCCCCTAAGGTGCTATCTTTGAACGCGATTCTGTCATCGGACTTGGGAAGAATGCATTGTAATGTATATCAGCCGAAAACATTTCACGATGCCTCTTTTTAGCGTGGAAAACTGCGAGCTGATATAAGTCCCGTGCATGCAAGTACATTGACTCCCCAAGGCGCTCGATTTTTGACGCTCAGTTCCGCCCATGGCTGACCAACTGTCCCCAGAAAATGCTCAGTATGTTCTCGCAATCTTCGAAGTGTTTCTCTATGGTATTTACCCCTCTTTTCACCGAAATGCTATCGCTTACGACAGATACAGGTTTCTCCTGCTAGGATTCATGATCACGTTGTGGACTCTGGTCCGAGGGAAATCGTGGTCTAGGGTCAACAAGCTGGTGCTCCTCTTTGCCGTGTGTCTTTTGGCATTCCAGACCATGGTTCGTCCTTTCTATCTTGCAGCTGTTAGGTTATTCATTAGGCCATCCCGAACACAGTATACCGTCGTCGGCATCCGACGCAGGTACCAGGGTTTTGTTTTACTTTCGGGCTCCTCGTATCCTGGCGGTCCCAGCGCATTCTTCGAAAATGTCACCACAACGGCCATCTTGCTGAGGAACATTTCCTGGGATCTTCAAGTCGCTCTTGGAGATGCCTATTGTGGTATGGAAATTTGATTCTCACCCACCTGAACTCCGCATATTCAACAATTTCCTAGATATGGCGTGCCTATGTGGTTTGGCAAACGCCCTGGATCGTCATTCCTCCAATTGTAATTTGGGTTGGATTTATAGGTGAATCCGCCACCAGTAAACCCATTTGGAATTCCCTGCTAAATTGCATCTCTAGTCGCCGCCGTTGGGGAGCTTCTGTCCATGAAAAACACTGTGCCATCTATCGAGGGCCTTTTTGCGCCAAGTGTACAAGCATGGTCCACGGCAGCACTAGCATTAACCATGTCCTGCAATCTTTTGTCGACTTGTAAGCACTGCATGGCTGGCTGATATAAATCCATACTTACGAGTCTTGCAAGTCCTCCTGGCCTATCGTCTCTGGACACTGGAAAAAGAGTCGTCGGGGGGATCACGCCATAATGTGTCCATGATGAAGCCAATCCTGGTCGTCGTGGTAGACACAGGGTTGCTTTACAGTGTCTGGGTTTTCGTTGCTTTCATCACCGATGTATTGGGGTCCAGGTTTGAATATGTGTTTGACAACTCCGTAAGTTGTTTCCCTCTAGCCTAACCCTATGCCCGCTCATGTGACCGTTTTTGTATTAGCTCCCTTCAATTATTTCCATTGTGTTCTTCACAGTTCTGCTTCGTATTGCATGGATGCAAAATATGCGAACAAAACAGGGCCTTGCTGACTCGCGGTACGGAGCAGGAATGGCCACTCTGTCTACGTTCGCTCCCAGAGAGAGACGGTCAGTCGAGACGCGTCCTCCGCCAGTTCAAGTTGGGTTTGGCCATCTCAAAGACCGTTCTGGTACCGAACATTCCACCAGCGATACGCAGAAAGACGACGCGGAGATATTCCAAGACGTCTAGTCGACCGAGCCTTGCACTGGCCAATGGCAGCTGATTGTTGGCGGCGCAAAATAGTCGCGGATCTATTAAAATCTAGCTTTCATTAATTCTATGTGGAGACCTCCCTCGTCCAGTCGATATGTCAGGTTGTACGTCCCGTGTCCTCTTGCCTAATTATAGTACCAGCACAGGCTTAATATAAGAGTATTGCACCGAGTGATACAGCTGTACCAGCTTAAGTGGCAGTAGATAGAACCAAAACCTACTCGCATGCATCCTCAGCCCGATGTTGCGTTAGGTAGGGGTGGACGGCCTTAGTAATAACAAGGAAAGTATACTGATATCCAAGGCAGATGACCAATGCGTCATAATTTACGATCCAAGATGCACAGCTAGAATTTGAATAAAACAACATTAGTGTACAGATTATTGACTATACTGTAAATCAAGAAAATCTTCGGTATCCCTCTAGCTGATATTATCGCAGTGACATCGGAAAATCCTCAGGATAGCTTCCTTCTCCAACGCCGAACATATCCCGGAAATCCTTGACCGCATCAGGCAAACTTCCTTCGGGGCATACCCCCGTCTCGTCATCCTCCTCTCTCGAAGCAATGACAGTAGTGTCCCCGTCTTCTTCTTCATCTACTATTGGCCGGTCCGCAGGGTTGGTGGAAAATGGGTAGGCATCATAATCTGGGTCCGATTCCGTGGCAGATGAGTTCTGCGTGGGATTTACGGGTGGCCGGTCTGCGGGATTTGTGGAGAAAGGGTAATCATCGTACTCGGGGTCTGAGTCGGTCGAGGAAGTGTATTGCGTCATAGAGGGAGCAGGCGGGTTATCTCCTCTGGCAGTGCTATCATCATCTTCGAATATATGGGAGATGTCCAAGCCTGGATCGGACTGAGAACGTCCCAGTGCGCGCCAGCCTTTCGAAGAAACGGATCTTACGAAGCTACAGAAAGCATCATCAAATTTGAAAAGTGGCAAGGAGCTGACAGCGTAACTTACTTTCTGTCGAGAGATCGAGACGTGATCCATGATATATCAGTTGCACTGGTGATCTCTACTTCGCTCTGGCTCTGTGAGGTGGGGACAATGTCCAAGGGTCCGGGCTTGGGCATGTATGAGCTGAATAAAAGGCCAGCGAGGATTCTCTGGGGAGAGAGTTGGCTTAAGCTAATTTCCTGCGACTGAGAGGTGGGGACCACACAATCCTCTGGCACACGATCGTCATCTTTCCCAGGGACCACATGCTGAGGAGAAGAAGGCTCTGGAAGATTTTCATCAAAGGCGAGAGGGGGGATCAAGGGAAGATTCTGAGAAGCAGCAGCGGGGCCCGATGGGGGCGTTGCGACTCGAGTGATGCTTAGGCCTAGCCATTCGTCGTCCTGGCTTTGCTGGGAAGAAGGTATCACAGATGGTGAGCGGAGCCTATGCACGGTATGACGCCGTGACAAGCGTTTCAGAGGAGAATCGTGAGTCGGGGCATGGGAACTCGGGATAGAAGATACACCTGAATAGGTGACGTGACGTCGAACCGGCGTGCTGGGGGTGGTTAAGAGAGCTGCCCCAGTATTTTTTCGGTGAGAAAAAAAAGAATTTGAAGAATGCCTGGGACCGTGGTCAGCAATTGAAACTGGGGTTGGCGGAGCGACAGTATGGGAGGGCTCCGGGGTCGATGCACGATTGTCGGAATCATCGAGGGTGAGGTCGATGACTGGCTCTTCCCTGTGAGCAGCGGTATTCCGTTTTCCTTTCACCATCGATTTCGGGGTGGCATAGTGTTTAACGATTGGAGTCGGTGACTTGGATGTCGACGCGTTTCTGCGTCCATCTGACGCGTCTAGACGACCATTGAGCGAAGTAAGACGACCACTACGTGCTACACTCTCGCCATTGCCCTTGGCCTTCTTTGTAAAAGGCTCGTGCTCGTCGACCTGCTTTCTCTTCTTCGACGCCGCGGGACGAGCGTTCTCTTTCTTTCCTTTATCGACAGGTTTGAAATGGTCTGTTATCTTCCGTTTTCCTTTGTCTTTTGAGTCGCGCATTGGAGGAAGGAGTCAAAGAGCGTGGACGAGGCATGGGAAGGGCGAGGCAGCTCGACCGAATCGGAGTTTCCACGGTTACAAACTCCGCTCATCCACTTTTCTGGCGACGCGACTTTCTTTCCTTCTTTCATTTTTACTTCCATGTCCGACCTCGAAGAACAAGCCAACAAGAAAAGAAAAATGTCTCCTTCTGCCCAGTCTGTCGCGCCTGCTGCCTCTCTTCTCATCAAGCGGCTCTCAGACAAGGCAAAACTCCCTACAAGGGGATCTGCCCTCGCTGCAGGCTATGACTTGTACAGGTACGCTCTCTACGCGTATTGGTCGCGCAGGTTGCCTAACGTGCTTCACTTTTAGTGCTGAAAAGAAAACTATCCCTGCTCGCGGCTCAGCTGCAGTCAACACGCAACTATCGCTGGCCGTTCCTATTGGAACATACGGTCGCGTCGCGCCGAGAAGCGGTCTTGGTACGCGCTCTTTTCTCCCCCAGGTACCCTTCTCTGAAGTTATGAAAGCTTCCAAGCACATGATTGCCACTGGTGCTGGGGTCGTGGATGCCGACTATCGAGGCCCACTCTTTGTCCTGCTTTTCAATCACTCCGAGAAGGATTTCGAAGGTGACGGCTAAGCCATATTGTTGATAAACATTGAACTGATGGCTATGTAGTCGAGGAAGGAGATCGCATCGCACAGCTGGTGCTGGAAAAAATTATGACCCCGGAAGTATTGGAAGTCCAGGTAAGTTTATTAGCGCAATGTATCACACAGCAAATACTAAATGTTTGTAGGATCTTGATGAGACCCTTCGGGGTGCTAATGGGTTTGGGTCAACCGGAGGGCACGGTTCTCTTTGATCTATTGGATGTATTACTGACCTGTATGATTACTGATGTACCGCCTCCATCTCGTCCCGCTGATGTTCATTAGCGACAAGGAGGAACAATAAGATCATCTTTTGTTATATTTGACCTGATAGAAAGAGGTTTGGAATAAGCAGGATAGCTTCAATGGACAAGAAAAGTACCTAATGTCTCTTGTCTGCATCCACAACGTAAAAGTTATCTACCGTACGGGCTGCATATTTCAGCAGTGAACGTCCTGATGCATCCAACGGCGGTGCATTAAGCTGCGTGTTATCCGTCCTCTCCGTCGCTGTGTCCAAGTCAACACCCTCTGTATCGACCAGCTTGACAGCCTCAACCAGTCGTACAAGTTCCTCCAGCTCGCCTTTAACCCTGTCAAACTTTTCCGACCCTTCTTCCGGAGGTATGAGAGCAGCAAGGTCGTGAAGGTGATTGAGTATCGCAGGGGATATCGTCGGTGTCGGATACGACGAGAGCAATTCGTTGACCGACCACGTCGGTTTCAGAGGGATACCAAATTCATCTGTTTCTGCACGAACAGCAGAAGATTTCCATTCCATCGTCTAGGACGGCAATAACAGCGACGAATGGGTTGCAGTCCAAGTCTGAGCATGACGAACGAGGTCGGATCGGACTTTGAAATTTTCGCTCTTTCCACCCACCAGTCATGCTATGGACGCTAGCGCGACATGACCTCTCGAGCATAATCAAGCGGTCGATACCTGCTTCGAAGACGCCTCCTTCGCTGTCGAAGAACCCCGGTAACCTGTATGAGGTCCTTTCACGGACACCGTTAGGCGGTGTGGGCCGGCACGTATACCAGACTCGGTGGACAGTCAAGAAGATACCGGACTGCTACTGGAAAGTCACCAGAACACAATTCAAGTGCGAGGGAAAGCACGGCAAAGCATGGGGTTTGCTCTTCTGGAAAGGTGCGTCGCTCCATTATCCTTGCCTCCATGCTCAACCTTTGGTACAGGAAAACAGGTCAGCGAACAGCCGGAACGGATAAGGGGTAGTTTGAAGTATTCGTGGAACGAAGGCCGCTCAGAGGGTGTGTGGGACTACTAAAATCCAAACGCCAAGTCCACAAAAATGGTCAAACCCAATACTGGTTAGCGAGCCCGGCATGTATTCCTGCAAAAGTCACTGATCTTCTTTTCATTCAAGTTCGAACCGCCTCATAACATTATATTACACGCATTTTTTGATCATTGTTGTGGTCAATAGATTGAGGCTGTGGGCTTCAAAATACTCTTCTATCGAAGAGGAGCGAGCTGGAGCGAACTGTATCGCAGTCATCCAGGTTTTACTCATTAGCTCATGTATCCCACGATTTTATCCCTTTAGTCTGCCCAGACACCGACAAAATACTCTCGTTGACTTCAGGTCTAAACGTGATCCAACCATTGCCAATGACAAGTGTGACAGAAATAACCTGATGCTTTGGATGCGCCTAAGATAGGTCTATATATATGTACACCGTGATTATGTCCAATAAAAATATCCATTCTCTCATTCAAACCGTGATACCACGATAGGTGAGGATCTGTGAGGCCATACGCTGTGCTTGTCCAGGTGTGAACTGGTTCATGCAAGCGTCGTACGTGTAATCCATGAAGTTGTCTGAAAATCAAAACCAGATCAATAATGCGTTCCACAGGCGAATGCCATGAGACTCACGAATAGGATCAACACCTCCACCAGCACAGGTATCGCGACCAGTTGGGCACCCTGAAAGATGAATTAATTCATGATCATCGAATACGGTCAAAAACTTCCGTACCAAAGGCAGCTGAAGCCTCAGGAGGGGTGTCATCGACCGAATCACCAGCACCAGTGCAGCCACCCTGGAACGTGTGGTACAGGCCAACCCAATGACCAGCCTCGTGCGTCAAAGTCCTGCCCTGGTTGTAGTTGGTGGTACTTCCACCTGGAACGGAAGAGAAGAGAATGACAACCCCGTCATCCTGAGGTGCACCGTCATAGCTGTACGGGAACGTGGAGTACCCGAGAAGACCAGCACCGGCACCAGAGGTGAAACTACACATTGCACAAAGGCACTGCAGTTAGAACGTGTTACATGCCAGCAGACTTATTTTTGGGACATACCCGACAGTGTAAATGTTCAGGTCATTTTCACCTCCGACTCTCAAGGCTGCCTTCATCGCAGCTTGCTGGGAACTGTCGGGGCCGACATTGGAAAACCAGTCAGAGTTGATCGTGTAGTCAGTACCAGCGAGGAGCCATGAAATGCTTGTATTGGCGTAGTCCGTGTTCATGACACCGATTGAATCCACGATTTGAGATTCACTATAAAAGCATCGGTCGTTAGTAAATGTGCCCAAACGTATAGCAGGCCTGACATACGGAATGTATCCACCACTGGTAGTATTATCTTTGGCGATAACGTGCCAGTACACTTTAATGCTGGTCGTCTGAGCGAAAAACTCGGCTGGCGCTGTGGCTTTGTTCTCGAGGAAGTGTGCCTCAGCAGCGGCTTGCTGGTCATCGGAGATATACGTTCCACAAGCTCTGTAAAATATGCTCAAGACGCTATGCAAGACGCGTGAAGCCAGCGTGATATTTACCTGGTAATCCCACTGAGAGGTGATGCCACCGCACTAGACGCACTGAGGACAGCAACAGCAAGAAGACCGTACATCGTTCCAAGGGAGGAACCAAAGATCGAGGATGCGATTTAGAAGACCCTGGGGAGTGAAGTTTTCATTCCGTAGAACCGTCCCTTTTAAACGCTGCTCGATTCCAGATGACCGCCGCGAGATTGAATCAGCATATCAAAATACCCAGCATATGGGAACCGAAAACGTAACACAAAGACAACTTTTGATATGAAGAACAGCAGAGCGACGTCGAAGGCGCTTTAGCCACATGTTCTTGAAAGAAGGATCAGAGAAGAATCACAGATCCCGTGAACTCGACAAGGGAGAGGCTTATCTCCATTCTTGCACACGCAGATCAGATGGCTAGCACAGGCATCGTCTCCACAGCCATGCCCTTCTTCAACAGGAACGAATTTAATTGTATCATAGTGAAGGTGATGTCGGGCAACACTTAGCACCTCCACATATCAACAACCGTGATGGCTCAAAAAATGTAACACGCAGACTAGAGAAACCCCCCGAGATCAGCTGGAGAACGAACGTTAGGTTGTTGAGGAAGAAGCCGCATGGGAAAATTGGAAAAGAATAGCCTATGGCGTAAGGACTCGAGTCTCGGGGTGACTTTGCCGTGGAGGTATGCAACCAATGTGCCCAAGGGGGAAAGCCGAACATTTGGGGAGCATGCAAATCATTGCTGATAGAGTCGAGAGCGTCACCGGGCGACTTCGTGTCAAAACGATGCGCCACTGGACATCTACGTCAGTGTAACCGAGTGGTTCGCTAGGTTCTGTTCCTGACACGCTCTCATTCGCCTGCGGCTCCCGCAAGGTATTAATCGATAGCATGGTCCAAGGTAGATAGGCATGAAAATAAGCTTGTGGCCCATGCCTTGAATCGTTATCAGCAAGGCCAGACCTATATTGTCGGCAGGGGCAAAGAACTACTAAAGAAGCACCGCATGGAAGGGATATATTATTGACAGAAAACCGGCAGGTGTGAAATTGTAGATCAGGACATTTCTGTCTCGATATATATGAGAATGAAGGAAGGACCAAGATTGGACAGACGAACCTTCACTTTCATGACTGACACCGGCAAAGATACTGCTCCGTATGGGTACGCGTTTCTTGTAAATAATTAATAACAGCTGGTCTTCACCGAAACTGACTTTTAGTGAACACACGGCGTCCTATGGTGGCTATCTAGACACACGCGACACACGCAGATAGCAGATAGATCAGCCGATGATGATACTTGAGCTATGCCGGTCGTTTACATGCATCATCAGGCGGTCAACAATCTAGAGGGAGAAGGGTAGAACTTCAGTAGTCGCCCATCAACATAGACTGGGGAAAAATGGGAAATGATCAGAGAGAAGATTATACAAATGCACATTCAGAAGCGCTCTACAGAGCCTCCAGTCACAGGAAATAATTAAACAGAAACATTCTAGTTCATCACAAGTAGGCGGTGTGATTAGAGAGAAGAATCGGCTCACCATTTTACGTCGGGCACTCAAAAGGCCTGATTGCGTCCGCTTCGCACGTCGGACAGCTGGGAAAGTTCCACAGCGTGAACAGCGGCCCAACACCCCGATACACGGACTTGATGTCTTCGTGACTTCAAAAGTTGTTCCTTAGGCAATGCGTGATGACGAGACGCAACATACACCTCTTGATACCCCCTATGAGACGCGAAACAGGTCCAGCTTTCGTATGTGGCTAGAAGAAGAGCATATCGAAGAAGTCAGTGGCACTGTGTTGCATTGCAAACACGACTTCGGCGGTAGTAAAACGGAGATATTCTGCGACTGAGTGTGTTGGTGCCGTTAAGCGAGACAAATCCAGTATACAGAGATCCAAAGTGCCCTTTGGGTACTTGCGGGGGGGGTTGACTAGTCACCAAGCCACAGGTATTGCTGCATTGCACGACGAGGTCGAAGGTAGAGTTGCACAATTTGAAATTTCAGTGCGCTTCGAGTCATGTGATGAGCTGTCGGAATTCGGGCCCGGGCCCGTACTACGACGTCTGCTGTCGACCGTCGTTGGTCGCCTCGACGAGGGTGATACAGAGCTGATATAAAGAGACATTACGGCTTTAGGCGCATTTTCCCCCTACTGGAATACTGATTACGTATAATGCTCGTCCAAGACATTCCACCTACCAGCTCATCCATTGCCTTGCGCAATGCGTCGTCTCTCTCTAGTATCTACGTCTGCGTCGACCGTAGGGGGGATCCCCTACAAAACCGTGGCATGCCGCCAGAACCATGATAGAATATGTACCGGATCTCGAGCTAGAGCGCCAGTTGAAGAAGGTCGTTGACGGATTTTGGATCGATGCGAGGGAATTCCTCGAGCAGTCTGGGTATAAGATCCATCCAAAGTATGATCCAACATGGACGCCCACATCGGAACTCGAGGAGAAAGAAGCTGATGTCCTTCTCCCGGTACGTTACCTTCTCCTTACAGTCATCTTTGAAGTTACTCAAAGCGTTTGAAAGCGTTTTACCCTTGCTTCAGCTGTACGCTTGAAAAACAATGAGCCTGTAATCCTGAAGCAAGTTGAGATAAACACAGTCGGAATTCGAGTTGGCTGTATACTTTTCCAGTCCACCTCTTTCGACAGATCCTCGAAACCACTGCGTTCCTATTTACGATGTTCCTACAATTCGGCAAATACGGCATTATTGTGATGCCGCAACTGAGACTGTTCAACGATGCTCCTTTTGATACAGTGGGAGAAGTACTGGAATGCTTTCGTCAGATATTCGAGGTTAGTGATATAATTGCCGTTATGCAGATCGGTTCTAATATGTACCTATCTCAACAGGGCAGTCCAATTCATGCATCAGCATCATGTCGCCCATCGGTATGCTCTCCTTTCCGTACACCCAAAACGAAAAGCTCTGACTGTCCAACCCAGCGACTGCACTCTTCGTAACATTATGATGGATCCCTACGAAGATGTACCCGGGAGGTTTCCATCCCGGAAGACCAGTGGATGGCGGCAGACTACAGCGAATTCGTGTCTCCCAGGCTCACCCGAGCTCAATGCTGGCCTAGATACTACCTTGTCGATTTCGGCCTGTCTAGGCGTTATGACCCCTCCGTAGGGATCCCAGATGAGCCCGTAGTATGTGGCGAAGACAAAACGGCACCCTGAACACCACGATGAAACCCGGGACAGTTGTAACCCTTTCCCCACAGACATCTACTACCTCGGAAATATTCTCAGAGAGTATTTCATCGACGTACGTGTTCTCAACTATGAGTATAGTCACTTTGGTGTGCTGAATATGTTGCCACTCAGGCTACCAAGTACGGTCATGGCCGAAGACTAGGCCTAGAATTTTTACGTCCTCTAATGCAAGAAATGGTGCAGGATGACCCCACTCGACGCCCTACTATCGATGAAGTGGTTAAGCGATTTCATGACTTGACCCATTCTCTTAGCTACCTACACCTCCGATCTTTGGTGCAGCTGTCGGACGCCGCTTCGATATGCTATCCCGTGAATCATTTTGGCCGATGGATGAAATACACGCTGACGCTAAAACCGCCACTTCCCAAGGACACACCGCCTCCTCTAGCCGTGTTGTCGCCTGATCTACATGATTTCTATACCCAAAATCGAGACAATGGTTTCAATATCAGCTTTTCTTCTAGTTTTAGTTTTTCATGATCCCTACTTGACGCTTGCGTTAGAGTGTATGACTAGCCTATTGCCTATACCTATCCTTCACACACTGGACTATTGGACTTTTACACTGCACATTCATACGTGTCTACACATACCCAGGATTGATATGTTGTTCATCTAGTTGTCGAGAATTACCTCATAGTGGACAGTTTGTATCATCTGCTGAAATATACCTATACGGAGCTCCTTGTCAAGGATGTTGACGGCGGCCGCTTAACTTCGCGAGCTACTTTTTGGAGGAATGCTTCTGGGAACGGAAAGTGTAGATCTATTGCACAATAAAATCAACGACCACGTTAAGGTGCGCAAGGGACAATCAGGACGGATGAAAACCATGGAGATATTGTACAAGAAAACATTGATTTCTTGAGTTTGGGGTGAGAGAAATCGGCATCGAGATATTCATATGCACTCGGGCACTAGGATAGCTGACAACAAAAAGATACCGGGGGTGCATGTTTCAGGTGTTTGGGATAGGATACCTAGACAGCGGAGAAAAGTAGCTGCCGTGTCAAACCAGGCACAAGGCATAGGACGGTAGGAGGCCAGGGGAAAGAATGAGTGAGGAGAGCCGACAAAATGACTTAGAAAGTAGCAAAAATGAACGGGCGCAGAGCGGTGCAAAAATAGCGCTGCCTGGAGTGCTGCGCCGTTACCGGTTGTATAGTTAAGAGTGCACAAATCCATAGACAGTACGTTTCCGAGCCACTGGGCCCAAACAGTAAGCCGGTAAACGATGATATTAAGTAGGCCGACATAATATCTTGACTCCGTAAGAGACCATACTGCTGCATTACCCATGAATAAGGGCCTGGCAACCCGATAGAGCGGAGCAAAATCATCCGGGGGACGACTATTTGTATGACCGTTCCCATCAACCAGTTCCTGGACACGTACGTGCACGAGAGATAGAAGGGGTGCGCAGCGCGGTGAATGTTGAATATGACATGAAAAGGTGATGTGCCGTAGCGAGTCATTCTGACAACCACGCACCCGACCTTAAAGTGGCAATGAGGAGAAATATCCCCGATTTTCCAAGATATCGGACACAAAATGGGAGGTAGTCATCCATGGTGAAATGCAATCGAGAGAGTGATGACACCTAATTTTAGTCTACCGAACGCGCCTGGACGCCACTACCAGCGCGCCGGAATTACTCTCGACTCGCGCCATTTTTCTCTCTCAACAGCAGCCACTGCAGCTTTGTATTCCGGACTGCCTCTAGTCAGGCGACTGATATATCGCGCCGAAGGAGTCTTTAGCGATCCGATACGACTGAAGGGCCAGACGAGGAAGAGCAACTTGGCTTCGATCAACGCAGCTGGTACCTGGGTATATTCGTGAGATGTCACCGACAGAGAGCGAGCAATTGGCGTACCGGGCCAAGGGTATTACTATCGTCGCTATGGTATGGATCATCGCCTAGAACAGATGAACAGTTGCCACAAGTGAGTTAATGTTCAGAACACACACCTTCCACCCAGACGTGTCCCTCTGGAATACGCACTTGAGGAACAGGATACGGCGGTAGCGTGTCTACGATATCACCTTCCTTGGCGACGACTCGTTTGACCAAGACGCGTTTAGGGTCAATCGGAGAGCTAGATCGCGTTCAAAACATCCATAGAGGGAATGGGGACTGAACGCACAACAGCGTAACTATATCTCCTCGTTTAAATTTGGCTGCAGCCTGTACAGAAACCCTGTCGAGTAATGCAAAGTCGTGCCAGAGCTGATTCTCGTCTGGATTGATTGTAGGCTGAAACGGATGATTAATGCTCGCTGAATGGGCGTGAACTCAGACTTACCTGCATGCTTCTCCCTGTAAGCTTAGTTATTGGGAAGAAACGCGCCATTAATAATGGAATAGGCGCAAATTTGAGCAGACGGAGCTGGCTGCGAAGTAAGGACCAGAAAAAGGACATGAACGCATCAAGGTAAGAGCAATTACATTTCGTAAGCAACCAAATTTACACAAAAGTACAGTCTACAGTATCATATATCCTCTCCCAGCAAGACTTGAACTGGTCCCTCTCCTTACGTGAGCCAGACCCCTCCAACGAGGTTCTCCTTGTTAGAGGGCTTGGGTACCAATTATCTCCCAGTACTCAAATGTCGTCCATTCCAAAGTCAATCTGAACCTTTTCGCCTGGCTTAAATGCAGGAAGTCCTGATGAAAATGTTAGTAGAGCGCAAGGAAAATGAAAAGAAAATAGGCGCACCAAGGTAAGGGCAGCTTGCACACCTAAATGCATCACCGAGGTAGCAGTTCCCACAGCTACTCGTCGCCTTTGGTGTGCTGTTAATCAGTTTCTCCCTTTCCTCCCTCGACACGGCCCGTGCCCCGCCGTCTTCCGAGCCGTCAACGACAACGACCTGACTGTTCTTCAGCTCCTCTGCCTCAAGCTCAGCCAGTCCACATGTACAATTCTTACACGCCTTCTTCCTCCGCGGTGCTGTCGACGCTGTAACAGGCTCACATGGCCGAGCCTTGTCTGAATCCGTCAGGAGCGCCTCCGCATCAATCGGCGGGGTCCCCGGCGTGCTCAGCGTCCACAGTGCCTTCTTCGCACCAGTATTCGTCTTTTTGCGTAGGGGAAGTAAAACTGGCGGATTCGCTGAGTCTGATTTTTTGAGGGAAATAGTGGCAGTAGGCGCATGCACGGGCTTTTGGGCAATGAGGGTGGATGCAGAGGCTGCCGAGAGGATCGTGAAACCGTTTAGGGTCACCTCCGAGGGCACCTTGGATTCGGGAGAGATATTGTGCAAGTGCAGCGTACCCAGTGGTACCAGTGATGAGAGAAGCTGAGATAGCAAGGAAGAGATATTGGGCAGGAGAGCATCGTAGTCGGTAGATGAGAGAGCGACGTGAATCGATGAGTAAGTCGAGGCCACCAGTGAGGTAGCTGCTAGGCTATCAGTGCTCTGTAGGACCTTGGCACAGAAAACGAACCTCCGTCGACGATTCTATCGAGCATCTGTCGGTCAACCTTCCTCGACGCCTCCAAGTCTGTTACCATCGACTGGTACTGTCCATCAAGAGCCGTCGACGGGGATCCGATGGCAAGAGCTGGCCCTTTTACTGGTGTTGCTGCTGGAGGCACATATGCAGAATACACAGCAGTAGGAGACATGCTGGACGGCGGAAAGGAAGGGAGAAAATGAAGAAATGTAGTGGAAAGCAAGCCCAAGTCCGAAAATGAAGATCGGCCGAGACACTGTGGAGTCATCAAATTCCGAATTATTTTTTCCTTTTTTGCATATTCCTTTTTCCATTGCTGACAATCCCATTCGCAGCTCATCCTGACTCATCACTGGGCAAACTCGAGGCCTAGACATAATCATTATTGGAGGTGGGCAATCCCGCATTCGGAACCGTGCTGCTTAGTCAGCGATTTGATCGATAGAAGTGACCCATGCGCCCGTCTGTCTTTCCCCCTTCCCTCGACGGTCCTACAGCGTTCGTACAGTGTAGAACATATCTCTTAGGATCAAATACACTTATTTGCTTTAGAAAGACCTTCTGTGTGCGACAATTGGGAAACATGGTCGTACATGAAGATGCAGAGAAGTAAGTCGCGTTGTGTCACACTATGTCACACTTAATTACTATTAGCGCGTCTCCACGAATTTCTTCATCCACAGTGCACGAATTGTTGAGATAAGCGGTAATTCTCCAGCCGCTCACCCGGATATAGCAGGGAACCCTCGCAAACAGGCGAGGGTTGTCTTCATTCGACTACCTATTTATCTACTCACCGTGTACACTAATAGAAGCAACAGGATGTAATAAACGAGTTCTTGCCTGACTGACCCTGACAACCGATGATCCCGACGTCAACTGCACTGTGATGCGCGACACTTGAAACTCCAACACACCCCCGCAAGTTCGCGCATCAATCCCAAGAAAAGAAAAGAAAAAATGAGAGGAGAAAACATACAGTGTACACCCCCGGAAGGTGAACACCGTGGTGGGAAAAATATAGCCTAGAAAGCGACATCGGAGTCACTCTCATAAGCCAACCCGGCGAAGTCCGCCGTCGCAGTCTTCCCCTTTTTCGACTTCCGCCACTTTGCCCTCTCCTCACAATCCACCTTCAAGTGCCCAGGCTTATCGCAAAAAAAGCAAATGGGGTCAACTCGACTGTTGCCCTTCACCTTTCCGCTACGAAAGGCGACAGCTGCAACATCACCATCCTCTTCCTTATCTACCTCGGTGCGTTCAGGAGCAAGCGACGCTTGACGCGTCTCCTCGTTGAGCAAGCGAACGATCACATTTGAGAGTGTGAGCTGGTCGGGTGGCGTCGCGTCGAAGTTGATAATGACATTTTCGTAGGAAGGGGGGAGTCCCATGGTGAGTGCGAGGATTAGATCTTGGTCGCTGACGTCGATACCGGCTAGTTCCATCGCCTTCGCCATTCGCCTGATCTTTCCAACCCAAGCCTCCATGCCCTGGCCCTCAAGCATCTTCGCCGTCAAGAACTTCCTTCGCAAGGACAAGCTCGTTGCAAAGCCCTGTGCACGATGCACAGTCTGCAAGTTCCCCCAAATCTCCCGTGGGTCCTTCGAGTCCATGTGCGCCAGCTGCCCGACATCCACCCTCAAAATCATCTCGGCCCTAGCCTCCGCCATCTTCTGCTTATCCCGCGCCTTCAACTTCGTCGTGATCTCCACCAAGATCTCTGACTCCGACTTCCCATCTCCATCAACCTCAATCTCGACGATATCAGTCCAGAGCCTTCGACGTGTGAGCTCGGCCTCCATCATCACGCGCCATTCCGCAAAGTTTCCGACCGATAACTTGGGAAAACGTGCACCAAACAACTCGTCCGACATTTTGCTCTATAGGCGATCTCGACGCGGCAAACAACGAATGTGGAGAGTAAAAAACGAACAACTGGACCGTCTCGTGGACCAGAAAAGCGAACAACCGGACCGTCTCGTGGACCAGCAAAGCGAACGACCAGACCGTCTCGTGGTCTAGCAAGTGACAAAGGTGATCTCGACACCAGTGTCGGGGTGGCGATGTAGCGATAGTCTCGAGAGTCAGCACAGAGAACGAGAGCGACAAGGACTGTGGGTTATGCTGCCTGTTTGTGTTGAGATAAGCGGTAATTCTCCAGCCGCTCACCCGGATATAGCAGGGAACCCTCGCAAACAGGCGAGGGTTGTCTTCATTCGACTACCTATTTATCTACTCACCGTGTACACTAATAGAAGCAACAGGATGTAATAAACGAGTTCTTGCCTGACTGACCCTGACAACCGATGATCCCGACGTCAACTGCACTGTGATGCGCGACACTTGAAACTCCAACACGAATGCCTGTACATATCAGACAAAATATGATTGCTTCATATATAAGAGTCATATAATTGAGCTGAAGAATTTTATTTCGCCCTGTAGCAGCCATTACAGGGAAAAAAACACGGTTATCCTGATGTATTCGGAGCATAGCGAAATTTTCCTACAAAGAAATTTCTCAGAAGACAGGTAGGGGTTAATATTTTCTAATCTACTACAACTTCTTTGTAACAGAACTGTCAATTTTGACATGAACAAAATGATTCCCTATAAAAAATAGCTCAGATATACTGCTTTTATATATTCGAGACCATTTTTTGAGCAACAAAGACAAAGAGTTTAAGCATCATCAAATATAGCATATATTTTCCCACCAAAAGTAAAAGTTTTAATGTACGGATGGTCTTGAAATCGACTGGGTCAACGTCGAAAATATTGTCCGGGCTTTAAGACCCGTGGGAAAATCCTAACCGATCAGTCAGATTGCCCACCTCCATCATAATCGGAGTATTATGCTTGTAAGTATAACGAATACAATGGCCGGTATTATACATCTCGATAACGGGGAAATAAAACTAAAGTCCGAAGGACATTTATTGCCCATCAGTAGGAGGTTGCTGAGGAACCATGTGTGGGGGGAGCTCAGTCAGCATCGGTGGAGGCATAAGAGCCGTCCTTACTCGGAACAGCATCATCCTGTACCATTCTTGGTCAGCACCAGCCTTCTCCTGCTCCGTTGTAACGGCCTGCAGATGGCCAATCTCCTTGATCCAAGCATGGTACCAATTAACGTTGCCGTGTTCATCAAGTTCCATGTTTTCGTCGGTTAATATTGGCATGGGTCCTGGAATTTGAACGGGCGGCGGAATACCAAGCATAAAGTTGGGGTCAAATCTGTCAATAAATGTGAGATCATGCATCAAGATAATGATAGCATTACGCACGGAGGGGGAGGAGGATAAGCCTGAGGAAAAGGTGTTTGTGTTTGCTGAGTGGCCTCTCCCTCGGGCGAAACATATTGGGCATTAGGATCCTCATAGGTCTCGGTAGTATGATTCTCCATATCCTGAACTTCCTCCGAGCTGCGCCCTTTGCCTCCCTTCTTGTTGTATTTCTTCCTCACTCGATGCACACCAGTACGTGGATCGACGTTCTCGTTGACCGTCCAGTAAGAGCCCTTGCCTCGGTCAGTAAGCGGACGGGGCACTTTCTCAAAGCACGGATTCAGCGAGAGGTTGTGTCGGACTGAGTTCTACGTAAAAAAGAACGTCAGCATGAAAGAATTTGTGATGATGGATGTAAACATGGCCAGTCAAACATCAACATTGCGTCTCGCGGTCAGGCGCGGGTCGCGGTATTTGACACCAATCGTCGATCATTCAATTATCGACTACTGGACACTTCGAACAAGAGGAAATGTTGAACATACTCACTTTCCAGCCATTTGGCGCGGAGCGGAAGTAGGGAAACTAAGAACATGGTTAGAATTGTAGCACAAGACTCAGGTAGATGGTAAACGCACCCTGGACTCAATAGCGTAGTAAATATCTTCCAAGAGCAATCGTTGGTTGGGCGACCCTTTGATGGCATACCTATATAATTCAATTAATATCTGCGAAAGCTTCCAGCGACGCAACACGACGTACCGAATCAGCGTTGAATACGGATAGAACGGTTTCGTCCCCGGTGGCCCATCTCTCAACGAATCAAGGTTAATCGGTAAGCCGCCAGTAACCTGGGCATCGTTCTCTGGTTCCGGAGGGGGCTGATAATAAACCGACATATCACTCTGCGTCTGTTCCCCCATGTCCCCCATGATCGTCATCGTTTGCGCCATTAGACCGTTTCGAAAATAACCAAGAACAGAGTGGTAAAACCTTGAATTTGAAGGGCGTTTAATGGGAGCTGGGGCGTTGATGATGAAGGGCGAATCAACGAGGCCAAGTGGGGCTTATGTCAGACTCGCCGTGGGAAAGGCTGGACCACAGCGCACGGACCGTGCTGGACATAACGGGCTATGAAGCGAGGTGTAGAAAAATTGGAAAAGAATTGAACAAAGTGGAGGGAGGGGAAGAGGGAACAAGAGGAAGGGACGTAGTGTGTCTACAGCCACTGGTTTCAACATTTGCCGATAATTATTTATCAAAGACAGGAAAACCCGACCAAGCAAATAAACAGCAACGTCAGCCCGTTGACTTAGCCTAACAGTCATTGTATTTCAGAATCTCTCTACCAATGTTCAATAGAATGCAGTATCCATAGTACCGAAACAACAATTAGTTGTACAATCGAGTTGAGTAAAAAAGAAAAGAAAGCATATCCACAGCGATGGAGAACACGAATAAAACTTAATAAACAGCTTTCCCTTCCTATTGCACCTGTTGCGCTACTTGTATCTGACTCTGATCCTCCGGGGCATGAGCAGGGATCATATGCGGAGGCATCTGTAGCGTTCCATCGGGCCCCAAAGGCATGGGGGGCATCAGCGCAGACCGAACCTTGAACAGCATCATCCTGAACCATTCCTGGTCAGCGCCAGCCTTCTCCTGTTCCTGGGTAACCTGCTGCAGATGACCTATCTCCTTCAACCAAGCGTGGTGCCAATTGATGTTGCCATGCTCGTCCATCTCAAGACCTTCGTCAGGTGAGATCGGCATAGGCATGGGAAATCGCATGCCAGCCATCATAGGAAAATTGGGATCGAATCTATGAAGATTTGGAGGTCAGAATAAGAAAGGACAGATCAAATAAACAATGCTTACGGGGTTGGGTAGGGGGGAAAGGGCGCTGGCGGTGCCCTATTGGGACTGCCGTCGGTGTCAGGCCCTGGCATAGGAGGAGTACCGTACGCATTCGGATCCTCAAAGCCAGAAGGTGGCTGGTAATCACCATCACCGCCATCTGACTTGTTCCCGCTCCCTGCCTTTGCGCCCTTGGTCTTTTTCTTGCGCACACGATGTACACCTGTCCGGGGGTCGACACTGTCGTTCACCACCCAGTAGGAGCCTTTGCCTCGGTCAGTGAGTGGGCGAGGAAGCTTCTCAAAGCATGGATTCAAGGATAGGTTGTGGCGGACCGAGTTCTGCAAGAAGAAAAAAAAGGTGTGTCAGCATGTGTATCGCACGCCTGTCGAGAAAACAACAAATAGGACCAGTCAAGCATCAACAGCGCGACGCGTCTCGCACCATCAAATACGACCACAAATAATTATCCTACACGTAACAAATGCAGGGCACATCACAACAAACTCACCTTCCAACCAGCCGGTGCCGTTCGAAAATAGGGGAACTGGGCAGACTTTTAGGTTTTGCTGCTGCAAGTAAACTGTATGCCACATACCCGAGACTCAATAGCGTAGTAAATATCTTCAAGCAGGAGCTTCTGATTAGGCGAACCTTTGATGGCGTAGCTGCAGGGAACAACAGAGCGAAGACTGAGCAGACTGTATGCTAAACAGATGCCACACTCACCGAATCAGCGTCGAATACGGGTAGAACGGCTTCGTGCCAGGTGGGCCGTCTCGAAGTGAATCCAAGTTGATGGGCAGCCCGCCCGTCAACGTCGAGTCGTCAGTGCTTGTGTAGTACGACTCATCCATGCCACCTTCCTGCTGTTGGTCACCCATCATAGGCTGCTGCATGAGCTGTTGTTGTGATTCCATGTCCATCGTAACCAAAATATAAGAGAGTGTAGTGCTGAAGCTTTCGGAGCAACGAGGAGAGCACGGACGGAGGAGAACGTGGGCGGTGGGATATTATGTCAGACGCAGACGTGGGAAATCTGGGTCGCGCACGGACCCTCGACGAGCGGTAGTAGACGCCATCGTCTTACACGGCGTCGAAGCGACGCCGTCATCGTGCCCAGCGACGTCGATTTTGGGTGGATGTAATTGAGTTGCCCAGCAGCCACTGGGTTCAACAGGCCCCGACAGCGCACGCAGCGACAAATTCATCAAGCCCAACCAAGCAAACAAATGCAATGTTTTCGCCTTTCTTCTGGCTGTTTGCTGCCCTTGCCTCGTTTTTTTCCAACCGGCTCAGTACAGGCTTTGGTATTTGCTCTGTCAATATCCCATGGCCAGCTGGCTTGATCGTCGTGGAGGATTCTGAGCCTGTAACTATCTACCGGGGCCTGACAACAGCAACGTATTTGCCACCGTTTCACTACACGTTCAGCAGCAGCATTTCCGTGGTGTAAGTCAGTCTTTTTCGCCAGCGTCATTCGAACTCATGCGTCCTACAGATTCTTTTATTTGATACGTAGAATGAATAATAAAATGCTGCTTCGAATTTTCGTTGCGTGTCACCTCTCGAGCAAGGTACCGGTCCATTCTGTTATAGAAAATTTCTTCGTACCTGTCCTCAACAATGTTCATCCTTGGAGATGATATCAAGGCACCACCATAGCTAGGAACCCAATACCTGCCAAGGAAAAACATTCATCTTTTACGAGCTCTTTTCCAATACAGATCTGCACATATACTATTTGGTCGAAACAGGTCGAAACGCTCCTAGCCGCGCGCGCCGCTGCGTCCGAATGATCGCGTCTCCGAGATCTATCATGCAACTGCGCCATCTCGTCTCCAAAGGGGTCATCCTCCTCCAACCTGTCTTGCAGGAGGATCGAGGTGGACTGACAATGCAGGTTCATTCATGTTGTTCCAGCTTTTTCGTATATTAATATTCATGTTACTCTTGTGTTCGCAGGGCTCGTTGATCGCTGACTTTGGCGTCCCGATCAATTATTCTCCTGTTGACTAGGCTAAAGGAGGCAACCATAGGAGATTCGATGTCATCTATCCGAGACACGGTTTGGGATGTAAAAACTGTAGGGTCCGTTTTCATGCATTACCCCTACCATCATGGCCGACGAGGAGATAGTCAGAGGCCTGGACGTGGTTCGAATATGCCAGCGTAAGCCTCGCCCCCGGTACCATGTTTAGTACCAAAAAAGACTGACCGCGCTCTTTAGTGGTGGCCACCACAGTCGTTTTGTATGATCATGGTAACTTGTAACGAATTTGTTTGCGTGCGCATTGTTGACTACCCTTGCCTAGTTATTACTTTTGGCCAGGAGGTGTGTCATTTCCATAGTTCTTCTTCTCATACTCTGATGAACGAGACAGGTGGAATACATCTGGGTAGGTATTCTCGTTCGCGAGTCACAACCTAGAGGCTTACCATCATCAGAGCAAGCAGTGGTCGGCTTCAAAAACGTTATTCATCCTGGTCAGCACAAACCTTGTCAGTCACCGTCTCGTCCTGACATTCAGGCATTCAGAATCGTTACTTGGGGGAATTTCTGTTGATGTACGTGTTATCTCTCATTGAATATCTCCCCCACCTGATTGCCGGCATTAGTGCTGAAGGCATCCGTCAGTCTCTACGTGTATCGTTTGGTCTTTCATTGAACGAACGATTCACAGTGTTCATTACGGGTTATCACTCGGAGCTAGTGAGTGTCAATGTTTAGCTTCTCCTAGTCCTTGGACATTCTTTAACTTATGCTATTCAGATGTGAGTCCGCAGGTGTTTTAATGCACTCATTGGCGTCAGCTTTCTATCTAGATGTGAGCAGAGGCATCTTATGTTATCCGTACCACTGATGATGATCTTTAAGGCGATGTTTTCTTTCGTTTTCAGGGGTACTTTAACGCACTCCTTATCTGTATTGGGGGAGCAGTGATGAGTCTTAGAGTGGTGGCGATGCACGAAGCATCGAAGAAAATCCTCACCCTAGTCGGCGTCCTTCTCTTCGGGGAGTTAATTTCAATGGTGACTGTGCTCAGCCTCTCATTTAGGACAGTCAAAGGTCTGGCCACGTTTCATCCATATTCATATAGAAGGTTACTCACTATAGCTGTAGTTTTGCAGCAGTCCAGTGTACATGCTTGCATCGCTTCGGGTGTCCCACACTATTATTGGACTTTTTACCTCTTCCCCATGGTTCTTGAGACCGTCCTCTTTAGTCTGGCACTTTCAGTTGCCTTCAGACACATCCGGGAAAGGGGACTTCTAACCGGAGAGTCAGTTTTGGACGTTCTTTTTCGCGACAGCATATACTATTTCATTATGTAAGACGTCCCTCCATCGTAACTCGATGATTTTTGACGCATTTTCTCAGTATCGAGTGTGCGTTCAGTGCCAACGTAGCAACAGCATTTTACGTTACTAGGCACGGCAGATACAGCAAAGGAGTACTTCACGTAGGATCAGGCTTTCGATCCCGCCTATTTTCGGTTTTGAATATGATTTTACAGGTTCCTTGGCTGCAAATCCCCCAAGGGGTCTCTATTTCAGTCACGATTTTGGTTGTGTCCAGGCTTATCCTGAATCTTCAACATGTATACTACCTCCCCATTCGAAACCATTCGGTGGTGTCGTCTATTCAATGGCGAGGACCCTCCGACGAAGCCGATCTGCCACTGGATGACAGGCTGTACACGCTAAATTCTCCATTACCTTAGGCATACATATTAAAGAGGAACGGGAGATTGATGTAGTCAACGTCGGCCATGTTCCCTACAAAGGTATTGTTCTGGTTTGTGTACAGTATTATCATATAATGTAATAATAATTCCCACGAGCAACGCAAGGAAATTTGTTCGGATTCGCTTGGAGAATTTGGGGCGATTGTAAATAGTGCAGAATCTCAAATATCCCTGATTCTCGTCATACAAAAACAAACTCTATCGTGCAGTCTTTCTTTCATCTGCATGGCCCTCCAACAATTTGAAGTCAACGGCCCTGCCGTGGGTCATCCCGATTCCATTTTCTACTACCCTTCCCGGAAATCAGTCGAACGAGATGTCTGATTACTTACATTGTCTATAGCTTTTGGGTCGCATGAATTTACACTACATATATTCTTCGTGCTCAAGACGAAGGACCGGAGTTTCAAACTGGGTTACCTCATATCACCGTGACATTCTCCTACTCTCCTGTCTGCCTTTCATTCCTACATTGCTTCAGTAGCGATAACGACATAATGGGCGGCCCTTCTTTTACTGGTTATATCGATGGCAGCACCTCCTAGTGGTCCCGGAATGTTTGGAACTGGCTGTCTCCGTCGACGCGTTCTGCACCTGACTTATGCGCAGCTCGTTGCACCCTACAAGGGGATCAATACTTCCAAGAGGTGATTGTTTTCGAGAGGTGAGTATCTATCCTTTTTCCGTACCAAGCCGGCGTGCCTTGATGGTTACTGCAGACAGATGCAAGGCGCATACATTTGTTTAGCACAAGCGGAAAATAAACTAAGCACTCCGACGAGGACGCAGTATAGAGGAAAGATGTAGCCTTTGTTGGCAGTTTGTCGTTCATCCATTATCTAGCCAGTTCTTTGCTCACTATACCTTCTTGCTCTTACAATTACAGTTTAAATTCTGAATCCCCGGGTTTTGTTTAATCGTGTCTGTAAAGTCAAGAACCTCATGGACTCCGCCAGTGCCTTGCCACAGTATTGGCTCTACTTGTGCTATCGTTTATATCTATCGGGTTCCTGTTTTACAAACGCGGTGACTAAATTTCTCCTGATAGCCTCCGCCGACGCCCACATTGACAGAGAACATGTTTGTCAAGTTTGCGCCCTCCAGGAACCTTCTGGAATAGTTGGTCCTTCAGTTTCGTCCACTTATTCAGAATGCTTTTACTTCTCGTCTGGCGTCCTTTGTGTGGCTTCTGACTTCGTAGGCATCAACTGTACGTGGTACAACAGACGCGTTTTCTTCCCGTCGTGTCTTGGTTCAAACTTGACTTACCTTGGCTTAAAGGGCCTGCATCGCTTTTTTACATGCGCATTCGGCGTGGCGGTACATATAGGCGTGGATGGTACAAATACCAGCCCCTCTACTGCCAAAATTGAATGAAAATGGAGTTCACTTAAGCCGGACTCCAGTGCAACATTCAGATCAGGGCAAGTCGACAGGGTATGGACACTGGAAATTATACCATGCTGCATGTCCCGCATTCTGTGTTCCATTGAAAAGATAACCGTGAATCTATCCCCCCCGGACAACATATGTCCTGTCTACAGTTTGTCGTAAAGATCCAAGTCATCTTATTTAACCGACCTAGTTTTCCCCAGTCTTCCAATGTCCCCCAAACGTGACAATGTCTTCCGCACATAATTGGCCCTCTCAGCCCCTCCTCAACGCTGCCGTGTTCAACGACGTCGATGTTAATGCCGACGCCCGAGCGCTCTCCGAAAATGCGTACCAACGCGCGGAGCTTATCTGGAAGACTTGGGGCCTCACCTTTGAGGATGTCGTCAAGCTCAGTCCCAAGTTTTGGAAGATCCACAATGACCCCATTGTCTGTCACAATGGTTCCTCGAGCACTGTCATGACAATACATCTTAACCTTGTAGTCGGTACCATTGGAACGTATGCTGCCGACCGTCCCGAGCTGCTGGCTTTGTGCAAGGATATGATGGATTTCAAGATCATGTACGTGTTGTCTTCTAGGTATCCTTGTTATTAATGCTTACTATAGCTCGTATCAGAGGTCAATTCCTTATCACTGAGGTTGGTCATGGTTTGGATGCGACCAACCTTGAAACTACCGCCAGTCTCCAGCCTGACGGCTCGTTCATCCTTAACTCCCCCAACAGGGCTGCTGCAAAGTTTATGCCTCCAACTGTCCCGGTACTTGGTAAACCCTGCTATGGTGTCGTCTGGTCGCAGCTCCTCGTCGGTGGTGAGAAGCGTGGTATCAGGCCTTTCGTTGTCCAACTCAACGACGGCGTTAACATGTCCAAAGGTATCACCGTAAAGTATGTCGACCTAAAAATAAAATTCTCCTAGGCTAAAAACAGATCAACGTAGATTAATTCCGACTCGTCACGGCGCCACCCCAGTAAACCATGCCATAACTCACTTCACCCAGGTACGCCTTCCGGAATGGTCACTCCTCGGACCCATTGGTGACAAACCTTCGACGCATGATGACTTCCTTGCCGCCATCTGGCGTGTCTCTGTCGGTACTCTCGCTCTAGCTTCACTCACTCTTCCAGCTACGCAAATCGCCGCCCACATCGCATATAAGTACTCCGTCCGTCGTAAAGTCGGCATTCCTGCCCAGCCCATCATCAGCTTCCGCACCCAGCAAATCCCCATCTTCACTGCGGTCGCGCAGACATATGTCATTGAGGCGTGGACGAAGCATGCAATTAAACAATTTATGGATCCCGTTGCGGGTCGTCACACGAGACATGCAATTGCCACCATCTACAAGGCGGTGGTTATGGAACATGCGCAGACTGCCCACTTCAACCTTTCGGAGAGACTTGGTGCACAGGGTTTGTTTGACTACAACCAGATTGTGACGCAATTCGTCAGTTTCAATTCTCTACTTCACGATAGCCTCTGTCTGATCCGCACTTAGGCTGAGATAAGGGGTATTGTCATTGCTGAGGGTGATGTCCTCGTTCTAGCTATCCGTTGGTGATATTTTCTTCGCTTCGCCTTGATTCTTACCCTTTGATGACAGGCCTCGCCTCGGAACTACTCCAGGAGAAATACTCTGTCCCGGCTCCTCTTTACCCCACCAGTCTCCTCGCCCAGCGTAAGTCTATTCCAGTCTTGCCAAACTGCATCTACAGGACGACTAACCAATTTTATGAACAGACGAACAAGGTGTGTTTGAAGAAGCCCGGGTCCTTGCCAAGAAATACGGAGCTCGGTCGAAGCAATACGCCGACTATATCCTTCCTCGTTCCAAAGATCTCGTCGAAGCCATTGGCCACCGGATGGCGTACGAAAGTGCTTTAGTCGAAGGTATTCCCACTGTTCTTGCGGATATATATGAAGTCTTTGCCATTCAGAAGGACGTCGGCTGGTACCTCGAGTCTGGTCTCCTCACCCGAGCTAGGATCGCCGACATGCAGAATGCAGTGATGACGAATGCTGCGGAAAACATGAATAAATGGGTTGAGGGAATGAGTGTGGCCAAGTGGGTAAAGGCGCCGATTCTCACTGAGAAGTGGGATGATTTTGTGGATTCTATGTATACGTTCAGGGAACCTCCGGAGGAGATAATGCCTTTATCAATGTGAAGGAGCAAGATTTCTATAAATTATGATGAAAATTTTGTTTGCCTGCGTAACTAATGATAGACTCCCTCTCGTCACACTGAGAGTTCTTTAATGTACATGTACAAAACCATCAAGGCCTTCGTCCTTCAGCTTCTCTAGAGCAAGCACATCGTCCTCATCGAGACAAGTCCAAGCGGATTCCGACACCCATAGGATAAGCTTTGTGAGCCATTGCGTAACACATGGTCCGTGCACCCGCAATGCAACCATCTCGACGAAGGTCAGGTCGAGGAAAGAGAGTGTAGCAAAGTGGAGTCCATTCAGTTCAATAGCGAACTGTTGGAGAGATGGGACCAAACAATGCTGAGGTGAACCTCTCACCATAACTGTCTCCTTCATTTGGGTTACGAGATCACACATCACACGGTCATACTCGTCCGTCCACCGCTGATATATGTAGCTTGAAAACTCCTCCAATTGAGGCGAAAGTCGCAAAATGGCATGAAGGTTCTCATAGAGAGCTGCCTCACAGAGGGTTAATTGCGTCAGCGAGCACTGAGAGTGGATAAGCATCTCATGAAGCCCACGGAGGGCATCTATCGGGCACGGGTATCGGAAAGGTATGGTTCCACTGGGCGAAGCTTTGAGCGTGACTTCCTTTAACGCTGGGAGGATAACGCTACGCATGAAGTCTCGAGAACATGTAGAGAGCTCTTCTAAAGACGAATTAGCAATGAAGGCAAGGGAGTGTGATGCTGATATTGGGCCGGCGGTACCGTAATCGACGTATGAAAATGAACGGAGCTTTTGAGCGGATTTGACTATAGCCAAGTATTCGGGGGTCATTCTGTCTCCAGACCATGGGCGTTGGTCAGAGAAGGAAATGAGGTTGGTAGTGGGGAATCGAATGATAGCATCTGGATGCATACCCTTCAAATGCAGAACCTGCAGTTTCGGGGCAATCTCGAAGGCATAGATGGATTCTGGCCCAGAGTCTAGGTCGTCAGAGCGATTGCAAACGAGGTCCATATCCTTGAGCCAATCAATCTTTCTACGAATAGGGGAGAGTCTTGGAATAAAGGATGGAGGGACTATTATCTTTGCTGTTTCCCATCTCGCCGAATGCATTATCATAATGTCAAAGCACTGGTCCACCACTTGGAATTGCTCTGAGTAAGCTGAGTATTGGAAAAAAGAAAAATGGAGAGGATGATTACGACTGCGTTCGAGGACGCGAGAAAGTATTTCTGCACTTATACTTTTCATCTTACGACAGCAGGGTCCTGGAACATCAATCAACACTGTGGCCCATAGTTCTGGACAGAGTGTCTCAACGACTCTCCGCCACGAGCTGCACACTTGTCCGAGACACCATGGCCCCTCTCGTATAGAAAAAACACTGATTTCGGATATCCTTCCATCTGTGCCAGTGTATCGATTTTCCCACGACCCGCATAAGATCTTCGCTAGGATCTCTGGAGGAATATAACGAATTGAAGATAAGATTCTTGTATAATCACGTCTATATGGCTGCAGACGCGACATCTGATTCTCCAACGAAGCAACAGCGTCGCGGAGCAAATCAAGATTACTCTGTACTTCAGCGAGAGGTGCCTCGAGGTCGTCTAGGGATGCCTTCAGCTGAACAGTTTGCAGGGGTGATGGCACACTGTTGGTGTGCAAAAGCGAATCAACGTAGGGTGGATAAGCGAAGGTGTGAATCCAGTCCTGTCTGGACAGAATTTCCTCAACAAATGCACGAGTAGGCTGCATGTTGCTGAACACGTAGACAAGTTAATGAGGCAGTCTGAATAGGGTGATTTGAAAACACGTACTCTTATGGATCTAAATCTTGCTGCTCGTAATAATCCTGCTTGTTTGCAAAAAAAAGTTAGGTGTTGGTGTTGGTGCTAGGAATCGATGAGAGGGGGCCGATGAGTTCTAATTTTGGTAAGTATTGACAGGACCTGACCGATCCCTCTGTCGGACTTTGAATTTGTTCTAATTTGCTTCTCTCTCCTCAAGGCCAGGCATGGACTCCGTCATCGAGGTGCAACGACAGACGCACGAAGAAATCGAACGACTCGAGCGCGCGCTGTACACGATACTCTCCCGGCCACATTCTACCCAGGAATCCAGGCTGCAAAATGAGCACAAAGCGTCACAGATTCTGGACCGAATTTCATCGCGCGTGACGACGTTGAATAATCTATACGAAGACGAGGCAGCGCGTAAGGCTGAGGTGGATGCCTTGTCAGCGTCTTCGCAGCCGAACGACCTGTCAGAGTTCTATGCGCGGTTGGTTAAAATACAAGAGCACCACAGCAAGTATCCTGATTCTGTCCCAGGAGGGTTCGGCCTAGAACTGGAGACGCTGTTGGAAGAGCCAAATCAAGACGGGGATGATGATTACGAGGAGGAAGACCGTACGTGACTTCTCTTTGCCATGACACGAATGATGAACGCGTCTCGGTGCAGCCATTTCTCTCTTATTCTCTGGGGAGGAGGCTTATGGGAAATATCTCGATTTGTACGCCAACCATACTGCATACTGCAACATCAAGAATGTCGGCAAGCGACCAGGGTACCTCCAGTATCTAGACTTGCTAATGACAGCCCAAAGTGGTATCGTCCACCAAGAGTTGTCCAAGGAGGCACGCTTCACAAAAGACTATGAAAAGTACGTTCTTGTATCTTATTTCGTCTGTCTCTTTGCATTTATCCTTCTCAGCTATATAACCAACCTTTACACGTACCTCTTGTCTTTTACAAAGCGCACTCAGCCTTTGGTTGATATTAATGCTCAGCAGCAAGAGGCGGAGACAGAGTTCACCAAATTGTGGGATGCGGGGGAACTGAAGGCTTGGGAAGAGCCTAGCCCAAAGACTCAGGCAAACGGCGAATCCGGTGGAATTTGGTGTAGTGCTTGTACGTGTCACACCTTAACTACGAAATGCCATTCACACCAAGTTCTTTCCAAGGCCAAAAGCACTACAGCAAGCAGACCGTATACGATGCTCATCTTACTTCAAAAAAACACATCAAGGCATCTGCAAGGCAGGCCGAAAACGGAGAAACACCCACAGACCCAAATGGAACTCACACCCCATCCCAAACTAAGGCAGCTCACCCTTCCAATTCTTCCGCAAAGTCTCGTCTTCGGAACTCTGCTCTGTATACGCACCTTTCCACAGCACTTCTAGCCACGCTTATTCCCTTACTAAACGACACGAAGTCTAATGTTGAGCGTCGCTTCTCGCTGACGGCTCGTGAACGTGAACAAGAACTTCTGGAACAGGCCAAGCCACAAGCGCCGGCACCAGCAGCTACGGGTGAGAATGAACAGCAGGAAGAAGAGGAGGAGGAGCGCATTTATAATCCCTTGAAATTGCCACTTGGCTGGGACGGGAAACCTATACCGTATTGGTTGTACAAGCTTCATGGTCTGGGAGTTGAATACCGATGCGAGATATGCTCCGACCACGTTTATATGGGGAGGTATGTTACATGTCGGTTCTGAGTCATAACGTGACACGCTGACACCATTCCAGGAAAAACTTCGACCGACATTTCCAAGTGAGTAGATTACCCTTCCAATGATCGCTAAGAGGCTGACGTAGGATGCCAGGAATCTCGGCATGCCTTTGGTATGCGAGCCTTGGGGCTTCCCAACACCAAACATTTCCATGAGATTACAAGGATAGAAGACGCTCTGTCTCGTGAGTTCACAATTCGGTGCTTTTCCTTTTTGATTCACCGAGGTACTTTATACAGTCGCCGAGAAACTTAAGCAAGAAGGGCGCCATGAGATCTTTGAGCAGGAAACCATGGAGGAGCTGGAGGATGAGGAAGGCAATGTCTATAACAGAAAGACGTACGAAGACCTCAAGAAACAAGGCCTAATCTAAAATTACGATTTTTGTATGGTATGCTTTATTACTGTGTAATTAGTTGCGGCTGTTTATATATGTCCAGAACTGTTCATGACAACTGAAAGAAAAGTTACAATCAAGGGACAGATCCATTTGATTTCGTTATGCGTAATGGCGGGGGTGGTGGTGGTGGTGGCTTTCTTGGTGCGGGGACAGGTTCCAAGGGAGTTTGGAGAGTTAGTGCGTGCGTAAATAGCTCTTCATCGGATGAAGAAGGTGAGGAAGACAAAGGCGACTCTTCATCGAATGGATTTCTTCTGGTGTTATGCCGACTAGGAGACACGTTGAACTCTGAGATTGGTACCACACCCTGAGGAAGGTCTTCTTATGCACATCAGAGATGTTGACCACATCGAAGTGGATAAGCATACCTGCAGTGTCCCACCATGCCTTCTCATCGGTACTGGGCGGAGGAACTGCTCACGTCGGATTAGTAAAGATATTGAAAGGATCAAACAAACGTACGATCTTGATGATCCAGTGTTACAATGAGCGAAGCTAATTTTTCATCTAATTTTTCACCTGGCGCCGTAGAAGTAACGCTGTCCAGGAGGACTTTTTGCAGTGCTGCACGCTTGGCTGAATCTATTATGCGAACATTCGCTCTGAAGATTGCAAAGACTAGAAATAGCATTATGAAAAACGTAAGATACATGCATGCGTGTACCCACCGGGTCTATGGTCCGATCCTCTCAACTCTGCCCGGGAGTAAACAGAAAGATCGAGTTGGTTTCCGCGGTAAAGAATACGATCTATATAGGTAGTTAGGGAGTGCAAACAACCGATAGAAAGATAAATGTACCGGTCCAAGCAGGTATCCGGGCCTTTTCACTGGTATCGTAGTTATCAGTGCCAACGTCATACCGGTACGTTGGCCTGAACAATAGCGGCCCCTCCTCGTATTCAGCAAATGCTCTACCCTCATCCATGACTTGTTTGAGCTACCGGGGGCGTGCAACGATTAGTAGGGGAGACATCTAAATAAATAGGATAGCACTTACTTGATCGGCTGACACCAGGCTATCTATATCATCAGCCTGTGCCAGCGCCCGGACGCTTTCATTATCTAGATCTATCCGGTAGTTTGTATCCGCAAGCCATATAATATTCCTATAGCGAACGATCAATAATGAGCGACCGGGAAGAGAGTTGGACAGACACTTACTCGTGGCTGAATATCGTCTTCCCTTTCAGGAAGTGTAAGTCGTTGACAATGGTTCTGTAGTCAGTATTTCGTTCTTCCACATTAGAGTGACCGGCGGCAAGATGGGCCGTAAGGAAACAGAAGTTGGTATCATGATATTGTAGGCGTATTCCTACAGCACCTTTGTTCCCCGACATCCCTCTCAAACCAGTCTAGTATTGAAATGAGGTTGGGCTTGTTACGCTGGCAACCAACACACCTTCCGTGACGTAGCTTCGACGTTCCGAATCACTGGCGCCAATTCGGCCTTCACAAGAACTAACAGAGCCGTGCCGACCAGCTTTGACATAGTCAAATATTGAAACACGTAGCCTGAGATAAGAACGAACCTGTTCACTCCTCAAGAGAACGTAAGAAGAATTTTGTGAGGACGACGCTCCAGAGTGTCCAGTATTCGAGCTTCCCACACTCGTCTGAGTCGGCGTTAGACCAAACAGGGGCCACGACATGTTGCCTCACCGTTTCTCTGGATCTGTTTGTACCATTTGCTGAGCAGTCAAAGGAACTATTTCCTGAAACCCTAGAATAAACATGTCGGGTCTTTACCGTGCGTCAGGAAGTTGTTGAATGTATTCATAGGAAGCACATACTCTCCAGCGCCTATGAAGAGAGTCAGCATCATAAATAATGGTGACGACGCCAGTGGTGCTTACTCTCACGAGGAAACAGCCACGGTATCAGAGACTCAGAAGGCGGCTGTGAGATGTATACGATGAGCAACAGTATCAGGCGAAGGACAAGGACCACTCACGCGGCCATTCAAATTCCAAGTACCAGTGAAAATAGTGCATTTTTTCGTCGTTGAATATTCTTCTAGACTACGTCCTTGATGAAGATAGTGGAAACAGAACTCGAACCATGTACATACCGTTGTTCCAATGCTTGCCGAACCGAATCATGAACGGGATCGAAAATAGTCACCATTTTCTGTGAGCTCATGTTCCCCTAGAGGATATTAGTAACCATATGAGGCAGAATCCTTTGTGCGTACTAAGAACATGTCAATAGCGGTCTGCTTGGCCTTATCCTGAAAGTTATTGATGTATGCACGCGAAACGCTCTTAGTCGCGTCTGAAAGCACGCCTAATGAAAGGTTAGCCAGTGTCAGCATTTGTACATATCGCCTACCTGCCAGGGTGCGCTTTCCGCTCCGGGTAAAACTTGTATTCAAGGCACCAGTACCAGCGTAGATTCTCGACAAAGCGTCACCGTTCTCCGCCCATAGTTCTCGATGGACGGACCATAGGGAATGAGAATGTATCCATTCTCGTCGGACGAGTAATATATATTGCTCTAAAGTCAACCGAGACAGGATATCTTGAACAAAATTTGTCCGATCAAGGCTACAAGTAACGTATGAGATAAGGCGAGAGTATCGGAGGTTCTCTTACCAGTCCAGACAGTTACTTCGGAACACGCCCTTTTGCTGCGTCACGACTTCATCGGTATTCGTGTCACACATAGTAAATCCATACTGATCAACGTGATCGGTGATGGGTTCCATTCGTCTAAACCACAAGAGGTGAGTCTGTTTGATTGCAGCAGATGTGGACAGTACCTTAATTCTCTAATGACACTGTCGTGTCCACCAATCCTGACCGCATTATGGAAATCAAAATGCGTTATGCCTAGAGATTCACCAAACACTCCACGAGCTATATGCAAATGGCGACCATATGCGCTAGTCAGAATTGTTTCATTTTCCTTTGATCCTAGTAAATTGATAACATGGACCCCGCCATATTCTTCCGTCAGATGAGCAAAGTGCCTTTCAAAGGCTGGCTGCGAGGCATGTGGGCGGGTAATCTGTATTCGTTGACCAAATGTTTGAAGACCTTGCTGTTCCCAAAATACTGTGAGGTTGGACACTTTCGTTGAGGGAATGCTTTATTAAGAAGATGAAGTACATACGTGGAACGCTTCCGCGAACTTGTACATAGCTAACAGTGTGTTGATCAGTAGTAAACAGGATTTCAGTCTGGTGGGAATTTAGAGTGACAACGAACAAAGCAAGAAAGAAGGCAAACCTCGACAAAATTTGCGCAATTGCCATCGTCGTCAACTCCACGGGTGTTAAAACGAGTACCTGCTCGTTTGGAACCAAGTCGGGAGATTAATGATAGAGTTGCAATCGCCGGTTTGCCATCGGTTGGAGGCATTGGAAGAGCCATGGATGAGATCCCTACGTAACCTTGAATCGCCAAAATCTGTACACAGTATGAAGCATATTCTCAAGAAAGATCGCTCTTACTCACAATGAAATGGCAACGATCCAGGTCTTCGCGTTCTTGGGGGTCCAGTCGCTCCCTAAATTCCAGCAAACTTCTCGCAATATATTCGTTCCATACAAATCGTTCATCGAAGCTACCTGGGTCCCGAGAAAGGGTCGGATCTCGAGCAAGTCGTTGTGAGAGTCGCGAAGAGAGATCCCACTGAGAGTCTATGGTATAGTAGAAGGATCCAGAGGATAATATCTTCGTCAATGGCATACACGGATGCTCGAACACTTGGGAAGAGGGTGTGGTCTGCGCATAATTGTCGCGGGAGGAGTAGTCTCCAATATCGGGACTAGGCAAATCTCCACTGAGAGAGAGATCATCCCAGGCCGATGATGTCAAGCTATAAAATCCAACTTCGTGTATTCGGGCTACAGCTTCCGAAGAGGGTGCAGATGGGCGTGTATTGCCAACTTCCGTAGCGCTGGTCACAAGAACGAGGAAGATGTCTGGAATACGATGGTCAGTAAAGCAACAATGACAAGAGTGGATCGAACTCACCATTTTCTATCGAAATGATACCCAGGCATCCCTTAACAATCCTGTTCGTCAACTTGATGGCATTGGAGAGATCTACCTCGTCCTTAGTAAGGAACTCTACCACAGCCTGGTTGTAGCTCTGCTCGCCAGCACGAAAGACAAGAACGCGCCTGGGGCACCCTAGCTGGTCGTCTTGGGAGCTCGTGGCGAGATACAACGCCCTGGGGTTGCTTGCGAGGTAGAGGTACATGGCATGAAGAACGTCGGCGCAATGGCTGAATTCGGCAGTCCAATATACGAATTTGTCCCAATCAGGCAGAAAGTTTGCCAAACACTTTCAGTGCAAACAGCGCCGGCGCGATTCACGTCAAATTCCTGATCCTTCTGTTTTCAAGAGATATTCAGCAGCACATGTTGTTCTACTATGCCGAGAACCAAAATCGATGTGAGACGTAATGAGCGCAGAGAAAATTTGCATGACGGTATGTTTCGTCACTTCAAACTCCAAGGCGCCGATCCCCTGACATGTTGCTATGTACATTCTGTAACAACAGACTCATCAACAGGGTTTCAGCACCACGTTTTCGATGGTAATTGGAGCCGGTTACTTTTCGACTTTCAAGGACAATGGCTAGTCCTCGTCCAATTCATTTACTTAATGTAAGAGCCTAATAGACAGTCCCGTTTCTCCAGGAATCATTTCTCGGCTTGCTTGCATCAATCAATCCCAGCAGGTACGTTGTGAGGGAATATATTGGAGGCTGTAGCACTTAGTATGAAATCCTATTTGATAACCCCGGTCATCTTAGTGTACCAGGGACATTACCGCCTATTACCGCCTCATGCGACCCTTGGTTTGATTTCCATCGGTTCATTCATACGCCAGACTGAGACTCGTATTTCTCTTCATGGCGCCCAATCTCTCCAATCTCACCGTCCTGGACCAGTCCCCCACTTTCATCTACTCTCCGTATCGCGAAGGGGACCTCAACATCATCCTGGAAAGTTTTTTATTCAAATAGTCCAGACAGCTCTTATGATTCCACGCACAACTCCTCAAACCTAGCTTCTGGCACTTCCCTTCACAGCACGACTCTTCAGGGCGCAAGCCTCCAAATATCTTTCATGGGTACTGCGATATACCTTGCAGGATCGGGCACTGCTGGCGGCTACTCCACAACACTTGATGGCGGCGATGCCGTTGATGGGAACCCGGCCAATGGCTACCTCGTTAGCCACGACGGCTTGGACTATGAAGCTCACACGCTGGTTTTGAATACGACGTCCACATCGCAGTTGAATGTGACATCAGCGTTAATGACCGTAGGCATTGGTGATGAGGGGTGCGTGAGTCTTTTGCGAGTGAGTTCATGGTGTTAATCATCCATGGGGCATAGTGCTACAATAACGGATACAATACATCTCGCAATTGATGTGACTAGTGATGGTTCTGCATCATTGGATCCATTTTTTACAACCAATGGCAATGGACCATTCAATACCAACCACGACGCACAAGGATATTCACGAATAGACACGACAGGCGCGGGATCAAAGATATCATTTTCTTTTAGCAGCGCGTGCGTACTAGGTCCTTCATTGTCTATCTGCCTTTATAACCTTGTCTATCTGCCCAGTTCTGCTGTCTTTGTTTATGGATCAACGAATTATGACCATGATGCTTACAGCGTTACACTGAGCCCCGCAGCTGGGGTGTCGACATCTACGCGAACCTTCAATTCAACTTCAAAGTGGTTCGCTTATAATACCTCGACGTACTGGGAAACGGGTCTTGACCGAGACAAAACGTATCAAGTCACCTTTGAGAATCTTGCAGAAGGAAAATATTTTGATATACATCAAGTGTGTTCATTCATGCTCTGACGTGGAAGACCTTTCCTGGTTCTAACCTTCCGCATAGGTGCTCTTAAGGGATGGCGTACCGGCATCGTGGGTCGACTCTTGGGTCTATACTGTGAAACACTAACGTTATCTTAGCGCGAGTTCCCCGTCAAGTTCGGCGACGTCAGGGACCACCTCCTCGGATTCTTCATCTCCTTCCTCTGATCGTACCCTATCGACTGGAGCTATCATTGGTGTCACTGTAAGTTGTTCCAAAATTGCTCGTATACCTCCTGACCCCGTAGAAAGGTCGGCGTAGTCGCCGCCATTTTGGCCGCTTTTTTCTTCCTATTCCTATGGTGTCGGCAAAGGTACGATGTCTGACTCCTCGTGTGCAACTAGACATCTGATATTGCGCAGGAGGAAAAACAAAACCCGTTATAATGCGACGCTTTTGACTGATTTACGTGATCCTGCCTAAATCCCCTGGGTATCAATCTCATCAGCGTAAGACTCTCCGTTACAACTTTGAGCGGTATCTAACCATCGCGCAGAATTTCAGCCATTGCTCTCAGGATACGTCGAACCATTTGTGATGCCGCCAGCGTCGAACACCACAACTGGATACCATTCAAAAAATAATACCATTATAAGTACCGGTTCTTCCACGTTTACTGATGCAGCCCGCTCGCCTCCGCTCCACCAGCTCCCTTCCACAAGCCGACTGACGTATCAACTAACGGAGAATGGAATGATGGCCTTCGAGTCCGAAGGTGCAAGTTCCTCGTCTGGCTCCGAGTCCAAGAGGACTACGGCACAGCCGCCTGAACGAAGAAATCGACCTGTCAGACAGGAAACAGACGCAGGTCCTGTCTTGATACAAGATCATGAACCTCAGGATGATGTTCTCCCTCCTGGTTACAACCCTGCTTGGTCGTCGGGAGCTGGCAGGTAGCGTCAATGGTTGGCATGAGCAAGTACATTATGACAATAATCTTAAGGATGCCAGTTTGATACTTGTATTGCTCCTCTGTTTTGATTTGGACACATACACATACTCGGGCTCGAATTTACGGAGCATATTTATAGTTCACGCAGCACGGTTATATTTCATGTGGCAAGGGTTATTGTGGAGAGCTCTAACGTCCTCAAGGCCTCAGCTTCTAAGTCATAATTGTAGAGAGTTGGTAGAAGTATTTGGATTAAAGTTTATTAGGTGATCATTTGTGTGTTCTGACATCACAGACGCTTGGGATGGCATGAATAATAACAGATCTCTTGACATGCACGACACGCCTCTCAAAATGTGGTCAAAGGATATGCCACGGTAGTTACAGTAGTATCGTCTAATTCTACAGCGTAAGTACTTACATGGGCGCACAAGCACAGTTCTCACGCCACCAACGCGGCTTTGGTCCGGGAACGTTTCTTCAACTCTTACTACTGCTAATGTCAGTGATGGTCCTGTGAAATCGTATCGTTTGAGTGTCTCTGTACTCGAGAATGTAAAGTGACTCTCCTGCCATTGCCGTTTCCTTCGAATGACAAAATGAAAGCAGTTCCGGTGAACACAGGCTAGCTCACCCGGTTCCAAGTCGGCATATATTACAAGAGTCTTCGAGGATAGCACGAGTCGACATGAAACGAGAGTTGGTAGCTAACTCCCGGAAGTTGATTCCCACATGCTTGCGCTCGATGTCCAGACTGGACCGTTCGAGACCATCACGCGTCGGTAAGTATGCATCAACATGACCTCACGCCATTGGTTCTAAAAAATAAAGTGGTACGGTTTCCATCCGTATAAAGGGACCAAGACGAACGACACCGTTGTCCGTCCTCTTTGCCATGTCTCTCAATGCTACAGTCGCTGTCGAGTCCCTCTACGCTGACACAGACCTCCAGTCATTAAACTGGGTCGAACAGCAATGGGTCGCATGGTATGTCTGGATTGGCAATCCAGTCATCGCGACTGGCTTAATGAGTTTCTTGATGCATGAGGTTCGTCTATGACTTTTTGAATTTTTATTTCGTCTTGACTTCTAAATATTTGTAGATCGTTTACTTTGGACGCTGCATACCATGGATAATCATTGACGCTATACCCTACTTCCGCCGGTGGAAGCTACAGCCTACGAAAATACCTTCAGTACAGGACCAATGGGAATGCACAAAGCTGGTTCTCTTCTCTCACTTCACCATCGAGCTACCCCAGATCTGGCTGTTCCATCCCTTGGCCGAGTCCATTGGGAATGTCCACCTATCAAGTCCCGTTCCCTTCTCCAAAGACGATGTTACCTCAAATTCTATTCTTCTTCTTCTTCGAAGATCTATGGCACTTTGGGGGTACGATTTTTCTTGTCTTCGCTCGTCGGTCATGGCTCATAGGTTGTAGCGCACACGCTATTCCACCAGGGTGTCTTTTACAAGTATATCCATAAGGTCCATCATCGGTATGCTGCGCCCTTCGGTCTTGCCGCAGAGTACGCGCACCCCTGCGGAAGTTATGTGTCTAGGTATGGGGACTCTTGCTGGTCCCCTTCTCTACTGTGCCTTCACTCGCGATTTCCACATCATGACCATGTATATCTGGATTACCCTTCGCCTCTTCCAAGCTGTGGACTCTCACAGCGGTTATGGTGTGTTGCCCGTAGGCAAATCCTTGTACATTTTACGACACTCACACCATCTCCAGACTTCCCTTGGTCCCTCCAGCACATTCCTACCATTTTGGGCGGGTGCTGAACACCACTGATTTCCATCATATGACCTTCACAAACAATTTCTCTTCCTCGTTTCGTTGGTGGGATAGGATTTTCGGCACCGACACCTAACTACATCCGGGTCCAAGCTCGTCTACGTGCCGCCAAGTACGCGAACAAGAACGCCACCGAAGAGGAGCGGCTAGCATATGAGCGCAAGGTAATGGCTCAGGTGGAGGCTGAGGGCCTTGCCGCTGAAGCGGCCCTCGAGAACAGTGTTGGTAAAGGGAAACAGGATTAACGATAAAACATGCACGCCTGCTTAAAGCGGCTTCATTATATTATAGCTAATTTCCACCTCGGTCGTAAACCGAATATACCGTGAGGCCTCCTTCAATGATATGTGGTATCACTGTCCACGCGCTCAGAATGAACAGATTGACTAGACCGATGCCACGCATACAATTTTACAGAGTGTAAGTTGGCATTGCTACCGATAACCTGATGGATACCGCAGCATCTTTGGCCATTCATAATCAAGTACAGCTTCGTTAAACTGCTTGCCTGTGAAAAGATATGAGTCTGCTTAGGCTTAACCGGGAGATCGAGTTGCAATATTTCTCAAACGTTTGCCAGCTTTGAGCCAGCTGGCCATGGCTTTAAGCATGACTGTATGCTATCGCATGCCAAGCATAGTATTTTATACATTGATTTCTACGGAACAGATTGTGACAGTGCTGAAGAACTACCAGCTCTCGGGATGAGCGGCATAAAGGAACGCCTAGACGAATCAGTCAGTGAACGAAGAGCCAGAGAGAAGGAACTTACCTATTCAAAACAAGACCTTTCAATGCTCTTATTTCGCGCTTCAGTTCCTCCGCGGGCGTTGGTGGAGTATTGCCACTATTCGACTGACCACTTGCCGAATAAGGACGGAAAGGAACATACACTTGAGCACTAATATACCCAGTCAAATCAGACAGCGACTGCAGTGTATGCTGCAATGCCGTGGTCTTGGTTTTCGCGTCGCGTGGAAGAGCGGCAGAGAGGTCGTTTAGGGATGTGAGAAGCGGAGACGGCACAGGCGGAGTCGGAGGATCAAATGTCCAACGAACATTATCTGACGGATGTGTGTTTTCGGGAAGTGACTTGAATACGGTCAAAGTGGTCAGAGTCTCCCATAGCTTGTGCTATATATGATTCGAATTAGAGCCTATCGCGGAGAGAACAGGTAGACAAGCGCACCTCATACTGGACACCTTCGTCAGTAAGAAGCCAAGGGACGTGGCTCTCCATGAGCCTGAAGAGATCCTCTGTCGTGGGATTTGCCTCAGCTTGCTCCTTACCGACACCAAATTCCTGAATGCCGCATCGCAGTAGTGTCAAAGGTGGAATGTCGGAAGGCTCGAGCTTCTTCTCTTCACACTCACGCAGAATGTCCTTCAGCGAGCGACAATCCGAGAATCCAGAGGGCTCTCTGAACTTGTCAGGCTTCGGAAGTAAGGTCAAATTCTCCGCTTGAGATTCTTTGAGAGAGGCGAGCGAAGTGGTGAGATTCCGGAGGAGTGTGCTATGGTGTTCCCGAAGAGAATGGCGAGCGGTTGCGGTACGCGTGACCCGTGGCAGAAGAAAGCGCTAAAGAACATTTCAGAAAGAAAAGTCGGTTTTGGCAGATCTGACCCACGTAATATATGAGCACAAGCGCTGCAGAACCACCTAACAGCCAAGAAAATATTCTGAATATTCCAAGAAGAAGATTCGGAAGGTTAGATGGTGGCGGAGGTGGGTACGTTCGTGGTGGTACTATGGGAAGCTGAGGTGGCTACCGGGAAATGATGAGTCCCAAGACGCTCTCTCTGATGGCTCAAGAAACATACCAGCTCCCGTAACAAGCTTTCTATCTCAACCTCATTGAGACCCTTGTCAAGGAGAAACCTCCGTTTTGAGAATATATCTTGTTGTTGTATGGAAGGAGATCTTAGGAATGAACGCGCTCTCGAGATGAGCTGGGCTCTGTCGTCAACGTTGTTCACCGCAGGCGTCGTATCCGTCGTGGATGGAATCTGTACAGGAGACGACACTATCGTACTGCTCTGGACGTCTGGAGATGGTTCTGCTGGTGGCGAGTGCTGCTGGAGCCTGTGGTGCATTGTCGGGAGCGTCATCGTTGGCCATCGTGAGTGAAGGTCGTCGGCTACTCCGGTCCGACCCTCACTGTCAGCTCTGGTGAAAACACATGTGATTCGGTCATTCGCGTACATACTCAGATACACCTTTAAGCATACTTAAGTATGGCCGTCTGCAGTTCCTTTAAGTTCTATGCCAGCGAAATCTCACTCAGCTCGTACACTCCGGCTCAGATTGCCGTCAAGCGTACCAAGTTTCTCAATCTTGGAGCAGAAGCGTGAACTGGCTTACAATTCTCACTAGTCTCTAAAACAAACATTCTTCCTTCAGCCTTGTAATACAGTCTATCAAATGCGAAGAAGGCAGCAAAGATGGGGCTGGTCCGAAATCGAGGTCCGAGAATGCTGTCCGTAGCGAACCGGATATAAAAGATGGGTATTATTTAATACTACACAAAATTCCACTGTCATGATAAAAAGCCTCGGATCGCGCCCCCAACGTTCAGAACGTCCAACCTGAGGGGATACGTTGAGCTGCGCTCCGCCAAGGATTGGTCTGGACTTACAAGAATGTGTCATGTCCCCAAACGCCGCCCAATTCATAATAGACAACTTGATCGTTTCCAGCCATGCGCAAAGCATCGACAACTTCCCTCTGCTGCTCAATAGTGAAAAGAATATCACTCTGAACGCCAAGCACCATCACTGGAATTTTGGCTAATGGTTTCATTCCTTTGGCAAGCGAAGGCAAATACCGAGGTGGGTTCGAAGGAGGCGGATGCGATTTTGAATGTGATGTTTTGTGCGGCTGAATGGGAGACAAGTGGCCATTGCCCTTATAAATAGGCTCTAAGCGAAGATCGGAGAGCGCTTCCTTTGTCATGTCAAAAAGGTCCATCGCTTTGGAGATGTAAATGAGGGAGTTGGCATCGTATTTCAGACAGAATTGTTCGCCCTAAGCAAGGCGTTAGCCCTGATTACAGCTGGATTAGAGAGAAAACACATACTTGATGATCGAGGTAAGTTTCGATGAGGAAATCTGGACACAGTGCGGGCGCGCGTGGTTTTTTTTCCGAAGCCAAACTCTCGGAAACTGGACGAAGCTGTCGCCCAAATCTGAGGTCCCATTCTGGGCCTGAGCGGTACGTGATTGTAGCAATTTCTAAGAAATTTAATAAGTCCGCGTCACATTATTTTTTGAGGTGACATACGTCGCGCCAACTTCATGCCAATGTGCGGAGGAAGGCCATCGTAGTAAAAACCATTGTTCCAGTTTGGATCTGCCATGAGGACTGTTCAATGTTAGCAACGGTGTCTACCTGTCTGGCGGGATCTGCGTACCACTCCGTTGGGCATACCTCATTGCAACAGCAGAAGGCGAACTTCGGGCAGTACCACTGATGCTAACAACTTTTCCCACTCGTTCGGGGTGCAGCCATCCCGCAGCCAAGCTCTGCATGGCACCCATGGAACAACCCACGCTAGCATACAGCCGGTCGATGCCTAGGTGATCGAGAAGGTAAAACTGGGCTCGCACCATGTCGAATACCGATAGAATGGGAAAATTTGTTGCATAATGCCGTCCTGTCGAAGGATCGATAGATGATGGACCTGTTGAGCCGTAACATCCGCCCAACACATTCGTACATATTATGTAGAACTGATTCGTATCCAAGGCTTTTCCGGGACCTATAAACTTTTCCCACCAACCGTCTGCAGGGTTTAGCGAGGTGGATGCAGCATGTGAAGACGCCGAGAGTCCCGTATGCAACAGAATAACATTATCCCTTGCCGGCGATAGTGAGCCCCACGTTTCATACGCTATGTCGAATTCGGGCAGAGAAGCGCCATATGCCAATGGCAGAGAAGATGAATGATGATAGACGCTGTAAGTCTTTGGATTTGGACGAGCATAAGGCGGCTCTGGGCCGGTCTCTTCCTCTTCCTCCTTGGTAGCTACCGACGTTCCGGATATTTTTCGACGAATTTGAGACTCCCGGAGAGCATGAGCTTCAACGCAGGGAAAATGAGGCCGTGCTGTTGATATGCGGCGAGCGATGCGATTTTTGCTGGATATACGAGCGATTCTTGGGGCTACAACCCTGGCAAACGACATGGTAAGAGAAAATTGGCGTCATCATGTTCAGACTGTAGTGGATGTATAAGGTCGGCATGAGGGAAGGATGGCGTGCGCAGTCACGTGGGCGTCCGGATTTTGAATTTCTATTTTTGAAATATAGATAATTTTTATCTGGCATAAAGACGTAATCAGCGGGTATATACCAATTCGAGCTATATTACTAGGTAGCTCCTCAACGCCAACTGGTACGACCTGCTCAGCGCTTTCCTCGTCGTACTGAAGGCTGGCAAGGGATGGCTGGTCGCCAAAATCTGGAATACGCGCCCAGCGTCTCGTCCTTCGCGCCATCAACAAGTGTGCCTTCTACTGCCGACGTTAGCCCCCGTCTAGACTCGGTCCTGACTCTATCGACGGCCACGACCTCGTCGACGCACCAGAGGCGTGCCAGGCGGAGCCTCAGTCTCCTGGACAAGATACCAACGGACGTCAGTACTTCATTGATCCCGCGACCAATATAGAGTGTGCCTAACACGTGTTGCTCGTAGTTTTCTTCATTGTTACGCTCTCACAGCACCTCCCGTCGATACAGTGCTATTTTCCAGGTAGGCCTTTCTTCGCCCGCCATACCCCTTGTTCGATTCCTTTATAATTACTTCAATAGTCTAATCAAGCCACCAAAGTCCGTTTGTCGGATTATGCCGACTCGCATCCTTCCTCCCAGCAGCCGACATCCAAAGACATGTACGCCTCTCGAGATGATGAACGGCCAACGAGAAAGTCAAAGTCGGAGAACAGGGTGTGTCCTTAATCCATCGTGTCCTTTTCCTAACCGACACCCAGCCAGTTCTACAGCTTCATCACCCGTTCACGTTCGCGTTCTCGAACGAAAGCTGGGGCGTCTGTCGATATAGAACCTGTCGCTTCAGAGCTCTCTCAAGGCTATGCAGCTGATATTTCAACACACTCCCGGCAATCTAGTATATCTAGTCGAGCACCATTGGAACAAAGGTGCCACACGCCAAGCTCGAAGCCACCCACCCTACATCCATCTCGACCTCTTTCTTCCACAACCACCGCCACTAATACTACTGTCAAACCTCCCACGCCCAAGGGCAAGAGGAGGGTTCCCGTTCCCATCCCTAAGCCCAACATCCTAGCTCAGGAGAATGAAAATCCATCAAGTGTCGCTGGATCGAGACCTAGTACTCCCAAACTATCTACACGTAAAAAGCTTCATAACCTTTTTGGAATTCCTCTCAGCGGCGCTCGCCGTTCCGGTTCACGAAAATCGTCCATAAGCAGCACACGTCCCACTACACCTGATCTCCAGAGTTCTGCCGATGCACCCCCGCTTCCTCTTCAGCCCGAGTCTCCAAATTACCATATACGTGGCAATAACCATGATCCAATACTACCACCCTTGCCCAGAGTTCCCCTTTCCCTTCACTCGCACTTCGGAGATTCCAAAGCGAAACCTACATCCATCGACCCACTAGAATCGTCAACATCCACCACTGCGTCATACAGCTCCAGACGGGATACCTTTTTCAAAGCGTCTAAGCTATTTTCAGGTACTTACTAACATTCTGACACAGACGTCTGCGCTTCACTAACTGACTTGGTACTAGTCCGTAACCCTCTCGTAATGTCACCAACCTCGTCTACTTTTGATGACCGTCCTCGTCCCTATTCACCGGCTCCGCCTGTTGTTTCTAGTCCGATCAAGCACCGCAGAACGCAGACTCAAATAGACACACCACCTTCGCCAACAACACCGACAACGCCTGTACAGCGTGCGATACAACTTGCAGCACCTCAACCTCGGCGTGCCACAACTTTAACGGGAGGCAACGACGTTATACCGAGAATAACTCATACGCCCGCAACACCCTCACGACCAGGCACGTCGCCTCCCAGGCTCAGTCAAAGAAAGGATTCCATAGACTCGACTCATCTTTATCGTGTTATGTCCGTTGTAGACGAAGAGAAGGAACGGACGGAGTCGGAGCCGGTCTCGGACAAAGGGAAAAAGAGGAACGATGCTTTCAAGCCCGGGCATCGTTCTGGTGTGAAGAGCGTGAAGGGTTCCATAGTCCGATCGACAAGACACGGTTCTTTCGATTTTGAGCGGCCTGGGTGGGGTGCAGGTGGGCTCATCTCAAGGACTGCCAGCGGTAATTCCGTGAGTACGACTATGACCGGCGCATATAGTCACAACAGAAGCGGTGACAGTCTAAGCAACGCAAGCCGGAATGGTGAACCTTCGGGGTTCGGGTCATCGAGATCCGGTGGGACGCAGAAAGATATTCCACTACAGCCGCCAAAGCGACGACGATCACACCGTGCCGCACCTCCCATTGCACCGCTCGAACCCGAATACACGGGTGCATCTTCATCGACCAATCATAGCAAATCGACTACCGGAACCAATGGTCTATCATCAAGTTTAGGCAGGAATACTGGGAAGCGGATGCTTGGGTCTGGCGTCGCACGACTTGTCAGCATACCTCATGGGCCATTTTCTTTCGAACCTCCTGTCCCTTCACCTACAGTCAGTAATATGAGCGAGAGTACAAGAGGAAGCGGGATGAGCGATCGGGAGGCAGAGGAACGGGAACGGGAGGTGGTGGAAAGACGCAGGCAAGGGAGACCGTGAAATGACAGCAGTCAAGCAAGCGTGGCGGACAGCCCATGTTGAGGTCAAACGCTGAGCCTACACCAACTCCAAGTGTCGGCCTATCGTTCTGCTACCAAGGGAAGGTCGCTAGATCTGGGTTTGGGCTTGGCGTGGGCCCCGAGAAAAGTGAGGGAAGATGCACTCATACCTTCCGGTACCATTGCTGCGCTAAGCCGCAGCGCTTCATCAAGGAATGGATTGAGGTGCGCAGCTGCCAAATCTGCCGAGGAGCGATCGAAAGTGGGTAAGGAAATTGCTGAGATGTTCAGGAATGCTTTGAGCAACGAGCAATATACTACATTTAAGCAATGTGAGTCAAACTACATGAACTTTCTGAGGTTGGAGTTGACGGTATCATGTAGATGTCCACCGTTTCGACGCTCACGATATTCCTTTCGATGGTCCTACGGGTATCATCGCCCGCACAGGGCAGTTGTTGGACAACTCGCAAAACCTTGGCGAGGAAGGGAAGAAACACCTGTTGGATAATCTGGTTCGGGTAATCCTACAAAACGCTTGAACCGTGTTGAAAAGCGCACGCCCTCATCATTTTCTGTGCGTGTCATATTTTTGTTTCTCATTCTGTACATATTATTCTTCGACATATCTTATTTTTTTCGCTTCAATTTCCTATTCCACATTTAGAATCATTTACCTGTATTCTTGCATCTATTCGTGTACTATTTTTTCTTCATGCATATCTTTAATGATTTCGGGTCACGTATTTGTCTTACGCTCGTCATTCTGCAATGCTTTCTGATACATGTTATTGATTACTGCACGTTTATGTTCTTAAGTATTAGGTTGTACGCCCATTTTATGATTCCTAGGTCCTAATTAATGATTTCCATACATACAAACGTGTGATACACAACAAAAGTGTCCACTTTGCCATATCCTACAACATGTCTACTGAATTGCCGGGTAGACTGACTATGTAGCAGGCCTTAGGGCCCTCAATCTCTCCGCCAACTTATCATCCTCTTCTCCAATCTTCTCTCGAGGCGATAGATCTGGCACAGCAGCAAGATCCTTTGCGGCAAGATCATGCTGTAGCTCTATATTAGCCTCCTCCGCAGTCCGGCGCAGAAGCTGGTCGATTTGATCTTGTGGCGTAGATACTGCGCTAGTAGCAGCCATAGTATCCTCCATATACGACGTTTGCACATCAAGGTCTGAAAATTGCGACTCGAACTTGTCCATCACAAGAGAAATCTGAGGTAGACATCACGTTGAAGAAAATGGAGAGTGATCAGTGACACGGTGACGCACCCTTTCGAGGTTCATGCTTTCCATAGCCCTGTCCATGCCCTTCACCACAGAAGTCATATTTCCAGTCACTTGTCGCATCGTTACGGCCGTCTCCACGCGGCTTGCCACTGCATCTATGCGGCTCGATAGCCGTAAAAGGTTAAGGGCTTCGCTCTTCTTGCGAATAGCATTCGATGCATATATCCGGGCGCCATCATTATTTCCTTGTTGAAGGGCCTGCGAGAGATAAAGTCGAACAGGTCGGAAATGTCGAGGAACCAAACGGACCTTTTTCAGGCGAGATTTCTCAGTATTCTCATCCTTCTGTGCCTTCTTAGCCTGGCGGTTAAGGGTCTTTGCTGTGAACTGTGGCCTTCGTTAATGAGGTTGTACGGAGAAAGAAGAGACCTAACAACCTTGAGCTGGAATAAAGTCTCTACACAGAAGTGAGTAAAACGACTGGGAAAAATGCAGAGTCCTTACTCTCGAGGTTGCTCATTATAGAGGAGGGTATCGCGGCGGTGCGTGAAGGCAAGAGTCAAGGGTAGTGGTGTCCGGAAAAGGAATCCCACGTGGACTGTCCTAACACGTCGCGAAGATCATTCCACGCGAAAACCTGGACATGAACTCCACGTTACGACTCCTCAACGAATCTTCATAGCGAATCATCGCCCAATCTGTGTGTTTCATCGCTATTTTACTGGACTAAATGCTTATTTCTTGTGTATAGTATCATTTAGGCGCGCATCATGGGTCTTCTGCACTATATCAGGTGGGCAAACAGCCGCCTTGTCCGACGACCTTAGCTGAAAAGTGGTGTCTACAAGTTATGCGGCAGTTCTGGCTTCATTTGCTTTTGTTATACTAGCGCTTGGTATGTGGCCAATGATCATTATACCTCCGTAAAAATTCATCGTTTCCTTGACCAGCCAGCGGCCTGCTGTACATATCCGAATTAATCGAAGAACACTCCCGTCTAGCCAAAACTATCGGTCAGCGGGGAATATACGTCAGGATTACATTCACATCTCCTAATTTCTTGCGTGTTAAATGTTCATTCATCTAGGCCATAATATGTCTGCATGTCGTACTATGCATCTCGGATTCACTCCCCATCACGCTGACGGCGTTTTCCATCATTTGCCACGTTGTGTATCTGCAAAACTTTTCAAAAACCTGGCCGCTTATCTCCCTTTCATCGCCGTCCTTCATATCCTCCTGCGTTCTGGTCATTGTCGACCACTTCCTCTGGTTCTTTCACTTCTCCAAAGTCACTGCAGACTACCAGAATCATCTGAGAACGTATCGCGGTGGCCCAACGCCCATTTCCTATGGTTTCAAGGATATAGCCACGTTCTTTGGAATATGCGTCTGGCTAATGCCCTTGTTCTTATTCCTAAGCCTCAGCGCAAATGATAACGCACTGCCCACATCAAGCGGTGAGCATTCTCTGAGCCCTCTGTATGTCCTCTAATATGTACCGCGTCGTTATAGATATCAGTTCTCCCACAACAAGTCACGCAGTTCCACAACAACGAATGTCTCTTTTCCGTTCCATATTTTCCATGCTATCCAAACCCCGGAAGGATGAAGGGATCATTGCTCCCCGTCCTCGCTCCCCTTATCCAGCCCAGTCCCCTACGTTCCCGCCACCTTCTCCGCGTGTCTCTGCATATAGCACTCTGTCACCACCACGATCTCCAGGACGAACTTCACTTGATGTAGATGGTAGCATCCCGTCGTCGCGTTTCAGATTGGGCACACCACCACAGAGGCGCTCTACCACCGGAGATAATGTAGGCTTGGGGATGAGAAAACCCTCAACTTCGTCGAGGGGAGATATAAATGGACTACACCAGGATTGAAAGTGTTGTCTATATATGTCCATTATTCAGTTCGGGATGTTTCTTCTTAATACATAATTACGCTCGCATTCCACCCTGCTAAAATCAACATGAGCAAGCTGTTGCATGCGTTCAGACCGCAATCTGTTGGAGCTGTGAAGAGAGCAGATCTCTGCCTGAGCAAGAATAGTAAGAAGACTAGAAGGAAAACGTTTACAGATGAAGTGAATAATCAGGCTACAATAGAGGTGCCGTGCCCAACTACGTAACAATAAAACCCTGTTTTATCCCTTGAATTACCCCACATAACCTTACTTTATGCAGAACTCGAACTTCTCACTAATTGAACTTATGATTTACGATACACAACAAGTGCCGTAAAAACGAGGATGTGTTCTACGTGTGTCATGAATGTTAGAATCGCGGGGCCGTTCTCAAACAAAGTGAGTGGCAAAAATGGTTTACATTTGTGGCAAACGCGACATGGGGACTAACTACAAAATATACCAGCTTATATACTACGAAATCCCCTCGGAAATAAGCAACACGTAAGTAGATCGCTACGAGAACCCAGACGGCGACTGACTGTCGTGCCATGAGAAGCTCGAATATCTCACAATAAAAGCCATTGTTGTACATATTTTCTAGAAAAAAATGACGGAGGGTACCCGTACTTACTTTCAACGAGACGCCAATGCAAGTACTCAGTCATCGTCGTCAAAAACTAGGTCAATGCCTTCAGCCTTGGCCATTTCAACCGCAAGCTGCTTTTTTGTCTCGCAAAATTCGACGAGGGACTGCAAGATGTCTCGCTGGCCTGTCAAAGTGTAATTAATTAATGCTGGTCCGTGCCGCAATAATGCCTTCTCATACCTTCAATATAGTCATGCAACATAGCCATTACTTCAGGACGCATTTCAAGCCGGGCTGAAGGGCCTTTCTCCGCTGGCAGCTGTTCCATTAACTGATGGACCGCGTCATCAAGAGCAGCTGCTGCTTCAAGCCAGTCCTCGTAGTCCGGCACCGGGTTTTGGGAAACGAATGACAGGAAAGCGTCCCACACTTGTTCGGCACCTTTCGCCTCACGGCCAACTTCCCATTTTTTGTCGCTAATTTTGAGTACGATGGTATCATCCGGATTGTTCGGGAGACTGAAACCGTAGCCAAGGATAAACTCGGAATTAGGCTTAGCACCGTAGTTATTGAAGAGTTCCTCGCCGGCACTAGCGGATGTGTGGATGACGAGGGATATATTCTCTGTATCAGCGTCATGTGTGACTACCCAGGAGACCGGCTGCGCGCGAGCATGGTTGAGAGAGTCAATACCTGGCAGTAAGACGGGCTCTGTGGACGGCGATGACTGCAGGGTGGGATTACGGGACAATATTGAAGACGGGAAGGCGCGAGAGGATACATGTGTCGCTGACGCCAAAAATAGATCCCTTGCGTTGATACTTCAACGAATGAATTGAACACGAAGTAAGCGACTGACCAGGTGAACAGGTCACCCCATCTGCTATCCACATTCGAGACGGCTGTGCGACATGCTTCCCACTCGCACCGCCATTCCTTCTCGCGATCCACAATCGCGCCATACATGTTCGTTCCTCTGAACATCTCGAGTTCCAGTGGAGAAAAGTGTAGTCCGGTACGCAACTTTTCACGCGATGGTAGGGTATTCACATAGGGTCTGTGAGCCAACTCTGGAATGTAGCTGTGATCCTACTCAGTCAAGGCCAATGACTGGAAGGACCTTACCTTACTTCGTCTATGATCTGATGAAAGCACAGATACGACGAGATGCATTGCCGTTCAGACCAATTCGACAGATTTTGGGTAGGTAAAAGCCTGGAGAGAGCTTTGAGTGCGATTGATTTGGTGATCACAAGGTCGAAAGGGCAAGATACTATGGTGGAATCTGCAGGTAGTGTTTCTTTTGCAAGGATTGAGTATCCAGATGGAACTAGGATCATTCAGCAGAAAGAATAACAGAAACAAAGGAAAATTCTACCTTGAACATATTGGACAGATTTATGAAATGTGCCGCCCTTTTCTTTGAGCCATGCAGTGAAGACCGCCGAATCGGACATGGCGATGGTAGAATGCGTTCAAGGAAGTACGGCCCGCGGCCCGGATGAGCGTTACTTCTACAGTGACGTCATATCGATGCGCCACAGCACAATCGATAATCGAAGACCTTCCACTCGTCCCCGAAAATTTTTGAACAGCACAATTCAATTTCTCCGTAGTACAGTGTATATAGTCGTCTTCTTTAATGCATTCTCTTTAAGCTTACTTCAATAAAAACTTCCCTACACGGTACCAGATTTGGAAATGGCGACCTTGGCCTTGGGCGTGCCAGACGAGGAACCGAGACCCTCAATCTTCTTGACGAGGTCCAGTCCCTCGACTACCTCACCTGTGAGATGGTAAAATCAGAGACAATCTTGTAGTGGTAGGAGTGAGAATGGCCATACCGAAGACGACGTGAGCACCATCGAGCCAAGAGGTGACAACGGTCGTGATGAAGAACTGCGAGCCGTTGGTGTTCTTGCCAGCGTTGGCCATGGAAAGAATACCGGGCTTGGTGTGCTTGAGCTGGAAGTTCTCATCTAGTATAGAACAAAATGAGATCCATCTTTTCATTATCAGCGCAGAGTTCTGTTCTCACCGGCAAACTTTTCGCCGTAGATGGATTTGCCACCGGTGCCGTTACCCTTGGTAAAGTCACCGCCTTGAAGCATGAACTGGGGGATGATACGGTGGAAGCTGGAGCCTTCGTATCCAAATCCATGCTGGCCAGTAGCGAGCTCACGGAAGTTCTTGGCAGTTTTGGGCACAACGTCGTCGAAGAGCTTGAAGACGATACGCCCCTCGGGGTTGCCGTTGATGGTGATGTCGAACTGTCCGTACGATGGTCAGATCATGGTAATCACGGGAAAGAAAAAGATAAAGAGGTGAGGAAGGATGAAGAAAAGGACATACGAATACGTTTGACATGGTAGATGGAAGCAGAGATGAAAGATGTATGTCTGGGTTGCAGAAGTGGTTTATATGTACCCAAAGCGGCAATCACCGCCTCATCACGTCACCGCCACCCAATACGTTACCATCGCGCAGGCCCATCGCGCAGCTGTTCCATCGCGACTACAGGACACCATGAATCGCATCTTTGGGTCATCGAGCAGCAAGAAACCTAAGCCTACACTCCAGGACGCCATCGCATCGGTCAGTACAACCTTCTCGCTCAGCAATTACTGCAAATTTATTGGCGATGATAGACTGATGGTCGCATAGCATCCATCGAAGTAAAGATAAAGAAGCTCGATGGAGAGCTAGGGCGGTACAAGGAGCAAATGAGCAAGCTACGAAACGGTCCAGGGAAGGTATGCCATCTCCAGCGTACCAGGCATATTCTCATCTGTATTCGGGTCTAGCAAGCCATCCAGCAGCGGGCACTCCGCACTCTGAAGCAGAAGAAGATGTACGAAAGCCAGCTTGCCCAACTCACCCAGCAAACATTCAATATGGAATCAGCCGCTCTTACGACAGAGAACTTGCGGAACACAATGGCCACAGTCGATGCTATGCAACTGGCGAATAAGGAGATGAAGAAACAATACGGAAAGATTGATATTGACAAGATAGAGGTTGCTCTGTGTTGCGCGTTTCCATAAGATTGGGCTGATTTCTCCCTAGAACATGCATTTTGAAATGGAGGACTTGCTGGAGCAGGCGAATGAAATACAAGAGTCGCTAGGGAGGTCATATGCAGTACCTGACGAACTTGACGAGGCGGATCTAGAAGCTGGTAGGCAAGCCTTTGCAGTTGTTGTAGCATCCACTGATACACATTGCTTAGAACTCGATGCTTTGGCACTGGAAGAAGAGGAAGAAGGCACCTCATATCTCGCCGACATGAATAAGGTGCCCGACTTTATTGATGAACCGCCAGTGGAGATTGAGGTAGGCACCTTCTTCCCGAAAATTTCTCTGCTTATTGTACCTCCAGACGCCGGCACAACACGAAGCTGTAAAGGCAACAAGCTAACGAGATATCCGCTATTGAATGCAACCTTTTATTTAATGTAGGGTAGTCGTAATGAGAGATGTACAAGCAAACAGAGCTCTAGTATTATGCTTCGCCAACCTTCTTGATGCCAGCAACCAACCGCTCGTTTCTCCTCCAAAAATCAATCAAAATCTTGGCTGTGCCCGTGGGATCATCCTCCTGGAGCATATGACCGACGCCTGGTACGACCATAAGCTGAAATTTGCCTTGCATCTGGCCGATCATGAGCTCCTTGTCTAAACGGTCTGTTCCTGCGAGGACGAGAAGTCGAGCAGTCCGGGCTGCCAGAAATTTGCTAGAAAGGCCTTCAAACCAGCCTTAAACACGTTGATTCAGGAAAAGCACGATGTAGTAATGGAAAATTATACTTCTCCAATAAGGCGCCGTCGACCTTAGGGGAGTACGCCATATGTATTTTGGCACAAGGGGAGAATTAGATTCGGAGGGCTTGACGATCATGGGTATCGACACTCTCGCCGATTTGGGATTTCGTATGGCCTTTGTATTAACGCTAAGAAGTAGTGAATAGATATGCCATTCCATACGATGAAAGCACATACTGCCACTCAATCGCTTCCTCAGGACTGTCGAACCCATCGGGCCGCGCATTCAAGAGGCTGTTCATATGTGGAAGAGCATCAAGAGCAGAACCTGCCATAATATAAGCTATAGAATTTCTTGTGATACGACTTACCTTCAACGACATCAATTACTGCAACACCAGTAACTCTATACTTCAGGCCCAAGAATACAGGGCAGGCGCGAACAACGACGGAACCTCCCATGCTATGGCCGACTAACTGTGCCATTGTAGCTCGGGAGCTACTTTAGCAAAGCTCAAGTTGCTCACCAGTAACGTAGGCGCCTTCTGGGGCTCCGGGAACACGGTCTTGATGACCTGGATAAAGTCTTCCACAAGAATATCTATGGATAGATCATCATCCTTCTGAGAGGTAGTCGTCTTCCCTACAGGCTAGTCGATCAGACAACTGTTGGTATACCGATATCTAAATCTTTCACCCACCATGCCGTCGAGCATCCAAGGCCAGGACACCACATTCGTTTTTGGTGATATCGGATACCTCTTTGGCAAAGCACGCAAAACTCAAACCAGAGTAGCCAGCACCGTGGTGGCACACCATCACTGTCCCATTTGCGAATTTTGGCGGTGTATAATATACGCGACAATCCAGATTTCTTGATGGTACCTCCACTTGGGCGGCATCGACAAAGAAAGTAGACGCTGAGATAGGTGAAAATTCTGGATTCGGAGCACGTTTCTGTTTATTCCTACGCGTATGGGCCGGCCTTCCAAAGGGTATAAGCCGCTGATAACTACGAGTAGGGGTAAACTTACAACGCTGGAGGCCCCAGCCCGCTTCCAGGAAGAGATCCAAGGGAATCAGCAGACTCCTCGTCTTCATCAGCTCCGACGTGAGGAATTTCTGGCAGTTTTGCTATACGTGCGCTCATAGCAGAACGGTAGAGGTCGGACATGGTGACGGTAAGGATGTTGGGATACCGGGCCGTCGATACCTTGTTCTTGCCTGAAAGGGAATACTTGTTTTCTTTTATGTTCCGTCACTGTCGTAGATTTGCGACGAGTTGCATCCGACTACAGCAATCAAGCGACACTTCTAGACTTCTACGCGTCGTCGAGAAAAGAATCAATGAACGAACCCAAATATTGTCCCAGGTGGGATTTTCTGCTCCAGCCAGTTTACTGTTTTCCTGACATTTCCGTCGATTTTAGATATCTGAAGGAACTTCCAAGCCGGAAGATATAGCGCGGTTAAAAAAGATCAAGGAATCCGACCGACTTCAAGAGGCGTGGGATGAGTTGAATACTTCCCGTCGGGTCAGTGCTCATCGCCTTTTTTCAAATCAACGTGCCAATGTACTTTATAGTAGCTTCTCGAGGATACCAAGTCTCTCCTGGCTGATCCTGACCCAACGATGCGCTCAATGGCTGAGGAAGAGTATCATTCACTCGAGGAGAAAGTGGAAGAAATCGTCAGCACGACTTTACCTGCCCTCCTCAAACCATCGTCTTCCACAGCCCATTATTCTGCCCTCGTGGAACTCAAGTCTGGTGTAGGGGGAGTGGAGTCGTCCCTTTTTCTTGCTGATATGCTACGGATGTACCAGCGGTATGCTACTGCTCAGCGATGGAAGTGGACGATGATGGCAGTCAATGACCTGGAGCAGGGAGGGACGAGAGATGCCATCATGGAGGTGAAGGGTCTAGGGGCTTATGACAGGTTGCGCTGGGAGAGCGGAGTGCATCGTGTGCAGCGAGTACCATCTACTGATGCTAGCGGACGTGTCCACACCAGTACAGTTGCTGTCATCGTACGTTTTCTTTTTATCTTCACGCTATATCTTGGAATTGAATTACTTCAGGTTCTTCCGCTGGCTGAGGAGAAAGACACACGAGATGAACCGTTATATAAAATGGAGGATATTAAACTAGAAGTTATGCGTGCTCGAGGTGCCGGAGGGCAGGTACGTGTCCGTTCCTCGCCAGAAATTTTGCTAAGCCTGCTGTAGCATGTCAATAAAACAGAATCGGCGGTCCGCTTGACACATATACCATCAGGTATAACGGTCTCTATGCAAGATGAGCGGAGCCAGCATCAAGTAACGTATTATTTCTTTCTTTATGGCTACTAGTTTTAATATAATACCCAGAATAAACGCCGTGCATTCCAAGTTCTTCAAGCTCGTCTCATGGACCAAAAGATCATTCGAGATATTGCCCAGCGACGTGCCACAAAGAACAGTCTAGTTTCTGGTGTAGATCGGAGTGACAAAATCCGAACGTACAACTACGCACAGGTGAGTACTTTGCTCCAAGCTATTGCGTTCAGGTGTGACTGGTATGTAGGAACGTGTTACAGATCATCGGATAGGCCTTAGCCTGATTAATCTGTCAGCTGTTTTGGAAAGCAACGGCTTGGATGAATTTATCGAGGCGCTGAATAAAAATTACGAGCAGGCAAAATTGGAGCAGATGCTCGAGGATGATTAGTAGAACATCGTCCGCTCACTGGTTACGGGCAAGACATCCGGGACGGATTGTTTGGATACCAGGTATTGTATTAAAATGCTCGAGTAGAATATTCCTTAGTACCAGTACTAGATAAACTGCTGTACGATATTCATAACCCCCCTCATGGTCCTTTCCCCGCGTGTAATATGTTAGCAATAAGAGATAAATTCTACATGATCTGGCATCCTTGTTCAGGGTCGATCCCTAGTTCCTGCATCTGTTCTCGGGCGGCTTCCTTCTCGTTGTCCTTCAGCTTCTGCTTTGACTCAATAGGGAACCAGTCCTGCATAAAATTGAGTAAAGCCCAATCCACATTGGCTGGAAAATGAATGCAAGTCAGCATTGAGAGAAACGAGCAACGTAAATACACACATCGATCGGCACATAGGACCGTTGGCGCTCTACACATCGGGCAGTCACCTCGGCCTCGTTTCTGCATTTTGACAAGACACCGTACACAGAAGAGATGTCCGCAACCGAGACGAACTGGTTTGAACGCGATGTTGGTGCATATTAGACATGAATAGTCGTCTAGATGGGGAATAACGGGGAGAAGTATCTCCCCAATGGCTTGTACAAGGATGCGAGGGAGAGACACAGATTTAGATTGTATGATGAGATCGTGATCGGTGGAATCCGGTAGCTGTAATGCGGTACGTTTGGCGTGTTTCTTGAGAATTTTACGCGTGGCCTCAGAGTTGGCAGATTGGAACTAAGGACAATCGGTAACTGCGTCTGTTGATGTCGAGGGATAAAATAAATACCTTCTTCACATGCAGAATAAACATGTTAAGCTTCAGGAACGATTCCAATGCCTCCCGACTCTTCTTCATCTTGAGTTGTCTCTCATCCCCTAAGCCTCGTTGAGTGACCCGTTCCGCAAATAACTTCAGCCTCTTCTCACTCTCCTCGACAGAACGTTCGCCACGAGAAGCCTCGCTGACGCTCTCGAATACCTGAACCTCAACATACAGCTGAAATATTTCCCGCCACGCATTGAGATCTGTCTGGAAATTTGTTGGCTTAAGAATGTAAGGTGGATTTTGAGACGAACCTTCTTAGCCGACCCAGCACCGCCAATAGTGATAGTCCCTGGATGTGTCAATATCGAATAGGGATGGAACCCTGAAGTCGTCGCGGATGCCGGCCGAGCAGAATCGGATATGCTTCGGGATAAGACGTGAAGGGTTTGTGAGAACTCGAGCTGAACAGTAGCCAGATGATCCGACATGGCTTTGAGGGCAGTGAAGAGCAATTGGAAGAAAGCAGAGTCGGAGACGAGGGGTATCACGACTTCCTGCGATATTCCACCACTGGAAATAATAATCAATATTCATTCTAAAGAAAGCTCTCCTAATCAGATGCACCTCGTTTTTGTCGGAGGAAGGTCCGCTGTCTGGTTCGTCTTCCGTTGCAGCACCCACAACAAACTTGGACCAGGTTCTCCCAGTGCCGGGCTGACAATGGATTCTCCTTCGTCGGCTCCGTGACCATCGCTCGTGGTAGGATCAGGAAGTGTAACCCAAAATCGTAGTCGAGGTTCAATGCGGCCAGACTCCTCGTTCACCTCGTACACAACTTTGTATCCGTCAACAAGCTTCTCTACTAGCTTCCCTTTGCCCTTCTCATCGCCTCCCTGCAATAGATGCTCCTGAAGAACATCTGGACTCAACCCTAGCGATGTGAGCTCAAGCACGATTTGATTTATGAGTTTTTTCAGCTGCAATAACATTCATAAGTGACTATGAGGATGATAAAACCATACCTGACGATACTGTACGGCATTGTCACGGAGTTGTGGTGGTAGATCGAGTAAAAGTTGGGTATAGGTCTTCGAAAAGTGCATTGATGGCAAGACGTGAGGTTGCCTTATTGGGTCCGTCGCTCGACGATAACCGGACGGTCCGACGGGTGAAATGTTTCTCCTCTTCAGACCCCAAATGCTAACAGTATTTACTTATACAAAGTTACAAGTTTGACAAGTATTTATAAAACCGGCTCTCAGGCTACTGACAGCGCTTCAAATCTCAACCGTACCGCTTTCCTTCCGGTTCTTCAGAGAACCAGTCATCGTTTATTCTTGTTGCCTCTGCTGGTGCAATGTTCACAATGGTAGATTTACTCTGAGAATCTAGAACGAAGCTATAAAAATGTTCAGAAGATGACAATGATGCACCAACATGATTCGAAGGCTTCAAGACCGTTTTCTCTGCCAATGCCGCTTTCTTTCATTCCTCCCCTGTTAGTATATGCATGTGAATCGTATTTATCAAGTTTTGAAAGTGTAGCTTACCACGGTGAACTTGGGTCGTTACGATGGTGGGTATTGACCCAGCAAAGCCCAGTCTGGATGTCAGCGGCCACGCGATGCGCCCTGGAAAGATTAGAGGTCCAGATGCCGGCCCCAAGACCGTATTTGCACGCATTAGCCAGCATAATACCATTTACTTCCGTCTGGAAGGGGAATGCATAAGCATTATACGGTTCAGATGCTTAAGATTCACCCACAGAAAACCGGTTCACAACTACTACAGGACCGAAGACTTCTTCTGCCCACAGTTCATCACTGGTATCGATGTCAACGACTACTGTGGGCGGGAAGAAGCTTCCTTGTGAGAAGTCGAAGTTATCCAACTCAGATTTACCGGTCATCCTTTGACCGCCTATTAAGACTTTGCCTTTTGTACGCGACATCATACCCTCAATGCGGTTAAGGCTCTGAGGAGATATAACCGTGCCCATTGTAGATTTTGGATTTATGGCTAGAACGAAATCAATGATAATGTTCACCTTTAACGTGAGCAAAACGTACGATCACCCATACGCCTATGAATGCTTTCTACTTTTTTCAGGAAGAGATCCATGAAATCATCGTAGATACCGTCTTGTATTATCAACCGAGCACCTGACACACATGTCTGGCCTGAGGCAACAAATGAAGCGAAGACTGCGCCGTTAACCGCAGAAACAAGATCTGCGTCATCAAAAATGACGATTGCAGTCTATGAATATGTGTGAGCGCTCAGGCAACTGGAACCAGCCAAGACGTACCTTTCCTCCGAGCTCTGCAGTGAAGGACGCGAGATTGGAGCCAACGATACTGCCCATTGCACGTCCAGTTTGCGTACCTGCCTGAGAGACTTCCATTGGTCATAGGTATCAAATGATGTAGATGACTTACAGTGACGTCCACTTTGCGAATCAAAGGATTACTGATGAGTGCTTTTCCAGTAGTTTGCCCAAAACCAGGAAGCACAGTTAATACACCAGCAGGCACTACAAGTTTGGTCACGAGTTTTAAACGACGATACATGATACATTTTCTTACCGCCTGCTTCCTCAGCCATTTTGGCAAACTCAAGGACAGTAATTGGTGCCCACTAGATGATCTAATCAGCAGATACATGCGAAGAGCTTGTCCTATTACCTCAGATGGCTTCACAATGACACTATTGCCCGCGGCCAATGCTGGTGCGATCTTCTTTATGGCGATCAACAGAGGGTGGTTGAAAGGGGTTATCTGAGCGACTACCCCCAGGGGGATGCGTTGGACATAGTTAAGAAGGGGACCTTGTGTTGGCGCAACGAAACCTTGACTTGTACGAAGCAGAGCAGCATAATAGTCGCTGAAACGAGTATTCATTTGACGAATTCAAAGGTCAGCAGGTGTCGACGCACATCCATTCAGGTAAGCGTCCTAATTGTGCACGCATCTCCCTTATTGTTCTCCCTGTCTGAAGCGATTCTATTGTCGCCATCTCAGGAAGACGGGATCCCAAAATGCGGGCAAGGTTTGTCAAGACTTTGGCCCTGGTAAATGATGAAGCTTTTGACCACAATCCGGAGTCAAATGCTTTCTGGGCGCGATTAATTGCTGTTTCCACTTCGTCTTGAGATGTAGTCCAAATCCTGCGGCAGAAATTCAGTAAGTCTCCTTATTGAGTAAGTTGAATAGTTTACGGACCTGGAAAGCTCTTGTCCATTGGCAGGATTGAACACAATGAACCTGGGTAGCAATGGAAAATAAAGGAACAGCACAAGAACGGTAGGATTCAGCATACTCTTCCCGGTCAACCGTTGAATTTTCTGTGTTCAAGGGAGGATAAGGACCATATCGCGCCGCGTGAAACATTCTTCGAGCCTAGAAAGAAAGTAAGATCGAGGCCGACAATGTTGACAATGCGGCCATCTTACAGTGGTGAATGACCTGAACGTGGTTGTACTCATTGGTCAAATATGCTGCGTTATCGTCTGATATGGTAGTCGGATGAGTCGGCCGCGGGATTGCGGGGTGGGAGTAGTCCATGCGTCATCAGGGTTATCGAAGGAATTTCAATCGCAACGACCACGTGCGCTAAAGATGATCGGTTCTTTCAAGTTAAGTTTAAGTTTGCAATCACCACCACCACTACCATGGCCAGGCGGATCGAAAGAAGAACCAGCATGAAACCGGATATCATGAAGAGAACACCGTGGTGAATGAGTTCCTGAATTTGTGGCGTCAGAAACTTGTCACTATCGATGAAGAAAGAAAGTCTGAGATTCACTTCAGCCAACAGTTGTTCAGTTATTTGCTACCGAGACCAAATTGGGGCGAAATCCAGACCACTGTTAGCATGATGCATGAATATTTAAGCCATTTTAAAATGTGTTAGATCGTTTGTGTGTGTGAATGCAGCCTTGATTACTGACATGAACGAGAATCTTGCAATAGGATTAAAATTTGATTACAACGGGAAATATGCAAGGTAGGAGGGTAAATTGATAAAGAATTGTCACAATTCGAAGCAACTGCACCGACTACCAGCTCGAAGTGCGAGCCCCTATCTATATCGGCCCGGGATCCGCTATGCCGGTTTGCACGTGATGACAAATTTTTGGATTCTGATTTTTGATTTTGCTTGAATTCGTACCGCGTTGCTGGTCTGGGCTTTTACGGGTGGAACTCCCTGCATTCATTTTGGTGAACAGGAGATCTGAAGGTCATGAATATCAGCCATTCCTTGCCCTCCTCCGTAACCGGAATATCCTTCTCATTTCTGTCTGCCGAAGATGTTCGTCGCATTTCGGTCAAACAAATCGTCAACCCAATACTTCTTGACGATTTGAACCGGCCCAATTCTGGTGGACTATACGATCCGGCTCTTGGACCCAGTGACCGACAGGACATGTGCGTCCGGCTTCGTCTCTTATGACTGTCTATTCACAGTGACCTTCGTAGATGTGCAACTTGTCGCTTGTCATATTTTACCTGCCCAGGGCATTTTGGTCACATAGAACTTCCAGCACCAGTTTTCCACCCATTATTTATGACGAATGTGTACAATTTGCTGCGCGGAACATGTCTTTTCTGTCACAGATTCAAGATGTCCAGGACAGTGGTGAGTTCAGTACACGCGCGCCCAGTCTGGATTTCCTTATAACAATCTCCACAGCTATCAAAATACGCCGCGAAATTCAAACTTCTTGAATATGGACTACTGAACGCGGCTCAAGGAGTTGACGATTTGCATCTTGCCGGTACGTTTACCGAACGACCAACAGGGAAGGGGAAAGGCAAAGATCTACAACAGGAGGAAGAAGCGGTCGACATTGAACCGGACGATGAATTCATTTATCGGGTGGAGGCATATGTTCATCTTCAGCTGAGCCGTGCTTCCAGTAGCAAGAGGGACAGTTATAAGGATGCGCTAGTCTATCAAGCACGGAAAGACTTGATCAACGAATTTTTGAAGAGTACGATCCTGAACAAATGCCAGAACAAGGATTGTTCATCGTAAGCATTTCTTATTGGCTCCGAATATATTTGACCTTTTTTCTAGATTCGCCTATACGTTCCGCAAGGAGAATCATACGAAAATTATCGAATATGATTTGTCCGAAAAACAAAAACGTCAGCAGCTGAAGAAACGTCCGGATGTCCTCCTTCTAGAAAAGGCAGAGAAGTTTAATTCTCACCAAAAATCCCCACGCGACGATTCTGATGTCGAGATGGACTCTGCCGGCACAGACAGTGAAGGAGAAGGCGATGACCTGGAAGAGGACGAGGACGAGAACGATGGGGATAAGGAAGTAGATACAACTGCTCTTCCGCGTGCTGCGAACGGGAAAGTCAAGACGATACGAGGACGGAATGAGCGAATCATGGCACCGGAGGAATGCAGGGCGCATCTTCGTCGTTTGTTCCGAAACGAGGAGACAATGTGCTCTTTGCTTTACGGCAAACATGGCGCCTTCGCGAAACGAAATTCCAAAGGGCTCTCAATTGCATCTGCTGATATGTTCTTCCTCGAGGTGATCCCCGTCGCGCCTACCCGATTCCGTCCCCCTGCTTCCATGAATGACGTTCTGTTCGAACATCCTCAAAATGAGCTCTTGGCTAAAGTCCTGAACACGTCATATCGCCTCAGAGATCTCAATCTCAGCCTGCGAAACGTCTCACAGAAAGGCCCCGACTATAATGAAGCGGAGAGGAAAAAGCTGATGAGCAGTCTTCTGGATGCTCTTCTTCAGTTGCAAGTCAATGTCAATAGTTTCATGGACAGTAGCAAGAATCCCGCGCCCGTGAGACAAGGCAAACTTCCACCTGCGGGTGTGAAGCAGGGGTTGGAGAAGAAGGAAGGATTGTTCCGAAAACATATGATGGTACGTTTCCAGATGTCGCTATCTTCTGTGATTCCTGAATTTACCTTCCAAGGGTAAACGAGTTAACTATGCCGCACGATCTGTTATTTCTCCCGACGTCAACATTGAACCTAATGAAATCGGTATCCCACCGGTCTTTGCCACGAAACTTACTTTCCCCGAACCAGTCACGGCGATGAATGTCGTCGAGATGCGTCAGCGAGTAATAGCAGGCTCACGGGAACATCCGGGGGCAACAATTGTGGAGTATGAAGATGGTCACCAAGTGTCACTGGTAGGGCATTTTGTACTATCGCTTGGAATTATCCACTGATGGACATTGGTAGGATAAACTTTCAATAGAACAAAGAACGGCAATTGCTAACCAACTGATGACACCTCAAGCCGAAGAACATGTTGGTTCTGGGAGACGTGGGCTGTACACGCGGACACCAGCAATTAACAAGAAAGTTCACCGGCATCTTCGGGATGGCGATATGCTGATACTCAACCGGCAACCTACGCTACACAAGCCAAGTATGATGGCGCATAAGGCCCGTATCCTACACGGAGAGAAAACTATTCGGATGCATTACGCTAATTGGTTCGTCGATCTTGTTCTTTCATTCGCAAAGGTCCTGAATTTATCGTCCTGCCTGCTGTAGTAATTCCTATAATGGTACGGGCATTAAGTTCTCTTCAACAATTTTACAATTAATATATTTGTTCCACAGCTGATTTCGATGGTGACGGTAAGACCCAACCTTCACTATGAACGCTACAGTTGTCTGAACATGTTATCATAGAGATGAATATTCATTTCCCTCGTAAGTTGGCTGTTTCGTGACGTGCAGACCATAACAATTTCATGATCTTTGTGTAGAAAATCAGGTGGCCAGAGCTGAGGCTCAAATGATCGCAAACACCGACAACCAATATCTTGTCCCAACGTCCGGAAATCCTCTGCGAGGACTCATCCAAGATCATGTAGTCGCAGGCGTCTGGATGACCACTCAGGACGCCTTCTTTGAGCGTGAAGAGTATTTCCAGCTTCTATGTGGTGCCCTCCGAGCTGATGAAGTTGTCGGTGATCGTCTGGTTACCCTGCCACCTACGATCTGGAAACCTCGGCCACTGTGGACTGGCAAACAGATTGTGAGTTGCTGATGCCTTTTATATTGCTACGACTTATAAAGGACTAGATCTCCACGGTTTTGAAAAACATCACCCCGCGCGATCGATTGGGCCTAAATCTCGTTGCTGGGACCAAAGTGCCCGGGAAACTTTGGGGTCCTTCGTCAAAGGAAGATACGGTCATATTCAGGGATGGCGAGCTCCTTTGTGGTGTCCTTGACAAAGCTGCTTTTGGAGCTTCCGAATACGGTCTCGTTCACTCCGTCTATGAACTATACGGAGCAGATGTCGCTGGGCAGCTGCTAGGAATTCTCAGTCGGTTGTTTACCAAATTCCTCCAACACCGTGCATTTACATGTAGGATGGACGACTTGACGCTGACGCCCGCTGGGGATACGACACGGAGGGGCATCCTAGATCGCGGAAAGAACCTTGGCACAGAAGGCTCTATCGAAAACTTCCCTTCTCTGGCAAATACACCGAAAGAAGACATCCCGCAGGCTCTAAAACAGCTCTTGGAAGAGGTATTGAGAGACGATAGCAAGATGGCTGGATTGGACATGACAGTCAAGTCCAAGCTCGGGAAACTCACCTCATCTATCTCCGAAGCCTGCATGCCTAATCACCTCCTACGAAAGTTCCCCCATAATCACATGCAGGCCATGACTCGTTCCGGTGCAAAGGGATCAGAGGTCAATGCCCGGCAAATATCATGTGGTCTTGGCCAGCAAGAACTCGAGGGTCGCCGGGTGCCCGTCATGGTCAGTGGAAAAACCTTGCCCTCGTTCCGCCCCTTTGAGACCAAAGCAATCTCTGGCGGATACGTTGCGAGCCGATTCTTAACAGGAATCAAACCACAGGAGTTCTACTTCCACTGCATGGCCGGTCGAGAGGGTCTCATTGACACTGCCGTCAAGACGTCCCGCTCTGGGTACCTGCAGCGGTGTCTTATCAAGCACTTGGAGGGTATACGCGTGCATTATGACCACACAGTTCGGGGCAGCGATTCGTCTGTCTACCAATTCCATTATGGAGGAGATTCACTCGATGTTACGAAACAAAAACATCTCCAGCAGTTCGATTTTCTTGCCGCTAACGAGACGTCTTTCGTTAGTCTTCTGGAACCAGCACAACTGAAAGATGTTGTCGACCAGAAGCCCGCTTTGGGGCATATGAAAAAGACTCTTAAGGCGCTCAAAGAGGACCCCAAGCAAAACACGTACGACCCTGTGCTGTCTATATACAGCCCTAGTCGTCATATGGGAAGTGTCTCCGAGGGTTTCGCTAAAGCGAGGGACGACTATATCAAAAAGAACCCGGGTGGATTAATCCAGAAAAAGGGTGAAAGGACGTGGTTCAAACGACGGACTGATTTGATTTCTGGTAGTCATTTCAGGATGTTGACGAATGTCAAGTATATGCGCAGTTTAGTAGAGCCCGGAGAGGCTGTGGGATTGCTAGCTTCTCAAGGGTAATTATCATAATTCTGTCTCCCTTTTTTGGTCTCACTGTCTTCTACTAGTGTTGGAGAGCCATCCACCCAGATGACTCTGAACACCTTCCATTTTGCTGGTGAGTATATTCTAGCCTGTTGATCTAGCAGGGTCATAATCTTTGACTAGGACATGGTGCTGCAAATGTCACACTCGGTATTCCTCGGCTACGTGAGATCGTTATGACTGCATCTCAGAAACCCAAAACCCCTTCAATGACCATGAAAGTTCGCCCTGGCATTCCCCAGGCAGACATAGACATGTTTTGTAAGCGTGCTAGCAAGCTGACGTTATCTCAAGTGGTCGAAAAAGTTACTGTCACGGAGCAGCTGAAAGCTCAGGGTGCTGCGCGACGGCTGGAGTATCTTTTCGATATCACGTTCTTTCCCGAAGCAGAGTACACCGCAGAACATGAAGTTGACCCTTCTGAAATCCTTGCATGTTTCGCTACAAAGTTCCCGCTAACTCTCAAGAGGGAAATCGTTAACGAGATGAAGCGGCTGGATTCTGATGTCAAGACTCAGATGGCAGAACTGGGACGTGGGAAGAAAACAAGGGAAGAAGGCGTGGCTGATGGCGATGGAGGCGATGAAGATGCTGGAGAGCCAAAAAGGACAAGAGGCGATGACGAAGGCAGTGAAGTTGGCGATGGTGATGCCGATGATGCCAAGCGAGCGCGCCAACGAAAGCAGCAGGCTACGTACGACGAGGATGATGAGGAGCAGGAGGAGGAAGAAAAGGATATGGAAGCTGAACTAGAGGCCGAGTTTACCTCTGATACAGAGTCCGAGTATGAGGACAAGGCCAAGGCTCGGTCAAAGGAACTCCAAGAGGATGCGAAACGTGTGGGGGATCTCTTCATGGGACATCTCCACCAGTGCACATCCTTTGACTTCTCCGAGTCACGGTGTACGTTCACCCTCGAGGTATGTCAATCCCGCCAATACATGTCAACGTCCTGTTCAATTTTTCTCCCTTAGTTCTCCTCTGAAATGCCCAAGTTACTCTTCATCGGTATCGTGGAACGCACTTGCCGCTCAACCATCATCCGACAGATCCCTGGCATCACCGACTGCTTCCAGGTCAAATCAGATGGCAAAAGCGGTGACAGTCGGGTGACGGTAAGCGAGCAATTTTTTAAATTAAAGTCCATTATTGACAATATATCCGAAGCTCACAACTAACGGATCAAACTTTAGGGGTATGTGGGAGTTTTGTATCCCCGATGTTGAGGGTGTTTTAGAGGACAATGAGACGTATTCGAACGATATCTACGCCATTTTGAAGACGTATGGTGTCGAAATGGCCCGAGCTGCTATCTTACGAGAGATGAGTGGTGTCTTTGGTGTCTATAGCATCAAGGTGGATCAGCGTCATCTGGAGCTTATTGCAGATTATATGGTGCGCAGCCAAAACTTATTCATAATGCAGTTTCGCTGACGCGCTGTTCTAGACGTTCGAGGGTGGTTACAAACCATTCAATCGGAAGGGTATTTCCACAAATCCGTCGCCGCTGCTAAAGGCGTCGTACGAGACAACAGCAGCTTTCTTGTCAGACGCGACACTGTATGGAGACTTTGATGACCTATCAACCCCCTCTGGAAACATTGTCTTAGGACGGCCAAACTTGACTGGGACGGGGGTCTTCGATGTCGTGATGCCTATAGACACAAAAATGTAGTAATTTTAGATCTAATTTGGAATCTGAGTTCAACCAATCCAAGCCTAGGTCTGACTAGGTACTAGGAAACGCGGTTCCACCTCTACAGAGCAACAGCAGTCAGAGTGACTCGATACAAAAAAAAACTTTTCAGAACAGCCAGAAAAGGAAAAACGCGATGTCACGAGTCAGGTGATACCATTGTCACACTTGGGACCCCGGATAAGTGATCGGGGTCTTGTTGATAAGGCGTGGCCCAGGCATGGCATATTCCCTTATGTTCTTCCATTTTCCCCCGCTTTTCTAACCGCTCTTGACGACTTTCCACCATCACTGCGGCGCCCAATATCCAAGCAATCGCTTTACAACTATGTCTACGCGTCCTGGCCCTCTCAGAGAGTGGCCGCTTGAACGCTTCTTGCCAGCGGGTTCTAATTTGCCACCAACTGCGAACCCTTTCAAATCGAACAGACCACATAAGCGGGCTCACTCGCCTACCCCGACGCCTTTCAGTCCTACAAAACGTCGAATACTTTTCGGGGAGGGCATTTTCTCACCAGAGAAGACTGTAAAGAGCTCTTTACGCCGACATCTAGCTTCTCCTGCTCGTTTCACAGAGATTCTCCAAGGGCCAGGCAGTCCGGCAAAGAAGCTTGACTTTGGCTCAATGAGCGGGCCCTCGAGCTGTGGTCCACTTTTCCCTTCACCAGAGTCTGAGGAAGAGGCCCCTTCGTCGTCACGCCACGGACTGGCACCCTCGCCGCGTCTTTCTAGCTCCTCGGCGCAAAAGGAAAGACCGGCTAGCGCTGAAACATCTCATCCTACTCCCTCATCCATCGTCACCCGGTCAACATCGTCCACTACTCCACCCCCAGACCATGCTATTCACTACCCTGGCTTTGACGTGTATCCAGACATGGATATCGAGATGCTTCCTTCTGTCACCCCTCTCCCACCTCCAGATCTCCCCAAAGACTCTCACAAAGAGAATTTGCCGCCACGTAGGAGGGCGAAGAAAGCATCTGTTATTATGGAAGATGGGAAGCCCATTGCATGGTCTTCAGACCCAAAGACGCAGGAACTCCAAAGGAAGTACATGCTGAAATCCACACCAGTACAACTACCTCCGTTTCCTGTAACACCCAAGAAAACCCCAGGCAAGGTGCCTCGTGTTTCTACTAGTCCTACGCCGCGTCGGTATCACACACGATCGTCGGACAAGAAACCGACATTGACAGACGCTGAGAAAAAGAGGAGGCGGCATATTATGGAGGCAGAGACAGACGAGAAGGCTGGAGGTCTGTAGTTAGACCACGACCCGGCATACATTTCCTTTCCTGCAGATCATTTCCTCACGCAAAGCATATCTAATTGCATTATTTTTGTCTAACTATCTAACAACCTTGTCTCTACGAAATTGATCTTCTCTTGGCAGCAGACATACATACTATAAACTATATATATTGCCACCAGCATTTAGCAACCTGTTTGTATATCGATTTTGGTCAGCAATTGGATAGTAGTTTACGCCGTGGATTCCTTGGAAACTTATAACCGCCACACCGGCTGGCTTCACCGTTGTCGCCATGAGTTCAAAGCGCAAGTTACAGATAGACCTCGGTAGATAGAGTGGTTTACCTAGTGGCTACCCAGGTCGCCGTGGGAGTCAACGGATCGCGTTGTTACTGTTTCAAATGATAGAAGAACAAGGTAGAACAAAGCGCTGGCAAGGACAATAAGGCGTGCATTGTTCCGTTTCCGGTTACTAAAAGTCATGCGCATGACCAGCAAGATGAACACAATAAGTGTGATGGTTGACGTAGATAAGTAGCTGGTTGATGCACCGTCAGCCTGACGCTTAAAATTAGGAACCGGGACGGCCCATGCAAAGCCTGGACGCAGCACTATTATTGTTCCTGTTTCTTGATAGATCCTGCAAAGATAGAGTTGGGTGGCGGCGGCGCAGTGGGAGAGCATCCTGCACATGCTGCAACAACTCCGTTTGGCTGGTTATCATTTGGGAAAGACCAGGGCATGAAGCAGAGGAGAAATGCACACGCCGAGTATCGGAGAATTTGTTGCGATAATATGAGCATGACCGGAGAAACGGCCAGGTCTGAGTGTCATTCTGCATGCGTTAGACCAGGTGCTTATACTTTGGCTAAATCTGTAAACATGAAATGCGACAAGAGAGGAGTAAGGCGATGAGCGTGTCGTCCAAGTGACGCCAGAAGCTACAGTACATACAAGCCTGGCGATAGTGCTACCGAATTGAGATCAATTGAGGTCGCGGTCGACGTGCCGACTGAGTAAGCAGGAAATTAAAGCCGCAAGCTTTCAGAAAGTTTCGAAGCTGGAGCCACCATTGTTGACCAATCTAGAAACTTCACCTGCTTTCACTGACATTCGTCTCATCCTCAGTATCTCTTAGTTCGGCTGCTAGAGATAGTTTATTCTTGTTTGACCTCTGCACGTGATCGAGACAGTAACGTGTCAGTTTCGTACGCGTCTTGCGCTTTGACCATCACAATGTTCCCGTCTCTATCCTTCGTATTGATATTTCTGGCAAGCCTTATATCTGCCCAGTTCAACTTCTTCGATGGCATGTTTCGCCAGCAAGAGCAGCATCAGCCTTCTGGTGCTTCGCAGTGGGCCGCCCATTCGGAGGGCAGTGCGTATGATTTCCCATTTCAACTGAATTAATTTATTCATTAGACTGATTTCAAGTATCTTGCAATCGTTACTTGTGCCCTTCAACCCTAGACTGTGTCAGGGCGCCTAGAGAATGTCCTTGTCCAAACGTCGAAGACATCAAGTGCATAATACCCGATGCAGATAGCCGAGACGGCGCAACAGTACTGTGCGTACGCGGCGAAAACGAATGCGCAGATGTGGAGCGGCTTTCCAAGAAACAGTGGATGTAATTGGTATGAATCAATAAATCGTTTAAGAGGAAGATTAAATTTATTTGTTGCAGGTCCAGCAGCCATGAATCATGGTCATGTATTCTATTTATGGATTCACAATGTTACGAACTGGAACGAACTTGATATCCGGGTTTCAAAGAATTATGTTAACAACGGCTGCGTGCTTGTCGTCAAATTCGTCAGTACGTGGGGGCAAACGTAGTCTGGATTACAACGGGCTAAAAGAGATTGAGGAGCAAATTTACACGAATACAACGGATCAACGCACCTGGTGTACGACTTTTACATCTGCAGGCGGTCTCCAGCTCGCAGGATCGCCCTCTTTCCTAGCTAACAAATGCCCACTCACTCCTATTCCCGTCATCAGGAGAAATTCCATCGCCGCAAGGACGCATTGTAGTCTTTGTGTGTGGATAGATACGTGGAGGCCATAACGTCGGAGACTATCTACGGTGAAATCTCCTTTGTAAGTGACGAGAACGGCAACGGTTATCACCATAGCCGAAAACCATAGGACAGCCAACAGGTACGAGCAGACGACCATAGTTGAAAAGTAAGAGGGGTCTTCGATATCTCTTTTCCGCCTGGACAGAGCGATGACCGAGCAATGGAATATGATGGTGACAACACAAGCTGCGGGATTGACCCACAAGGACAAAACACCATAATCAAGCAAGGAAAACGCGAGTACGAGTGGAGTGTTGATTAGTGATATGCATGTGAGGTAAAAGATGGTTCGTGGTATATGCAATGGGGGTTTGGGCGCATCAGGTATTCGCAGGAACGGCGGCTTCAGCATGGGTCCGATTTGTGGTGGCCAGCACCCAAATTGACGCGCTTGCAAGAAGTGACCAGCACTGTTGCGAGGGGGAAAGAGGGAAGGCGGGCCATGTCACTTTAAGCAGATTTGAGGCACACGAGTAGCCATGGGCACCGACATCTGCGTCGTCACCGGGATCCTTGCTGTGTCGGGCGCCATTCCAAGGTCATCGGCCGCGTAGTGACTGTCGTGATGCTACGTCCCGCCGTGTATACCGTCAACTTGGGTTCTTTTTTTTTCAATAAAACCCGTGGCCAGGCCGTTCGGGACGTTGATACCGACAGAAAGGCGCAAGCTTGTTCGGATGAGAAATTTTATTCAAAGAAACCTAAAGCCAGATATAGTTTGAACAAATTTTTAGCCCTCGGTATCGGTGAACTAGTGGTGGAAAGTTCTGTGAATTTCTCTTGGTTCCAATGGCAATTGCCAGGGCTCTGAGGCGCAGAAATCCTAGTAAGGCAAGGCGCCGGTGTTTGTGATTCCGTTGCTTGGCAAACAAGACCGTTCTTCTCTCAGTTCTTTACCGTCATCATGTCCGTGCCACGCCCAGCAGTAAGTGACATTGTATTCCATTGGAACCCGGCTCAGCTGACAGTCGGTTCCTATAGCTCCCCCCAGGCGCTAATCGCATCCTATTCGTAAAAAATCTCAACTACCAAATCACCGGGGAGGATTTATATGATTTGTTCGGACGCTATGGTACAATTCGACAAATACGGATAGGGAATGAACAAAAACGAAGGGCACGGCGTTCGTTGTATTTGATGATGTTATGGATGTGCGTGCGTTTCTCTTCTCTCCCGGTGACCACGGCTAACGTCGAACGCCAGGCTAAGAATGCTCTTGATCATCTGAACGGATTTCATCTCCAAGAACGTTACATCGTTGTACTCTACCATATGCCGGCTAAGCAAGACGCCGCGGCGGCAAAAGCTGACCTTGCTCGGAGAGAAGAGGAACTGGCTCAACTCAAGAAAAAACATAACATTGGGGATGATTGATTCCCCGAGTTCGATGAGATCTCCGCCTCTTGACCTTTGCTTTGTTTTGTCATTATGAACTTGGGAGGATTTGATCATACGCTCGGTGGGGTTGTATTCCTTCCTCTTCCTCTGCTGAGATCCGGCTTCCTTGTATGATAAGAGTATAGATAAGATGTATTACATATACGTTCTTTGATGAACCAAACTATTAGAAGTGACTAGTAAGCGTGTATGAAAACGCGTATATAACATATCATTTGGCGTCAAAAATGCGCCAGACAGTTGGGTACAACGGGACTTTGGGGTGCCCACGTTGCCTATCTCCGGCACTGTGGGCAGTACCCGTCAATGTTAGGCGCTAAAAACAACATATGTCAGACGAGCTCGCCGCTGAAGAATGAAAACAAACAATATTGCTGAGGGTACTGTCGGCTGTACGGATGCATTAAAAACGGTGAAGCGTGGTCGGGTATCCAGACACTCACTATTGCCAACAGTTCCTGGTACAATTCGGTGGCTTGCAATTGACAGGGTGCGTAGTGCTGAATTTGCAATTGACGAGATTGCATCGTATCTATGCGCCCAGGTCAGAGTAAATCCTTGCAGGGCCTGCTTAATGTCATACCTCTTTATCCGGCTGGCGAGACGAGTACAGCTATCAGCAAAGTAGAGGCATGCCTACGATGATGCGTACCTCAGTAACACCATGGCCACACCTGAAAGGTAGATGAGCATTGGAGTCGACGAAGGAGACGCGACGCGACGCTGACCTTGTGTAGACGTTTCGGACTCTAGGAATGAAGGTCAGCAACGAAAGAGAGGGGGGGCGAGATAATGAGGCTCACTGTCGGTAGTAACACATTATAAGTGAAGAGAGGGAAGAACTTGTAGAATGGGATGTAGTGGGATGTCAACATAGCAGGCTTTTATACCTGTCGCGTTGAATGACGCCTCCATTTTTGGCTACCGGCTGCCATTCACCCTTGGCCGAAGACATTGATAATTCTGTGAACGTGTCTGCCCGGGAAAGTTTCTGAGGAGTATCCATGCAGGCGGTGGTGCCTTAGCAAAGCTCAAGCGTTCCCCGTATCCCGGCTCGTGATGATGTCTGCTAGGATCAGATCACACTTCTCGTGAATATACATGTATGTACGACCTCGAATTTCCCCTTGGAACGTCATCAAGGCAGGCCTGCCGACAGAAGCATTCGAAACTCCAAGTCAAAGATCCGTGAAAAAAGAGCATCAAGTTTAATTCGAAAATCCAGATGATCCCCGTAGATCGGCGAGGATATTAAAGACACGAGTTCAATCTACGAAAGCACGAGGGGATTTGTGGTATTTTGAGCAAGTCGATGGCGAAAGTCAGGTCACGGTTAACCCGAAAAGGCCATACGATCATCTGGCGGTGGCTCTAATACCTCCGCCTCCCGAGTCCCGACCATCTATACGCAATCTGGTTGGTTGTTTCCTGCCGTTCGACCACAATTTTAGCATCGACAGCGATGCCTCTATGAGATAAATTGGCGTATTTCACATCTTCTTTCGGCCCTCTATGACAGGTCCTATTAGCAGGGATTTCGGCCTGCAACAACGATCTCTAGATGGGTCTAAGGCCTGTAGTCGACCTCGCTTGCGCCAACTGAGATTGATCTCCGCGATGGTATGTTTTTCGATCGTCACTTTTCCCCCCTTATCAGATCCCAAAATAAAATGCATGGAATAGGATTCCTAACCTAAATGTCACATGCTAAGAACCTAATTCATGTTGCGGTTACTGCGCCGAAATCATCCTTCCTCCAAGAGATCCATCGGTATTTGCGATTTGCCTTTGCTCTACCTGACGTCTTCCTATTTTCTATTTCTTAGATTGTACCCCATAATGTTTTCCGAATTCACGGCTTAGACCTCCAGGCTTCGATCAAGATGGATGCTGCAACCATTCCATTCGGTGCCAGACGTCCTGCGAAATAGTAACCTCTTGATCCTCATTGACACCGAGACTATCTTTCGGGTCAGTCAAGGCAGCCCCTCCTCCGTCTTCGATCGACGCCACACCACGCGTACTCTTGCTTGGAATACTCCCGGTACCTGGGTAAATCAGTTCCAACTTCTCGTACAGACCAATGAGGCTCTATTTAATCCCATCTTATGCCAGGGCTTTTCTAAATCACACCAAACAGAAGCCCTTCGAATATATTGCTTCTTACCAGAGAGAAAGACCTCGGCGAATTAATTCCGTTTGTCCTATATAGGTGGTCCTGACCTCCAGGAACTCGCATTCAACTGTGCACGTCGGTAGGCACGCGACAAATCGATTTTCATACTTGCCACACCGTGACTTACGGGTCCTCGTTTCAGTCAACCGGCGATGACGTTCACCTCCGGACGAGCGATAGTGTAATCGTTATCGACAGTAACCTCGCCTTAGAAAGGCTATCGAGGGTTATCATTCGCGAAGGCCTTATTTGCAATGATTGTAGAAAAAGCTCATGTTTTGTGTTCCGCGTTGTTGACCGGACGCCACCTTTCTGCTCCCCGGTCTACTACGAGCTAGGGTCCCATAACAGTGATTAACCTCTTCTCCTTTTTCATTATACCATGATCTATGCATTATATCCCGATGCCGAGGTCCGAGTTATCACGACGTGCCGTGTTACAGATGCAGTTTACATCCTCCAAACGGCAAGTCTTTGGATGGTACACCCTTTCATCACTGTCGTTTTCTGTCACCTGCGAAGCGTTAAGAATGCTAAGAGTGAACCGAAAGCATAACGCAACACGAAACGTCCAAGACGTTTGCCACACGCAGTAAATATGCGCAGAGGTTCGCGTTGCACAGACAACTGGAAGAATGAATGTGCTTCGCTTCGCCACAGGCAGACAGTCATATCATCCCACTTCCCCGTCTGTTCGGGGCCCGCCCTTGCCAGTCTTTATTTTTTGCGCCTCTCCCACCAGTTCGGCGATCAACCCATTGTATGTTTCGGCATCCTGCTGTAATGCGTCTCGGTTCTGCAGCAAGTGGGTCAAGCGAGCTGAAGTATTCGCCGTTTGCTGCCGAAGCTCCGTTAGATACCGCTCAAGTGTCGGAAGAGGTTGAAGTGTCAAGGTGTCTATAACGCCATGTGTCAGCAATGCGGAGAAGATTAGTGGGGATTAAAAGATGAAATACGCACCAGAGTCAAGCGCAAGAAGTTGATGAATTTTAGAATCATCAAGCTCCGGTTTTGGGGCCAAAGTGTGATAACGAAGAAGAGTGATTAGGACGTGGAGAACCTGCTCTCGAGTTACTCGCAGAAGTTGTGACGCTTCCGGGACGGGGAGGGCCTCGGGGGCCTGGCGGTGCTGACATTGGGCGAGTGGTTATGTGCAAAGGAGGAAGGGCCTTACCGCCTGTATGGGGCGGAAGAACCTCGTCTAAATTGACGGGAATGCCCAAGGGCGATTAGATGCTGACGTCGTATTCGTGAACGGATCCAATTTGGTGGTTTCGTTGGTGGTGGTGACTGCACCAGCATATTAAAAAGATTACGACTGTGTTCGTGATTAATGAGTAAATGATAATGATACAGACAAGAGGCGCAAACCTTTCTGATGTCACAAGAATCTGACTGATACCCTCCATTTCTCGGATAGGATCATCCGTAGTAACCTCTGTTATACCTGTAGGCCATAGAGGTCCCAGAATGTCATCGATATCCTGCACCAGTTGTGATCTGCTTGGTACAGGATCCAGTCTTAATGTTCCCAGTCAATATAAGACGATGCTCTGCTATTGATGCATCCACTGCAAATCCCAGTTCGTCTCCAAAACTATCGCCAGACGGTATGCTTTCCGTGGTATCGAAGTCTCCAAAATCTCCAAAGTCATCGTCTTCAACCGAGGGTGCTACGTCCTGAGCAGGCGGACCAAAGTCGTCAAAATCATCGAAATCATCGTCTGCCGGTTGGGAGTGGAAAGGATCTGTTGTTGAAGACGCCCGGTCACCGAAGGGATTATCTTGAAGAATGCTAATGGGAGCACTGGAGCTCCACACAGAGACGCCAAAGGTGATGTCGTCGTCCATGGATAGGCTGTATGTTGCAGCTGCAAGTGGATCGACGTTACGGAATACTTTTATTCAATTTGGTGCGGCTTGTCTGCGACTTCCACCACAGCCTCGATGTCCTCGCCCTTCCTCTTTCATTCTCTTGATGTAGGGCCTCGATTAAGTGCACGGAAGGTGCATATATGCAGGCTCTATGATGTCCTAGAGCTATCTCTACTGAGAAACGACCTCCCACGGGCAAGAAAAGCGTGGGCTATCCTGGCGCGATGCAAGGAAATGCACTGGACAACGATGTGGGCGACCGCGGTGCGTATTATCGGAGATGAGACCTTCCACGAGCACGATTCCAGCAAGAAGCTCGCTTTCCTTCGCGAGATGATGCTTCAGTTACCGGACAAGGTGGGTCGTCAGGACCGTGTTCGTACACGCGTCCTGTCAGCGGCTTACTCACGTCGTCAGAGAGAAACGATTCTTAAGGGAAGTTATTCTTCGACAGATCATGGCGGGGCATTTCAAGCAAGCTCTGGACGAATTGGAGTTGTATGTTAAATTTTTCGTACGAGTTCCACTTACTCATTTATGTTTAGGTACGTTCCTTCATTCCCCTACCAAGATGATCCTGTGTTACATAACTATGCCGGGCTCTTATCTCTATACTTGTCCCAGCCATCCGGAAATGGCGTTGACGATGGCATGCTATCTCTCGATGTTCCTTCAAGCATGACCTAACATCATTCCCAGATGTACCAAATCATGGTCTACTCCGTAATGCGCAGTCGCACTTCCAAGGTGCAAAGGCCCTTGATTCGGAAAATACCATTGCTACACACTTCTTATCCCACGTACGTCCTCGGTATAACGACGATACTTATCTGACCGCCCCCCTCAGATTTCTAAAATGACTAGCCAAGCAGAGAATTCAGACCAGGATTCTGACGACGACCTCATGGAAGTCGACATCCAGGAGACAAAACTACAGCCCCAAAGGAAGCGTGTTCGACTTCACGAGGATGGCATTTCATAGAAGTCAGCATTTCTCTTTCGGCGGAAGTAACACCTGTTCAGCTCAACGTCTGGACGTCCCTCAAAAGGTATTTATCCCCGTGATGCCCAGCATGTGCGCAGGTACATGACATTGTACCGTAGTTCTCACGATTCTAATGCGTCTTCACTGTCTAGGCCGTCGGTAATGCGCGCTAGGACTGCTCGGCCTCGGTCACGGAAGACAACAGAGAAACAAACTGACTATACGGAGATAATGCATCATTGGTGGGCTGCTGCTTGTTGCTCCTTCATAGAATGCCCGCCGGGTAGGGATTATTTGGTCAATCCTTCCAATTGTGGCCGTGGCTACTAGGCATGAATAACAGATAATACCAAACCTAAAGCATTCCGGGTCTTGCCTCTCACAAGTTCCCTGGCAAATCATTTCTCCTGTATTTCACTCGCTCACGACCAATTGAGCTAATTGTCGCATATTCCCGAGTCTGAATGCCGCCGATTCCCAATTATCCGTTTTCAACCAACGGTTTCCTGACATTTCCGGAACGTCGACGATAGCCATGAATTCCTATCCAATGGCTGACGGATTATGGATTCAAAACGTCAAATTTATTGTTTCTGTTGCTCTGGATCGCCTAGTCTTATTGCTCCAAGGCACCAAATTCTCATATTGGACATCATGGTCAGTCTTCCAGGGTACATCTCTTGTCTAGTCACAAATTCAATTCCAACATTAACATTCAGTCGAATGAAAAATATGCACCCTTGTCCGTTGCTTTCGCCTTGCGCCATGCAAGAATGACGCCAGATAGAGCACATGAGCTGCCAATAGACCTCTATCGAGCCTTTCCGCCATTCTCCTCAGGGACAGTTTAAGGTTGTTCACGTTGAACTCCATATTTTTGACAAGAGTTTAGATTGGACAGGGGCTTCGGCGAGGACATAGAATCATTTCCATTCTCTCGGACAACCGCTGGTCCCTCGCTGTTTTCTGACTTCGCCATTTTCTTCCTCTTCCGTCGCAGTTTTTCCTATCAGATTCTCCGGCTTCTTGTTCTTTTCCCGCGTCAGCTTGCGGGTCTTCCGTCGTCAATTGCCTCGCATGATTACAGAGTGTCGCGATGTACCGCGTATGCCGAGCTTCGTCGTACTACGATGAACCCAAACATGTTCAACAAACTCTTCGGTGAACGCAAGGAAGTCGATGAGTACTCGCTTTGTATCATCCTTACCATTTTAAGGGCAACCGGCAGTCTTCCGTTACGCGGAATGCATTCAACATGTTTTTGGAAGATAAACATGACTTGATCTACTCCGACCCCAGAACATCGATAAACAGTAATGTGAAAGCTATAGTATGCGGACGTCTAATTGAAATCGGCCCACATTGCATCGTTACGTTTCAACCTACTCCAACAACAACGGTCAATTGCTTGTTAGCCTTATTATCATATTCTTTGAAGATCGGCTTTCCCTCTACCCCAAGCGAGCCCAAACGCGAGAGATAATAATTTGTAAAACTTTCCCGGGTATGCTCCGTGCAGAAACAAATCTGTTAGTACCTGAGAGAATTAATGCTCAAGCAAGGAGCTGCGAGAATATATTCTTCTACTGGAATCTGGAACCAGAACAGAACGAAATATATAGTGAAGCCGGCGGCTGCTTGGGCGGAAGCTGCCGAATGTGCCTGACTCTCACTCTGTCCCACCGCCTAGGTCGACGACGACGGGTATACCAATGATATCCTTCAAACTTATTTCCTCGATATTATGAGGGAATCGCTGTTCCTATAGTTCAAGAGCTCTGAATCGAAGTCCTTCGAATGTTCGAGCGCTTCTACTCAGCCTCCGGGTTGTTCGATACAGATTTGGCGTTGACTGGTCTCGGAACTCTCACGTAGGGTAAAAAATGTCCCTCTCACTCGGTGGCTCATTAGTTTCTGGCCGCTATTCATTGCACTTTTTTTTAGGAAGCTCCGGCCGACTTTACAGGTCCAGGAAAGAATGGAGACGTTACGGCTGTTTTGTGTGACTTCACTTGAGGTTCTCTACAACCGTGTGTTTTCTCATGATGGCGTTTTCAAAGAGCGACCATCTTCTGGGTATTTACCGCCCTATCTTACCTGTCAGGCAGAAGGTTAGGCCATGTTTACTTCAAAATAAATAACTATCATCATACTGACGATGGGCAAGGTGTATTAGCGAGCAAGAAGTGCGCCGTCTTCATGGTCTATTCCACTTCTGAGAAGCCTTGCATGTGGCCTTGGTTTCCCAACCATATTTCGTTGTTTTATTCAGTTATGTCGGCGCTAAGCTATTTCAGCTCTTTGCTCTCACAGACTCCAACCCAAGGTGTAGAAGAATTTGATCTGGCTAGTTTAATATGTCAGGAGCCAAGTGCTGTTCTCACCTGTTCTTTTTGTCTGACCGCGGAATTCTGATCCCCGAACCCACGGACTAGCCATGCTGTTCGTCGGACTGGAATCGGACAATGAGAGGCCCAGCGTCTCGTAGAAGAACGATGCCTACAGGCATTTAGATGGCTCATGGCCATTGTCGTCATTCAATTGAACCTTACTTCGCGAATCTACCCAATGGTGTGCTTCTAGGGCAATATATCATAACGCCTTAACCTGACTAGCGGTTCTATCTTTGCCGTGGTCACTATAGTCGCCTTCCTGATGGCTTAACGGCCTATCGCAAGTGACGAGTAACAGCTTCAGGGGAATGAGAAGCCTGATATCTCAATTTCGAACGTAAGAGCTGTGGTAATTTATTGATTGTACTGACGCTCCGCGGCTCTACGCAGATTTTACTGTTTGGCAAAGACTGGAAGGATACGCAGACGTGTGTATATGTCTTCCCTCTGACGCTTTCCTACCTCACATGGACCACTGTTCACTGGTTTGATGATGCAATTTATGGAAGCCCATAGGGTGCCCGATGTCTTTTCCCTTCTAACAGGCTAAGCCGCTAACATTGCTTATATTCCCACTTTCGGGCGTATTAGGGCCTTCTGAAATCAATATTCGAAGATATACGGCAACATATTCCCTTTTCTAAACGTCTCCCTAGTATGCCCCACGCTATTATCTGTTGATTCTGTTCAGCAGGTCATTCAGCCTGAGTATGTACGTTCCGGATTTTCCCTTGCCTTCATGTGACTTTCATGAAATCAACATCAAATTAAGTGCCAATACTTGTAAAGTTAGTATCCTTCATTGTTTTCTGCTGATTTGTCGACTCGCTGACACCTTTCTTGCAGCAGCGCGGTTTTGCCCAGCGTTTTTAGGCATAGCAGATGGATTTAGTCCTACGAAGCCGTGCGAAGTCTTTCGGAAATTTTAGCCGAACTGAAAGACTGCGATGGACGAATCCGTCCAAGCATCTTTCTCGGAACTTTCCCAGATGCAAGTATTAGGAGGAGACATCATCTGACTGCAAGCAACGAACGCCACACTTCTGTTCTTTTCATCACAATTGACCAGTTTGCGGCATGAACTAAACATGCGTGCCGCAACATGGTGTGACGGATACCTACCGTACCCGGATCGTTGTCTCGGACTTCCAGTTAAGGAACAAGTCCGAAATACTTTCATTCCGCAATGAATGTCAAGTGAATCTTTCCATGACAATCATCGACAAAGCTCTCGTCACAAAGCTCTCATCGCGCAGTAGATCTCGGCATTTGATAGCGGAATAATGGTCTACAATGATCGCAACGTACGAAGTCCTTCCAAGGCACAAATAAGCGTCTCCCGGAAACCCAAACCGGGCTAATTCGTATGCCTGCTTATCATTTGATGTCGCTGTTGAACTGCCTCAGGGTCAAGCCTCTCGACTCACGGTCTTCAATAGAAGGTTGAAATCTTGCCTTCTCGGTTGAGGACAGGCAGATCTCGACGAACTGCAGTGATTCTCCAAGTGAAGAGGCCCTCAACGCCACCCAAACCGGTTAAGATGGCGAAAGGTAGCGAGGACTGGCTTCCTTGATATCTGCTGTAAGACGGATACGATTGTCAGGTGCAATGCTCACCTGCAACGGTAGAGAGGGCTTTCAAGATAGAACTTCGGCGAATGCTGTCGCCTTCAATAATCTGTCTGACCACGGGGCTCGGTTGATGCCCCCTCGACCGTTCATTAGTCTTCCATTCATCTTTGGCAAACGAAATCCTTCTCAGGTGTACACCCATGTCATGTGCCCGTTGGGTTACTAAGAAAAAGTAGAGGTACCGAACGAGATACGAATCATCGTTCGATCGACTGCAAGAAGTCGATCAAAGGGTCATATCTATTGATCATCGATTGCAAGGGTATCAGTGGGTTCAGACTTTTAATGTGCGGAGACCGTACATGCGACAAGAAAAGATAACGAGGATGCTGCTATGTAGGACTTTCGATGTCAAGCCGACCATGAGTCCTGCGTACTTAAAATACGCAGCATCAGCGGACCTCAGAAAGCTGAAACGAGGTGCAATCTGCGACGTATATTTTAGAGATACCGCAGTTAGGGTTTCTCGCAGTTAGGGTTCAGGAACAGCGTAGTTGAAGAAACCAACCAAAATCAAGCGGCATTGAGTCAACGTCGTGCTCAGAGAGCTCCGATCAGCGCACCGCAAACATTTTCGTTAAATGAATATTTGTGTGGCGTATGAGTCTTGAGTTTCGTTATCAATAAATACCAAATCCCGCAATCTTGAATCCAGTCGCCTTTCGTCAAAATTTTAACGTTTGAAAGTGGACCTCCCCAAATTGACAAAGTCATGTGTCCATGACGGTCTGCCTCGTTAACTGTTCATTAATCTCGCTGACTCTCGGACTCTGAAAGACCCTAAAAGGATACATCTTGATATGAAAGCCGAAGCTCAAGCTAAATGAGGATTGTTTAGGCATCAGTTGAGCTAATCGCCCAAGATATGAGCTGGGTTATGTCAATATGAACTGCATGTTCTGCACGGACTTAGTATAAGTTTATACGTCGCTTCCAATGCTTTATTTTTCTCCTTATGCCATTCGTGTTTGGCGTCTACATGTAACACCAGGTGGTTGAATGCGGTTCTTCCGCGATTGGACGTTGTGAAAGACAAGGACGGGAGATTTCTTCTTGTGAGACCGCAATATGACGAAAGAAGGTATCCGCGTGTCTGTAATATGTCATCACGTAGAAAGAAGAAAAGCGCGCCTTCTGTCTAGAAGTTCATTTCTGCAGAGATATTGATATCACTCTCTGTGCCATGTCGGATGCATTGTAGACGTGTCTCCCCCTATGGTTCTTGTCGGGAAAGGAATCTACAGTATCTGTACAAGGAGAAGGGACCCGCAAGGCACAAGAAGAAGCGAAGTCAGCAGGTTCCGCGAGTCATTTCCGAGAAAGCTCGAGAAAGCTGAGCAGCTACTAGAAGAAACCTTCAGTCTGGATTGTCGAAGTAAAAGATAGTAGACCCAAGCGGTAGTTAAAGTATACTCTTTCCATGGCACCTTTCATTCAAAGCATTCAAAGCGCTTCATCTAGGAAGCGTTAACTTCTTACTGCTACCATTTCAGCACTCAAGCTACCTGTTAACCAAGCGAAGAAAACCACCGAAATGAAGGGCCTTCCGAAAGTCCGAATCGCGGTGACCTTCATATCTTCATCAACCAGAATATGGACCACGGTCATCCATTCGAAGTGCTCGTTATCTCCACGCAAGGGGCGACGGGGAACGCAGTGGCGAGAGTAACGGTGTAAGAATGCCGACCGAGGGTGTGGGGAGATTTTACTACGAACGGTTGACCCAGAGTTTTCCATGAAGTGCCCCAGTTCGTGTACAATGGAACCGGACCCGACGTCCACGGTTACATCTTCTCCGACATTGACGGCCGAGCTCGTGGAGCAGATTATCCGCATCTGATGAATGGGTAGCTTTCTGAATTTAGCGTACCACTGCCGGCACTGGCTGCGACTTGCTAGATTAAGGACACTTCCAATAATTTCGTACAAGAAATGACCGGTAGCACTTGAGTAAGCGGTCACTCCGGGAGTGTGAGGACTAGGAGGAAGATATTGGCGTATGGCATGAAGTACAAGGTCATTGAGTAGGTACAGGTGGCGGCGTCGATGGGCCCTGGACGTTATTTCTTTGGCACCACGAAGTCGTCAAAGCCCAGACTGCTTTAAGTACAATAATATTGTGCGAAAGGCGCCGTTACACTGTCGCACACATCCTGGGTCCGAAAGGGGACACATAGTTACTAAGTCAATTTGTTCAGCCCGCGTACCGTTCTAAATATTCATTAGCTTTGTCGAGAACATGAACAATCAGAACCCAAGGCGAGATAAACCGTCCAACTTGTGAAAGAGTTAGGCCTCGACTCGTAGACCATAGAAATGTTGACAACGTAGACCACACATGGCAGGACGAGACCTGATATGGTACTGGACAAAGAAAGGAAGTATAGAGTGCAGGTCCAACGTTAGAGACCGGCTGCTTGAGTGGTAAAACAGCAGCAAAGACGTCTCGTGAGTTTAATCATGAAAAAGTACAAGTGGCGGTCGGGGCTGTGGTGGCAGTTGAATTTCGAATGCCGGAAGGAGGGTCAAACGTAATGCATAATATCCGGCCAAAATATCATGATAAATATATACAGGACTAGTAAGCGCCGGGTATAATATCTAGTATCACATATGAAAGTGAGTTCTGCGTGAAAGGCATGACGGACAGAAAACAAAATGCATGGCTATACAGAAAAAGATCCCTGACAAAACATGGTGGGATTACAGTGGGAGATAGAGAAGCTATAAGATAACGTTAAACGTACAAGGTCATGAGCGAAGCTGGGTAAAGGCATCATCGCCATGTAGGTCGGAAAGATCTATTCATACTGATGTCTGCGCTTGTGTTGCCATCCGTGGCTGATAAATTCGCCGAAGATGAGGACCTGGAGCTTGTCGTTGACCTCAGTTTGAGCGCCGGCATGCCTCGGGAGGTCAGAGAAAGTCTCTTTGCTCGCTTCGAAGGACTGCCCAGCAGGATCCTTCTCGGTTTACTTGACTCCCCATGGCTTGTCCCATGGCCGTTCGGTGGCGAAAGTTGAGGGATCATACTTGATCGCCTTCGTGCCTTCTCGACACGCAGCGGGCCGAGGTTTGAACGTCGTCGACTCTTTCCTGGCGTGGACATCACAGACCGAGAAGCTGACGATATTCGCCGTCCAGACGCTGCCCTCCCTTTCTGGCTCCCAACTGAGACCGACCGGCTCCTACCCTCGGCCGTAAAATCTTCCGCTGAATTCAGACTTCTTGGAGCGAGAGGTTGTGAGATCCGGCGTTCAGGTTCAGCATCGCTTTCGTCGCCTTCAGCTAGACTTCCCAGGGTCGGGCCTCTTGATTTTGATTTCAGGAAGCTGGGATCCAGTCGGCTCGGGCGGGGTCGCTTGCCGACAACAGAACCGTACGAGTGTTTCGATGGTGCGAGATCACGAGTTGAAGCAGGAAGTGACATGGAAAGATGGACGCTATCATCTGTTTTCTCGTCATCTTCCCATTCGCTTTCCGATCCGCAGCGTGACGCAGGTCTGACTGACGGAGATGCTTGTACTGTTACACCAGAACTGGAAGCAACGCTAACGTCCGCTACGGGATTGGGGCTCGGTGGGATGACAGTGACCGAGACTGGGTTCAGGCGAGCGCCACCATCATCCAAGTCTCCGCGACCAGCTTCATCTCGCCATTGCACACTCTTTCCTGCTTTGACAAACTTCTTTTCTTTGTCCGAGACGCGCCTATACGGCTGAGATGCCAAGCTTGATCGCAAGGACTTTCTCGGTGACCTGTGGCTTCGCCGAGGTGACATAGAAAGGGAGTTGTACGCAGACATGGAAGTGTTTGCGCCGTAAGAGGAGCGGGAATTGTTTTGTTTTCCGGGACCTGAGCTGACTTTGCGCGTGAAAGACACGTCATAAGATTTGTAACTGTCCAATACGTTGGTGCTCTGCGAATCCATGCCATAGCCACGCGTGGAGTGTCCGATAAGCCTCGTAAAGTTATCATCGTTCTTCTCCCTTATGCCAGCCAGCAAACCTGCGATCTGGGAAGAAGCGCCGGGCAATTCATCTTGAGAGGCAGCATCCAAAGCTTTGGCAGCATCACCGATGGCGACCGTGCAACGGCTCAGCATTCCAATCAGTACGACCATCATTTCGGCCATGTCCTCAACCGCATTCTGCATTGCACTCTTTTCTTCCTGGGCCTTCATGGCTTCCATTTCCGCCTTCCTCCGGATAGCGTCAAGCTTAACGTTCTCTATGCTAACTTCGTCGAGCTTCTCCGACTTTCTCTCAGACACAGCACGCATAGTAGCATCGAACATGGCCCTGGAGTTTGATGATCGTTGCACCATGACGGATAGCGCAGAGCCTGGTTTAATAGCCTGTTCCTCTGGACTGGCCAGAGTTTGCAAAAGTGTGCGTTCGGCCTGAAGATCGGCTGATAGTGAGGTGCAGGCGTCGATTTCCGACAGTCGTGCACGAATTGCGCCTAGCTTGATGTTAGCTACGGATAGCTTCCCGGCGCAGGCTGCTCCCTCTACAATTGAATCCTTTGTCCGCTCAGATTTGACACTCATGTCCTCCTTCGCTCTCTCCACTTCAGCCGCCGCCTCTGCTTTTTTCCGACGAACAATATCGTTTTCGGAATTATTCTTGCCAGCAAGTTTGGCCTTGAGTTCCGCGATTTCGATGTTGAGCCGATTAATAGCTTCAACATATCGGCCGACATGTCTATCGACATTGACAACATTTCGGGTAACCACTTTGGTTTTGATTTTGGTAGCCCGTTCGGCGTAGACGAGAGTGTTATGTGTGTCGTCAAAATGATTGGATGTAGGAGCGACGCAGACGATCATGACCGTCTTACAATTGCCGCCAAGGGAGAACTTGAGAAGACGCGTAAGTTTACTGTTGCGGTAGGGTACATGGCGCACGCCACCACCACTCTCGCAAAGCGCGTTAATGCAGTTGCCAAGCGCCAATAGGGATTTGTTGATGTTCGCTCCCTCCACCATACGCTGACCCATGTTAGTCGTGGCTGCTGCGCGCTCGCTTCCAGCAAGATCAATGATGGAGAGGGTGGCGACCGTCCGCTGCTCTGACAGCGAGGCGGTGCGTGGGGATTGGGTGACATGGACCTGAAGGACAGCATGGGACCTTGAGGACGTCTCGTTGGCATGTGTAGGGCTCTGAGTTCGACGCGAATTTCCTAATAACACAATTTCCTTCACTTCCTCCGCTGAGCTCGGTTTCAGCTCCGTTAAGCCGACAACCTTGACTGCTTTGTCTTCCCTTATAGAGAGTCCGCCTCGTGGCATATGTGCACCCGGATCCGCAAGCAAGTCACGGATTTCCTCGTTGTAGATTTCGAGGAAGGTTACTGAAACATCAACAATTGACTCTTCTCGTCGATCCTCAATGCGTTGGAAGAGGTCTGACATGGTGAGGTAGATGATGCCGGGATCAGATTCAGTGCCGCTTATGGTGTGAGTCTTGCCACAGCCAGTAGCCTTTGTGTCCATGATGATTAGTTGGCATATTGTGAAGAAAGCGGAGCACTCACCCCGTACGCAAACACCGTAGCATTGTATCCATCAAGCAGACCTTTTAACAACGGCTGGGCAGTTGCCTCGTAGACGTGCTGTTGATGCGCCTCGTGGTCAAACACTTTGTCAAACATAAATCGCCTGTCTTTGTATCGCTTCGTTCCAGGCGGTGTGAATCCCCGCTCAACAAATGCTTTCGCTCCGTCCTTCTCGGCTGGGTCGAAAGTAAGGATACGGTCGTCGACGATCTGGACAACCTCGCGTAGAGTTGAAGTATTTGCAGCACATTTGGGTGTAGAAAGAGTGCCGTCACCTCGAATGGTGGTATCGTAGCAAGGCTCTGGAAGGCGTCCGGCCTCCCATGAGGTCGGTGGTCGGACGCGCACTGCAAGTATCTTAGCACCCAAGGCTCGAGAGACGCGACAAATACCGACCTGCAACAGTAATGGAGCCTGCGGCGACCATTGTGGGCAATGCACGGGCGGTTGTTGAGGGGGTGGAGGACGGTGGCTAGTCGTAACCTGGGTCACGGGTGTTGAAAGTAAACGGCAACGCGAGATCACATGATCGTTCATCACTCTTTGCAGTGCGCGGTCCGACCTAGCCGATTGGAGGTCAATCATGTCTACGACTCTTTCTGTGCCATCCCCGGCCGATTTCCACGTCCATCTGCGCCAGGGTTCATTTTGCCAGCTCGTAACGCCTCATGTACGAAAAGGTGGATTTAATGTGGCATATGTCATGGTATTGCTTTGTTTTTATTTCCCAAAATTAATCTCTGATTCCCTATGGATAGCCCAACTTGAAGCCACCTATCACGTCAACAGATCAAGCTTTGGAGTACAAGACCCAACTGCGAAAAATTGATCCTCATGTCGAATATCTTATGACCCTTTATTTGTCCCCAGAGCTCACCCCAGACGAAATTCGAAAAGCAAAAAAGGCTGGGATCGTTGGTGTAAAATCCTATCCAAGGGGCGTCACAACGAACTCAGACGGAGGGATTGAGTCATACGAAGTATATTATCCCATTTTTGAGGCAATGCAAGATGTCGACATGGTTCTCAACTTGCATGGAGAAATTCCCTCTGATCCGGCTATGGTATAACTTTAGTTTATCCTTTGCAATCTGTCGTTTGATTGTTTCATAGAATGTTCATGTCCTGAACGCAGAGCCTCATTTTCTGCCCCATCTTGCTTCAATTCACAAGAAATTCCCAAAGTTGCGCATCGTCCTTGAGCATGCTACTACACGAGCCGCAGTTGAAGCCGTGAAAGCATGTGGCTCCACCGTAGCTTGCACTATTACGGCCCACCACCTGTCCTTAACCGTAGATGATTGGGCCGGGCAGTCGTGGAACTTCTGCAAACCCGTCGCAAAGTTCCCCGACGATCGTGCGGCTCTACACGACGTAATCAAAGAAGGTATGATTTTGCGTATGTTCGGCATGCGCTGCAGCTGATGAATGTCAGGCCACCCTCGCTTCTTCTTGGGCTCGGACTCTGCCCCTCATCCACCACACACCAAGTCAACGAGCACTCCAACTCAAGGATGTGCGGCGGGCCTTTATACTTCTCCGATTTTGCTTCCTCTAGTAGCTCATCAGCTAGAATCTTTTGGTGCTCTTGACAGGCTGGATGGTTTCACCAGTCTATTCGGTCGTAATTTCTATGGGCTACCTGTCGATGGTCTGCCGACAGTAACGATCAAAAGGACTACTAGAAAAGTGGTGGAAAATTACACTTCGGATGGCGAGGCTGTTGTGCCATTCTGGTCCGGGAAAGAGATTGGCTGGGAAATTGCTGACGAGTAACGTCTTTGTTCTTTTGTTTGTACGATAATCAGAAGTTAAATCCCGTCTCAAATGGTGCCTACAAATCAAAATACGTGTTAATTTAACTCTTTATTGACCAACACCAATGCCATTTCTCTTCCTCGGGGCGCTCGAGGCAACGATGATACGCGTCTACATCAGGCCTCCACACCCTGACGGTTCCATCATCGGCACAAGTTGCTAGTCCTTCACTACACCATGCTACCCCTCCGACATCCCCTTGTTGGCCCTGCAGTTCGACGCCTCTTTCTTCTGCCGCAAAAGGTCTCCAGGCATTATGAACATCATACAAGAAAGCACTTCCTCGACCCGTACTTCCCGTAGAAAGCCAGCGGCCGCACGGTGACATGCCCAAACCAATATAAAAAGAGTTCGTCTGCATCCGCTCGTGAGCATAGCTGCTGGACATCGGTAATAACGATGATCGGGTGTATGTATGTACACGAGAATCGGTACCCAGTCCAAAGAGAAGTCCAGCCGTAGGACCTGAGCCTTCTGCAAGACTAATTATTCCTCTCGGACGACGCGAGCCGTGAAAACTGGTGGGATCCTCGGACGAAGCGAAGAGAGGCTGCTGTAATTTATATCTAGGTATCCTCCTCTTCGAGCTCGTTAGCGATCGGACGTCCCAACAACGCAATATTCTGTGATAAAAGATCAATTTATGGTTTTTGAAATGCCATATAGATGACCGACCCGTTATAAGAGCCGCTGCTGATTAGATTGTGTGATGAGGTGTCGCTGTAGATCACATTTGTGATCGTTTTAGCGGAAGAAATGGATTTCCGCCGCTTGTTGCTCGTTTCCAAGGGTGCCAGTTCCTCATGTGCCCCGGGAATGGATAATACTGGCGGAAGTGACTCGCCATCTACGCGGCCTTCACCGATTCGAAGATCCCACAAACAGATAGCTCCATCTTTTCCTCCAGTGCTCAGCAAATTCGGGTTTGAAGGATCCCATGATATAGATTTCACAGTGTTCGTATGGCCACGTAAAGAATGAAGAACCGTGTTGGTAGAGAGACAGAGAATCCGAGTCGACTGGTCGGCAGAAGCAGTAGCAAGGCGTGCATCGGATTCGTCCCATTTAACGTCGAAGACACCATTGTCGTGGGCCTGTATTGTCGTACGAAGAGGCTCTAACAGTTGGAAGTTAGCGAAAAGAATATATACTACCCATGTTTAGAGCCTACCAGGGTCCCAAGGATCCCTCTTAGTCGTGTTTATGATATGAATGGTTCCTTGTTCTGTAGAAACTGCCAATAGCGAAGACTCGCCCCGCCTCGCCGCTAAACGAAAACAGTAAGCAAAAGATAGAAGGCAAAAATATTGCAGCCAACCATGTGAGTATGAACATGAATAGGGTGGGTTTAAATGGTAATCGATGCCCGCGGACTGACACTTGTAGACGTCGCGTTTGTTATATGAGACAAAGGATTCAAGAATATGGCGCGTAGATACTAAATTTTGTACTGTTAAAGAGTGTCACGTCAACCAAGACAAAGCGCACCATCGCGTAATCTGCTTCCTGTGTGTATCGCGAGATACCCACGAGAGTGAGTGGTCCCACGAATCCTTGCCCTACGAAACGGAACCTTTGCTAATCCATCTTCTTCACAGGTATCGTCCTCATCATCAAGTGACCTAGCTCTTTTTTGGTTTCGCGGACAGCTTGACTCTTGCACAGATCTCTTCAAGCTACCATTACATTTGGGGGGTGTAGGTAGCGCGAAGGAAAGCTTTTGTTGGTGTTTCGCTGGAGGTCGGCAAGATTCATTAAAATTTGTTCGGTTTTGAAAAATGGGTCGCGGTGAAGAGCTTGGGCTTGGAATCATGGTGGCAGGCAGGAGATAAACGTGACGCGGATGCAGCGGCGTTCAACAGCGCGTTGGTAAATTTCGTAATCAGCGCGTCGCGCCTCTATCACGTGCCAATTATCGGCTTTATCGGATCTCTGTCAGTGCCCAACTCCAAAAATTTCCACCTGTCCTATCAAAGCTCCGTTGTGGTTCGCCTCTTCCTTAACCATCATGTTTCGCACACCGTTACGTTCGATGGCCACGCTCGCCAGGAAGAATCTTACCATTGGTCTCATCCCTGCCGATGGTATTGGCCATGAAGTTATCCCAGTTCGTCAGACTGTCATACCAGGATTCGCTCCGATGACCTAGGATTAACAGGCTGCAAGAACTGCAATTGAAGCAGTTGGATCTGACATTCCTTCACCTAAATTCATTGATTTGGCCGCTGGATTCGAGACCTTTACCCGAACAGGCACTGCCCTACCTCCCGAAACTGTAGAGTCAGTGGACCACCTCACGCCTATGATGGTATAGAGTATTTATTCATCGTCAGGACTCTTAAGGAAGAATGCGACTGCGCTCTTTTCGGATCCGTCAGGTATTTTCACTATTTTCTTAGTCAATCGTAATCTTACGTATATTTTCAGTTCTCCTTCGCGAAAGGTTGTAGGGTATTCATCACCTATTGTTGCGCTCCGCAAAATCTTGGATCTTTACGCCAACATACGGCCCGTTGTTTCTGTGAGTCACCCTTTCCATCTTACCCCGAATTCTGTTGCCAACGCTAGAAAAGGTGTCCCCCGTTGTCGGTGTCCCTCCCGACATTGACCTAGTAGTAGTGAGGGAGAACACAGAATGTCTAGTACGTTCCATTCCGCCAGGTCTACCACAATTTCGCCGACGGTTGCGACAATTCTTGCAGTACATCAAGCAAGAAGAACTCCAAGTCACTGAACAAGGGAAAGAGGCCCGCGCAACACGGCTGATTACTGAGCGTGCATCAAGACGTATCGGTCAGATGGCCTTTGAAATCGCGCTGAATCGCCCACGCCAGGTCAGTTCTTGATTATCTGGTGTTCCATACCCTGTCTGAAGCCATTTACAGCATCTTACAGTGATACATAAGTCAAATGTTTTGTCTGTCACTGATGGCCTCTTCCGGGAAACCGTTCGCGCCGTCCCAGATCTTGAACCGAAGTATCAAAAGGTGACTGTCATGGAACAATTAGTTGATAGCGCAGTCTATCGGTATGTGCAAACCTTCAACCATTTCCTCGGCTGATTTGGTTATTGGTAGTCTATTCCGTGAACCCAAGTAAGGTATTACCCCATTCTCAATGGCCTTCTTCTCATCAGATTTACAGAGTCTTTGATGTCATGGTCGCGCCGAATCTATATGGCGATATTCTCTCGTGCGTACATAGATATCGGCAACCGATATCTCATTCTTAATACTCTCATAGGGACGCCGCTGCTGCACTTGTGGGGTCTCTGGGTGTCGTTCCTTCCGTCAACGCTGGCGACAGCTTTGTGATGGGCGAACCGTACGTTTAGTTATCTCGGGCATGGATTGCAACTGAGCTCTGGTTTAGTGTGCACGGGTCTGCTCCCGATATTGCAGGCCAAGGCATTGCCAACCCTGTCGCCTCCATTCGCTCGGCCGCTCTCATGCTTCGTCACCTTGGTTACATCAAAGCCGCCGATCGAATTGACATTGCAGTGGATTCCGTCCTTCGTGAGGCCGCTTACCTAACACCAGATTTGGGCGGGACTGCTAGGACTGAAGACGTGGTCAATGAAATCGTCAAGCGGATCTGAGGTTCTGTTTTCGTTCTCTTGATTAAACGTACAGTAATCTAATGAATCGTGGCTTAAATATCTCAAATAAAAAGGTCCGTGTGTGGCCCTACTACGCAGTACTTGTGTAAAGTGGAGGAGGTGGACCATTGACTTTGTCATCCTGGGACAAGTATCTATGAAGCAAGTTAACTTCCCTCTGAAGCTCCTGTATCTCTCTCCATATCAACGGCCCCGCCTGCAGCCCTGGATGATCCCTCAAGGAGGTTTGACGAGAGCGGGCTGACCCAAAGCTGGCGTCCCTTTTCAGTATTGGGCACAGACTGGTATCCTCTATTGTCTCAGCCCCCACGAAAGCAACCTGTTTCTCCACCCTACGTAGGAATCTTTCAGCATCGTGCGGACACACCGGAAGAGGACGACGAGTACCTGTGCTGGGATAACCTCCGCTACCGGCTTTGGAAACGGGAAGTGGGGGAAGAATCTTCGACAGTCTTGGCAATTTGCTGAGTTTCTCTGATTTGGGGCTATTCGAAGATCTTGAGCAATCCGAGATGCTGACTTTCACTGTCTCCTGACGAGAGATAGAAGAAGGGCCAACGATAACAGCCTGTGGGGGAATCTGAACCTTCCTTCGACTGGAGCGGCCTCTGCCATTGACCGGGATCACGAGGGAATCTCTTCGATTATGTGTAGATGAAGAAGGAATGACGAGAAATGGCAGATCTTGATCCGCAAATTCCTTTGAGTTTATGTTTGGCAAAGGACCACGGGCAGCAGGGGCAGGGCGGGAGATGCTGATGATGTCCGCACGTTGGAATATCCTCGCAAATGGTGAATGGGCCTGTTTCCCCGCGCCCGGATCAACCAATCGTGAACTTGGAGTGGATTTCTTTTGCATAAAAGAGAAGTTTGAATGCATCCGTGAAAACCATGAAGCTTGGAGACCATCATTAGACGAAAATGAGTCGAAATCCTCCTGTTTGACACCATGTTCGACCACATTCTCAATCCTCTGTAGTCTCTTGCGCCGTTGGCAGAAGAGGTAGAAAAGGAGCGCAAAAAGAAGAGCGCAAACAGCTCCAACAACGCCTCCAACAATGGCACTGATACGGTGCATTTCGGCAGAGACGTCTGTAAAGGACTGCCCAGTGTTGTATGAAGTCACGTTTCTGTCGACCTAAGTTAACAACTGACCACTCTCGCCGCACAACAAAACTAACTTACAACTCATCCCGAGCATATACGGGACCAGATTGCTGGGGTTCGTCAAAGTGCACAAACATTGCGTCTCTTATCATGGGCGGAATGAAGTTCCAGCTCCAGGTATCCATTGCAGTAGGAAGACACAGTCTTCCGTCACAGACGTTACTGCTAGGGAGAAGGGAAGTGAAGAGAATCCAGTCTAGAGACTGCGCCCAGTAACAGCTGGTTTTGATCTATACTAATCGTGTAAAGGGCGGTGAGTAAATGATCACGAACGATTGTTGATCTCGAGGCGGAAGCCAGCGGGAGCAACGGTCGTCAATAGCCTCACCGGTAGTGATCATAAAGTTAGTACATCAAAAACCTCCTACACTATCAACATAGACGCGTAGCTTAAGTCCTATGTTCCGTGCGATGGGTACCAGATCCGTATCATTTGGTTGCGGGGCATCGGTAAACAACCAGCTGATACGTATGTCCATAGGAACCTGTCATAGTCAGGCTGTACTCGAGAATCTGGGGTTGGCATTCAGACGAAGAGTTCGTAGTTTGTTTACAGAGCGAAGTGTGACAATCCCTCCCTGATAGTGGGGCATTCCGACGTGATGCGTAAATAATTAGCCATGGAAGTCTCGAGCATATCTGTACTATACGCGTCCTGGCGAACATGCCGTTGAAAGCTCCGTCAATTGAAGGACCGGAAAGTTTCTCCCAGGAGAGTCGCCGTACTATAGGAACTGCGACAGTACCGGACTGGGCAAAATGACGAATTTGTTCCTCTTGACAGAGGTCCCCGTGTCCAAGTGGCGAGGCGACATCGGTGTATCGAGGATAAAGCGCCAGTAGAACGTCTCCGTCGTCGCTGATCGACCCCGACGTGTGATCGAGAATTTCGGCGCTCTGTTCTTGACCATGATGCCGATACCCTCCGATCGTTGCCTGGCCAGGCAATTATTTCTCCAGACTAAGGTCTAGAAATTATCTTCCGTGCCTTTGGTCATTTGGCTTGTGGACCGGGTGCCTGAAATTTCTAACCTTTTGAACCTCTAGTAGTAGCTGGCGATAATTGTTGGCGCCGCAGACAATTTCGCAGCAGGAGTATCTAGGTATGTTATGAAAAGTCTTGAACCCTCTCAAACTTAATAGCAATTCTTGTAGTAACGAGTATACAGAACACTTGCCCCTTCCGCCGATTCGGCTTCATTCTACTTTTCTCTCTCGGCGGAGTCTTTCACCCGTCGAGTACGGCCTCGATGTGCGAGCGAAAGCACAATGGAATTCGCTTTCGTACGCGATATGTCACGGAAGTGGGACGCGACCCTAAGCTCGTTGAATCTGACAGGTTCTGATGAGGAAATATGCGTACAATTGCTTTTCAATATGGCCGCCCGCCCTTACTAGCACACACTTGGCGGGGATTCTCTTCATACTACCCGGAAGAGATATAGGGCCTTCTTCCGAGGATAATCATATAGAGTCGCTCCTGAATATCAACATTCTGCCCGTGTCGCCTTTCGTATTTGAGTTTCAACTTCACCGGTCGAGTACTTTCGAAAACCAAGAATCAAGTAAGTCATTGCTCTTTCCCGCCGATACTTTTGCCTTACATAAATTAATCTCGCGCTCCGTGCTCAGGTACTTGCTGCGCCGGTAGACGATGCATTCTTGAATAGTCAGACTCATGTTGTCAGACCAGTTACGCGTCTCTATATAAATCCAGCGGACATCATCTCTTGTTCTTCAGCTTTCTGAGTCTCATCCAAGCACTGCAACTCAAAATGCGTCTCTCCTCTCTCCTTGTAACCGTTGCGACCGCCATCCTAGTCCGTGGCGCGGACAACACCACTGTCGCAAGCAACACCACCGTCGCTGACGGTGTTACCACCATCTCTGGCAATGTCACTATCGTCTCTGGCAATATTACTGCCGTCTCTGGCAATGTTACTACTACCATTGGCAACACCACCGTATCCTTGAATTCCACAGAAATTCAAGTTTTAGCCAACCTCACTGCCAATCTCACCGCAGAGGCCTACTATGGCGCTGACATCGCGCCTTGGTACAATGAGAGCACGCCTGGGTGGTACTACGGTGACTATCCTGAATACGTGCCAAGTAACCTCACGGTACCTTGGCTCAAGGATGGTGTTAGTGTCCGCTGATTCGCGTTTCTTTCGCATATCCACTGATACATGCCTTGTCATAGAGGGTCTGCTGGTACCTTGATCTAACGCATTCTGGCTACTGGTGCCCCGACCCCGAATCGACCCCTACCACTGATGACGGCTACACAGTGGCGTTTTCCAACTATACCGGGGCCATCGAAGGAAGCGACTACTTGACCTACGGATTGGTCGACACGGTTCAGGGTGTGTGAATGAATGTTCATGTCAGAGGAATGTTTCTCACTATGCCCTCTTTCAGACTGCAAAGAGATGTGCAACAGCGTCGACAGATGTGTTTACATTAATTGTAGGCGGCTTTCTTTCTGCGTGTGTCCATGACCTAACTTGCTTGACACAGCCTACCACGACGTCAATGGAAAGGTCCGTACCAAGAATACTGCGCTAGTAGATGATGCTGACTCCTCTCTAACAGGGCGGCAGTCCCCTCTTGACTTGCTCGTTGTTCAGCAAATGCCATACCACTGCTGATGCCACCAACAAGGGTGGACAGACGCAGCCTGACGGCTCCATTGACTACATCACCGACAGTGAAGGATACTGCAAGAGTACTTAAGTGGTTGCTTCGTGACATAGAAGACCTAGGCGGATCTGTGTCATATTGAACGCTTTGGGATAGTTGTCCACGTACATTTTCCGTGATCTCTTATTAGTCGTATGGACCCTTTCGAGAGAACAAAATTTTAAATAGAAATCCAAGATGTGTACAGAGGACTCGGCAAGCTCCACCAAGAAGAAATACCGCATATGAAGGACATTTGGGTCAACTAATTTCAAGGACTGAGCATCGTGATATGAGAAAAGAGTCAAAGCAATTCCTGACCAGGTATAGATGTCGTTACGCAATGCTAGATGACTTGCTGCAGCTGCAGAGAAGCTTTGCAAGGGTCACGCATCGTCTCGAAGCTTCCGTCCTCTCCGACTTGACACGGCCGGAGATGGAAGTGGGGGAGTCACCGCTCTCGATACGCCGGTATGAAGCTCAAAACCCTTCTCCCCGACTTCCGTTTTTCCCCAATATATCCATAACTGAAAACCAAGGATTCCGTTCAACGCCAACGCCAGAAGGAAGCTGCCTAAAACTAGCCAATCCCCCACTTCCTGCAGTGTCGTAAACAACCTCGCCAAGCATCCGATGATCTGTGACCAGACTGCGAATGCGGAAAGTTGCCCGGTTGACTGAGCGCGGTAGTTCTGCCGTATTTGCGGCAGCTTGGAGAAGATAGACAATGGAAGAGTAGAAAGTTGCAGGAAGGATAGGATTCCTTCGGGGACAATGTCCAGTAATACCGCGGTAAGAAGCATCCCTAGGGATACGGTTGCGAGGTTGGCGTTGCGCTTGGGTGACCGAGGGGAGTAATAAACGATAAGACAGGTAATGAGTGCGTTTTGAAGAGTTAAAAACAGGTTCTCGCCGTATGTTGAGAAAGGGAACGCGTTTCGAAACGAATAGAAGAGGTTTATGGAGTAGGCAAGTGTTTCGAAGGCAAACTGCAGTCAGGGAAAGTCCTCTGGCAGAATGGGCGCGCAGAATAAGAAGTAGTTGGGGGACCTTCATGATAGAACCTCCAATGACAATTCCAACCCCAAGGCCCTTGGATAGAGCGTATTTAAGACACTGAACGTCAGTGAGGGCGAGATTCTCGACCAACGACGTGTAGCATTCCTGACCAATGATGGAAACACCGAGGTCACGGACTAACCATGGTAGATTCCGAGTAATAGTGGTCATTTGGCCTCTATGAGAGAAATCCAATGAGTGGAACCTTTCTCTCAGCAAGAATATGAGGCAGACATGGTGGTTGCAGTGCAAAACTTTGATCGGGTTGACCACGTGGCCGGGATCTGCCTCGTGTCGCGATGATCTTTTCCTTTCGATGCCGCTGTGATGTTGGTACCCATTGTACTCATCGTGCCCGGTGCGCTGCATTCCGCCTATCCCGTCTTGGGAAACATTTCTCTCTTTTGGTCTATGCAACGCCCTCGGTCGCACGAAGTCCCTTGGATACAACTCTGATTCATTAGCGATTCTGTCATGGCCAAGAACAAGAAAGGAAAGCAGAAGCAGCCAGAGGCGCCTAAGCCTGAAAAGCAGCAGGAGCCCATGCCGGCACCTGACTCCAGAACCTATTTTGGATGCCAAGAACGATGACGACGGCGGGCTGATGGGCTTTGGTGGTGGTGAGCTCTCCCTGTACTTCATCCGTCGTCACGCGTTTTTTTGAAACAGTGATGGTCGGATGGGCGCTAAACATAGATGGCTCACTATCCAATTCATCGATATACAGGTGGTCTCCTGGACGATGCTCCGGACCAATGGGGTGCTGGCGATTCTGCCAAAACTGGCGGCGGTGCTGGTACTGATCCTTGGACTGAAAACATCGACACTCCGATGCCTGGAGGTCATTGGGGACCTCAGCCAACGCATAGATCTCCAGGAGCTGCACATCATAACCCTAGCAAGCGAAATTCGCTCGTGGCATCTACTGGATCGGCCTGGAAGCAAGTCCCGCTCGCAGGAAAGGGTCCGGCGCGCCCAAACGACTTTGCCGGTGCTTGGCCCGGCGCTACCGACCAAACTTACGACGACAGTGGTTGGGGTGGTGGTGGCGGTGGCGGTGGAGACTGGGGTGAAGAGGAGGAATATTCAGAGTACGATAGCGAGGACGATTACGAGGAAGAATCGATGGCCCATCATCATCATCAGCCACCACCACCTCCACCAAAACAGGCGGCACCCCCGGCAGCTGGCTGGAGAGGCTGGAGCGAGGAAGCGAAACGGCTTTCTAAGGTAACCACTCCTTCTGTGCCTACAGGGCCCGTTGGGACCAGAAATGTCCTGTCGACCCAGCAGCACTCTCAGATCTTGAATTCTTTGCTCAATGCGTCACAGCCGAACAATAATGTTCGTTTCACTACCCAAAGTCCTGCTGCCGCTTTCAAGGCGTTTCCGGGGCTAGCGAATGCTCAAGCCCATATGATGCAAATGAAGCAGGGGAATCCCTACCCTGGGCAGGGAAATCCTTATCCTGGGGCCGCTCAGCAGAAGAAGCCCCCTCCACCTCCACCTCCACACCAGGAGGCAAAGAAGGACAAGAAGAAAGACAAGAGGGAGAAGCACAATGATAAGCATCAGCCGCAGGATGGCAAGCATCGGCGGCATAAATCTGAAGCAGATAACTGGGGCGGTGGCGGCGGCGGAGGAGGAGGAGGAGGAGGAGGATGGGGCGATGCTTGGGGCGATGGTGGAGGAGGAGGCGGCGATAACTGGGGGGAGTCATGGGGCGGAGGTGGGGGTGGAAAGGATGGTTTTGGTGGAAATGCCGGCGGTAAAGATCCCTGGGGTCCTCCGGCAGCTGGAGGCGGTGGTAAGGACTCTTGGGGCGGTGGAGGCGGTGGAGGTAAAGATGGCTGGGGTGGTCCGGCAACAGGAGGAGGCGGTAAGGACTCTTGGGGCGGAGGCGGAGGAGGCGGTAATGATACTTGGGGCGGCGGAGGCGGTGGAGGTAAAGATTCCTGGCCAGCGGGAGGCGGCGGTAAGGATCCTTGGGACAGCGGAGGTGGTGGGAAGGACGGCTGGGGTGCAGGCGGCGATGGAAATGACGGCTGGGGTAATACCGGAGGTGGTGGAAATGATGGCTGGGGTACGGGAGGCGGTGGAGGTGACGGATGGGGCGGTACTGGAGGTGATTCAAAAGATCCCTGGGGTATGGGAGGTGGTGGTGGAGGCGGAGGCGGAGGCTCCTGGGGAGATTCGGGAATGGGCGCTACTGGGTTTAGCCCCATTGCAGAAGAGGAAGAGGAAGAAGATGATAACTATGGTGATCCCCGTCGCGTCCATTTCTCTCCCAAGGCGGCTTTGAAAAGGATGATGGGAATCGGACGCCATGCTCCAATACCGCCTACGAAGAATACCAGCTATTCTCTGCCTTCCAAGACCCTTACCCACGCAGTTAAAGGAACCACGACTGCTCTTGATTACAACATACCGCACAACAAGATGAATGAATATACTAACGTCAAATTCATTGATTCCCGAGGCATGGCACTGGACGCTGTCAATAACGCGCTCTTTGGAAGGATGCGGAAGGCGAAAGAGAGGATATACTGGGGTTTTTCGCCAGACAAAGACGAACGCGTCTCGTCTGTGATTTCATGGGTACAGGTCGTGAACTACTCTTTGGGTTCGTACGGAGTGCGTCCTAGCATTGTTCACATGTGAAAGCTTCGCTGAAACATAAATTAGCTTCATCGATTTCTCCAAAGCCAAGAAAGAGGCGCTCTGTTCGTTAATGCGGATTACAGATCTCCGAAAAATCCTAACGAGCCCGCTTTTGACTGGTTGACGTTTGATCAATTACAGCAAACCCGGGACAAGATACTTCAAGAATCCGTAGCCTTCTACGATCCTTCCGCTCAGGTTATCGTCTTCATCTTCCTACCCTCGCCATCCGGTAACAGTGTCGCAATGTGGCGCCGAAAGATCAACGTTCCCAACAATATCCGATTGATGCTACAGGCTGAGATTAACCTAGTCTTAACTGGCTTGAGGAAAGATAATGAATACCTTGTTCACGTAGACGAGTGAGTATAATCCATCATCCTTCTTTCCCCTGGTTACTTACTACAACACGTGTAGACTGCCCTCAAAAACAGCTCCGAAAAACGTGTCCCCTCATCCCATGCAAGCCCCCTTATATACCGCCCCAGACCTGGCTAGGCAAATGGATAAAATGCAAAGGCCAAGAAGATGGTGGCAACTGTTTTAACTCATACCCAGATGAGCTTCTGTATCTTTCACTTATGGTTTCGTCATTCTCGCTTTCGATGAAATAGTATGCTATCTGTAAGACTTAATGTAGCGTCTTAACAACCCCCTCTTGTACATGTTAGCTGTTGTAGGTACCCGTATTCACTGTACAGATAGACATACGGGGCAAAAGTTTATATACATAAATGTATTGGGATTCCGCGAAGGAAATGATATCATTCGTGTGAACATTTGCTATCTTGTACACCGCAGTCGTCGAGCAGTTTCCTCTACTGTATCATGTAGCATGAGAATTAACACCATAAGGATTCACAAATTCTTGTGACATAGATAAACACCTTTCTTAGTTTCTGTAACGACGGACGCTCTATATACCCCCCTTGAATTATTTTTCTTTTCGCTGCGCTGTAGTGCTTTCTGGAGATTCTGCTTAATGGACTGATGGTAGCTGCCACCAGCAACCTTCTTTTACTTCTCATCCTTCCTTCATACCTTGTAAGGTGGTTCCGCGTCATCTTCACGTTCGGAGTGATCTAAACCATTGACGTTATAAGTCTGATCGTCGTCTCGATCACCAGATAAAACTCGATTTCTGCCTCCATAGCTTTCGCAACCGTCACGGTGTCAATAGATATGAGTATTCTTAAAGATACCCTTCTGCCTGGTACTAATTTTGCCAGTCTCTTGTACATGTTAGCTGCTGTAGTTACTCATAATCACTGTGATGATAGACATACAGGGGAAGAGAAGTTGATATACAATGCATAACGAGTTTTCAAGGAAAGAGGGAATTGAACTTCACAAGGACAGGAAGAAGATCGCCAAAGTATTGAACTCCGGGGTCGTCGACGGACGACCGCTGGTAACTAATGGATGCTCATTGTTCAATGCTAATGTTCACACACAAGCAGTAGCCAAAAAAGAGATCGATATCCCTAACCTAGCTAGGCGAAATCTAACAGATAAAATAAAAATGCCTTGAGGATGGTAACCACGCCGCCCAGATATGTTTCCCTTTTTTAAATGACCTTATACCTTGGTACGCAACGATGGGAATCAGTCATAGTCCGAAGCCATAAATTCATTAAGTCGCGCGATACAGACAAAGAACACAAACACCTATACGTCGGTGACATTTCCTAACATCTCTTTCTCTTTCCTGCGCTTTGAGCGCTTCCTACTGACCCATTCACAACGGATGTACTGCGACTGCTGACCTTCTGCTTTGCATTCCTTCCTTTGCGTCGCATCTTGTGAGGTGGTTCTTCATCATCGACGCCGTCCGAAAGGTCTGAACCATTATCGACATAAGTTTGATCATCTGCCCGATCGCCATTATCACTCTTCTCTCTAAAGAGCGGCACCCGCGGTGGTACGGTGATACCGACGCCTTCGACGGGTAACAGCTGCGTATCGCCATTGTAGGCTGCATCCGCCACAGCTTGGAATAAGGAGAATAGATCGTCATCAGGATCTCCCGTAGCATAGACCGAGTCGAAATTTTCGTGCTGAGGGAAATTCGGCTTGTTGTAGGCTGCGACGTACTTGTTGACCAGGGCATTCCCTAGGCAAGAAAACTCCTCCAAAGCAGGCCTGTATTCCACAGGTAGTACATCCTCTGCATTCTGGAAGTCCCCCTCGATAAATAGATGACGACGACCCAATCCACCATCAAGACGGTGGGGAAAAATGGAGTTGAATAACTGACGTTGTGGTCCACATTCTGTGAGGTGCATCTCGCTGTATGTTGTCGGTATTGTTGAGAACAATGCATGCAACCCAACCCAGAAAAGGGATTCAACGTGGTGTAGGTAATTGTGCAAAAAGATCGGGCGCCGAGGAGTCTTTCCGCGCACTTTCACATTTTGTACAGCGAGGAAGAAATACCCTGTCTCTTGCACCTCTACGGCCATGTAGACCGGAGTGCCCTATTAACAGCTGTAAATCCAAAGCCCGAAAGGTAGAGAAATACACGCATACTGTTTTCGGATCGTTTTGTGGGCCATCAGATAAAAACTTCTTGGCGTACTCGAGGTCAGATATCTTCGCCGTTCCATCATTACACAGAATAATATTGCCGGCGGAAATGTCTCGATGAACGTAATGGCCCATAGACATGTATTGAAGGCCTGCAAGGACTCTCTGTCAATGACAATGATTGAGAACAGTACTAGTACGTCACCTTTCAATGCGTTTGCGAGAGCTGTGAACAAGACATCATGCTGCCGCACTTCACTAAGAGGCATTCCGACATCTGCAAACACTACTCGAACATGCTTCCTGCCTTTATAAAGACGGTTTAGTGCCGGGGTATCCTTTCGGTTGGCATAACTTCCTCCCGTGGGCGCACTGACGGTTGTTCCGGATAGGATTCGGCCGCCCTTCGCCGTTTTGTTTATGTGAAGAGTGACCTCTTTATTCTTCTCCAAAGGGGCACGCACGAAGACCGGCATATCGTCGCTGTACTTTTGAAAGGTCTGAATCACCTCGCACTGCAAAATCTCCATAAAATGCTTTCGGTACTCTTTGTCGATCTCTGGGCAGTTCTCCTCGATACTACGAAATATCTCTTGTTGGATTTCGAGTTCCGTTTTAGCGTCAGAAGGTATCCAAACATCTTTGAGTGCACATTCTCGATGGTCTGGGTCATTGAGCTGGCGGACCCTCCAGACTCGGGTAGCGCGAGAGAGAAGACCACTTGCGCGGAAAGAGCTGAGACATTCAATGGTCCGGTATGTGTTCTCGCCTACACGATAATCATATTGGATGGTGTGTGCTGAGGGATTTTCATCGAGGGGATAGGCGATACGGGTAACAGATAGATCGTAGCCAAGTTCTTCTTCAGTCGCAAAGGACAAGGAAAGCACATAACGGATCAGATGCGTATAGTCCTAGATACCGTCAGTCACAGTCTTTATGACAGCGCATTTAGATGCACCTTGATGAAGTTGAATGGTTCAGAGGTGAGGACAATAGCTCGCGAGAAGAACCAGAACCGAGCGCTCGTGTTCTCAATCGTAGTTCCAAACATAAAACGGCGAGTAGGTTTAGCGTACATAGCTTGAGATGCGTTCCCAACCAATTTTGCGATATTCTATTCAAAAAGGTAAGTGAAGGACACAGATTTAAAAGTGACGAAGTTTTACGTCATTCCGGTCGTCAACTTGGTCGTCGCGCTTATATTCTTCTAGCGCCGGCCGGTCGCAGGCAAGTTTATCCTATCATTCGTAGGCAATGTGAGCGTGTCCGAGAAAAGTAGCAAGAACAGCACTCACAATATCAGAGTCAGTAGTCGCGACCACGACCGTACGGGATGTCGCGTTTTGGAAGTACTTCGGACGTCTGGATTGAAGAACTCTGTAGTGCCCATCTGAGATGAATGAACCATTGCGCCCTTCTGAAATAGCCGGCTCATGAGGTTTGCATTCCATGACCGTTGTAGGTTGCCGATCTCCAGGAAGCACTTGCAGAGCTGCTTTGACGATAGCTGCCGCAATAGTCGCCATATACTTGAAAGTTTCGTTTTCTGTATTTCCACTGTCCTTGGGGTCGTTAGGAAAGTCCGCCCATCGTAGTCCCGACTCGTCTTCAAAGGCCTTCAGTACGCCATTGACTTCAAGAACTTGAACGATCTCTTCAACATGATCTTGATAGGCAGCATGGGGAAGAACAAATTGTTTGTAGTATTCCAGAGAAACCTCCGGAACGTGTCCAAGGTCTTCGACTACATCGGCTCTATGTTCCTCCATGGTGCCACTCGCATGCGATCGATTCTCAGTGTGACGACGGTGGCGGGGCGTTTCGCGTACGTTTTTCAAAAGTTTGTTGGTAACCGCGCGTGCTGTGTTCGTCGGTTGTCCGGTCTCCGCGGGATTAGACTTGACACTTGCAGAAGGCGAAGGTGAGCGCGGTGGCTCAGAAGCGTGGCTGTCCATAGCAGAGAATGAGCAAAAGAGATACAGAAAGGCTTCAAATACATACAGTCTTTATAGCTGCGGTCAGAATACTCAAATTCACCGTGCAGTCATTGTCTTCCGCGGGAGAATGAGGTGATAAGTTTGACTTTGCGTCCGCACGTGATCGAGGTTCGGCCTATTGCGGGAAATATTTCCAGATTTGGCTTTTGACTTATCCTTTGTACTTGACAGGCGAAAAGTGGGGCCCGAAAAGTGTGGTAAGTAGACCCAATATGGTTTTACGCGAAACGTGGATAAAGACTTTGCCTGACTTTCGTTGCTGCTCCCAACCCCACTGGCTCAGCCACCATGGCAGACCCGAACGACGACTCGGCCACCGATAAAAACCTCAGCATAAGACCTAGAATATTTCCTGAAGACCACAAATTTCAACAGAAGGCTTATCGAAAAAGGAACCCTATAAGGTTTCGAAGTGCCTTTAAGGCCCTTAGGAAAATGGTTTCAAAATCCTTTCTCTCGCGGAACAATGAAATTTTTGTTTTACGGCACTCAACTTATATAACAAAGGCGTAATCACTGGAGCTAAGCTGAACGTGAACCTCTTGATTAAGCAATGAGGAGAGTCCCGGGCTATCAAAACCGCACTAGCCTCTGCAGTGAGGACATGCTATCTATTTACTAGGCTGGAGCCTTCCGTCTACAATACAGGAACTATTGACGGTATTTGGAAGGAGGGAGAGAGAATTCGATGGGAACCTTACGAGCCCTCGGAGTTGCTCGCCAAAAATGACAGCACCCGTCGAAAGCAGAAGCAAAACCACCCTAATGACTCGACATCGTTAAGTATATGGGAAAATTGAGAGTCTAGGGATCTTCTAACTGGTCAACGTGGTCAGCCACTGCATAGCAGACTTGAGAATTGGACATGGCTCTCTCTGGAGTCCCAATTTCCCCCCTTTAGACGATACACCGACCAGGAGAGCTTCCAAGACATAGGAACCCGCAATAACCAAGTAACGAGAAGTGACATTGGATAAGAACCTACAAAACATGAAGGCAAGATAGAATGGTGTGTGACACTGCGTGGGAGGTGTCGAGGCAATGTAGACCTATGAACCCGGCGAATCCAATGGCAGCTGAATAAACGTCCTTCCCACCCGCTCGACTTATGAAAGAACCGTAGTTCAAGATAACCACTCTCATTTCCCGGAGTCAACATCACACTACTCTTCGAGACAACTCGAGAGATAAATTCCTCTCTTTCGCATTCCCTCCTGCACGCCGCTTCTTGTGAGGTGGTTCCTCGTCATGTCCACAGCCTGAACGGCCTGATCCATCATCAGCATAAATTCTATTGCCTGCCCGATCGCCGTTCTCTTCTCTAAAGACTAGTGCCCGCCATGGTACGATGATACCAATGTCTTCGGGTAACAGCTGCGTATCACCATTATATGCTGCATCAACCAAAGCTTGAAAAGCAACCATGTCAGGATCGTCCGTGGCATAGACCGAGTCGAAATTCTCGTGTTGAGGAAAGTTCGGTTTTTGCGGACTTGGTTGTACTTGTAGGCCAGGGCGCTCCGCAGGTAAATAAACTGCTCCAGGGCAGGCTTGTATTCCACAGATAAAATATCCTCCGCGTCCTGGAAATCCGCAGAGAAAAACAGGCGACGGCGAGCAGTTCCACCGTCCATACAGCGGGGAAAAATGGCGTTGAATAACTGGCCTTGCAGTCCACACTCCGCAAGCTGTGCCTCAGTATACGTCGCTGGTACAGTTGAAAATAGTTCGTGCAAACCGATCCAGAAAAGTGATTCCACGTCGTGTAGGTGATTGTGCAAAAGATCGAACGCACCGGAGGCTGAGGAGGTTCCCCGCGCACCGGCTTCGGCTCTTCGACAGTGAGGAAATATCTTCTATCTTGCGCCTCTACGGCCATGTAGACCGGAGTGCCCTATTCCACAGTTGTAAATTTAAAGCCCGAAAGTTAGAACAGTACACGAATACTGTTTTCGGATCGTCTTTTGGGCCAGATGGGAACTTCTTGGCGTATTCAAGGTCAGATATCTTCGCCATTCCATCACACAGAAGGATATTGCCGGCGGAAATATCCCGATGAACGTAATGGCCCATAAACATGTATTGAAGACCTGCAAGGATTCTCTGTCAATGACAGTGATTGACAACAACGCTAGTACGTTACCTTTCAGTGCGTTTGCGAGAGCCGTGAACAAGACATCATGCTGCCGCACTTTGCTAAGAGGCACTCCGACATCTTCAAACACTACTCGAACGTGTTTCCTGCTTTTGTAAAGACGTTCCAATTCCGAAGTAGCCTTTAGTTTAACGTAGCACCCACCCGTAGGCACACCGGCAGATCTTTTCTTTCTTTGGAGGGTCACCTGTTTGCTCCAAAGGCGCACGTACAATGACCGGCATATCGTCGTCGTGGTTCTGAGAGGTCTGCACCACACCGCACTGCAAAACATCCATAAAATGCTTTCGATATTCTCTGTCAATGTCTAGACAGTTCTCCTCGATACTACGAAATATCTCTTGTTGGATTTCGAGTTCCGTTTTAGCGTCAGAAGGTATCCACACATCTTTGAGTGCACATTCTCAGTAGTCTGGGTCATTGAGCTGGCGGACCCTCCAAACTCTGGTCGCACTAGACAGAAGGCCACTTGCGCGGAACGAGGTGAGACATTCAATGGTCCGGTATGTGTTCTCGCCTACACGATAATCATATTGGATGATGTGTGCTGAGGGATTTTCGTCAAGGGGATAAGCGATACGGGTAACGGATAGATCATAGCCAGGTTCTTCTTCAGTCGCAAAGGACAAGGAAAGCACATGCTGGAACAAATGGTTGCAGTCCTAGAAATTTTATTAGCAACAACATCCACGATCACGCACAGACAGTAACCTTGACGAAGTTGAATGATTCAGATACAAGGACGATGGCTCGGGAGAAGAACCAGAAACGAGCCGTCGCATTTTCAATAGTCGTTCCAAACATGAAGCGACGAGTAGGGTCATCATACATAGCTTGAGACACGTTCCCAACCAATTTTGCGACATTCTATTCGACCAAGGCAGATGAGGGACAGAGATTCAAAAAGTGGTTGAGTCTTACATCATTTTGGTCGTCATTGTGGTCGCCACGCTTGTATTCTTCTAGCGCTGGCCGATCGCAGGCAAGACTGCTATATCATACACAGGCCACTATGAGGTGAGCGTGCCCGAGAAAAAATACAAAGATATTACTCACGGTGTCCAAGTCAGTAGACGCGTCCACAACCGTACTAGACCTCGCGTTTGGAATGTACTTGGGACATCTGGATCGGAGAAGTCTATAGTGTCCATCGGAGGCGAATGAATCATTGTGCCCTTCTAAAATAGCTGGTTCGTCGGGTTTGCACTCCATAACCGTTGTAGGTTGCCGATCTCCAGGAAGCACCTGCTGAGCCGCTTTGACGATAGCTGCTGCAATAGTCGCCATATACTTGAATGTTTCGTTTTCTGCAATGCCGCTATGCTTGGGGTCATTAGGGAAATCCGCCCATCGTGTTCGGGATTCGCCTTCGAATACCTTCAGTACCCCATCGTCCTCGAGAACATGAATGATCTCTTCAACATGGTCTCGATAGGCAACATGTGGAAGAATAGATCGCTTGTAATACTCCAAAGAAACCTCGGGGACCTGACCAAGGTCTCTGAGTGCGTCGGCTCTACGCGTCTCCATGGTGCCACTATATTTCAGTATGGTAGAGGTTGTCGAAGTGTTTCGTTTATATTTTGCAGAAGTTTGTTGGAAGTTTTGCGTCAAATATTTATCGGTTGCCTGACTTCTGCAACGATACTGAGGCTTGCCACTTGCAGAAGGCGGAGGTGAGCGGAGTGGCTCAGAAAAGTTGCTATCTATAGTAGAAACTGAAGATGAGAAAGAGGGACGCGGAGAGCATCAAATACTGACAGTCTTTTGCGACCAAAATGCGCGAATGTAGCATGCACTGTGCAGTCATTATGTAAATTATTTTCTTCAGGACCGGACAACGATGGATTTTGCCCTACACATGATCGAGACTCGAAGTTTTTCCATTTTTGATCCATCGAAAGCGAGCTGATTTATCTTACTCGATGCTATTGCATGGTAAAGTCGAGTTCCCGAATCTTTGGAATGTCATTGGTCTCTTTGTATAGCCGTGTCGTACCGTGACTAACCGTTGATGGCAGACTTGGAATTCGTCATAACTTGCTCTGGAGTCTCCGATAACATGCGAGTGAAGCATGCGAAGGAGCAGACGACACCGACTGGCGGAAACTTCCAAGATAGAGAAACCCACTATAACCAAGTAAATGAGAAGTGACATTGGAAAGCAGCCTAGAAAGCATGAAAGCGGGATAGAGTGGAGTGTGTCGAATACTGTGCGGAAGACGAAAGATCTCATGCAGTCCTAGGGACCCGATGAATCCAACGGTAGCTGAACAAACTTCCTTCCCACCCGCTCGACTTTATAAAAAAACCGTGGTTCAAGATAGCCACTCTCATTCCCCGGAGTCAGCACCACGCCATTCTTCGAAAGATAAAATTTGATTCCCGCTTCCATAGCCTTCGCAACGTCAATGTAGATGAGTATTCTTGAAGAATCCCTTATGCCTGGTATGATGTGAGTTTTGCCAGTCTCTTGTTCGGAAATGTCCCCACCGCTGACAACGCCGTCCGTATCGAAACCTTGGGCGAGGTGGATGTGGGTGCGCGTCATGCGTGAGATACCATGGACGGCTGTTCATCTGGTTCAATAGAAAGGAGGGTAACATGTCGTGCAGGACACACCTATTGTTTTCCAGGCCTTCTCCGTCGTGCCATGTATGGCCATGGGGATATTCGCAGCTGACAGTATAGGCTCCAAGTCAAGCTTTACCGTCTATTTCATTTGAATACTGTCAGGAAACATCTGTTGGCACAGGTGTACACACACCGATATTGAGTGGCCCTGCGTCGCGCAAATCCACCAATGCTCCACCGACATTGAACTCGGAGTCACTTTGTCCACCGTTGGGTCAAGCATAAGATGATATCTCCCCTTCGCATCCTCTTTGACGACCTGCTCTAGGGTCATAAAATCGACACTTTTAAGCATTGGATGTTTCAACTGGAGGCGACATTCATGAGGCATGATTCGCATGTATTCCCATACAACTTACGAGGTCCGTAACTCGCACATACCCATCTGAACGCATAGGCATTCCTTCCTGGACGGCACCGTGTCGGAGGAGGTAGGACATTGTCTTGGATATTTGCACACGAGTGATATCAGGGCCATGACCTTTCTCTTCGCCTTGGTAACCTTTCCGAGGGCGCCTTTTGGGTGTCGCATGAATGGGAGCAGTAGTAGTAAGTTGTCGGTATAAAATATGGGCTGAGCATGGCCCTGGTAGTCGTTGCATGAGTAAGGCCTCTTAGTCAGCACAACTCAGCGCGACTTGGGTGCATCCGGGGTCCTTACAAAAAAAGACTACTGCCAGGAATTGACGTTGACCTTGCTAGCCTCGCGTTATTCACTCTAAAATTACAGGTTTACAAAGGGATAATGTCAATAGTCCAGATGGCAGAAGGTTGATATTATGGAACGGTTATATTACACGTTTTACCTCGAAGAATGACTAAAAGGAATAAGTACGACTGTAAAGCAGAGGAATGAAGTAGCTCACCTTGAGATAGTATACCTGCCATGCTACAACTGAGAATAGGACAATAGCTTGTAGCACGGACCACCATTTTACGCGAGAATTGGTAGATTCTGCGGTGTTTCTATGTGTGCGTTCTCGTACAACAATGTACTCTTGTTCATCCTTCACAGAGGCGAGCCCACTGGCTAACAGACGAATTTCCCGTTCAATAGGCGCGACGACATCTGGGCAAAAGTCAGGAAGATGACAAGTTGGTAAAAGGTAACGAACCATCATCTCCAACATAGATGACACCGTGAACGTTGAAGCTAGACGATAGGTATGTTGAAAATTGTATGCCGAAAGATGGCAGAGTACACGCACCTGACAAGCTTGTCGGCAATGGCACTCATTTGATTTGAGAAACAGTATTCGTGTCGTCCATCTTTTTCTGCAGTTATCGAAAGTGAGCCAGTGGATTGCTTCACTTGTTTTCCGAGGACGCCTCCACCAGGGCCCGTTAGCTGTGCAAACGAATGAGAAATGTCAATGTACGAGGACAATTTTCGCACCCAAAAGTCAATATCCAAGTGTCCTCCATCACCAACTTGGTAGGTAACCGTCATCTGGTCCATGGTTAGAGGGAACTTGAATCAGTTATACGCAACACACCTTGTCTTGTTTATGCAAGTCCTCAAAGAAACACTCCTTCTTGCCCGCAACGACATCAATCATATGGGCCTGAACAGCAGTGATGGCGAGAAACAGGGCCAGCCAGAGGCATTGGGTATACGTTGGACGAGACATGGTGGTAGTAGATGAAGCAAGGAGTCGTGGCAACAAATGGGCGGTATCAGGGGTCTTCCCTTTTGGGGTACCTTGCTGTTTTGGTCCTTTTGCTCGTGCATTCATCTTGTGCCGGTCCATCCTCGTTAAATCGCATTTCTATCATGGCAAGCACTGAACAGGAGAGCGTCTTTACAAAAGCACGTATCCTTTTTATCCTCTCTGATCAACGAGGATCCCCTTTATTTTCGCAATCCTGACTCTCTTTGCTTTCTGCAGGAAGAAGAGGCCGATGTCCACTTCGAGCCCGTTATCAAGCTTACTGAGCAAGTGGACACGAAAACCATGGAGGAAGACGAGGATGTGCTCTTCAAGATGTGAGTTGGGCTTGTACCACTCTGTCCTACAGCCCTACTGAACAGCGTCGGCCGGTTGCTTCCCAGGCGCGCAAAGCTCTTTAGATTCGACATTTCGTCGTCAGAGTGGAAGGAACGAGGCACTGGTGACGTTCGTTTATTGGCCCACAAGGAGACCAAGAAAGTCAGACTCGTGATGAGACGTGATAAGACCCTCAAGGTCTGCGCCAACCATGCCAGTCAGTCAATCCACCAGCTCATCCATAAAACTCGCCCTAACGCGTACTTTCCCAGTTACGTCTGATATGCGTCTCCAGCCGAACATCGGATCGGACCGATCTTGGGTTTGGAAGGTTGCTGCAGACTATGCAGAGAGCCCTCCGACCGCCGAGACGCTCGCTATCCGATTTGCTAACTCTGAGAGTACGTTTGATCAGCGATAGCTTTCTCTTGTCCATCTCATTGGTGCCCATAGATGCTGGCCAGTTCAAGGAAAAGTTTGAAGAGGCGCAGAAGACAAATGCTAACCTAGCTGCTGGTGCTGAAGCCGAGCCTGCCAAAGCTGAAGAGCCTGTGAGGGAAGAAGAGAAGGAAGAAGAAACAGCGGAAGAAAAGAAGGTAGAGACAGAGAAAGTAGAAGAGGAGGAGAAGGACGAAGAGAAGGAGGATTAGTCTTTGTATGTGCGATGTTGACGAAATGTATATCCCGTACGAACCTGTGATTTCTATTACTATGATCCATTAACGTTGTGTGCTGTCAAAGGTCATGCTGACTATATCATTAAATATTACACTAATGTCTACAATCCCTATACATGTACGCGATTACAATGACCCACTACGAGTTCCCCTTTGCCCTACGACCATACGCGGCTTCCTCTGCTGCCCAAGCTTTCAGAAAAGCCACAGCGGCGCCTTCACTTCTCTGCCAATACAAGGCACTGGTCTTCCCCTTTACAACATCTTCCGTTATCAGAACATGACGAACGTCCTGATTTCGTTTTGTCAGTTAATCAACTTGTCCAACACAAGCTACCTACCGATCCCCTGTGAAGACCATCGTTCAGATAGATTTTTAAGAGGATAGGGGAAAAGGCTTACGGAACTTCGTACATCGGATCAAGCAACAAGCTCTCCTGAAGAACTGGTCAGAATCAAGCTGAATAGAGAACAATTCAACAAACCATGATCCCTCTCAATCCTCTTGCTCCGCCACTTTTGTCTGCCGCCTTCCGACATATCTCATCAATCGCAGCGCTTGTGAACCGTATATCGACACCGGAATAGCCGAACAGAGCCTGGTACTGTGACATCAAAGACCCTTTGACCTCCGTCAATATCCTCCGCAAATCAGGTATTGTGAGTGGCGCCAATGTCGTGATGGACGGTAGGCGGGAGATGAATTCCGGTATGAAGCTGTAAGAGAGCATCAGATTGGCACAAACAGGGTCAGGTGAATTCGTACCCATACTGGACTAGATCTGTGTGAAAATATATAGGAGGATATTTTAATCGTGCCATAGTTTCGTGGCTTACCAGGTGTCTCCACTAACTCCAAAATAGACGTATTCGCCTTTCGATTGGGAGTGAAAAAAGGAACAGCAGGACCGTCGTCTTCCGACGCGCTGAACCCTATTGACTGAGGAGTGTTTCAGACGGAGAATAATGAAAAATATGATGAGGGACGCGAACTAACAGCTTTCGATACCCGTTGTCTCACAATCTTGTCCAAGTTAACGAACGCGCCGCTCAATATGAACAGCACGTTCGAGGTATCAATGTGGTATATATCATTCTTCGCTGCTAGAAGGGCGTGAATGAAGGAATAACTGCTGTAAGATTCGACGCACGGGCGACAGAGGGACTCGGTGCGCCTTGTCCATTTCTTGATTGCGTGTCGGGAGGAGGGTGTGCCTCGCCGCCCTTGATTTGAACAGTGACCACGGAACCCTCCATCATACGGAGGAGTGCTTGTTGGACACCCTCTCCGGACACATCTCTTGAACCTTCCATACCTGACCCATTCCGCCGAGCAATCTTGTCAATCTCATCTATGTATACGATACCCATGCTGAATACATAAAGATCAAGTCCAAGATTACTGTTAGTGAAAGCAACAAACCTCGCTCGTACTGGGTCATAATTGGCATCTTGTAGCTGGTGTTGTTTTCTATTTAGGGAATGAGTTGTGAAGAAAATAAACGTACTAGTCTTTGTATTGCCATATCCACATCCTCGCCGACATCTATAATGCGTTAGAAGAGGGACTTGACGGATTTGATGCGCTTACATCCGGCCTTATGGCGAGACATGAGCAAATTCCAAGGATATGACCACATTCCATACCTGAGTGAACGATGTTGCGTCGCTGACCGAGAACGGCACATCGAGAACGTTGGCGAGTGTCCGAGCCAAAAGGGTTTTACCTTGTCGTGCCCTCAGTCTCAAAGAACAAGGAAGTTTCTGTAAAGACAATACCTGATCCTGTAGGTCCTCTAAGACAACGGTGAGGAATCGTTGCCAACAAGTCGGGCGGATGGGGCCTACATGACTAGCACATTACTCTTTTCAAACAATGGAAATGGTGTCTGGGACATGTAGGATGAAGCGTTTGTAATCGGTTTGCGTATAGGGCGCACATTAGTCGGGTACACAACTGAATAATGTAATAAAGCAAGAGTAGACGGTGAAGGTAACAGACTCGTACCATCATCAAACTGGTCTGTCATCCGTGCACCCCTTGGTTGGAAGAGGTTCCTGTTGGCACGGACACGGTTGTAATGGTTGAATATCCTGTTCCCTATTCAACAAAAGACGCAGCCATCTGAAAAAGCATACTACTGACGCAACCGAAAGAACCTTCTTAGCGTTCTCCTGCCCGATGACGAATTGATTCAGGTATTCGACTAGCTACTAGCAGATCAGGCCGCAGTAATGGTGCAAGAGAGCACTTTGAGCACCTGGCGGGGCGTAGCGGAACCGAAGCTAGGGATCGTCTTTACAGGTTGGTCGTCATTGTGCTCCGATGGATGTTCGTGCGCTGGTTGAGTGTGAATACCACGCAGGGAAGGTCGTGGAGGTCGCCGTGGTCGATGAGCGACGCTGGCGATGACCCGAGACGATGTTCGTCCGAGCATAGCAGATGGTTAAAGGCGTTGCGTCCACGTCGTGGAGGAAGGAGTAATCGGTAGAGCCGGGCCGATTCGGCCGAGCTATTTCTATGCATCGGCTGAATCGGGATTATCTTTGTCTCACAAGACCATACCCAACTAAACTTGCAAAACTTGGCTATTTCTTTTGGAACACAAGAGCTTGTTTCCTAGACCAGTCAGTTCATTAGCAGAATCACTAATGCACTAAAAGGCATACGACGATATTTTAACCTCTTAAGGCCACATCTGGGATCGCGGTGGCAGCGGACAAGCTTTTGTTTCTAAAGTGATCTACGAAATCTTCCTCTTACTGACAGTCATCGAGCTTGCGTAAATGAACGTACGTACCTTACAATTCCCGTGGTGCTCCGCCCTCGAGCGTTCTTTGAGCGCACCTTTTCCAGGACTTCCGCACTCAGTGTAGAAGTTCAGGCATCCATCAATCTCCGAAAGGCCCCTTCTATTGCTGGAATTTACTGTCAAACATACGGAGCCAGACAGACCATTCGGCCTTCATTGCTTGGCATGTCAGTATCCCGAGAGAAGCTTATTGGCTTATAGATATCGCACAGCCGGTGCATAATTTTGCGGTATGGAAGGATCTTTATGCAGAAAATGATCGCCCTTTGCATGGCAGTTCCTGCTAGTGTACTGCCTTTGTTGTTTGTCCTGGAAATTGACGGATCAATATTCAATACCTACAACTTCGCGTCCTCGGAGTCTTGGACGGTGTAGGAAGTTTTCAGAGTGCGCCTGAAATTTGGCTGTTTGATCACCTGCACGTTGCACGCGTGTAGAAATTCTCGTACCCTTTTATCTACCTTGCTCGAGTGTTCAGCTAAGTATACAGCTCCCGGATAAAATGGATTTTAATTATCCAGGTCCGTATCAGCTTCATATGGTTCCGGGTAGGGCGCGTCAAGTCCTCTTGGTACCTTCTTTATTTTCCCTTGAATTTCTGATGAGACAAAAAGAAAGCATATGGTTATTTTGTTGGTGAGAACACAACCCAGTACGTAAACAGTCAGACTACTCGAAAAACCACGAAGAAAATATTATGTCCTATTGGCACCATTTATATGTGCCTAATGAATTAATCAAACCTTGCAATATCCTGCGCTGTCGGTAATGTAGTCGATGGACCCGTCAGGCTGCGTCTGACCACCGAAATTATCGGCATCCTCAACACCGTGGCACTTGGTGAAAAGTGAGCACGTCAAGAGCGGGCTTCCGTTCTGTGGGGGCGATCAGGATCTGATAGTACTAGCATTGCATCAAATGTACCTTTCCGTTAACATCGTAGTAGGCTGTATTAAGCAAGTCAGGGAAAAAGAGATATACGGAAAAAGCAAGATTTACGATTAATGAAGTTGCATCCATCAACGCTGTTGCACATGTCTTTGCAGCCTAAACGGATCAGTGTGAGAAACGGTCAAGGAAAACGGGTTGTGAATTGGCATACCTTCGACGGTGTCAACCAGTCCGTAGGTCAAGTAGTCGTCGGCTTGGACAGCCCCGGTGTAGTTGTAGAACACCTGTTTGTAGCCATCGTTGGCAGGGGGGTTGTGGGGAGGATTGGGGCAAAGGAAACCAAGGTGCAGCAAGTCCAAGAGCCAGCAGATAAGCTATATAGACATATGTTAGAGTTTGTCCTTGGAAGCGTGCTTGTAAAACCTACGCTATCCTTCAACCAAGGCACGGAGATCTGCAGGTAGTCGGGGTGGTCGCCGTAGTACCATCCTGGCGAACAGCCTGACTTCCAGGGTGGGATTGGAGCACCATAGTTGTTGCCTTTGTTCAGACTGACACTGAGGTCTGATGAAACCTGAGCCGCTGTAGCGTTCAACGCCGCACTACGGACAGTGAGGGCGGTCGCAACGGTTACGAAGAGAGTAGAGAAGAAGCGCATTGTAGTAGATGAAGACCTTGGATGAAGCTCAAGATGCTGGGTGAAAAGTATCAATCCCCCTCCAATTTATAGAGACGCGTTCAGGTCCTGAGCAAGCGCATTTCTAAGGGTATATTATTATGCCGACATAGCCAGTACCTGAGCGTGGATCGTGGGGATCATGTCTGCCTTCCAGCGTAAGCAATTGCATGTAAGAACAGTCAGTTCCTTGATGGTCATAAGCGTTGGGAGTGCCTGAGCCGGTGAGTTCGAACTCAAACTCAGGCTCGAACATGTCATCCCGCAGAGACCGTGAAGTAAGCACGGCCAACAAGACCGACGCGGTGATAGAAGCACAAAAAGCTTTCATGGGAAGAAAACACCAGCACCTTTCCTCTGCGGAGCACAAAGAGGATAACTGTGATGGATCGCGTACCCACAAACGTGATCGAGAATCGAGGGCAAAGCGGCCATAAGTAGTTCAAGTTTAGCACCGGAACCTGGATCAAAATCTGTCAGCTTTTGACGCGTCCAGTAATACGCTTATACTCCGAATCATACGGCAAGTTCCATCATGATCCACTCAAAAGTCGAGGTCGCTCAGTAAACGGTCTAGTACAACGTCCGAGAGAAGACGCTAAATAGGCAGTGCGGTAATAATTTGCTAAAAAGCCATTCAAATGCAGAGGAAAACACGTCGGCAAGAAACTGGAGTCGTAAGATTTGGTCTCCGAGACTACTCCGAGACGTGAATGAACGGTCAGTGTGGCGGTGATGATAATTTTCACAACATACCCGCACTTGACTTCCGTTCCTCAGTGGTTTTGTCTCTCCGTGATGTCATCACCTAACTGCCAATCGAAAGATGTGCAGGCACCCGTCGGATGGCGTTGACAACTTGAACGGTCCCGCATGTTGGTCACGACTTTGTTGAGTAATTTCTAGGCCTCAGAATCGATGAGAAAGCATAGCCCAGGCAGTTTCGAATTTCATGTAAGTACTTGTGCGATAGAACTGAGCCGAGGATTCTACTCGAGCCATGTCCGGAGTGTTCTAAGAAGCTATTTTCACATCGAAAAAGACCGTCAATGAAGGACAAATATCGGCGCTTTGGAGACCATCGATTATCGATGAACCGTGAGGACTAGTACCTTGAGTGGATTCGTCCCTGTGCGCTAAGAGAAGGATGTCTTTGCCCGGTAGAGCTGTAAGTTGAAATTTTGCTTGATGGCTCCGCACTGAAGACAAATGGGAGCTCGGTTGGTGAAGATTACATGATATGGAATGCGTGCGGTATAATCCAATCGAGTGAAGTGTGTTGAAGGGCAAGTACTTGAGAGAGCGTGTGCCAATGTGAAGGCCGAAAGGACGGCGATAGGGGGCTTCAAGTCCCAAATGGATTGAACAGGCAACACAGCCACTATCCCGCGGTCTGCTCTTCATACACGACCGCCGAGAATCAACAATGGGAAGACATTCCTCCGCGCGCTCGCTCTCTCCCATTCGAAGGTACGATGAACGTGATAGGGAAACAGAGCGTTCTAATCGTGACAGAAAATCTGCGAGAACAGACGATCACGACGAACGAGATGAACGTCATAAACGTCGTCGCAGCCGGAGCCGGAGTAGAGAGAGGGACGATTCGTATCGGCGTCGGGATAGAGATGACAGCAGGGAGCGCAGAAAAAAGTAAGCCCCACCCATATCTTTGCCTTCTCTACTTACGTTCTGCAGGCGTAAACGGGACAAGTCAGAGGAGCGTAAGGCCAGGAAGGCCGAGAAGAAGCGCATCAAAGAGGAGGAGGAAGCTCGTCAAGTCGCTGAGCTCAGCGTTTACAGTGCAACCGATAACCCTTTCCACGACGTCAACTTAGGGCAACAGTTCCGATGGCATAAGAAGAACGAAAGGGATAAAAAGGCGGGCTTGACGTACGCCGAGTCACAGCGCCGTGATGCCATCCGCCGTCAGGAAGCCAAAGAAGAGCTGGAACGTCTGAACAGGAGAAGAGCTGAACGTGAGGCTGACCAGCGTCTCAGGGAGGAAGAGGAACTTCGTATGCAACGTCTTCAAGAATCTGCTCAGATGTCGGAATGGTTGTCGAAGGAGGGTGATTTCAGGCTGGAGCAGGAGAGAAAGCGGGCTACCATCAGGGTTCAAGAGAAGCGTGCCAAGGCCATCGACTTTCTCGCTCTGAACTTGAAGTATGTCAATCCACCTGCTGAAGAGGACGACGGTGGCGAAGAGGATGCTGGTTTGGAGATTGACTTGGATGAACCATATAATATTTTTGATGTAAGTAATGCATATATTGACTTAGCGTTGCCCTTACCTTTATCTAGAACCTTACCAATGAACAAGTGGAGGAGTTGCATGATGACATCGAACGATACTTGACGTTAGAGCAAGTCCCCGTTAACATTGAGTTCTGGACTGTGAGTATTCACATTTTCCGTTCCCAGACTGTATGTTGATGTGCACTTGAATTTAGAACATGATGGTTGTCTGTAAGGATCAGTTAGAAAGGATCAAAGCCAACGACCGAATGGGTATCGAGGCTGCCGCCGCTGTTGAGACTGACATCACCGCATTGCTGTCCGGAAAATCTTATGACGAACTCAGTTCTCTCCAACGGCAAATTCAAGACAAGTTAACGAGCGGCGAAACAGTCGACAACGATTACTGGGAAAATTTGCTGCGTAGGCTTCTCGTTTGGAAGGCAAAGGTGGAGTGTGTTTGTAGTACTTATTATTCGCTATTACTAAATTATATATAGGCAAAGCTGAAAAGTTTCCATGAAGTGGTCGTTCGTAACCGTCTTGAACAGCTTCGCAAGCGCCAGCGTGATGAAGCTCTTCAAGCTCAAGAAGAACTTCTTGCTGGCGTAGCGAAATCAGCTTCTTCTAAACCTTGGATCCCTAAAGATGTCGAAGCAGATGTCCCGGTTTCTGACGATGATGTCCGTGATATAGAGGAATATGACCGGGCAATGAGTCCACCATTGATTGACATCACAAAACTGTCAGTTGAAGACCGACAAATTGATATCCTAACAGAGCAAGAAGATCGTCGAGTTCTGGTAAGTCAATACGCCGTCAATGCTACCGCTTGAGTATGCTCACTGTGTCGTGTAGTTTGAACAGCGCAGGGCTGTTGCAGCTTCGAGATTCGTTGCCAAAGCCGTCCAGCAGAGGGTCGAAACTCAGGATGAGGAAGCACCCAGCGGTGCTGATCTCGCTTCGGAAGCGTTGTACAGGGCGGAGGCAGAGCGGGAGCTCGATGAAGAGGAAGAGTTGTTTAATCTTGAAGAGAACATTACCAATCCGACCAGCTATAACTGGGAAGACAAGTATCGCCCGCGCAAACCCAGGTATTTCAATCGGGTCCATACCGGCTACGAGTGGAACAAGTACAATCAGACTCACTATGAGTACGTGGACTTTTGCGTAGTTGTCTGATATACTGACACTCGTAATAGCACGGATAATCCACCTCCAAAAGTTGTCCAAGGCTACAAGGTATGCTGCCGTCCTGTCTTTCTTAGCTTGCATGAACATTGTCCCTTTAGTTCAACATCTTCTATCCTGACCTCATTGACAAATCGAAAGCGCCGACGTATAAGATTGTCAAGGAACCTGGAAATGAAGATACAGTTTTGCTGCATTTCACTGCCGGTCCGCCATACGAAGACATTGCTTTCAGAATCGTTAACAGGGAATGGGAATTTTCCCACAAACGGTAAGCCAATATCGCCGGGCGTGCTTTGTATTCAGCACTAACAACCTTACAGTGGTTTCCGAAGTAGCTTTGACCGGGGCTGTCTATCATTGTGGTTCAACTACAGGCGCAATGTAAGGATACAATGTTATTCTGACTTCCGTCGAAGCTTACTATGTTGCTTGATAGTTCTACCGCAAGTAGTACGAAGGGTATATAGCAATCTTTGTATAACATGTCTGCGGTTATTTAATAGTGGCCTCTTCATTCTACCGTCGCGCCGGGGTCGTCGCCCGAACCTTACAGAAATCTAAGGAATTTCGGCCACGTGATAGCGATCTATCATCGGTGGCTGTGATGTCAATGTAAGCTACCTCGGCGACACTCCCTCATATAGCTGTCTTTCTCATCTCCGCCACATTCATCTGAACGAATCTTTCAATTGTACAACGATACAGCATCCTACATCATGGATAATTCTAATCTGGCAGCCAAGATGGATGTCGATGAGGCTGCCATCGACGAAGGCCTGTACTCGCGTCAGCTGTATGCATCTCTCATTTCTGCTGTTTTGGACGTTGAACTGAGCGCTATCTAGATATGTGCTAGGCCACGAAGGTGAATTTAACCCAATTTGAGGTAATTTGTGCTAAACGATCTCCAGCAATGAAGAAGATGGCGGCATCAAACGTCCTCATCGTCGGCGTCCGGGGTCTAGGTGTCGAGATAGGTCGCGTTTTCCTCTGATCTGACCCTTTTCTTGAGATTGAGTCCATTTTCAGCCAAGGATGTCGTCCTAGCTGGTGTGAAATCTGTCACTATCTATGACCCAGAGCCCGTAACCATACAGGATTTGAGCTCCCAAGTATGTTCACGCTTTTCACGCCTTTTTCCATGCTGACAGTCATTCAAGTTCTTCTTGAGACAAGAAGATATTGGCAAGTCCCGCGCAGAAGCAACAGCTCCTCGATTGGCTGAGCTGAATGCGTATGTCCCCGTGCGAAACTTGGGTGGAAAGGCGGGTCAGGCAATCACTACAGACCTCATCCAGGGCTTCCAGGTGCGCTAGTCAGCTTTATATCCTTTGTAAATTCTCAAATCTGTCAGGTCGTCGTCTTATGTGGAGTCCCACTCGCCAAACAGCTTGAAATCAACGATTGGACACACAAGAACGGCATCTCCTTCATATCTGCTGAAATACGCGGGCTGTTCGGGTGCGTCACTATCTCTCTGGAATTTTTCCGTCCTTACTCTACATAGTTCTGTATTCAACGACTTTGGAAACAAGTTTACGTGCGTAGATCCTACAGGCGAACAACCGCTGAGCGGTATGATCGTGTCTGTCGACCAGGTGCGTAATTAGTCATCGGCTAAGTAAAAGGCAGACATTGATTGGGCTATAGGATAGTGAAGGTCTTGTCACCTGCTTGGATGAGACTCGGCATGGCCTTGAGGATGGCGACTTTGTTACGTTCACCGAAGTCCAAGGAATGACGGAACTTAACGGCTGTGAACCCCGTAAAATTTCTGTGAAGGGACCATACACGTTCACTATCGGTGATACCTCCAATCTTGGACCTTACAAGACCGGCGGTATCTTCACTCAAGTCAAGATGCCCAAAATCATCGTATTTGTTCGTGCCTTCATCGTCTACTTCTCGTGATATCAACTCATCGATGCCGTTTAGAAATCCCTTCGGGAGTCCCTGCAGTCGCCGGAATTCTTCATGACGGATTTTGCCAAGTTTGATAGACCAGCGACTCTCCACGCTGGATTCCAAGCTCTATCTGAATTCCTAAACACCCATCAACGACTCCCTCGTCCTAGGAATCCTGCCGATGCTCAAGAGGTCCTTAGTCTTGCTAAGAAACTCAATCCAGACATCGACGAGAAGGTTATAACCGAGCTGTCTTATCAAGCTACTGGCGACTTGTCACCCATGGTAGCAGTCATCGGTGGCTTTGTGGCCCAGGAAGTACTCAAGGCATGTTCGGCCAAGTTCCATCCCATGGTTCAACACCTGTACTTCGATTCTCTTGAGTCCCTGCCTTCCGTGATTCCTTCTGAGGAGGATTGCCAACCTATTGGGTCACGATACGATGGTCAAATCGCTGTTTTCGGGAAGACCTTCCAACACAAAATTTCCAACCATCGTCAATTCCTTGTAGGGTCTGGTGCTATTGGCTGTGAAATGCTGAAGAACTGGAGTATGATGGGGTTGGCCACCGGTCCCGAGGGTGCTATTCGAGTGACTGACCTCGATACCATTGAGAAGAGCAACTTGAATCGACAGTTCTTGTTCAGGCCGAAAGACATCGGCAAATTCAAGGCTGAAGTGGCAGCGGCTGCGGTTGCTGATATGAACCCTGATTTGAAGGGTGTAATCGTCACCAGCCAAGAGGCCGTAGGCCCAGCGTCGGAAAGTCAGACCTCCCTTTTTACCTCATTTACAGTAAAAGGATGCTCATTGATCTGTAGATATTTATGGTGACGAGTTCTTCAGCTCTATCGATGGTGTCACCAATGCACTCGATAATGTGAAAGCTCGTCAGTCAGATCTCTATTGTCTAATGCTTGGCTGATGTTATTTTCAAGGGTTGTACATGGATCAGCGATGTGTGTTCTATGAGAAGCCGTTGCTTGAATCCGGTACTCTGGGAACGAAGGGAAACACCCAAGTTGTCATTCCTCATCTGACTGAGTCCTACGCGTCTTCTCAGGACCCACCGGAGAAGGAAACGCCCTCTTGTACAGTCAAGAACTTCCCGAACGCCATACAGCACACCATTGAGGTACGCGTAATCACCGATGCGCTTCTTTTGATGCTAACAGTAGCACAGTGGAGTCGACAACAATTTGACGTCCTCTTTGTCAAGCCTGCGCAGGCTGTCAATGCTTACCTCTCCGAGCCCAACTATCTTGAAAGCACGCTCAAATACTCCGGGCAGCATAAGGAGCAAATTGAACAGCTGGTCTCTTATCTTGTTACTGACAAACCCCTAACGTTTGAGGAGTGCATCGTCTGGGCAAGACTCCAGTTCGAAGAGAAATATAACAATGACATCCGGCAATTGTTGTTCAGCTTGCCCAAAGATGCAACTACCAGCACCGGCCAACCGTTTTGGAGCGGCCCCAAGCGTGCTCCTGATCCGCTCACCTTCAACTCTAGTGACGTGAGTACGACTCAGCATTTTAACGGACGTTACTTAATGTTGTACAGCCGCTTCATCTTCAATTTATCATAGCCGCCGCCAACCTTCACGCCTTCAATTATGGGTTGCGCGGAGAGACCGACGAGGCCGTCTATCGTAAAGTCGCTGACTCTGTAATTGTACCGGAATTCACACCACGTAGTGGCGTGAAGGTTCAGATCAATGACAATGATCCCGTTCCACAAAGTGGCGGTGAAGATGACGGAGGTGAGTCTATCTATTTGCTCTTGCTCGATAGAAGCTCATCAATACTGCCTTCAGACGATGGCGACTTCATAACCAAGCTCCCTGCACCATCTTCTCTTGCTGGATACCGATTGAATCCTGTTGAATTCGAGAAGGATGATGACACCAACCACCACATCGATTTTATCACTGCTGCGTCGAATTTGCGTGCGACGAATTACAGCATAAGCCCAGCCGATCGCCACACAACCAAACAAATTGCTGGTAAGATCATACCAGCCATTGCGACAACCACGGCTCTCGTCACGGGCCTGGTGTGTCTCGAGTTGTATAAGGTACGTTCTTATAATAGCGTGTTGTCCCTTTCCTTATCAGTGTTCGGAAGATTATCGATGGGAAGAATAAATTAGAAGATTACAAGAACGGCTTCGTTAACCTTGCGTTGCCATTCTTCGGTTTCTCGGAACCAATTGCTGCGGCGAAGAACAAGTACGGCTCTACAGAATGGACGCTTTGGGACAGGTTCGAATTCAAGAATGATCCTACACTGCAAGAGATCGTGGCGTGGTTCAACGAGACGCATAAACTCGACGTCGGTATGGTCAGTCAAGGCGTGAGCATGTTGTGGAGCTCTTTCATGTTGAAGCCGAAGGTTTGTCTTTTGATTGCATCCAGTTCACCTGCATTGACTTGGATATGTACGAACAGCAAAGCAAGGAGCGGCTTGAAATGAAATTCAGCAAGCTCGTGGAAACTGTCAGCAAAAAGCCGATCCCTCATCATGTCAAACATTTGCTTGTAGAAGTGCTTGTCATGGATGAAGAAGGGGAAGATGTCGAGGTATGTTTGCTTTGCTAAGATGACTGCAGTGTAGCTCATCCACTGTAACAGGTACCGTTCATCGTTGTTCGTATCTAAGTTTACGTCGTGAAGAAAGAAACGTGTAATAGTTTGTTGTAATACTGAAGCCTTCTGTCGAGCTACGTAGAATAATTTTATGTTGACCATCTACTCGATATGAGTGATGTCCAACCTCAAGAACAAGGAATAACGCAGCGTACGCCCCTTATCGAGACTTTCTCGCCTTTCGATGGGCCGCGGCATCGCGGAGATGCTATAAAGGACGTCAGTAGTATTAGGAGACCATCGTGTCTTAGGCAAAGCGTTTGCATTTCGTACCTGTGCTAAGGCTTGAGAGTCACCGAATGATTCGTTGCACTTCTCACAGAGCTTATGTCGCAAAGCCCGACAATGATCGCGAAAGCCCAATGAAGAGAATAGACGATCGGTCCCGCACGCATTACACTGAATCTCAAAATCTTCATCCGAAGAACTATCAGTGGACGTGTCAGCATCGTCGGCATGCACCGCTGCATTCGCTAAGTGCTTCATGGGTATCAGCAAATGAAAGAAAAATATATAAACAAGAAAAAATACTTACTTGGTCGAGAGCATCTTTGTCAATGAATGCTCTCTTACAATCAGCACAAAATCCATGGCCTTTTCGACGACAGTGATCGCGGAACAGCTTAAGGGATGAAAACTCGGCATCGCATACGTCGCATTCGTAGGACTCGTTGCCGTAACCAGAATCATCGCGATGTACCTTGGCGTTCTGGACATGCTAATTATTCATTGAGTAAGTGAATCGATTTTCTATTGCAAATGTTCCACGTACTTGTAACCGTGCTTCTTCGTCAACGAAGGATCTGGTACACTTGCCACAGTATGCATGGCCCTTTCGGCAACAGTGGCTACGAAAGTTCTGAATGGTGTACTCTTGGGTTCCGCAGACATCGCATTCGTATAATGGTTGGCCGCCCTCCGAACTTTCGTCGTTGTCTGAATTAGAAACGTAGCGACCGCTCGAAGGACGCTTTAGTACGTTAACGTTGTCAGGGTACGGTGGGATGGAAGATCATATCAATCACTTACCCGTTGGTTCATTTGCATGGAAACAATTTGAACAGGATCGATCACTGCGACTTGTCGGCCTGTGCTGTCCACTACCCTTAGTACTTGTCCTGGGAGATTAGGCATAGCGCAATCGCCCAAATCAGCTTCCTCTACGTCCCTGGATTGAATAGGTAGGTCCTTCGTAGCACCTCTACCTTGAACTATTGTACTACGTAGAATCAGAATATCTTTCATCCGCCGATGCTGGATGCAATCAGCCTAACTTACATTAAACCCATCATAGCAGCCAAAATTCCAAAGACAGTTACATGAATCGGATTACTTCGATAAGCACCGAGGACAGCAACAGCTGAAAAGCAGAAAAGCAAAAATTGCAACAGATATTGCGTTCGATAATGTCGATAGATCTGATTGAGACTCCAGGAGGCGGTAGACATCTCGACGGTGGACTATGGACGAGAGAACTCAGGGGGCTTTAAATGCATCAAGACGATACTGTGAAGCTACTCTAGGTCTTCCTTATCGAAGGTCACATGGAGACATTAGCTTCTGAAGAACTCGATGGAACCAGAATAACCACGTCCCGGATGGTATACGATCCCGGAGCTGGGGGCTGGCAAAGTGCATGACAGCAGGAGTAGCCTACTAGTAGGACAAGCCGTTGGAGTTGCTGTCATCTGACATTCAGAAACCAAAGTTCAACATGGCTCGGCAATTTGCGGGAATATCTAGTTTTCCTTTTCCACTGCGGATTTTCATCGTGAGAGTACTTGAAGATTATATACTTACAGTTATTTACCGGTCATTGCAACACCATGGTTCAATGAAACATTTAGCCTCTTGCTCTCCCTCTGTTCATCCTTCATCGTCAACTTGTATTACATTGCTAATGTGTATTGTATCTTCATGTTCTGCAGTGATTCTTTATATGTGATGCGAATAATATTCCGAGAAATTGAGGCTTCTGTTCTAAAAATATCTATTTTCTCACGAACTCAAAATCTGTCCCAGCAACGTGTGTCCTCCATCTCATTGTAATCACCCACAAAGGCCTCAACAATGTTGATGACCTTCTGAAGAACCTGTATGACAAGTTTGAGACCAGACAGCCATTATCTGAGGAGTCTAGGGCATAAATAAAAGTGCAGTTCTGTCAAGCCATTGCCTTTGATGGACAGTCTGACAGTCCAATGTGCCTATTATTTCCCCGTTGCCTCCGAATTTTATTTTTCCTCTTGCTCAATTTTTTACTATGCCTGGACGTGCTAAATCAAACTCAAAAAAGTGCCAGATTGCTCGCAAATGCCATGACCAGCTAATGGAAAAGGCAGTCATTGCTTACAAGAACGAGCTTGCCAAATTACCCGGTGCTCCTCGGAAAGGTGCAAGAAAAATCTGCAAAGATTTCGAGGCTGTATATCAGAGGGAGACTGGAAAGGAGATCTCACTTTCTTATAGCACTCTTATCCGCCTAGCCAATGGTGGCAAAACGAAGGCACAATCAAACGCAATGAAGAGCCATCTTTTCCCTGCCGAGGCCAACAATATTGTTGATTTTGTTCTGGCTGTAGCCTCCGAAGGCTTCCCTCTCAGCCACCGACGTCTAAAGGAACACATCAATGAAGTATTACAAGCACGACTTGGTCCTGAATTTCCCGGTGTTGGAAAACAGTTCACACAACGCTTTGTAGAGAAGCATTCCGACCGCTTGAAGACGGCATGGTCAACGCCACTCGAAAATAAACGGGGCCGTGCCGTGAACCATACAAACAATGATGCATGGTTTGAATTGCTGGGAGAGGTGTTGAAAGGTGTTGACGAGGACTGCATATATGCAGTTGACGAGATTGGCATTCAGCCATCAGGCGGACAGAGAGAGAGGGTGATTGGTGGACAGAAAGGCGGACGTCAATATCAGCAGCGTGATGGTAGTCGCGAGAACACCACCGTTCTTGTAACTATTTGTGCTGATGGCACTTCGACCGCACCGGCTGTAATCTTCAAGGGACAGGCATACCAAGTCAAATGGCAGCAGGACAATCCCGCCAACGCATCGTGAGTACAAATGAATACATGTTCCTCCTACATATATTAATAGCATTGATAGTCTGGGCTACTCTAAAAAAGGCTGGACCGACAGAGAAATTGGCGTCGAATGGATCAAGGATTTTGATCGCCAAACGTCGAGGAAAGCAAATGGCCGTCGCCGCCTCTTACTAGTTGATGGACACAATAGTCATTACACCAGGGGGTTTCTGCAATATGCACGCACTCACAATATCCGTGTCCTTTGCTACCCATCTCACACGACGCACGTATACCAAGGGCTCGATGTGGTCATATTCAGTCCACTGAAGCTATACTGGAGTGACGAAAGGGATACCTGGGAAAGGGAGAGAGGGGAGAAGGTTGATAAGAGGAACTTTCTGACAGTTTACGGAAAAGCTCACCTCCGTGCTCTCACACCCGTGAATATCAAGGCGGCATTCAGAAAGACAGGCGTATGTCCATTCAACCCGAACATTCTTCCTGAAGAGTCCTTTGCTCCGAGCCGAACCACGTCTTGCGAAAGTCACCTCCCAGTTCCACCTGCCACACCGGTACGCACTGTTGCGAAGCTGCTGCAAAAATTAAGCATCAAGGAAAGCGTTGAAGAGGCTGAAGAACCCACTGGTGCCATCGATCATGATACAACTCAAGAATCTCTGCCGGCTTCCTTCGATGAGACATTGAAAGAGCTAAACGAAACGTCACTTGCATACCTCATCTCCAATGACATTCCACCCCCAAACTCGCCACTCGATCTCCGAGCTCGTTCTCTTATCGCAACGTCACACTGTCTTGATGGTGTTCATCCACAAACCGCGACAGAGCTAGAGCTCCTGGCTTCACTACGAGAGGTCCAGGCTGAAGCAGAGGCATTGCGACAGCGCCTGGTGTCCATGCAGGCAGCTAACGTGCTAAATGAGATGTACTGCAAAGTGCTGAGGACCCATCTGGCAAATTACGATAAGAAGAAGCAACAGGCGAAGAAATCTGGAATGCTAGTGGGGGATGGACTGCCACGGTTGTTGTCAAGTGACGTGTTCTATGAGCTTGTTTGCGACCATGAAGAGAGGCAGAGGGTGGCGGAGCAAGAGAAGCGAGCTCGTAAAGCTGCTAGGGAAGCTAGATCTGAAGCTCTAGAGGTCTGGAAAAAGCAGGATGAAAAGAGAAAGCAAGCAAACAAGACGAAAACAGCACTTTACCAGACAGCATTGAAGAGATGGCAGGAGCAGAAGGCAGAGGCAAGGTCCAGGGGGGAAAAGTTCACATTAAAGAGACCTGTGAGGGGCCCACTAGCTGGTCCTATACCCAAGCCAGCAGCTACGGCAGTGGAGGATGACAACGACGACGGAGAAGGGGGATCTGATAGCGATCAGAGCGACTCCGAGTAGCTGACCAATGATGCCTGGGTACGCGGGCCGGACCGTTTCAATGACTCAAAATGGTCCAGAATACCCACGCCACAATAATGCTGCGAAAACGGACTTGTACCTGCACCTTCGAGCATCCTTTCTTTACTGTATCTTGTTGTTGCATAGCATTACATATTTCTACATTCAAATATAGCCATAATTCCAAACCAATTGGAACTTACAGCGAATATTCAATTTTGCTGTTTCATTGACCGGTAAATAACTGTACATCATGTCTAAATGCATCAGAAGGCAGTACCGGCACGTAAATGACAGACATACCCTTCGGCACGCGTAAGTCGCCATACAACTCTAGTAGCTGTCACAATGATCTTTCAACGCTGCACGCAGAACGTGTCCTCCTCGCCTCGTCCACCTGCGATTGAGAATAAAACGGTGTGCTTTGTTTGCTATCAGGTACTAACAAAAAAATTGAGTTCCCGATAGAGCCCTTTAGATGTAGCTGTTAATTCTCCGGACGTGGCGTTGCCTTCACAACCCCAGCCAGGGCCAGATTTTCCGGTAAGTAATGTCGCCTCCTACACAAATACATGCTTTCTGAAATTCCAATCAGCGTCAAAGTGTAGAAAGCTGTGATTCAACAGATCAGGATGTTTTCTTATGTCCCGATCGTCTAAAACTTTACGCGAGGACAGCTCATCTATATGATAAAACGCGCTTCGAACTCTGGCACAGACGGTTGGACCTACAGCTTCTCTTTGTATGCTCAGTCTTTAGATAGACCTTGAATCTGTCTCACCATTCGATTTTACCTTACAGGCTGGGATATTCTCCGCAATTATTTTACCTTTGATTGCAGAGACCTATCCTTTCCTGTCCGAGCCTGGCCCACCCGCATATGCAATACGCATCAACGCTTTTCTTTCGATCTCTTTGGTAATCAGCGTAATGACTGCAGTGTTCTCTTTGCACTGCAAGCAGTGGATGGACGGATATGATGTAAGTGAAAATCCATACCTTTTACCCGCTCTACCAACCAGAGGTAACATCCTTTATAGGTCGACCTTCTTCCTCGCTCCGAAGCCTCCGATGACATTAAAACTTTGGCTCACGCTTGCAGAATACATCAGTATGTGAGTATTTTGTACAACCAATAATATTCCGCAAAATCTTACTGTCATGATTATTCAGCGCTTTCAAGCCCTTGCACGGTATCATTTTCCGTCCATTGTCGGTTTGGGAGCTATGTTCATCTATATCTCCATTGCCTTTTTTTCTGTGGCTTTGGTCGACTTTTTCTGGCATCTGTACAGTCCCATTGGGATCATGCTTGCTGGCCTCATCGGGATGACGATCTCGTTGCATATCCTCACGAGTCTCCAGCCCTGCATCTCATCGGACTCACCTTTCAAGTCACCATTATCCTATCTCCTGGTGAACCTTTGGCTCGGGGCCCTCGATGGCCAACTGGCAACGAACGGGAGATCCGAGCGTCGGGAAAACATGGACGTGGAAGGCATGAAGCATCGTTTGGATGATGCGATAGCTCGCTGGTCGACTTCTGACGCTCTAAAGCGTCCCATGGGATATCCGTAAATGCTTTCTTTTGGTACAAATGGCCGAGGTAGCTCCGAGCCGAAGTTTACAATCTAATATGTACATCTATTGGCTATTGGTAAAGGATGTCATTTTTGACGGCATCCAAGGTGGAGTACAGCGGATAGACCACGAAAGGTTCACTATATTCATTTGTGATGAATGTCTTGTATACATAATGTATGTGCTGATAACGATATGGATCTGTTCTATAAGTGTCAACGATTAAATAAAACTTACTGTAGGCCTCTACCAATAAAATTAATCCTCGATGTGATGGTATAGAATAACCGAAAGCAGAACAAAGCAATAAATCAATCCTTAAGCGAGTGTCAATCATCCCAACTTAACACGAGTGCACCGATATCCGGTATCGTGAAGGTGCTGGGCTCACCCTGACTGGAGTCAGGCGACTGTCAAAATACTCAATCAGCTGTCATTTATAGATAGTCAGAAACACCAACCTCCGGTCCTATTGTGTCACTTCCAACCTGCAGTCCATCTACACCCACCCCTGAGGTATCCGGGGCATGCCGTCCCTTCCTCCCTCTACTCGTTGTAGCAGTAGCTCCGTAGTCCTTGATCAGCCGTACGTTGAGTATGGGAGTTCGCCTGTACTCGTCCATCCTTTCAATTGAAGATGTGCGACGACCGGAAGGAGATGATGTACGTGAGCCACTATGGCTCTGGCTATGAGAATAATTCCGTGACGAAGACATTGTCAGGGCAGGTATCCTGTAGTGGGAGTTGGAACGCGACAATGAGGATTGTGGCAAAGGTTGATTGTGAAGGTTGAAAGGGATTTGAGAGTTTACGTTTACCATTTTACTACACAGTCATAAGTATAGTATCTCTGCATACAAACAGAGACTTACCCCTCCTTTGAACGTACAATGGTTCCAAGCCTATCCTGCAATTTTTGGTGATCTATAACGATGACGCTGGGAATTGTTGGTCTGCAAGACGCCGTCAAAAACGAAGGATAAAAGCATTCAAGTTTGTGCTCACGATAAGGGGTCGGTAGACGGAAGTATGAGACGGGCTTCTTCGTCGTTGGGTACGATCTGGGTACGTATTAGCCTCAGCCTTTGACAACGAGGTTGATGATTGTAGTAAACATACATGACCTTTCGAGCGTTTCCGCCAGCAACAGGAGAAAATCGCAGTGAAGAAAGCAGCCATCGCATAAACAGGCGACCGTAAAGGAGCAAAGACAAGAAACGAAAGAAGGAAAATTGCCGTGACGTGACAAATGAAATCTTCTCTTGTTCGCATTTCCTGTTATGGCATTCACCGCTTTCTAATTGGTAATTGCCAGTTCAATATCCAAACTCTTAATTTCTAATGACGATAAGTTGGCGATAAGAGTCCAAGACGCATTGGTAATATTCGGGATGCTATAACATTCAAGTATCGCACAGGTGGCTATCCATTAACATAAGTCACTCGATTCCTATAGGGAATACGAATACACCTGTAGAATCGTACTGGTCTTTCATCGCGACAAGCTTCGGGTAGTGAGATTTGTAGTAGAGGTGCTGCCCTGCATTCTAGAACATCAGGAGCAGGAATCATATGGGTCTAATCCACGCACAATCTTTAAGACGGTCATCAGGATAATTGACATATGCTCCATAATCCCACCCAGGATGCATGGCGGTCGTGATGTTACTGACGAGGTCTATGTAGAGGTCAATCAGGAGTGACCATATGGGCAGTCGCGTATTACGAGAGGCTTACAATCCAAGAAAGTGAAGCCATCATCAGGATAAGGTGGCGTATTGTTGAAAGTGGCTGCATAGAATTGTATCGTAAACAGTGCACTTCGTGTCGCGAATGACGTTGAATCGACGGGGACCGCATTGATGGCTGAGTTTCCGCCCCCATATAACTCGGCTTGCATGAACCAACTCTAATAATACATCAAACAATATAGTACAACTAGAATAAACCTTACTGTATCAGAAGCATACCCGGCGTATGCTAAATATTTCATGAAGGCTTCAGATGCTTCGTAAGTCATCGGGTCGTCCTGTGGAGTCATCAATGATTTGGCATAGAATGTGTTGGTTCCGTCAGGGCCTGCGGTATGCGTGTCAAGAACACCACCACCCAGATCCTCTAGCGCACTGATCCACGTTCCATTACCCGTATATCTTATATTAGACGGAGGCGGCATGACTGCTAGGAATGGCGCCAACGTGCTATTCAGCGCTGCCTCAGATTCGCCAAAGAACCCGCCAGTGATCGCAAAAGTGACATTTCCCGCCTCACCACCTTTTGTAAGAACGACTTCCGCACCAAGTTCAGCTGGGATGTCAGTCATAGCATATTCCTGAAACTTGATGAGGGAGGCTGCGGCACCCTCATACTTCATTTGCCAATTATAACTAAAGATGAGCGCGTACGAAGGTGCTGGTGACGTGAACATTTTCATAGAAGTGATGATACCAAATGAGCTCGCGGCGCCTCGCAAAGCCTTGAATCATTGCATATCAGTGGAGTAACGTACCATACTTAAGTCCGTCACATACCCAGAAAAGGTCTGGATTGACATCATTTGATGCAGAGGTGATAGTTCCGTTGGCCAAAACAACTGTCATCGACACAATCGTGTCCATTATCAGACCCCACATGCGGGACGCAAATCCGAAGCCACCTCCAGCTATCCAAGGGCGTCAAACGTTAATTATTCATACACTAATGGAAACGAACCAGCATGTCCACCAATTCCAACATATGGACAACTTCCATGAGGAAGACCTCTTCCTACATCGTTCAAAGCGAGTGCTACGTCTCCCAGCCTTACACCAGATTCGATTGCGGCGATTCCTGTATGCTCATCGTAATGCAAGGCTGTCAAATTGCTCATATCGATGACGAGGGCGCCATTTTCGCCTCCAAGCCCATTGGCAATGTAACTATGCTGGAAAAGCGGTCGGCGATCAGATTGATAGCCATAGTTGTGATTACAACAAAAAGTACCCCGCCACCCCTGGCCACAACTCGAAGTCTTTCAGAATATCCAAGACGGACTACAGTTGAAACCTCGTGAACTGTCGAGGGATATACCACAGCAGCAGGAGAGAAATCGTATCTCAGGTTGACTTACGAAATGAGCAGTTAGCGTAAGGATAGAAGAGAAGAACCGTGCGAATATAGATGCTTACATGGTTTGCTTGCTATCTCGTATGCAGAACTCCCAGGAAAGACGGCAGTGATACCAGCATCATTCAAGTCATGTTCCAACTTGGAAGCGCTCTGACAGAGGACCAAGGTAGCAAAGAAAGCGAGAATCAAGCTAGCAGCATAGGCCATGGAGGTTTATATAGGCCGCTGTTGCAGGTAAGTTTTACCCGGGCGCTCCTACCACTTGTTTAAATAGAGAAAGCTCATCCCATGTGCTTGGTCCAGGTGACAAGGTGTACAGATATCGTAGCTTCTCTTCTTCTAGAGCCAGAAGACTTAATCCACGGAACATCGTCAGCATGTGTTCGCTGTCAAGAGATTCAACAAAACCGGCAAGGGGGACCGTGAGTTAGTGCCTGGTGCATAGCCACTTCCAGGAACAATGCTCTCCGATCGAGGAGATTGGTTGAAGAAAATAGATACGAAAGCTGACGTGGACCAGTACTAAGTACGGTTACGCACGGAAGTAAGGGGGTTTATCACATCGTTACTTATATGCGAAATGTTAAGATATGTTACTTCACAGTGCCACTTTCTCAAGGCGTTTAAAGTGAAGGTGTGTCGAAGTGTCCGCTTCATAGATTTTGGACCATACCTCGGCCCATCGCTACTTGTAGCTTCGAGTCCACCCAACGTCCCTGATTTCGGTTTCTTCGTAGAACGTTAAAATCAGTCGTCGCACAATTTGTTATATGGGGAGATGGTAGCAACATGCTACTGTACCCCGTAAACACATTGGCATAACTACTTACTTACCTACGTACGTACGGTATGTACGGTGAGATAAAGACGGAAGAAGGAATGTAGGGGGGGAAGTATCCTACGACGATGCGGCAGATAGAAGGGAAATGGTAACAGATGAAGCTTCGGGAGGGAAAGGAGAATAGATGTTTTATGGGTTTTATGCGAGAGACCATCGGTCGTATGCGTAAAAATGTCTTGCATCCGGAGACAAAAAGACACCACGTATGTAACAAGAGGGAAAACGTACATCGAGAAAAGCATATGATGCGACGTGGAAGCGTGGATTAGGTAGATGTGAACGTTACAAAGAGGGGGAAGAGTAAAATATGTCATGGCAAGGAGAAGAAACGCAGTAAGAGCAAAAAACCGCGACAGTAAGTACTACACCATAAAAAAGTCTCGTGTAGTCCCCTGCAACGAGGAATGGCATGCTACCCAACCTCTCCGGATATCCAGAAAAGATGTGGGTGGTGGATGAAGGGCCGATTGTGTGATGCGGAAAATATATATGCGAACCGGGGCCAGTTGACGATGATGTGGAAGAATGAAGAATGAAGACCGCTATGAAACAGACAAGGAAGCAGGACCGAGAGGACCATAGAGCCGGTTATTCACAATAATAATAGGTACAAGCCCATTAGGCTGAAAGAGAGAGTGAAAATAGTCCACCAACTGCAGTAGTGTCATCGGTGGTTCAAGTCGAGCGTAATGTATAAACAGTGACGGAGTGCTGACAGGAATATGCGGTCTAAGGGGGAATCGAGCATTCTGTGGTTTGTTCCAGAGAAATCGAGAAAACGAAGGCGATGTGCTCAAGTCCTGAGCCAAGCAGATTGGTAGCTGGCGCTGTGAATGAGGAGTAAACGTAGGAGGAGGATACGCCTTGGCCGTGAATACCCCATTGTCCATCCAACTCAGGAGGAGATGGAGCTTCGTTTGCAGTCATGCGGATGTCGCTGCAGCGATATTGGAACTGTGACTGAGAGTATGAGCGCAGATGATTACGACTATCTGTAGTCTCTTGGTAAGGTTGCGAATGCGAACGAGAATGCGAAACTGGAATGGGAAGAACAAGCTGCGGATGACTATAAACAGGAAGCGCAGGATGGCGAAGAGGGTGCCATGTCGTAGGCATAGGCCAGAGACATCGGAGCGTGCTGTACATAGGTACCGGCCGTGGGCCAATGATGACCCTGGTATCCTACTTCATGGGGGTACGCGGGTACCAGATGGTAGGAAACTGCATTCAACGGAGGCGGTTGCACTGCGATGTACTGCGCACTACCGCGGTTCCTGTCCCTCAAAATGGGCTCATCTCCTGCAGGACTCCACTTGGCAGGCGGAGGCAATCCTTTGACGGGTTGCGCATTATGCCTATCCCAACCGGATGAAACGTGAGAATCGTTCTCCCTGGAGCCACTGCTGTAGGTAGAGCTAGCACCACTAACCCGTCGTTTGGGTATATATTCCTCACGGAGAGGACCACCCTCATCGATGTCGAACTCGGCGAGCTCGAGTGCCATGGCTTGCTCCCTCTCTAGCTTTTCTCTCCGACGTTCCTCCAAGCCAATGAACACAGGCTGAGGACGAGAGGGATCAAAATTACAGACAGCCGGTGCCTTGATGACCTCATCGATAGCCTTACGAATAATGGAGTGTGGATTGGCCGATGGACGGGAAATGGGCTGAGGATGAGACGACGACAATGACAAATGGTACGACATCACATGCGAAAGCCACTGCGACCAATGTTCATTGGTAATCGACAAGTCGTAGCCGAAAATGTCCAAGGCAAGGGACTCGAGATGATTCAGCGCATGGATGGGAACATTGGAAATTGTATGCCTTGACAAATGAATGAGCATGACAACTCGGATGAGTAAAAAAGCAAGCTTACCAAGTCTTGTTCGAAAATGTGTGATCATCAAGCCACTTGTTGGCGAGCATGCACCCCAAAACCGCAAGACGGAAGGGCGCACTAGCTTCCATCATCTCTTGATTGTGCCCGTGATCTGTGCCGAGAAGAGCCGCTCTAAAACGAAGTTCTTTGACGTCTTCATCGCTGATAGTAATCGTCCCAAAGGAGACTGGAAGTCGAACAATATACCAGAGAGCAAGGAAAATGGCGGAAGGCTGCAGAAGGGTGGACAACAGTAAAGAATGAATAAGGGAAGCAAGGTATTCAGGAGGGTCCCTTGGATACTGCCTCGAAAACGTGGGTCTAGGCATAGAAGTGAGTAAATAAGACGAAAATAGGAACAGGAAACGTACGGTGTGCCGCGGAAAGGGAAGGCACCCTCAGTAGAACAAGTCTTCCAGACATAATTTGCAATCCACTCGGATAGTGGCTCGGCCAACTTTTTGTACCCAACAGATGCAGATGGAGTTACCACCTCGGGAGCTAGGACTGGCTCTTTGGGTTCTTCGACGATGGATGGCTGCGGCTGATAATAATCATAGTCGCACTTGTTGATGCCGTAGGGCATGTCGTCAGTGGAAATGGCAGGAACACCATATTCAACATCGTAACCATCGGCTGCGACAGCGCGGTCAACGAAGTCGGCAAATGGGGTGGCGGGCCCAATAGGACTTGAGCCGCTGTTATCTCCGGGAGATGTTTCCTCGAAGATGGGTGAAAATGCGCCTCTCTCGTACGAAGCCGCTGGAGCCGGGTGGACAGACATCTTGATATCGTCACGCTGTGGCTGATGCTCTTCAGGGGAACCATCACCCCATTGACCGCCAGAACGAGGCTGGCTGACGGTAGAGCCTTCTGAGCTCATTTCGTCGTCGGCGTCACCGTCGAGTGGAGAAGAGTGTAGGTCGGGTGACTGAAGAAAATTGAACAGGGGCGGAATGCACGCTTCAGCGTGCGCTCCTTTAATAACAGACGCGTTGGCCGCGACAGCTAACCCTTGAGAAAAATCCTGCTCTAAACGACGGGCTACAAGACGAGAGTCCTCCTCCCAGATCCTGCGAGGCTTTGTCCTCCTCCACGATGGCAGCGAGTTGATCCACTGCTCGCGGGTGCCAAAGGAGGGAGGTGGGCCCGTGGGGGCCACGGGGAGAGAGCAAGTCAGACTAAAAAAGGGATTTGAATGGCCGTCGTCGATGTGATGTTTCTTGATAACGGGATGCGCAGGCTGTTTTGAGTGAACTGGAACTGGAACTGGCATCTGCAGTTGAAACGGACCAAAGATATCGAGCACTACGGACACAACGGAGTCAGCAGCGACGTCGATATTCGGATCCAAGGTCGCTCTTTCGAATGAAGGAGCGAGAGAGTCGAGCGAGCGAGAAAAAAGGGGGTCGTAAGGTGTGTCGTGAAAAAGAGAAGAGAAGAGAAAAAAGTCGGGGTCGAGAGCTGTCGAAGGTCGAATCGATGGCAGACGCACAGCAAAGGCGTGCCTTTTGGATGGTCCGAGCTAGCTGCTGGGCTGCTTGGCTGCTACTGGGCTGCTGGAGAAAAAACGCAGTGGTGGCGTCCTTGGCTGCTGCCGGGCAAGTCTACCCCTGCAATTTTTTCAGCAAGGCAAGAAGCACAGAGTACCCTCTTCAGTCTCGGCTGACGATGGTATATGGAATAGAGAGACCTGGCAACAGAATCGACGGGATGAGGTCGACGTCGCACACGGTGGAGGGATGGTCACTTTTTAGGCTGACTGCCACGCCTTATATATCTGCTTAAGTAATAGACTATGACTCGGTTGCTCCGTCCGACATGCGAACGCATCCAGTACGGCATGAGACAGACCGAGACGGGTGTAATTCAATTTATTAGTACTGTCGATACAGTCACTGCCCTTTCCCCCCCCAACTGCGCTGCTGTCTGCCCTTGGCCTAGGTAGTCCTAGCTTCGCCACTGGGTACCTGACAAACCCTCCTGTTATCCTATTCTGAAAAAATTTCCTGATCGATCGCAAAACAGTACCCCGTGTGTTAACCCGGAGCACTATGTATTACCGGATTTCTTCATCAGTACCCCACTAGTACCCAGTGTTCCATGTATCTGATTCGCCAGCGGCTCTCGAGTCATAATCTATGTACCTATCCGTTGGCCGAGACATTCCATATACGCCTCTAGCGCGCAGCTCACGGTATGATGAGGCCGGCTTATATGGGAATAGAGATAGCCTACGTGTCGACGAGCGACCATCCAACACGTGTTGGTACAACGAGCCATGCGGGATCCCGATGGTTCGAGCCAAATGAAACACGCCCAGACGACCGAGAATACCAATCAGGCCGCCAATATGTGTCATGCGTGAGTTATATAGAAACGTTCCGGACGGCAGAAACAGAAACGTCGCACCGCTCGGAGTTCGATATCAAGATCGACAGGGAAGAAACAAACGATACTTGGTAACACACACAAAAGGTTTCCAGCACGTACTCCGGAGATACCCACATTCGCAGCCGATAGTACACGCTATCGTGCGGCATGTCCCAGCCTACGTGAGATTTATGGACGCAAGTGGGAATACTAGTATACTTTCAGACCAGGAGATGATCAAGATTCACTAGAGATTCGAACTTTGCCAAGATAAACATATTGTTGGTAGGGCGGAGCAGAAGTAGGGTTAGGAGGGGTAAGCGCCCATTAAATCAGAGAGAAGCCAACCCCCGTTGAGATGGGGAGGATACGAGTTCGGCCCTTTGCATCATGACGTAGTTGTTTGGCTGACATCTCTATTCCAAGCAATCCCTTTAGGCCTCCTGATTACCATTTGCTAGTACGACGACTATACCATTTCCACTTCATGCAAGTCAATTAGACGCGTCAAAATGTCGTTTATTGGACCAAACCCAGATGGAAATGGGGTGAACAACGCGAATCAGGATTCCATTACTCTCGGCCAGTTGAGGACCATGGTTAATTCTATACCTAAACCGAAAGTACGTGCCCATCTTCTCCTTCGTCAATGAAACGCTAAAAGATGATCTAGCAATGGTGGTACGACTACAACTATGATGATGAAGACTCAGTTATGAACGAGATCGATGAGCTATATTCGTATGTCGAGATGCCCCAGGTAGCGGAGAATTTGAGGGCGTGGCACGGATCTTTCGATGGAGGTGGGTAAAATGCATCTCTGAAAATATTCACACGTAACATACCCCAAGAATGGACCAAGACCCCACCTCCCCAGCGCAAAGCTCACGTCGAACTGCTCCTCGAAGGACTCGAACACCGAGATGCCGTGATTCGGTTCACAAACGCGCGCCGGCTTTTCTACATCGTCCAAGGTTCGGCTTTTTTCTTGATGATTGTCGACTCGACATGATCGGTTCGTAGGGACGTTTGCGGAGACAGTATCACCAGAACATCAGCTTCATTGGATCTTTGAAAACTGCAAAATTGTCCGAGCAGCGAACGGTGTTAGCGCGATCGTGGAAGCCATGAAGATTGCAAGTTCAAAACATGATTTGCTATGGCAAGCAACTACAATCTTTCCATCTAGGATGTCCACTCACGCTTATTGTGCTCGTCGTTAAACAGTAGTCTCTCGGACACCGATATTGCGCATTTGCGTGTTTCACCCGAGGAGAAGTCTAATCTCCTGGAAGAAGTATTGACAGAGCTTTCTGTCTATGTCGGGATGTTGTACCATTTGATTGAGATATTCAAGGGACATGACGAGTTCGCAGACGAATTGAGTACGTGGGTCATGCTTTGAAATCTCCTCTCCGTACTAATAGATCATTGAAGTGAGTCTGGACCCGCCCCTTCCCGTCTACGTGTTTAGTGTCGTCTCAGGTCTACGTGATAAAAGTGCTAAGGGATATCCTGTGAAAAAGGTAGCAAGGTTTTTTCAGAGAAGACCTCACTCTCAACCATTCTTTAGCTGTTATTGCTCCTTTGGAAAACTTTATTAGCTTGCTTTGGTGGATACCGCGATTATGCTAGGGTCAAAAAACTTGCGAGAGAACTGGGAGGACTGTCGAATAGTCCCGAGGCTCCTGAAGGTAGCTCGCTTTGCCTTTGCCTTTACGCTCTCTGACACGGAAATAGGTGCCACAATCATCAAATCGTCACCTTTCGACATTGAAGCATTCCGTCAAGAAACCTTTGTGAAATACCCCACCTTCACTCCTCCCCCACCTCCACCTATCGAGTCTCCCATTCCCAAATTAGCCAGTCCAAATTTCACATCCAAGTTGGCACAAGCATTCTCCCCCATTCCTGTACGCCATCACTATCACAACGACGAGTCCGAGAATCAGCCAAACCTTCCTTCGCACAATAACATGATGTTCCATCAGCAGCATAATAACGGCTATCGACCTATCCCTCAACCAGCGACTCCTGCTCCTTCGCCACCACCCCCCGTCGGTCCAAAGCCGAAGAAGCAGCAGTACCAAACAGACCAGAACCGGCCTTTCTTGTTTCCCTTCTCGAAAACTCAGAGTAAAGATGCTAGACTCGTGCCGTTCGCCATCGATGAAGCCGATAAATTGTATTCTAGGCACATGTACGTCAGTCTGTCATTGACTCAAATGTGGCGAACCAGGGAGGATTGTATGACCTTTGAGAGCGGGTTAGATCATATGCCAGGGTCAGAGGGTGAATTCGAGCCGTCAACCTTCACAGCAAAGGTGGGCCCTTTCGTCTTCATTTCAGTACCACGGAACCTTAAACTTGGTATAGGAATCGGAATCGGCTGAGCCATTGCCTGACGTCGCCCTTCTAGATGCCAAAATCGCTGAGGCGACCGAGGCCGTGGAACGTGCGGAGACCCCCGCGGAGAAGCGAAAGGCGAAAGAACGACGGGAAGATTTGATGCGCCTGAAACGCGTCGAGCAGATCTACGTAAGCCTGTCCTTGAGCATTTAGGCGTTAATTGACACATGCCTTAGAGTGCTGGTCTACCTGTTCTATCCGGATGGGTTCTGGTTTGTCTCAAGCTGCTGTTAGCTACGGTTACAGCAGGCACGAACATGCCACTTCCGCAAGCAGCTACGATGTTCCCTGGTGTTGCTTCGCGTAAGTTGATACTTCGGATGGCGCTTCCTTGACTGAAAGACGCATAGCACAGGAGCCCCCTATCCCTCCTCCTACGCCAACCCTAGATGAACTTGATGTCACTCGACACCGAGAAATTACATCCAAGGCCGTGTCCGCCATTCTGCTCATGGTTTTGAAATGGTTCAAGGTGTCACGTAAGTCTACACAAAGTTTAGTGTTGAATGCCTGACGATGATCTCCTCCTTTAGACGTCATGAAGTTTCATCACTTAGGGCAGCTATTACTGGACACAAATTGCTTGTTACTGCTTCTGAAAATGTTCGGGTTGCAAGAAGTCTCTACGTCTCTTGTAGTGCGTAATGATTCTCCCGAAAACAAGTCAGTCATGACTGTTCCCGTATCATTGATATTGGCATTAATGGCCTTCTCTAGCTTCTTCCGATATTGTTATCTCCATTTCTCAAAAAATCCTCAGCCGATACGGCCGGAAGACTCTATGCTGAAACCACCAAGACATACAATTACGAAGACGCGTACACTGCCCAACGGAGATGTTTTGGAGGAAGAGGTCGAGATGGTTACTGATTTCTCGTGGAGGAACTTCTTTTCGACCATCAATTTTGCGAAGATTATGCAGAAGCTGTCAAAACACCGATCGCATAGAATTTGGATGTTAATCCAATACAAAAGCTCTGTGAGTGGCCCAGAAGCACAGGCTAGTGATGAACTAATAATGCTGTCAATCAGGCGGTATTGAAGCGGATACTGAGGGTTCAACATCCAATGTTACAACTCCACTTGCTTAAGTTGCTCAAAAGTCAGGTTCCATTCTGTGGTCGAAAATGGAGACAAAGTACGAGTGTTCCGTTATGGCTTTCTTATTTAATTCTCTCATTACATTTCTCAGGCAACATGAAACTCATCACAGCCATATATTTGAATTGCAGGCCGGACCTTCGTGATGAATGGTTAACGGGTTCAGAAACTGACGATGCCGCCGATGCCTCTGTAGGTTGTCCGATCTATGAACATCCTATTCTGACTGTTTTCTTCGTCAGGCTCAGGAGACGGCTTTGCGACACCTCGTCAAATTCTGTAAGTCAGAGTTCCCCGTCTTACTCTGTGCTTCCTAAACGAAGTCACCTAGACAACACCAAGCGATACGGTACCAACGCGACCGCAAACCAATTCAGCCCGTTACACCGCCGTTCGGGGAGCATGTCGCATCACATAGAAGGTCTCCATCCCGGTCCGGAGCTATCTAATATTATCCGGCCCAATGGAACGCCTAACATTGTGGATGCGGATGTGTTCCCTCCGGCTCGTTCTCAAGCTCCTGATCCCTCGATATTCCTCCCTTACACGGCCGAGGATATCAACTTTGAGGATGAGTACGAGGAGTATATATCCGACCTCGGATGGTCCGATGAACAGGGCGGTCCGTTATTGGAGGGAACCTCCGCCTGGCATCGGTTCCCGGTGGATTTCGCTGCTGACATTGCCGATGGTATAAGCGATAGCGAGAGTATTGTCTCTATTGGTGATCTAGGTGATGACGCTCGGCTGAACCGGGACGAACCTCAGGGTCATGATGAGAATAGGAATGACTGGGAGGTTCGTATGCTCCATTTTTTCTGTTTGATTCCCGCACATTTATCTCCCTCTAGCACATGAGTCCCAAGACAATGGCCGCTCTACCCAAATCTCCTGCTGGCGGAAGACGTTCGAGCTCTGGGAGCGGTCTACGTCCCGTCATACCCTTTGGCTTGGACAGTGATAGCCCTATTGATTTGGAAGATGAAGATGAGGATCTCCCCGAAGTAGGACACGCTCCTCGTGAGGATTCCGCATTTGCCTCTGGTGCGGGTGTAGATGAAGTGGAGTATGTTTATGGGTAAGCCTTCCACTTACATGATTTAAACAGCCATTGACCTTCTCGTAATAGCGTTTGAGACTCATCAATGTACGATATATGTATCCTTGAATCCTATGATATCATTGTGCATGGAAGGATAAAGATTACACCCGCGTATCTAACGGTGTACATCAAAACATACAGTAACAGTTATACTGCAGCCCCAAGGAGCGTTTCATCCATTTTGATAGCCTCAAAGACATGAAATGTCCGAACGTGGGTGGGCTCATGGCGAGAATAATCCGGAGGAGCTGCTGTGTCCGTTGGGTTGAACGTCGCAAAGCTTGGTAATGTCAAGATACTCGGCGCAGCTGTTCGGGAGTGGCCATCATCGTGAGAGTGCGGCATGTGTAGGCGTGGTGGAGGCGATACCCTTATATCTTCGAGGGACCACGCGAGGTGATCACGGAGTTCACTGAATATATAAGAAAGGAGCAAGACGGACGACGGAGGGAGACTCACGATTGATACTCCCGCATCGCAGATCGGCCTTCAGATGAAACAGAACCAATGGAAAATATAGAGGCTCGCGTGCTTCTATTGTCCGAATCCTGTCGAGCATAGGATGCAACCTGAGGATGTGCATGGGTGTACTGCGGAGGGTTGAACCGCTCGTGCAAAAACCTAGTAGCCATATAAGAAATCAAATATCCTTCAGAGACAACTTGCATACTCACCCTTCATAATCCCACAAAGATTCTTTCACCGCTTCTTCATCAACTTCATCTTCCTCAGCAATCTCGACCGCATAGCTCGTCAGGGCCGCTTTAAGTGACAAAAGGACCCTTGGATGTTTCAATGCATGGACTTCAATCTCTGTCCGAGGCAACGGAATGAGCGTGGAGGGCCACAGCATGAGCCCCGGTGCATGTGTTAGCTGGTGGATTTCCTCAGGCGGTTGACCCTTCTCGAGCACGGGATTCGCCGGAGCCAGCGTCAAATGCATCGTTCGTACTTCTCTCGAGTGCCCAAATATCTCCTGCAGCATCTCCACGATGAATTGGCTTGGACAAAGGTGGATGCCATATTTCTCGTTGTGTAGATGCTCAAAGAGGGTCTCCAGTTCTCGTGCAGCAGATGCTTGCTCTGTCCATGGATCAGCTTGGAACTCCACAGGAACAAGAGAGGAGGAGACGGAATGCCGGGTCAGTCCGCTCGCGGTGCTTGTTGGGTTGCGTCCTTTGCAATTCAGCGTTGCAGTATCAGAGGCCTCCTCCTCTTCTTCCTCCTCTTCTTCTATGTCGTAGTCATCCCCCTCAGTTATGGGATCGACACGATCACTGTCAGGATGCAGCTGAGAATATCGTGCTAATGAATCGGCGTCGCTGGGCTCGGTGGGTGGTACCGTTGGCAGGGCTGACTTGCCGTATGGAAAAAAGACGTGGTCATCAATCAGTTCTAGTCTCCCACCGACGGTCAACACACGACAGGCTTCTCGGAGAACGAATTCCCATTTCTCAAAGGATATCGCATATGTCAGATTGGACATTCGCACGAGATCAAACGAATCACTCGGAAACGGGAGCTCGCTCTTCACACTGCGGGTAGCCATCAGTACTGGAGCACTGAAAGACAAATTGAATGGACATACAAGTTGCCTTTCACAAAAGAGATATTCTCAGATACTCCGTTCCGAGCAGCTGCAGTGCGAAGCGATTTCGTGATATCAACCATATCGAAGCCTGTGACTTTTGTCCCGTAGCCTTTCCAAGCTACAGCTGCATCGAGTATCCAACGACCTTCGCCGCAGCCCAAGTCAAGCACAGTAGCAGGGGGATTATTTCCATAATGGTGAAAGGAAGGGCCATCGACGCTGTTTAGACGCTTTAATAGCTCGGTACCTAGACGGTCCCTACATGGATGCAGGTTAGTAGAAAATAGGGTAATTTAACACGGGTAACACACTGTTCTAACAGTATCGAGTCGTACGGATCGAGAGGATACGAGTCGCGCTTAGACGGTGATGACGTAGATGCCCATCGTGGTTCTATGCTGAAACTCGTAGATCCTATGAAAGAAGCGGTATCGCTTGAAGATGGTCGCGAAGAAGGATCCGAGGCCGATAAGTCTGAACCTGTGTCAGCAGATTGGTCTTGACTAGCTTTCTTTTTCCTGTTTATGGGTATACCCATGAAACGACGATGTGGATCACTCTGCCGGTCGCTGCCAGTAGAAGACTTGGATTTCTTTTTTAGAGGAAGTTTCAGCTTTGGAGGAGGCGAGTTCGGGTGTGCTCTGGATCTGGATGAGGGGAAGACAAAGCTGGGTGATCCAACTTCCGTAGAATTGTGCGAGCGGAGAGACGAGGGATTGGACGAAGAGCCCGAAGAACTAACGACTGACGGAGATGGCTCAGGCGACTGGCGGCCGGGTGGACTCGACGCAACCGGATAGACCTGGGTTTCTACCTGTTTCCCTTTGTTCTTTTTTGACTTGAGTTTGAACTTTGGAGGGGGCGAGGCTGGGTGGGCTCTGGAGCGTGAGGATGGAAAGACGAACGCAGAAGGAGATGATGTGGGCTGGGAATCTGTGGAGCCAGAGGAGTGGGAAAAATACGAAGTTGGAACATTAACGTCCATGGAGGAGTGGGAGCTAGCATTTGAGATCACCGAACCGGAATCGGAGGACCCTGCCCGTGACTCAAGTGGCGGAGGTGGGGGAGTTGGCAAATATACATTTTCGCCTTTCCGTAGCGGAGAAAGCACACTCAAGGTATTATTAGACGCAGGGGAGAGTGGCGGAACAAGGCCAAGGGGTGACCGTGGCGGGTCACTCGAGGCTAACGACGGCGGGGGGGCTCCGTCTCTGCCCTCTGGTAGCGCCGTGCCAGGCGCGTACGACGTCGAGGGCGTCGGGGTCGGCGGCGAAGATAGGGGCGCTTGGGCGGAGCGTGTCGGGCGCTGTCGGTACAACACGTGGTCATTTAACAACGATCGACAGTAATGTCACTACCCACGCACCAATGGTCGCAGAGCACCCAGAAAACTTTTCTCAATGTGCCCCCCCGTTAACGCTGCATTCGTAGCCTTCAGTGGCTTCGACTTTGACGATGAAGAAGTGTTTCCTGATTGCAGCCGTCTTCGTCCCGATGCGGCCCTAGACGACATCTATTGTTCAACCATCATTCTGCCTGGCCGTGTGGACAAAAGGTGAGGGACATACTGGTGGGCTTGACGTACTATAGAGTCTATTAATGAGCACCTCGGATAAACCAGAACAAGTTCGCAACGTCTCGTGAACACAAAAGGGGGCAAACGCGAAGGGTCTTCGAGCGTCCTGTCCGATACACTAGTGATGAGAATTGGCAAGATTAGAAGGGTGTAGGACGGCGGTTACCTCCGGCTAGACCGGATATAAATCTCAAATGCTACTTAATAGCCGCGCTTGGAGGACTCCTGGTTCTTTCAGGCCTGCCATGATCTTGTCAAGCCCCTCATCTATCGAACAGTATTAGCAGATGAAGTGTACCCACGGAATAAGCCATCAGCTGAAGATAAGTCGCTGTCCAGTTCGCCGCGAGGCTGTGTTCCAAGGTATGACGGCATGGGTTCGTGTTAAGGGTGAACCTTCCGGCGACGATATCGAAATTCATGCAGATTCAGATAAGGTCGGTCGCACAAGCAAAGTGATCGTAGCGGCTGTCGAATTTTCTATTTCGATCTTAAAGGGGTACTCAAATTTCCGAGCGGATCCGGGATCAGACCTATTCAAGTTTTCCAGCTTCGAAAAGATACCTGCGAACCAAACCAATGCCGTACTGCATGCCAAGCTTCAATATCTTCAGCGCTTAGAAAATATTGCAGGCTGGGGTCGGAAAAGAAGCGTACGCCGAAGTTCTAGAGCCCACCGATAAGAGGTGGATGTGAACACATGGGATCCAAGGTACCGTACCTGTTCAAGCTATGCTAAATAACATAGTACCCGCGGACAACCTCGAACTGGACCATATCCCGCGTTCAAGATCAGGCAAAACGAATACCGTCCCCAGTGCACACACAAAAGAAATAGGCTTGTATCAGAATCTGGGCTTATCGAGTGCAGTGCCGACAAAATAGGACGAAAGAGCATAAAAATAAAAAGCACATCTCCATTCATTCAGACCACCACACAACAGGCGCAATGTGGGTCGAGTCGAGATAGATAAGTCGTGATCCGGCGATTTTCGATAAATACCCGCCACGTACTGTATGACGCAAATCACCGCCGCTGTAAAGTGCAGACGGCGTTCTGCATCCGCCAACGTTCAGCGTCTGTCTACTTCCATTGATACGTACTCAGAGGAAGAGGTGAACTAGTTCCCTTATGGTTCTGATGATGGAAATGCTGTCTATCTATCGCACTGTGGGAAAATGATCATGATTTGTATATGATCAAGATCAATCTAGTTGCTACTTTTATACTGGGATCCCCTTCCGTTTCGGACCCTTTCCATCTTGTCTGCAACGTTTCCCCTCCAACAGCAGGAAACATGGTCAACATCGACTACGATGCCTGTACGTCATCTTTCGCTCTTTTGGTGGATGAAGGGGCTCATGAATGAATATAGCTGGCAGTATGTCCGTACAAACTGGCGGGAAGACCGTCGTCTACAACCCTGGTGACATTGCATGGGTCCTTGCGAGCACGGCACTGGTGTGGTTAATGATACCAGGCGTTGGATTTTTCTATTCCGGGCTGTTAAGGTGGGATCCCTATCCATGAGTGCACCCTATCTGCTCACCCACTTTCCAGACGAAAAAACGCGCTATCTATGATATACCTAAGCATGATGACCATCGCGGTGGTTTCCTTCCAGGTCCGTCTTTATGTCCAACTTCAGTTTCAAGAGAGTGACAATACTACTCTATCACTAGTGGTTCTTCTGGGGCTTTTCACTGACATTCAGCGAGACGGGAAGCCGTTTCATCGGAAATTTAAGTGAGAATAACCGCACCATGTCGCTCGTCTCATCTTGACTGACTGATCGGTGTCACCAGAATATTTCGGTCTCAAGGGGGTCCTCGAGCAACCTTCCATAGGAAGTACCAGAATCCCATCCATCGTTTTCTGTGTATACCAGCTCATGTTCGCAATTATTACGTACGTCTTTTTTTCCACGTCATGCCCAGTCATGGTGGCATGTTGGGATTTCTATACTCGGAGAGGGTAACCAACTGACGGAACCATTTTTTCTAGCCCCATGCTCGCAATAGGAGGTTTCGCCGAGCGTGCTCACCTCGGACCCTTGCTCGCCTTTGTCTTCTTCTGGTCTACACTCGTTTACAACCCCATCGCATGCTGGACTTGGAACTCAAACGGATGGACATTCGTTCTCGGAGGCCTAGATTTCGCTGGAGGAACTCCGGTGCATATCTCTTCAGGGACGGCGGCTCTGGCTATTTCGGTTTATCTTGGAAAGCGTCGGGGGTACGGCACAGAGGCCTTGGCATACAAGCCTCATAACACAACATATGTGGTCCTAGGTATTTTCGTCTGAGTGTTCTACTTTGGCAAGTTGGACTTAGTCATATGCAGGAACCGTATTTCTATGGGTTGGCTGGTTCGGCTTCAACGGCGGCTCTGCTCTCGCTGCCAACATGAGAGCCGCCCAGGCTTGCATCGTCACCAACTTGGCGGCAAGTGTCGGTGGGCTTACATGGATGCTCTGGGTAATGAATTTTTCGCTGCAAAGTTTCAATCACTCAATCTGCGATACAGGATTACCGTATCGAGAGGAAGTGGTCTGCCGTAGGTTTCTGTTCTGGTGCTATCGCAGGATTAGTGGCTATCACTCCCGGCTCTGGATTCGTTGGAGCTCGTGAGTAATATTTAAATAATCACCGTTACCCACGGCTAAAACGTTCCACCTTGTAGCCGCGGCCGTCCTCTTTGGCTTCATGGCCGGCACAGTATGCAACTTTGCAACCCAAATTAAGTTTTTCGTTGGCTACGATGATTCTCTCGATGTAAGCTCCACCCGCCTTCCTCGCCGCCCCTCACTCATACCTCTTAACAGGTCTTCGCGTCCCACGGCATTGGCGGAGTCGTCGGGAACCTCCTTACTGCGCTCTTCGCCCAGGCTAGCGTAGCACACTTTGACGGGTTTACCGTCATTCCCGGAGGCTGGCTTGACCGTCATTGGGTTCAGCTAGCTTGGCATCTCGCAGATTCAGCGGCTGGACTGGGTTATTCGTTCACGATGACCGTAAGTCGCGGTTCACTTTCCTCCAGCATGCTCTCACACTTCATTTTCACAGACTATCATCTTGTGGATCATGCACTACATCCCGGGCCTCCGTCTACGCGTATCGGAAGAGGTAGAGGAGCTGGGAATAGACGAATCTGATATGGGCGAGTTTGCGTATGACTATATTGGCTTCGATGCTCCACTATCGACCGGGTATGGAGGGAGCCGGGATTCAGAAAACCAGTATCTGAAGGAACGACAGAGTTCGCATGTGCACTAATTCTTTTGTCTCCACTGTCTTTCCCGCTGCTTTGCTCTAATCTTATTGCTGTTCTTTGTTTTTGCTCGCGGAGCGTATATGTACCTATTTAATTATTCACGCTCCTTTACAGATTATCATCCGTTTTAGTATATATGTAGTCGCTTAATGTGCGACGATAGAATGTTTATTGCCATCGTACCCTCGCCGCAGAGATTAATATCAGAATCCCACGTAAGAGTGTTTCCTGATGAGTCGGTTATTCAATAGATACCCTTGCTGAGCATTTGATTAAAGAAGAGTATAAATTGACCCGGCGAGGACGGACTGAAGGAGGTAAATTGAGTCATGAGCCTTTGCCCTAAGCCCTAGACTTAATACCAAATCGTAAAAATTATGTTGTTTACACAGAAGCGGTAAGGTAAAGGGTACTGTCAGTGGATCCCGGACCAGGTACGAATTTAATGCAAGAGATAGCAAAAATAGTCCGTTAGCGCTTGGCGATCATACAGACATCAAGGGAAGCTGGATGGACAAGCTGGTATCTGACAGGTCCGTCAAACGAACTGGGTCGCTCCGAGTTAAATAATAAAAAACGCTCACAGGGAGATACAGGAAATGTATTGAATACAGTGTGGATTCATATGCATTATCTAGACGCCATGCGGTCGCATTTATACTGCTCAGCATACTTTGCAGCCAAACGCAACAAGTCTTTGTCGTCCTCAAAGGTGAGCTTCTCCAGAGCCTTGTCAACTTCGAATAACACAGACTCTTCAAACCCCTCTGCTACCATATGCGTCCCAACGCAAGGGGCCCCCTCGGGATCATCCAACGAAGCGACGTACCAGAATATCAGTTTCACATTCTTGGGTTGCTGCAGGGGCCTGATGGTGATAGCGAATGATTCTGTACAGTTCTGCGACAGTCTCGGTATATCTTCCTGGTGAGCTACTGACGCGGAAGGAAGGGTGGCACGTGTGGGTAGTGCGACAGGGAGAAGCGTACAGGCATAGCCCGTCTCTTCCAAGACTTCGCGAACTGCCGTTGTCGCGAGGTCTTCACCCTCGTCTTTCCGCCCTTTGGCGAGAAGCCATTCGTTTCGCTTTTTGTAGTACACAAGGCAGACTTTGAGCGGCTTATCTTGAGAAATCAGAAAAGCAACGGCTCCGGCGGCGAGAACGAATTGGTCAGAGGAATGATTGGTTTGCTTCGGGTAACGTGGATCTGGAGGGGGTGTGAACGTTCAACGAGTATCAACAGGAATGATGCCGCACGTGCTGGTTTTTTGAATCGTCGATAAAACCACGGCAACAACAAGAATCCTGCAGCAGTAGCTACGGCAGCTAGAGGCCATGTATCTGATAATAAATTAGGATGAAAGAAAGGACAAAAAGAGCCTCGAATAACATACGGTAATGATGCATGGTGGTAACTTGTAAATGGCAGGGAGTCATCGGGCCGGTACAGTTGTGGGTCCACGTTGACTCAACTTGTGAAGCTATTTCATTTGAGGCTACAAATACATTTTCTTAATGGCGAAGTGTACTGTAACGGTAAAAGGAGTCGCAAGGCGACAGAAAGTATACGGGCGTTGCTATCAAGAGCGAGGGTCTTTACTACTAATCTGGACCCGGTCTGCAGAAAGGCCCCGATGTGAATCGCCCAAGACAAAAAGCCGTGCCGCGGAGACACATTTGCAGCGCCCTTACTCACAGCAGTAGCCACTGAGATGTAAGTAGGTGAAGAACACATAAGAAGTCAGGAACGGACTCTACTTCCGTCCAGTCTGATATCCGCCTTTAATGAAGGCACAGTCAGGTATTCACTATCAGAAGACCCCTGGCGGGAACTCTCATGTGTAATTCGAGAGCCATTTAGCGAAAATATCCTTGAACTCACAATCTCAAGTAAAGACAGATGTTTAAACCTCCATGCGTAGATCAGAAGAGTATAAAGAAGGCTGTGAAGTGACTTAGCGCTGGCAGGCAACTTCAATTCATAGTGTTACTGTTCCGTATATCACCGCACTGAGACAGAAGAAGAAAAGAAGTCAAGGGGCCATTCTAGAGAAACGAATGATCAGACTCGACCGCATGCGGTCGAATACGGCAAGACAACTCAACCAGTCAGTAACAGGATTGGCGGCCAAACGTATGGTCTGTGCCTTGTAGGAGAAAAGCTGAGCTTGCTGTACAGGCAAACCAGGTCTAGGTGATTAGATCATAGATGACAAGCCGTTTGTCCACGCGCCAGTGATGAGAAAATCTACAAGCGCTTACAGTATTGATGCCCGACCACCGAAGTACAATACTATTGTCAGGGTGGTCGAGCTGACAACTGAATGGAAAGCTCGATATCACCAATCAGTCTGAGGTCAGTCTCCCATCTGTCATACGACTCTGATCATTTCTAGGAGGCAGGTGCTGATGAGAAGAGTAAAGTGCAGTTCGACAACAGAATATAACCCGGGTCTAGTTGTCGCCCAGTCCTTGAGAGTAGCAGATTGATTGTCATTTACGCCACGGAGCTGAACCAGAAGGTGAGACAGATTGTTGAGGATTCATCCTGCATTCTTCTTATGTAACAGTGATATCGTAGAGGTTTCGTTAAAAAGTGATATTGGATGTTTAACTGCCACGGCGGAGACGGACTGAGATGAATTGCTGACACCCGCCATGGTCTAGATGGTACTGAAGTAAAATATGATGGTTATCTCTTGAAGTAAAAGTTCCCGTAGCGTCTCGTGAGTCGTAGCGTAGTCGCTGCTGTGAGGTGCGAGACAATAGATGAGGGCGAATCTGGGCGAGTTCCAGTTCTTCATGAGACTGTGGGAGCTTCCAAGGAAATCATTTAATGGGTCCCGAGACGAGTATTCGAAGATAAACTCTAGAGACAGAGCGCACCTTCGAGAGGCCATGGCGGTCTGAACGGTCCGGGCAACGATATCACGTGATTTAACCATATCTGGTACAAATTGAAGCCTGAGAAAAGATTATTCGGATTCTACTACTAGACCTCAAAGTCTCAATGTTAACTCCGACTCTGCTCACAATCAATGTCTGTACGAGATTCAAGCTGTTCTCTGGGCATTTTCTGGCTATATCTCGACGAAAGTGATGTCGCACGCAGCACCGTAACTGTCAACAGGTGATTGGTCGATGCGCCAGAAGTGACGCTCACGGGACTACGGGAACCACTCGGCATCATGATTCTGTCTTAACCCATGGCTACGCCTGTGACGCTATAGTGTGAAACCTGACTATATCTCTCATGGCCACCACTCAAACCTCGGACCGATGTACGCACGACCCCTCCTCGCTGTCCGTTCCCTGCTTACTACCCCGTAATTCCCTAGTCAACGCCTCAGACTCTGACATTACTCTCAAGTCATGCGACGACGTTCTATTTTGTGTACACCGCATAAACCTCGAGATGCACTCTCAGGTGTTTGCTGATGCTGGAGGGTTGACCATTCCGAAGCACGAGGAGGTCGTCCCCCTCACAGAACGTGCTGAGGTACTCGAGCTTATGCTTCAGTACATGTATCTGCAGCGCCAGCCGGACTTGACGCACGTCAAGTTTGAGGTACTTAAGGATCTCGCTGAGGCCGTGGAGAAATATGAGATATACTCAGCCATGGGAGTATGCGCACAGAAGATGAAGTACGCTCCACTAGGCCTGCACCGCTCTGTACCGAATTCAAATGTTGCTTTACCAGGGAGTCTATAGCGGACCATCCATTAGAAGTGCTCCTGTACAGTGTTCGACACAAGCATGTTGACATCATCAACGAGTGCGCGGAAGCTAGTATCAACATGTCGACAACCGAAATGCTTCAGTCTCTTCCTTCTGACATATTCGCCGCTTGGGTGGGTCACGGAACTTTCTCCTTTTTCTCTCCACCTTCTTAGTACTTCTCAGATTCGATACCACCAAGATTGGACAGACCTGATGAATAGGGAGTACACACGTTTCGGTCCTACGCGTCACCACAAGAATGTCACCGTGCATCACTGTGAAATATGGGCAGAGAATTACGCTTGTATAGCTTATGAGATTGCAGGCAAACCTCAGAATTTACTCAAGTTGCGGTCGCTGCTACAGCGGAGACAACAAACACTAGGGAATCGTTGCGAGGACTGTAAAAGGGAGTTGGGATATTGGTATCATCAGGCTAACAGGGATAGGAATGACTTGCCGCAGTTTAGTGAATACCTTTAGCTTGTAGAATAGGAAGACGGGACAGATGTATCGAATAATGTAACGGAACATGTTGTATATCAATAACGCATTTGTGCGAAGAACGCGACTTACAACAGAGCGACTTGCAATTGAGATCTGCGATTTTTATTCAAAGTTGTTGAAAATTTAACGAGTTTCGCTCGCCGCAACTACCTTGGGTATTGGGGGTGGAATCATGGAATTATTAAAGTTCAGTCTTGGGTGACTAGTAGCCTCCGGACCATTATTAACTTGTACCATAGGGTAGAAAGACTGTGTATGAACTCCCAGACGACTATATCCGTGAAATTATCCCTGTCCTGAAGAATGCGATTCTCGTTGTCGGAATTGAGCAGTACGACACCGTTCATGTGAGGGATTGTGTGCAGCCCATTGCGAGCTCCGACATTAATGATCTTACGCCCAGGAAGATAGTTCCATGGCACTCCAGGTCAGTACGTAGTTAGGTCAAGTGCTAACTGTCAACGTTTCAACGTTCGTAATAACATGTCCGAGTCGATTCATTCCATTTCCATGTTGTGCTGAAGCCCAACGAGCAAGAAGGAATGTTTTTTTTTTAAAAAAATTTAGCCCAAGCAGGCGACTGATAAACCGTTACTAGCGGGCCATACAAAAGGCTTGAGTAGCCTCAAGTCGTTCATGAAGATCAGTCAAAAGTCCTAGACAACTGAGTTCGTTGAGATGTCCTGGGAGACGGAGAGTGTACGAGGGATGATTGAAGGTTGACAGTAAAGCAGAATTTATATCCTTTGATATCTGGAGTAGCACTAAGAAACACTAGTACCGCAGCTCTTGCTGGCCAAGGTGAATGGGTGAATAAAGGGCGTGCTGGAACAAAAATTTTATGTATATTATTTATTTATTTAATAAATTAAAATTCCCAACATGGATGTATTTCCAACTCCGCTCACTCTTCTCTTTCCAACACCTCGACCAAGGAAAAATGTCTGGAATTAATCCAGGAGATGAAGTAGGTAGCACCCTCAGTTGTGTACTTAATACTAACCACTCTGTTCCAGAAATTGGTGTTCGAGTCGTCTGAGGCCGTTTCTGTTATTTCAACGTTCGATGACCTTGGCCTGAAGGAGGATCTCGTCAGAGGAATATATGCCTACAGTGCGTCCAGGACTTCCTTCAGTCTCTGCCATGATATCTTACTCCCTTAAAAAGACTTCGAAAAACCTTCTGCTATCCAACAGCGGGCCATTCTACCAATAACGCAGGGCCGGGATGTCATCGCCCAAGCTCAATCCGGTACTGGTAAAACGGCCACATTCTCCATCTCCATCCTGCAATCTATCGACGTATCTGTGCGCGAAACGCAAGCACTAGTCCTTTCCCCCACTCGTGAACTCGCAACCCAGATTCAGTCTGTCGTTTTGGCCCTCGGAGATTACATGAACGTCCAGTGCCATGCCTGCATTGGAGGTACCTCCATCGGCGAGGATATCCGCAAGCTCGAATATGGACAGCATGTCGTCTCCGGTACACCTGGTCGTGTCTTTGATATGATCCGCCGGCGTAGTCTGCGGACGCGGAATATCAAGATGTTGGTTCTTGATGAAGCCGACGAACTCCTCAACAAGGGTTTCAAGGACCAGATATATGATGTCTACCGCTACCTCCCCCCTGCGACTCAAGTCGTTCTCCTCAGCGCTACCCTCCCGTATGATGTACTGGAAATGACGACCAAGTTCATGACGGATCCTATTCGCATCCTGGTGAAGCGTGATGAATTGACGTTGGAGGGCATCAAACAGTTCTTCGTCGCCGTGGAGAAGGAGGATTGGAAGTTTGATACGCTTTGTGATTTATACGACACCCTTACCATCACCCAAGCTGTCATCTTCTGCAACACGAGACGAAAAGTGGACTGGCTGACGGAGAAGATGCGAGCATCCAACTTCACTGTGTCATCCATGCACGGTGAGATGGTGCAAAAGGAGCGGGACGCTATTATGGCTGAGTTCCGAGGGGGTACTTCGTGAGTGATATTCTCTGTCATCTTAGCTTGCTGTCTTGACACTTGGTGTTACAGCCGTGTCCTCATAACCACCGACGTGTGGGCGCGTGGCATTGATGTTCAGCAGGTGTCGCTTGTCATTAATTATGATCTCCCTGCGTAAGTACCTCTTGAAACTCTAACTCCGCGTACCTATACTAATTCTGCGCAGGAATCGTGAAAACTACATACACCGTATCGGTCGTTCAGGTCGTTTCGGAAGGAAGGGTGTCGCCATCAACGTAAGCCTACTCTGTTAGTCTTCAATGTGCTCACTTCCTTATCATGTCTTCAGTTCGTCACTGTGGATGATGTTCGTATCTTGCGTGATATCGGTGAGTACATTACTGTATGTATCTCTTCTCAAACTCATCTTTTGTCTCCAACGTAGAACAATTCTACAGCACTCAAATTGTAAGTGTTTCTTTCTCTGTCCTTCTCCCAGCCTAACCGTTTCCTCCCAGGATGAGATGCCAGTGAATGCGGCGGAGCTTATTTAGACCGTTTCAGCGTGTACGAGTGTTCATTTACTTCTCACTTATGTAGTTTATTGTTCTTTGAGTTTCGTTTCCTTCTTAAGGTAGCATCGATGTAATGAGCTGCGTCGTGTTCTATTGTGCTGCAGATCGACCGCATGCACGTAAGTCTGGGAGTAAGAACAATCTCAATTTCTCGGAGTCGATTTTTGCCTGGTTGGTTGCTGAAGGTTTCGGGTGATGATGAGTCAATCACGGTTATCCTACGAGAGGTCGGGTCGTGATCGGGAAGTGCCGGTCGGTCTTACTACGCGACAACCATCTCATCAAGTCGCAGTTGACGCCTCTAATTCTCTAGTATCTATTCTCGTTTTTTTATATGAAGTGCGCTGAGTGGTCGGCAGCGTTGAAAGACGTATTAACCTCGTTCTTGGCACTGAAGGTGCGAATTTGTAGGAGGCATTCGGGAACCTGGTACGTTACTTCGTCTGAATGTGTTCCTAATATCCTTACTGAAGAGACCAAAGGGCATCATGCGTACATGCAGAGTCACGAGAAATTCTATGTATCTGAACCTCACGTTCAATTCCGGGGAGCATACATCTGCAGTAACACTACCGAAGAACAGTCAACGCGTTTTCACGATGTCCACGACGCAACTATTCGATAACTTTTCCAGCCGGGTCATTGGTCATATAGCCTATTGATGCTTCGAGAATCATTTCCACCACTGCCAGCTCCTCTTCGTTACGTGGCGCGTAAATAAACGTCCACTCTGTCGGCGGGCCAGGAACGCCTGGACCTGCCAGTGGGTGTCGCTGCCCCCACCCCTTCGACACGACTTCCTTCCCATCTTGGGCGGCCAGTGCAAGATGCAATGTGTAGTCGTGGTAATCGTGCATATGTGCGATCTCTCTCTTCGTCCTGCGCACCGTATCGTGACTGGGAATGTTTTTTGGATCATTGATGGGTACAGAGGGGAGCAGGAAGATCGCTTCAGCGTGGAACTCGAACTTGGATAGGCTGAGATGGGTAAGGTCGGTGTGGCGAGCCTGCACGCGTGGAATGACCGTGGCCTTGAGTTCTTTAAGGGCGAAGTCGGGGTCTGGCGCTTGGTTGCGCTATAGGTGCTAGCGATCAGCTATAGCGTGACGGCGGCGGCGAGCGTTACTTCACCTGTCTTTGGATTATATGGCTAGTTGTGACGGGCCGCGGACCATTGCGAGGAGGCAAGTCAGGTAACCACCTGCGCTTCTCGGGAAGGCGGTCATATATCGCAAGGCCCTTTTGCTCCTGACGGAATAAGGAGAGGACACAAACGATGATGTATCCTCTGATGTTCTGGGGAGCGTAGGAAGGACCGCCAGATAGAAATGTCTGGTAGTCCCTGCGAATGTAAGGGAAGGCAATGGTGGAGGCGACTGCCACAGCACAGCAAGCAGCGGTCAAGCCCCGATTTTGGATGCCAAAGAGGTATCCGACGAGGTCATGTTTTATGCTGTCGATGAAGGACATGCTCTGTGTCTTGGAAATGTTGTCTTCAACGATACGGGTCTTATATTATGCCTGGTTTACTTATCTCTTTGACAAAGCGACTTTGAAGGGCTAATTATACATCGGCCATCAATGTCGGGAGAAGCAATCAAGATCCCGCAGTACTGGAGGTAGAGAGATGTTTGATGATGAGAACGATCATCCGTTTCTGCACTCGACTTTTAGGTTTTGCCTTAGCGTGCACCGACATCAGCGATATTCTATGTCAGGAACCTTTCACTTAACCGGAGAATCGGGAGCCGTGGATTTCGGTATTCGGTTGGCAGTGCATTCATGTTGTCAAATGCTATCCTCTTCGGGCTGGGTGGAACATTGTAACTTCTGTCCCTCAGTACTAGTCAGCATGCTCGGATTTGGTTTGTCTAACGGAAACATTAGTGCCGCGCACCCAGGATAATCGGGATGTAAAAGGCTTTGAAGTCGGACAGTCGCGACTCTGTATCTCCGTGTCGTAGCCGGACCTTCAGTTCGCCTTGTCAGCTTCTGTTTCAACCAAACGGGCTTCACGTATCTACCATGCAACATATCGATGAGGCGCGCCCACTGAAAGTGATAGTCGTGGGTGCTGGACTTGGTGGGCTTACCGCCGCCATTGCACTTCGTAGGCAAGGGCATCGCGTCCATGTAGGTCTCTAAATATCTTAAAGATCCTCCGGCGATGACGTTGTTTTCTAGATACTTGAATCTTCGAACTTCAAAAGCGAACTTGGTGCAGGTCTGGCAGTACCACCCAATACTGTACGCTCTCTTCAAGGTCTAGGTTGTAATATCGACAATCTCAAACCTGTGGATAATCTTTGTGTACGTATTTTTGTATTACATCTTGCGTGAAAGTGCTAATACTTCCCTTAGTTCAGTGCCATGGCGCATGACGGAAGTCCTGGCATGATGAACAACATGACGGACTATCGCAAGGCGTACGGCGATGTAAGGAGTCTAATAATTCCTTTTCCATTTTGAGTACGTATTCATGAACGCTCGACAGCCTTGGGTAATGGCGCATCGTGTTGACCTTCATAACGAACTCATGCGAGTTGCCCTCGACCCTGAGGGAACGGGACCTCCTGCCCAGCTTCGTTTGGGCAACCAGGTGACGTCTTGCGATGTGGATGCTTGTACCATTTCTCTTGTCGATGGAACGATCTGTTCCGCCGATCTCATCGTTGGTGCTGATGGTATTAGGGTAGGCACCAAATTACTTTCGCTGGTGGTCATGAGGTAACGAGAGGCTTAGTCCACCATACGCTCCTATGTCTTGGGCAAAGAAATAGACATACCTCCTACCGGTATCGCTGGATACCGCTGGCTCATCCCGGCAGAAGCTCTGGACCCTTATCCCGAACTCGATTGGATAGTCAAGAATTCGCCCTTGGGAGCACGTTTAATCACAGCTCCCGTCCGCCGAAACGACGACAATGAACAGACCGGTGCTACTTCTGATAAGAATGACGTTGACAAACGTACGATCATCATCTATGCGTGCCGCAATGGCACTATGATTAACGTTCTTGGTGTGCATGATGACCCACGAAACCAGAATGAAATCGGTGAGTTCTCAGGAAGCCGCCTTTTCTCAAATTTTTAATTATATCCCAGGATGGAACGTACCAGTTACCCAAGAAAAATTGCTTGAATTTTTCAAAGACTACCATCCACGATTCAAGCGCTTGCTTGAGCTAGCCGACAATATCCATTTGTGGCAAATGCGTGTGGTCCCGCGGCTGGAGACGTGGATTAATAAACGGGTGTGTTTGTTGGGCGATTCTGCGCATGCATCACTACCAAGTAAGGTTGACCTGCATGATACTTCGTGCGGTTTACTGACAGTTATCTAAACGTAGCACTCGGACAAGGCTTCGGGATGGGTCTTGAAGACGCTGTAGCTCTTGCAACCCTCCTTCCCTTAGGAACCAGAGTGTCTGACGTCGAGAAGCACCTTGTCGCCTACGAAAGTTTGCGTAAAGAGCGCGCTGAGTATGTAGCCATGGAATCTTTCGAACAGCAGGATATCGCGACAAAACGAGGCTTGTATCTCAGGTGTAAGTAATTTACATTCTGTATTTCCTATGTGCATCGTACTAAACCACAATTTTGAAGCTCCTACAATGCGCGATAAAATTATGGGTTATGATATCAAAGCCGAAGCTGAGAAGGTTTTAATGGAAATGACCTCGACAGCTCGGTAGGTAACTTGTAGCTAATATCGGCTATATATGAATACACTTTCGCCACGATATGTCTCCATTGCATCCATCTTGCTTAAGCCATGAGACATACAACTGAAATTTCAGCGGTCATCATATGGAGAGTTTACCACCGGTGCGTAGAGTTCGAATTATGACCGAGCCGAGGAAGATCGGAAAAAATTTTGTTGATTGTCGAGTATGGAAACACCTCGCACACGGTTTTTCACCGTTTGATATCTATTTTGAAGTAGTCGGAGTCAGAAGATGTATTTAAACAAGTTTCTCTTAGAAGTAAGACATAGCCTGCGGGGGCGGCGGTTTTACGGTCTGCAAAGATATGACATGAGCAATGGAATCTGAAGCTCTTTTGAAATCAAATTACATTGCTTCTCCAGTTAGAATTGGGACAGCATTGACGCGGAGTATTCACGCAGCAGGAAGTCACTGGAAGGCGATACGTTCCGCCCGGCTGGGACCGAATTGCACAGATATCAAATATCGTTGATTATCTTAGGTTGGCTTCAGCACCGGCTCTTGTTGAGTTATCTTTGGTGGTGCTACCCTTCTAAACGCCCCCAAAGTCCTTACGACTTTCTCCTTGCGAAATGCCAAGCACTCAGTGGTACCACCGGCAATTTTTTCTAAATCAAGTTTGGTAGGTCTCAAATATTGAATAATCGGACTTATTCTCATATGTGTCGTTGAATGTGGTTTACGATACCAGGTCCCGCAAGAGTTGTCGCCTTTCTCATCCAATCAGAAAAACTAAAACCAGATCCGTAACCTACGTATACTCGAGGGGATACACTAGGAACATGGCATACAACACCCCCATGTGACCATCGCTGTTCGGCATCCTACTAGAATACAAGACTGAAGGGAAGCATCATTGACAATTGTTATATTCCTTCCCTGCGTCGCTTACACGATGGCACCTATTATCACTGTGCGGTGGTATCCTTGACTTGAATCCATATGACTGACTATTTTCATTTCTTTCACGCAGCAATGGTCCAGACTTATTCGCTTTGTTGCTATCGAGACTTCTCGTGTGCATATCGGACAGCCCGTGGATTCTACCCTGGATGGTAAGTCGGGAGTATCCCCGCAGGTCATCAAGTTACCGACGACTTCAAGTTGGTCTAGCGGCATACCAGGGAAGGCCAATCGAGGCTTATGAGATACTCGGTTCTGCTCTTGATCCATTCGCACAATTGACCAACAAGACTCTCACCGTCAAGCAGTTATTGGCTCCGCTGTCTGGAGAAGATGTCAAGGTCGTCCGATGCTTGGGCCTTAACTATCCAGCGCACGCAGTAAATCTAAAACATTTCAGTTATTATTTACGCCCTGAATTTAATAACTTCCTTAGAATGAAGGGAAAGTAGAAGCGCCGAAGTGGGTACCTCTTCATCTCCTATTTCTTGAACATGAATCACTGAATGTTCGGCACATTAGGTTTCCTAACCTTTTCTATAAGCCAGTCACATCGCTTATTGGACCCCTTGAACCTGTGATCATTCCTGCGGTCGCGCAACCTCCTGCGGTACACCAATCCGACTACGAGGCTGAATTTACTGTTGTCATAGGCAGAGCAGCTAAGAATGTCACTGAAGCCGAAGCTTTAGACTATGTCCTTGGATATACCGGCGGTAATGATGTAAACCTAGGGCCCTTTCATGCGATATGGTTCTCACCAATTGTTATGTAGGTGTCTTTTCGACAGCATCAATTTTCGGTCTCTCAGTGGGGTTTCTCCAAAGGTTTTGGTAAGTCTTGTGCTCAGCCGTTCTGAACGCGTGTGAACTAATACGTTCTTGGACCTTCGCAGACAATACAAATCCCTTTGGTCCATGTTTAGTTGCCGCGTCATCTATTCCTGATCCTCAAACTGTGGCCATTAAGTTTACACTGAATGGTAACACCGTCCAAGACGGAAATACCGCGTAAGCGTATTTTTTAATAGTTTACCTGACGATCCATTAATATCTAATAGCGATCAGCTTTTTAACGTTAAAAGGACGATTGCTTATCTGTCACAAGGCACGACGTTACAGCCGGGCTCAATCATTATGACCGGTACTCCTAGTGGCGTTGGGTTCGTCCGAAATCCACCTCTCTACCTTAAAGATGGGGATCAAATGTTGACTTGGATGGGCGGTGGAATTGGTACGCTTGCAAACAGCGTTGTAGAGGAGAAGACTACGACTCTTCTGTCAGACTGAGGCAACTGAAGTATAATATACATATCCCGAGCAAATCTGAAACGAGTTTACGGTCTCCCTTAGTACAAGAAATCAGAATCATCTCTTCGCTGTTAGGGCAGTATCATATTTGTACATTGATTCGAGCTCTAAAAGCCATCACGTAGTATTTCTACGATGTATCCCGATCCTACAACCCTTTATTCGTCTTACAAACCAATCGTCGACCAAAAGCTGTACGCTATAGTAAGTCGTAGCCACAAAAAGCAAAGAAGGACTTACAGCATCATCTGGATCCTCAGGTATGATCTCGAACCGCTTGAATACCGAAGCAAGAGCGATGTGAAGCTGGACCATTGCCAAGGTCTTTCCTATGCATGCTCTAAATCAAGTACAGAACCGGTGAGGTTGTGGCAAGTTCACCCGACAGGAGCAAGAAGCTTACGCCGGTCCATCAGAAAAAGGTTTGAATGCTCTTCTCATCACCTCAGTATCTATTTCGAGCCAACGGTCAGGGCTGAAGGTGTCAGCATCATGTCCCCAAACCGTAGGGTCGTGGTGAAGGCTATAAATGTGAACGCCGACGGTGGCCCCGGCAACAATATCGTGCCCGGAAATTGACATACCACCCTCGGGCACTACTCGTGGGAGACTACCTGGTACGGCAGAATACATGCGAAGAGTCTCGTTGATACACGCATCGAGATATGGCAGTTGTTGGACATCCTCGAAGGAAACAGAGTGATTCCCAGGTATGTGTGCATCAAGCTCAGCACGAAGCTTCGCCTGAATTTCGGGTGACCTTGAAATGTAATAGATGGCAGCGGCGATGGAGCTTAAACGAGTAAGTCCAAACCCCAAGGATTAAGCTTATGTAAAAACGTACTTTCTTGTCGTGTCGGAGCCGGCAACAAGCATTGTCAGGACTTCCACTATCAATGGTTCTTGTTCAAATGTCTAGCAGAGCATGTAAGCGGTTGAATTTAGTAACATTCTAGCGTCTGTACCTGGTGTTTCTGTCGTTGGAGGAATCTGCCGACTAGATCCATAGCATCTCCTTGGGTCACAAGGGATAAACGTTGCGACAACAGGTATGCAACGGTTCTGGCGACCAGTAGCCCGTTTTTTACTGGTCCTCGAAGTACGGCGTGTCCCATTGGCTTCCACCAACTCGGAAGTATTCCAACGAAGTAATTGTATGTCTCCCGGCTACCTGCAATTTCCATGAGAGATACTTCCATAGTCTCATTTGGTATCTCATGTTCAAGAGTGAGACGTGGATCCTTTGGAATACTGACGGTGTCTTGGGAAGCTGCAACCATACCAAAAGACTCCCCAAAAATAAAGTCACCGATGGAATCGAAAGACAAAAAGGCACACCCTGACGTTTGCATGGTGATGGGCAAAATAATAATAATAATAAAGAAAGTATAGGCTTACACGGTAGACAATCGAACCAGACGCATTGGCTATTCTTGCTGTAAGACGGGCCGGCAAACCGAGTATCCCACTCTTTAAGGAGACCATTAACTGCACAAGTGATTCGAGGAGAAAACTCGGCAACAGTCTTCGGAGTGAAGAAATGATACATCATCTTTCGCTTTTGGCTGTGTTCGGTTTTCTGGCGAGTTGAAAATATGGATGGAAGTCCGATGGTAGCGAATGCATCGTAAAAGTTAGATTTTGTGACGCTAGAGCCTCGGGAATAGATGGAAGAAAAGGCTCCGGAGCAGCTGAAGGAAAGTTCGGTAGGTGAGATGCGAACTACTGGGCCTATATGAAAAGTGACTCAATTGAGCTACGTTCCATAACAACTGATATACCTGGAAAAAACTCACCATACTTTCTATGTATCTCATATAGTATCTGTGAACGACGAAGAGTCCACCCAGTCCATACAAGCCAAATATAGGAGAATTTAGCAAGGAATGGGCCTGGATATCTCCGTAGGTCATATAAATCCAACCAGTAGGCATAGACATGAAGAGCAACAAGAACAAAGAGTGCCTTTGCGATGAGGAATAAGGCGCTGAGAATCCCAATACAAGTGAAGCACATTATGGCTTTGATAACGAGCTGAAGAACTTGTCCTTTTATTTCTTATCGGCGACAAGTCTATTAGTAGCGGGAATGCCGCTGAGTCGTCATAATTGCCCAACGCGTGATCAGTGCGGAAGAAGATCTATACCGAATCTGAAGTCAACCGAGAATCAAGGCAACCCTAAAGAACGAACGGTAAAGGCCGTGACATGGGAGAGAAAATTAAAGAAATAAGCCACTAGAGAGGAAAGTCCAATACAGAGGTGTCATTTCTCGCTCCACCATCTCCGAAATTGTCTTTTCTGTCCAAGGAATTGCGAGTAAATTAACATTCATCGTGTAGCGTCATTTGCGAACGATTGTCGCGGAGACAAGAATAGTTCCTTGGATGGGCGATTGCCTGTCCGAAAAGTGCCATTCAGTCCAGCGGTCGGAGTTGAGCTTCACAGCCTCTGCAGTCGGAGTCAATCTGTCGCGTCGGGGAGAACCGAGCTTGTGGTTGTTTCAAGGCCCCCGGGTATACCACATGCACCTTCAAATGTTCGAATTTCGAGCTTTCGAACCCACGATCATTGTGGAAGAAGTGGAGAGACGACGATACCGACACTCAGAGTCACAAGAAGAAGATGACCCAAAATAGCAATGCAGTTCTTGACCATCGTTCCTTCCGAAGAAACTGGATGTCACTGCCTTAGGCAACGCTATCACACTTTTCCGAAGCTGAAAGACGAGAAAATCGTAGTTGGCCAGGATTTTCTAGTCTGTAGGCCCGTATTCCCCCATCTTTCCAGTGTTGGATTGGGGATTGGACTCAAATTCGACTGTATTTTGGGACCGATCAGTTTTCAGATTTCATCAAGTACTAGTTCATAAGAGATGTTACTAATCAATTCAGCGGACGGGATCTTTAGGTGAGCATACAGGGTTTGATTAGTTTGCGGCCGGTCGCCAGAATAATGTATACGTTTCTTGGGGCTAATTTTTTCATCTCTTCTTCAGGATCGTTCGAATTCCGACGCGAGCATTCTGGCTGTCGAAAGCATCGGAACATGACATCATTGGAACAGCCTAATCAGCATGAAAATATGATTACAGAAAGTTTCCCATAAGTACTGGCTTCGTTGGTATGAGTTCCAGTAATCATGGAGGCCGACGGGCACCACTCTCTTCTCGATGTCTTTCTCAGCGTTGCTCATAATTCTGAAAAGTCCAAATATATGGAAAGCCTAACGGTCGCGCTTCATATCTGTGTCATTTTGAATTTCAAAATACCATTTATAGTAATCGGACCCAGAGAAGTGTGCTGTTAGTACTATGACCAATTCAATGGAACAAGATTAATCAACCATATAAGGAAAAAGTACTTAGGTCTTAGGAGTAGTCACCTATACATAAAACAGTTATAAACATGAATAACTTATAATTCTACTGTTTTATGTGTCAAGGAATCTGATTCTGATAGTCTCTAGCCCATGGGATGGCCAGAATATCAAAATTGGGGATGTGCTCCTCATCATTTGCAGAATGATTTACCTATATCTCTTCCAATTCATTTCAGATGGATATGGAAATTTATACACATCATTAGACAATATATATCATCTATTATATAACAGTAATACCTTCCCCAACCACTAGAAATGCATAATACAAGGTATATCTCCTCCATCCCCTATTACCCTTTTTTAACATGTATTTCTGAAGGTTTTCTTTGAATTCTGGTGTTATTCAAAGGTTTTTGAGGTCTTGAAATACAATGGTAAAACATCTGAAGTGTTCTGAGGCACAGAAAAGTGATTTCCTATATGTGCTCCTCCTGAAGTGTAATATTATCATTACTACCATTTCTGGAGCCTGATAAATCGTTCCTATAGTCATTTTAGTGTTTTCAAGGTCAAGGAATTCATTGGTGACAATTCCAGTCTCATCTGAAGCTCAGAAAATAAAATAAACCATATGTGCACCCCAATCCTCTCTTCCTAATGTGCTTGTCTAATCCTAGTAATAAAATATGCTACAAGTGCTATAGAGGAATTGGTTTGAGATTTCCAAGGTCAGATAATCAATTGGTGAAGTCCTCTGGTCAATCCAATGCACGCATCTCCTTAAAAAACCCCAAAAGTGAATATTGCAGCCATTTTTGTGAAATTACCTATGCTACCCACTCTCCAAAATCCCCATACATCATCAGCAGGTCCACTTTTATGTTATTTAGGCTTATGAGCATTCTAGTACTGTTTCCTGACTCACCCAGCTACCAGAAGCCAGCCCAAATCTTATTATGACTGGAAAACAGCCCCTATGATTATTGTTTCTTAACGACTTCAAGAATTGGATGTGACTGTTACAGCTGACCAATTATGTGACCGTGATTCCGAGCTCGGAAGCTCAGTCACACAATTGGTCAGTGGTGACCATCTATTCTCAGTCACGCAATTGGTCAGCAGTGAGACCATGTGAAGGGATCAGAGGATCACATGACTCATACATGTTCACAAAGTAGGCCAATTTATTAGTGTGAGGTGAGGGTCTTGGTGCAGACATTGTATGACAGAAGAGATTTAAGGCTATGTTGAGGGGAAGATACATTGTGTGAATAGTAAGGTGTGTACTCACATGTAGTGTAGTGATGAGATACAAATGATTATTTAGATAGTTGGAACACTCCCATACTTTCCATGATTTGACACACACAAGATAGTGAAAGCATTTGATGCATACTGTACTATTACAACTGGATCTTCACAGGGTGTTATGTGTTATGCACATCTTCACAAAGTTACATCTTCATTATGATGTCATCTACCTTAATAGGCAGTCCAGCATTAGCTGAACCGAAAAAATAATGCTATATTTAGTAATTTAAGGCACCAAAAGGGCCTGTTACATGTTACGAAGTTCACAGATATTCACTTCACAGGGAGTTGTTATGTGTTATATGAATATCCAGTTGTAATAGTACAGTATACACTGGGGAGCAGGCCATATGTCTGCACTATGGAGATTCTGTATCAGACCAGTTATATGATAATCAGATAGATATGAAAAGTTATGATGATAGGACTGATGACTGAGTCTTTTTTCATCTGGAAAATCAGGTCAAGTGCAAGAGAGAGTGGTACTGATGCATTATATTTCTTGAGATAGGAGAGGAAGACAGACCCTACATCGCGCATATTATTAATATTAATATTTCTTGCAGTGAATAATCAAATACGATTTTGGTTATATATAATATACTTTTAGTTATTATGTATATTAGTATATATGATATAATGTCCAATTGTCCTAAATCCGTGACCCATTGTGTCCCAGGGGTACTCAGGTACCGATCTATTTGGAATGTCATTTATCTGAAGCGCGACCGTTAGGCTTTCCATAACAAATACAATGTCTTGGAATGCGGCCAGGACACCTGGACATACTCGGATTTGGACATTATCTCGTCGGCTCTGGCACAGGATATCAAAGCGATCTTGGGTTCTTTTCCCAAAGTTGCAGTCGTCAGCGAAAACCATCCCTACATATTTGCTCTCATGCTTGCTGTATGGAAGCTCGGAGGGACATTCATCCCTATCGACGTCCATGTGCCCGCTGAACTTTTGAAGGGCATGCTACATATCGTTGATCCTACCTGTCTGGTGGTCCCTGAGACCGATGTTTCCGACCAGCGTGTTGCCTCTGGTAAGGTTATTCATCTGATCTATTGGCATTTATTGACTCCTTTGTTCGCCTGCTAGCGATTGGCATACATGTTCTCCCCTTTGATGTGAATGCGTCAACCATGACTGCACTTCGACAGAAATACGCCTCATTTACTCAGAAAACCCGGCTATCTGGGTACCCACTTCCTCATGCTGATAGTGCATGCCTCTATCTCTTCACATCCTCTGCATCTTCTACTGCCAACTTGAAATGCGTACCTTTGACTCATACACTTATCCTCAGTAACTGTCGTTCCAAGCTTGCATGGTGGCGGCGCATTCACCCGGAAGGAGAAATGGATGGGATACGAGTTTTAGGGTGGGCACCCTGGTCGCATATCCTCGCCTACATGCAGGATATTGGCACAGTAACGTTCCTGAATGCTGGTTGCTACGTATTTGCGTCCGTCCCATCCACATATCCCGCACAATTGGCAGCGAATGGATTGCAAGGCCCAACTATTAATATCATCGATTCACTCCTCAACCGGCGAATTGCGGCATTTGCTTGCGTACCGTTCATCTTGAGTGAACTGAAAGCTATGTGCGATTCGGCTTCCGGTCCAGATGAGCATCCAACGTGCTTTAGAGCTGAGGAGAAAGCTCGCCTTGTCAGCGCTCTGCAGAGTCTCAGGATGCTCGAGTGCGGGGGGGCTGCGCTCGAGGCAGATGTCACGCGTTGGGCTGTCGAAAATGGCATATCAGTCATGGTTGGCATTGGAATGACGGAGACAGCCGGCACGGTGTTTGCAGCGCGCGCCCAGGACGCCCGTTCTGAGGGTTATTCTGCACAAGAAGCCCTCATTGCTGATGGAATATTGTCGCTGGTCGGACCTGATAACGAGGAAGCAGCCTTCGATGAGTGTTTCGTTGTTTAGAATTCTCGCAGGAAATTGAAACAATGTACAGAAGGGGAGTTAGTTGTGAAGAGCAAGCTCATTCCACACGGATACATCAAGTACCGTGATTCGTCGTTTTCGGTAGACTTGGATGGCTGGGTAACGTTCACTACGGGAGACAAATATCAGCGCACGCCAGATGGACGCTTCAAGTGGCTTGGAAGAAAGACCGATTTTATTCAGGTTCGTGAAAACGGTCTCACGTACTCGGAAGTCACTCTGATAGTCGGCATAGATGACAAGCAGCGAAACATTGGATCCCCGACCTATCGAGAAAGCTCTCTGTGCGAACCCAAGTATCGCAAATGCATGCATCATTGGCGATAGATTCCTGAGGGAGCCTGCAACCAGTATATGCGCCATTGTCGAGATCAGGCCAGATGTGGATATGCCTTCGTCCAAAGTTGACAGAGAGATTGCGAATGCCCTGGCTCCAATCAATCGCGACCTTCCTCCAGCACTTCGCATAGCATGGTCTCGCGTTCTCATAATTCGACCTCCTCAGAAAATTCCAGTTACGAGGAAAGGCGATGTGTTCCGTAAGAAGATTGAAGATATGTTTGGGTCCTTCCTTGGTGTTGGCATTTCTACCAAGGTGGAAGTCGACCATGAAACTAAAGGTCAGGTTTTTCCAAGCTATATAAGTCGTGCTGACGGGCAATATTACATATTCTAGACGATACGGAACATATCGTGAGACAAGTTGTGAGCAATCTTCTTGGAGTCCATGATCCTGAGCTATTGTCTGTTTTATCTTTCGCCGAGGTGCGTCTTAATTTGTAGTCAGACGATAACGAGTCCGTTTCATGACTTTTTCTAGCTCGGAATGACTTCATTTATGGCCGTTAGCATCGTCAACACCTTAAACAAACGTATCGACGCACTCAACCTTCCACCTAATGCCTGCTACATTCATATCGATCTTAATTCTCTTGTGGATGCGATTTCACTTGAACGTGTACATCGGAGTAACCCTGCAGACTTGCCTTCTAATCCGTTCCCTGTCTTCGAATCACATCAGCATAACGATAAGGACATTGTGATAGTGGGCAAGGCATTCCGTTTGCCCGGCTCATTGAACAATGCCACGTCTCTCTGGGAAGCTTTGTTATCAAAGAACGATTCGGTCATCCATGATATCCCACCCGATCGCTGGGATCACGCGAGTTTTTACCCTCATGATATATGCTTTAAGAAAGCAGGACTCGTCGATGTTGCACATTACGACTACAGATTTTTTGGCCTCACGGCTACAGAGGCGTTGTCTGTATCCCCGACGATGCGTCTCGCTTTGGAAGTATCCCTTGAGGCCTTGGAGAATGCAAATATACCACTATCTAAGTTGAAGGGGACGCGAACTGCTGTCTATGTCGCCACTAAAGACGATGGTTTTGAGACGCTCTTAAATGCCGAGCAGGGTTACGATGGTGCGTATATCTTTTGCTTTGGCCTAAGAATGATACTAATCTTAATCAAACTTTTAGCCTACACGCGATTCTACAGCACAGGACGCGCTCCGAGCACCGCAAGTGGCCGTATAAGCTAGTGCGAACATGTTTTTTTTTCAGCGAAGTTGTTCGGTGCTCATTTCACGTCTAGTCTTCTTGATATTCATGGGCCATCTGTAACCGTTGATACGGCGTGCAGTGGAGGCATTGTCTGTATGGACCAAGGTATGATCATGCAGTACTCATTGGAAATTTCGGTGTTGTAACCAAGATGCATGTATTTCTAGCCATCACTTTCTTGCAATCTGGAGGAGCCGATACCGCTATTGTTTGCTCGAGCAACACACACTGTTGGCCGGGATCATTTATGTTCGTAGGATACTTGACTAAACATCAACAACATCACTGATCTCAGATAGGTTCTTGACGGCGCAAGGCATGGTTTCTCCAAATGGAAGATGCGCTACGTTCACTACCGATGCGGATGGGTAAGTGTATTAGTTCTGAATATTAGAACCGATCTTACGTGCAGTAGATATGTACCTTCGGAGGGCGCAGTGGCTTTCATTCTCAAGACACGCAGCGCAGCAATACGCGACAATGACAATATACTCGCCGTGATAAAATCAACAGATGTATCCCATAACGGCCGTTCTCAAGGGCTAGTTGCACCAAACGTAAAGGCGCAGACAAACTTACACCAGTCACTACTACGAAAAGCTGGGTTGTATCCTGATCAAATCAAGTCAGTCGCGAGCACCTCTTGTTCAGTGAAATTGCTTATTTATCGATCACAGCTTTATCGAAGCTCATGGAACAGGTTCGATCGATTTCTAAGGCAGGAGACTGTTTTCTCATTTCTTATACAGGTACATCTCTTGGAGACCTTTCAGAAATCCAGGGTATCAATAACGCCTACACCTCACCCCGACCTCGTCCAGCTGGCCCTCTTATCATTAGCGCGTCAAAGACAGTGCTAGGGCACAGTGAGCCAACTGCAGGGATGGCCGGTATTCTCACAGCCTTGCTTTCATTTGAGAAAGAGACAATCCCTGGTCTCAATCACTTGACGGAGCACAATCTGAACCCCTCCCTTGATTGCTCTGTAGTTCCTCTCCTGATTCCTCACGAGCCTGTTCACATCGATAGTGCAAAGCCTCATCGAGCTGCGGTTCTGTCAGTTTTCCCGTCTTTTATACTTTACTTCTTATACTCATGGTGATGCAGGTCATACGGTTTCGCGGGTACGCTGGCCGGTGTCATCTTAGAGGGACCACCTTCTGATGCTCCACGGTCCTTGTCAAATGATACGCAAAAACACCCCATGATTTTCGTCGTCAGTGGAAAAACCGTGCCTGCACTGGAAGCGCACCTAGAACAGTATTTGGCATTTTTACGGGTCGCAAAAGCAGATGACTTCCATGACATCTGCTACACCACTTGCGTTGGAAGGGAACACTACAAATACCGGTTCTCTTGTGTTGCACGAAACATGGAGGACCTTATCTCACAAATCGAATATCGACTGACGACTCTTTCTAGTTCAAAACAGAAGCCTCGCGGCTCGCTAGGTTTTGTGTTCTCAGGACAAGGCACTTATTTCCCTGGTATGGCAGCGGCACTCGCTTCACAGTATTCCAGATTCCGAGCGCTCGTCTCCGAGTTTGGACAGGCTGCCCAAGAGCGGTCGGGTTATCCGGTTGACAAGCTGCTGCTTGAGGCTACCGATGCATTACCCGAAGCAAACAGCGAGGTCGACCAAATTTGCATTTTCGTCTACCAGTATTCTGTTTTGCAATGGCTGCAGAGTCTAGGTATTCAACCAAAAGCCGTCCTCGGTCACAGCCTGGGAGAAATTACTGCCTCAGGTAAATCTATTCCGTTGAGTGATGCACAATGCAGTTTACTGACATCAATCATCAGTTGCAGCTGGTGCCCTTTCTTTCGAATCTGCGTTGGACCTTGTGGTCACTCGTGCCCGTCTTCTTCGTCCTAGATCAAAAGATTCTGCGGGGATGGCTGCAGTAGCAGCATCCAAGGAAGAAGTTGAAGGACTCATTGAAACGCTCAAACTTGGGGAATTACTGAGCATTGCGGTTCATAATGGTCCGCGGAGTGTCGTTGTGTCAGGTGCATCAGCCGATATTGATGCCATGGTTGTCGCAGCTAAAGCACGGGGCTTGAAAGCCTCCCGCTTAAAGGTTGACCAAGGCTTCCACAGCCCTTACGTTGATTCCGCTGTTCCTGGTTTACTCAACTGGTCCAATGAACATTGCTCGGCCCTCTTTCCCTTGAACATTCCTTTATACTCGACTTTGACCGGCGACCTCATTCCGAAGGGAAGGAGATTGGGCTGGGATCACTGGGTGAGATGACTTTTAATATATTCGCATCATGATCTTACTTGTGCTCAGGTAAACCATGCTCGAAAACCTGTTCAGTTTACGGCAGCAGTCGAAGTCATGGACGAAGACCGATCCATCGGTGTTCTCGTTGACGTTGGACCCCAACCCGTTGCATGGACCCTCCTTCAAGCAAACGACCTCGTCAATACCTCTGCAGTTGCTCTATCCGCAAAAGCTGGAAAGGATCAAGAGATGGCGCTGCTCACTGCTTTGAGCTATCTCTTCCAAGAGCATAACCTTTCCCCCAACTTTCACGAGCTTTACTCCCAACGTAACGGTGCTCTCAAGAAGACACACATTCCCACCTACCCGTTCCGCCGTGTCCACCGCTATCCGACCTTCATACCGTCACGAAATAAAAGTCCTGCTGTCGCTAAGGTAGTTATTCCGCCTCCAACCGGCATCTCTGTACAAAGGAATGTGGATGCAGCATCACAGTCGAAGGTATCGGATCGCCGAGCTGCCTTGACCGCTTGCCTTAGAGCCATCCTCGAGTTAACACCAGAAGAGGAGTTTGGTACGCAATTGGTTCCATGATCAAGTGTATTCTGAAAATTGATCAGCGACGTAGACCTTTCTGAGACTCTCAACGCTCGCGGTGTCGACTCAATTATGTTTGCACAGCTGCGGAAGCGAGTTGGGGAAGAATTTGGCCTCGATATACCTATGATCGATTTATCAGACGTGTTTACGGTGGAACAAATGGTCGAATACCTTGTCGAACAGTCCGGCCCTGCTTCACTGAAGGACGCAGAAATTCCAGTTGATCAACCACTAGACGGAGAAGCTCTCCGGACAGGGCTCATTTCGTGCCTTAGGGATGTGCTAGAAATTTCCTCTGATGAAGAACTTGGTGAGTATCCATTTGGGTACCTGTTCCGTGCATTACTGAATCGCGTGTTACTCAACAGACCTTTCTGAAACTTTGAACGCTCGTGGGGTTGACTCGATCATGTTCGCTCAGCTACGAAAACGTATTGGGGAAGGGTTTGGTATAGAAATTCCGATGATATATCTGTCTGATGTGTTTACCATGGAGGACATGATCAATTTCCTCATCTCCGAGCGCTCGTAGGTCGGGTATGTAGCCACTACTAGTCAAGTCGTTCGCCGAGGTTTTTGTACTATAGCATATTTTCTACTACACGGATCTGCCATTTGCATTCGTAGATAAAGCATATTATGAACTACTTAATTCACCCTGCTAGCCTTATTCCAGAATGGAGTCAAGCTCGTGTGAACATGTCTGATATTTCGTTAAATGCTAGTAACGTTCCCGATAGCACGAGCATGAGCACAAGCAAATGATATAGTTATCCACATTATACCAGCAGGATGATGTATAGATATGTCCCAAATATAAAACAAAGCAGAATGCGTGATGAGATAACGATACAATAGTAGCAGAATATGCTGGAAGCGAACGAATACGATGTGGACGAGGATACGAAGACGGGAATCGGAGAAATAACTAAGTTAACTCAGCAATATCGAGAGGGATACCGCTTAAAGTGCCATGAAAGTCTCTCGACCCAAAGGCTAACGCCATTGCGATAGTCCTGCGACTCTCGAGATCCATCGAAGCATAGAACTGTTCACCGGAGTCAAATTCGATCTCGGTGCAGTCTGGCAGTGTCGCAATCTCTCGAAGGAGACTGTACAGGCTTGCCATGAGCTCGAGTGGGAGTCCAAACTTTCTGACCGATGTGAAAGAGGGAATATAGCGAATGAGGTCTGCACATATGGTGGCACGGCGTTGTGGACTGATAAAACATGTGGTAGGGGGTGTCACAACTAGTTCGCGGACGTTGAAGAAGGCAAGGAGAGAGGTCAGGGCCGAGTCGCCTATGATGTCGGCGGGAAACGCGAAAGCAAAGGAGGGGATGTTGGGGAGAACACCAACCGAGGAGAAACGGATTAGTTCCTGTTGTATCTCGGGGGACTTGTCCCATTCTCCCGTGGCAATCGAGCAGTTTACTTTCAGCAGGCCGGGGCAGTTGTACTTGACTTGCACAAAAGTCGAGCGTAGAAGCTCCCGGAAGAATTCCTGGGAAATGAACGGTCCTATATGCAAAGAGAGAGTGTGCAGTGACGAGTTGCAAGCTTGAGTCATGCTGTAGAAGGTCAACGTCGTGATAGGTTGCAGGGGGAGCAAGGAAATAGCCTGGTTGTTGGCAAATCCAGCGACTATCGTCGCGTCCCCGGGAGAGCTAGCGATGTAGGCAGTGAACATGACTCGAGAGAATAAGATGAGAGGCGCTTACGACGCGCAGGCCAGACAAAATTTATAGCTGAGGACGGCCACAGACTCTGCAAATCCCGTGACCCCGACAATGGCCCAAACGCAAACAGCACCAACCGGTTTTAGAAATGACCATTTCGGCGACTAAATGGTAGAAGACGGTAAAGGGGGTGTGAGTACTAAGAAGCTCACCTATTGACGACTAAAGCGATAGTTTGAAGCCAAGTTGCTCATAGCCCGATGATACCTGGGGTCGAACACCATAGCACCAGCTATATAATCGCCGAAAGACGCACTGCCTGCCGCAGAATCGATAGAATCCGACCAAAGGGCAAGAAGAACGCAAGATTGGAGGAAACGAAAGCAGATCAGAGAGAACAATGGACAATCTCCAGGGGGCCAAGCCGAGCAGGGACTGACAGGAAGCACGAAATCGGCCCAGATTGGAAGTCAGGGTAGCAACGTAAGCCTGAGGCTCATGATGTAAACTGACTTGATGGGGCAACGTCCATAAATGCGGCTTCTTCGGGGTATAAGACGATAGCTTCAGTCTACATACAGCCCGTGCTTGTGCCAGGTATGCACAGGTTAGAGGTAAGAAGGTTGTATAGTCGAGTCATAAGAAGACTGCAACCATTCCATTGATCAACAGATTAGCTTTCTTGCAGAGAAAGCAGAATACGCCGACTGGAGCTCCTGAGATTAAGACCTATTCCAGGCCAAAAGGCAGACAGAATTGCCGATAAATACTTGAAACCTTCTGAGCGTCAAGAGTTAGGATGGGCCACACGGAAACATTGAGGGTGACTCAGATACGAAGACCAAGAGAGCTAGAAGAGCAGGAAAGGTGAGCCAAGGTTTAATACTGGAGGATTATTACGCCAAAGTACAACATTCGACACGAGGGGCGGAAGCGGAAGGTTGTCGGCCCGTGTGGCTGTTGCGACGCGTCGATCACGTGCCAAAACGTCATAAGCCTTGTTTACAATTTGAGGAATTTTGTAACCGCTCACCAACAGACTTGGTCCAGGTACGGCCTTGTTTGCTTTTGTGACTTCTTGGTTCCGAACCATCAACTTCTACCCTCTGTTATCCTCCCTCGCCGTTCTTCCCCTTCCTCCCTCCGTACCACGATGCCTCCTCGACGTTCTACTCGAGCTGCCTCAACCAAACCAGCGTCGAAACCAGCTCCGGTGGCTGCTAAGCCTGCGCCACGATCTCGCACAAAAAAACGGCCTGCCTCTCCTGAGCGCGCAGCCTCACCTCCTGCCAAGAAGCGAAGCAAAAGTGAAGAGCAAAATATAGATCCCTCTGCTGAGAGCAAAGCTACAAAACCCCGTACTGCTAAAAAACCTAGAATCAAGGTGGCAGCTTCCGCTGAAGGAGTCCAGACAAAGTCTTATCTCAATCCTCTTCCTACGCCGCCGGAAGTCAAGCGACCCGGTCTACAACTTTTTGCATGGGGTGCTGGCAACTTTGGACAGTTCGGCATGGGCCCTGACGTGCTCGGGGAATTGGATAAGCCACGTAAACATCCATGGGCTGAGAAGCAAATGCAAGAGGGTGCATTCGGGTCTGAAGCCGCAGGGCTTGAAGCTGTGGCAGCAGGTGGCATGCACAGTCTCTTCATCGACGAAAGTGGCAGGGTCCGTTGGTCAGCCTGTTTTATTACTGCTGATCACTTACTCAATTTCGATGACTAGATATGGTCTTGCGGTCTCAATGACGATGCCGCCCTTGGGCGAGTCACGCAGGAAGTGCCTGATCCAGAGAATCCCGGGTCATTTATCGATATCGACACTTTGACGAGTATTCCGCATCCCCTACAGTCCCTTGTAGACGAAAAATACCGGGCGGTTCAGGTCGCTACTGGTGACAGTATATGTGCTGCCGTCAGTGCAGAGGGAGATCTACGGGTTTGGGGTTCATTTCGGGTACGTGGATCGCAGAACGTTAACGGTCATTAAACTGACGCATGTTATCCTCCAGGTCAACGAGGGTTCTCTTGGATTTTCCAATGGACTAAGACATCAGTTCTTGCCGGTACCGATATCGATGAATCTGATCCATAAAGTGGGCGATATTGAAAAGGTTTCGTCAATAGCAGCAGGCGGCAATCATCTGGTGGTGCTGACCACTCATGGCAACATTTACACATGGGGCGCTGGCGAGCAAGCTCAGCTCGGTAGAAAGGTGCTCGAACGCCGCAAGATTCACGGCACCGTCCCAGAGAAGGTGACTCTGGCAACCCGAGGTCGGAAAGGCAAAGTTATTGGTGCTGGCGTCTATCATTCCTTTGCTGTGGATGATAACGGTGACGTCTGGGGCTGGGGTTTGAACACGATGGGTCAATTAGGCACTGGCTACGACAGCGAGGCTGATTCTCAAGTTCAACTCCCCAAGAAAGTCCATAATTTGAGTCCTGCCGACCTGGGAGGTGACAAGGTCGTTCAGATCGTTGGAGGAGAGCACCATACGTTGTTCTTGACATCTGCAGGAAAGGTATACGCTTGCGGTCGGTGCAATGCCGGACAGCTTGGGTTGCCAGAAGAGACGCTCAAAGATGCTGAGCACAAGGACTTTGTACCGGAACCCGTGCAAGTACCCTTCCCTGATGATGATGATCCAGTTGTCTACATCTCTGCTGGCGTGCACAACAACATGGCAGTCACGAAGGATGGTGCGTTATACTGCTGGGGACAGGGCACGCAGGGCGAGCTTGGTGTTGCAGATGTTGAAGTCCGAACGCCGCGGATGATCGTTCGTCGAGAAGGTGGCTCATGGGCAGCCGAGAAGGTGGCTTGTGGAGGCCAACATACGCTTGGTTTATTCAGAAAAAAATAAACTACTCGGACATCGTGTTAATTCTTATCTACATCCAGTACACTGCCGTTACTCCTGCAAACGTACGCATTGTATTTATTATTTTATTATCGTCACTATAGGTTCCTGAATCCAAAATATTTACTGAACCATTGACACCTTGAGTTAGTTTGAGTGGACTGCTGACCGGGTCTATTTCTTTCCCGCGCCACAAACGCGTCGTGCCGGGATCTCGTGACGGGGTATATATAGGGCGCGCCGATTTTTTTCCTGCCATTCCATCTCTGCTTCCTTCTACCATGGCGCCAAAAAAGGTCAGTATTCATCTTTGTCAAATATCGCGTTCTAATGCGATATGAACAGACCGTGACTTCCCAAAGGCTACACATTTCTCAACCGAAAAATCTTTCTCTCCGAAAGGAGCAAGGCAATCCTGACCGACCTGCTTGACCAGGCACAAAAGAGAGATCCAGACGCGAATGATATGTATATTTACAATGGTACTAAACTTCCTTTTCTCCTCCATCCTTCGCTAACGCCCTCTTATTGGCCAGATTACTACTCATAGTGCTGTCCTGGACCTCATCGACACCACCATCAGCACTCTGAACAACAAAGTCAAGAAGAAAGCCTGGAACGACGCGATGGACCTCCTTGAGGCGCTTACTCTCTTTTTCGACATGGAGGATTCGTGGCCAAGTACGTGCTTCCCGCTTATAGTGACGCGTCCGACCTGACCTCCTTTCCATAGTGTGCGATGACGGCAAACGTATCACGCACACCGACAAAGCATACGGCTCGTTATTAATCACGGTCCTCCGCGCGCTGAAACAAGACGGCCGCCTTGACACGACCAATTATCCCAGTCTCGAAACCCTTCTGAAATACGCTGTAGGCTGGGGCGAATCGGTACCGGTAAATACTGGATACAGCGGTATCTGCAAGGCTATTGGCTATCGGCTGTTCAAGAACAAGACGGCAGAGCAGGTGGCGTTGGAAAAAGCGCGTGTGGATGAGTGGATGAAGGGGCTGGATAAGGAAACCAGGAAGAGGATGGAGGAAGAGGATGATGAGGACGACGAGGACGATGATGATGATGAGGAAGGCGGTTGGTTCCAAGGGGGCAACAAATGCAACGAGGACGCGACGATTAAGAACCTTGTTCTATCTCGCGCTTGGAAGGATTACAAAGACTATCTCCGTGGAGTCCCGTCGCGCCCGATGAAAGGTCCGGGTGAGTGGGACATCAGTAAGTGGACCTACGAGCAGAAGAAGCCGTTCCTATTCAGCGAAATGGATATATAGGACCTCGGCCATCATTCTGTTGTTCGTAATATCCTAGACCTACTCATAACTCCTCGTGCTTTAGAATTTGGTATATTAGTCTTACTCCATCGCATTGTACAATACTTTTTGTGATTTCTTATTTCTCGGAATGAACGTTGTACATGGTACTTGATTTGAGTATAAATATGTACAGATGTACCAGCATGGGCGTGCGATTATAATCCTCCGCGTTAGCATACGTCCAGCATAATCCAAAAAGACATTGGGTCGCGGATTTTACATATAGGTGGCAGCCAATCGTCCGACAATGTACGTCTCCGTGTTCACAGGCGGGTATTTGGCCTCCTTGCCGCAGTTAGGGAGACACGAAATCTCAGTGGTAAAGTTGGGGTTGGAGAAGTACGCAATAGACTGACGAGCGGGAGTGACTACCTCAGTCTCGCTGATCTGCTTTGCAGGAGGCGCCACGACGCGGTGCAGCGTGGATCGAAGAGTATCGTTACTCCATCGAGAAAGCAAATCGCCCACGTTGATGACTATGGTACCCGGCTAAAACGAACAATCAATGATTTGAACGGATGCGATGGCGAGGTATGAATATCAGACGTACGATGGGCTGAAAAGGTAGTCATTGAGTCATTGGCTTTTAAGAGTAGCAGGTAGGCATTGGGACTTACAGTGGCAGGGTAGTAGAGACCAGTGTGAGGGTCTTGGACTTCAAGGCCACCAACTTGGTCTTGGAAAAGCAAAGTAAGTGTTCCGTAATCTTTATACAAGGCTCGTCAAAGACCCAAGTTTAACAGGATTGCATCTTCCTACCGCTGTGGGCACCGGCGCGCGCCTGACCAGTCGCCCTCCAATAGTTTTCGCTGAATAGGAGGGTATGACAAGAGCCGGAGGTTATGATTCTGGTCATTAATCTTGTTGTCAAAATACCGTTCATCCAAATTAAGGCCAAGCGCTATGGAACGCATAATGTCAACATGAAGATAGTGGCAAGTCTGGACAGAACGTTAGCTTCACGCTAGAACAAGACAGCTTTTCCATACGATACCTGGAAGAAAGTCCAGCATCGTCTTCTTGAAACCGGGCGCGTCAGGTTTCCTCCGGCCACTGGTTCTTCCATGTTGCATCCCAGTCGCGCCCAATCTCCATTGATTCCTTAAAATCTGGGGCCTTTTCTCTCAGAGCAGCGATTTCATTGGGATCCGCAGACTGTGTAACACGTTCACGTCCTATGGTAACATAACCGCGGTTCGATCGGGGGTCCTCCCATCTTAGCTTGTCCTAAAGATAGCCGTACGTCAATTACGAGATGTATCACTGGCCTGGTCCTCCTGACCTTGGTATCTGGGGGTAGAGCGAAGAATTCGGCGCTCTATCATAGTCGTCATTAGTACGTACATGCTGTCGAACGACGTGAAGATACCTTTTGGAAAGCACCTCTTACGATGGCTGAGAAGTGACAATTACCGACCTGAACGACAAACAGGACGGTGGTACGTACCAGGGGGTATCCCATGCTTGTCGACGTAGATGAACCCACTCTCCTTGAACCCCGCCACAACCTCGTCCGCCGTCACCTTCCTCTCGGCCGATGTCCTTGCTTTCCGATACTTTGAAAAATCAATGACTGGGATACGGAAATCCTTCGCTACGGTAGCAAAACCGCGCTGTAAAGTAGTACAGCTGCGAGAGAAAGCAGAGAGGCGGGTCGAGTACATGGTAGACGGACGGGGAGAAGGTGATAGACATGGCCGACACAGATTGTGCCATTTTTAATTCACGGTGGCTTATCCTGGCTTATCTCGATTACGTGTTGCGAACTACCAAATCCGGACTACTGCCTTAATCTTCAGCAGATGGATACCAGTAAAAGCAAGTCTACAGCTCTGTTGCTAACCTGCTCGCTCTCTACGAAATTCACCGTTTTTCAGTATGAAAATTCCAAAAGTCAGCAGGGCATTCGAAACGAGTTACGATTCCATCCGCGGAAGGGTCACCCGCTAGACAAAAGTAAAACACGATCAAGACCATCGATATCAGCAAAGGCCCCTAGCTCAAAACTATTCGGACTCCTCTTATCAGAGCCTGAGATATGTGCTTCAGTGCGCTTTGATCAGATATATACTAGCTCAGTCAAACCGTCGGCCGGCCTTGATAACAACGGCACTTGAAATTGCCTATAACTAGTGATGTCCACAACAAACACTCGCCGTGGCGCAGTGATCTGGAACCCATGCTTTACTTGGAAGTGCACACAAATACCATTTCCCACTCAATGATTCCTTGCATTTGGCATTGTCAACAGTCGTTCTTTGTTCTTTGGCGAAAACCCCGTCCTCTACTTTGAATCGTGCGCGTCCATCAGAAATTAGAATGCAGAATCCGTCCTATTGTTTGCGTAAAAAGATGACATCTAACAAATTGTTATTAAATTCTAGGCGCCGTCGGTCATGAGAGATGCTGTCCATGCGGTGTATATCATGACTGTCCTCTCACGGACGCCCATATCCCATGACGCTGGGAGATCGCAGACGTCGGAATAAGGCCGTCATGGTCTTGCCTCCTTCTGGTCCCCATCTGAACTTACAATCAGAAAACTACACCAGTAAGCGAACCACGGAACTTACTCTCCGGCTGCAACCTCCTGACAGCACTGCTCAAACTCTTCCGACACGGAAACTTCTTCCCATTTGTCAACAACGTAATCCTACAGCAACCATTTGTCAGTAAAGAACTGCATCGGAAAGGTGTCCTTACCTCAACCAGGGATCGTAATTCATCCCATGATGAGGTTGCTAACAGTAACGCGAAACTCGATTGTGGGGTCAGAGTAGTCATCATATGCTCCAAAGCGAGATTTGCCAACGTTGGCATACTATACCGATGTGCCACCTGATACATGGACAAAGCCGACGCTGGAGGAGGCGGAGGAGTCGGGTGCATGTGAGGATCCGGTGTCGTATTACTCGCCTGTCGCGGCCTTTGTGACCGCGGGGAAATTGGATAGTGGCCCCCCGCAGAATAGTTAGGAGGAGGAACAGTCAGAGGGACTGGGGCTTGTTTAGACCGACTGGATGAAGTCCCTGAGATGTTTACCGGAATGGCTGAGGCGCGTCGAGGTGTAGTCGTTGTGGAGGTAGTGTTTGTCGTTGTGGTTGATATACGTGAAGAAGTTGCGCTCGCCGATGTCTTCGACGCTGATGCTAAAGGAGCTGGACGCGGACTCGGTGGTGTAGCTCTTATTTGCCCAGGTTGCAGTCCTGCAGGTCCGCTAGTGGGAGATCGGCTTCGCTCGGTGGCACTGTCCCCGCTAGTGGCACTCCGAGCATCAATGGACAGGTCATCTCCATGACCTGACTTGTGGAAAGTCTTCCAGTCCCATTCTCCGCCATGGGCATGCAACCATTTGGCACTCCAGCCACCTCCAATGCCTTCTACAGCAGCCCTTGGATCGTCGTGCTCTTTGAAGAGAAGCCAGTTTGCGCTATAAGGTATGTAAAGTACTTCAAATCAGAAGGGAGGTTAAGCATCAAGTAAATGCTCACTAGCAGAACTTGAGCAACCAATAAACGGTTTCAAAATCAGCCTCCTCGACAACGATGGTAAGAAGTTTACGTTCGCCCGATATTACTCCCTGATTCTCAGCGAATGAAGAAGCCAACATAGTGGCAAAGTAGTCAGATCGACGCGTTAGTATGTCTGAATGAGCATAGATGATGCGTTTACGCGCTGTAGTTTGAGTTGAGAACAGGGAATGGGAAGATGTTGAGGAGGGTGATCGGTGGGTCACAGGTGACGTTGCTTCAGGCGCATTCAAGGCTGGAGAGGAATGGATATCATTGGATTGTTTCTCAAGACATACGAAGCGAACATCTCCAGTATCTGCAGAGAGACCATTACTCGGAGAATGTCAAAATGTAGAGTACACTCACTGGGATTGTCTAGTGACGCTTCCAACCCATCAAGAAGATCTCGTGGGACATAGTAAGCAGAGGGATGAGACGGAAACAAGGGTCCTATCGGACAATGAATCTGAACACAGATCACGAACGAATCTGTCTCTCGAATACGCGAATTCTCCAACAAAGAGAAGAGTGAAGGCAAACTGCAGGCTAACAACACGTCGCTCAGCTTCAGATAATGTGAGCAAAACGAACCGGCCAGCTTACCCCAAACCTCGCTTTCTTGCCTGAACACCCAATCATTCTGCCAAAACTCCCATACCCATTCAGGGCGTGCACCTCGCTCGCCCGCCCGGTCATCCTGGCACTTGATCGCCGTCATCATCGAAGTGGGCATCTCATAATCGGGATGGGCAAAGTCTAGTGCAAGAGAAGTAATATAGAGCGACAACGTCTTGCTATCCACATCAGAAGGAGTTTGAGAACGCGCTATCTCCAATTTGAACTAGGAATCCACCGTCAGTTAGCACCCAAGTCAAACAAATTGCGTACTTTATTATCGCCCATTACAGGCGACTCTTTCAAAACTTCGAAATCGCCGTGTTCGGCGTGATCCTCAGCATTGAGGTTTTCAGATGGTTCTGGGTTCTCTGTGCCTTCGATGTAATCTCGCAGCTTGCGAATGTCTCTAATAACCCATTCAAGTCCCTACAAAAGAGGTGGGATTCGAGCATTTCATGAAAGAAGCAGGCGACCCAGCGTACCATAAAGGTCCATTGACGCGTGCTCTCCTCTGGGGCGGGCGGTACATAGCCCATCGTGGATCCGGTGTTGTGTCTGGCAGCAGGGTTCCACGCCGAACTACTTCCTGGAGGCGTGACCAAGGCCTTGGGGTCCCACGATGTCTGAGGCGACGAGCTGGAAGAAAGAGATGTCAAGGATGATGTTCGTGGATATCTGAGATGGGCAGCAGACGACCAAGGCCAGTCTGGACGGGACAAAGAAGAGATACGGCTAGGTGATGAGGACAAAGGCGATGATATACGTTGATATTCGGACGCCGACATCGTGGTTAAAGAAAACAAACGGAATCCAAGTTAGGAGACACCGTTTATTGCATCAAAGACAATATTTATAGACGTCTGACCGTGCAACTGGTGATACAATTCAAAATCCTACGTAGCAGTAAGGTATATGACATTCAACTAATATGTCTCCCAAAATATATCAGGCAATACTTCCCTCATCACTATCGGGTAATATTAGCGACCACAGCACATTTAGAAAGTAATACACCCACAAGTCCAGTGATGATGCCCTTGTGCCTCTTGAAGGCGTCCGAGTGGGTTGTTTTCATCGGTCAAAATATACTTTTCTTCTTCCTCCGCAGTAATCCCTTTTTTGATGACGTTCAAGTTTATCTCGCGGGCGTTAAGAGTAGACAGGATGTAGCGACGGAGCGGCGAGCCTAGAAAATCGTCGCTTGTAGCGGCTCTGAAAGTCAAAGGACCTGGGGACATAGTACAGAAGAATACCTATGAGAATGATCAGCAGCGAGCTCCTTATTTTGTTTGACAGTCCACTTGCAACGTTGATATATTCTTTCTCGTACTGATCTTCGGGAAGATCAGCCATAACGACATCGTGGAACGCTCGGCACCGTCCAAAGGCTTTGGACAAGGTATACGAAATCATTCGCATAGGTTCGGACTTAACATGCCCAACGAAATTCTAACACAGAGTACTTGAGCAAAGTGGACAGATGAACTTGTGGACTGACACTCACAACAGCTAAAACACCATCAGGATGGATAGGTACTTCTAAGGTCATTCCAGAACTCCATTGTGTAAATGTGCTCAGGCACGCCACCTCCGGAGAAGCAGTCATGGACCACAATGTCGTATAGAGTCTCTTGAACTCCAGCATCCACACTAGCACGCTTGCGAGCAGCCCAGGTTCTCGCATCTTCCAAGTACACTTTCCCAGGACCAGGATCGGGAAGGCCGAACCATTCCCTAGCAGCATCATACACAGCTGGATCGATCTCCACGATGGTTAGAGACATGTTATGTCGGTGAAAAGATGTAGCGGAGATACCAGCTCCTAGACCACTACAGACATTTAGCACTTGGGACAATGTCGGCACGGTCAAACTTACATTACCAATGCGTTCTTCCAGTCATTTTTGGCCGTGCTATTTACCAATCGAGCAGCTTCCTGAAGAATGAAAACGCCATAGATAGAGTCGCCCAAACGATGATTATGAGAATCAAGTAGAGGGGGAGCGCCTTCTAGGGTCATAATCTTGGGTCCCATCCACACACCCCCAAGGAATGAATGAGCGGCACGAAGATAGCGAACGTGCGACATCTTGTTGTCGGGATGATCTGGGTCACTAGATAGAGAAAGCGCTTGTCCAACCACAATTAAGCCTGTGGTTGATTGAACAGAGGAGTGTATCTGCATTGGATAACTAGGATGTGTATATGTCTGTCGTAGAGGATGAGGAAGCACCGGAGAATATAGATTTGGATAAACTGAGTAGGAAAGAGCGGCGGCCAGCGAGAGAACGATGGACTTAATCTGTATCGGAGTGAATGAGGTTGCAGACTTTCGGTGTTGCTTTTTGGAGGAGGTTTTGGGAGAAGGGGTAGGCGATACATCCATTTGAATAATTGAAAGACACAAGAAGAAGAAGGAAAGCGCTAGAAACTAGAACGGACGTGAGCAGACTCATGCTTGACTGTGGGAATCGACGTACAATGAAACTTTCGGAGAACGCGTTCAAAGCACTGATTTGCGACCAAAATTTCTTCATAATCTTGAGGGCAATTGAAGGTATAACCACTGTTTGAACCGAGTGGGACAGCATCCTCAATATGCGTGGCGACTGCCAGCTTGGTCAAATGTATTTCACGAGACCTGACCTGCGCTCACCTTCCTGCCGCTCCCAACCATAAAACTCGAAAGAGCAACGACCATTGGAACGAGCACCAAGACATGAGTAACTGCTGGTCCCCACACTGGATCTCGATTCCTGGCCGACCAAACGGCTACCCAGTACGTGGCATTTGGTGCTGCTGCGAATAGTAGCACAGAGAACAAAGCCTTCTGGCTGAGTGAAAAGGTAAAAGGCTGGACAGCTGAGATGACGAGCGCTGCTACTAGTATCTTGTCCAAGAGATGGTTTGTCGGCACGGAACTGTAGATGGGCACCAAGGCACGCTCATAGATGAAGACGACCAGCGAAAGAGGAAATATGGAAACCGCGACGTTGACTAGATGCTGGAGGTGAGGCATCTTCTTTCGGGCGAAACATTCGACGCGTTCAGTGAGTGAAGGAGGCTGCTCGCTGTGCTTGTCGCAGCCAAGGATTTGGAATTGCCTTGCTTGTTGTGTTGTCAGGTTTGGGTTGCATCAAGGATTTTTCCCATCTTTCTTACGAGAATGATGCTAACGGGCGGCGACGACGACAACGGGTGGAGGTCGATTTGCTTGGATGATGAACATATACAGGGGTAGCTAGAATCGAAGAGATTTTTTGTGAAATATTTCTGCCTTTTTTCTTTCACATTTTTTTATTCTTTCTGCCCTGAACATATGTAGCCTACTGTCAAGCTCCGTACCACCTACTGTCATCAGCTGTGCACCACTGCAGTACCTCATCGTCATATGCATGATCCGAGGCGTTTCAGGCCCTCAATGAGCGCTAATAAGCGGAACTTGCGTTCGAATAACGCTCGAGAACCTGAAGGATTACAGCTGGATAGCGATGCATTAGGGGGCTTTCGTCGGGTGCTGCCGCCTTTTGCGTCGCTTGGCCTTGTGCAAACGAGCGGAAATATCCAAGAAAGGTCTAGAGCAACGTCACCGGACCTTCAAAATTTCAGGAGTCATGTTGGCGTCATTCTGGTGTTAATTTAAATACGCGTCTTGGGTGTCGACCCATCTCTTCATTTTACCACCATGGCTGATCGTTCGCAATCTCGAGGTCGTGAATTCGTGAGTGAATCCCCATCGTTTCGAGCTGTATATACTAAACGCTTGCTGCAGCAATCATCAGGAAGAGGGGGGCTTGGAAATATTCGCCCCACATCCACGTCGAGGGACAGGCCTGTCGACGGTCCCGATGATTTTTCCTCGACGAGAGGCAGAGAGCCTGCCATTGAGCCCACCAAGGTCCTTGATTTTACTCGCGATGTCTTATCATCGAACTGATGTCGAAGATAGATCTATTCGACTGGTCGTGGAGGTGCTGGCAACATTCGCTCCCCGTCTCGTGACCACAAGGAGCATATAGGACCTGACCGTCACGAGAGAGAGATCGTCAGAGAGCATGATAGGCTCGAAAAGGACGCACCGGTATGTCACTCTTGACGCGGTTGATACAAGGACCTGATATCTTATCTCCTAGCACTCCTTTGGCCGAGGGGGATTGGGAAACATCTCCCGCTCGCGATCTCGTGGTCCGGCTCCTGTGACTCCACCCAATGTGCATTCTCCTGGTCGTGGCAGTCTTGGAGATGGCACCGGCCCCATTTACGAAGACCAAGAACAGCCACCTGTTGGCAACCCTCGGTGAGTTCTGATCGAATCTTGTCTTTTGCACGTCTTCAATTTTTCACCTGCAGACACTCCACTGAACAACATGGTCCAGGTGCCCATGAACCTTTTGGCTCTAGGGACCGCTCCGCTTCTCGCGATCCGGAGCATCGTGGCTCCTCTAAAGACAGGCACGGACTTTCGGGCTTGTTGCACAAGGTTACCCATCCTAATGAACCTCGCAACTGAGGAAGAAGATGACCAAGTAGTATACGACGAAGAAATCCAAGATCAAATATCGTAATCATATGTATGTCTATTTGTATAATGCCAGGAACTCTGAAATACTGTGTTGAGCGCCCAAATGCGCAGATGCTTGAGACAAGAATTCCAAACGAAAATTTAGGTTGCCAGACTTATGGCCTGCGCAGCAACCTCACAAGAAGTTCACTGACAGATTCTGCCGTTCACCGCTTCTATCTTTGAATCAGGGAATGGCCGTGACTTCGTTTACGCTTGATCTACCGAATCAGCCGCACCTCACTCTCTCGAAAGCAAGAGGAGTTCATACCGCGAGGTGCACTTTAGCGGCGAATTCTGGACCTTAAGCACGTCAACGACTACACGGAGAAATACCGTTGTTTAAGAAGTACAACAATCTTAATGATGCTATGACATGCATTCAAATGCAATCTTAACACAGCTGCGCTAATAAAATGATTGGACGATCTTTTCATTCTTCGAGCCTGGCCTTCCGTTAGACTTGCATAGCTGGCTCGTATAGCGAAACTCGCGCTGCGCGGGAATTGCTTATACAGCTCGTATGCACATGGTAAGGAACAACGCCTTGCTGGAAGGGCATAAATACGAAGACGCGCTGAAAGTCAACAATCAGGACAACACCTCGAGCGCACAGAACTAGTATCCGATAATTGAGGCGAGTCAAACGCAACTAGCATCATGACTGTCACTGATGACAGTCGGCAGATATCATCATGCCTAGCAAGCCTAGCAAGACGCCAATGACTCCCTCCAGCGCCTCGCGCATCCAGTCCACTCAGGTATTTACACCCCGTTCTCATGTTGGCACCGTCGCTGATGAAAGCGTCGTCAGGCAAAGACTGGGAGTGCTGGCAAGAACACCTTCGCCTCTCGCGCTCAAAGCGCTGGGCAGACCAACGCCAATAAAGGCCTCGTTGGGGGCGGCGCACCAAAGAGCGCCGGCGCCGGCGGTGGTAGCTGCTGGTAGTGGGAATAAGTCACCGAAGAGCAAGTGAAGAAGGAATACTAGACCGGATTTGTGAGGGGGCGCTTGATGTTTTCCCATCGATGACTTTATAGTGACGCCAGTAGTAATTCATATCCATCAATCAGTTCACCTGTTGATTCATACAGCCAATTACTTTTCTTTTTTAATTAAGCAAAAGCAGCTTCAAGCTCCATAGGGAGTGACTCCATTAACGACAGCTTGCGAGATTCGAGTGGTTCCCAACCAAGAGTATATAGACGATTGGTTTTAGCGTATTGACTGCCTCCTAAAAGCGACCAGCCATCTGCCAGGGAATTTTCAGCAAAAAACACAATGAAACTAAAGGGGGGGCATACAGTATCCTAAAGGATCGACAATTTCCGTGGGCATAGGCTTGGACCCGCCTACGGTTGCGAGCCCTTTGTCAAACATCCACTGTATGCTTGCTGTTAGCACGGAGACTCGAGGTACTTTCATACATACATAGCCTACTGCAGACGCCCACTCGTGCATAGGTATCATAGGTTGGTCAGATCCAACAAAATCTAGTAAGCCTATGGATCAGGATGTCCACTAATAATCGTTAACACATTATATACTCACAGAGCCCTTCAGGCCCTTCTTGAGCTTTACCATCCAGGGCTGCTTTCAGAACTGTCAAGCAAGCCGAAGCACAATCTTTGACATGCACATTAGGCATGACATTGGCGCCAGGACCCCAAGTCCCAGCACGGCCAATCTGTTTATACATGTCTCTGAAATAACGAAGAGGCATTGTTGTTTTCTGTACGCCTAGAATCCATTTCAGGGCGCAAAAATAATCTGAACAAAAGAAAGCAGCATACGTTCACCTAACCCGTACATCCATCCGGGAAACAGAATCATCGTGCGAACGGGGTTCTGGCTGCGTGTTCCTGCATCTACGATAGGGATGTCCGACTCCAAGTGCGTGTTAGAAGGGTCGCAGTCTCGCAGATTCAAATCCGTATCGATCCACCATTTGATGCTGGCAGGGTCGACGGACTCTCCGCGGCAATTGTCGCTCAAAATTCCAAGCCCTGATACGTGAATATAGATTGGAGGACTCCCAGGGTGGTGGGCAGAGTTTTTCTCGAGGCCAGCAAGAGTCGCTGGGGAAGAGAAAGGGTTTATCACAAAAATTCCCAGCGGAATGTAGAAAGACGCACCTCTGACGCTAGGCCAGTGATCAGAACTAGCTGTATTAATTACTATCGGGCATTTTGAGGACCACTCTTCAATAATCGCATTGTCGTCTAGGGTACCCTCAACGAATGTAACGTTTGGATGCAGTTCTGACACGCTGGCTCTCCTACTTTCAGATGAATTCCTCAACAGAGCGACGACAGGATACGCAGGCAGATCACGTCCAAGAGACTTTAGCAAGTGACCCCCAAGAAAGCCTGTGCAGCCCAGGAAGAAGATCGAGGGTAGTTCACCAGGTTTAGACATTTGTGGGAGTATTCATACGACATAAATACTTATACGGACGAACATGCCAGAGCGAGACTGAGCTGGGCCGGGAGTCCTCGCACATGATAGGCCCTCGGTAATCCCTTTTGTTTCAGCGTTGCCGCAGAAGACTCCACGAATCTGGTGACCTAACGAGCTTGACTTGTTATGGGATTCTTGGTCCCACACTAAGGTTGCCAGCACGGACTTGAGTGAAGAGAAGAGAGAAAGGCCTGGCACTCACGTGGTCGATAATGGCCCTCGAGTCATGCGAAGCTTTGAAGTCTTGTTACTTTGATACTTATAGACTGTACACACCTCGTCGGTTATAATTCCTAGCGGTGCGCTTGTCATAGGACCACGCGAAGGACTACGCTCATTTCATGTTCCTCTGGCTCAGGGTCACCTTCTGAGCGACAGTGGCTTTCACTACGAGGTAATACATACCTTTTACTCAAGCAGTCTGCGGAACGGGTAGTATTGAGGACTATTGGAAAACTAGTTTGATCCGCGAGCATATTGATTTGACTTCCCGTAGTGCAACGATGATATGAGGATACAAGCGATAAATGCAATTATGTACGTGCTTGGGAGAAACAGAAGGAGTCCTTGTTGGATTGAAGGACAATAATGATCGATAAAGGAAGCGATGGACAAGCGAAACTTGAAAGCAAATAACACGAGGTGCTGTACGTGAATAGTGAGCAAGAGGAAAGAGTCTCATGTGAGTCGGGTATAGAAGAGGCGAGAATTGAGCATCCATACATGATATATTAAACATCTCCACGTCGTAGATGATAATCGACAGTCCATACAGAGGTGCTGGCAATTCTGTGTCATGAATGCACGCCACGCGTGGAACGCGATGTAGAGCGCGTGCTCTTCCGCCTTGGTCGTGGCTTAGTTGGACTACCTGACTTCTGGTCAGAAGAGCAACTATGGGCTGTTGATCGAGAAGACCGACGAGGCCGAGTTCGAGGTGACTCTGATTGAGGAAGAGGAGAAGGACGTTTACGCAAACAGTACCGCGGGGAGACCTCAGCAGAAGAACTGGGAATAGTAGCAGGAGGTGTCGCAGGAGGGGAAGAAGGAATTGGAGGTGAGGGGGCTCTGATCGGGCAAGGTGACGCGAGACGAGGAGCAGTGACTGAGGCGGGAGTCGGCGAGTTGGGAACAGAGACGGCGACAGGTTCAATATCCATGTCGTCCTTCTGTAGATCGACGAGACGCGCAAGTCCCAGTTGCGCCATCGAAATAAGATCTGGGATAGTCGCCTGCGACGCTGTGTCCAGCTGAGAAGCGGGGATTGAGCTGGTATCTTTGAAACCCCAGTTCAAGGACCCGTTGGGCGTGACGAGAGGGGTGTCGACGTACGGCTCCGACTCTTGTGAGTCATAAATGGGAGGCTGTGAAGACGGTAAGAGTAACGGTGGCAGCTTTGTGATATCGGAGTAAGCAGGCATTCGTTGGCTAGGCGGCTCTTCAATGACCGGCTCTGTATCCACCCTCTGCAACTTTGGTTTCTTGCCAGCCGAGAAAACATCCTCATTATCAACATCCTCTTCACCAAATCGACGCAGACGTTTAGGAGATCTCATCAGACCTGACTGCGGTGGCTTGCGGCGGAAGGGTGGGATTGGGGGTAGCTTGCTTTCATAGGCAAAGTCTCGTGCTTTGATGCCAAACTTTGCAAGATCTTCAGGCTGTGGCTGCGGCGTTGGTTGCGCAAGGCGGGCTCTCTTCGGAGATGAAGGGCCAGCTTCCTGCGAGCTTGCGGTCTTGGCAACGTTATCTTGAGGATGCACTCCGTTGACCATGGCTCGGTCACTCACAATGGACTGGACAGCATCGTGTCTTGTGAGATTCTCGGTTTCCTGCAAGATGCGCGCGCTTGTAGAGGTCGGGAACCGCTTCGGCTGCTGAGATGACTCGATCGCTTGAGCCATGAAGTACATTCAACGGGAACTTGATGTGCTCTTCAACTGGAACCACCTTGAAAGGGTAGAGATGCTGTATTGGGCTCGACGTAGAGCCAAATGCGAGGTCTTTGACGCCGTCTGCCACGCAAACAAGGTGGTGGTAAAAGTTTGAAACGCTTTTCAAGCTCAGCGACACGTAAATGGCCTTTATCACGTGATCGTATGATTATATAACCCACACTTTGCTGAATTTGGAGCAAGACACTTTACGTGCCTTACTGTCGCGCTATCGTCTTATTATTCTGTCACGACTCCTGGAGCCGACTCGAAGGAACACCAATTGCATGAATTCCCTGTCAAGTTGGCAAATCCAGCCCTGATCCTCGCAGGAACTGGTATGTCGTCTTATATTTTCTTCCACGCTGTTTTCCTAGGATGCGTTCTAGCTCCCCTTAGGCCGTATACCGGAATGTGGCGACGTGCATGGAAGCCAGTGGCAGCAACAGTTGCGATTGGTACTCCAGCGTACTTGTATTACTACAGAACGACGCCAACTTTTTCCATTCCTATCCGGGTCAGAGATTCGGACGGAAAGCCGGCCATGTCGACTAAGGTCCTGCCTCTTCTCTCCATGGAAGAGGTCAACAAACGTTTAAGCGAACGCGCGAATTCTGAAAGGACGCTGCGGCCAGGACGGCATCGTGTGGAACTACGCAAATGCAGCATTGCCTTCGAATGATCCTATTGAAGACGCACATTCAGAACAGATCATCCAAAGAGACGATGCTTCTGGCGACTACCTGTTCTTCGCCGTTATGGACGGGCACCGTGCCGGAGATACCTCCCATCTGCTTTCCCTCATTCTTATTGAAGCGGTTTCTCTTTCCCTCTCTAAGCTCATCTCGAATTCCTCTTCAACGACCCTTACTGGATCCGCTCTTGACCGTGTCAAGTCAGTTGTTGGGGTCGGGTCGACTCCGGACGCTGATCCGTATCGTGTCTCCCTCGCTATACAGGATGCATTCACTGACCTAGATCGTGAACTCATCACTGCTCCCCTCCGTGTCCTCGCCAGGCAATGTAGACCGATCAAAGGGTATACCAGACCTCAGTAAACACCCGCTTGCATTGAAGACTATGCTTCCGGCCATCTCAGGTATGGGCGTCTGTTCCGTTGTTTATCAGGATTCTTATTCGCTATCTAGGCAGCTGCGCTCTGATGGCTGTATTCGATACAGCTCACAAGGACCTATACGTTGCTTGTACGGGAGATAGTCGTGCCGTTGCTGGTGTCTGGGAACCAACTCCTGACGGCAAAGGTCACTGGCGTGTCGATGTTCTTAGTGAGGACCAGACAGGCAGAAACCCAAACGAACTGAAGAGGTGAGCTTCCTTCATGCTTGGGCATACAGCACATTGACCTTTACCGTAGAATGCAGGCAGAGCATCCTAAAGATGAAGCAGACACGGTTATTCGAAATGGCCGGGTACTCGGAGGCCTAGAACCTACGCGAGCCTTCGGTGACGCGCGCTATAAATGGACACGCGAAGTGCACGATGCGTAAGGCATGCTGTCGTCGTCTTTGGTCTCGCTCTCACATCCATCTAGTCTCAACCATGCATTCATGGTCGGCAACGATTTGTCTTTACGGAGCCAGCCTCAGACTCTGAAAACACCATCTTATGTGACCGCACGACCAGAAGTTACCCACCGCAAGCTATCTTTCGACAAGTCGTCGCCGGAAGCCATTCGGTTCTTGGTCCTAGCTACTGACGGCTTGTGGGACGAGCTCACGTAAGAGACTGTCCCCTCATTTTATGCTGAACTAATCCCGTCTTACTTGAACAGTTCTGAGGAAGTCGTTAGCCTCGTTGGCGGTCACTTGGCGGGCATCAGAGGTGTCATTCCGAAGTCCGAACTACCTTCTCTTGTACCGACGTCCATCAAAACTAGTGGTGTAGAGGGTAAGGATAACCGTCGGAAGCGAAACAGTGGATCGTGGGCATTCCGTGATGAAAATGTTGGTACACACCTCATTCGTAATGCTCTCGGAGGTGGTGATGAAGAGTCACTGCGACAACTGGTGAGCATTCCGGCGCCATATTCTCGGAGGCATCGAGACGATATTACGGTCACTGTTGTGTGGTGGGAAGAAGGACGGGAAGAGGATGCACAAGTCACAACACCTACGAAAGCCAAGTTATAGATTCTGTACTAATATTAACGGCTAAGTCTAGAAATTGGAAAAGCTTGTTGACGTCCTCGACCCGAGATCGAGGAACAAGACGGAGGCCGAAGAAGGATTCTTACGGTAATTAGTGTGAATTCTGATGATGAATTACTGTTGTCAGTGTTTGACGCACGTCCTGTGAGACAGCGGACCACGTGGAATTGTTTGTTCTTGCTGGCGCGTTTTCAACAAATCTCTACCCTGTTCCCCTTTGCCGGTACCCGACTTTACGCTGCCTTCGTTTTTTCCCCTTGCATGCTTCTTTCCCTTTTCTCTATCTAGACGTTTTCTCTCTAGACTCCCAACGGCTGCCATGCTGGCGTCTCCTTTGTATCCTGCTCCTTCTCCTGCTTTTTCTCCTTCCCACTCGAATGGAGACGATCAGCTCTCATGTAGACCTTCAAGAGATTTAGAGGCCTTCAACAGCCTTCTGCCCCCACCAGTAGAGTTCATCGAAGGATCTTCTTCAGGGACTTTGGCTGTGGCCGAAGGCAAATACGAGCCTATAAATGCCACGCCTACACGGAAGGCGTCTCCAGTGAAGGAGGTACGTGGGATGCCCGCTGTTTGTTGATCATCATTTGATACCATGTCCAGCAGCCCGTACTTTCCCAATCTTCCCCTGTCCTTTCCCCCAAAGTCACCAAACGATCAGCCGGCAGAGCAGACGTTGACGCCCAGTCCCTCTTCGCAGGCGAAGTCGACACAGCTTGGCCCCCCAAATTTAATATCGGATCCGGGCTGTTCAACAATGGCAATACATGCTTCTTGAACAGCGTTCTACAATGTCTCATTCACACCCCGCCACTCCTTGCTGTTCTTTACGGTCACAATGAAAGCTGTGAGTATCCACCTTTCTCTTACAGTGACGAAAGGTAGATATCCGTGCTGCGTCCAGTGAGGAGTCCAATGGCGGGTCCATCTTGAGCATATCTTGATGCGTGACTGTCTCTGGTCGACCAACATGACTCAGCGCGCCTATCTGGTTTTCGTCGCAGGGGACGTACGAGACAGTGGTTAATAACTCATGAAGGTCGTGTCAAGAACGTCTTTTGTATGGCTTGCAACCTGCGGTCGGTTTGCTTTCAGGCCTACTCCAACAAGTCGGCCTTCTCCCCGGGACTAATTAGCACTAAGCTACATCGTGCGTTCTATCTTCATTCCGCTCTTCGCCATCTAATGAATGTCAGTTATCGCCAAGCACCTGAAGCGAGGTCGACAAGAAGATTCGCACGAATTTCTTCGATATGCCATAGATGCTTTACAGAAGTCATGTCTATTCGGCTATCCACCGTAAGTACACTTTTAGGGTACGCCGCAACAATTTCGTCATATTTGGATCTTCACAGAAAACTCGATCCCAAGGTTGCGGAGACAAGTTGGGTGCACAAAATATTCGGCGGCAAGCTGCGGTCTCGAGTGACATGCCAATCGTGCGGCCACAATAGCGACACGTACGATAGCAATCTCGATGTCAGCCTCGATATCCACAGAATGAGCACGGTCAAAGAAGCTTTACACAAATTCGTTGCCCCTGACTATCTGAAGGGCGGCGACAAGTACAAGTGCGAAAGGTACGTCAATTTTGCTTTCTTGTGTTTCGGCTATCAAACCAGTCAACAGGTGCAAAAAATACGTGAATGCGGAGAAACGCTTTTCAATACACAAAGCGCCTCTCGTTTGCACTATCCACCTTAAACGCTTCTCGCCTATGGGTAACAAAATCGGTCACCAAGTGAATTATGACGAGCGCCTCAGCCTTGCCCCGTATATGAGCGAAGGAGAATTCGGACCTCTCTACAGCCTATATGGTGTCATTTGTCATGCTGGGGGTGGTCCAAACTCCGGACACTACTATGCCTTTGTGAAGAGCAGATCGGGCGATTGGTATGAAATGAACGACGAGTCTGTGACCCGTGTTCACCAGACACCTGTGCGGAAGAATGCGTACATTCTTTTCTATATGCGGACCAAGGGTGAAAGACTACAGGCGGCCCTCAGTCGTAACTGATAAAGCGCCGCCTGTAGCCAACGGTGTACACCCGTTAAAGGGAATCACTGTGGGCATGAAGAAGCGAAGGGTTAGAGAGGACGAAGACGAGGAGGACACAGGTGTCAAGATGTCGAAACCATTTATCGGACCGCTCTTACCGACAGAATCCGACAAACCTGGTGGCCCTTCGGATGCCAAACGCCAGAAGCTAAGCTCTACCAATGATCCACAAGCCGATGCTGTGAAGAAGAAGATTGAGTCGGCGCAGAAAACGTTGTCCAATTTAGCACAGTACGCTAGCGACGACAGCGACGAAGAGGAGGCGAAAGAGAAGAAAGATGACGAGGAGAAGGATAAAACTGAATCTCAAGAAACCTTAGGATCCGCTTCTCCGCCCAAACCATCTTCTCCACAAACCACATCGTCCGCCCCGTCTCGGTCAACGTTCTCTTCACCCATACCTCCAAATCGATTCTACAGTACCCCGAATAACAAACAAAAAAGGCATGGTCCAGGTTCCGGGAACTCCAGGGACCGTTGGCAGCAGTCCAAGCAGTATAGCTTCAATCCGTACAACAGATTTCTGTCAGGGAAGAAGGGTAAAGGAAGACCTCGACCGTTATGACGGACAGTAGCTTTGTTTAATAACGTTATCTTAATGTATCAGGTTACGCAACGCCCTCTGCCTCTACATACAGAATATTTGACCGCCGTCGGGATCTGCTCTTTTGAAGTAGGTGCTCTTTCCAAATTTGGGAGTTGATCGTCGGCTCCGGTTTTGACTCGAACTTTCAAATACTATATGTTACTTGCTACTTTACCTCCGTGAAGACCAAGCAATATGGCAGACTCTCCTCAAGGTGTGCTTGTAGCTAGATCTAGAACCTGAAACAGCTCACAGATGGATCAACCTCTCAAGAATCCTTGGTGTACGACCCTGATCAGGATGTCGAAAACATACGCGCACTTCGAACGGACTATAGATCCCTCACCAAAAAAATGGAAGGTAAATAAATACCCCACTCTTTGAAAGATATCTGCCCTCCAATATCTCCACTCTTCAATACGTGCATCTACAGAGTACCGATCTAATATCGCAAAACTGAGTATAAATTAGATCGAACAAGATGTCGGAAAAGCAGACATATTATTCAAGAAAGGCACGTATAGCATCTATAGTCCAACCTCGAAATTATCTTTGTTGTAGTGAGAGCACCTCAGGAAGCCGCGCTAGATTCCGCTTTGTTGCTACTAGCTTCCGGCCTAGGAACACAAAAGGCCCGCGCAATAAAGTGCGGGGGCGTATCCTTCGATGCTGATGAATTAGTCACCAGACTTGTCACATTCATGGGTGGTCGCAGGTTTGAAGACGTAGTCAACCATGACTCTGACTCTGGTTCGGAAGAGGAATATCCCGATACCACAAGGGCCCTTGATTGGCAAAGGATTGGACGCCGAGCTCTGGCAAAGAGCCGCAGAGTGCCTGCTCCAAGTTTCATGTAGGTTGGTCTTCGTGATTGCGAGTGCTTTGCTGAAAGGTTGTTCGGATATCCCAAAGGCTTGGGCCGCTTTCTATAGAGGTGAAAAAGCGCTCAGCCAAACGAGCGAGGTTGGAGAAGAATAAAGAAGATCAGCGAAGGCCACAAGAACTCCAGGAAGCAGACATCGTACGGTCCGACAATGAAACCACTAAGAACGTGATTTGGTGTGCTCGACACCCTTTGCGGCAGTCTCAGCGTTTTGTCTAAATAAAATTTCGTAGCTATCAGCATTACTAGAGAGAACCGGAAGAATCAATCTATTCCGCTTTGTCATTAATCCCCAAGATTTTGCTCAGTCCGTCGAAAACATCTTCCACCTGTCATTCCTGTTTCATGAAAGGAAAGCCGGTTTAGAGTTTCAGGATGGAGAACAGATTATATGTAAAATACGCCCCATTTTGACTCATGCACAGTCTCATAATTCTCTTAGATCCTTGTTTCGAGGAAGATGCTCCAATAAGGGACGAAGACGCCCCACGACGATCCCAACTAATCTTGGAATTCGACTACACAACGTGGAAGGTAAGATAATCAAGGTTGTACCAGCTCACTGACTTATTCAGTCACTCTTCCTAGCGGGCAATAGATGTCTTCAACATTCAAGATGCTTTAATTTTTGACCGAAGACCAGACCGTGAAAAAAGCGACGTAGTTACATGGCTATCCTAAGTGGCCTGTGGTGTATCTTCCTATCGCTGCTAATATACGCATCTTTTTCGCATCTCCATCGACAGTCGATTACTTCCATGGTCTAGATGCTACCTGCTTTTTGTACTTCAGCTATCATCTACATGCTCGCGTTCAATTGAAGAACAAGTTCCTCATACTTACTATATACTAATGGGAATCAGGTCAAGTAACACATGACCCGTACTTCATAAAACTGGTAGGCAACATTGATATATAGATGGTACGACGAAGGGTATCCATTATTGACAGGAAATACAGGGTACGAATTAAGGGCGAAAACGTGAAAGTATTCGTAACGACATTGAAACCATAAGGTCATGGTATTATACCAGAAATAAGAAAGGGCGTTACGAATTAGATTATAGCTACAAAAAAATGTCCATGAGAAGAGGTATGTCCTGCAAAACGTTCATGTAAATTCCTCAAAATTCATGAGTAAAAGTCCATCCAGTCCTGTGCGTCTTGCGGCTGAGAGGAATGCTTAGGTGCTAGATCCCACATGCCGAAGAGGAGAGGGGCGTCCTGCGCATTGAGAACTTGATACGCACCATAATCCGCCTCATCGATAGGAACAGCGACAGGATAGGAGAGTTCAGCATCCATGGTTGAGTCCAACGCATGGGCATCGGGGGAGTCTGATACCCGTCAGTAGATGGTGCAGGGAGAAGGACACGGAGAAAATGAAAGTGAAGGTGTCTGGGACGAAGATCGTGAAGGAGTCAAGCCGTATACCATCCCGGGGTCAAGGGAAAGAGGCGAAGTGTGCCTAGAAATACCATACGTAGGGACAGTAAGGTAGTTTGAAAAGGTTTGCGGAGGACCGTAAGAAGGCACTGTGGGCTGGGGCACATCTACCAACCAGATGGTAAGCGTCTTTAAGACCATGACAGAGATGAAAAAGCTTACATTCCGACAACGTCGCGTCCGGAAGTCGGATAAGAGGCGCGGCTTCTTCAGACGTTGCAGATGAAGATGATGAAGAAGAAGAAGAAGGCGAAATCGAGCCTGCACGGCGACCGCGCCTACCCCGTCCACGATGGACCGGGTGAGTGGCGCCCTCCAACAGATCGGCGTGAGCTTCAGCCTCCTCTCGTGACAGCTGATGCTTCTTCCGCAAGTGCTGGATGAACATACCGCGGCGCTTGATGCTGGAAGGATCGAAGAAATGTAAGAGTCGGTACCAGTAAGCGTCACGCCGATTAAAAACGTACCTAGTCTGACATCTGGATCCTGGGCAACGGTAGGGATTCGTGGTCTCATGGATTTCCTTGACGTGACGGGAGCAAGAGGAAGGATCGCCAAAGGCTTTCCCGCAACCGTATGTGCACAAATGCGGCTTGTCTCCCGTACTATGGTGCAATGGTAAGGAACTTGCTTTCTTCTTGACCTGTAAGAAATGCTTACTGAACGTTTTGATGCGTCTTGAGGCCAGACGCCTGAGAAAATCCTCTACCACAGGTAGAGCAAATATGGGGCCTGAAAGAGTGTCTTCAGTCAGACAACACGAGCAGTCAAATCAACGACTAACCTGTCTTGGGTATGGATTAAAGTGTGTCGATTAAGATCTCCTTTGCGTGAGAAGAATTTGACGCAGCCTTCATAATGGCATTTGTAGATAACCTGCACGAGGGACAAGAGGAGAGAATCAGACAAGCATCCATTTATTTAACAACCAGGACTCACCCCACGCATGACAACCGGTAAAAAGACGTTTGATAATTATAAGGTCTTGACGTGGTATCTGGAGGTATCTGACGCTGACCAGCAACGCTGAAAGTATTAGGGAACGTGAAGGTATGGAAGAAGGAAAGAAGGAATAAGCGAATTTCTTTTCTGGCGTCCTTTAAAACATTCCAAATGAACATAGCCGGAAGAGAAAGATCCTTGACAGATCGCGCTTATTGTTCAAAGGGCCAAACAAAGTAGTCCGGGTTCCAAAGTAGGAAGAGAGCCTCGGCAAAGGCGGACAAGATATAAAAGGACGCTTCCTAAGGAGAACAATGAACAATTAATTTCAAAAAAAGAGGATCTGTCATTTGTCTGAATATATGATGTCTCACCTCGGCTCATAGAGGAAGCCTAATACTGTCTTGTGCACACGTGTATATCGAGCGCAGCGTTAGCGACCGGCGGTGTCAAAAGCGTTCCTGGACAGTCTCCGGCTACGACAACCACACAATTAAATCGATTGTTAGATACCCAGACCCTGTCCGTTGATCTTCTTAGTAATGCGCTCCTCCATCCAAGGAGCTATCGCGTTGAGGTCGTTCCAAGTAAATGATGCGTACTGCTGACGTCCTGGACCTAGAACAAGATCCAAGTCTTGCAATGGCGGCCAGTCGCCCGATCGTTCGTACGACTTAGGTCCGACAATTTGAGCGACTACCCTGTGGAAATTTCACCTCGTGTTAACGGACATATGGAAGAAATCCGATACCTACATCAAGCCGCCCACCCAACAAAGACCCTCCTCCTCCTCTGCACCGGAACCCAGCCAGCGCTTGTCGCCACCGCCAGGTGTAAACCATGGGTAACCGGAATGGGAGACAGCAGGAAGAGGATGTGTCAAACGAGTGTAGCTGTCGTATGTGACCTGATATGTAAGTTCTATCAACAGAATGTAATTAATTCAAAGCCTAGTAATAGAATCAAGACACTGCTCACGGCTGTCTGTTAACTCATCTCCCATGGGATAGACACCATGGTCTGTAACATAATGATCTATTCTTTGTATTCTTGGGTTGGAGTCACTTTCATCCGCTTCAATGCCTGGAGGATGCAAAAGTATGTGGGCGTTCGGGTTAACCATCAATGTACTTCGGGGTCGATTCAAAGTCCCGAAAGCCAATATACGAACATCTGCAAGCGTTACCACAAGCTACTCAGATTGTCATCACAGACGTCAGGGGGGGAGTAAAGGAGCCATACTCTGATGCGGGTCTCTAGATGAGCGAGGTTGCTTTGTAGTCTGTGACAATGAATAGGACAATCAAGTGCGAAAACACGCATAACTTACTTCATATCATTGAAGATAGCAACAGGGTTGAATGTCCTTGACGAAACCTCTAACTCGTTCGCAGACCCGTTCCGATTCAGTACAATATACCTGAAACGCCGATTTAGATGTGCAATAGGAACCGCGTGCCAAATTGAGCTAACTTAGTCCAAGATTCATCCGCCGTGCAAGGTGTCAGACTGCGATGCCAGACTCGGTGTAATAGCCTTTGTCCAAATATTGGAACCTGCTCGATATCGGCAAGAAGGTGTTAGGCAACAAACTTTATAAAAGCTTCTCTCCACGATGCGCCATCCTTCTTCCACTTTTTCCAGCCAGGGAGGAACCGACGATTGAAGCACTCTTCCCAGTCGACCGAACTAAGGTTGGGTAGCGTCGCGTCGAATAGGATGAACGAGGGACGTGCTAAGCTGAGAATTTCAATCCAGTTCTGTCTCGGGACAGTCTGTCGAACGCTAAGGTGTTTAAGGCAGTCTTCATAAGTCGCCGAACGAAGATTGCGCAAAATGGGCCGTCTCCATGGGTTCAGTGACGAATCAGACGTGATGGCATGGAGTCTGCGGGACAGATAGGACATTTTTATCAAATATTCTATGTCCAGTTCTCCAAGAATTTCTGCTATTAGTTCGACGGGAAGGGACTCGAATGTAACGGCCATGATGGAAGAAAACAGGGAAGTTTCATCATGAGGTTAGGGTTATGACTCATTCTCTCTGATTATTTTTACTTAGACTTACGGCCGTAAAGGCCGAATCACATACATCGTCACGGCACTATCTAGCTTAGCAGTAAGGCAGAGCAGGATTAGAACACGACCCAGGAATGAATGTCTGTGAGATGAGCCTCGCATTCTCTGGCTCCCATTCCTGATACGACGGCGACAGTACACGATCGATGATATGAACAATGCCTGTTGGAAGCTATCATTTCAGCTGGCGCCAATTGATGAAGATAGCATACCAGAGTCAACATTTATATCACCCTCGACAATATGAGCAACCCTATTCAGGACGACAGTGTTGTCGATTGCCTGCGCTCCAACCAAGAGATAAGAACCAGTCTGTTTGCACATCAGTAATGTCAGTTAGCGCAAGAGTATAGGTTTTCAGCATGACCTGGAAGCGGCCGTAAGTTTCATTAAACGAGCTCGTCATGAACTTGGTGTTGGGAACATAATGGTGTATCAACAAGTTTCCTATTGTATCGCGCCCAAGCCTGTGTCGGTGAGGATGGCATAACTAAAACTGAATTAGGAGAAAACGCACGGAGAAACAAGCCAGTCACGGTAGCGTTCATTGAGACTCTCAATTGCATCATTATTTGGCGCAAAGAATGTAAAAGACCCTGTAAGAATGGTCAACAACGGGACAAAACCAAGTTATACGGCCAAACATGTCCCATTGACAACATGATCAAAGGCTGTGGCAAAGCCTGAAAGAGAGATAAACCGCGGAGAAAGATGTGCAGCAGGAATGATGAGCAACCTGGCGGAGTTTCTATCCATTCCACAAGTGTCGAAGTATCGGACCGATTTTTCAAGTAGCCAAGCAAGGACTGTGTTTGCCCTTGACACAGAGAGAACATCATTGAGAAGGTTATAGAAAGCAAGTATAGCCAAGACATAGTAATTGCCGCGAAGAGGGAATCCCAGACGGTCAAGCATATATCATATACCCGGGCTCATTTCGGTCCGCAGAGGAAGTTCACCTGGATCACCTGCCAGCCTGGTAATCTAGTTGGACAATAAAGTTGCAGATTAGAGTAACAATCTCTCGAAAATCTGGAAAAATCTGAAAACACGTTGGAAAGGTTGACTTCGAAAGAAAGCGGCGTGTATCGCGCACGTGACCCTGCTGCGTTTACTTGCTTCCACCATAGGAGTACCGCGAGTATATAATAAAGCCGGCTTGTCAGGCTAGCTTCCACCGCGATAGCGCCAACGCCATCTTCTCGAGGCATGATCTCGGACCGCCACCACATTTGTGTCTCCATGAAAGCTCGACAGGTGATAGAAGACGGCCCGTGTAGCAGGCATGCCTTGGCTCGACATATAAAGGATTGACGTAGCATAAGGTCACCAGCGAAGCCCTTTCTCAACAGTATGCTTTGGATATCGCTATCAATATGCATCATATCTCTTTGGACTGCTTCTGTTGTTGCTCTGGATCTTTGGGGGCTCGGACGTACCCCATTTATGGGCTGGAATACGTACGTGATCCATCTTCCCCATTTTAATCGACTGAGATTAGCTATAGATACAACGCGTTCGTTGGATTCTCATGTCCGTTTTCGAGGCGCCAATATCCACTTTTTTATCTAGCTACAGAAGTAACTTCAATGAATCCATCATTAAAGAGGTTGCCGATCTTTTTGTCTCCCTTGGTCTCCGCGATGCAGGATATGAATACATCACGCTTGATGGCGGATGGTATGCTCTTCAACGACTGAAGCTTGTTTCACGTCAGCTTGTTTTTGGTAAAGGTCAGCATTGAACAGAACCGACCGTGGGCAGCGACAGCCTAATCCTGAGTCCTTTCCCAATGGTATCAAACCACTGGTCGACTACGTTCACTCCAAAGGGCTCAAGGTCGGCATATATTCTGATGCGGGGTACGTCAGTCACCATCTCATATCTCTTCTTCTCATACAATGACGTGGTGACGTATCAGTTTGTTAGACTGCGGGTTTGCACCAGGAAGTTATGGCTACGTAGGTCCCAACTGGTGTCCGTGGTGTTTGGCGTACGAATACTCATTATCGTTATCGTTATAGGAAGATGAAGATATTGCTACTTTCGCAGAATGGGGTATAGACTTTCTGAAGTACGATAGTACGTTACCCTTCTCCGCCGATAAGAATTTTTTTTTAAGGTATGCTTCAAGCGGAACCAAGGACATCACGTGACTAAAACGTTACAAAAGTAACATTTACACAAAAAAATCTATCTCCTCCTGTACATGGAAGTAAATGCTAAATCGGGCTCCGAGGAATCCTAGATAATAGTATTTCGCATAAATCCTCGGGCTCCGATTTTCTAATTTGGGAAATGAGCGAGAGTAGATAGCCAATTAGTGATTTGATGGGGATAGACAAATCGCGACGCAACTAATATTTGATGCATTCACATGTCTTATTCAGTCAAAACACGTTGCCTAGACCTTACATTCTCCTTTGGAAGGTTCTTGGTCCTCTCATTTGTGATTCATGGGTGTATATTGGAAAGAAACTGTGTGGAAATCACACTGCCTGGGAAAGAACATACAAGGGTCACAGGGTCACCCCAAGGTACATTTTTGAGGAGTTATATAAAGGAGAAGTCTATTAACATATTACAGAGACCATACTACAAGCACAGCGACAGAAACGAAGCAAAAAACACGCAGTCGGCAGTTAATGAGTCACGAAAAGTCACAGATCAGTCACACACGTGATGTCCTTGGTTCCGCTTGAAGCATACCTTATCTTCAGCACAGACTGCGGTGGCTTCCACGCCAACGTTGAGCCGCCTCAAGTTCGTTTTGGACGTAAGTTTCGAGAAAAAAACACACTGAACCCGAATAATAGCTGCGGTTTCTAGGGATGCGGGACGCCATCTCTCGTTCTAATCGCGGAATGCTTTATTCCATGTGCCAATGGGTAGGTTGAAAGGCTCAGAATGTTCATGTAGAATTCTAAGCTCTCGCAGGGCTCCCAGTTCCCTTGGTTCTGGGCGGACGCCGTTGGACACACCTACCGCATGGCAGGTGATATTAATGCATATTTTGGAGACGAGGCGGGACATAAGGACTGCCAATGTGCCAGCACAGCTTACTGTTTGAATACAGGCTGTAAGAGTCTATTTTTTCGTGTTCGTATTGCCTGATCAATCTTCCGTAGACGCAGGATGCTCCGTTCTAGCATACATCCGTAAGATGCGCGAAGTCGCACAATTCCAGAAGCCTTTTTTCTTTTGCTGACATGGACATGCTCGAGTGCGTCCTATTCTTCGGTGATAACATGGCATCATCTCTGATATTCATAGGATCGGACAAATCTCCAACGAGACGTTGGCAAAAACCAGGACACACTTTGGATTTTGGGCGGCCCTCAAACCACCTTTAGTCTTGGGTACCGATTTGTCCCGCCTCTCTAGCGATAAGCTGGATATTGTGAAAAACAAGGACGTCATTGCGGTAAATCAGGATGCGCTTGGGAAAGCGGCGGCCTATATCAAGGCGGCAAGTCAAGAGAATGTGCGGCAAGTTTGGAGCGGTCCCTTAGCTAACGGGGACGCGGTCGTTCTAATATTCAACGAGACCCCGACACCTCAAAATATTTCCGTGGACGTTTCTCTCATAGATGAATTGAGTATAGGCGATAGGCTAGCCATCAAAGACTTGTGGACTGGGGAGACGTGGTCCTCTAGTGGCATAATTTCGGCCGATGATGTTGACGCTTGGGATACTCGGATTTTCAGGGTGGCGATTAGCGTATCATAAGTTCGGCAGGGGAGTTCCAGTATTTCGGCTTTCCCTATGCTTACCAACTATGCCTGCTCTCAGAGCCATTTTATGAGCGCGAGCAGATAAATGATTCCGGAATATAAGCGACATGAGCAACCATAGAATATTACCTGGGAGGCGCAGCGACCTCCAATAACGTCAATCTTGGTCCTTTAGAAGGTGGGTCCTCGGAGAGCAGAAAGCAAAGTCTTCTGTATGCCGAATATTAATGATGGTTGCCAGGTCGTGCCTCCGTCGATCGAGGAGGTTGGTTACCCGTGTCGTGCAAAATTGCTGCTGCTGAACCAATTTTAGACTCGATCGGCTGAAGGTGAAGAAATGGGTTTCGAAGTAAGATGAGTAGCTGCGCGTGTTAAAGCCACTTTCGCCGATGTCGACCTCATATATTTCTTCTTTCTTTTACCTCCCCGCTATTCCTTTCTGCGCACCATGTATTATCAACGAAGGTTGATACTACGCCCTCCATCGCAAGTCCCCCTCCGCTCAGCGGGTTCATCGCAGACATTCCAGCGGAAATCAGAATTAGTATGGCTTCATATCGTCCATTACACACAGCTTGACTTTATTTGATAGGGAGAGCTGCCATCGCCATACCCTGCTTCGACCATCTCCTAGCTTATCTTTGTCGAAGAAGGTACTCACTCCTACTAAGTTCTGGTTCACAACGGTCAGCTAATTGCATTTCTGGCAGTATTCACTTTCTGCGGACCCGCTGACATGGGGAACAAATTTGTCGCCAAGCGTAACAGAAGCCGACGATGAACTACATAATCCTACAGTCCGGAAGGGTAGGATAATGGACGAATGGGGGACTCGACATTTTTTCCATTCGGGGGCTCGGGAATATTGGTTGTCTATTTGTTCTTTGCGGAGCAATGGTGACGATGTTGTAGGCATTGTCCTTTAAGTTCCTCTCGTGCATGACGTCGTTGACTCCATGTAGCGTTGGCTACCCAATCGCCACTTTTGTACGGACTCAGAGGGAGTCGGCTGCCTCGGTCCGGGAGTCAATGCTTCGGGACAGGTACGTTATTTTGGATCGTTCGATGATTGCTGGCGCATTCTATCTTTAGGTCCCAGAAATAGGAAACTTTGGTCTAATAGACTTGGACACCCCAGAGGATGCCAAATATTTCAATTCATGGCGCGATGGGAAGGAATGGCGTCTCGTCTTTTCTGATGAATTCGAGGAAGATGGGAGGACATTTTATCCAGGTGATGATCCCTACTGGGAGGCTGTCGACCTTCATTATTGGGTGTGCTTGGGTCTTTTTACTGGAGAAGTTCTTCAATCCTCACTGTTTCACAGCAAACCAATAATATAGAATGGTACGACCCGGCGGCTGTGACTACGAAGAACGGTTCTCTCGTTCTTACACTATCTGCAAAAGAAACACACGGTCTTGATTACCAAGGAGGTAAAAGAAGTCTTCTTGTTCGTCTCATACTACGACTGATGGTGATTTGCAGCACTCGTACAAACATGGTAAATTGGCCCGTCCGTTCTCAGTGCTTGTCTTATACAATCAAACATAGGAATAAGTTCTGTTTTACCGGCGGATACCTGGTTTCGGCCGTCCAACTTCCCGGAATCAACAACATTGTTGGACTTTGGCCTGCCGTATGGAGTATGGGAAATTTGGGACGCGCAGGATATGGTGCATCACTTGACGGCACGGTACGTTATTTATCAGTGTCAAATTTTTTTATCACAGTATGAAAACCGTCTGTAGTGGCCTTACACGTATGACAGCTGCGACGTTGGCACAGCACCTAATCAAACAATCGATGGACTACCCGCAGCAGCAGCTGACTACACATTATCATATTTGCCCGGACAGAGGTTGTCGCGGTGCACCTGTGACGGGGAAAGTCATCCAGGTCCTAAGCACAGTGACGGTACCTACGTTGGACGGTCTGCTCCAGAAATCGATGTATTTGAGGCACTAGTCAGCGATGGCACTGGTCAAGTGTCGCAGTCCGGACAGTGGGCAGTACGTGCAGCTCTCCCTAACCATGATGTGTAAACGATGGACCAATCTTTTACTAGCCGTTTAACGCAGGATTCATTTGGGACAATAGTACGGATAACTTGATTATTGCAGACAGTAGTGTATCCACGTTCAACACGTATGTTGGTGGACTGTTCCAGCAGGCAACCTCTGTTGTATCTGAAACGAATCCAGACTGCTATCAATTGGCATCTGGGTGCTTTGCTATCTATGGATTCGAGGTGAGCTTTTTCCAGACTGACCTTGTCCCTCTCCGGCTGAATGAATTACAGTATAAACCAGGTGAAGTAACTACAACTCCCGACAGACTGTGTCGCTCATCTGTTTCGAAGGCTACGCGTCAGATAACGCTGTAAGTTTTCTTCGATATTCATTTTTGAAGTTTGGTATACTCACTCCATTCGCTCAGTACATCTCCTGGATCAACGATGGCAAGCTCGCCTGGACAATAACGCTGCTGGCATGAGGGCAGATGCCGCTACCGAAATCTCTGCCCGTCCTGTACCACAGGAGCCTATGGTAAGTAAACTTTTTCTGGCATTCGGTGCTTAACACTCTAACAAACACGGTCCAGTACATCATGGCTAATTTGGGCATGTCCACCAACTTCGGAGACGTCGATCTGGATCACCTCACGATTCCCTGCAGTCATGTTGATAGATTATATTCGGGTGTACCAGGTTATATTCGGCGTCTTCACGGTCATATGATTTTCTAACCCTCTTTTCAGGACCCGGACAACATCAATATCGGATGTGACCCGGAAGACTTTCCTACAGCAGAGTATATCGCTACGTATGTTCGATTTGCATCTCGTCCATGCCTATTATACTAATGACAAATCTACTCCTCAGTTACAGTGAGGCTTACCAAAACCCCAACTTGACAACATGGGTCGATGACTACGGTCAGACCATTCCTAAAAATTCACTCGTTGACGGATGCTAGATTTAATTTATTTTGTATTCATCATGGGCCGACACATTATGCATTATGTACGACAGTAATGCATCGCAATCGCTGGAATCCACTCCGCCCATTCTTTACCCACCAGCGATGATATCCTCTATTTCCTCACCCTCACCTCCTTAGATTTGGTTATACACAACTCATCATTCTGTATCGATGTATATATAGGGCTACCGCATTACGTAGAGGATTAATTTATGCCCCAAAATCCGAAAGGATCCATGCAGAAATAGACAGTGAAATTATCAATCTAGATGGCTTCCAATATTTCATCGGCGAGTCATGGTAACCTAAGATTCCTCGATCTCTATTCTACACTACCAGAAGATAGCGACAGCGACTCTGAATCACATCGGGGAATTCAAAAAGTTCGCCGGCGCATGTAGTGGAACTTGCATCAATTATCGGTTGCGCACCTCTGTGCGGTTGCGCGTCTGGCTCCTACATATGGAAACTAGTGTGAAAGTAAAGTGATTCTCGTCCCAAATTTCCTCCAATATTACTAGAGGACTTTTAGAGACACGTTGTGTAAGCGCGCGAATCCGCCCGATCCCTTGTCTGTTCACATCTAAGTTGCTTCCACCTTGAAAAAGATGTCCGACCTTATCGGAGCTAGCGGATCAGATAGTAATTCTGCTGTGGTCTTCCCTCCGCTCTCTCCACGCTGATGCTGTCGACCGTGGTAAGAATCGCCTTCGTGCCAACACCTGAGCTGATTGATGGAATCAATCAACGAGATGTACTCACTATTCCCACAGAGGACCTTGTTCAGTTCTTCCATATTGCCTTGAAACGATTGAGATTCTACAACGCGCTTGGCTACTCAGTTTGCTTGCTGCTGTTCCTAAACCCGATAGAGAATCTCGATGTTCCCGGAAATTGCCGAAGCTACTCACTGATCCTTGGTTTCCGTTGGACGGAGGAACGCAAATTTCCTCGGTCGCAGAATGGCTTTCGTCGTGGAAATCGGACCTCAACAACTCTGGATTCTTCATACTGCCCAATGTACAGGATCAGGGAAGTTCTGTATACTGCCTTCATGTTCGCCATGCTCTGATATAATCACAGATAATCACCTGCGCCATTGGCGCTTTCGCCGAGACCCTCTCTCTGACCCTGTGGGACGTCTATTTCTCGGATTTCATCATCCCAGACCACCCTGACGATGTCATCTTAAATGAAGTTCGCATCTCTCACGTTGAACGTACTGATGACGTCGCTCTGATCTATCTCTCGTCCGAAGGGGCGGAAGGGCGCCCTGCAGGAATCTGCAGCATGCGGTGCCGATGGCTCACCGGCAACCTTTGGACGTCTCTCGCTCTCGCACCCGAAGCCCATCTCTATCATAGTTATGGCCAAAGCTGATACTTCCCTTATTGCTGAGTATGAGATTGTCCCTGACGTCGATGTTGCGGTGTCAGAAGAGCTTCGGCGTATGTCCAGTGCTTTTTCTTCGGACACTTGCCCAGCGCTTAGTGTCCACTCTAAGACAGCCTTAGCGTTCATTCATGCGGAAACAGGTGCGGAGTATTATGGCACCATGTGTACCACCCTCGCTGACTTAGAATGCTTGCAGAGCTCGTCATACAACGACTGGTCTCCGCTCTTTGACATCTAGGATCACCACGAATTGCCTGTTGCGAGAATCCATGAGTCGTACCACATCCGAGCTTGGAGATCTTTAACGAGTGCTTGCTCGCCTTGCTCCGTCGTGTCCAAGGCAACCTTTTATAAGAGTAAGCTACTATTGTATTGATTGCATCCGTAGAGATGGTCTGTCTTGATGATATAAAGATTGCTTCCAGGGTTAGCGGGTCTACTTATTCTTCAACTGTCAATGAAGCGCGTCCCTGAAGTCTGCCGTCAGAAAATATTAGCCCTTCATGCTTATCTCACCGCCACAAGTCCTGCTCATCGCAAGGCTCTCACAAGTTTGTCTGTCCTTATCGTCGAAGTCTTGCGCTGGGGAGAACGTTCTCGCCCCGAGATTCCACGCGAGTGGCGATTCTGCCGATTCTGCAAGGTCGCCGTAGAGAAAGAAGTCCGTGCTCTTCTTTCCTGTAGAACTGCTCCCGATTTGATTAAGCTTCGCCGTGCGTTTGTCGCCGACGCCCATGCTTGTTTGTCCTGTACATACCCCGGTGTATATTCCGTGATGTCTCTGGTACACACAAGTGAAATTGGCAAAGACGACGAACTCACTTTGGATTTGGGCGACATTCAAGTCACCTTTAATCTTGGTATCGACTTGTCCAGCCAATAAGCCAGATATTATCTCATGTTATTGCGAAAAACAAGATCGTGATCGCGGTGAATCAGGACTTGCTTGGGAAAGCGGCGGCCTATATCAGGGCGGCAAGAAGAGAATGTACGGCAGGTATGGAGTGGTCCCTTGGCCAACGGTGATGTGGTCGTTCAATGTTCAACGAGACTCCAACACCCCAAAAGATCTCCTTGGATGTTTCTGTTAGATGTGTTGAGTACAACCTGCAGGCCTAGCTACAAAAGACTGAAAAAAACAAGAAAAAAAAATAGCTGATGCTCTTTTGTGATGCTTGAGACAAATACTCAGATTCTCAGGGTGTCGAAGTTACGTAATATAAATTTGACAGGGGAGTTCCAACATTTTCGGCGTACTGAAATTCCCGTGCTCACCACTGGCTATGCCCGTTCCCAGTGCCATTTTTTGGAGTGTGAACAGATGGATCTTTTCCAAAGGATTGCTGGATAATAGAACAACTATGGAGACACAACGACCTCCAATAATGTAGATCCCGGAAATGTAGGAGATGCCGGTAAGGAGCTGGTCTAGTCAAATGGTTACCAGGTCGCGATGATCGAGAAGGTTTGTTACCATTTAGATCGAACGCGTCGCGTGGAGTGGTTGCTGCTGACCCAAATTTAGAATTTGTCGGGTAAAGTCGAGGCAATGGTTTTCGAAATACACGCAAGATCAGAAGCTGCAGCGTGCTAACGCCAACTTTCGCCTGATTCCGACCTTGGATACTCCTTCTCTCTTTTAACCCTCCTTCATTCCTTATTTTTGCCTGCTCATGTCTTATCCACGAAGGTTTGATACTACGTCCACTACAAGTCTCCTTCACTCGGCTGGTCCATCGCAGACGTTCCGACGGGAATCAGAATGGGTATGGATTTATATGGTCCTTCCGCAGCTTACGCAGCTTGACTTTATTTGATAGGGAGAGCTGCCATCGCCATACCCTTCTTCGACCTTTTCTAGTAGCTTATCAATATCAAACAAGGTGCCTGCTCCTAGATTTGGTTCAGAATGACCAGCTAACTGCATTGCTGGCAGTTTTCACTTTCTGCGGATCCACGGGCATGGGGCTCAGAATTGTCACCAAACGTAACAGAAGCAGACGATGAGCTACATAATCCTGCGCTAGTCCGAGGGAATTCAACAGAGGATGGAGGGCTTGACGTTTTTTTCCAGTCGAGGAATCGCGAATATTGGTTGTTTGGTTGTCCTTGCCGGAGCATTGCTGGCATGTTGTAAGTATTATTCTTTCGTACTTTGGTGTTCTTGACCCCCCTCTCCCCCATGCAGCGTCGGCTACCCAATCATCACTTATGTACGAGAAGCAGGACGAGTCTGCAGCTTTGAACATGGGAATCAATGCGTTCGGGACAGGTGCGTTATTTAAAGATCATATTTTTTTGATGACCCGCCGGCCCATGCGATCGTTAGGTTCCAGAAATAGGAAACTTTGGACTCATCGGACTTGGACACCCCAGAGGATGCCAAATATTTCAATCATGGCGAGACGGGAAGGAATGGGCGTCTCGTCTTTTCTGATGAATTCGAGGAAGATGGGAGAACATTTTATCCAGGTGATGATCCTTATTGGGAGGCTGTCGACCTTCATTATTGGGTGCGCTTGCCAGGTCGTGTTGCTGGAGAAGTTCTTCAATCCTCACCGTTTCACAGCAAACAATACACATGGAATGGTACGACCCCAGCCGCTTGTGACTACAAAGAAACGGTTCTCTCGTTCTACGTTATCTGCAAAAAGAGACGCATGGCCTTGATTACCAAGGAGGTAAAAGAAGTTTCCTTGTACCTCTTGACGTTAAAATTGATGCCTATTTGCAGGGCTCGTGCAGACATGGTAAATTGGCCCGTCCTTTCTCAATGGTTTCTCATAGCAATTAAACATAGGAACAAGTTCTGTTTTACTGGCGGATACCTCGTTTCTTCCGTCCAACTTCCGGGAATCAACAACATTGTTGGACTATGGCCTGCCGTATGGGCTATGGGAAATCTAGGACGTGCAGGATATGGTTCATCACTTGACGGCATGGTGAGTCATTCTATCATCATTCTTCCATTCTCCGAAAACCAATTATGAAAACCTCCTACAGTGGCCTTACACGTACGACAGCTGCGACGTTGGCACAGCGCCTAACCAGACAATCAACGGACTACCGGCAATAGCTCAAACAAGTGGTGCTGAAGACGCCAACTACGTGCTATCATACTTGCCTGGGCAGAGACTGTCGCGGTGCACCTGTGATGGACAAAGTCATCCAGGTCCGAAGCACAGTGACGGTACCTACGTTGGACGGGCCGCCCCTGAAATCGATGTATTCGAGGCACAAGTCAGCGACGGGACAGGGTCAAGTGTCACAATCCGGACAGTGGGCAGTACGTGCATCTCTTCTTAACCGCAATACCCCAATAATGAGCTAATACATTCGTAGCCATTTGACGCCGGATACGTTTGGGACAATAGTTCGATACTTGATCATCGCAGATACTACTATATCCAAGCTCAATACCTACATTGGTGGGAAGACCCAGCAGGCAACCTCGTTGTATCGCGAAACGAACCAAGAATGCTATCAATTAGCATCTGGATGCTTGCCATCTACGGATTTGGAGGTGAGCTATTTCAAGCTATTCTTATTGCTAGCCCGCTCATCGAGTCGTAGTATAAACCAGGTGAATCATCTACGATTCCAGACAGACCGTACCGCTCATTTGTTTCGAAGGCTACGCTTCAGATAACGCTGTAAGATTTCTTCGTCATTCACCGTTAAAGTTTAAATACTAACTCCATTTACAAGTACATTTCTTGGATCAACGATGGCAAACTCGCCTGGACAATAAACGCTGCTGGGGTCGGGGCAAATACCGCCACGGAACATTTCTGCTCGTCCTGTACCACAGGAGCCTATGGTCAGTACACTATTTCTACTAGACGCACAAAAATGTGACAAATCCGGTTCAGTACATCATGGCTTAATTTGGGCATGTCCACCAACTTCGGAGAAGTCGATCTAGATCACATCACGTTCCCTGCGGGTTATGTTGGTAGATTATATTCGGGTCTACCAGGTTAGATTCAACGTCTTTACATCTACAATTGGTTTGTCTAACTCGTCACTATTTTTTCAGGACCCGGATAACATCAACATCGGATGTGACCCGGAAGATTACCCGACAGCCGAGTATATTGCGACGTACGTTCTATTTGCATTTTGTCCATGCCTACTATACTAATGACAAACCTACTCCTCAGTTACAATGAGGCGTACCACAACCCCAATTTAACAACATGGGTCGATGACTACGGTCAGACCATGCCTAAAAATTCACTTGTCGACGGATGCTAGATCTCATTTATTTTTGTATACATCACGGACAACGTTAACGACAGTAATGCATTGCAATCGCTGGAGCGATGATATCCTTCGTTACCCTCACTACCTTAGCATTTGTCGGTTACACGCACACCGCATTCTGTATCGATATATATATAGGACTATTACAGTACATTTACATAGAGGACTCATTCAATCTTACATCTACTTAAATAAAAAAAACTCAGCATCTACGGGAAAATAGATAGCAAGATATCCACTTAGATGGCTTCCAACGTTTCATCGGGAAATAGGTTTGATCCATGCTTTCTTGATGCCATATTCTACGACTTCACCAGCGCATACGGGATTCAAACTCGACTCGCTCTTGTCCGGGACCACCGTTTTCCTTCGGCTCTTGGCGGGCTTCACTCTGGCTGCTGCGGTTGTGAGGCATTGCCCTAACCACTGCTCCAAATCTATGAGGCACTCGTAACATTCCCGCTCCGTAAGAGTGTTTGACGCCGGAGAAACTGCCTGGCTTCGGCGTACTGGAGGTTTGATTCCCTTAAAGCGAAGAAGCTTGACCAATAGATAATGGAGCCACTGAGAAGTATTATCAGTCTGACGTCCTTCAAAACCAATTGAGCGAACTCACCATAACATTTGTCAACGGCAGAAAGGGTTCCCATTTGCCATTATTTTGGTCTCGCATCATTCGATAAACATCGAATTGATAGTCACCTAAGGTGGATCGCATTAGGATGACTTCGGGGTAGCCTCGGAAAACGTACCTTCGCCTTGGAATATTTCTTTGTCGAAAGGTGTCCAATGAATCATCTCGCCCCCACAACCGTCTCCAGCGTCCATACGAGATAGTCCAAGATCAATCAAAGTGACTTGCACACCATGACACTTGTCATCCATCGGTGGGCGAGCTTTCTTAGCAGGCTTCCGGTTCAGAGGTTGCGCTTGAAGAGGCAATGCAGTCGGCAAGGGAAGATCCTTAACAAGAATTTGACCCCAGTGAAGATCTCGATGCTGGCGGTCTTTATTATTAACATAACAAGACGCTTAAGATGTCTGTAGCTCACCTCAAAAGACACCAGTTGTTCTGCATGCGCCAAGGATTTTGCAACTTGCCAGAATATACTGCAAGCCTGTCGCCAACCTGTCTTTGTCGTGTTTCTAAAAGTATAAGACTCAAGGTCTGGGCCACCATTCGGTAACACCACAATAGCATAAACCTGGGACAAAGTGAACGTATCTGAGAATTTTTTAGGTTTGGGGCATATTTAACTAGAAAGTTCAACGAACCTGGACGTATGCTTTCTGAACCTTTTTGCTCGTTGTACTCGTTCCAGAGGTGCAGAAGCTTCTCCGGATAACGTCCCTTTACAACGTACGCTTTCAATAGCTTCACAAAGCCGTCATAAACCTCGCCCATTGCACGTGTGACAATGATTTCCTTGAGAACATCTCGGACGTCTGTAGGCGCAGGCTGATCGACATCCGCAGGTGGTCCGTCTGTAGAAGCTGACTCGTCTCTCAGAGGTATAACCTTAAGAACGACGTCACAAATTCCGAACACTTCTGAATAACTCGCTTCGCCCACTTTGCGAAAATGAGGTTTGGAAGATGGTCCATTAGGTGACGACAAAATAGGGTCAAACGGGAATGTAGATATGAACGCGGAAAATTCGTGTAGTCCATACGCCTCCTGATTGCACTCCCTCAAAAGAGGACGGAGGTAGTCAGGCACACTAGGTGCAGGGGTATCGGCAGCGCCAAGGTCACCCTCACCTATGGACAGGTCGTCGAAGTCGAAATCAAGTTCAGAGGTTGTCGTTGGGGAAGGAGGAGAGAGAGGAGCAAAAAGTCTATTTTTTCCCGGTCGAACGGGAGTCAGTTGACGAGGTTTATGGATCGGTAAAATACCAGGTTGATAATGGGCAGGCGCTGGTATTGATGGAGGGGTGTCTCTCGTGAGGTCAATGTAGACTTGGGTGTTCGGTAGATTGCTCGATGGATTAGACGGGTCGGTTACTGCCTTCGGACGAGGAAGTGCTTTAGGGAATTGACTTTCTGCGTTACGAGTGGCATCGCGTTGGCCACTAGCCACAGCTTTCTGTGCATTCCTGACTTTTGGTTGGCCAAGACGCTTTGACTTTGGCTTTCGAGGGGGACTATACGAAGAGGAAACGGAATAATCACTATCGGATCCCGACCGAACCTCGGAACCAGAATCATCCGAAACGACAACAACACGATTCCTTAGCCGTCGAGGTTTTCGCACCGCGACGACGACAACAGAATCACTATCAGAGTCATCGGCAGGTTTGGCAGTTGTCCGCGAGACTCTCCTCTCTTTCTTCAACGTCTGGCCTTGGTCATCCACCACTGTAATATCCATTTCGACGAACGGCGAGAACGGTTTGCGTAGCCCTGACGGTGCCGTCGGGGACAATGGCTTCCGTTGCTTGGGCAAGATAGCTGGGGATCCGGGTCCATTTGGATGGAATATCGCCAACGGAGTCCGGGCAGGGGTGTCTAACAACGAGCCTATCCGTTTTGGAGGTGTTTTGGGTGAACGCTTCTTCAGTCGCGGTATAACTACCTTTGGCGACGATACTTTTCTTCCCTTGATAACCAGTGGTACAATGTTTTCCCTATTCCTGATGCTGGGAACCACTGTCCCTAACTTGGGCTCTGTTGGATCCAAGTCGAACCCTCCACGCCTTCTTTCTTCGGATGTGATATTGACGACGCGTTGCCTACGCTTTCCATAGGAGGTGACCTTTTTCGTACGAGACCCGAGCATAATTGAGATTGCAGCGAGCAGAAATACTGCTGTAGCTGCGATGGCGAATGATGGCGAAATGAGGGAGAGTGAAGGATAGAATGTGGAGGATAACTGCGAGACCGGTGAGGCAGTAAGGTGAAGAGGTGTAGATTCCTATTTGAATTCAAGGGCGGCCTCGAAGCTGTGATGTGGCGAACGACGCCTGTGGCAGCCATGATTCCAACCAACGCGTCGATCACATGACCGCAGCCAGAAGCTGATGACAAGCAAATAAACCCTCCTTCTATCCCTCATGTCGTTGCCTCAGTCGCTGCGAACGTCTGTCACACCACCTGAGCTCGAGCTCATCGCGTGCCAGGAGCTTATTGAGATTATACCTCTTATTTCCATGGAAAAAACCGCTTTCATCTCGGTACTTTTGTCTTCTTGAACGCGTACTTCATTAGTTGTAACTGAGGAGCTACAAGGGCGCGTATGGGCCGCTACGACCCCCACATAAAGCCAAAATTCCTCTTTGGATGGCTTTGAATCTAAAATCAAAGAGGAAATGTCATATTGTCGCGCCAGATTGGCTAAGCGTAGGTTCGTGAGCGGTCATTGCCACTACGTTCTCTTCCAATCCAGATGAATATGCACTAGAATACTTGCAAGATCGACTGACCGAGGAAACTACGAGGAAGGAATTCAGTAGCCTACCTTTCCGATTTGCCGAAATCGCCAAAGTTTTACTTGATGTGTATGTACCGTGGCTACCTGCTTGGACTTTCATCTGACAAACGTGACAGTGCATCGGATGACCTACAAAACCCTGATCGTCTACGTTCGTTGCTCAAGGACATACGCGAGGCTCGTCAGGCAAAGAGTAGAGAAGGTCTACGCCAGCTTGATCACAGCGATTTAATGGTACGCTCTATCATTCAATCGCTCAGTCCGATCTTAACATTATCTCAGTTAACGCGCCTTTGCTCCATGGAAATTAACGAGATCCGGCCTTTTTTCATACAGTCAATGGGTGTATTGACGCAGCTTACCCGCCAGTCTACATCAGAGTCATGACAGTTTTCTAGCTCCCACTTTGTTGCCTTTTATGTCCGAGTATCATCCAGCCCCAAAAATCATACTCCAAAAGGGTTCGAGATATAGACATGCCGTTCATATGACGCGTCAACCAAGCGACCCTAAACAGTGGACGCATGCTGGAGTGTGGGGTCAGAGAGGTCTTCTGAGATGGAGCCGGCGGAAGAAATAAACCATTTCTTTCCTTGTAGTACATCCAACATAGATGACTAGTTCATAGGGTGATATTTCCTCAAGCTGCTGAAACACCAGAGAACAAAGCGGGCACCCATGTATCCATGGTCCTATCCGCGGGTCAGTAATCAAGAAAATGTATTCGTAAGATGATAGGCTCCAGCATCAGCTCGGTACAGAAGTGGACCCGCGCTCCTGTCCGTTTTCGCCTGGCAAACGTTAGGAATATAAGTTTACAACCCAAAGTCCATAAGCCGCGGCAAACCAATGTACTCTTGTTGGCCCCTTCAGTTATTCTCCTTTCACGCTGGCACCGCCTCCATCCAATTTTTGTAGAACAGCGTTCAGCTGCTTCTTCAATCCATTGATCTCGTTCAGAAGTAACTCCTCGCTCGACTGTATCCACGTTGAATTAGGTTCGAATGCTGGCTTCGAGAAAAGGCTTACCTGAGCAGTATTGGGGAAGGCCTTGATCAGTTCTTCGAAGGGGATCTTGCTTATCCTGCGACCATCCTCCTCAGCATCTGCCTCTGGATCCTTGCTTTGAGAATAGTTCTCGTCGCCCTCATTATCACTGCGTAGCCAATCCGTTACCCAGTGGCGTCCGTGAGTCGACTCGTATAGAGCAATAAGAGTCAGAGGAATAATGAAAACCACCCGCATTACAGCTCTGTTTAACTACAAGCTGAAAGTTAAAACCTTCCCCAGTAGAGTGAGAAGTAGGAGTCAGAACATACTTTAGCGTAGTTTTTGTCGTTTAAACGAACGCCCGGGATGTGCCTGGAAAATTTCAACGAGAGAGGATATTATGAACGGATGGGACTGACTCGAAAGGCGTAACGAAAAGGATTTCAATGAGATTGAAAGGCGCCGGGTAGACATAGACATCAGGTGCCCTGATCATTCCCACTGTTTTACCAGCGAAGAAAGCCAGATATTGCGCTTCTGCGTCATCAACAATCTACGCCAAATGGTTCTCAGCACAACAGCGATGTCATCGACCATTGAGTTAGGGACTATGCTTACATTCTGATATGCAGATGCGAACAAGGATATCAGTACATTGAGAAGAATTATTGCCGTCACAACGTTCCAGCTAGACCGAAACAGTGATAAGGAAGGCTAATGCATCTAAGTATTGGACTCACAAGTAGTACATCACAAGGCCGCTTGAGCTACAACAATATGTTAACCAGGAGACGAAAAACATGACTGACATAATTTGGTACCTTGAGAAAATGTCGAAATTTGGAGACCTGCGTTGATATGTAAAGACGAAGACGAATGCGCGAGGAAAGACGTACCCTAGAAGGGCTTGAACCAGTACATTCACCACGGATGATGGTGGACTAGCCTGACCATCGGCCGCGTCCAAAGCCCACAGTGCCTGTGTAAAACCTAAAGCCATGACGGACAGTAGCTGGATTGATTTTAGAGAAAATGTCGTGCAAATGAATCCATCAAACGATTTACAGCAAAAAATATGCCTGATTCCTGTAGCATTCGAGCGATACATATTTGCATTGTGCCTATGTATCTGATCCCAGAAATTAATAATGCACGTCAAGGAATTGATAACAGCTGAATCGTACTTGTAGCCATCAAAGACAGTCAAGAGCTCTAGCGTCGGTAATGTCAGCGAACTCGTAATCAGGTGAGAAGTACACTTACTCATCCAAATGAACGGAGATACAAAGCTGAGGACTTGAAAACTCGCAATTCTTAACCTGATTTGTTCCTCGTCGCTTGTTACACGCATAGCAACAACGCGCAGAATGAATGCAGCAAGTATGAGTGAATCGGTGATAAGGGAGACCATGTTCCAGAACGTAAATACGCGCCAAGTAACAAAGGTCAGAAGCTTCGTGAACTGGGTAATCATTAAACAGCCGCCGCGAGGCTGTGTGAGTATCACAACGCGTACCTTGTAAACGTCTGCAACAATAACACTTTAGCCCTCATGACAATTCAGGGACACACGGTGACTAACCTTCCAAAGTTATAGATAGTGCTAGTAAGTAGAAGGCGTCTTCCCATCCATCTAGATGGGCATTGTTGAGAGGGTCTAGCCGCTCTGCTGGCTGTCGAACTGTATGAAAGGATGTATATCAGGGAATATTCGGCGACTGGTTGGTGCCCTCACCTGTCTGGCAGTAAACAAACAGAAGCACGAACCAGACAATGACGCGGACGATGTTTTGATATCTGGGTACTGAAAGGCGGGACGGATCCAGATGTCCCCAGAACGTTTCGAGATGGGTTTCGGAGTATGGAACATCTGTGCAGGCTTCAGCTTCAGCGCCATACCAATCCAATAAGCATACATTCAATCTCAAGGTTTTCATTGTTTTTCTGAATTAGGTCGCCTCGCCAAAGGGCGCCAACGACTGAAGATTTAAGTTCAGCTGCTTGGAAGTGTAAACGAGTGCACTCACCATCCTGTGCTTCCGTCGAGGACAGGAATATAGTACTGTACAGTGTAATTTAGTCAAAGTGTAGTCCAATACAAGGGGGACGAACCAATGTGAATCAATGGCCATCTCAAGCGCACTCGCCATGTCACTCTCGTCTCCATCAAGCTGCCGATGTTTGAAGCGCGTCGACATAAATGCATTGACCCGATCTGGTGGAGACTGATGCACGATTTTCCTAGCAAGCACCTCACACGCGATAGCTGTCCCGCTAGCTGTAAATTCTGATTTCTTTCACACAGACAACAACACACCTCTGCCATAGTTCTCTCCGTAATCAGCTGGGTTATGGTCGGCATCATACATAAATTCTGCCCGAGCTCTAAGCAAGCAGTATGGGAGCTGGTTATATGTTTTCAACCATGAAAACGCGTCGACAGAAGATGTTTCACTCACCGCCTCAACAAAATCTCCGGCCGATTCACGATACGCAGCAATGACCTGGGGTGTGATGATCCGGCTAGTAGGCTCGCTAAGGCTTGTCGGAGAAACCTCAACCGGTAAGAGCGTTAGCGTCAGTGCACGGAGACGCTTCACCAATTCTATCCGAAGGTTTGAAAGAAACGGAATCAAAATGGGAATCGTAATGAAAACGCGGAGATACTGACTGGTCAATGTATCAGGAGAAGGAACATATTTGACAGAGAGAAGAGGCGTGGCCTCGCTGTCGTTGTTCATGGTCAAGAAAGGTATTTGAAGGCGGGGCTGGCAGCTGGCATGATCTGAATCCGATGGTCGCGAGGCTTCTATAACGTCATAGATGTTACCGTGACGTGACGAGATAAGATAAACCATTTTTTTTCTTCATCTTTCCTTCTTTCCTGCAGCATCCTCCCTTCAATGGCAAACGACAAACCCAAGTGCAAAAGTTTAGTCCTCGATGCCGGCCCATTACTATCCCTGTCGCCTCTGCGAGGTTTAGCTGAAACCTACGTTACAGCACCCCAGATAATAGAAGAGTTGAGGGACAAAAACACTCGTGAACATCTGGAACGACTGGGATTGAATTATGGGGTGAAAATTGAAGTGAAAAACCCCAGTGCAACAAGTCTTGCTACAGGTGTGTAGCCTGGATCAACTATCTGAACGTGACGTGAATGTTTGCAGTGATACAGTGGGCCAAAAAGACTGGAGATTACTCAGTTTTGTCTCATCCTGATCTCTGCGTCTTGGCTCTGACCCACACACTGCATGAGAAGGCAAAGTTGGAAAAGGTCAACCAGGAATTAGAAGTTGTGGAGGGCACCATCGAGGCGAGTACGTTCCACCAGCATGGCAATCACCGTACTAATTTTACTGATAGTAGAATAATGACCTTACCGATGCTCCTGGTGACGATGATGGCTCTAGGGATCCTTTGGATGCTTCCGAACCACCCCCCTCGGATACAGAGTCTGAATCACAAGATGAGGAACAATCAGAGCGCAAAGACGCGCAGGACCTGGAACCCCTCGATGTTGAACTACAACCGATATCAACAGCTAATCCCCCACCTCAGCATCCCCCGTCAAAGGAATCTGAAGGCATGCCAGCACCTTTGTATGATGATCCATCCGATGAAGATGACGGCGAAGGCGAATGGATTACCCCCGCAAATGTCGCTATTCACAAGTCTCGAGCTCTCGATCTTCTTCCGAGTTCTGATTCCTCTCGCCGGAAAGGTAAAAAGAAAGCCGATGAAATGATTTCTGTTGGTTGCATGACTGCCGATTTTGCAATGCAAAATGTTCTACTGCAAATGGGTTTGAATCTTGTCGGTACCGAAGGAAGGAGAATTCAGAAGGTCAAGAGCTGGGTGTTACGATGTCATGCATGCTTCAAGTGGGTTGAATATGCTGTCTGTTTGTCAATGAAACTGAAAAACTGTACAGAATATGCAAGGATTCGTCAAAGAAATTCTGCCCTTCATGTGGCAATCCATCCTTGCTGCGCGCGTCTGTTACGATTTCTGATCCTAGCGCATCTCCTGATACACCAGCTATGCAAGTACATCTCAAGCCCAACTTTCAATATAGAATTCGAGGAACAAAGTACTCGATACCTGCCCCCAAGGCTGGATCCGCCAAGACTGGACCTGGTGAAGGTCTAATCCTCCGAGAAGATCAGGCAGAGTACATGAGAGCAAAGAAGCGGGCCGATGGAAAACGCGAGCGTGAGGAGGCGAAGATGATGAAAGGTTTGCTTGCGAGAGGTGCCCGCGGGGACACGGGAGTAGCTGTGGGTAGCTGGATGGATCCAGATTGGATTCCAGAGATCATGAGTGCCGGAACTGGAGGTAAGGGAAGGAGCATGCGAAGTGCAGGCATGGACGGAGACATGCCCATCATTGGGTATGGTAAAAAGAATCCTAACGAGCGTAGGAGGCGGAAATAGGTTTCGTCACGAATAGTAATTACAGCCACACTACAGTACACTCTATGCACCCAAACTTCTGTTCATGAAGCGCCTCTTCTGGAAGGACATCCACCACTTGCTGGGTTTGCCTGTACCGTCTGCGTATAGTATTGCGACCAAACGAGCAGCCAACTCTTGACGGACTTGTACTAGATACTGCCGTAGATAATCTGACCCGAGGATCTAGTCAAGTTCCTCTTAGTGAAAATTCAGGACTCACCTGCATCTACCCTACTCGCTGGTGCGGCATAATGAGCGTTCAAAACAAAGTTGGCATCTCCAGGGATCGGGAAACTGTCCACAGAAAGGGTATTGAGTTGCTTTGAGGCCTCAATCTGCGTCGGCGGTGTTCGTGCACTGCCAATTTTGGCTAGGCAGTCAGAGACGTAAAGAATGAGCACAATCAGGGTGCGGTCGGCGGGGCCTTTGATCTCAAAGTTACGGAACAGAGAGTTGGCTCGGAATAGGTCAAGGGTTTCGTCGATAATATCTGGTTGTTCTGGGTCGGCTGAGAGTAATATGGTCGTCAGCGAAGCCTGTCGGATATGTAGTACCGCGCACCTATTTGCGCAGGCCCGCGAATCTTGGTTTTGATTGGCAGGACCGCCATGTTGCCGACCTGACGGATATCTGGATCCTCATTGAATGATGAATGGTAAGCCTAGAGTCTCGTCAGAACAGAGAAAGGGAGCAGAGCAGTCGATTTCGTACTGGCATTGATGGGTGGATGTTCTAGTCAAGTAAGGTATGCCTCAAGCGGAACCAAGGACATCACGTGTGTGACTGATCTGTGACTTTTCGTGACTCATTAACTGCCGACTACGTGTTTTTGCTTCGTTTCTGTCACTGTGTTTGTAGTATGGTCTCTGTAATATGTTAATAGACTTCTCCTTTATATAACTCCTCAAAAATGTACCTTGGGGTGACCCTGTGACCCTTGTATGGTCTTTCCCAGGCAGTGTGATTTCTACACAGTTTCTTTCCAATATACACCCATGAATCGCAAATGAGTGGACCAAGAACCTTCCAAAGGAGAATGTAAGGTCTAGGCAACATGTTTTGACTGAATAAGACATGCGAATGCATCAGATATTGGTCGCGTCGCAGTTTGTCTACCCCCTATCAAATTACTAATTGACTATCTACTCTCGCTCATCTCCCAAATTAGAAAATCGGAGCCCGAGGATTTATGCGAAATACTATTATCTAGGATTCCTCGGAGCCCGATTTAGCATTTACTTCCATGTACAGGAGGAGATAGATTTTTTTGTGCAAATGTCACTTTTGTAACGTTTTAGTCACGTGATGTCCTTGGTTCCGCTTGAGGCATACCTTAGTTGCTTGGCTGCGCTTGCCATTACCCTCGCCCATCTTATCTCTAATCTTATCTACGGATTTCCATCGGCCGACAGGATCGGGACTCCTCGGACATCGACTTTTGGAAAAGTCAGACAAGAATAATTTGCTTCTTTATCACGAACTACCACCGCATAATGTCTCCAAGATCGTTAGTAGCATTACCCTTCCCTAGGATAACGACTAACCTTTCGTATTTTTCCAGATTTCGAATCGTTGTCCTTCCCGGAGATGGTATTGGTATGAATACGTCCCGGGATCCCGACGATCGTCCGTACTAAATGCTATTGCAGGCCCGGAAGTCGTCAGCCAGGCTGTCAGAGTGTTAGAACTGGTATCTTCTACCTCGTCAGACTTCGATCTCAAGCTAGAAACGCATGATTTCGGTGGCTGCGCAATAGACAAGACGGGAGAGCCTCTACCCCCAAGCACCCTCAAAGCGTGCCAGGAGGCTGATGCAATTCTCATGGGTGTGTTAAATCATCTGTGTCCTTCCCACGCTCGTCTCATGCACGTCCAGGTTCCATCGGAGGTCCCAAGTGGGGTGTTGACGCCAAAGTACGCCCAGAACCTGGCCTTCTTGCCCTCCGGAAGACACTCGGTCTGTACGCGAACATCCGTCCGGCCAATCTTGCCTCGGAGTCCCTTCTTGAGTATACACCCTTAAAACCGTCCGTCGCCCAGGGTGTGGACATGATTGTCGTTCGTGAGCTCATTGGAGGGCTCTATTTTGGTACCCGTAAAGAACAGGGTGTTGAGCCAGACGTGGACACCGCATGGGACAATATGATCTACAGTGTCCCAGAGGTTCAGCGTATTACAAGGGTCGCTGCCCAGATCGCGTTGGCAGCTAACCCGCCGCTGGAAATCCATTCGATCGATAAAGCCAATGTTCTTGCGGCATCACGTCTGTGGAGAAAAGTCGTCACAGAAACATTGTCAAAAGAGTATCCTCAGCTCAAACTAGACCATCATCTCGTTGATTCCGCTGCAATGCTGATTGTTGCGAACCCCAAACGGCTGAATGGTGTCATTCTCACCGAAAATTTGTTTGGAGACATGTCAGACCGAAGTTTTTGCGTTTGAATTACCACTGACAGTTTCTTTCTCCAGCCTTTCTGACCAGTCAAGTGTCATCCCTGGGTCTCTAGGTCTCCTCCCATCTGCTTCGTTGGCCGGTGCGCCGTCCGCGCCATCTCCAGATTTCAAACCTACACCAGGTCTGTATGAACCAATTCATGGATCGGCGCCCGACATCGCTGGAAAGGGTATTGCAAACCCGATCGGTACCATTTTGAGTGCTGCCATGCTTCTGCGGTACTCCTTGGGTTTGGATGCACCGGCGAATGCCATCGAGACCGCTGTGAGGAAGGTCCTTGACAGTCCTGAGCTAGGAGGACATGGCTTGAGGACGGCAGACCTCGGAGGTAATGTCGGAACCACCGAGCTTGGAGATCGTGTCATAGAAGTATTAAAGAGTATACTGTAAAGTACGCTAGAAGAAAAACTGTATCAGTTAGCCAATTAGCCAACTTTAGAGGTAGTTGGGTCCTTTGATTCGGAAGCAGTTCTTGAAAGGTGATACCTGACATAAAAGCTACGAGCTGGCCGAACCGACGGTAGGGGGCATGTACTTACTCACAGGGTGAACTAGACAACCGGTCCTATTCTGATACAAGCTATGACCTAGGATTACTCTACAAGGACATGAAACCCGAGAAATTTTGAGTTGCATTACTGGTTCTGGCCAGCTACCTCAACGGTAAGGCGGGAGGAGGCAAGATTTGACATACATATGTGTATGGTTCCTATATAGTTTAGAAAAATAAAATTATGTGAAGCGCTGACGTGCTGCGATTTCACGATGCAGAAAAAGAGGGAAGTGTTAACGAGAGTGACAAGGAGTGACACTGCTCTCTGCCTGCCAACCTGGGGGTAGGTACGTATACGGTACGCCGGGCATCACATTCATCACATTTGGCACTAGTCACAAACCTGTCACGGTTGCACTTCCCTGCTATTTCGACCCACCCCTCCGGTATTGCTCCAGACTTGACCAAAAAATCCAATAATCAGATCAAAGATCAATATAGAAAGATACGCTGTCTAAAATTACAGGCGGAACAATCAAAAACTGAATGAAGTGCTACGGGTCGACATTTTCGTTTACACTTCTAGGCGATCGATAGTACAAAGAAAACAAAAATGGAAGTTAAACTGTGCGAGGCTATATATCTACGGCATGTCAAATGCCTATCATTTAACTGGATCCTGGAGCAGGACCTCGAATCTGGTTGACTAACGTCTCCCAATAATTCCATTCGTTACCGTCGATACCAGCCAAAATGCGAGGATCCGGCGCTCCAACTAACGTCGATGTTGTCCCCGCCCAACCAGCGAAGTTTCCGGGGAGTCCGCCCCATGAAGCGGCTGAGCTGGATCCCTCCAACGGCGCGCTGATCGCATTACACCAATGGTCTAACAACGACTGTGCAGCGGAGTCCTCTTCGCCGTTGGGACTACCAGAGGCCGTCGGCGAGTTTTCAAAGTCTCCCGAAGCGCTCTGCAGTCGTTGAAACGTGGGAGACTGATTTATATGTGTCGCATATGGACTTCGCGGCGAGGAAGCAGTGGGCAAGTTCAAGAGTGACGGGAATGGAGGAGGATGTGGCGTAGAAGACTGCTGTAGACCTAGTAACAGGTGTGCAGGATCGTTCGGTGGTAGAGATCCTATCGCAGTGGGCAGAGTCCGCTGGGAAGCCTTGTTCTTCAAAAATTCTATGGTCTTCAGCTCCCGTCGGGTCGTTTCGTCCACATCCCGAATGCCTTCGTGTTCCTTCATGAAGGAATCAAGGATGGCATGCATAGCCGCCTCATCCTTCCCCGATGGATGAAGGACCAAGTAGATTCCACTAATCATAGCAGTCTGGAACTCTCTATACGCATTACTGAGGGAATCTCGGACTTCCTTTGATTGGACTTCTCGGAAAGCCTGTCGAACCTCGAAATCTTTGAGTGCCGATTCGAAACATGCTTCCCGTGAACGAGCATAACGGTCAGAACTGAGCCGCCTGAGGATGTATGGTCGATGGAGACTTGTCCTTACGAACATAATCTCGGTGATGAGAAGATAACGATGGACGGGAATGTAGGTATGGGTTTCGTCCAAAGAGCGGTCAGGTTCGAGAGCAAAATGCGGTGGAAGGTTGGCGATGAAATTTAAGAGTTCGTCGTCTAAAGCCGTTACTTCGGAATAATGACTAGGTTTAACTTGCTGGAAATGATGAGCAATTCGACCAATGATCGAAGCCAGCTGATGCCTCAGGATTACAAAGGTCATCGGTGTCGGTGAAGAAAGAGGAGTAGGCCGACTCGAAGATTCGTCGTCTATATTCGAAGGCGGGAGGGTTGATGTGTATGTATCCTGAATAGAATTTGGTCGTCCTAGGACAAGAGCGTACGAGCGGTCCGCATGGTAAAGGTATGACCTAAATCATGAAATACATTATAAGATTAGTAAGTAAAAGGAGCTTCAGGAGAACTTGCCATATTCTGCGCCGATATTCGACCAAATGAGGTTCCATACCCTGATTGAGGTGTTATCGACTTAGAATCTTGAATGAAGGGCCCTGTTGACATACCATGGAAGCACCGTCGCGATGTAGACCTAGCGCTTGCGCAGTCCGAACAGCAGCGCCTAGTTGACTCCAGCACTCGGTTATACGGCGGTCAAAAGTTAAAAATCGAGCACTCTTAATATCAGCATTAGCAAACGCTCAAGAAAAGGGACAGGAAACTATTTACCAAAAGTCGAGTTAGCACGATGTCTAACGAATCTGGTTGGATAGCAGCGGCGATTAGTAGTGACCTCCGCGCTAAAATAGTTAGACCGACGATATAAAAGGACAAATAAACTAATGCTTACAAGACCAATAGTATCTTAGAGACGTAACTCTTCTGGTCCTTGCATCCCCAGACACCTCCTCAGGCGCAAGTCTCACAGCGATAGCGAGAACGACGAAAAGCAACGGTAGGAATCGAACATCATGAGGATTTGTGGCTGATATCCCATGGTCTCCTCCGTTGTATATGGAGCTATAAGCGTCGCGAAAGTCGCGTTCGGATATAGGATAGCGGGTCCAATTACTGAAAAACTTGAGCCGAAGAGAAAGCCAGCGCTGAGTAGGAATACTTGCACTGATTTAAAATAATAGTCAATGAGCACCTGTGATGTCCTGAGAGGTGGAAGCTCGTGCAGAAGCTCTGATATCTTGTGGGGAGAGACTCCACATTCTTGTACGAGATTTTTCAGGTTATCCGCAGCAGTTGGCTCTAGTTCTGAACCAACGATAGCAGTAGCT